CAAGCTCGTCGAAGACACCCCGGATGGCATGTTTGTTAGCCCACTGGTCTCTAATGGAGACTTCTGAGTTAATATCTAAAAACATGATGTGGTTTTGAATAACACAAACACTAGAGAGTTGATTGAATTTGAGCCTACATCGAAGCGCAATAGAAAGGCTAAAGGAGCATGAGGGTTTAGGTATTTGCTTTTATAGTGGTCTGGCTCTTCATTAGCTGTGGGCGTGGGCGGATTCGGCCATCACAAAACGGCCCCGTCTGAATCTCGAAGAACTGGCGGGCTTAGGCAGGAATGCAGAAGCTGTGTTCAGACAATCAAGCCTGAACTAAAATGTAGGCCGCGTTCTCGAGAGCCCACTCCCAATGAATTCCCGTAAAAATTTCATTGCGCACAGGGATCCCATGTTCGGTGTGCCAAACTTGAGCCAAAGCGTGCTCTAGATCGAACTTATGGTGAACCTGTGGGGAAAGACAAGTTCAATTTGAAGGACAGATGGGGTGTGATGAGACGACTTGTCCTGGGGGTTGGATAGTGTCCTCTCTGCCAATGAGTTGCCATTTTGTAACGGCTTGGGTAGAATATGCATCAGACACAGCCAGCCACAGGATGAGGGGCAGACTGCATCAACGTGAGGATGATGAATGGATATCTTCCTGGATGAAACGTGATTGACTGCTGGTGCTGTTGGTGACAAGTCCTGACCCCTCACCATCTTTTTTTCATCCCTGTCAAACCTACGCAGCTGTGGCGTTTTTCCTTTGTAGGTATGAATATGAAGAACATCCAAACATTCCACGCTGACAGCACAGGGTGCCTCTTTAGCAAGAATAGGATGATTTTGGTCTCGAGATATTTAGATTAGCGGTATTGTTGGTTGGAGGGGGGGTGTGTCGAGGTCGTGAAAACCCACTAAACCGGCCAGCAAAACTGTTGGGTGGATAGGCAGGGGGCCGAAGTGAGGGTTCCAATTTGATGTTTCTTTTGTCGGAATACTATTGTTGAGGTTGTAGTGGTCAGTCACTCAAATGATGTAGAGCCGGAGTAAACTGCATACCTCTCAAAAACTGCTCAGTTCATCCGTAACTCTGGAGCTAGCATTAAATATGAGCTCATTGGTCTCGTTCCATCCTTGAATAGCTGGACAACGAGGTTTAGATCTTGCTGCCCTACAATAGGTACCATCTGCATGAGAGATTGATTAGTGCTCGTTGATGTTCTCTACTCCGAAGGGTTGATTTTTGCCCGGAAATGATATTGCCGATCCAGTCAATTCCTGATCTTGGGTGAACATGCCTGCCTCTTCGACAGAAATATGCGAGTATGGGTGGGGACTAGAGTGATAACGGTGTGTTGACCTTCTCCGGGGTGAAATGGACAAACAATTGTTGCTAAAGGCAGAATTAATCATGGCTTTGTGCGCCTAGAGCTCTGTCAGCTTCACTATTCATCTCTACTAGTATCTTCCACATTCACGTTCAAACTTCCAAGACCTCAAACGGTAGTTTTCCTTTTTTCTTTTTTTCCTCTCCCCCCCCCCCCACCCCCACCAAAAACATCTTTGTGCCCCATCGACATCTCATTCGGCCAGGGGCATTGATCCCCGGGGACCCGTGAAAGCCGTAGAGCATCCTTGATAGTCCGCAAAACCTTTGCTTGGGGCCGTTGGTACACAATTCCGAGGCACAACACTCCTGAGATGAATGAGAAGGGCAGCCACCGATCTCGAAAAACTCCTGGTTTTCCCGTAGCATCATTGAGTACTATTGGAAGTATCGTACATGCTTGGATAGGTTGCAATGCGTTTTGAGGACATTGAAATTTGACATAAGGCCTCCTTGTAGCTATATAAGTCATGGGTCAGCTATCCTCTATTTCCTCGGTTTCCGGAAATCAACTTGCCTTCAACGCTCTGAATGATATTCAGTGTATTAGCTATGCCCAACAGCCTACTCATAAATACGTATTCGTGCAATTTCCTCTATTGCCCTGAGTTGTTGAATAAGAAAACTCCGGTGCTAGCAAGGAACATATGCCTGGCTGAAGGAGGGTTGCCTATCGATATCCATACAGGTCATGCTAGCTTTCTTCAATAAAGGAGTCTTCACAGCGTGTCAGGCATTGAACTGATTTTGTCATGCTTCTGTAGCCATGGGACATTCACTCCCCGTCTTGCATGCCAGCAATGCATGGGATTGAGGGAGGCAAGCATCTAGCCATAAAGCACTGTTTGGACGGTAAATGGCAACGAGCAATATCGGAGGTGGAAAGGCAATGAAATTCGGGGCCGAGACCGGTTTAGAATTATGTATTCGAGATAACCTTCAGAGAGGTGATTAACTCAGTTAGTTGCGAGCGAAAGATTTGGGTAAAGCGCCTTCTATACGTAGTACACCAATACCCTGGCTATACGCTAGTTCTACTATGATTTCAGCGCAAAACGACCGGATTGAAAGGTGTGGAGTTGAGTTGCTCTGCGCACACTATTATGGCGCTATTACCCGAATGTGTTGCTACGACAAAAGCAATGCGGGACATGGCCAGTGTAGGATATAACTGACTCTGCTCGAGTTTGGTAGAGACAAGAGCAGTGAATCCACTGTGCCTTGTTATAGCAGAGGAGAATATTTCCGAGCCGAACCAATACCGGGGGCGGGTCCTCACTATCTGCTGCCGTGGCAATGATACTTTGTATGGTTTCCTGTGTGTGGCACTGGCTTGAGCAGGATCCAAGGTCACCGCGGGGGAAAATTTGGGACTGCGCGAAGAGCGACGACGGCGGGGACATAGGCCAATGCGGAGATCTTTCCCCACGGAGAGTACCAGAGACCTCATATCAAACCTGGATAATAATGTCAGTGCGGAGTACGGAGTACTGGGTATGAAGTATATGTGATAATAACGACGATAAGATAGTATTATTTGTCAGGAAGATACGAAGTGGAAGGCCGAGTAATATTAACAATAAAATCTCATATGGAAAAGCGTCCGTCTGTCCATCCAAACCGACGGGTTTTCGGGCAGAGATTAAAGGGGCGAACCAGACAAATCTCAAACCGGCAATTTCCGTTCTTCAAGATCCGATGAGAGAAAAATGCGCAAAGGAGGAGAGGAGCACTTAAAACGTGCTTCATCCCGCGGCGATGTATCATAAAGGCGTCCTTTTCTGCAGAATAGAGCAGGGGAGATACCTTTCTTTCTTCCTTTCTTTTCCTTTTCTTGATCAGGGTGATCAGAACTGTGGAGAGACTCTGTATTCCTTTGGCGTAATAATATTAACAAACTGGGCCTGCGATAAGCTGGGCTCCCCTGGTCGGCGGAAAAGATCCATGTTCGATGCCGGCGGTCATCGAGGGTGAGGGGTGGGGGGAGAGGGAGTTCAGCAGGAGATTTTCTCTAAAAAACTATCATTGAATTTGGGTGTTTGCTCGTGAGTTTCGAGAGAGGAGTATCGGCACGGCGGATGGGCCCACCCGAGCCAGAGGGTCCTCGCTTCGTGACATCACGACGGGACCTCTTTTCGCTGTGCAGGTGTTTGGCGTTGGAGTTCTAGTGCCGTTCGCCCCTTGCATGGCGGAATAGACTAGGCCAAGCTGGGACTAGCCGCAGTCCGCTTCGGGGAGCAGGTCAAGTGATCTGCTGTGATCTCCATGAAGCTCGGCGTCCATCAGTCCACTCTGCCGACTTCCAGCGCCCGGATCAACCCTCCTCGAGCCCGGGATATGAGGAGCATGCGTTTGATTGAGAAGTCTTTACTAAGGGACGGAGCGTCCCCCGATGATCTCCTCATCACTTGCAGGAGCCAAGTTTGATCCCACCCGGCGAGATACACATACGTCATTTCACAGGCAAGTAGAAAGTGAAACTCTAGCTTCAAGGATATATTCAAGGTGAGAAGTACGAGGACAAGCGCAAATTGCCGGACCCAACAAACGAGCTATTCTCATTAACTTCTCTAAAGTCGGCGACCAACGACTGGCTGTTCTTCTCGCTAGCTACCCAAGCTGGCAACGCACGCACGGCCTACTCGTTATGTTCTGTGCACGTACGGAGTAGGGAGGACCTCGAATCCAAATGAAAAACTTTAAGCGAAGGTTGCGATTGCTACCAATAATTGGGAGAGGTTAACCCGGGTAAACACAAAAAAAGGTCTTCAGTCTCAATAAAAAGTACGACATGCGTTAGCTAGCGCTGCGACGGGCCTCTTGAAACGCTGTTGAGGTCGGATTAAGGTTTGATAGCGCAGCGTTCACCACGTGCTAGTCTGCGGATTTCTTCAGAACTCGCTGCGCCAAGCAGTTCGGATCAACTGAGCCGGAGCAACCGGGGTGCCAGCGAACGGACAAGCGCTCGGAGTCGTATCAGCTGCGAATACGGAGTCATGAAAGTCGGTAAACTTCGTACCAACGTCCTATCTGCACGGACGAGCATGATGCATGGTACCTAGTTACATGCCCAGGCATGTCATAGGACACCAGGGTATCTATCCTACGAATTGCGCACGTTCCAGAATCCGTCGGTGAAAACTCAAACCTCCCGCGCGTTGGCCGTTTCTCTCATCCTTTCGAGGAGCTGGAACAGGGCGATCCACAAGCCGGACTTGTGATTCGCTCCAGGTAAACCTTCCTGGTGGGAAGCAAAGTTTCGGTCGAAGCTTCGAAGAATTTTGGTCATCGGGAGTAAAAAAAAAAAAAAAAGGAAAAGAAAAAGAAAAAATAATTTCCATTTTCGCCTCACTTCCTCTCCGGTTTGTCGTTTGATTAGTATTTGAGTTCTTCAACTCCCTTCTCCCGGGCTCATTGGGTATTCCTGTGACTGTCGCTTTTGCAATAATTTCTTTTCCCTGCTTCCCTTGCCATATCCTCATACCAAAACTCTGCAGTGCTTTAGGATATGGGCTGATTCCCATCGGACACTCTCGTTTTCTTGTTGTTTAGTTTCTTGCTTGGATACCGTAAAGGATACCCAATCCATTCGTCATAATTATTTCTCCTATAACCACTATGCTTCCTCCTTCTAATATCCTTGTTCTCGGTGGCGGCATTGCGGGCATTGCCGCCGCCCTTGCCCTATCCAAACAGCTCACTCCGCTTAATCCCGATGTCAAAATCACCATCTACGAGCTCCGCGATGTACCCTCTACCTCCGGCGGAGCTATCAATCTCACTCCCGTCGCCCAAAGGCACCTTGCCCAGCTTGGTGTCATCGAGGAACTCGATAGAATGGGCCCCGATGCAGGCGTTGACGTAGACGGGATAGAGTACTACTCCATCCACAGCGGCCGGAAGATGGGAAACGTCGATTTTGCCGGTAAGAATGGTCGGGGCTACGGTGGGTACAAGGGTAGAAGAGTGATGCGAATCTGTCTCCATCTCGCCATGTTAGCTGCAGTGGAGAGGGTCGGTAACGTCTCGGTCGAATTTGGCAAGAAAGTGATTGGAGGAGTAGAATCAGAGAAAAGCGTCACTATATTCTTTGCAGATGGTGGGAGTGCAACAGGTGATTTGGCGGTTGGATGCGACGGAGTTCACTCCAACACTCGCACAAAGATCGTCGACCCCGAAAGGCCTTCCGAGTATACCGGTATATCCTTTATACAAACCACGATACAGACAGACAAAATAGAATCGCCCATCCACTTCAAGGCCACTGCGATGAACCGATCGAGGCGAGGTGCTCTATTAACTACGTTCTGTGATTTGCAGAAGACCGAGATTTTTGTCGCTGGGTTGGTACAGATAGACCCTTCCCTTCTGTCAACTGATGCCTGGAGGCAAGAAGGAACGGGTAGCTTCAGGCCAAGGTGGACCCCTTTGAGAGCCCTTCGCGATGATATCCGTGGGCGATTCGGGGAGTCCGTAATACCGTGTATTCGCGAAATAGTCGAAAAGGCTGAAGGGTGGTCGATATATCCGGTATATCAGCTTGCTCCTGGAGGCAAATGGTCGACAGAGCGGATAATATTATTAGGCGATGCGGCGCACGCGGTATGTAATCTTGAAAGTGCCTGGCTTGCAAACGCTGTATCGCTGACAGTGAGTGTGTAGATGCCACCTCGTGATGAATCGGCCGCATATGCTCTTGATGATGCTATCCTGTTCGCTCGTGTGCTCGCTGTCTATTACGGCCAGCCTCTCCACGATGCGTTTCAAACCTACGATAACATCCGCAGGAAGCCTATCAACGACGCCTACAAGGATTCTGTTGCCGGGTGGGCAAACAATAGAGATCATGGCAAGTGGGCAAGTAGACTAGAGGAATGGCTGACGCCGTGGCACCTCAGACGAAGAAAGAGAGCCAGAGTGGGCGCCTGGGTATTTGACGCCCATTCTGTGGAGATTCCACCACCTAAGCATTGGAAGGAGATCGATGCGTGGTCATAAACAGCAACACCTCTTTTTCAGTCTTTCCTTAAATGTTTTCTTTCTCTTTTTCTTTTCGACATTTTTTCCTTTGTGTGCTTTCTGCCCTTGTTAAAATGCATCGGGAGGCGTCTCGTTTTGGGGTCTTAGTTTCGGAGTGGGCGCATTTCCGCATGATGGAACATATCCCTAGCCAGGATCAAATAAGGCTCTTTCACACTGTATGGTGTTGAAGTACTCCCGTATATATTGTTTTTTCCATGGATATCCCATGTAGTTGATAGAGAATTTTTATTTATGGACCTTCTCCTTTCTCCACTCTCGTTCTGTGTGTTTTTTCTCTTTTTTTTTTCTCCGCTCTTTCTTTTGGGGCCTTGGCTCCCCTGAAACTGATCAATTAACTTACGCAGCTGATTAAAACTGGCTTGAGTCGCTCGTCTCTCGACAAGCTACGAGCGGATTGCCGCCCGGGTGACTCCAGGAGAATCTGTTAGCTAACCGACTACGCACTTAGGTTGTTAGTTAGCTTTCGGATTAGTTATTTTGGCCCCTCTCTCGACCATCCCAGATGCAGGCTGGCGCCACCAACGGTCATCTGGAGGTCACTGGGCTGAGCGGGCTACGACAGAACCGGCTCATATGTGTGTACGTACCTCTTTGGTGCATACATGCTACGCACGTGAACCCCCCCCCCCCCCAACACACACACACATACACACACATATATATACCAGTGTCAACGTCTTCGACATTGATAGACAGAGACGCTGACGCCTCTGTGGTTTCTTTTTCTCAGCGGTTCCGTATACAGCTTACTTATCCTGGCCGTGGCTGGCAGCATTGGAACCTGCACTCGGAGTATGCTTCGATGCTGTCTACAGTTGAGGCTGAGAAGTTCCAAATGGGATGAATGGTTGTTGTTTACTGTGGTTAGTTATTCTTGCCTTTGCTGGCATGCCCTCTAGGTGCAAGTGTGGCTCCTTCTCCCACTGGCACTGTAACTGGCAATCTCCACAGCCGGAAGATGCATGTCGAACCCCTTCCTGCCATCTTGAGCCTTTTTGGGGCGATTTCCAAATTGGTGATGTCGCCTCGCCTTTCTCCTCTCTTCCTCTTCTCCTCTTCTCCTCTTCTCCTCTTCTCCTCTTCTCCTCTTCTCCTCATCCTTCTCTCCCCCCCACTCAGGTAGATCACCACACTGCATCTTCAAAGCGTTTGTATGCCTACTTGGTGGCATTCTTCTCCTTTTTTGCTTCTTGGATTCATCACTATTAGCGTTACATTCTACGACACTCTCACTCTTGATTGTCAACAACTGTTGTCCACATGCTTTTCCTCTGGGTGAAGCTGGGTTTGACCCTGCTCCTAGCTAGGTTCACCGTAGCGTCTTTCAATATCTACGCCAAGTACGATCATAATGTTATTGCTGCAGCTCTTGGGGTTTCGTCTCAATGCCTGTCAGCATTGTAAGTGCTTATCTGCCCAACTATATTTCTTCGCGTGCTGTTTTAGAGTTGGGGGGGCTGACATACAGACCTCTCCAGGAATCAAACAGTGGAATGTGATCAGACGAATGCTGCTCGGGCAGCTCGGGGTATTGACAATGATTGTGTGTCATTCAGAGCCCCTTTTTGCTTAGCTAAATGTTGTTCAGTAATAACCCTTTACCTACCCAGTTTGGTATAGGGATAACCTCACGGCGCTCTGCACACAGGAGTGCTCGGCCTCTCTAGCTTCATGGCTGTCAACAGTGGAAAAGGAGTGCTCCAAAGACGAAGTAACTACAAATGGTATTCTTTTCGAACCAAAGGCATTTCCTCTGAAATACATTGCCGGCCATGACCTTGCCTGCCTCCGGGATGTGTAAGTGTCGATCTCCCACGCTCAGAGGAATAACGCGTGTTTCCACTGACGTACCTTAGTTCCGACACTTTTTGCATCCTGGAATCTCAGAAATGGGACGGTAGCGTTTATACCAAGTGAGCGCCCCTGGAAAATACTGTCAAAACGATAACAAGCCAACAACAGCTCAAGATGGGATATGGAAAGTTGCAACGAAGAAAACCCTCCAGCGTCCTGTGGCGAGCAAGTTGATCCCGGAAAAGAACAACCTATGTCCGTTACGAATGCGTATCCACGAGAGCAGGTGGGATCTTTTAATTCTTGTAAACTATAGCATCTCCTAAGGGTGACATAGTATTGCAGCGAGTGTTTCCTGTTGCTGTGGAGGCAGCGTCTTCTTTCGCCCACTCTTCCTCCCGGTAACTTTACCGATTATCTCATCGACCAGTTCAAGGTGTTGGAAGAGACATGCTCAACAGAATTACCGTTCTCAACGTCTGCTCAAACCCTTATCATTGGAGCTGCGACTCGCGCCCCTTCCTCTCCGACTCGCAGGAGTGTCATGAGGAAGTCCATGAATCCACATAGAGGGCCGCATTCTAGTACTGGTGAGTAAGCCTATAAGTGAACCCTTAGCACTTTTAACCTGAAGTGAAGCCGTGCCTCCGATGCCTACCCAGCCGGGTGCGATCGCATCTTGCGGTGCCTATCATAACGTAGTTCCTGGTGACACGGTTTGCCGGCCTGTGAGCTCTTTCCTTTTCAAATCCCAGCTAATGATATGGAGTAGTGCGTATCTATTGCGCGTCGATTGTAAGTTGTCCCGTTTCATGTCTCCCCAGAAGGTGGAGAAAATAAGTCCCTGTCTGGCGTCTGCACGATTGAATATTGAACATCGAGAAACCACCTAAAAAGATCATCCGATGAAGAGAGGAGCTCGAAATTTCCATTGCTTCTGGGGCTTCTATAGCCCTTAGGGAGTATGCCCCTAAAAGTAGAGGCAAAATTGATCTCGTTTGCTCAGGCTTTGGCCGACCTTTACTAGCAAACTTCAAGGACTCGTTTTGGACACAAGTGCTTTATAGCTTTGGCAACATTACTAACAAGGATCATAGTGGAATCGACTACAGTGAAGTATTGGACTACAACACGCAAGTAGGACTCCCTCTGCTATCAATACATCGCGTTCTGTTGTTTAATGCCTTACATTTGCAGATCGATTCTGAGTGTAACAATCTATGGGTCAACTACGCTATCTGTGTAGCACCCGTGACTACAGCACCGACAGAGCCCGAATGGAAAAGCCCATCTGAAGGATCGGGTGAAGGTGACCTTCCCCTAACGAGCAGACCTTGGTCGCCCCTTAGACCCCGGCCGACTAAGGTCACGGAGCCCCCAGAGCTCATCAGCAAAGATGGAAGGTGTAATCAAACTGTCAGCTGCGTAGGATCTGGCTTCGGTGACTGCTGTAGTACCAGTGGCTACTGCGGCTCAGGGCCGTTGTGGTGCGGTAGGTGATCATATAATACACTAATAAAAGGAATTTATGCATTGATACTTTGCTTTCAGGTCTCGGCAACTGCATCTCTGGGAGTTGCGACTCTAAACCCGGCCAAGTTAGCACTGATGGAAGCTGTGGGCCGCGTTTTCCGGGCAATAAAATTTGCGAAGGGTCAAAATTTGGCGATTGGTGAGTTGTGATTTGAAATCACATTGAGGCGTCTGTTTTTATGTGACTACTAACATTTTGCTGAAGTTGTTCTATTAGAGGCTACTGTGGTTCAACAGAATTGTACTGCGCAGCTGACAATTGCCACTTTGGGAATTGTGAGAAAAACGCCGGCGGAGACAACAAGGATGGTAAAGATGATAAGAAGGATTAGGATGAAGACCTAGATGACAAGTATGGTGACCACAGAAAGCATAAGAAACACCAGAAAGACGGTAAGCACTGACCAATTTGAGAATAGCAATGTTGAGGTGGGGTGTTAGGAGCAAGAAAACATCAGCATTCACAAGAAACGCACATGATACTGCATTAGTTAGTATTTACACTACCTGAGGTGACTATTGTTATAATGAAAACTATGGGGATCAGCCGTTGCAACAAGGCTTCTTGTGGCTGGATAATTCTCCCTGTTGTCACATCAAGATCAACTAGCATTGCTGGCCTGGCCTGCTGATATCGAGAGAATAATCAACAGCTGATTCCAAGCCATTCAAGAGAGCAGACTGTCATCTAGCATAGATGATTTTCTTGCAAAACATGAAGCGATGGGGACCGAAGAGGTGCGCCCGTCACTTTATTCGTTTTTATTTGTCTGTTTGATGGGTGCAGTCGACATAGCTTTCTCCAAGTTCGACGCCCAGAGTGCGGCACCAACGGTGTTCGTGTAAGCGAGTGCCAGGGAGGCAAAGGGAACTATCTCAAGGACAAACGCCGCAGCACCGAAACTATCCCCGAGATTAGCAAAAGTTTCCAATTTACCGCTTCGCTTGCTGGCACAATCTGGTAGTTTATTCTGTTCCTGCAAGACCTCCTCTATACCATGCAAAGGGAGAAAAGGAACAGAAAATTTCGACTCCATACCTCGTATATGCGGCACGATTCTCCTTCAGCCACCTTTCCTTCTCCTCCGAAGTCCACCCTTTCAGCTCAAAATACCTGACATGCGCCATGTTCCCCACCCTCTTCCCCTGCCCGACCAAGTACATCAAACTCCCCACCACTGGCACAAAGTTCAGCGGCAGATATAGTAGGGAACGCAACCACATAGTCACCACGCTCCCAACCCCACCACCCGTAAACCGCCTTCTCACCACCCGTCCCAGCCGCGCGATCGGATCGCCGACACCTCCCGAACTGTCGAGCTCCCGCCCTCGAGCCACGAGCGCGGTCTGCCCGCGCGATAGTAGTGTTGCGTCGAAGGTATCTAAAAGCGAATCGCGCAGGATGAAGGAGCGGGCCAAGAAGTTTGTTAAGGTGGAGCTTTCGGTGAGGACGAGGAGGGCGGCGGAGAAAGGGGCGAATGGACCGGAGGTGAAGGCCAAAAGGGCCGTTTGAGGGATGTAGGTGAAGAAGAACATGGATGTGGTTATGATGATGGAGAGGGAGAGAGTCGGGGCGAGGGTGGAGAGGAATGGGCGCCAGATGCTTCGGTGCGTGAGGAAGTAGAAGATACCCTGGAGAGAAGGGCGTGTGTTAATAAGAGGTACCGTCGGAAGGGAAATGGGGGGTTTTTACTTGGAATGGGTAGGTGTATGCTCCTGAGCGGAGGCCGTCTTGAACAAGAGTGCGGATGGTTTTGATCTCGTCGAGGGCGAGGGATTTGATGCGGTCCATGATGGTGGGGTGGGATTGTGTGATTGACATTGTTGCTGGTGATTTGGTCTCAATGGCTGCTGGAATGGAAGGATGATTCACTGTCATTGAGGGGCCTTCACGACCGAATTGTCTGGTGGCATCGTGCGCATTCGAGATAAAACTATCCTGGGAACGAACACGCTCGGCTGGGGATGCGGGTGATGATGTCATGGTCTGTCCAGTGTCGCGTTGCTGCAACACGTGGAGATCGATGGAGTTACGTCATTGGCGCGGAACGAAGCTTCAAAAAGGCGGCTCAAATTGAGAATTACCAGCTCAAAGGAGGAAGAATTACTACATACACACGCGCTCTTGCTTTTGCGCTTTTGTTTATAGAGGGTTAGCAGCATGTCCAATATTTGATAATCCCGGGGTAGAACCCTCCCTAACATTTGAACCCCATATAGAAAGGCTCACTCCAGGGATTCGCTCCGCTGGGAACACCCTAAACACCAAACACCTGCCCTACCCAAGGGGTCATTAACTTAAAACTATGGTTCAGACAAAAGAAATGAAAGGAGAGGCTCAAAAGAGAGCAAAAAAAAGATGATTCCGTAAGCAAAAAAAGGAAAAAGGAAACAGGCGGGAACCAAGGTATCATTATTCAACGGTTTCTCGGAGATCGTGTATGGCGAGATTGATGCCACATCGAATCTCCGCTCAAAGCAGATAAACTTAGATTCGCAAGATTTCGCCAGCTCGACTGCGCTGCCGCTGGCCCATGTGAATTGCCGAGCAGGGAAGCGGATGGGCTGACTCCCCGTTCGAGGTCCGAACCTAAATCATCTTCTGGAATGGGGATTGCTGATGTCGGAGAGTCATTGCGTGTTTCGGCGATTTGTGCTTGACCATCGTCCGATGTAGGTTGAATTTGTTCCATATGCCGGCCAGAGGCAGCAGCACCAAGTGAACGAACGACATCGCCTTTGCAAATTGGACAAGTACGTCGGCGTGTCGTAAGCCATGGAGTTCTAGTATAGATCGTTAGTACAAATCCACATTTGGATATATCATTTGGGGATAACGCTTACATGCACTCGACATGGAATTCATGGCCACAAGGTAAACTCATGACTTTGCTCAGCCCATCGATATATTCTTCCAAGCAAACAACACACTCAACTTGTCTCCCTGTGTATTTTCGGCGCCACAGCGTCGATCCGGACCGTGACTTTTCTACCTTATCATGTCCCGGATCCAAGGAATTTGAAGAGGCTGAAATAGGCCCACAAGTCTGTGAACGAGGTCGCGGGCGTGGCGAATGGGGTCGAGAATGTGATAGCAAAGGGGACGAGGGTGACGAATCGTCTGGAGAAGGCGTATTTGGAGTGCTGACGTTGGATATTGTATGATATGTCCTGACAGGAAGACGATCAACGATGGCCTTCGGAGCACGCCATCGCCGACGTCGAATTCTTGATCGTAGCAAAAGGAGTGCATATACAACAGTCAAAGTGATCAAGGGGCTAACAACTAAAACGAGTAAGGTGTCGAAAAAAGGGCTTGTGGACATGCTAGTGGGAGTCAATGTCACCCAAAGTCCTTCACGTTCAATCCCGTTTCCACCATTGGCATTTCCAATAGAACCGGCAGCACCGTGAAACTTCTTGGCTTCAGGAGGAATTTTGGGTGATTCTGGCGCCGGCGGGGGATCATTTTCCTTTGATCCGCCCAACCGAAAGTGGCCACTCCACCAGTGTCTGCTCTTGCTTCCACTGCTCTTATCTTTTCCGGGCTCATCCAGGCTGTCCTTCTGGGTTCTGTACTCTCCGCTTCTTGGAGTGGTGCTCCCTCCTTCTAGCACACCCGAATCCGAATCCTGTTTTGAGGCATTTCCCTTCTGTCCACTGTTGCTTCGACCTTTGGCACGCGACAATGGAGTTGCAGTAGCCAAAACACTAGTGCTTGTTTTAACTGGTACTAAATCGGGGTCGCGCCAATCTTGAACACCAATAACAAAGTCATCATTGCTAGCGGGTTGCGGGGAATTTAGCGAACTACCAACTCCCCCTGCTTGCTTATCTGACTTTTTCCCCTGATCAGGCGTGTCATGAGATGGCCAGTCAATATTTCCACTGCTAGGCGGCCGGCGGCTATCTTCCTGTATATTCGAAGGAGAACTCTTGCGACCAGAAAATCCAAAGAAGGAAGCGAGGGATTGGAGAAATCCGTGGTTGTCGGCCCGAGACGAATCGGACTTAGCAAGCGAGGTAACTTTTGGTTTTGATGCACCCCTAGAAGAAGTAGCTTTTCCTTTTCCGAGACTGGGTTTTATCTTTTGCTTTCCATCCCCTGGGACGATCTTGGGGGCATCGAATGCCCTTTCCGGAGGAACAAGCGACGAAAGAAGATGTGCGGTTGTGTAGGATGTAAAAACTGCGGGAATCGTCACATTGGACGTATCACCACGAGCATACATTGTCACCAATCCCCCACCCCGTGTGTCATCTCCCACAATCAGGGCGATACCGCCTCGACGCTGCACCCATTTAACCTTTTCAAGAAACCCACATCCGCCTCTGCTTAATAGAACTACCTTGCCTGATATTTCCGCACTCTCCTGCAGCGACTGAATATCAGCATGAGTAGAATCCCTGGGTCTATCGTTCGGTCGGCCCGCGCCACCGTTTAGGTTTGGATCTGGGGTATATGACTGCGGTAGCGGGTGGTGCAGATGGTCATCCGTTCCGTCCTTTTCGCTGGGACCGCTCACTCCACCGGCTCGGTTCACATCATCATTACTTCTTTTTTGGCGATTATTCAGAGCAACACCAGGCCCAGCCCCCTCTTCACTACGGCCATCATTATTAAGTCCGTCTTGGGTACCCGCCCCAAGCCGCACGTTCTTGTTTTTGCTACCATCCTCCCATCCAGGGACATCTGAACATCCGAGTTCACCCTCAGCAGCAACTCCCACGCCGCCTTTTCTCAAAGTGTCATCACTAAACCCACTCCCGATCCACAAGGGGCCACTTAGACCCTTCGACGGTAAAGGAGGGCCAAACGCAGCAGGCCTGGCCAAGAAGAAAGTAGAGTTGTCTTCGGTCAAGCTTATAATAGCAGAGGGAGGGAAGAGAGCCGATGGGGCGTGGAATGAGAATAAAGCTCGTAGGCGACCGGTGCGGTGAGAAGGTGTTGAGGTAGCTGCAGTACCCCGTCGAAAACGTGCGGACACGAGGGAGAACGTGGTGAGGAGGACAGGAAGGAAGATGAAGCACGCAAGCAGGAGGAGTAGTCGCGGTGGACGCATTGCGGCAAACCGACTAATATCAAGCTATATTGCTGGATAGGACTAAGAGGTCCCCGATGCCGCCGGGAGGGCAAAACGGGCGGTCATCGAGTGTGTATACGTAATTCAAGGAGGTCGAGGGGAATTCGCAACTAGGCGCCAGAACTGAAGGAACAGAACAAGAGGTATGGGGGAATCTGCAAAGGCAGCCTTACTTATGACAAGCAGCTGAAGAACGACCCGGGGGCTCCAGAGGCCGGAGGAAGAGCATTGTCTCGCGATGAAGAGGGTTGGGGGATCGCAATTCTCCCGGATTCAGGCTGTCACCCTCGCGTGTTTCTTGCCGCTCTTGGCAGCCTTGGCGCAAAGTGACTAAGCCATTACCGCGGAAGCGGGCTTGGCACAAATGACGTCAAAGATTTTGCTGCTCAGGGGCTTTTTTTGGGTCCGCTCAAGCATCACGCGGAGCCGACGGCGGGAAACAAAAAGTGCTTGTTGATATGTATTCCCACAACAAATTAGTTACGGAGTACGGGATATAACCTAAGCCCTGCAAATCCGGGCACTGCCACATCTTCCGACACACACATATCCAAAGTTCCAGTACTCCGTGCCCAGTAATCTGTATTCTGTACTCCGTACTCTGTCCAGTATCCAAGAGATCCTCTCCGTATTTCTGCAGCAACCAAAATAGCCTTTCTATGCAAATGGGTATAGAAAGTGTCCGTTCTTCCAGTTTCTATGGGTAGCATCCATATATCTGTGTGCGCGAAGCCGGTTTTCTTACCTCTCCAAGGTTCTCGGGGTCAATTCCGGATAGTTCATCAGTTTGGGGTACTATGTCAGTTTCAGGCTCTGCATCAACTGCGGGCCCAACACCGCTCTCCGGTTTAAATGAGATCAAACCATCCTTACCCGACGTCTCCTTGATTGTAGCCTCTGATAGATTGAGCGTGTTGAATTCTATTCTCCCCTCTGTCTGGAGGTTCCAGGCACGGTAGTACACGTCATCCTCAAAACCGAGATTATCGCCTCGTCTATCTTTACAGGTACTTGGACTATATTTGAGCATCTTCTCAAAGTCTGAATCACAACCCACGCTCTCGACGCTTGGGGTATCTGGTAAAGGCTGCCTCGTGAATCCGAATGGCACAGGTTCAAATGGCATATAGAACCATTCCCCGGTCCGCCTGTCCACGAAGCAGAGGTGATTTAGCCGCTTGTGCGGCGGTACGGTTTCGGCACGCCTGATCCTCTCTGCGGATGCATCCCACTTGAGCCTATGTCCATCTGAATCACACAAGAAACGTTCTGTTCGAAATAATGCAGCTGGCAACGCGGTTGGCCAGCCAGAACCAGAGTAACGGCGCTTTGGGCTTTGCCTCGGTAGGCGATTCAGATATTCGTCCATGTCTATAATTTGGTGAGGCGGCGTGAACGGCGCTCGCATAGGCATTCCTGGTTCGCCGTTAGTACTTGACCCGATCCTGGCGCCACTTCGCTCGGTTTCGGGGGAGCTGGAATTAATTAGGCGCTCAGGATGCGAGATATCGGAAAGTACTGAGTACATGAAGGGGGATGATACACCTGAATCCGACCAGAAGCTGGATTGAGAGCTCGAATCATCATCACTCTTTTTGAACCAACTCTTTATAGAGGCTTTCGGCCCCTTCTTGCGCACCGTCCCTGCAAGAAATGAATCAGTGAATAGCTCTGACGCACACAAGGGGTATCACTCACGTGGTTTAGTATTTAATGATGAGGCGCTGTCCTCCGTTATCTTCCCCTTTGGCGCCCAAACCGAGTTAATATACTGACTAGCGTTCTCTAACCCGAGAATACACAGAATGGAAATAGTCAAAACCGGAAGAGGCCTTTCGACCAGCAGCTTCCGCCCTGATTTAATATTAATACATGATAGGGATGCTGTCGAGTAGTGAATGAATTTTTCCGTACCACCCTTGAATATCGAAAGCACCCACTTCATGCTTTTCTTTCTGAGGAAGAATCGAATCCACGAGTTTAACAGTCCAGTCATACCTGAAGAAAACCAGACGAACGATTCGAGCTCGCACCCGTACCTAGTTATGGAGCGAATAGCAGCTTGGCCTCCTCTCACTCGCTAGCTAACAGGTAACTCAGTGTCTGCGCGATGCAGTCTCATCTTTCAAGGGTTCTCCAGTGGCATCCTCACTTATTTATGGCCTTCTACCCCAATCGACTAGTCGTCTTGAAATGGCCGAGAAGCCATTACAGAACAAGGGCAACCATCAAAGAGAGAACGAGGTCTTTGACAGCATTTGTATGGATCGACAACTGAGATCCTAAAAGTGCCAAAGAGTGCTCCTATTGCGCCCGGTTCATTCCACGGAGATGGTGTTGTATTCAAACAATCAATGAAGGAATCCATTGTCCAGGGCCTTTAGACCGCCCCGTTGAAATGGTGGAGGGATCTTGGGCTGAGGAAAAAGTTGTTCAGCCGGGTTTTCTGGTTGTCACATATATGCGGGACTCTTTTGGATTTCTTCCAGATTGTGGACTTGAATATCCAGAGAATGTCGTTCAGCTGAAATTTGCGGTATATTAGCAGAGCATGTTTTCTGTAGCAAGGCGCGGCGCATTCGGGATCCCAGAAACAAAATAACAAAGCCAAGCTGTGGGCTTTGGGGTCATTCCTTTTCAACATGGAGACTCCTAATAGCGATCCAAGCCGCATCCTTGCAACAGCGGTTTCAATTTGGCGCAAAGTCAAGTCTCGAAGATGGAGAATCATGCAAACAGGGCAAACCACTGCCCAGAGAGTTTGATCGGCTCCTAGCGACATCCCAAGCACGGGCGATAGGGAGCGAGTTATCTTGCAGGAAGCTGCTATCTAATTGGTGATTGATGATGAGAGATATGAGTTTTCATCTGACTTCGGTATTGATTCGACGTCAGCCCAGGCTTGCATTGCCTAGGCACTGGGTGTGATCCAGAGGATAGATTCGCGGTCTGCTATGCTTGCTGCCTGAGGAATTGCGAGTTATGGGATAACTTGTTGGGCCAGTTGACTGCTAACTAAACACGAGTTAGCTAGTATCTCTTTTTTCGGCAGCCTAAAGTAGGCTATCTAATTCTTCCCAGTTTCCTAAACATGGGTTCTATCTTGTCACCCCAACTTCTGCGCACCAAAAAAGTCATTCATAATACGGATTACATAGAGAATATCAGGACAAAGAACCGTCGGTCTTTAAGGTTGCGATGGAAGAGCCACGCACTTCTCTCCTCTGTTTCCTGTGTTCTGGAAGCGGTCTGACGCACATTTGGACGAGGGAATTCCGAGTTGGTATTTTTAGACGACCTGAAGGCTCCGACTTCCTCGATCTCCCTGCTAATAAGTGCCCGATCATAGTATTTGTCAGAAATGGGAACATTTATATTGGGAATATGTTGACTGGGGCCCCGTCTGTGAGAGAGAAGCACTTCGATAAAACCGCTGTTTCATCAGCCGGGCAGACTGTACGAACCCGCGTTTCGGTACTCCCTTGTCGTATTCCTTTCTCATCCACCAATGCGTTTTTACTTCACTCGTCCTGTATCAAAATGCTCGAGCTGGTGGCTGGGGTGAAAGAAGTGCCCCCTGTCCGGTTGTTTGAGCTTGCACAAGCCCTTCAGCCCGACCGGCGGTTCCCCGCTCCAAATACATCATACCTAGGAAATAGTAAGTCTACAGAAGTATAGCTAAGCCGGGTGGAGAGATTTTCTAAAGCGCGGAACTGAATGCTTATATATGCAAGATTGCATTGATCCGCTTGGCCCAATAGCGAGAACCGGCAGTGTAAATCGAGACACGAAACCTCAGTGGTCTAGCGCCTTCATCCTTCCCGCTGAGATTGTTATGATCATACTTGAACATGCTTCCGCAGAATCCGTCATATCTTTTTTTCATTCAAGCAAAGAGGCGCAGAGCTTGATCATTCCCTTTTGTCGATATAATCCCTGGCACTTTTATCCCTCTATCAAGCCCACGAGTACCGAAGACGATGCGTGGACTGTCATAAATGCTATTGCCTATGAGTGCAGCGCGGATGATCTTCGCAGCCTTAATAGGAAATGGAAAATGATTGCTGACTTGAAGTCGCTTACTAAATACGTATCCAAACCCCACGAGAGAGACATCCAACTACTAACATTGAGTGCAGGGGGTTTTTTATTAAAAGTGCCACACCCCTTTGGGTTGAAACGATTAGTTGCTGACGTACCAAGTGACATAAAAGCGATTGAAGTGCATATCACTATCGTTTGTGGTGATGATTATATTTGCGGCATCGGATGGAAATCCGCATCTGGTGACACATTCTTGGGTTATAAGTCCAAATTCCGACGCTGGTTGCATTGTCAATCGAGAGAATGCAATAAACTGCGCTTCATCGTGGACCCTCGAGGACTTAGAAGCTTAAAACTCCCCGGCTCTGAATGGTCGTGCGGAAACCCAGAGAATATTAAAGGATGGGAAGGAATGAGTTTGCAAAGGAGCGCAAAAATATGTGTCGTACTCGATGTAGGTAGAGCCCTGATTGAAAATAGGTCACATAATCGGTCCATTGCTGATTGCTCCTGTAGCAACTGAAGTTTCGACAAATTACCTGGTCACATAGCGGGGACGTTTCATTCGACGAAACAATGCTCATGGGGGGAAAACATGGCTCGAAGTTTGGAACTCTGTCTGAACAATATTACGTCCGTGCATCTCCACAAGAGGCTGAGAATGTTAGGCGTTACGGTAGCTTTTGTGTAGAGGCTATCACATTGGATGAGAATTTGCATGGAATCACGATGTATGATTCCGGTATCAATTCAGGGATCTCGGGTGTGCGCGCATATTTTCCAGAATCTTCTCAGTGCATAGGCCTGGAAACGGGTTTCGACATGCATTTTTTGATTAATGGGCCGGCCGAGGTGGTTAGCGAACTTGACATACGACTGACGGAAACTGCTCATTCATCGCAAAAACTCTCTATCACGGTAAGGCGATACACGTACTATGAGATCTATATTGTTAATTACTCACATTACGTGCCAAGGTGAGGACAAACTGGGATAGGGAATATCTCTTCGGGAGTCTTCCTGTACGAGGTCATTTATATTCGACAAAGACCCTAAGACCTCCTCCAGGGAACTATATCCATTCTATATATTTTGGAATGGAAGATAACCGGACCTTTACATCATGCGGGATAGTATATCGAGCTGGATCACGAGGAAGCCCACGCCCTTCGAGCTGGCCTATTCTAAGGCCAAACAGAATAACTCCGCGTGGGGGTTACGAACATCCTCGCCAATACGAGTCTTATGCCAGCCTGGTCGGAGTGAGTCGCATCCTGTTTTATCGTACAGACGGAAAATATCTAGGCCTTAGACTCTTCTATGATTACGGCGGAGCCGAAATCGTTGGTCGACTGGCCGAAGATCACGATTATGAAATCGTCTTGGCCAAGGGAGAAAAGATATGCAAGGTATGGGTCGATACTCACGAGGATAGGATCACAGATCTTGAGTTTGAAACGGATCGTCCTCAAGATCTAAAACGAAAGGGTGCGAGCTTTACCGCGATCGGATCAATGGTAAGCCATATATAGATTCACCAGAATGTCAGGGTTTCACTAACATGATGCTCAGGCTATTGCATGGCGATGGTCGGTATTAGAAGATGCCATTCGCACTTTTGCTTCATAGTTAGTAGGACGGTTTAGGGCTTGCAAAAGATGCGTGAAGAGCTTGTGAGCCAGACATAATCTTGCAGTTGCTTTATGGCCATGTAAGTAGTGGCCGACTTCACCTTTTAGGTTTGCCCAAGCGGCAGTCAAAGCAGCTGCCATCCGTCTAATAATGGAGTGATCTCGACACACGAGCAAAAAAAGTCTCACGTGGGGGTAGCTACCGCTACTACGGAGTAAGGGAATCTGGAGTTTCCCACATTGCTGCAATTGTGCGTACATACTAGGGTCAGAGTGGCTCTGGAGACAGGCTGCTTTAAGAATCTGCTTGACTGAGGCTTCAACACTCAAGCGGGCTGAGCAATCACCAAGCTAGTTAAACCTGCCCAATGCTTCCTTGAGAAGCCCAAGAAAAAGAAAAAAAATATCGGGTGATACGAAACATCTGATGTCTTGCTTCCGAGATTCTTTCGTGACCGCTTCCCTCTTCATATGAGGGCTAATACAGCAAAGAACCGACCTCGCAGAAAGCACCTAGGCACACAACGTGTGATCCACCGGGGAAGTTTAGCCCCCGACGCATACCCGCCTCCCAGCTGAGTAGAGATATGGATTGGTCAAGAAGCAGAGTATCAAATGTTGGAGGGAATCCCTTGATCAATTTAAATGCGCTATTGTGTAGCTCGTTGCCCTTTGGAAGCCGACATAATCACCCGGTACATACACGATGTCAGAAATAAGCTCCAATTAAAAACAAAAAAATAAAAAAAATTCCACAGAAGATGATGCCAGTGTCTGCTCGTTAGTGCTTTCTACAAATGTTAGACGGTAGGGCTACTTTGCCTACCGTATGGATACTGTCAACCTTATGAGAAGACAACAATAATACAATCACCTATGCTTGCTTTCACTTCGAACCTATCATTCCATCAAAAAGTTGACTTAGTAGACTTGCGAAATGATAATAGACCTTGTTCCTTCTCATCCATATAAAGATCCGGTTCGGGAATACCGATGCGAGAAGCACATAGCATGCGTTGTCTCAAGTCACGACTCGGTAATCGAGTAATAGTTATCTAGCATCGACCGGGGATGGAGCGTAGGCATGCCGTAAATTTACAATGCCTCATTCGATTGAGGCACCGACATAGAACCGGTAATGGAATCGAAATGCGGCCGAATCCTCACCGGCCTGTCATCTATACAGCGATGAACCTCCGTACGAAGTTTCGCGATCACAACATTCAACGCGTTTTCCCTCACTTTTGCTGCACTGAAATCATGGATATCAGTAAGGTCTGGAGCTCGCCAATGCGTGTAGACCTTATTATGGCACTGTGCTACAAAATATCTCTCCGGGAGAGAGTTGATGTAATGGTAGCAACAGAAGCACGCTGGTTTGCTGCAACCAACATATCGATCACCTGCAAAGAAGTCCCATTTGTTCGATCGAAATTTGTCAACCAATAGAAGCTCCGCGTGGACTCGAGCCCTAAACATACATGCATCCTTCAATTTTTCTGGTATGTCACGGAAGATATCCAACCTTTCAAGATCCAAACGGGTTTGGTCGGCGATAGATCCCTGAAACATACGACCAACAATTCCGTCAAGTGTTGACTGCTCAGGGTTAAGTGGAGATTGAACGCAGTTAGGCGACTCGCATATACGAAGCTGATAACCGTCCAGCAACTGAGGCAAGTCTAGGGCGCCGTCCACTAAGGTTCTAGCACATTTCAAATAAACAACCAAACGTCCGATGTAGTGCATTGCTCGCGTTATTGGTTTATGCGTATCGGTTTCTTTTCTCACCAGGCTAGCAAGAGTTGGAGAAAAACATCGCCCTCTGATACAGAAGTTCATGATGTCTTTGATGGGCTTCTCTCGTTGTAGTGTGAGTTTCTGCATTTCTTGCAACCACTGAATTGCCTTGGGCAATTCGGGATCACTGTCGGTCAACTGCACTCCCTCTAGCAATAAAATCAGTAGTCCGGTTCTGGTTGATATTTTGCAAGGGGAAAGGGAAGGGAACGAGGAAGAAAGAAGTATTGGAGTTGGATAGAGAGAGAAACGAAACGAAGATAATCACCTTTGAGAGACTTTATCTTGTTCAGACATTCCGGGAGCTCTTTCACCAGCTCATTGCAATAATAGCTCAGCCTTGGTTCGCAAAACTCAATGATCCTGCGTATAATTTCTTCACTTGTGGATGACCTTTTCTCTACCGTGACCTCTGTAAGAATTGCAAGAATTCCTTCTAAATAATTTACAGTTTTAGCGCTTGGGGTTTTGTTGGCGGAGAGCCAGATAACTGTGTGCTCGGGGGTGGCTTGCAATGCCGCAGCTGTGACAGTGTCACCTCCTTTGCGAAAGTCGCATATTGTTGCGATTCCATTGATGAAAGATCTTCGTAGTTTATCCAACGTGTCATCAGTGGTGTCATTTGTATTGTTAAACCGAACACCTCGAACTGGATCTATAACATGTACCAGAACGAGGGGTTCGTAGAATCGTCGTTCCAATTTTGGATACCGACGTACAACCCTTTCAACGGTAAGTGCAGCGTGGTTCCCTTCAGCACCTAGCTTTGATGCATCAAACGAATCCGCAGCTTTAGGCGGCTCATTTGATTGGTCTCCCTTCATCTTTGCGCCTTGGTTTTCCTCCTTCGCCTTTGACTGACGGCGTTTTCTCTTCCACACTCGGCCAGGCGTCGCATTGCTAGAAGGCATTTTCTACCAGCCACGTATTGCGTATTATCAAACTAACAAACACTGAGGAGGAAGAAGTAGCAATTGAACCCACTTATCAAGTCATTGACAAATGGGTGAGCAAGAGCCTATATCGGATGGCGAGGAACGTCGACATTGGATAGATCACTTCTCACTTTCGTTCTGGTCACGTGCCGTTAAGCCGCCTAGGCAGGTCACTGTGGAGGGCATGAAGAGAAATGATGGGATGGTGATGGCTTTTCTTATGCACTGAACAAACGTAGTGAAAAGCACTTACGCTCATTCAACCCACTATGAGATTGATATGTTTCCCATGAGAGCATTGAACTTATTTCTCCAAAGTTCTAGAGCTTAATCATCAAAAACCAAGGAGCGGTTTGCATCAATGGGTGTGATCTGCTCCTCCTTCTGTCCTTTCCCATGTGCAATGAATTTGATGGATAGTTGTTCAACTTTTACTGAAGGAACAATGCTTCATGAATTAGAGTGCCTTTAATAGAAACTCACGACAACCGCCCTTTTTCGCTTCACATGTGACACAGGATGGTTTCCATCAGGTGCAGTAAAAAGTGTATGCCTCATCGAGTTTCCACTTTGCACAACTGGCTTGCTGCAGCAGAGTGTGAGGATCAGAATAACGCGTGTTTGAGGGAGAGCACTTACTAAACAGTCCCCGAAGCCAAGAACTATCTCCTCCTCATCCGAAAGATGCCCCTGTTCATCAGTGAGTTGAATGTGGTTGTAAGTTTCTGCTCTATCAAAATCTATCCAACTCTTTCTGGATCATCGTTAACCATCATTATGTTTCTAGATCTTTGTGCCGTACTCGCGCTCCGTGCATCTCTTGGATACCTTTGACGAGGTTATCCATCTGTTTCTGTGTGCAGTTGCGCAGATGAATCATTTCGAGATTCGGTATGTACTCCAAATAAATAGTGCTTGGAGGGTATTCATCACCAAGTAATATTTTCAGGTAAGGTTGGCATGGTTGCGGGTCGAACTTCCCTATCGTTCCAAAGAAACGAGGAATGACTCCAGGTTCACATATTCCTTGCTCCTTCAGCCGCTCATAGGCAGTGGGCTCAAGCACATGGATATCCAGCCCTCGATGTTTTGGCTCATAGTGCCGTCGTGGCCCTGGACGATGATGTGGCTACATATCAGGAAGAGCGATTCTTGGACCATTCGACTTACCAGCTTCATAACACATACCTGGCCGCGAACCACCACAAGACATACCACGGAATAACCAGAGGCAAAAAGCTTCCTATTCAAAGCAACTTCAGAAGGTCCGATAATTGCTAAAGTCCATCGTTACCTAGGTCCTTTGGAAGATGGGCTCCGACTTCCCATAAGAGAGTAGATCATGCGATCGAACTCGACTAATCCGAACCGGCCATCGTTGCGTGGCTGGTAACACGGTAGGTAGGCCACTTTTGGTTGTCCTATTGTGATTATTCTAAATCCTTTAGTTAGGGGTCTTCAAACAAGTTTTTCATAAAGGGGTTTGTTCTGGGCTCCTGTACTCCACACCCAGCAGTTACCAGGTAACCTTGAGGTCGGAAATCTGCCGGCTGCGGAAAAACCTGACTGCCGAAACTGACTTCGACCGCACACACATTGCAGCGCGGAATAGGCTGTGGTTCTCAAGGACGTTATTATTATTATTATTATTATTATTATTATTCATTATTCTTATGCAGTCAGTGACTATGAAGACTACTCTCAAGGACGTTGCAGAGCCCATATTTCGTACAATAATAGAGTAACTACTTGCCCATTGAAACACTCCTGGCTCGGGACACCGTGACCTCCCACTTCCTCTGAAAAAATATATTGGTTTTCGTTGACCTCAACCGTCCAATGCTATTCCCCTTTACTTTATCCTGGCCATTCTCTCCCATGAGTAAATTGACAGCGAGCCACAGGCAGATTCCTATTTGCCCTTTTGATCTAGTTCTGAGGTTGCGCCTTTATTCAGCGCGCTGTCTCTCATAGCATGGAGGTTTTTCTATGCCAAACAATGTTGGTACCTATCAACTAGGTTCTGGCAAGTAGCATGCTTCATGTCGAATGAGAAAACACCAGTCTTACTACCATAATCCTCATAACGCCCTGAGATATATTATCTAACTTGAGCCACCGGAAGTTCCTATACAGAAAATATAGACTACATCTTCAACAGCTTCATGATCTCATCAGCGCGCTGTGGTCCCTGGGAATATGTCGTCCCATTTCCTGCTCTTATCACCTTCCATCTCATCCTTCTAGCTTTAACAGGCTAGGTTGCTATGTTGGGTTGATGTTCTCCTCTGGCAGAGCGAGTGGACATCCGTTGTGCTATGCTGGTCAAACAAACAATAACGTTGCCAGCCGCATCATTGCATAGGAACATCCTCCAAATGTCCCATGAAGTACTGGAGGCTCGGCCACGGCAAATGGGACTATGGAAAAAAGGCCTCAGGCTCAGCAGGGGGAGTAGCCTCATCAACTCCATGGGCCCTGTGCCTGCTGGATGTCTTTCTATGAGCTAGGAGCCCAGCTAACATTATTTGCAAAGCGCCGGTATGCCTAGTGGATATAAAAACTAAGAATGGCAATACTATCCCAGAAAGCACACCCAAATTCCCATAAAGGGAGGAAGATATGTGCATGTGTGTACAACCATCGTATAAACATTTGACAAAACGCCGAGCCCCTAAACCCCGTCACATCTTGATGTGAACTGTTTCTCCGGTTTCTTTCCCACTCTTTTTTCTATTCTCAGTCCACAAACAGAGGGCTACTACTGACTCTGGAACTGGATGCGCAAGGCCTCTATGAAAACAGGGTGGCTCTCCAAGGCCGTATAACCTAAGGCCCCTTCGCCCTCCTTTCCCACGCTGTCTCTGATATTTCAATCTCACCAGGAGCACAAACTCAAGCTTCTTCTGTTTTCTTTTCTTTTTCTTTCTTCCTTTCTTTCTTTCTTTCCTTTTTTTTTTTTTTTTTTTTTGCCCATCAGCTGGTAAGCGATTCAACCACGTATTCTCTCTTGAGTCTGAACTGCTAACGCACGAGACCCCCCTCCAGCGTCGTTATCCAGTTTATCACCTCGCTCCCCCGTCAACCTCAAGTTTAGCGCTTCTCTGCTGTCGCTCACTTGCGAGGCTTACCTGAAGATTGCAATCTTCCCAATAGCGGTGCCTTCACGTCATTGTTGAAACAGTCCAGCTCTACTTTAGCCACTTCACCGTCGGCTCCAGAGTCCCAAAAAAAAGTCACTTGAAAACGTTTACAAGTCTGACATTTCCTATTTGGAGAACAAGAAAGGCTAAATGGATTATCGCTATACGAATACCCGCCTTACGCGATCCTCATCTCAACTTTTGGGAGCCATACGTACCCCACCGAGAGCGCATCCTCTACGCAACGTCACCACCATGGACATGGAGAATGGTATGAGAAACCTTTTCCATGTGTCCCCACGATATGGCGCTGTACAATGGCATGACTTCCAGGCTGCCGCTCAACCCGTTGTTCAAGTTTCACCGATTGATCACCCAGGATTTGTAGCGGAACAAGTTTCGTGTGCTACTCCCAAATCATCGCGTCTTTTTCCGCACATTGCGCAGGATATCCCGCGTTTGATGGGCCCTGAAGATGTTAGTCCTACGAAGCACGAGGAAAAACTCCTTTTCCGCGAAAAACAATCCATCCTTTTGGACAATCTCAGCAAATATCACTATCTTTATGACATGGAAGACATGGCCACCACTCCTCGAAACGAAGTGGGAGCCCCGCCGACTGTCAGAGTCCCTCCTAAATTCGAACGTTCTCGCCAAGGTAGACGTGAGACAGCTTCTGATCACATCCACCCTTCGTCATCGACAGCATTCAGCACCGCAAGCGAGTCGTCACAGCTTACCAGCCAGTTCTTTAGTCCACATTACATTGGGCAGACATCAGCAACTCCGCATGCTCATACTCCTTTCCACGGCAGGGGTATCCAAGATTTTTCTTATGGCTCCGCAGGCTCGTCTTCGAATTCTAGAACGTCGACTTCGACTTATATGGCAGCAGTAGCGGAACGTGCACTTGTTAGAGGTAGCCAAGTCACAGGATCCAATTTTGCTGCAAACATTACGACGGACCCCACGATCAATCATGCTTTAGCGATGACTATTTCCGACTCGAATCAGGATCCGTTTGTTTCTCAGTTTGAGCCTCGTCCACATCGCCAAACCCAAGAATTTACGGAGGAACCTTTACCAATGTATGAGTTTCCTAGACAGGATTCAATGTTCCATACGGCCTACCCATACTATTCAACCTTCCCCTACTATGATCAAGGATACGGCATGGGCAACTATGAGAACTCTCATTATTTTCAAATGGTGCAGGCAATGATGCCGTCTAGTTTATGGGATGTTCCCATAACAGTGAATCCACCTCAATCTCACGCAGCGAACTATCCGCTCCGCGATGCTTTGACCCCGGTTCCCTGGCCCGTTACGCCCGGACCTCACGATATCCAACACGAACAACCTGGAAAGGAAAAAGAAGATGAGCCCGAATGCCAGCAATCTCGCAAGATCACCAGTATCATTCCCTCAGAACTCGCTTCCGGTATCCTGCATCCAGAGTCTAGCCCCAAGGTGGCCGAAACTCTCACCTGGTTTGCTTCTGACAACCGTGGTGAAGAGCATCTCCGTCAACAAATTCTAACAATCGCCCAAGAAGACCGTGAGCGCCGAGAGAAAGAACAAATCGACAAGGGAGAACGCCCTACAATGAATATACAGGCCGAAGCAAGCAATATCATCCTCGGACACGTCCTTGCCAATCTCCAATCATACCTGGCTGGAGACAGGGCTGAACAAGCTGAAAATTTTGCAGACTGGGGTTCCGTACCCGAGAGTGCTATCGAACCCAGAAATGGAGGCCCAGCATCCTTTTTCAACCGTAATATCTGGGGCGGTGCGGCGAGATCTAGAAGCGAAAATACTACGAAGGACTAAGACTGGTTATTCTTCAAAAAGGTTGTCATGTGAGAGATGAAAAGCACTGGTTTTCATATGTAAATCCCCTCCAAAGTTGATCCTCTTTCCACTGAATTTTGTGCACAATTCCAATGGATGATTTTGCTTTAATGGTTGCTCCCCTAAAAAGTGTAATGATAACTTCTTCTCTTCATACCTCATTCTCACCAGCTATGTACTTTTAAGGGCAGCTTGTTCTCGTAAACAGTCATAATACTAGTCGATCAGTCCATGATGGACAATTATCTGATGTAAAGCACACTATATCCCTGACTGAATGCAGAAACCACAGGAAGATTGAATCTCCCATGGAAAAAAGAACGCAGGCATCAGATCTATGCACAAACTTAAGGAATGGTGAAGAGAGGCATTGGAGCAGAAAATAAATGATCGTAAATTCATCAGTTGCTCCAAAATATAGTAATCAAATGACACTCATGTTAGCCACCCATAAACACGCGCACACACACACACACACACACATATACACCTGTCCTCCCATGGGTATATCACTGTGGTAAGGTTTATGAGAGGAAAAGGGAGGCTTTAAAGACCATGAAATGAAAATGAAAAAGAATAGAAAGAACTAGTCTAAACGAGAAGAACAACATATCAAAAAGTTAAGGAGGAAAAAAAATAGTCCATAGCCCACAGCATAGGCACTTGTATTTGATTAAATTATCACATTAAATGAGATTGGCGAAACAGCTTTCAGCAAGAAACGAGATTGACATAATTATCATAGAGGGCAGAGCATGCCATGACCATTTTATGCGGATGGAAGGCCGTGCCGACGACGGGCGAAGTGCGGCTTTGGGAGAGGAAGCTACCGTGCGGTTCGAATGAAGAGAGGTACGATCCGTCGACATTGAAAGTTTTGACTTCATGCCGGTTGGTACCACTGACGAGTCGAGTGTTAGCAAGAGAGATTTGTGTGCAACACTAGTACAACGAAATAGGAAGGGATACATACATAGAAAACACTGGGGCATGCTCGTGTACGCTCAACGTTCTTAATGTGTCCTTGGTGGCTTGAATGGTGTCAATGGAGTTATCCATTCTCAGATCCCATAGTCTGACTTCACCATTCCGGCTCCCAGATATAAGTTCTCTTACTCCGCCTCGTTGCATGTGAACGTTTGTAATCCATTGTTTGTGCTCTCGCCAGACTTTCACCATCGCGGTGGTGGGTTTTAATCGTTGGTCGAATACTCGAACAGCGCCGTCACCGAATCCGGCAATGAAAATGTTGCCAGCAACTTGATCCGATGTTAAAGAAGTAATACAGGAGCCGGAACGAGCAGATATATCCTAAGAGTAGGTGGTTTAGCTTTCGAAGGGGGGGGAAAAAAGGAAAGAAAGAAAGAAAAAAGAAAAAGAAAAAGAAAGGCTTTCCTGAGAAGAAATATACTCACATTCGTGCATACTTCAGTGGCTGCATTCCAAACACGAATGACCTTTACGTCTCCAGCGATAAGTGCCTTCCCCTGGCCCTGTTGCCAGTCTAAGACGAGGCCGGCATTTTTATTACTAGGGATTAGTTCAGGCAGCGCGCGGAAAGCAGTAATCAGCTCTATCCTCCGATCAGACTCGTAGTTGCGGAATATTTTCAAAACTCCATCAGAAGAGCCAGTCATCAAGAGAGCTTGATCGTCTTCGTTGATAAACCGAACTTCATTGATCCTTGAACCCAGTGGGTTGCCATTAGAAAACCGACTGAGCCGGGAGTTGCTTTCCCAATCCCATATGCTATAGATATGTCAGTCCTATCCAGCCGTGGGTGAAAGAAATATCAAATACCAGATAGTATCTCTATCATCAGCAACCGCGAGGTGGTCCTCGAACTGGTGGAAGCACATCTTTGCCGGTTGACTTGGATTACTCATAAGAGTTAATGCTACATCCCACCGGCCACTTCCGCCTTTATCCTTTAGCTGTTGTGTTTCGACAATTATTCTTTCATTCCGGGCGCGCCGCCATAGTCTTTGATTGTAATCAGCGCTGCCAGGTTCATCCGGCTCGTTAGGTTTCATTTGCGGCTCGCGGAAGTACTGTTGTATAAATTAGAACTTGTTGATTTATATCACGAAGAAGAAAACTTACTTCTGTCGACCATTCCAAAAAGTTGCTCTTCAGCGGGATCGATGGTTCCTTCGTTAAATCTCTGGGATTAACGCCCCTTGAAGGCGGTGTGGGTGCTTGGCCATATTGACCAGCGGAAACTGGTTGATCATTCACTTCGGGCGGTCGTGTCCATTCGGGAGGTGCACGACCGCGAGGAGTAATGGTCATACGGTTCTTAGCCATTGTTTGCCTGCCAGATGGATTAAGAGGCGATGAAGGACGCTGATCAATGGTGGCAGCCGACCCAAATGCAAGGTTTTTCAAGGATGCAGCCACGCTTGCTGTCCTCCTTAAGCTTAATGAAAGATATCCCTCCTGCTTGCTAGGGATCTGGGCCGGCGGTGTTTCCGGTCTTATTTTCTTCACCTCAACTGATTCGGAAGGCTGTGGTTTCTTAGATCGCGAACGTCTATGTAGAGCAAGAACCTCATCACGAACATCCTGAGCTAAGCTTCCCACTGGTGAATCGAAAAGAATTTTGTAGACATAGTCGACAACTACTCCGGCGTCCTGAGCTACCTCTTCCTGTGGGTCGACTGAGAGGATAAGTAGTAATTTCCAGAGGGATCCATATATTGTATTGTGAGAAACACCATGGTCGCGGAATGGTGGTGGCTGAGTATCCTTGGAGCCTGAAACAGAGTGTTTGAGAAGATGCTTTTCTTCCAAAAGTTGCTCATAACCAGTCACCAGGAACTTGTTCTGATACCTTTTCACAAAAGTGGATAAGAAGACCAGAAGTTCTCTTCGTACTAAGGCGCTTCCATCATTCCCCATCGGAACAATGGCTGTCGCAAGGTACTCTTCAACCTGTGCAACTTGGTCTGTCAAATCAGGGATACCAACGAAGCTCGTTAGAGCATGAAGCATTGCTGCTCGGACCTCTGGGACGGGGTCCATAGTGAGCTCGCAAAGCCGTGCTGGCGCGGAGCATCGGATTCCCATCCACTTTGCCTCAGCAAAATTATTCCACAACATGCTTATACAAAGGCAGCACCATTGTCGCAACAGTGGATTCTCGACATCCATCAGGTGATGAAGACAGAATTCGATCAATTCTGGCGAGAGACACACGTTTTGGCCTTGAGGGTATTCCTTGCAAAAGATGCTGATAATAAAGGCGCACATCGCCCGATGCTCACTCACATTACCCACCGGGATACCGATAGAGGGATTAAGAATAGTTATAAAGTAATGGATGCCATTATCCTTAAGCAAGTCGTTCTGAACCGTATGGTCCACTGCCATGATCCGCGCCCATATGAACACCATGACGGGTTTAAGTTCCTGCGCGGCACTCTGTAATAATTTCACCACGTACGGAAATATTCCTATGCTCAGTGCTAGATGAACCGCCCAGGGACCGAGGTCAAGAAATTTGCTCAGGAGGATCAGCGCGCGTAGCCGATGCGCCTGGCTTAATAACACCTGTAAGACAATTGGTAACTGATCTGGTGGGTTACTTTCCGTAGGTCCAGATGAGAGGTAAACTTCAAAGGCTGTGAGTTGTTCAGAAAAGAAACTTGAGTGCTGGTACTCGTAATGCCGCTTTCCCTCCTCGTGTTCAAGAAGTGCGGGTAGCTGGGAAAGGACCATCTCAACGGCAAGATCCCAACTCTGCCATAAGGGATGAGTATGTGTTTCAGGGAGTTCGGGTGAGGAGATCGGGCGACATTCATGGGTTCTCATAATCCTTTCGCTGAGAAGAAAATTTCGGAATAGAGCTGCAACCATGAGGTCTTGACGAAAAAGCTTTTTGAAAAGAGCACGAGGAAGGGTGTTCCAAGCAATGGTGTCAGTGATTGCTGTAAAGATCCAATTAAGTTCTCCGAGCGGACTTCGTCGGTCTTGCAGGCGTCCGGGAACTTTAATTTCGTCCGGCGGGACGCCACATTGCAAGGGATTCTGAAGCATGAAGTATCTAAGAGCGATCTGAATAGGGGTTGTCAAACAACAGGTAAACAGATCGGCAGGAAGGTCAGGGTTAGTTGGCAAGGATTCAGTCTTATCGCAGGCAGCAAGAAGGATGCAATCACTGTAGTTCTGAATGGGAGCATTTGCATCTTTCCTGCGAGCTTCAACATTCTCCTTTTCATGCTTTTCCACAAATTTATGGAAATTGGAGACAATGTGACCCGCATGGGAGACGTCAAAGACAAATAGGCTGGGACCTGCAAGCCAGGATTGAAGATCGTATAATGATACCGGGATATACTGTGTATAAGTTTTGTTGAACACCCAAATCTCACCGGATGGAGTTGGGAGAGGAACGCCATGGCCATTGTAGTGAAATAATACCCTCTCATCTTTCGCATTCCGTCGAAGGGATATGCAGAATTTCTTTGTTTCGTCCACTGATGGGTCTAGATACTGCTTATACCGGGTTCGGAGGCTTAGAGTCTCGTACTGCTCCTGTAGTTTCTTGCCAATCTGTTCCATCACTTTATTCTGTGCGCCACCGGATGAGGTTGGATCTACCCAACACTCTAGCTTCGCGCTGGGATTCGTCTTAACAACATCTGGAGGGTCAACGCCAATATTAAGGCAAATAGCGAGCGCAGCGGATACTGTCTTTAACCGATCCCTCATGCGCCAGTCCTGTTGTAACCAGCTTCCCGTTTGTTCCTTGGGGATTCCCCCGGTATCGTGGCGTTTCTCGTTGAAATACATATAGAAATTCTCGAAACCGATAAGTTTCACGGGAGGCTAAAGTCGTGGCAAGGGTGAGAGGGGAAGCGCAACTTACCGAATTTAATATCTTCAAGTATTCACTAGAATTATATTCCTCTTGCCAGCCGTGCCTTAGCTCAAAATCTTCATCATCGTCTTTCTTCGCATCGTTTTCTCCATCGCTCTTAAGCCAGTGATCGCTTTTCGCTCGAACAAGAGTAGAGGTTGGCCTCGCGCTCCTCATTACTGGCTCAGCTATTCGTGCGGACGCTTGTCCCGACGCGGGAGTCGCTGTCCCAGAGGCCGAATTAGAGACATCGATGTGGCCATTCCCTTCAAAATTCACCGTCTGAGATCTATGATGGCTCAGTGCCGGAGGGCGTAATTCCGGAGTCAGAGAATCGTAACTTTCGACCTGTGGCTCGAAACTGACGCGCACAGATTTGTTCTGCACTTGGCCCTGCATTTGTTCGGCTGTCTGTGATTGAGGTTTCGCATTCATGTACATGTCTAGCTTTGGGTCTCTCATCGTAGTTCAGTGAGCCATGATGCCCACCGAAAGGCAAAAGGGAATGGGTTAAAGATTAGGCACTGCAGAGGACAAAATATATGTAGTTAGTCAAGTGCTACCGGGAGCCAAAGCGGGAAGCGGGAGCTCCATGCATGCCAGGTGAAGTCGCGTACTCCGTGCTTTAGTTAACTAGTTAACCACCCCAAATACCAGGCGGTCAGAATCCTGCCACAAAATAGGGACTGAGAATGTAACGGATGCCGTTTGCTATTACAAGTATAAAAAAATATCTTTCAGACCGCAGAGCGAAGCAACAAGTAGTGAATATGAAGTAGGTAGCGACCAAGCGGCCTTACCGTTCATCAATCCATATCATTGATTGCGTCGAGAGCTCAGTGTGACATTCGGGTGAATGATGTCGCAGCCGCGCTACGGAGTACTGAAAGGGCCTAGCCCCGCATGGCGCGCTAACCGAAGACAGACTAGTGATCATGGGCTTCGGCTAACACCGTTGCGAGCTCCCGCGAAGCCGGAGAACCCCAGAGCGCTTCTCCTATCAGCCATGCCTCTTGCAGCTCTCTGCACTCTTGGTTCAGAATGAGAGCCTTTTATTATCTTATATGTCAGCGGGATGTTGATATTTTGCGGCCACAATGTTCCTGAAACCTTCCATTGCACGCTCATTACGCGAGACCTCTCTCTCGTGAATCATGATTACCGTCACCACAAAGCCAGCTTTCTTATGATGGCTCCTGATCTTCGGTTGAGCCCACCCGAAACATATCCTTTGCTTCAATATAGGCAAAGGGTATTTCTTGTTCCTCACAGATGCTATGAGCTTGTTAAACCTTCCCACAGCTCTATGTTTTGATTAATGTTTTTGAGCCAACTTTTCCCGACACACAAATCCTCTGGAAGAACTCCGTACACAGAGTGCTTTCTCTCCACCAGCTTTGAGCTTACATTCTTGCCCATCTTAACAGCTGGACAATCTGATCCATCAATTGTGAGTTTGGCATAGGATACTTGAGTATGATGTTGGGCGTCTACTCTATGTCATAAACGCCGCATCGCAACTATCCACTAAACATAAACTATTCCACAACGCAAATTGACAGATGAGATATTAACTGTCCAAGGCAATACAATATCAATCTATTTGATTGTTACTAGTAGACCGACCTATGTCAAATACACCCGACTTGAGTTGTGCGACTTGGCCAGAGAACACGGGTCAAGATTGTAACCTGGATGAAAGCAACTATCTTGCTGTCAAATGTGATGGAATGGGCGTAATAGATATCGTGTTTTAGGAGACCAAGACAGGCCGCAAATGGATATTGAACCCGCATCCGCACCCCTTCCAAGTCGGGACATCTATAGTCAGATGAACGGATGTCTGCAAGCCCCCGATTGTTCACGATGTATGGAGTAATATTTTCCATAATCCGCTTTTTTTTAAATTAAATATATATATATCCTCTTTGCTAAACTGAAGAATGTTAGCTTTAATATTGAACAGGGACAGATTGGCATCCTAAATATCAAGGTGAACATTCAAGATCCAGGAATAGCGACCAGATACTTTGTTGGCTTCCCTCATCCCACAAAATCCGTGCGGTTTATCCTTTGTGGGATAACAGGCATGGCCAACACCGACGTCAGTACCCATATCTTCAGGTATGCCCCCACCTTGCTACAGCTTACAGAAATATCTGCCAACTAATTTTTATTTGCGTCGATGACCAGTAGTTACCGCCTCTTCCACCCAATCCCACTCCTCTTTTCGAGCCAATTATGGATAATGATGTATTGGGTATTTGGGTTGGCAAGTCGCTTTTATTTACTCCGCTTCAAATTGGAATTGTTGTTTCTGACAAAAGAAATCTCGAAATACCACCATAGTCTGAGGTTTGAAAAATATACTATGTTAGGTGCGGAATTTAAGAATACATAGAGGGTTTAGGAATAAGACTTGTTGGACAGATCTAAGGAATGCGTCAAGAACGAGAAGTGGATACAATTATTCGAGTTCCACGCTGAAGAGGATGATTGTTGTGGTGGGTCCGGATCAATGGGACGCCGACACGAAGATAGCGGGTTCAAAGTATAAAGGCTAGATTTAAAAAGCCTAGATCGGTGAGCTACGAGAGTGGCTCGGGAGTCTGTCGAACGTAACGAGTTTTATATAAGATTGAATACATTACTAGAAGTAGCGGCAATTCAGGAATACGATAGAAACAAAATCACAAACGGACAGGGGATATCTGAGCGGGAACCCAACACAACCAGTGAAAAAGGAAATAAAAATAGCAGCAAAGATCTCCGGAAGAATCGAAAAGGCTGGAATCAACACGCCAGTGGGGGTGGGGGAAAGAAGAAAAATCAAGAAAAGTTTTGCTTGAACTGCGTCCTGGAAATTAATACAGAAATCCTATGCGCAGAATATGATACGGCACGATACAACTTAGTCATGATCGAGTCACGAAAAGAAGGGGAATGAGGAATAAGAAGAAGCCAAATTCAAGTCGAGAAAAACAGTTGATTAGAATCAACATTGACTAAGAATGGATTATATGGTGTTGTAAGGGATGGCCCTGCACAGCGCGGAACGTAAGAAACAGCAAGGTTGGAAATCTGAAATATTAAGACAAAAGAAACAAAATAAAGGATAGCAAGTATAAAGGGATAAAAGGAATAAAAAGATACTACCAACCATCCCGCCAGAACTTCAACGGTATAACTCACTAACAGAATAAGCTAGAAATGCACTAGCTATTAAATCATATTCGCCTGTGTCGGTGTTGTTGCTCCTGTTGAATTCATGTTCACTGTGGATGAAGATGTGGCGGACGTTGGCATGGTTGGAGTCTTGATAGGCGTTTCAGCACGCGATTCTTCTTCATCAAGTCTCCGTCGCCAGCTAGCAAAGCTATCGCTCAGCCCTTCTCCATACGTCTCCTTCACTGGTGTGCGTTCAAAGTCAAACTGATTACTGAGGCGGTAGTTTCGTGTTGTGCTCTCCCAATGACTTCGAAGGGCATCAAGCTCGCTAGCGAGTGAGTCAAGTGCAAGAGAACCACGATGATCAAGGAATGAGTCATCTTGCGAAAGCGTACTTCCGGTTCGTGATCGTCGTCGAGCAGCAATAGTGCCGCTCGAAGCGTTGCTCGTAGTGCGACTCAGTCCATTGGAATTCCCGGCCAAGACATGTGAGTGACGGCGATAATTGACGACGGACGATTCCACCTGGTCTAGAAGCATAGTGACCTTCTTCTCGGCATCAAGGGCACGATTTTCAAGCAGAGCATTTTCCTTCTTCAGTTGCTCCAATTCTGCTTGGGATTTCTGGATCGTTTGTGTAAGTTCTTCTTGGAGCGATTCGAGCTCAGAACGTGTGTTATCGCGGTCAGTGCTAGCTCTCAATAGATCCTCCTTAACCTTCACAAGCTGGCTTTCCAGTGCAGCGATCGAAGCGGACGTACTCTCCTGAAGTTGAGACATTGACTTTTGCAGCGTGGCCCTTTCGGCTTCCCAGTCTGGCGACGACCCATGCTGGTTCGAGGCTTTCTCTGAATTCTTCAGAGAATTGTCCAGTTCTGCTTGAAGTTTAGTCGAATGTGCCTTATACTTGTTGAGTTCGTCTTTCATCTTTTTCAACATCTTCTCTGTTCCCTTAACGTAATGGACGGCAGCCTGATAATCATTCTCTAGTTGTTCGAGCTTCTCTTGATACGCGCGATCAGTCTCTTGCTCTCTAAATTCAAAAGTTGCCTTCATCTCTTCATGTGCCTTCATGCTAGCTTGGAGTTGCTGTTCTAACTCTCGCAATCGCGTATGTTCCGGGGTTCCGAACCGGGATCCAGGAGAATCCAGTAATGGTGATCGTCGGTTATCTGACATGTTAATACCACGTTCGCCAAGGAGGTCTTTAAGGGCACCATGTTGAATAGCCAAAGCACTGGTGTCTCGTTGCTGGCTCTCTAGATGCGCCCGGATCTCCCTAATTTCAGAATTCAGACTTTGATTCTCTTTTAGAGCTGCCTGTAATTGCCTCCGAAGCTGAAGACCCTCTCGGCTGCTTTGTTCCTGGTATGCTTCCAGTCCAGCGATCCGTTCTTCGGCACGTCGGAGTTTGTCTGCTGCATTATTGGCAGCATGCTGACTATTCTTCACCAGCTCATTCGCGCGATCAACATGTGCTTGCAGAGCTGCAATGCGCTGGTCGTTAAGCGAACTGTTGCTTTTCTCCGAATCAAAGGAAGATGCCCGTTCCAAGCCAGACAAGAACGCTGTCTTATGACTCTCTGCCTCGCGGGCATTTGTTTCCGCTAGCTCTTCGGATTCCTTTAGTCGTCGTACCGCAGTTTCCAGTTCCGCAGTCCTTTCCTCATGTTCTGCCCTTAGGTTTAATAGCTTACGCTCAAGGCCCTCCCGGTGCTCCTTTTCGCTTTCTAACTGCTTCTCCATTAATGCCGCCTTGGCAACCGACGCGTTAACCGCTTCCTTGAGAGAGCCCATATTCGAGCTATAACTCTGTAATCGCTCATTGGACTCTTCGAGCTTCTGTGCCAATTCTGCTTTATCAACCTCAAGAAGTTGAAGCGCGGACTCTGCCTCTGAACGTAGCGTGGACTCCTCTCTAAGTGAAAACTGAAGGTGATGAAGTTCGGATCGCAGCTGTTCAAGCTCCAAGGCATTGCTCTGGCTTTCTAATTCAGCAAGCCTTCGATCTGTAACCTCATGGAGTTCCTCTGCGACTTCCTTCGCTCGCCTTTCTTCTTGAACTTCCGCCATTAACGATTCGACCTTGGCTTTCAATTCAGATTGAGATGCCAAAGCTAATGCAAGGCGTCTACTGATTTCTGTCGTTCGGTCTGCATGGCTCTCAGATGCATCACGACCATTTGTCTCTGACTGGGGCGTTCGAGCAGGACTTCCTCCGTGAGCAACCAATTTTGCACGAGCATAAGCTGCTTCGTTTATAGCGACGTCTCTTTGATGCTCAACCTCTGCGACCCGCTTCGATGCGATTGCTGCTTGGCGATCGATATTTGCCTGCATCTTCATTAATTCTGCTTTCATTGCAAGGAAAGCCTCGACGAATGGACGATCGTCCTCTGCAAAGGACATGAGGCTTCTTTCGTCTAGGGCCGCGGAATTTGGGTTAGGCACGTAACCGGCTTTTCTAGCTAGTGCCAATTCTGATGCATACCACGCATTTCGGCTTTTCATTGCGTCGAGCTCTTTCATGAGTGCTTCTTGGTGTGGAGTAAGCCGAGGTGAGCGAGGCTCGTCACCAAAACTTCGGGAGTTTCTGTAATGCCTAGGCTCTGAGCCAAGAATCGATTCATCTACACTCTCCACGGAACTATGTCGTTGCTGTCGTAGAGATCGCTGTCTGGAAGGTGCGCTCACTAACGGTGCAGCTTCGCCAGCTTCCATGGCCCGAGCATTGCGTACTGGTTGCGTTGGAGTCCGTCGTCCATTACCAGTAATAGGACTTTGTTCTCGACTAGGTCGCACGTCACGCATCACAGGGGATTGTCGATCTTTCTCGAACGCTCTTATCGCTTCAACGGGGCCAGCAGGCGTTCCCCCTTGTTTCATTGGCGGTTTCCCCCGTGGTCCTTGACCTCCAGGATGTGGACCCCGGGGGTTTGGTGGCTCTCCAGTTGGCGGTGGCCCAGCTGGAGCTTGGGCAATGGACGCACGCGGCAATCGAGAACCGGGTCCATGGGGGCCATAGGGGCCATGGGGGCCCGGGGGGGCAGCGGGCGCGGAGGGTTCTCCAGGTCCTCCAAGTCCAGGACTTGTGACATTTTCTCTCCCCTGAAGCGGTGGGCCCCGTCTTTGTTGGTCTGGGGTCGAATTCAGAGCTTCACGAGAAGTACGACCCGAAGGACCAGGCTGTCGCTCGTTAGGTGGTATTCTTCGGGGTTGTCTGTCACCAGTGGGAGATGTAGGGCCCTGTTCATTTGGATAGCGGATTTTTCCTGTGTCCAGTACGTATACCAAGCCAAGTTCCTGGACATCACGGGGCTCCGAGCTAGGCTCTCCACCAAGAACGACGATTTGCTTCCCCAGAGTGGTCATAGTGTGTCCCGACCTCGGCGACGGCCCTGGTCCCATATTATGGAACGAGTACCAACGTCTGCTTGTAATTCGGAAAGCAGCAAGGTCACCCAAATCGAGTCCCTCGTCTGTGCGACCTCCAAAAACGTACATAACATCACTAACTAGAGCGGCTGCATGGCCTTCTCTTGCGGCGGGGATAAATCCAACGTAGTCTAATTGCGTCCAAAGATTCGTCGTCGGATCATAACACCAAACATCATTAAACCACTGTATTCCATTAGTGCCGCCAAACCTATTTCCAAGTTAGCCATGTCCACCCTTCACTGTGAATCGACACTCACAAATAAAGTTTGTCGCTGAAAGTAACCATTGTGTGGTTGGTTCGGGCTGGAGGAATTTTACCCGGGGGCGGGCCGCCTTCATGGCTGTTTCGAACAAGAAATTCCCACTTGTTTCCCGGGTTTTGGAGCGCGTTAAGATCAAAGGATATTAAGTCATTAAAGAAAAAACCCTCCACCTGGCCACCAAAGATATAAATCCTAGAGCCAAGAATATTCAGAGAATGTCCATATCTCCCTGCAGGTCTCGGGCCTGGTGGCACAGCACGAGACCATTGGCGCGATGCTGAAGACAAGAATTAGCACCTAGAAAAGCCGGGGAAATAGAGAAATTGGTGAGATACGCACAAGTATTTAGAAAATAAAGGGTGTCGTCCAGGGTATCATGCTCGTTTATTTTCGTATCCCCTCCGAAAACAATAAATGCGTTTCCAACCAACAAACTAGCGTGGCCGACTCGAGGACCCGGTCCTTCGGTGACGGGAGTAATAGGAAAACAAGATAAATTGCCGCCATTAGTTTCAATCATCCAAAGATCCCCTTTCACCGTCGATCCGTCCACTAAACCGCCCATCAAGTATATGTCGCCATCTTCCGAAGCTAGCGCATTAACGGCAGCACCATATCGCGGAAACGGCGTGGTCTGTGGAGTAGGCAGGTTCAATCGGCGTTGTGACCAAGGGAACAGTGCCGGATTGGGGCCTTGGGGCGGCTGGCCAGCGTTTATGGGCATCCGTCCCGGGCCCTATGGAAAATTACAGTCAGACTTACAACTCAAGATGAATGATGTGGGTCCGGGCAGGAACTGCTCGCGAACTCACCTGAGACTCAGACTCTGCCCTATCACGTCGTTGTCGAGACGGTGGTTGGTTTGGCGGACCTGAAGGAGGCCCTCCCATCATGGTGTTATTTTGTGCAGAATTAGGCGGACGGGGGGGACCTTGCTTCGGATCAGCATCTCGCGGAACGCCGTTGATCCCAGGGCCAGGAGGAGGTGTAGGCGTAGAATTGCCCCCCGATGGGTTAATATTTCTGGAGGATTGTGGTGGAGCTGTCGAATTGTTATGCTTTTTTGATTTGAAGAGGAATGCCATCGTTCAACCAGGCGAAAATGACAAGTTCGAGAAAACGTTGTAGCGTCAGAGAAGAATTCGGATTAGAACGTAGCAACGATCGTGGAATCGTAATATATCTATCGAAAACGAATGCACTCGTCAAGCGAAAGGTTTTGCCGGGAACACCAGCAGCGGTTTGGGGAAGAATAACACCGTCTACTTGAGGGAAGTTCGTGACACCAGACGACGAACTATCGAACGTTTGTCCCCGGAGAGAGAAGCACTCGCGAGCGGGCGACTCGGGTGAAAGGTTCGCTATCGAGTCGGTCCCTGGTAATCTTCAGGATAAACGCCCAGGTTCCACGGTTGCTGACTGTGTTCCTGGCCCAGGCGTTTGATTCACCTCGTCGGGAGCGAATGCAGAATGGCCAGATGGACGCGAAGGTCAATGCTAGACAGCGGGACCATTTGGCATGGCGTGGAGAACTAGCAACACATGTAAATCAAATGGCTGCAACGATAAAACCGAAGGACGAGAGGAGATACAAGTTGCCCTTGGGACCTGGCCTCAAGGCTTGCAAGAACTTTCAGTCTTCTGGCGATAGCGAAGTTTAGTTAGGGGCCTTTTGCCAAGACCTCTCACCCCCTTCACCCCCCGTCGAGCTAAATATATTTCTGCTCCCAGCCATTCAACCACGCCGCACGGACTAAACGATCAAGAGCATCATGGTTCAGAGTTCATTCCTTCTGTCCTACTGAAACATGCAGAAGAGTAGAGATCATCACTGTCTGTGGCGTGGAAAAAATTCCAGACCTCTCAGTGACTGCTGGGCGATGTGTGCCCTATGGGACTGGCGACTCTTCATGCATCGTTCTTTGTGACGTGCGTCTGATTTGTGAGACAAGCGATTTAGGGTCTGCTTCTGAACTCCACCACGGAAGCAGAGCATTGACTTGCTTCAATCCCAGGCCAGATCTCACCAATGAGCAAAACAAGATCTTACAACAAATGCAACATGCGTTCACAAGTACCCAACACAGCAATAACACTTGGTTATATGGGCTGGGATACATACCTCAAGCCCTGTCTGCCATATGCTCATATAGTGCACTCAACACCTTGCAAGTTCAAGGGTTAGAATTGTGAACTGTTGAAAAATATGATCTTGAGGAAATGATATCTGTCACAGAGCCTTCAGAGCTTTATCCATTCATTCTTACCTGTCTTTGTGGCCTTGGAACTTGATTTGTCAATCTCGCCAAGCATCATCCCACATCCCCATTCACACAAAACAGAATATAGCATAGGCAGGAGCTCTGGATACCTCCATTATCAAACAGCCAAGTAAATCACCCTAGAATACAGATCAAAAATATCCCCTAATGACAGCTCTTCCCGTACTTCTTCAACCTCGAATAATTATAAGGCAATGGAGCCAGGAACCCCGCAAAAGCCGAGGCGGCCGCAGCCATCCAAAATTTAGGGTCATCAAGCGCTACAACTCCACTTGTCAAGTGGAAATCAACAAGATTCTGAACGGTTTCCATTCCTAACATCGATACCATACTCATCCCTGCTGCGGTCTTTGCTGCAGTTACCCACGTCAGCTGGTCTCGCCCGAGTCGTAAAAGGATGGTCTCCAGGACCATCGATGAGCTTAGCCCACAAATCACTAAGAGCATGGTGGTTAGAATCTGCTCTACGCTATAGCACCGGGAAAAGGTAAAATACTTGATATCCCCATGACCAATCCAACCGACATATCCGGGCAGTTTGCCTGTAGGTACCACATTGCAGAGAAGTCGCCGAGAGAACAACCGATCAGACAGCGAAACGTGTTGATGCCTGCGCGTTTCCATAAGTACGTCGAACTCCAGAATCCCAAACTCATCGCGGACTCTTGAGTTTGTTTTGGTTCAGGGTTGCTGGCTTGGGTTTTGGAGCACACGGAGCGAATACCCCAATGGAGAATTGGCTGACGGAGAAAATGCTGTTGGGGAAACGGCATCGACCTGCGGACAGCAAGTTGAGATAGCACGGGACTAGTCCGGCGAACCAAATAGGCGGCCATTGGTTGGGAACACGCAAGAGCTATGGGGCAATAACACTGGGGTTCAATTAATGGCAGCTCTTGTGGCCACCGTGTTGTGTATGCGGAGTCGAGGAAAGTGTCGCGGATATATGAGGCCAAGCCAACAAGATTCCAGACAATGCAATCCGTGCCAGATTACGGTTATTTAGTCCGCGCTTGTGTACGCTCCAGGCGAGTGTGAGAAGGGTAATCAGGAGGAAAAGAGGCCGAAACCGTTGAAAAATGGTCACGGATGCGGAGCCGATAGAGAGAAAATCGAGCACGGCCTATATATCACACAAGCGATCAACAACTTCGTTGCCGATAATTTATCTTTTTTATTTCATTTCCGGGGTTCACGTACGGGCAGCCAACAGCAGGAACTGTGAAGAAGAGCAGGTAGGATTGGGGACAAATTCGAGAGAGCACTCGAGAGCTTTGACTCTCTGTTATCAGCGCTATCCTTGTTTCCACCCGCTGGATCCGAAGATTTTGAAGCACAACAGGACGGCATCCCGAAAGCTGTCTGATGAGAGGACAGAACAATATAGCGAAGAACAGAGCGAAAGAAAGGATTTAAATATCAACCTGGCAATTAATCGGGGTTGTAAGATTTACCATGGACTTCCATCTGGCTTGAATGCGTACCTATATCGCTAGTTGGTCAACTCCCCATGCGTGGTTTTCGCGGAATTTCGATTGAATATGACAGCAGTTGCAGCAAAATAAGCTCTGGGCAAACGAATTACTCGCTACGTTTCACCAAGGACAAGGCTGCAGAACCCGGAGGTGGCTATTCTTATAAAGCAGCGAAAATACCTCAAAGACTGGAATCTCAGGAAGCTTCCCCTTGACCGAGGCGGGAGAGTAGCCTCAACCGCACGGGTGGCCTTTTAAGGTTAGCTGAAACCCGCGTCTGCTTGCCCGAATGGGCACCTCCCCAGTCCGATCGCCGGAGATAAGGGCGGAGGCGGCCGTCACGTGAGATACCATGCGGCTTCAACCTTGAAGCCACATGGCTCCCCATTCGGTGGGGTATCAGCCACACTTGTGGCGTCAGCTAACCGTAGTTTAGCCAATCTCATGTGATTCGCGAAAAGGGGCCCTCATTCCAACATCGACGTGTCAAAATCCTAACTCCGTGCTATACGATCATATCCACAGAGCTCTCTCTACAGTACTGTACATTATGACGAGCAAACCTCGTCGTCACAACTTCCCCAACAAGGCGCGAGCCTTACTTGATACCCTAACCAAGTATGCACCGAAGTGGATGGATAAGGGGTTCTGCAATCCAGTACTCCGTAATCCTCACATTTACATCCTGGGACTTGAAGGGCAAGGACAAAGCTACGGTTACTATGTATAACTTTCTGGACCATCTGATTATTGATAATGTCTGTCTTATTTGCGACACCATGTGTAATGCCGCGAAAGTTTGAAAGTGCCGAAATGGAAAAGGAACTTAACAATAATGAGGACAGTTCAACAGATGCATTGTCTCGCTGATGCAAGAAGTATCATCGATTTGTCAGAGATTTCCAAACTTACTTTGAGGCCACTGATATTAAGAATGAATATATTCGTGACTCAACTGAAGAGAAAAACATTCTTGTGCGACTTATTATCTCTAGTCATTCCTCGCTTGCACCCAAGTCCCTAACACACCATCAGTCCACCCGACCGCGAGCTGCTTACTTATATCCACTACACTATTGTAGTACACACACTAAAGCCAAGTGGTGCAGGTTATCACGACATGGATGGTTTACTTCATTGCGAAACTGATTGACTTCATCCTGAAAATACCATCTTGACACCCTTTACTTCACAAAATATGAGTGTAGCTGATGACCCTAGACAGGCTACGAAGGCTGAGTATAGTCTTGGATATTAACACGACGAAATGAGATGATAACGGACGAAAGGAAAACAATCGTTTCAAGACACAGAAGACGGTTCCATTGCCAGAGTCAGGTCCTAATCCCGGGCAGCCACCAGGAATTGCAGGGCAAACGCATTGACACAGTCTGAGTATCAGCAGGGATGGGGCAAACATGCTTCGGGGTTTCTCTGTAAGTTGATATCCATTTGTCATGAACCATGAGGCTTCGGTCATTTATCACCACATGCCACTCCGCAGGTAAATTTGTCGCTGGTTGCTTCCTGTATCTTGCTGTGTCGGAATGTGTTTTGCGATGGTCTTTGTACAGTCCCGCTCAGAATGGAGGGTTATGTTGACTTGAGATTGGTTGAGAATAACATCTGCAAGGGACCTCGGACACCATTACCAGGACCCTGGAGCCCCTTTGCAGGGGTTAGAAAGTATAGTCGGCAATTGGGTGGTTTACGGAGTACAGGACCGGCACTCAATTGCCATAAGGCGTAGCATTTCTCGGCAACCAGGAAGTCAAGTTTTAAAAAAATCACTCATACCATCCTGCTCTGTATCCCTTCCGACGTGTAACAAAGCAAGAGTTTGCCTACTCGCCGGGGGGATCGACGGGTGGTTTACTGGAGCTTTCTGCAGAACTGCAGGGACAGGGATCATGCTCTGCAGCTCTGGAGCCACAATACCTTAAAATTAATTTGGGCAGTCAAGATTTCAATGAAGAGCCGCCTTGGAGGAAGTGCGAAAGAGCTGCTTAGGCTAAGATCAGCCCACAACAGCCGGTGTCTCCGGCGACGAGGCCATTCGCCAGCGACGGCAGCGTGATGATAGCGGCATTCGGGTCGGCGAGCAACGTCGACCTCGCCACCAATCGCTGCCAGGGAAGCTATTAATATTCACATCACGTGATTGAAAAGCTCGTGGCGCTAGTCCGCATGCGGCAAGGCGCGGACGAACGCTGCAGGAAGCCACACTCCATTCACGCGCAGGCGACCCACCTTCCCTCGCCCGCCGCCCAAACTCATGCCAATGCATTGCTCGCTCCAACCGATTCGGCTTTTTCAGATCCTCAATTCACCTCTTCCACTCCATCAGTCCGCCATCTCCGCCCTCCAACCACTAACTCTCCCTCTCTTCTTCCAAGGGGGTTCTCTCTTGAGAAATATTCCTTGTCCAGAGCCTTGCCTCTCTCTTTTATGATTGAGGTTTCGCTGGAATGGTCCTTGTTACAAATCCCCTAAGGATTCCCCCCTCTTAATTGAAGATCGTATCTCCTGCGGTCGTAGCGGACGTCAATTAGCGGGCCCAACTTTTAAAGGGTAATATTTCTTTTCTTTCTACAAGGTAAGTTCTGGACTCTCAGTCGTTGTCATTTGACATCCTATTCATCCCTCTAGCTTATTTTTATTTTTATATTTCCTCTTTTTTTCCCTTTTTTTATATCTTCCGCTGGCTAGTCTTGTTGATTCGCCCCGGGTCAGTATACTTCTAACGGTCGATGATCTTCACTTTCGTTCTGCTCGGTCAATACCGACGCTAACAATTCTTGCTTTGTTTTAGGTTGATCTCCCTTCGTCACATTCATCCCTAGCCATTTCTACGCAATACTCTCGCCTTTCCCGTGCGCGTTGTTTTGACATTTTCCTTACAGAGTCGAAATCGGGATACCACTAAAGATATTGCCAAAATGACAACTATGGTCAGTGATCCTTTACCTCACGTTTTTATGAGCGGGATGTTACGATCGCGCCCGCTTCTGCTTGCTCTTTGCCCTTTACCCAACGATAAATGTTAACAATGCTCCCTCAGGACCTACGCGTTGGAAACAAGTATCGTATCGGTCGAAAGATCGGTAGTGGTAGTTTCGGTGACATCTATCTTGGTATACTTATCCTTATCTCGTGGGAATGATGAAATACTCATTGTTCTTTTAGGTACGAACATTATCTCGGGTGAAGAGATTGCCATTAAACTTGAGAGTGTTAAGGCGAAACATCCACAGCTCGAATATGAAGCTCGTGTCTACAAATCGCTAGCGGGGGGTGTCGGTATCCCCTTTGTCCGTTGGTTTGGCACTGAATGTGACTATAATGCCATGGTCATCGATCTCCTTGGGCCCAGCTTGGAAGACTTGTTCAACTTTTGCAACCGGAAGTTCTCGCTCAAGACTGTGCTTCTATTGGCAGATCAACTTATCTCCCGCATCGAGTACATTCACGCCAAATCGTTTATCCACCGTGACATTAAACCCGACAATTTCCTTATGGGCATTGGAAAACGTGGAAACCAAGTCAACGTGATCGATTTTGGTCTCGCGAAGAAATATCGTGACCCAAAGACCCACTTCCATATTCCCTACCGTGAAAACAAAAATTTAACTGGTACGGCTCGTTATGCCAGTATCAACACCCATCTTGGTGTCGAGCAATCTAGACGTGACGATATGGAATCTCTTGGTTACGTCATGCTTTATTTCTGCCGTGGATCCCTCCCTTGGCAAGGCCTCAAGGCTGCTACTAAAAAACAAAAATACGACCGCATTATGGAAAAGAAGATGACCACTCCGACCGAAGTTCTTTGCCGTGGATTCCCCAATGAATTCGCTGTGTACTTAAACTACACCCGTTCTCTTCGCTTCGACGACAAACCTGACTACTCTTACCTTCGTAAGATCTTCCGTGACCTCTTTGTGCGTGAATCATTCCAGTACGACTATGTCTTCGATTGGACTGTCTATAAGTACCAAAAGAATGCCCAGGCTATTGCCCAAGCGAGCGGAAATGCAGGGAACAATGCCCAGGAGGAAGATGATAAACCTCGTGGTCAAGTCAGCACTGGTGGCGCTCCCGCAGGCGTCCCGGGGGGATCACTCAAACCTGTTCCTCTCGGCACCCATCGGCGTAAGCTGGTGGAACGTACTGCGGGTGAATCCCATGACACCAACCGCGCCGTCGGAAGTGATAGGATGTGAGTATATGCAACCTGTAGTTCCGACAAAGGCCTCATTTCTCCTACGCATCTGGTGTTTTACGACGCTGGCTATGGGTTATTTTCAATTCTAGAATTTGACTAATATCATAGTCTTCGGCGCTAGGCTTCGTTCTGCTTCAAGAGGTGTTCATATGGGCCCTGGCTACCCTGTTCATCGCTTGAAGCGGGACGATATCACTGGTGAATGGTACTGAATTCGATATGATGATGATGCGATGTCTTGCGAGTCAATTGTTTTCATTTTGCTCATTCTAAATTGCCGCCCCTTTTTTCATATCGAAATCTAGGAGCGTTGTGCAAGTTGAATGTGGCACTGCCAACGTGTTCTTTTCCACAGGACATCCGAGGCTCACCCTGTTCTGAAATCTCTTCTCCATCCCCTATGGTTTAGCAGCCCGCTCGATTTTATTCCACCTATGGCCATGTCGGCTACGGATTCTATAATTTTCATCGAAGCGTTTTTGCTCGGGCCCAACTTCCCAAATTTCGGATGCGTCAGCTTGTCGTTATTCCATCATCAAAAGATTTCCGATTTTCGAAATGTGCCCTGATTTATGGGATAGTTGGTGCAGGTTTCAGAACACTTGTACTAACTTTGGTGGCTACCACTGGACAAGCTGTTGGGCTGCAATGCACTTGCCCTGGGATTGCCTGATTATCATGGCAGAATGTTGATGGACTGTGGATGAGGAATTCCTAGCGCAATCTTGCTTTGTTTGCAAAGTTGTGACTGGTTTTGTTCCATCACTCATTTGCCTTCCCAGATTGTCACTGTTCTCATCTGTTATTCCCTTATTCCCACATGCACTTGCTTGTTTCAACTCTATTGCTCTTTATTTTGCAAGGAAATATATGCAGGGGATGAGGTGCAGATATTAATTTCAGTCAGAGCAGGGCCTTGGGTTGTTTATTGATGGCGAGGATGTGCTGGTTACCTCTCTGTGTTACAGGCATATTTTCAGGCCCCAGCCACGATACTCTCAAACTCATGTCTCTGTTCAGCTGTGGGGTCTGGTGATGGATATGGCTAGGGCTGCTTCTGGGGTGGTTGACATTTTTCCTTGCATGTTTCCTTTTGTTACTGCTTTTTGTCAAGTTGACTTATCAGCACATGTCATTTGTAAAAGCCTTACGTGCATTTCCACCTTCTCTCACATATTGGCCTGTCAAGCTAATTGCTGGGGTTGAACGAGGACATTGTTGGCTGGGAGTGCATGCATGGGGATGTGTATGCGTTTGGGGATGACATGAGACCTTATCCAAAAAAGAAAAAAAAGAAAAAAAGAAAAATTCAACTGCTTTCCTTTTGTTTTGTTGACTTAGCTTTTTAGCCCTCAAATCAAACATTTAGTTAATCATGATGTTATTAATTTAGAGAGTCATCACAAGTGGATGCATAGCAAGCAAATGTACTCCGTACTCTGTATATTCACATTATAAATCACTATTCACAATTCGCTCTCCACAGTGACTTCAGAAGCCAAGCTTTCTATTATTCAATACAAGTGTCGATCTCAAATAGAGAGCCAACTGGGCTGATGGGATATATATGTCTTCTGGGTGTTTAAGTCTAGCAGGGGGTGGATAAGGAATCATACAGCTGCCACTCCAACCTTCCGAGGAGCTGTGGGGTTCCCCGGTCCAAGCCAAAGGCAAATTCGCGGAGGCGGCGCATGGATGCACGGGCACATGTTTTCCAGTCTTTCCAACGAGGAATACCTGTGCATTCCGCTATCTATCTAGCGCTAAAAGGACCGGCCACATTCAGGCCCTGTGTGTGACGAGCTTGCTGGAGTGGAACTCCGGGGTTGGCATCCGGGGCCAGACGACATGCGGGTTCTCTCCACTTGGATCGCTAAGTCCCTCCGCGCGAGGTTTTTACCCCATTTTCTTGAGCACCGACCACGCTCCTGTGGGCAAAGCCTTGCAGAATCTGTTCTGTTTTTAAAACTCCCCGTCAGCATCCATATTTGACTTCTTTCAAGCCCGCGAGAAGGGCACACGGACTTTTACTATCCTGTCACGGAGGAGGATGTCTGCAGTTCCTTAGAGCATTGGGAAAAGGCCCGCCGGTCCATGCACCCCTGCCGCGTCCCGCAATTCCACGCCTTTCCCTGAACGGACTTGTCCCCTCGTGTATGGAATAGTTAAGCCTTTCGAGGGCCGCCCGGCCGACAGCACGCCGTTGAGGCTTCGTGTGTCTTCCCAATCCCCGTTTCGTTTCGACGAAGACTTCCTCAGCTCGTTCTCTCCCCCCCCCTTCTGCCATTCCAGTTTCCCTTTCCCTGGCCTTCTACAGCGTTCCTGCAGCCGAAAAGTGACCCGTCCTTTTTCTTTTCTTTTCTTTTCTTTTTTTTTTTTTCACCCACACACACACACACATCCCCTAATCTTCTTTGCAAAGAAGGGGAAAAAAAAAAAAAAAAAAAAGAAAGAAAAAGCTCTTCCTGGACGGCCCAGCATGGATTACAGTTTCTATTCTTCGTCTCATCATCATCAAATCTACCAGTTCTACGGGCTTCCAAACCCTCAACATCCTCAGCTAGGTGCAACGATCCCCGACCAGTTCCAGGATGCCCAGCCAGTGGTATGCTCCCTTCTTCGTCGATCCCAAATTCGCACCGAAGACGGACCGTATCTTGATTAAGTGTCAGTCGAGCTAACATGACCTTTTTTATTTCCCCTTTAGCAGAACGAACATTTCCATGTGTTCCAACCTTACAATTTCGACCCAACCGTTCAGAATCAACATCCCGCAGATGTACTTCCCCCCGAGCCGTTTCCAGCTGACCTACTGGACCCGCCAAGCCACGATTCAAGTGACAACAAAATGACGGATCTGTCTGCTGTGCAACCATCGGGTACTACCGAGAATAGCGACGAGCTAGCGGAGGTGGTACAGAATAATCAGAGCAGTAGTGAGGAGAAGGATAACTTGACCCCAGCCCAGAGTCGTCGAAAGGCGCAGAATAGAGCTGCGTATGTTCCTTTCTCTCCTGTGCAATCAATTAAAAGAAGGAAGGAAAAAAAAAAAAAAAAAAAAAAAAAAAAAAAGAAAAGAAAAGAAAAATTATGAGACTGACTGGTTTTCACCTACTATCTAGTCAACGAGCGTTCCGTGAGCGCAAAGAACGCCGCGTGCGTGACTTGGAGCAGGAGCTCAGCGAATACAAGCAAAATGTAAACACACTTCTCGAAGACAACGAGTGCCTGAAGCGCGAAATCGCAAAGGTTGCTACAGAAAATGAAATTCTTCGGGCTACGTCCACCGCAAATCGGTGTCCTGGGGTCGATGCGCATCATGACCCACAGCCCATCACTACTGGTCCTATGAGATACTCTCCGACCGACTACAGCAGCCCGGAGGGTGACAACAGACCCAAGCCTATCCATCGGATGAAAGTCAACGGAGCGACGGGAGAGAAACTCCTTGATGCAGCGGCCACGTGGGACCTCATCGTGAGTCGCTTGGCGGACGTGGATGTCAAGGTTGACGTGCAAGACATTTATAACCGGCTGAAAGGCCATGCAATATGTGACGGGACGGGCCCCGTGCTCGAGGAGTCACGGGTCAGAAAGGCTATTGAGGAGAGTATCGCATCAGGGACAGATGAGCTGATCTAGGTGAGGAGCTCCCTTAATCGGGACTGTTCTGGAATTATAGAACCTCTGCTTCCCACCGTCTACAGTCGTTTTAAGACGAAGACCTGCGTTGCAATGAATATTTTTATACTGACATATTTCGGTATTCTCCTGTTTTTGGATGTGACGCCTTTCTCATACTTCACCTATGATGAGTTGTTGGACTCCCGTGGCTCTTTTTGCGCTCTTCCCTCACTTGATTGTTGAAAAACGAATGGTTTTGTTTAGCCTAGGCGCTGTTGGGTTGGACATTTATCTCCGTACTGGATGTGAAAGCTTTCCCTCCCTTTTTTTTTTTTTTTTTTTTTTTTTTTTTTTAGCTGTCTTCCTGTCTACACACGTATATATATACAAACTACCTACATATATTCTGATTGATATGAATGGATCTATCTGAACAACTCTTCTTAGGCTTGAAATCGGGCCAGCCGTGGGCGCTGGCCTTTTCGATTAGCCTGGTGCTGAGACAGGAAATGTTGGGCACCTCTTCGGATTTAGTGAACGTGGTATTTATTTCTCATCAAATCCCCTTTTCAGCAATTAACCACGACGAACCAAGCTAGACCTCGTATCGAAAAAGGAAACGAAAAGAGAAAAAGTAAGAAGAGAAAACCTTTCATCGGTATTACTTCCTTGCAAAAACGGAGCAAGAGACCGCCGCTCTAACCTGCTTCTGCAAAAATGCCATCCCTGTCATTAATGCAGAAGGGGGAGCTAAAGATGTTGGTCCCTTCCCCCCCGTCACCCGGGAGATCTCCTTCTCCACCCCATGAAAATTTCTAGCCCGGATTCGAGAGCAAGATACTGGCCACAAAGCAACTAGGTCTCAAGACTACCTCATGACCCAGCAGTAAGCCTACCTTGGTTGTTCTTCTGTCCTTGTCCGGATCAGGTGGCGGACATGTTCAAGGGCCTAGGGAGATTTTTCTTCTTGGCGCCGGTTGCTGGCTGGAACGAGAGGCATCCAGCGGGAAAGTGGGGTTACGGCGTAAAGGGAGTCCGGTGGTTTGATAGGGGTGGTCGTCGGATCTGAGGAACTTTCTCTGTGTGCTGTATCGCTGCTACGGGCTGCCTTTTGGAGTAGCTGAATCCTGGTCCAATTTTTCAAAGAAAACCCCCAGTCCGATCGGGGGCGGGGCAGGAGCGCGGTTGATAGGGGTGCGAAGACGGGGCATGGGGTGAGCGCATAAACGCCGGATAGACACCTTTAATGCCCTTGGATTCCGCCAAATTCCGCCGTTTTTCTCTCTTTCCCTTCTATTTCCCCCCTTCTCTTAAGACCGTGGTTTGCCCCCGGTCTTGGTGGCTGCGTGCTGGTCCCTTTCAGGTGCCATACTTGTTGTAGGAGACAAGGCTGACCTGCAAGCTTCGCTTTGTGCCTTTGAGAAGAAAATTTTTACTGATATCATTCACCTTTGAGAGAACATACCCCGTATCCTTTACAAGCACAGATGAGCTCATCGGGGCAAAGGACCGCTTTGCCTGTGAAGATATACTGCCAGAGATATTCCCATACACGCCCCGTTAACCGATCATACAGCGGCGTGCGGAGAACCCAGTCCCGCCAAAAGACATACCTTGGGAGGGGGATTGCACGAATGCGTTCGGCGCTCACTGCGAATTGACTGCAGCATGGCTGCGAGAGGACGTCCGGAACAGGGTCATCGGGAAGTAATTCCTTCCATGCCCTGCCGAACACAGCTGCCTCAGGGATAGCACGGATATCTTCGTCGCCACTGGCCATTGGGTGGATATGGTCTGGGCAACCCGGGTCATGCTTACACCGAAGATTCATGTATCCTTCACGGATGACGTGTTCGCTGTTCAGTCTGCTCAGCGTCATTTCGGAGCTTCCGTTGAAGAAGTCGTTATTGTGCCATGTCGCATTATGTGCGTGCATGAAAATGGTGATATTCCGAAGGTTTTCGTAGTTGTCGATGATGTAGGTCAGATACGGCATCAGCTCGTTACCCTTGTTCTTGATAATGAAAGGGTCTGCCTCTGGGTCGTCCACCACGTAGACTGCGGTGGTGATGTTGGGGTCATTTTGAACCACTCTGTCGACCCAGGTAGTGTCCTCTTCCTTTAACTTTGCGACCACAAGTGCTCGTGTGTAATCCGGTGAGGGATGACCAGGTGCCAAGGGCGGTGCCGGTGGGCGAGAGCTTGAGGGTATGGCGGCAGCTGTGCTGCTCGTAAGAGGATTGGCTGCTTGAAAGTTGTGGCGGCCATCGCCGGCTTTCTTGCCGCTAGCGTCTATCAAACGAGCTTGTTGCAGCTGGACTGTGAAGAGAAAGACGGCTACCAGCGTGATGGCAAGGAGCACCCAAAGGCGGCGTGTGATGCACCGAGGCATGGTATTTAGACAAGCGTATGGGACAATATAGATGTATATCCAAAAGCCGACATGCTATTGACGGTCTGTCAAGTCTTGGAATTGATATTTGCAGGGTATAAGGGCAGTCGGAAATTACGCATTCTCCCCTTGACGATGCTTAACTTGGGTAAGGAACCAATGTCGGCGAAATAAAATGATTATTAATTTGGGTCTTGTGTGTTGATCATTTCAGGATCTTTTGTAACCATGCCTCTCGTCCGACGTCCAGTAGCATCAGGGTTGTATTGCGGAATGACTTCATAGGCTGCTTAGCCCGGAGTTGAGGAGCTCTTGTGAAAGAATCGCTAGGCCTCTGACATTGAATATTTGGCACCTGTAGTTCGTTACCTGGCCCTAGACCACCTCTGTCTACCCCATTCCCGCAACTTGGGCTGAGATTGACACGTTCGGGACTCGGGCGCACGAAAATACGGGTGCCTCCAACTTAACTTTAGCGAATGTTTGTTTGCATTTCTGTTAAGAAAACCCCGCTTATCTTGTCACATTTCTCGTGAAGTTATGGCCGTCCTGGCAGGACATGCTATGTGTTTTCTGCTTACATACAGGGCATACTTTGTATTGCATATACATTGCTATAATGCCCACTTAAAATCGACTCGTGGGCTCCATGTAATCGCAACGTGTTCTTGCAGTTCTGGAGCCCGTGGTTATCGGCGATAAAAATGGCAGTACTGCACTCCAACTGTTCCGCAAAATGGACAGTTTTTATGGACCGTCATTTGATCGTGATATAAGCGCATATTACTCAATTGCAATCAACTTTTGCCGGTTTCTCAATCCCAATCATCAAGATATTCCTCGTCGCTATAGTTCCCTTTTGGAGTATCTGACTTCTTTTTAAGGCGGCTGTCATTCTCTTGTATCGCACCCAAAGAGACGAGGACTCGTTCGATATCTATTAACCACCTTCAGCATACATCGGATAAATGGGTGCCTTCGCGGGCAAGGCGCCACGACACGATCAAGGAACCAACTGGCCCTGATCAGACTCACCTTGAACTCTGGTCTTAAGCCCATTAAGTTCCCTAAGCGTGACGATTTGCTTTTTAATGTCTCCATCTCTATAAATCAAAATCGTCGGAGTATTCTTCTCCGGATAACCCTCGATGCACATGCTGGCGCGCATCTCACAGAACTTAATGTCTCCGTATTTCTCTGCAAGTTGTCGCCATATCTCAGTTAAGATTCGCGATTCAACATTCGTACTCGTTGACGAGGTAAGGTTCACGAGCACAAAGTACTGCGACGATGCCTCGGTGACTTCTCTGGAATAGTCGGGTTTCTGGAGGGGATATACTTGGTTATGAACGCTTGCTTTTTGTAATAGCGAGAGTTCCTTCATGCGCTTTTTGCTATTCCGCTTGGTTAGTGGTATAGGTATCTCAAAGCGTTCGCGAATGCGGATTGCGACTACCAACCGGTACGCTTCAAGGAACTCCTCGTCCTCCTCGTCCTCCAGAGCATCTAGTTCATCTAGATCTTTATCTTCAAGTCGGTTTTCATGTTCTCTTCGACGGGCGTCTAAGATAGCTTCTTCTATTATCGGCGTGGGCGATGGCGGTTTCTCAGGTATAATCCCATGTTTGCGGAGTATATCATTCCTGGAATCTAGTCAGGGAGAGCTTTTTCCGGATTAGATTTTGGGCGGGAAGTGTACCATTCAGTGTCCGCATTAGGGTCATCAATAGGAACATTAACTGGCACATCCATTCTTATAGCAATTGAGTTGATCGGTCGTTCCAAGGAGCATGCATATTCCCCCGTAGTATTTAGGCATCTGTCGACTGCGGGCGGGCGATGATGCGGTCATTTCGAAGGAGGGATGTTTGCACTGTTTGGCCAGCCACATTGTGGCTTGTGGTCCACACACTTCACAGGATCAGGGTGAGGCAACGTGTATCTCCAACCATCACCCAAATCGACCTTTACCATACTGCCCAGCACCGCTGCTGTGATTCCCTGACAGACAAGTCCACAGCCTAGTATATCGTTGCTACTAGACAATGTTTGAGAATTGACCATTGGGCACAAGCATTTGCAGTCACCCCGTTTAACCCGTGCCGCCATTGACCTCGGCGGTGTCAAGTTGGCTTCAACCCAAGATAACGCCGTCGTTCATTTGAGACCAGCACAATGAGTTACATTAAGAAGGATGAGGATGCGGACCAAACGATGATTAAGCTGGATAGGACCACGGTGTTTCAAGATGGTTGTTCACGTACCTCCAATGGGAACTAAAAGGGATATCAATGCTGATATAGAGCGGAACAGCACGATTATTCAATTCCTCCCCCATATCACCCCGAAAATGCCGGACGCTTTTAACGAAGATTGCGGTCTTACTCTTTACGGGGGAGAAATTCCCGACGGACGAGGCGACGACTCTTTTTTTCGGAATCTCGAAGTTGTTCCAAAACAAAGATCCGTCTCTCCGGCAGATGGTCTATCTCATATTGAAGGAATTGGCAAACACCGCTCAAGACGTTATTATGTCAACCTCTATAATTATGAAGGATACCACGGTGGGGAGTGATGTCGTTTACAGAGCCAACTCCATTCGCGCCCTGTGTCGTATTATAGACGTACGTTGATCGACACCTTCCTGTTTTTTTTTTTTTTTTTTTTTTTTTTTTTTTCCTTTTCGTTTGTCGGAGGTTTACACGCTGACTTTCCAAGGCCACCACCGTTCAAGGCATCGAACGACTTATAAAGACTGCCATTGTCGATAAGAACCCTTCGGTTTCATCAGCCGCGCTCGTATCTTCGTATCATCTGCTCCCTATTGCCAAGGACGTTGTGAGAAGGTGGCAGAGCGAGACACAAGAAGCCGCTGCGGGCGGGAAACAGTCGTCAGGCTTCCTCGGATTCTCGAGCAGTAGTCAGCATCCCCCGGCAATATCGCAAACGAACCATATGACCCAATATCATGCAATCGGATTGTTGTACAATATGCGGGCACATGACAAAATGGCTTTGGTCAAAATGGTTCAGCAATACGGTGCTGCAGGAGCCGTGAAGAGCCCGGCTGCTCTTGTATTGCTGGTGAGATTGGCGGCGAAGCTAGCCGCAGATGATCAAGGTTTGCGAAAACCAATGATGCAGATGTTGGAGGGCTGGTTAAAGCATAAGCACGAAATGGTCAACTTTGAGGCCGCGAGGGCAATTTGCGACATGCGAGATGTCACAGACGCGGAAGCGGCTCAAGCTGTGCATATTTTACAACTCTTCTTGTCCTCACCTCGGACCACCAGCAGATTCGCTGCTATTCGAATCCTCCACAGCTTCGCTTCGTTTAAGCCACACATTGTTAACACTTGCAATCAGGACATCGAGTCCTTGATTTCGAATCCCAACAGATCAATCGCGACGTTCGCTATCACGACACTCCTTAAGACTGGCAACGAAGCTAGTGTTGACCGTTTGATGTCTCAAATTTCCGGTTTCATGGCCGATATCACGGATGAATTCAAGATTACGGTCGTTGAAGCGATTCGAACTCTTTGCTTGAAATTCCCTAACAAACAAGCTGGCATGCTTACGTTCCTCAGCGGAATCCTCAGAGACGAGGGCGGTTACGAGTTTAAAAGAAGTGTGGTAGAAAGCATGTTTGACCTTATCAAATTCGTCCCAGGAAGTAAAGAAGATGGTAGGCTATATTTAAAACCTCATAAAGTGAACTGTTGCTTACGTATATAGCTCTGGCACACCTTTGCGAGTTCATCGAAGACTGTGAATTCACTAAACTAGCGGTCAGGATTTTACATCTTTTGGGAATCGAAGGCCCTAAAACGTCGCATCCTACGAAATATATCCGCTACATTTACAACAGGGTTGTCCTCGAAAATGCCGCTGTCCGTGCGGCTGCTGTCACAGCGCTTGCCAAGTTTGGCGTTGGTCAGAAAGATCCTGAACTGAGACGAAGCGTTTATGTGCTTCTCAGACGCTGCTTGGATGATGTTGATGATGAAGTCCGTGACCGTGCAGCCCTGAACTTAAGACTAATACAGTCTGAAGACAGTATGGCTGAACGGTTCATTAAGAACGGTACGAAATCCTCTTCATTGCCATCTGATAACGATTTTATACTCATAATTTATAGAGAACATGTTCGCATTAGCCACATTCGAGCATCAACTCGTGATGTATGTCACAGCTACAGACAAGGGTACCTTTTCTACAGCTTTCGATATGTCCAAGGTCCCAGTTGTCTCCCAGGAGCAAGCATTAGCAGAGGAAAGAACCAAGAAATTAACTTCCGCTACTCCCACCATCCGAGCTCCATCCACGGGCCCTGACCGCGCCAAACAAAATGGCGCTGCTGATAGCGCAAAAGCTGCTGCTGCTGCTACAGAAAAATATTCCGAGCAACTTATGCAAATTCCCGAGCTCAAAGCCTATGGAGCGCTCCTCAAATCCTCGCCTCCTGTTGAACTCACCGAGAGGGAAACAGAGTATGTTGTCACTGCCGTCAAACATATCTTTAAGGAACATATTGTTTTGCAGTATGACATCATGAATACCCTGCCCGACACGGTACTTGAGGATGTCTCCGTTGTAGCCACTCCTTCGGAGGATGAGGAGGTCCTAGAAGAAGATTTCATTGTTCCGACGCCAAAGCTGATGACAAACGAGCCTGGCATTGTATACGTCGCATTCAAAAAAGTTGACGATGACACTAGCTTCGCAGCCACCTCTTTTACCAACGTGTTAAAGTTCACGAGTAAGGAAATCGACCCAACGACCGGTGAACCTGAGGAAACGGGCTACGAGGATGAGTACCAGGTTGAGGATCTCGATCTTGTGGGTAGCGACTATGTTATCCCTGCATTCTCGGGCAGTTTCGACAGCATATGGGACGAGCTAGCCACCGATGGCGAAGAGTCCAGCGAGACTTTACAGCTTTCAAACATGAAGGGTATTCAAGGTACGTACTAAACGCCTCGGTTTATTTATTTATGTCTACTAACTTATGTATTCAGATGCCACCGAACAACTTATCGCTGCTTTGTGCCTCCAACCTCTCGAGGGCTGTGAGGTCGTGCTGAGCAATAGCACTCACACACTCAAATTATACGGTAACTCAATAACGGGAGGCAAAGTCGCTGCACTCGTTCGCTTGGCGTATACTTCGAGGACCGGTGTAACGACTAAGGTGACAGTACGATCCGAGGAAGAAGGTCTATCTTCGCTTGTTGTTGCGTCTGTTGCGTAAATCCTAGCGTCTTTCCAATGAATGTATCCCTTTTCCCCCCATCTAGACTTTTAATGCAGGTGAACGACTATGGGTTATAGTAAAGTCTGTTTCCCTTCTCAAATTGTTTCTTGGGAATGGCTGGAGGCAGAGATTGGCTTTCCCCATCCACAGCCGATGTATTTTCAAGTGACGTGACATTCTGAATCTGGTCTGTTCCTGGGAGTCAAGTATTAATACCCGGAACTCTTTGTCATTTCTTTTTGTGGATATTCTTTTTTTTTTTTTTTTTTTTTTTTTTTTTCGCTCTACTGCTCTTTGTTTTCATCCCTGCCTCTGTCGGCCAAGGTTCATGGAAAAGATGTCTGAATGGTCTTAAATACTCCGGTAGAAATTTTTGTTCCTTTTGTACTTCCTCGTGGTCCACATTTGCAAGGTATATCTTTGGTATAAATATCTTACAACCACATACCAGGAAATGGGCCGCTAAACCAACTCCTTAATCGCCTCGCCGACGCAATGGCTCTCTTCTTTCTCGATATAGTCCTCCAGATTTTACGAGTACACATAGCATCCGGTCAAAATCTCGCCGGTTTCTAGTTTCGTTTGGTCATATCCCGCCCTTCTGGCATTTTCCATCAAGGCGTTGTCGACTTCTTCCTCGCAGTTGTCATACATAAGCGACGCATGATGCGTCTCTTGGAAGCGCAGATATCGTAGTTTCACAAGCGAGGATTTCAGAGCCCTTTTAAATGCGTTGATGGGAAATGTCCAAGCCACGGCTGACGGACCCAACTCGATAACCTCCAAGTCTAATTTCTTATTCAAGGTCTCCATTTCTGGGATGACCGTGGAGTTGATGTCAGATCCCGGTAGGCTGAGGAATTTCACCTTGGGAATAAAATGAACCAGGTCGGCCATGAATCGGAAATGCATTACATTACTCTCGGTGGTGACTCTGAGGCGGCGTAGGTTCTGCTGGAGGATTGGGCTACCGAGAATGGCGGGTATTGACTCTGGTGTGAGGCGCTTACAGCCGTGCAGGGTCAAACTGGTCAGTGATTCCGGCCAGGAGAACTGCTCGGCAAAATGGTCGATTTCGGCGGGATTTGCGCCACCAAATTGGAGACTTAGTAGGTTTGGGGGCCAGGGAATTTCATTCGCGGAGAGAGTGAGTGATGTTGCTCGCGGTAGCCGTAATCTTTTGAGGTTGGCGAGGTTTTTGGTAGCGGTTTTGACCTCGTCAAGGGTGAATTCCACGAGGACGACAGAGAGATCCAAGATTTGTAGGTTTAGGCATTTTGAGATGGATATAAGATTAATAGATCTGCGCACGGTTAGCCTTCAACTTTCCCACCAGTCCGGAATCCGAGCTTAAGTCATGGTTCCCCTCAGGGGAGCTTGGAAAAAGCCATTGCCTCAGAAAGTGGAAGAAGACGTACGAGAGAGAATATGCTGGCGCAATAAAAACCTCCAGCCCTGGCCTTACATTCTGAAGGAGCTTTGCGGTCACAGCCACTGTACTGTGATGCACCAGCTCACTCAGGTCAAGACGGCGCACGTATTGGCCCAAATCCGACTTCTGTGAACGGGGCCGGTTAGGAGAGACAAAAGCAGCAGCAAAGGCAGCAAAGTTACGGTGGCCGATGCGAGGTTCCCGGTATAAGAGAGGGGTTGCGATCGAACACCATTGCCGCGATACAAGGCAGCAGGATGAGAGTATTTTGGGTGCGTCGGGGAGCTCTTGGATGTAGGTGAAAATTATATGGACAATTTCTGTTGGCAGGTAGACATGTCGGCCAGTTAGCCCTGCGCATGCGGCCATTTCTTGCCTTCCTGTAGGGTCGTCGGCGCTGTGTCTCACGCCCAGTGTCTCAGCAGCAGGCGTCATCATCCAAGCAACCGTGGGCGGAGAGGTCTTGACTGATGCTTAAGATAACTTATTAACCAACATAACCAATGTGCATGACCATTCACCAACGACTTTTACCAGCCAATGGCTATATCCAGCATCTGGACCCCTGTTACGGAGTATTTGAAAATTAATTAAAAATAAACCACAATGTTGTAAAACTTCATGATGAAAATTCATAGTCTAATATTCAACTTTCTTTTTTAGATTTTTGAATTTCTCAATATCATAACTACTGTTTTATTGTCTCATTCCCGCATCATGGCTATTCCAGCCAATTTAGGCTACAGGCCAATGGTGACAGGGCTCGGTGCCTGCTAACCGACAGGAGTATACTTAAATACTTCCTTAAAAGTTCGACAGAAAGATATTAATGTAGATCATGTAGCATATCCTGAGTTTCGTTCTTAAGCATCATATATTTTGCTCATACTCTCTGAAGACTCTATATTGTAGTTTCTAGGTCTTGTTGTGCAGCTTGCACACATTCAAGTTCAAGCTCCACTCGACGCCTTTCTTAAGTCTTCTAAAAGGCAGCGAAGGGTCTCGGTTTCTTGAGACATCCTGAATTCCTTAATGGCCAGCTTTGTCGACCGTGAGGTATCAAAAAATCGTATTGCTGTGGGCGACAGGCAGCAGGCATTCGCGCAATGATCACGGAGCACCAAGATTTCTCCGTAGCTAACTATTGACAAGCATCTTCCTCTGCAGTTCTCCTCTCTAGATAACCAGCAGGACACAGATCACCTGGAGCCAAGGATGACTAAGCAACGTGGAACACATGAGAAAATAACTAACTGCAGAAACCCAGAATGATGGATTTCTGTCTCTATTCAACCGCCGAAATCCCATCTGGGTGTAGAACGGGGTTGATTTTGTCATTCCACCGCAGCTTGAACTCTGTTCCAAGCTCCTTCTTGATTACCGCTTGCACTGCGTCCAGGACGTTAGCGAAGACGCCGAAATTCGCTGGATTCTCCTCGTCGTTCTCCCCGCCCTGGAATATACCCGTGCGGACCAAACATGTATTCCATCCGTACATGTTGCCGCCAACAATGTCTGACTGAGGGTTGTCACCAACCATGTATATGTTTTCCGGCAAGATATGCTCGTTGTGAATTTCTTTCATCCATTGCTTCATCACCTCGTCTGCGAATTTATACGTGGCTAACTCGGGCTTGCCGTACACAACACGCTCGAGATCGCCACCTGTCAACGACTTGTACATGGCCTCGATACTGATGCGGAACAGGCCCTGAGTCAACCGTGGGACGCCGTGTTCCGTGGGCATGAGCAAGTCGCCCTGCGAGAAATATATGGGTAACTGGTTATCGAGCGGGTTCTTAGCCTTCGTCTTCAGTCTACCGTTTTCACTGAGAAGAAGGTCCATGATGATCTGCATATCGGTTGCATAGTCTCGTGAGTCAGCGAAGACCATGATCGCTTCGAAGTTCATTGTGTCGAACGCTTGAACTTTCGCTTGCTTTCGCTCCTCTTCTGAAAGTTTGCTCCATGGGGAGATCGATGGATCCCATGCGAGAATGTCCTTTGGGAGGACTACGTTTTTGAATCCGTAGTCTTCGGCAACCTCTCTGATCTTGTATCCGTCGCCCCCGACCACAAGAACGGTTTCATAGTACTCAGACAATGCCTGCATTGGAGTATGGGACTGAATAAACTGATCTGTCGAAATTGCGGACCCTAATATACCACAAAGTTCTTCTACTCGGGCTGCCTCGGTCTTTCCTCCACCATTGGTGAGCAGGATATATGGAATCTTGATCCCAAGCTCGTTATCGCCGTTTAGAAGCTCCATCGCTCGGGCTGCCTCGGGGATAAGTCGCGTTCCATGAACCAACACACCGTCGATATCAAAGGCAAACGCCATGTTTTTGGCAGCTTCCACTTTTTCCTTTGACAGATCCTGTATCTGGGAGGCCAAGATGTCTCTCTTTGCGCTTGCGGCATCTCGATGCACCGAAGAAAGTCTCGACGTACGGGGAGATCTGGGAATTGGCAATGCCATGCCGAAAGAGTTTCGTGATCCTCTTCGATCCCTCATGGAGGGTGCTAAGCTGAGGTTATGCATCAGGGCGCCAGCGTCACTGATCGAACTTCTCAATGCTCGGACTTCAATTGCATTTCCTTCAAAGTGAGGGTCCGCAGGGATGCTAATCTGCCCGCCGCGGACGTGGCTCCCTTGTCTTCTATGCCAATCCCCGCCTTGATCGGCTCGAAACTTTGAGTCGTTGATATTTGCCATTTTTGCTTGACTGTGTAGCTAACCCTTCAAGCTGAATTCATGAAACCCCGCCTAAGGATGAACGAAATGAAATTAAAAGACGGAGAACAAGGAGAAGTGCAGGTACATCGAAAGCAGAAGGCAGAAGAGGAGCCTTATGGCTTTATATCCATCCACCCACTTTTTTAGCTGACCGAGAGTTTCCTAATTGAAACATGGATGTAGTGTCATTTCTACTGAATGCTCCACCTATCAGCTTACAATCCCTAAATATCATCGTTGTCTCCAGAAATGAAAGGTTTATTACTAACTCGACCAGGTCTATCGGGAGGTTATTTCCTCGGGCGTGGCGGATGCGTGGGAATGATGAAACGAGCAGACTTTTACTCATTTACCGCAATTTTTCATATGCCATCTCGTCAATGCATCGGAAGTACTCCTTCACAATGGCTGCGGTATATGAGAGTGACGTCGGGTGGCGGAGGCAGCTCCACCACCGTTGGAGCGATTGCTGGAGTGATGGGCCAATGAAGCTGGCTACTGCGAGTGACCAGAGATCATCAACATTACACGTTATGAGCGATGTTCGATTTTGCACTGCTTTGAATTGCAGAGGTTTTCTCTAGGCGAGCTCCTTGGGGCGCAACATAATAGAAGTGAGCTGGAAAGTTTTGATTTGACCTAAGCTCGATCAAAGTGAGCAATGGCCGTCGATCATCGTACCGGGCTTGCCAGTTAGTTAGACCCTAAACCCTAATTTGTACACAGTTTTCCTTTTCCCTGGGCATCTGCGATGACTTCATCCATTCAGCCGCCAGGCCACCTTTTTAACCACGTTGTGGCTTGTTTCCGTGAAAACTCTGATTTTTATGGATCGCTGAGTTTGCTTAAAATCAGGAAAAGCGTCATTGCCCCGTTTGACAGTGGGAATATCTCGGAAATAATAGATAGACAGCTATGAGGGCCAAAATGAAACCCGTCTTGTGGAGCACTGGGGACCACGGGCGGGTACGCTTTTCCTTGATTACCTTGCCCCTTTGACATTTAGCCGCTGGGGCATGCTGTTTATGCTATGAATTAATGAAATTTAATTTGGTTCCTGAGCAATGCATTGCTGTCGAGAATAGCTGTTTGTCTCTCGACATATCAGTTAGCAGCTTACAAGAGCAGCCTTCGGCTTGTATCTGCCTCTATATTTTTATTTTTATTTTTATTTTTATTTTTTATTTTTATTTTTACTTTTATTTGTTTTAATACTAGATCAGCAGCTATGTCGCAAGATATCACGTTTAAGCTTAGCAATGGCGTCACAATTCCCGGTCTGGGGTTTGGAACGTTCTCAAACGAGGGCGCCAAAGGAGAAACATACAAGGCCGTGCTTCACGCTCTGAAGGTTGGATACAAACACCTGGACTGCGCTTGGTTCTACATGAATGAGGACGAAGTTGGCCAGGCGATCAAAGATTTCCTCAAGGAGAACCCATCTGTCAAACGATCTGATTTGTTTGTTACTACCAAAGTATGGAATCATTTGCACGAGTTCGATGAGGTGCAGTGGTCCTTGAACAATTCCCTGAAGAACCTGCAGCTGGATTATGTGGATCTGTTCTTGGTTCATTGGCCAATTGCTGCTGGGAAAGATGAGAATTATATGCCGAAGCTTGGACCTGATGGCAAGGTGGGAAGACCCCTCTTACTCTTTTTTTCCCCTTTTTCTCTTTGTTTCGCTTAATGAGCTACACTCTGTACTTTCTATTGAAAAAGGCTTTTTAAGTCTATTGGGGTTGAACAGAACGCTAAATCATATATCTATTCAATACCAACAGTACGTTATCAAGGAGGAGTTAACCAAGAACCCCGAGCCGACATGGCGTGCAATGGAAGCGCTCTACAATGCTGGAAAGGCCAGAGCCATTGGCCTCTCAAACTTCACTATTCCCGGCATCAAGCAGATTCTCTCCTTCGCCAAAGTGGCCCCACACGTTAACCAGATCGAAATTCACCCTTTCCTGCCCAACTCCGAGTTGGTTGAATTTTGCTTTTCACAGAACATCTTGCCAGAAGCGTACTCTCCACTGGGGTCTCAGAACCAAGTCCCCAACACAGGCGAGAAGGTTGCTACAGATCCGACGCTTAATGCAATTGCGAAAGAAGGCGGCCATACGCTTGCTCAGGTGTTGATTGCGTGGGGATTGAAGAGAGGCTACGTCGTGTTGCCGAAGAGCTCAAACCCGTCACGCATTGAGAGCAATTTCAAAGAGATCGAGTTGACACAAGAACAGTTTGAGGCGGTCAATCGGGTGGCTCAGGGAAGGCACTGTCGTTTTGTTAACATGAAGGATACTTTCGGGTATGATGTTTGGCCAGAGGAAAGCGCTTAATTGATAGGGAGTTGCGGAAGAGAATTAGTTAATGAGGCTCACAGCTATGCACCTGGATGAAAGTCGTGGTCTTTATATTGTCCATAGCCTTGCTCCGACCTATCATTGAGATGATCTTGTGATATGAATCGTTGGTGCTGATGCGATGTTTCCTATGCTATTCCTTGTCTTGGTAGGATTACTCCGTATCATTAGAAGACTTGATGATTCGCCATGCCGAAGCATTTGTCAGGACTCAGGAGCTAGGTGGTTGTTTATAACCGAGTTTCTCCATAGCCTACCAGGGCGGCCAACGAATTAGCGCGGATGCGTCCCCAAGGCCTAAGCAGTGAGGACCCAGGTAACCGGTTCCTGGAGCTTGAGTTTCACAACACGGCTCTCTCTCTCTGCACCTTTTTACGTCTACTCCAGTTATGCCATCTTAGAGCGCGCGTATTTCTTTCTTATGTTGGTGTACGCAAAATGCCAATGGCTTCTGCTTCTCGTCTGCTTGGCCAGCAGATACGCCTTTGCTACCAAGCCTGCCCAAGCGCGTTTACAGCAGTAACTTTGCGGAGAGGATTCAAAGCTGACGCAGGATCGAAATCAAGAATCCCAGATTTTGCTTTCGCATTTGAGTAAACCACACCCATCTTCTCTTTTGTGTGAATGTGCACCTCTCTAAATCGATATTAGTATAGATGGCGTTCTCCTCCGAGCTTCTCGTCCCCTTCCGGGGGCTGCTAGATCCCTCTCGCTTCTCGAGAAGAATCGAATCCCGTTCATATTGTTGACGAATGGCGGCGGTATGTCTGAGTTTGAGAGAATCGGACAATTGAACGATCGATTGGGCCTTCAGCTTGATCATAGTCGCATTATTCAGAGTCACACCCCTTTCGCGGAGCTGGTCGCAGGCAAGAAGGAGCAAGAACCGTTGGCAGATAAATGCGTGCTGGTTGTTGGTGGGCCAGAGGATAAATGTCGCAATGTGGCTAAGCAGTATGGCTTTCAGTGTTCACAATGGGTTGGGATTCGCTAACTCTCTGGTTAGATACGGATTCAAGTCTGTGGTGACCCCTGCTGATATCTTCATGGCACATCCTTCAATCTGGCCGTTTTCAACAGGTTTTCACGATTACTATAAACGATTTGCACAGCCTATCTCGATGCCAATCAATGGAGAATCCCCCGGAAACCTGAAAGTCGACGCCATACTGGTCTTTAACGATCCAAGGGATTGGGCGTTAGATATCCAAGTCATCGTCGACTTGCTGCTCTCGCGCCAAGGCGTTGTCGGAACCTACTCTGACAAGAACAATCGGAAGGATTTGCCAAACCGCGGCTATCAACAAGATGGACAGCCTAAGCTATACTTTTCTAATCCGGATTTATTATGGGCTGCAGCGTATCATCTACCACGACTTGGCCAAGGAGGATTCGCCGCAGCGCTGCAGGGAGTTTGGGGTGCTCTCACCGGTGGCCCTTCTACTGGTGTGCAACTACAAAGCACAGTCATTGGTAAACCTCATCAGTCTACTTATGAGTTCGCTGAGAAACGTTTAATTGAACAGAGAGAAAGCTCCTTCAAAGGAGCAGATTTGGTTCCCCTTCGTGACGTTTATATGATTGGTGATAACCCTGAATCTGATATTAGAGGAGCCAATTCCTTTCAAAGCGCCACTGGGACCGATTGGACATCCATACTCGTGAAAACAGGGGTCTACAGCGGCGCTGAACCAGCCTGGCAGCCCAAGGTTATTGTGAACGGGGTCCAGGATGCTGTTGAGTGGGCTTTGAGAAAATCCCAGTGGCCGGTCGTTTGACCGGGGAACAAGAAAATCTGTGACTTTTTTATGCTCTCCTTTGGAGTTTTCAATACCCATCTCGCGCGAGCGCGTGTTTGTCTCAACCATACGTATATATACAATGTGCCGTTTAAAAATGTAATACCTCAACGTTAGACACATACTATGGATTAGGGGGAAAGAAATTCGAGCTAATTAAAATCTAATTCAGTCACCAATTCTTTCTAATCCATGCGAGTAATATGACTCGAGCGTAATGAAGTAGGGGTCAACAGGATACCAACTAGGGCTTAGGGCTTGGAAAACTCGGCGGGGGTGACGATGGCGGGGATGATTCATCGCGCATCTTGCAATCTCCCGCCATGTCCTCCATTGCTCGTCTCATTTAATACCCTTCACATTCCTCAGGTCCCTCTGGCTACAATCATAGTTCCGATTCCGATATCTTTCCATTAGCGACCCATTTCCGGGAACTTTTACGCCCGTCATGGAGCAGTCATCCACGACATTACCCCACCATCCCAATGGCGGCGAGCAGCCACAGCAGCCTGAAGGAAGTGCGACTGCAGAGTCTGCGGCGCCGGCAGCACCAAGCAAAAGTGCATTGAAGAAAGCTGCCAAAGAGAAGGCTAAAGCTGAGAAGGCCGCTCAACGCGCCGCCCAAGAGAAGGCTCAGGCCCAGGCAAGCCATGCTGCTGACACTGCCAAGGACCTGTACGGCAAGATGCCAGAAACCGACGAATTTCCCCAGGTTACAAACTTCCCCCAATTCGGCTCTGAAGACTTTTACGAGAAGGAAGTCACGGTGGTTGCAAGAGTTGACAATGCGCGCGTTCAGAGTGCAAAGCTTGCATTCTTGATGCTGAGACAACAAGGCAAGAAAGTGCAGGCGGTTATTTTCGCGAAGGAACCTATTTCGAAACAGATGGTTAAATACACGGGCGGTCTGAATGTCAATTCAATTGTGCAGGTTACCGGTATTGTCAAGAAGCCAGAGATCCCAGTGAACTCGGCGACATACAGCAATATGGAATTGCATATTACAAAGATTTACATGATTGCGCAGGCTGCCCAGCAACTCCCTATGCAAGTCAAAGACGCGGAAAGACCGCCGCCCGAGTCCAATGAAGAAGGGCAGGTTGATTCCGAAGGCACGCCGATTGTGACTTTGAAGACTCGTCTTGATAACCGGATTTTGGATCTCCAGACCGAAACCAGTCAGGCAATTACCTGGATTTCTAGTGGTGTTGCACAACTGTTCGCAGAGTTCATGTTGAAGAGTGGTGCAAGGTGGATTTTCACATCAAAGCTTTCTGGTGCGGCTACTGAAGGTGGTGCCGATGTTTTCGAATTGGGTTATTTCAAGAGAAAGGCGTACCTCTCCCAGAGTCCCCAACTAGGAAAACAAATGTGTATCGCCGGCGACATGATGAACGTGTTCGAGATTGGCCCCGTGTTTAGAGCTGAAGAGAGCAACACTCATCGCCATTTGACTGAGGTAAGTGGGCCATCTAGGCAATGATCGTATCACTATTGATCTGATGAGTATTTAGTTCATTGGTCTCGATTTTGAACGAACATTCCATCGTCATTATCATGAGGTTCTATCATTTGCGGAAGAACTTCTGGTGTTTATTCTCTCGGAATTGAAGACCCGCTATAAGGATCAAATTGAGGTTATTCAAAAATCCTATCCTAAAGCTGGAGACTTCCGCTTGCCCAAGGATGGCAAAGCCCTTCGACTTAAATATATGGACGGGATTGCTCTGTTGAAAGAGGCAGGCGTCGATGTGTCCGAACAGGAGAGATTCGAAAACGATCTTACCACAGCTATGGAGAAGCAGCTTGGACGAATCATCCGTGAAAAGTATGACACCGACTTCTACGTCCTCGACAAGTTCCCAAGCGCTGTGCGCCCATTTTACACAAAGGCATGCCCTGAAGATCCCACTTTCTCTAACTCGTACGACTTCTTCATGAGAGGCGAGGAAATTATGTCCGGCGCCCAGCGTATCAACGTGGCCGAAGAACTTGAAGCTGCTATGATAGCTCGCGGTGTTGATCCCAAGGCCGAGGGGTTCGAGGACTATCTGGGTGCTTTCCGGCAGGGATGTGCCCCCCATGCTGGCGGAGGTCTTGGATTGAACCGCATTGTAATGTTTTTCCTCGGGCTGCCTAACATTCGGTTGGCAACATTATTCCCTCGTGATCCTCAGAGACTGCGGCCGTAGAACGGATATTATCACCTGTACTCCGTAAGTGCTTGGTTAAAGAGTGCTATGTACTCCTTAGATAGAATCAAGAAAATACAACCATATTTCAAAGAAAGGAATCCCTGCTATGAAAGGTGTGAAATCATGCGCATCGAAAAACAATCTTGGTGTCTTGGAAGCACGCGACACGAACACGACTTTGCCTGTGAAACCATTTCTTGGCGCCAGAGATACTATGCACTCGACTTTGACGCTCGTGACACTCTTTCGGGATAGCTGACGTGACAAGATATTGTCGTTAGCATGTCCGTGAAGCGTAAAACCCCAACTTCAATGCCTGCTGATTCGCCCAGCACGAAAAGATCTCGTGTTTCGGCTTCAGAGCAACAGGACGACGGTGCCGAAAGCTCCTCGTCGAAGTCGCCAAACACCGCCCATAAATACCCAAGAAGCGACCCGGTTTTCGGCCAAAAACACGCTTTCCCCGGTTTAGACGACGATGATAGTGATGAACTGCTCTACGGTCCTCCGGAAGATGGCCTTCAGTATCTGCGCATGGTCAGGTGAGTTACGCCTCAAGGCCCTTTACCGTTTACTCTTATGCATCGGCTAAGTCCTTTTAACCTGCCTCCTTTGGTGTTTCCTTTAGTGTACAGAACATGAATGGCTAATGCTTCTCCTCCGTAACTTGCTCTGCGGGCGTGATTTGATACAGATCGGAAGCTAAGAACCTCCCGGCCATTTTTATCTCACAGGAGCGGTTGGTGAATGGCAACGGAAACAATCTTGTTGAGCAAGAGACCGGGGCTCGATTAGGGACTGATAAAGCTGGGCCTGGCGGGTATTACTCAGATGGAGTCTACGTGGCACTTTCTACGGCTACTGAAGCAGTCGTTCCCCTCGAACCTGAGAATGATGAAGGGACCACTGATCCGCAGGAAATTTACTATAATCTCCTTTATCATCGGTTCCGGCTACTGCGTTCGACATTAAAGTGCGTTCCTACGGCTGATGCGATTGTGTCGCTAGACGATCAACATCCAATTTCTCTGCCTGATGATCACAAGCATGCGAGGCTGGTATGGCGAGGGCTGTTGCGAACTGTCGATCCACAAATGGTTCAGATTGCTTGTATGGACCCGGAAGATGTCCTGCGCGTATTGGCTGTTGTGACACGGTCGATATCTGATGCAGTAAAGAGCAAAGAGACCGTGCGGGTGAAGAGGCTAGCTGCATGGGCGTGGGGGCTTCTGGGCCGGTGCAGAGAAGTTGGCGAGATGGGAAGTGAGGAAGTGGCAGATATAAGGGAGCTTGGGAAACGGGCAGTGAAGATATTGCTAAAAGTCAGGGAGATTGAGGAGCAAGGCTATGCTGCGAAACATCAGCAAAACGTGCAAGTCGATGTGGCTAACGTTGTCCAAAGTGTTGCTGATGCTGAAGAGGAATGCACCGAGGGTGGGAATGAAAGACTTGGCATAAACGAAATTGCTCTTAATTCTGTGTCTGAGGAAGATCAACTGGAGGCAGCAAAAGCACGACTACGGGCTCGGCTTGCTTCTATAGTTTCAGATGACAATGTTGTCGCGAATCAGGAAGCTGGCCCTTTGAACATGGCCCAAAATGAGGCGGCTGAAAGCGAAGATGATGCTGAAGCTGCCGAGCTACGGAAACAAACGCGTGCTATGCTTGACATGATTATCAGCATCGTTGGGGAATTTTATGGCCAGCGCGATCTGCTCGAGTCTCGAGACCTCTGGGAAGAAGGGGAAAAGGGATGGATGTCTTGATTGTTTACAGCTATCCGACGGATCTAAAATGGCAGATGGAAGGAGAATTCTACATTGAATGCTCGGTACACTTTGATGTGAACGGATACAGGGAGCTTCAGATGCGGTTTCAAATTATATATGAAATTGAACATTCGTCTTATAATTCCACCGGACTTTGTGTATTACTCTATATTTGGAAAAGTAGCAAAAAGGCCTGCGACACACAATTTAAGGTTGTCGAGCAGTCCTCGTGCTGTCGTCCCGGCACCACACGCCCGAAATCCATGCCAATGACGCACGGTTGGGCATCCCCATCTCTTCCACTTTCCGCCCATTCCGAGCATCGAAGTGAGCGCAGCAAGCACCCATGGTTAACTAGTGAAAATGATATTTTAAATCCTTTGACAATACTTTAACCGCTTAGGATACTTTACCAGGCTATGATAACGCTTGTCATGGCACCCTTTGTGGAGATATCCATCCCGACAACGGCCGTCTCCAATACTCCGAAAACCTACACGATTTACAATGTCGCAATCCGCTTACCGCTCCGATCATTTACTATTCAGAAGCGCTATTCCGATTTTACTTCACTTCACAGTTTGCTGATAGAACAGACTTCCCTCCCTCCGCCCGCTCCTCTTCCTCCAAAGTCCTGGCTCTCCAAAACGACCACGAACGCTACATTACTCGAAGAAAGGCGAAAAGGTCTAGAAGCATATCTTCAAAGCATAAACAAATCCGAAGACTCTCGATGGCGTGACTCCAGTGCATGGCGAATGTTCCTCAACCTCCCTAGCGCAGCCCTGAGTAATGCCCCTTCTCGTGCATCAAGCTTACATGCTGCCATTACCGGTCCCGGTACAGCCCCAATAACTGATCCTACAACCTGGCTCGATTGCCATCGAGATGTCAAATCCCACCTACATGATGCAAGACTGCATCTGACGAGAAGGGACCAGGAATCTACGCCCCAAAAACAACATGAGTGCTCCGCGCAAGCGAAGAGCAGCTTGGTTAAAACTGGCACGATGCTCGGAGCACTCGAAAACGGGTTGAAGAATCTCGGTGATAAATCTGGATGGGGTGAGGCAAAGCTTGGCGAGGGAGAGCTACGGCGCAGAAAGGACCTGCTGGCAAGCGCCCAAAAGGAAAAAGAAGGCTTGGAGAACTTACTAAATGCCATGGCTACCAAGAGTAAATTGGACTCTGCGGTGGCTTCAATACAGGATAAACAGGCGCTTATTGGGAGTAGCCGGAATAAACCGAAGGTTGGAAGAATCCTAGGCAAGGAGACAGAGGAAACTAGGCAGTTGGATAATGATGGCGTGCTACAGCTGCAGAAACAGATTATGGAGAATCAGGATGCTGGCATTGATGAGCTACGAAAGATTGTGGCAAGACAAAAGGAGCTTGGTATCGCGATTAATAACGAGCTCGAGGTTCAGAATGCCATGTTGAATATCATTGATGAGGATGCTGAAAGGTTTGCTCTCTCCCACTCATGCTTGACGATACTGCTGCTGACAATTTACTCTAGAGTTGGGAGAAAGATCCAGGTTGGAAGGAGACGAGCAGACAAGATCTCGTAGTTCCTAAACTCTGTCTTACATCCAGCATTATATGCTTTCGAGTTCTTACCATCCTGGTGATTTCTTTAACAGTGTTAACACGGCACACTTTTTTGGTTGTTTCTGCGCGACAAGATTGCCTAAGTGCAATGAGTTTCAACATGTTATAACTAACTATACCCAAGTTATGATTCCACCTGTACGCCTATTGATGAGTCCTGCTTGAAACCTGAGAGGAAAATAATCATCAGGGAACCGGTTGCAATGATCGCCTATACTGTAGTAGGCCGAGAGGACAAAAACTGCCATATAAATTAGTCCTAAGTTGCATGAGGGAAATACACAAAGGCTTTGTTTTCTTACCTCTCGAGCTTGTTCCTCTGTTATGTCTGATATATCCAAAGCCTTTTGATCAATTAAGCCCAATCTACTTTTTCGGATAAGCCACCACATTTCTCTTCTATCTCCCCCCAGCTTATCATCCAGTAACTTTTCCTTCAAACCCCGAATGAAGTCATTATACAAACCTGGCTCTTCATACGCGATCAATTCCTCTCTCATGGTCCCTATACCTTCAATAGCTCGGTCATAATTGATATCACCGAGACTCTGTCTGATTTGATCTTCAATGATGGCGGACATTTGTTTGACTGCATCACTGATCGCGCTGATATCTTCTGTGTTTGCCAGAGTTTGCTTGAATTCAGGTATAGGATTTTCTGGTGATATTTTGAGACGCTTTTCGCCACGAAGTAGATCGTCAACATTCAGCCCCGAGAGTGGCTTGTCAGCTTCTCGACGTCGTTTACGGCCTTTCGCTTTAGGTGGAACTATCACAACTGTGAGCATATTGGTAGTTTGTGTAGCAAATAGGCTTACCCTTTTTCACGGCAGAAATGGAAATAAGATCTCTTAAAGAATCATGGCTCTTTTTGACCAACTCCTCTGGCCAATGTGATAGCTTTTCCAAGACCTTGGGGACTGGAGGAAGAGGTTTAGTCGGGTGCACGGCACGCCAACGAATTGCTTGATCAATTCTATGAACAAGAGGCGAGTAACAGTCTTCTAGCGCCAAGGATTGAAATGGGTCCCTGTCCCCCACATTAGCAACTGGCTTTAATCAAAGCTCCTCGTCGACCTTACCCGTTTTCATCAAACTCAGAGAGATCCATATTCTCAACATATTTACCCATTGTTTCCAGAAGATCGTCACTCGGAAGGTTTCGGTGCTCCTTCACCACTTTCCCCGATACCGTGACTATCTTGTCGAGGGGAGGAAAGCGATAAGATCTAGTATCTTCAGCAAATGGGAGTTGCACTTCTAGAAGGCATTCAAAGTCTGGTTCAATTAATGGCGCAAGGAGTACCATCAGAGGTGGTTTTCCATCCTTGGTAACCAATCTCCCAATAGCATAGTATTCTAGTTCAAAAAGCGCATGAATCATGGAAGATAGAGCTAGAATGGCCTTGTCGTTTATTTTTTGTGCTATTATGACGTTAGAAGTTGACATGTTCATGTAGCGCTCATACTAACAAACGAATTAGCGAGCGCATCAATCTAAGGATGGAAGATGGGGCTATACGTTTTCGCTTTGTATGAATCCAATGAACTCGAGTGCGGCAGTGGTGTCGAGCTTGGTGATAACTTCATCCGATTCACTAATATGCACTGCAGTGCGACCGTACTCGTAACCTTTTGCAAGGTCGTCCCGTTCGACTTCTTTTTTTCCTCCTGGTGCGTTTTCATCAATAACCTGGTACGAACGAGCGTTTCGCACGCCCGATAGATTATTACTCGCACTAGCGGTTTCAACAGTTGAGTCTCCGTTCTGTAAGGTCACAGATGATTCCGCTGTACTCTGTCCTTTGGGAGGTGCAATGGATAAGGCAAACGCGCTTGCGGCTGGTGGACGTGCGACGTACGTTCGGTAATACCTCTCCACTTGGATGGTCAAACCCGTTGAATATTGCGAAGGATCTCCTAGCCGTAAATCACCTCTGAAAGACGGAATCCCTCTCACGACCTTGATCCGCGGAGTAGTCATTTCCTCGACGGCCTGGGCAAGGGTTCCGTATGCTCCATCAGCGTCATCGGCTAATATTTTTAGGACGGATTCATTTTTAGTCTACAGGATGTTAGTATCAAAATTTCCCTAGGGATGATAACAGGTGTTCACTTTGAACGGGTCTTTATCCTCCTCTTTAAACCCGTAATCTGGATCATCAAAGTCCACGCCCCTGATTTCGTTAGCACACCCAGCATAAGTAGCTCATACCCAAAACATACAGGATCACAAGTTCTATGCCTTCTTCCTTAATCTTGCTGACAATGCTGTCAATACCATCTGAGTCCGTCGTGCTTCTTCCATCTGTGACAAGCACAATTTTGCGCTTGTATTTTAGTCTTTTGCAGTATCGCACAATCATGTCTATGGCCAGAATGATAGACGATATTGCTTCATAAGTATTAGCTGGATATTACAAGAAATGAGTGCCCTCAATTTCTAACTCCTACCATCTCCTTGATTTGTATTACTTGGCTTGACCAAGTCGCGTAATTTGCGAATATCAGGCATCAACATCCTGAGAAGGCATTAATAAAAATGCAGAGATAAACAGCATTGAGCAACGTACTGTCCAATCTCTTGAAAAACTGACAAATGAGCGTAGCTCTCTTCCTCATGCTTCTCCCACAGTGGATTTGAAGAGCCTGTGGAGACATTAAACCTGGTGCCCGATATTGAAAAGGCAGCATCCTCACCATCTGTCCTCAAGCCAACAACCCCAACAGTGGCCGTCTTTCGGCCTGTAGAAACCTGAAACAAATTGTTAATAAGAGGTAAACACAATACCCTTGAGCACTTGCCTACCGTTGTCGTGATCCTATCCCAGACATAAAGCATCATCCAATCTAGATCTGAGATGGTTCTTCCACCGCGGCACTTCCCCATAGAGTGCCCGACATCCACAATATACACGGTAGCCTCCTTTTCAGCCATTGTACTTGATGAATGGGTTTCAACAGACAAAATTGAGAATCAGGAAGAGAAATCGTTCGCAGCCTTCTCTTCTGACTGCCATCGACCGGTCCTCCAGGCAGACGCGTCTCGCCGTGGACGTTTCTGCTGAGACACGAAAGCACATGACATCATTTGCTGACTCATCAGGCTGCTTGTCCCAACGTCACTCGATCAGCTCCAAGCAATGGGACCGACGAGTCCTTTGTAAAGCAGCGCTGCAATTAGCCCGCTGAAATTTCAGTTACGTATTCTCCATTTTCTGAGCCTGTTGCTTTTTGTTCACGATGGCCGAAAGACCCGGAATCCTTGCCCCGTTCCATATTATCAGGTAATATCATTATCCTCTTGAGGAATGCGAAGCGATGCTGATGTGTCTCCAGCTATGGAACATTGCTGGGAACTCAGACTTTTCAGGTACGCACAATTGAAACGCACTCTACTGGTTTTATCGGCTAAGTCTTCTACGGACAGACTTTCGTAGGCGGCATTATCGCCTTTAAAACCCTCCCCCGTCCCCAGTTTGCTGCGTTGCAATCATCGATCTTCCCAGTATATTTCGGCCTGCAGACCCTTTTGCCCTTGGTAGTTGCTGCCACATATCCGGGTGAACAATCATTTGGTGGGTTTGGTCCTTCAAGTATTTCCGGTGTTTTAGCCGAAGGCAACCGTCTCTCAACGTTGCTGCCAATTGCCGTGACCTTTGTTAGCGGTCTCGCAAACATGTTGGCATTGGAACCTGCAGCATCGAAGATTAAAACTGAGAGGCAGCGACAAGGTTAGTCCGCAGTTGGGGAACCCCAGGTTATTCTGAGATTCCACTGACACATTCTAAAAGAATCTATTGATGGAAAGAAGTACTACGACCCAGGCCCGCATTCAAAGGAGATGATGAGGCTAAACAAGTCATTTGGCCGTATCCATGGCATTTCTACTCTGGTCAACCTTGCTGGATTGGCGGCCACTTTATATTATGGCAAGACCTTGGCCGGACGTTTGGTTTGATCGACCATCTATGTTGCTGCAAGGTGCCGGTTCTGGTTAAACACTTTTAGGTCCAATTTTCGTGATAATTACAACATCTACATTGGCCACTGCCGGGGGACAAAGTCAATATGACTGGCTATGATCTTGAAAATTGATGATCTCTGCTTCCACAGACTGTCTTCGTGGCCTCTTGTTGACTTTTCCGGCTTTTTTCGGGGCGTTTCTAATCCTAATGTATAACAGCCCTGTTATGCATTTCCTTTACATAAGTATTCGCTTCTGAATGCATTCTCAATTTTTGATCCATCCATTTTGGCAAAACGGTAGTCGTCAGCATTTTGATAATCCTATCACTGGACGCAATGGAGCAGATTTTTCGAGATATATCCCCCCCGGGTGTGTGACTGGTTTTGAGTCAATGCAGCATCAGCATTAAAGTGTTGGATTCTCAAGCCAGTAATGTCTTCCATAGCAGCTGAATGTGTACTACTGACTCCTGTGATATGTATTATATTGAAGTTTTCCTTCCAGCAGAACTTCTGTGGAAGGTTCCATCACTCTAAATTAAAACAAATTGCAAGTGATGTGACAACTTCCTCCAAAGTGATTACTTCGTCACTCTGTATGGAACTTTCCGATATCATTTCTAAGTTCTGTTCTTTTGTGAGGTATAAAAGCTTTTACTATGCTTCACTTTCTTTCTTTTCTTTCCTTTACTCTCGACAAGCTCTCTTCATTTTCTCTTCAATCTACCATCTTTCCAGTATTGGTCTATCTATCCTCGACTATAATCCTTCACTATCTGTCAACCAACAAGATATCTGCATATTCTTTCATTCTTCTGCCTATTCTAGGAAACTTCACTAATCTTGGATACTCCGCTCTTCTTAAAGCTCACTTTAAATCCATTTACCTTTCCTCCTTTTGGAGTCCAGTCCTTGACACCTTTGGGCGCGTCGCTTTCCAAGTTCTGAGAAACCATTTCTTGCAAAGCCCAGAGATCAACCCCGTGGGGCTCAATTTACTTGGATATAAGCGCGAGTTACGTGCATCAGGAATGTCAGTATCTCTCTTTTCGCTCTCGAAGACTCTACGTCCTTCAAATCTGTGTCAATTTCATTCATTTCGAAAAGTGCAAAAGGACCGGAACCAGCACGCCTCTCTCTCCTATATATATATATGTATATATATTGGATCTTATACTTATTAATTTGCTATTCTAGATCACATTCGACCACCTTGGCAAGGGCTCCTATCGAGTCCCATCCAACATGGAGTTAATCGGACTGTTCTTGTTTTCCGTATCCGTGGCTTTCCTGGGAGTGTTTCATACAGTCCCATTGACAAACATCCGTCCTGACGCCGATTTTGCTCTACGCCTGCAGAGTGGGTTTCGAATGGGATACGTGCTTGACAGGATTGGGGAAGTTGTTGACGCAGTAGTTCCTCGTCACAGACTGATGGAACCCATCGCCACCCCAACCCCTGAGTACATTTACACAAGCATTAGCACGCATGCTGCCTACCCAACGTGCTCGGTCCGGCCGGTGACACTCGCGAGCAGTCAGCCAGCTTCTACTCTAGCGACCTCAGTAATAGCGTCATTTAGCTCCTCGGGCCCGAACGAGAAGCTTTCCGCTACAGCGGTTTCACATCCACTGCCTTTAGCTCGAGCTATCAATTCGGCAGCCGAAACGATCGAAGCCACCGTCCTCGACTGGGTGCGTGATGTCTGGTCTTTCGTCACCCGTGCTGTGAAATGGATCACTTTGTCGTCTCTAGACGTTCAGTGGCATTTTAAGGTCACTGTTTTTGTCTTTCTGGGTTGTACCCTGGTGGCCATTACCGGTACAACAGTCATCGTACTTCTGACCGTCTACTCTGTCTGCCGACAAGTTGGCAGAGAGTTTATCCGCAAGGCGGTGGCGGATAGCAATGAAGTTGCTTCGATGATGGAGGAAATTGGCCAACAGAAGGGCATGTTGCTGGAAAAGATGGATTCCTTCCACAAAAAGGTGTCCGAGTCGATAAATCACATCGAGCGCAGAGTTTCCGAGAAAGAGAGCAACATCGATGTGATGCTCGACTACACGAAACGTCGGGCAGATCAGGTCACCGACAGCATCCTGGATGCCGTAGCCAAGCTGGAGAGGCGGTACCTCCCCTTTCCAACCAAGGAAGATCTGCTCGGTGACCGGCTCACGATGTTCCACGACACCCTAAACGCCGCCCAGAAGGACCTCCTCGCCCAGGTCGAAGGAGTGAAATTGGACGTTCTAGCTAAGGCTTACGAACTGAAATCGGGCCTTTCAACCCAGGCCAACGACATGAGGTCGCACCTCCGTGTCCAGGCCGACGAGGTAAAAGCGTTGGTTCCTGAATTTAAGAAGGAACTCCTAAAGACAACGCTGGAGCTGCGCGGCAGCCACCTCGGCGACTGGGTTGAACTTTTTGAAGCCGAGAAAGCACGGCTTAAAAAGATGGTCGCAAAAATTCAGACGGTGGCCAAGGGCTTCCCGACGCAGGCAACGGCTGACGAACTCATCCACACGCTAAAGGGTGAATACCACGAATTCGAGAGGAAGGTCGCCGCTGCTCGTGAAGACGTCCACAAGGCTGGGCAGGAGACTGAAAACATCGTGTTCCAGCTCCCTAGGCTTGAGCAGAATGTCCAACAGATGGAGGTGAGCTCCGTTTCCCCCTTTCCTGTATTTAAGCCGTATATACTAATATTGATTTACCTCAGGACGATCTCCAACGTCTGGATGAAGAACTCGCGCTCGCCCGGGTCGCCATCAAGTCAGCTCGGTCCTCACTGAACGAAGTGGGGACCCTCGAGGAAATATGCTCTGAAGGCGGATCCGACCTCGAATCCCCAGGTGAACTGTCAGAGCTGGACAAGGAAATTCTTCGAGAAGCCTGCGATAGCGACACCGGCGTCGATGGCAACAATAACCTCGCGGATTCCGAGGGAAGGGGCCGCCAAAGGACCAGGGAGGAGATAACCTGGCCTTCCCGCTACTACCCAGGAAGTCCGTCAGTCCCGCGAGGTAGACGAACTCGACGCTGGTGGGCTTGCACCTCGTACACGCCCGAGTTCGGTCCAACTCCGCCCCGGAGCTGCGTGGCACTGGAGTAATTCTCCAGCTTCCCCCTCCGAGCGTAGGATATGAGTTGGTTTGAATTGGGTCTATGTGGGGAGGTAATGTTCTTCAATCGTTCTTTTGACACCACCCGGCCTGACGCCTGTGCAGATACTAGTAAATATAGATGTGACCTTTTTATGCCAAATTTGAGGATGATCAACCTGGTTTGGCATGCTGGCAAGGTAACCAGGCGCGTTTCCATGGATAAGGGTTGCGGGACCCGGTTGCTGAGCTGGGATAAAGTGGACCTTTTATTGCTCTTGGGAGCACTTCTTGGACGATTGACGGCTACTGAGGCAAAGAGGGAAAGGAAATGGGGTGAATGACGAATATAGCTTTTTGGGCCGGTGGCCAAGGAAAAGGCGGGTTTGAATTGTATTATTTGCAAAAGCCATTTGTACGATAGAAGACCGATGAATAATACTCTTACTCAAGGGGAATATGATCGAAAAGTAATTAATCAAATACAAAAACGGCGTTAAACGAGCGAAAACCTCCTAAGCAATGTTGTATTCTCTCTCTCTTAACCCAGCTTGTCAGCGTGGGTGTAGAACTTGGGTAGTGGCTCCAGTTTTTGGCGCAGGACCCAGGTGCGGAAGTGCCAGACGCAATTTTTCAATTGGTACATGGCGTGTTTCCCGGTTGGGACGGAGAATACTTGGTCAAGTTCTTCAAGGGTAAGAGCTGCAGGGAAAGTTAGCAAAAATGTCGACAAGCGAAAGGGGGGGAAGGGGATGATGCCAGCACAAACCTTTTGTCTCTGGAAGGAAGAGAAGAACCAAAACCCAGCCAATAAGGCACCAGGCCGCATACCAGGCGAAAGCACCCTGTGGTTTAAACGCACTCCGCAGGTGCGGCCAGGTGAAGGAGATGATGAAGTTGAAACACCATGTTACCGCTGTCGCCCAGGACATGCCAACTTCGCGGACGTGTAGTGGGAAGGCTTCGGCAGAGTATGTAAATGGCACGGGTCCCTCGCCGGGAGAGTAGAATACTTCGAAGAGATACATGCCTGCGGTCACCATGCCCAATCTTGTTTTGCTCTGCGGGTCGTCGGGCTCGATCCAGAAGGAAAAGCCAGACCAGAAGAGGAACAGGGCGAGCCAGGGCAAGGTGAAGAGGAGCAGGTTGCGTCGGCCCCATGTGTCGATTGTGAGGAACGCAGGGATCGCGAAGACCCAGTTAAGAATCCCGGTGCCCATAGAAGCGAGAAGGGCGGATGACATGCTGTACCCGGAGTCGACGAAGATGGTAGTGGAATAGTATGCGATAATGTTAACGCCGCAGAATTGTTGGAGCCACATGACGATGGTCGATGCAAGGGTTGCGCGGGCGTTGCGTGGGATTGTGAAGAGTTCCCAGAGCATGCTGAAGAAGCCCTTTCCTCGGTTTATTTTGCGTTCTATTTCGACCCCGACATATGCGTAGTAGAGGTCGCGGGCAGCCTGGAGCTCGGTGGGACGGAGAATGAGAAAAGATTCAAATGCCTTTTCAATTTTATTGTGTTCAATGAGCCATCTTGGAGATTCTGGGCAGTAGTAAACTTGAGCACAGACGATGAGTGGTAAGACAACAGTTGATCCTAGCATCAGGCGCCAGGCGAGATCAGGCTCCAGACCACCGAATGCTACACCCATGATGTTTCCAAGCATGATACCAAATGCCGTCCACCTGAGAATATACACGTTAGTTCATGAGCCCAGGATTCTACATGTTAGGAAACTTGTACTCACATCTGCCACATCATGACCAGAGCTCCGCGAATCGGGGCCGGCGCACATTCTGCAGCGTAGATGGGCACGGTAGAAGACTTTGACCCGATACCCAAACCAAGGAAAAAGCGAGCTAGGAAGAGATTAACCCAGGAATTAGCCAGTCCTTCCCAGACCGAAGCGAGAGCGGCTATCATGCATGTGATGAAAATGGTGCCTCGACGGGCGGTGTATCGATTCATAGGTTCCGTCAACCAGCACCCGAGAATAGCACAGGCCAAATATGGAGCACCGACGATAAGGCCTGTCAGATTGTCCGTCATTGCTTGCGAGAACCGTCCACCATCCGAGAACGGTTTGATGTTGAATCGCTATCATCGCAGTACTTAGCACAGAAATATAAACTAGGGGAGGCATGGTGTTGAGAGGGATAATGTATACCTCTAAGTACAATCTTTGGGCACCGTTATTTACCGTTTCATCCATACCTTGAACCGCAGCGGCGATGGAGCACATTACTGTCGTTGCTCGATGTATTAGCATTTCCCTTGAATTCTTAACTAGAAGAGGACAACCGGCATCACATACTGGTAAGGTGGAAAAGGGCCATTGGCTGCGACCATTTGTGAGTCTTTTCCCTTCGTAGGGCTACCTTGTCCTCTTCAGTGAGTTCCGGTAAGTCGAGCGCGCCATCGGGATTCTGGGATACCAGAGCCCCTTTCTTGAAAGTGTCGATATGATCCATAAGGTTGTATCTCGTGCAAAATCGTTCCACATCAGCCATCAGCTGGTGTCTCGAAACCTGTGCGAGAGGATTCTCGAAAATGGCATTTAGCTTGCCATCAGAGCCCCGACGTTCGATATCGTATATTGCTTTAGCACCCTCGGGCTTCATTTCCTCCCCCTCTTCTGGTCGAAGGCTTTCTCCTCCCTTTTCGGGTTGTAGATCCATTTTTCGTAGAAGACGTCCCTAGGAGAGGAGAAAAATAAATTTTTGGAGTGAGAGAGCGATGAATTATAGGATAGAAGGCATGTAAACCAGCCAGGCAGAAATTTCGCAGGATGGTAGATGAATGAAAGTTGAAAGAAGAAAATCTCCTGACTGGATCCACACGGAATTATAACATGGACGCGGATCTCCAGCTGTCTTACGGAATAGAAGATTTCTACTGGTTTTATGTACAGCACAAGGCTGACTCGGGTTTTATGTCGTATCCACCTCGGCCAGGGGTCCTTTGACAACAATATACGATGTAGCAGGTCTACATCAGATCCAGAGTTCCCAGCAACATGGCGGGGAGGAAAAAAGCCATGGTAGCTTTATTCCCCCCTCTTCCCACAGCCTTGGGGAATATAGGGGAGCTAAAACAGCGCGGGTGCGACGAAGACAATTTCCACAGTTTGAGAAACAAACTGCCACGTCCCCGCGCGGAGTAGGCGGTGCTTTGCAGGTCGGTGTCTCCCTATGAGCAATATTCCTTGTAGGTGATCTGCAATGGCACACTTCGGCTGCGGCTGAGGTTCTGCACGCGACACCAAAAGGGAAATAGAAATGCAGTGACCGGGGGGAAGGGAAACGAAATGGTTCACGTCATATGGTAGTGAGGCTGGGTTCGAGACACTGGAATCTGAGAACCAGTCGAAACATCACTATGACTTGGCCGGCCAGGAGTGAACCCAGACCAGCGAAAAGTCGATGAAGCAACAACCAAGCTTCGAACCAAGTTCAAGTGTGCGCTCCATTATGGCGTCATAGTCACACCGACAACAGTGGACGGAGGGCACGGGCATAAGTATCCATGCGAAGGAGTTACCCTTGACTTAGTACAAACGCTGTAGCAAACGGGGATTGTGGTTCCGGGGATTTCCTCCACATCTGATCGCTCTCACAGCTTCTCTTTGACGTTGCATCAACAGAAATCAGCCTAAAGAATTGTGTAGGAGGGCCAAGCTTGCATCAGGCGGCTATGTAATGTCAATAACTGACCCACTTTGTACGCTGAAATTAATCACCAGCGCCCGAAAGGCTTGTCCATGATTCCATAGGCCTGGCGGCTACATACTCCGTAACTCCCCGGAAAGCCATCCCGCAACATCGTTTCTCCAGAAAACCTTCAAGCTTCTCCGCATCACGTGAGCAAGCTTGTCTCAACGTCCAACTCGACTCGACGGCCGGATAGACTGGCGAACTGACTGACTGACTCATGACGAGAGCGCGACGGGCGATCCACGGTCGGTCCGCTCCTTTCTTTTAGCAATGCTTTACTACACGAATCCGCCAGGCTGCTTTTGCCGTTGGATTGAATGAAAGCAGCGTTTCGCCCTGATTTTTCCGCTTTTGTGGTGTACCCTTCTGAAACAACGAGTGGTGATAGGCGATACTTCCCTTGACAGGCCAGGCAGAGGCGGGCGTGCCTTTGCTTTCTTTGTCATTTATTGATGGTGACAATATTAGGCGGGATTTTTTTTCTTTTTTTTTTTTTTTTTTTGGTGCCTTTCAGGAATGACAACTGTTGTTTCCATACGTTGAAGTTCGAGTCCATTTAGACATCTTGCGTTCTCCCCAACGGGGATTGTCATTCCAAAGGACAAATAGAGTGCTTTTTGTCTAGAATCAATATTTTACACATCTAAGCCCTCCTCTAATTGTTGCGGGTTTTAATTCGATCTTGAACTTGGGAGGTCTCGCCCTTGCGTTGTCGTAGGATGTATTTTATACTCCTCCTCTCTGCTCTGTCCAGCTGTTGTGCCGATTGCACAGCTACAGCTTTAAAGAAGCACTGCTGGTGCTTGCTTATGTACCCATTGGTATAGAAGTTACTCACTGCTTAGTTGAAACTGATACCCTTTGTATCTCTAACAAGAATCCGGGGGAAGAAAATGGCGGTCATTGTTGGCGACTCGATAAAGAATGTAAGGAGAGCACCAAGCGGAGTAATACTTCCGCAGGCTGTATAAGGGCCTCATCTTGCAAAGAATGTTCCCTGAAAGGACATGACTTGGGAGGCGGACACATCTCTCCTCCAGAATTCTATCCTTGCACGCTCCTCCATTTCGGCTTCTCCCTAAACTATCCTGTAGTGAAGGGTTTCTCCTTAGCAGCGGAAAGTTCCACCAGTTTTGCCTTGCTCTACTGTTGCTAGAGTTTTCACCTCGCTTATTTGGCGTGTTCGTCCTTCACAACAAACACGCGCGCCCACCTTATATATTTCCCTCCTTCTCTCCATCTCTCTTCCTCTTTCCTTCATCTCTCATCCACTAATTCCATCTTCCAAACTTCAAGTTCTTCCAACTCTCGCTTTTTGACCTATATCTTCCTCACTTCGCTCTCCTCCGCCACTCTCAGCCTTTATCAGTCTATCCTCTTGACACTCGATTTAAATCATTCGCTAAATTTCTCTTTCCTCTTCCCTTCCAGCTTCGAGTCCTCAACTCAAGCTAAGGTCTATTAAAGCTCCGTTATAAATACTCCATTTCTCATCGTCTCTCGACTCTCCTCTCACAACATTCTTTCCGCGGTTTTAACGCGTTTGCGTTTCAAACTTCTCGAGAATGGAGCCAACAGTACTCGTGACGCTCTTCGCAGGGCTCATGGTCTTCAGCAGCTGGTTCTCTGTGCCCCTGACGACAATCAACCCACAGAGGCCGGTGGCCGAGAGACTGGTGGGCTGCTTCCAGCTCACCGCCGCAGCACAAGGCGTGTCAACGCTCTATTGTCGCTTCAACCACCCCAAGACTGATTTCTCGATCTTGTTGAATCAAACGCTGCCGTCGGTTGACCCGGCTCATGGGGAAACCCATAAGTTATGGTTGTCAGAGGCGGCAGCGGCCGATTCAACTCCCACAGGGGTAGTGACGACTTCGTTGATCCCAACTCCTACTGCGCCTTTCGGAGGTGCTCAGCACGTTGTATTCGACAATCTTTTTGACAACGGCGCCGAATACCCTGAATGGTTCATTGCCAGCTTGGGCTCACTTCTCGGTGACCATGTGCGGCGGCACCCCAATATCTACACCGTCGTTGTCGGCTTGCTGTCCGTTCAAGTCCTTGTGATGACGTGGTTCGCCCGTCAGATCCAAACACTCACCCGTGAGTCCCGTGAGCATTCGGAGGAAGCTGGCTCTAAACTTGTTCAGGCTCAGCTAGCAGAGGAACAGGGTCGTGTCAATTCACTTATCGCCAAACTCGAGAGATACACTGTCGATTTTCCATCGCTCGACCAGCGACTCAGCCAACTGTCAGCAACCGTCAACTCTTGGCCACAACAAATCCCCAAGCTAGTAGGTGATGGACTTGTCCAAATCCGAACGCAGGTCGACCAATTCGACGCCATATTCGAACAGCTCCGGAAACAGGTCAATGATCTCGCCAGTGCGCCAGAAAAGAACACGGGAATTGACGTCCAGGATACCCCCTTTTTGCAATCCCTCCAGGACCAGGTTCGACAGCTGGTTTGTCAATGGGAGGGAAAGCCATGGGAGCTGCCGCATAGCGAGTTAGCTGCTCGGATACACGGTGTCAACGAACGGTTAGAGCAGCTGACACCTAAGCAGGGCGGAGACACGAACGAGTTATTCGACCAGATCAAGCGACTGCAGAAGGACCTCGACCAGTGGAAGGATTCCGTAGTGGTGAATTCCGAATTTGCCAACGTTGAGGCGGATCTCAGGTTGATCACAAAGAAGGTGGACAGCAAGCCATGGACTGAATCAATCACCGAAGTGGGCAACACGGTCAAGTCTCTGAATCGAGAATTGCACTCATTCAAAGAAATTTCGTCTGCCTTGAACATCGAACAGAAAAGCCTGGCCAGCGATGTGAAACTCATTGATCAGTTTGTGAATCAGCTGAAGGCGGAGCAACCGTGGAAACGGGGTCGCTCCCTCACTGAGGATCAATTGACAGCGGTTAACGAGTTCACGACGCTCAAAGGCTCCCTGGCGACGAAGGAGGATACCAGGGTTCTTGCAGAAGCTATTCGGCGGACGGAGGGCTCCCTGGAATCCTGGATCTCGGAGACTTGGCCCGTGGATCTTCATAAGTTGGAGAAATCCTCCAGAGCATTGGAGCAATCGTTGAAATCGGAGATGGACTCGACCCGAAGACATTGCGCCACCCACGAGGATGTCAAGTTTGCCTGCGCTTCCGTTGGAAGACAGGTCTCTGACGATTTGAAGATCCTTGACAAGGAAATCGACTCGCTGAAAGGCGATGTCAATGGATTGTCTGCCAAGGTGACGGATTTGGCGGCTCGGCCGGTTGGTGGCAGTGTCCAAAGCACTGTCACCATCGAAGAGCTGCTCAAGGTCAAAGACATGGCAAGGGAGGCTGACAACTCGGCGATCAGTGCCGAACTCGCGGTCGACAATTTCAGGGACCGGATGTCCGCTGCGGAACGAGAAATCGCGGGCACCAACACCCTCCTCCGATACCACGAGTTCGATATCGCCAGTTGTGCCGCCAAACTGGGAGTTCAGCGCAAGAAAGTCACCTTCGATGGTGCCCCAAACCCGTTTGGGCCAGCACCAACAGGATCAACAGCGCCTGAACCCCAGTCCAAGGGTGAAGCGAAGCCCGACAAGCCCGGATCTTCGACTCCAGCTTTAAAGGAGGAGAAGCCAGCGGCTTCACAAGCTTCGCCAGCGGCAACGGGCTCTGACTCCAAGAGCGAACCCAAGTCGGACAAGAAAATCGAGCAGCCCTCGACCGGTTCGGCCTCTGAAGAGTCTGCTAAGCTCGAAGGGAAGACAGAGACAGCCTCAAAGCCGTCAAACGCTTCAAAATCTGTCGAACCCAAGTCTCCCGGGCTCGAGGCCAGCATGTGGGCGACTGCTGGCCCGACCGAAACCAAACCCACGGGACTCGAGGCAAGTAGGTGGGCGCCCCAGACGCCTGAACCGAAGCCTGCCGGATTAGAGGCCAGCCGTTGGGCGCCTCAGACCAAATCCAGTCCTGGTGGAAGCGGCCAGAAGAAAGGCAATTCGAAAAAGAGCAAGAAGGCAAAATAGAGCTTCTTGCTGAATTAGCCGGTATGTATGCGTCTCCATCTCTGACTCGTCGGCCCCATTTTACTGCTGGCGACTAACTGTTGGTTTTGTGATTCTTAGATCCTTTACCATTCTGCGCCGAGGTTTCGGGAAACCCGTATAAACTGTTGTCTACACGTCGGCTCGCTGTTCGTTCGCCCCGCAGAGGTATTCCGCCATTATATGGCAATAATATCTTTTTTTATTCTATACCCTCCGATGTCCGCTCGTTGATGCTCCCGGCCACTTTATAACCGATCACGATGGGCAATAACTTATTTTAAACTCTTACACCTTTTATCTCGAGGTGCCTAACTTGGTCCTCTGTCTACGCCCGGTCGTTTTTAACAGCTACCGCACTGAAAAGGTGCACGTCCGTCTCTATCGAATTGATGCATTCTTCGCTACTCCTTAAGGACTACCGATTTTTCTCTTTATTCTTCCTCTTGATGCGAGCCGAAAACTTTTCCCAAACGCCGCGCATTAAACTAACGAATGGTTTTCCTTTTTCGACTAAGCGGGTGTCTCTCTCTATTACATACAACAAAACGAATGTGGAATTCATCCAAAATCACTCTGATATGTCCACTTAAATAGCTATTCGTCGCTTGGTCGACAGTTGAAATACATTAGCAAGACATTCACTGAAAAAGAGTTAGTGCTGCGCATCGGATTGCGGCGTCTTATTGGAAATACTTGGTGTGGCAAAAGTGATGCAATATGTATGGGTCATGAAATAGCATTTAGCGGAGTTTAGCGACGGTTTATATGGACTTTGTGTATTTTTTTAAAACTGCATTTCTTCGTGGAATCATCACAGGCTTTTATATGAACCCTTTTTGTCTTCAAATCGCCTGTTTTAATGGGCTTCTATTGTCTCATTATGAAAGTACTTTCAGGATGGCCGACTGAATGATAGCCTCGTTGGCGAATCTATTGAATAACTTCTTGTGGATTATGATGATAACTATTTCTTGGCCAAATCAACCTCTCCGATGTCAGGGGAGGATACAACACTCAGTCGCCTATTAGGATTCATAACGACGTTGCTGATTACTCCCCCAGTCATCCTTTTGCGGGGCTTTTTGAAACAAGGTCGGAAGGCTAATGGTTCGGATTAAGTCAAAGTCTCTCTTCCTGTTTCCACTCTCTACTACTCCGTGCAATTGATGTTGATCTCTCCAGGAAGTTCAGTATTGAAAGGTCCAGATATTGTCTAAACCATGTTATCAAAAATGAAGCGACCAACCCCTGTATACAATTGTGCTCCTTAATGCCTGTTATTTTAAGCAGAATGCTACTCTGCCTCGTCGAAAACGTACTTTCTGCATGATCTCTTGAGGACCTCAATCCTTCGTTGTGTATGAACGAAAACCCGGCGATACATTTCCAAATTTTCGCTTACAACTTGCCTTCTCGTCGTGGTCCCAGCACATATATCTCGCATACGCAATTCCATCTCCTTCCGTAAAAACGGTTTGCAAAGACTGGGACAATCAGCAAGATCAAGTACCAAGTTGTCATAACCCTCAACCAGCGCAACACCAAGCTTAGTGGGGATGAATTCCTCAACAGAATTCCTACCGTTTCCACCTCGACGTCTCGTGGCCACGTATTGGCGATCCTTGATTTTGAAGATATGTTCTGCCATTGTAGCATCCGTCCCAATCCCGTTGGCGTCCATGAGGCCAATTAACTCTGGCTCGGTAAGGTAATTGGGAGGGGTAGTTTTGCCTTCAGTAATTTTAGCTTCTTTAGGCTCAAAGACCTCTCCAACCGTGAATTTGGGGAGTTCTTGACTGCTTTCCCATTTGTCGTATACATAAATGTCAAGGTAGTTGCGCTCTAGAACAATGAGTCCTTGCGCATGGAACTTCTCATCGCCATATTGAATGTCAACTTCGGACGTTTCGCCCTTCGCATCGTCAGAACAACAAGCCAGAAACCGACGAACGACGAATTCGTAGACTCGCCGTTCATCCGCAGTCAGCACGGACGGCGCAACATATGTCACGGGATGAATTGGGGGATGAGCTTGATCATTATGGCGACCGGAACGTGGTTGCTTGAATCCACCGGCCATCAAACTGAAGAGGGTTAGCAGCCACGTGGCTAAAGAATAGATTGATTAGAGAGGAGTTTTGAATGATATGCATACCCTTGGGAATATTGGCCCCATACACCGTCTTGGATCTGCTTTTCTATAAGCTTTTTCAAGTCTATCCCCTTGTCAAACTGGTCTGTTTCTGTACGAGGATAACTTATGAAGCCTTTGGTGTAAAGTGATTCCGCAACCTTACGTTTCCATATTAGCACAAGAGCATACAAAAACGAGATATATCACAACATACTTTCATAACCTTCTGACTGTCCATACGAAGGAATTTGCTTCCCATCATTTGCAGATCCACCGTTGTCAAGGGTAGCGGGCGCCACTTTTTGGTAGGTTTCTTGTTGACCTTCGTAACCTTAGCGGTTTTGGCAGTTAAGCATCTTTCAAAAATCATCACCACTGCAGCTCTGTCGAACAAATTCCCCCGACTCCAGGTGAAGTTCACAGTTTTACCATCTCGTGCATGCGTGACCTTGATGGACCAGTAAGGTTCCGGTTTGAAGTTTTTCACGCGAAAGTACCTATCTACCACGAAACCCAGGGTGGGAAATTGGCAGGAACCTACAACCGAGTCAGATGGAAACAATGGGGGAGAAACGTACGTCTTCTTACCGTAGCTAATTAGACGCTCTGATAGAGCTCCGCCCAGAGCTCCTAACTGGAGCGTTAAAAGCCGAGTGAAAGCCGCGCCAATCCTAAGGTCCAGCTCAATTCGTGCTGCAACAGCGTTTATCTGGCGTTCATCGAGAGCAATCGGATTCCTCGCTGCACGCAATACGTGGCTGGCTACCATTAGCAGGTAGATTCAAGTAGGGTTGGAGGCTGAGAGAACTGACGCCCTTTCCGTGTTACTGAATTTTGCTCTCTTGACTTCAATCCTAGGATTTGCGCCAACCGCCTGAGTTCGTACTTCTGATCCAATGTGTTCTCCTTCCCGATCACAATCGGTCCAAATGAACAGGGCATCTGCTTGCCTGGCTTTGTTTCGAATATTTTCAGCAATGCCGATTTTGTCCTGCAATCATTAGCCTTTGCTGAATGAAAGACCGGGTCACGATGCGTACTTTATCTACATCATTAACCACCGGTGCATCGAAAAGCTGTCCTGGAGGACACGACTGCCAATGTCGCCATTCAGATTCAAAGTCCAGCGCGGTCAAATGGCCAATAACGCTGGTCATTGTCACAGAGGAGTTTCCCCAAGGCGGGCCAAAAGAGAATTGAAATTCATAGTTTTTGACATATTGATTGCCCCGAATAGCAACCTTAATCCGCATTAGCGACGTTCTTAGGTGTTTTGGGACGATGTATTCAGGTTATCTTACTGTTCTTAGAGCGCCTCCTGATAGATGCTGGGCAACTGCCTTGGCAATGGCAGGCTTCTCAGCGACGCAAAGGATCCGAGCACCCATATTTTCCTCCACCACCTAGCAGGTGTGATAAGGCGCATCAATGCGTCACTGCATTGCAGGCACTGCGTATCTTGTTCAGTTTTTGATGGAATCAGTGAAGAAGAACCTGCCAGACATTGCTCGAGTCTAGATGTCTTTGTGCTTTTGGAATTGTGCTCATATCAGCCATCAACGAGCCCGGTGTTTTCTTTTTTTTTTCTTTTTTTTTTCTTTTTGGGTGAGGCACACCTGGGACGAGAATGTCGGGGATTCGGGCCGTGTGTTAAGCACACCGAAGCACTTCCTCCAGGCTTCACTCCGCTTCGCTGACGGGCTTTTCTGTGACCTCGCGCGCGTGTTGAAGCCCGTCGACGCGTTAAGCTTCTTTGACGCTGCGCTAACCGGCTTAGCGCAAACCTTAGCCGCCCGCCCAAACGTCTCTCAACGCCAGCCCAGTCGACAGGCTGTCAAGAATCAAGAATCGACCCCGGGAAGCCCAGCGGAGACGCCCCGACTCACCAACGGTCCACCATGGCGTTGCCCACTCTTACGGCGGTTCCAGATTGCGCAAACTTCACATTGACCGTTCAGCCCTTTCTCTCTCAATTCATATCCCTGCCGCCGCAGATATTCGAAGCCGGACGCGACTTTGAATCCCTCAAAAACATTTATGTCAACACGAATCCTCTAGTCACAGCGGTCGCGTTTTCGTTGCTGCTTGTGCCATTGCTGCTGATTGTGTCAGAAATCAATAGGAACTACTCTCAAGTTGACCGGCTGTGGAGCATTCTACCATCTGTTTATAATGGTCATTACGTTCTGTGGTCTTATCTGAATGGTGTCTCAACAGATCGAACCTGGACTATTTTTGTCTGCACCTTAATCTGGAGCGTAAGTTGGCCCAGAGAGCCATGCTTTGGTCGTATTTTAGGAAAGGAGTAATAATTAATGATTGGATTAGGCCCGCTTGACATACAACTATTGGAGGAAAGGTGGCTACTCGATCGGCTCCGAGGACTACCGGTGGACTATTGTCCGCGAAAAAATCAACAATGGTTTCCTTTTGTTCCTCTTTAATATCTTCTTCATCTCCCTGACGCAATCCCTTCTTTTGCTCATGATCACCGCTCCCACCTACGTGTTCCTCGTCCTGAATACCGTCGGCACCGCACCAGCATTCGGATTGCCAGATCTCGCATTCTCCCGTGGCATGATCTTTTTCATTATCATCGAATACTTCGCCGACCAACAACAATGGGATTTCCAGAAGGCGAAGCAGTCCTACCAACAGACCGCCCGTGTGCCCACAGAATACAAGTCTACTTTCTCCGCCGATGACCTTAACCGTGGATTTGTTATCAGCGGTCTCTGGTCCTGGTGTCGCCATCCCAATTTCGCCGCAGAGCAAGCGGTTTGGCTCATGCTATACGCTTGGTCTTGCTACGCGACGCAGACGTACATCAATTGGAGCGGCGCCGGTGTTTTGGCATATATCCTGTTATTCCAGGGAAGCACCATCCTGACCGAATCTATCAGCGCGAGCAAGTATCCTGAATATGACGATTATCAGTATTTAGTCGGCAAGTTCATTCCTATCCCGTGGCTCGGCTCCGGACACAAGGCGATGTCCAAGAAAAAGAAAACTTCGCACAAGCAAAAGAGGGAGAAGAAAACAGAATAATGCAATTTTTGCATACGTATAATATCTCCAGCATGGGAGATATTTTCGATTTGGCATGTCTGTCGTATCCTCCTTTTGGGTTCTTGCGTTTGAGTTGTTTTCGCCCCATGTATTTGCGAGCTGGGCTTGATTTGAGTTCGGGTGGTGTTTGACCTGGAGCTCCCAGTGCATTGTGCTTTGTATGCATGTTGAGATTTTTGTCTTGATCGCAGATTCCATCTAATGGCTCAACATTGCGGCCAAGTTAAGCATTCATTTGCTGAACAAAAAGATGCACGGATGGTATCTTCACTAGTATTAATCTCCTTACCGTACAACATAATCCTACCCAGATAGATGTAGAGAAAGGATGGTGGTTAAAAAGCAATATTATAAAATGCTCGCTACTTTACAAATAAGCTACCAAGGAAAAGCCACATTCCAAGTTGACACTTCATGGTGTGAAAATCAAAAAGCACAAGCGCCGTAAGAGGAGAGATCCAGCTAGGTGAAAATATCCAATATCCATCATCGATACAACATGATAAAGCAAGATTTCACCCCTTCTTCTGCCGCTTCTCTCTTTTTTGTTATCTCTCCCACTCTTTGAGGAATGGTTTCGAATCAACTAGCACCTAGTAACACACAAATTGGGAATATGGAGATTCCAAGAAACTGTCCGGAAGGAAAATATGAAACTGAGCGTCAAAGAAGTGGATTGGGAGGATTGGACGTAAGAGAAAATGAAAAGAGGTTTTAGATTGTACAATACATACGCGTGGGACATCAGGGTCGAAAAGATATGTGGGGGACTATGTATGGCGAATCGTATCGATGCTCTAAGGGGAAGGGCGGTCGCTTTCTTGGCTGTGGTCGCTCATACTTGGGCCGCCCTCGGTGGGTGGTGGAGGCGGAGCAAGCGTTCCAGCGCCGCCAGTTCCATCAAAGTATTTTGCAAATTCTCCAGATTCGGGCCAAGGCCTTTTGCCAAGGAGACGGACTAGGTCATCACGGCTGAGAACCTCCTTGGACAAAAGCTCCTCAGCAACGAGGCGAATCTCTGGTTTCTTTGCTTCCAACAGCTCACGGCATTGCTTGTAGGCTTCGTCAACGAGGCGTCGCACTTCGAGATCGATGTTCTTGGCAGTTTCTTCGGAAAATGGCTTGTGTAGTTGTTGCTGGTCCTCTTCGAAGTACAGATATCCGATCTTCGACGACATACCGAATTTCGTTACCATGGCGGTTGCGAGGCGTGTGACTTTGTTGAAATCATCACTAGCACCACTTGTGACGGTGTCGAAATGAAGCTCTTCGCTAACACGGCCGCCTAGTGTCATAGCCATGCGATCCATAAGTTGGCGAACGTTCATCAAATAGGTGTCGCCTTGCGCGGGTAGATATTGAGCGTAGCCTAGAGCACCCTGACCACGTGGGATGATGGATACTTTGAGCAACGGATCAGCATATTGGAAGTACCAACCACAAATGGCATGACCAGCTTCATGGTAAGCAACAGTGCGTTTCTCTTCGGGCGACAAGACAAGTGATTTCTTCTCAAGGCCGCCGACGACTCTTTCAATTGCTTGCTCAAAATGTTTCATCGTTACGCTAGACGCGTGGCCACGAGCAGCTGTGAAAAGATTAGTTTGAAGTTTCAAAATGTATTAAAGAATAGATGTAGAGTGTTCACATACCAACCAAGGCAGCCTCATTCACACAGTTTGCAATGTCGGCCCCAGAGAAGCCAGGTGTCAATGCTGCTAATCTGCCCTTCAAGTACTCCATGTCTTCGTGGGTAACAATTTTCTTCAAATGAACGCCGAAAATTTGCTTGCGACCGTCCATCGTTGGTCTATCAATTGCAATATGTCTATCGAACCGACCAGGTCGCATCAAGGCCTTGTCAAGCACATCGGGTCTATTAGTACCAGCGAGAACGACAACTTGCTCAGAGGTATTGAACCCATCCATCTCCGTTAGAATTTGATTGAGAGTACTTTCGCGTTCGTCGTTACCACCACCAAAGTTTTGCTTTGCTCTCGATTTACCGATAGCGTCAATTTCGTCAATGAAGATGATGCAAGGGGTATTCTTCCGCGCAGTTGCAAAAAGATCACGAACGCGAGACGGACCAACACCGACAAACATTTCCACGAATTCTGAACCACTGACGCTGTAGAAAGGAACGCCAGATTCACCGGCCGTAGCCTTTGCCAGCAGCGTCTTACCAGTACCTGGAGGACCTGACAAGATGGCACCACGAGGAATCTTCGCGCCTAGTCTTTGGAACTGCTCTGGTTTCTTAAGAAAACTAACAAACTCCATAATTTCAACCTTGGCCTCGTCCATGCCAGCAACATCGGAGAATTTGATCTTGATATCGGTCTCATGGTTAAATCGTCTGGCTCGGCTTTTCCCAATACCGAAGATACCACTTTGACCGCCTGCTCCGCCACCGGCACGTCTGGATAACCAAAAGAAAGATCCGATGAGCAGTAACGTTGGACCGAAGGACAACAAAGTGGCTAGCCATGGCACTTCATCGGAATAAGCAACAGGAATGCGCTCTGAGCTTGGTATACCAAGCTCCCTCTGTGCATCATCCAATCTCCTTTCAAAGGCTTCAACGGATCCTATCGTAAAGTAGTAGTGGAAGTTTGGTTGGCTGGCGGGGGACTCAGGATACATGCTCGCGACGGCTTCACGGTGCAACTCCACGCGTACTTTGTTGCGGTTGACAACTGTGAGTTTATCTACAAGCCCCTTGTCAAAGAATGTAGTTCTAAACTCTTGCCATGTGATGTCCTTGGAAGTTTCTCCGGGGAAAAGGCTGCGGTAGATGTAGTATGAGATAAAGGCGCCGATTAAAAAGTTGCCGGCGTCGAATTTGAACTCGAAGGGCTTGAACTGTTGACCTTGATGGCCTTGTTGGCCCTGTTGGCCCTGCCGACCCTTCTGCTCGCCACCCTCTTGCTTCTGGGACTCTTCACTTTCTTTTCTAGCCTTCTCCTCCCTACCGTCGAAGTACCCCTCCTTGAAGCCCTCTTTCTTGGTCATCTTCGAAGCCACCTGCCACGAATGTTTGCTGAGGATTCGAAAAAGCTTCGCCGCGGTTGCAAGGGAAAGTTCTTTCGACTGGTGGACTTCCTTCAGGACCTCTTTAACCTCCGCCGGTAGACCCGCTCGCTTGAGCTCCTCTCCCGCATCATCTATCAGCTTTGATTGCGAGGCCGGCAACGTCTTCTTCAGCGATTGAACTATTTTATCGATCTGTTCGATCTCTTCCTTGTTCGCCTGGTACTCTGGCTGCTTCGGCTCCTTCCCACCCTCAGGACCCTGTTCCGGCCCTGGCCAGGAAGAGTTCCTGTTACCATTATGCTCAGGCCCACCCGAGCCCCGTATTTGCTTGTCGGAAGCATCTTTATTCTCGCCGGGGCCGTTCTTTTCGTCTCTCTTATCCCGCGGGGGTTCTGGGTCGCCTTGGTTCACGGTGGCATAGGTTCGGGGACGGTGCGCGGATATGAACGCGGAAAGCTGAGATTGCTGCAATGAACGAGGCCTCGCACTCCGCGCCGCATACGTCGCACACTCTGTTGCTCTCCTCGAGTATCGAGCAAGGTTGCCAGGCCGTCGAAGAAAAGTGGCCATTGTCGAGTGAGAGGGACAGGGTGAGACCGGCTACTTGAATTGACGACAGTCGTTCAGGAGAAATTGCCGCGCTAGAAGACCCGTGAGAGACCCCATGCGACAGGGGGAATGTCAGATAATAATACAGAAGAAAGAATGAAGAAGCTGAGCGCCGTGGGATCCCTCGTCGTCGAGGATATTTGCTGCTCGGGGTTTAGGCGAACGTCCTACGAGCGAATTCAGCACCATGCCCGGCTGCTGACCGAATTTTCGCCCAGCCGCTGACTCATCCGCCAGTGCATTCTAGAACGCCAAGCCCCGCGAGCCACACCCTGCCACTCGTGACTCGCCGCCGGACGACAGCGGAATTTCTCGCTCGCAATCTGCTTCAACGCCCGGTTGGGATTGGGCCGCCAATGTTGGCTGGAAACCCCACAGAAACCAACAATCTCGGCCCGCAACGACGCCATGCTCGCCCGTTCGAAACCAGGACTTGGGCATGTCCTGGAGATGACAATAGTTTGTTCAGCCGCAGAATGCTCTGAACAGAGCTCAAATCGCCTTGAATCAGATTTGTTGCTCTCCTCAACCCTAGTCTAGCACCCAATCTACATTGCGAAATGGTAGTTAAGAATAGATGTTTTCTCAAATAAAGAAATGACTTAAAACTAACATAAAACAATGTCTCAAAGGTAAAGCAGTCAAAAGCTCTTGTCCCATGCCCTCAATAAAGAAAAACAATGGAACAAAAAGATAGTGGAGAGGTGCACCAGATGCCTAATAATCAATATACATACTCCGCAGATAAAACTCCGCTGGAATGTCTCACATATTAACCGCTCTCCCGGTTGCCCAAATGTTTGCATCTATGTGATTTGTTTCACCCTGTTGCCCCTGGCCCTAGCCCATTACCAACCAAAGTGGAAGAAAATAAATAAATATAAAATAAAGTGTAGAAAAGAAAAAAAAAAATAAAATAAAATAAAAAGAAAAGAGAGGAGGGTGAGGTATCTTCGTAAAAATGGTCTTCTTCATATTATCAATTTGTCCCTTCATCTCCGAATTGAAATCCGTTATTCGGCATTTCTGCCCAGTCCCACTCCAGCGTCATCGGCATTTGCCACAGCTCATGAGGCACAAACGGTTGCTGGAAAGCTGAAATATCAATGGGCAGCGAATTAGTAGAAAATTGTTGCTCTTGGTTGAGTCCTGCTGCTTGATTTAGGGTTGGGCCTCCCAACAGGTCGGACAACTCTTGATTAAGCCCTAGCGGGCCTTTTGGAAGTGCGCCTGGGACATTCTCGGCCGCGGGGGTGTGGAAGACGGGTTGCTGCTCTGGACGAGATGATGGAAAATTGGCCATAGAAGGCGCTGCTTCCTGGCGAGTAGCATTGCTCGGCATATATGAAAAGGAAGGCGATGCTTGTGTCGTCTGTGGCTGTGTGGCCGATGGCGTCGGTGCGGCTTGGGGAATATCCACATGAGGACCATTTGGTGTCTCGGCGGAGCCATTCTCCTCACCAGCAGCCTTGCGCTTTCGTTTTGCCTGTGACTCCTTTTCGGACCGGTCCAATACAACTTTGGCGATCCTCTCGAATTCAGAGCAGACACTAAGCATGCGCTTGACACTGCCATTCGACTCATCCGTCGCAAGTTTGGATAAGAAGTTCACAACAAGATTCATTAACTTCACGTCAGACCGGGCTCGGGCGTCTAATGGGTTCTGTAGAATATTTGCGAACAGCGTAACCAAAGCTGAAATTGGGAAGTAGAGGATCAACCTGTGTGGGTTATGTCAACTATAAGCAGAGTCCATGGATTATCGATAATAGTGCTTACCAAACACAAGCAAAATCCCCCTGTGGGATGTACTTGATCAGGTTGATCGACGCCCTGGCGGCAGATACACACAGGACTGCGGAAGAAAATACCCGGGGATTCAAAGGTCTGGCATTAAGACCTTGGATGGCGTAGTTTGACAGCCGACTTGTCCAGTATCCATGGTGGACTGACATGCGATGTATAGTGGTAAGGCAATTATAGTAAGCGAAATGAAGCACCACGATGGGTAGAATTAGAGGCCGATGCGTAGCCTTGATTTCGTATTCGGGGCGAAAATCGAGAGGGATACTATCTTTCCACTCTTCAAGCTCTCTATCAAGCTCTCCAATTGTGTTGAGAAGCTCCCCATCAGACTGACGCGAAGCCTTTGTTGAGTAGAGTTGCTTGTAAACTTTGCTTTCAATTGTTGCAAAAAGGCAGAGAAGGCGAAATAAGTTCACCTTGCTTTTACCGTCGGAAAGGGGAACATTTCCGATGTTGTCCGGGGGGTCTTCACTCGGGAGCTCAACGTTCATGTCATCATCATCTTGAACTGGTGGGCGCCCGGAACGTAGACAGATACTACAGCAGGTTAGTTGACAAGTACTAAAAGCCGGGGCGAGAACATACTCTTTGTCCAGCATATAAGCAATCCAGAAGACGCGTTTCCGTTGCTCGAGTTCTACGGGATTTAGACCGAACCCGGAACCGCGCTTATGGAGACCAATACTGTGGGAAAGGCGAATAGCGGCTGCAACAAGGAAGAAACTTGGTTGCGGGTTGGGAGTCCCTTGGAGAAATAGAGCCTGGGGCCATTAGTATCACAATTATTTGCTGAGGCAAAATGTACCTCTCGGAAGGCTACGTCTCTACTCACCATACCAAGAAGCGCTTGCACACTTAACAGATCGGCATTCCGCATGGTCAACTCTGTCAGCACACCCATCGCATTTTTGAGGTAAAGCCAAGCCTTCTTGTCCTCTTCCTGTGGCACCAAGTTACTCATAACTCGTAATCGGTGTGCGATCGCCAGTGCAACATTGATACTAGCCCACCAACCCGACCCTTCGTAGGGATCCCGTGAATATTGTCTCTCTACCAAATGCATAAATGTTGGTTCATGAAACAGTGGGAAAACACAGTTGAAGTTTTCGAAGTAATCTCTGAAGAGAGACAGTGCCTCATCACGCGGTGGCAACGGCTTAAACACTCGTCGAGCAAATATGTCACTGAAGATCTCCGGCTTCCAGTATATCCACTTATTGTCGTCGATATAAGCAGACGATATCATATCCTCAAAGGACGAGTCTCCCGTTTTCTCGTTCACCCATTGGATACCTTTGGGAGAAAATATAGAGAAACCTGACGAAGATCCTGCAAACACACGTTAGCGGCCCTATTCGAAGACGGATCAAGTGTAATTACCAATATATCTCGTTTCGCCACAATTGGTTGTGACGAGAGAGCACATCATATCCGAAAGAGAATCTAGCTCTGCTTCAGATTCCTTTTGCGAATCAGGCGAACCAGCGGGACTCCGAGGGCTAAGGTTTGGATCTGCGCGAGGAGTAGACTGATGCGAGGATGCGCCTTGCATCATTGAGTGCATGGCGGTCGGAACAGCAGGAATTCTCGAGGCCTGGCTTCCCGCCGCCATAGATCTATCAGCAAGCCGCCGTTCAAGCGTCCCAAGATCTGTCTTTCCACCATCGACCTCTGATAGTAATCCAGAAAGCCTCAACAACGACTCCATGCGCCCTAAGCGGTTCTCAAGCCCTTCGATGTATTTGGCTCTAAATAGAATAGTATCATATCAGCATAACGTCAGAACGATCACCGCATAAGAGAACTGAACATACCCTTTTGGTGGGTTCCTCTTCTTCTCGACTTGCGTGAACACACATTCTGTCTTATAATTTATGCAATGTGAGCATTTTGGCATCTTTCCATCACATTTGATCTTTTTTTTCCGACACATATCGCAAGCCTAAGAGTAAATTCATTAGCGATTCTCGCTTTCCAATCTTCCCGAGAGCCCGAACAGGGACCGCATACCCTAGCTATCCTTCTCCGCTTCGCGTCATTATTGTCCTCCACACCACCCATCATTTGGTCTTCTGAAAAGGCCGCTGCCGACTGCGTTGGCGGAATAGGAGAGGTGTCAGTGTTGGGTGCGCCGAAGATTTGAGGCGGCTGGCCCGTGATTTGGGACAGATCGAAGTCTGCGCCATCTGGCCTTCCTGCGCCGAAATGCTCCATTCGGGTGAGCTATTCCAGCTCGATTCGGATCTAAGTTGGTGCAAGGACCGAAACCAAATTGTTTTCTGTGTCCTGTCAAGGCAAAATTCTACGACGTGGATCGCTTTCTGCCGGCAGATTTGTGAGGCGGGGAAGGAGAGGATAGTCGGGACGTGGGGCTGCGGGAGGATAGACCTGTGGAGTGCGTGGGAGTCGAAGTGTAAAACCAGCAACAACTTATCGACAAGGCAGGCCGTCACAAGTGCAAGTCGGACAGAGAGAATTCGAGTCCGGGTGCTGGGCAACGTAATGCAAACTTGTCTGATGCTATAGCTAAAAGGCTGGGGGAGAGGCGTTGTTGGATTTATTGTCAGGAAGCTTGGAAACTATACAATTTAGCTTCTTCCCACCGTCCAGCAGCCACAGAACCACCCGAAAAAGACCCAGGCCTAGAGGACGGGAAGAATTGGGCGGCGGGAACAATCTTTTATTGACTCCTGGTTTCAAGCTTCGAGGTTTCGTCCAGGCGCAGGATCCGGCGGACGATTCGTTAATCAATATCTTGGCATCGACTCAGAGAAGCAGATCGGTGCCAGCCGAAGCATGAACTAAGTAGTGGGCTACGGGAAGCAGCCCGAGGACCTAGAAGTTGGGACTATTTCCCCTAGCCCACGAGCCCTTTTTTCGTCGTCAGCTTGGGATATAGGGCTCCAGAAATACGAAGATTAGCCTGCAAAGGATACACCAACCATTCGAGAGCTCTCCGTGTTCCAACTCCGCAGCCAACTTGGAGAATCAAACGTCCAGGGCTCGCTAGGCTTCCAGACGGGAACTTCTCTTGGTCAACAAGGAACACAGATAGCTGCGTAAATTGCGCATCGTGGGAACCCGGGAGGCAGATGAGCCAATCCCTCTCCTTACTACTTAGACTTATTCTTCAGACTGATCACCTTGTGCAACACGACCTCGTGCGTGAGCACTGTGACAAAAGGCAGTGCCTAGGACATCTGTGATAATTATGGACATGGAATGGTCTTTCTCAAAAGTTCTCCGAGCGGATGGGATCCCGGCCGTATACTCCGCATATCTGTACGTATGTCCTCCGTACGGAGTACTCCAGAAGTATCTACACACGTGCGCCTATGAATGCTTCAAGATCTCCCAAGGTTGCTTTCAGTTCTTTCTACGAGTTAGACCAGTCAATCACAGGTGCATAGCGGAACTCAAATATCACCCTCAAAATACGAAATGCGTTTTTCAATTCCACTTTCGCTGTTGGCGAGGATGATAATACGGGTATTGCAGAAAGCCACAAGAGCAGCATCCCTGTTTAGAGTTGACTAGTGAACGAAAAAAGTGCTGAGATGGATTTCATGCGGACGGAACCAAGAGCTCAAGAACCGGTTTGCTCACCAGAAAAAAACACGCATCCAGGTCCTGTGTGTGATGACCACCCCATACGCTTACCGCTTATTGCTCACGCGCGAATCAGCTGGCTTCATTTTCCTCACGACAATAAATTCACTCCAAACTCCTTTGTAATCTACAGCGTAACTTTTGTAGCACATTCCAGTTCGAAAGAGCCAGCCGACTGATCGTTACTTCAGCCCAAACTCATATATTAAAAAGCCCTCTCAGCTGACATTTTGCATTCGGAGCATGGGAGCATGCCAGACCCAAATCGCATGCGATGGTGTTTCGCTTCGCCGCGATTCCGCAGATAGGCAGCAAGTGTGCTTCCTTTGACGTGCGGTCCATCCAATCAAGCCACTTGGCTTCGAGAAACAATCTCGCAGATCCTTGGCCGCGCTGCCCGAATCGATGATATCTTGAGCTAGTGGCATTATGCCGTCGTTAATCGGAGCAAGATGGGCGGCACGGTTCGGACGGAACGGCCGCTCAGTCCCAAGGCGCTGGAGATCGGATCCTGCCCAAGGCAGCAACATTTCGTCTTGGAAGCAAACGTGCACCCAGCGACCCCTCACCTCCAATACTTGCTCAATGGATTCCTGGCCCTCTCTAGCCTTTCTCTCCCTCACACGACATTATGAAACAAAATGGATGTCGAAACGACCCCGTCAAACTTTGTAGTCCTATCTCTAGTTTTTTGATCAACCCAAAAGCTGTACTCTGTTTGTAGCCGTTCTCCCAGGAGTCAATCGGCCATCTCATGATCACCCCTCCGTGTGACTTGGCTCAATGCAGCGCGCTAATAGTTAATTAGTTACGTTCCTGCCGCGAGAATTCGGACGCCAGTTCGGAGGAAAATTCAAGTCGGATGCTTTGGCCCGCCTCGCTTCACCATCGACGACTGATGGCTGGGTGACCTCCATGAGCTCTTCATTAACAATGTCATCTTTCAATATATCCTTTGAACCTCCATCTTCGACATACGAAGGCAAAAACGGTCGATACCCCCCTTATCATCCCGCGAGCCAATCATCATCGATGCTATCAAGCATTCCCTCAGTGCGATGGTGGGTTTCCGCTGTCAAACCTTCCCGATACCCATAATCATAAAATCCACCTTTGGGTCTGGTCTCCCTAGCACAGCTTTGTCAGAGACTACACATATCACTTCAGAAAATTGCTAATAGGCCTCTATTTCTCTGCATTCCCGGGTTCTAACTAAAAGGCTATGAAAGTCATGTCAATGTCATCAGCGTTCCTTATATTTCTTTAACCTTTCCCCCAGTTGTACCAAGATTCATCGGTATCTTGACTTGGTCAGGAAAAGAGCCTTAATGCTAGAAATGCTAGCATTGTGAAAAGGTGTTTCTAGATCTCCTCTTCTCTATATGTCATCTAAGTACAAGTAGAATCATCGATGACTTTTCCTTGCGGCAAAAGTTTGAGTTTCAAAGATTACAGCGCATTGACAAGGCGGCGTTCCTTGCGCAAAGCACGCAATTTCTCTCTGGCTTCATTAAGGGGGACCAAGCTTCCCTTTGCTTGGGAGCTGGGGTCATCTCGGTTCCGGATGTTGACCGTGCGGGTTTCCTTTTCTTGTGCTCCGACAACTAATTGAAGAGGTGTTAGCAAAGATCCATAGGCATGAAAGAAAACCCGCAAAGACCCACCGAAGATAAAATTATATTGAGCCAACTGGCCATTTCGAATTTTCTTCTGCAGAGTATTTCCGCTGACATCGATATCTACGTTCAGTTTATCGCCGCGAAGGATACCTTGGAGCTCCTCCACGTAATCATAGACGGCAGGCATAACTGGCACAATGAGGATCTGTCGAGGGCTGAGCCAGAATGGCCATTTTCCACCAAAATGTTCAATCAAAATCCCGAAGAAGCGTTCAAAGCTACCGATGATGGCGCGATGAATCATAACAGGCCGGGCACGTCCAGGTCCCGGGACACCATCATCAGAGTCAGCAGCTTTACTATCACCACCTTCCCGGGGTCCAGATTCCTCCTTCTTAGGCTCCGGAGCCTTGGGTTTAGCTATTTCGTTGGTCATGTACTCAAGCTTGAAGTTTTGAGGCAGCTGGTAATCGAGCTGGATGGTAGCACACTGGAACTCTCTCTTAAGAGCATCCTGAATGGTAATATCGATCTTTGGTCCGTAGAATGCACCATCACCTTCATCTATTTCCCAATCTGACCCTTTAAATCTGGTAAGGGCCTCCTTCAATTGAGCTTCAGCAAAATCCCAAGTCTCAAGTTTGCCCAAATATTTCTCTGGCCGAGTTGATAGTTTGAGTTTGAAACTGAACCCAAAAAGACCATAGATAGCGCGAAGGAAGTCAAAGAGGCCTTCGATTTCTTGGGTGATCTGCGACGACCATTAGTGAGTGTCTCTAGTTTAGAAATGTGGAGTGAGGAATACCTGGTCCTCAGTGCAGAAGATGTGCGTATCGTCTTGCTGGAACTTCCGAACACGAGTCAACCCATGTAATGCACCGGAAGCCTCATTTCTATGAAGTACGCCGAAATCCGCCATACGGAGTGGCAGTTCTCGGTAGCTTCTCTCACGATGATTGAACATAATGCAGTGACCGGGGCAGTTCATGGGCTTCAAGGCCCACTCCCGTTTCTCCACGGCAAGTTTGAACATATCGTCTTTGTAATGATTCCAATGACCAGAAGTACGCCACAAGCCAACATCGTACATGTTTGGTGATTGAACTTCTTGGTAGCCGCGTTTGCGGTACTCTGTACGGAGAAGTTTTTGCAGTGCATTGAAAATTTTGGTACCGTTAGGGAGGAGGAAGGGACAACCAGGAGACACCTCGTCAAAGAAGAACAGCTCCTGTTCCTTTCCGATTTTCAGGTGGTTGCGCTTCTCGGCCTCCTCGAGAAATTTTAGATGTTCCTGCAGTGACTTCTTATCGGGGAACGCCACACCACGAATCCGTTGGAGGGAGTCATTTGATTGATCACCCAGGAAATATGCAGAAGAGTTCTAAAGGTTGTTAGTAGCCGGAATCGGACAAGATTGCTGACAACTTACCTGCATGATCTTCATTGCCTTTATTTTGCCCGTATTCTGAATATGGGGTCCTCTGCATAAATCAACAAGCGTTCCACACCGATACACGGTGCTGCTCTCTCCTTCAACAAGGTTATTGATATAATGCATTTTATATTTGCTGTAACCGAACATCTTCCTCAAATTTTCTTTCGACACCTCCAATCGGTCAAAGGATTGCTTTTCTTTGAAAATTCTCGCGGACCGGGAATCCAAAGAGGGCCAGTCCGATTCCTTCACGACTCCGCTGCCATGGGGTTAGTGATCACCTCGACATCTTGGGTGGCAGTGCTCACTTGTCTGGCAGAGCCATATCATAGAAAAATCCTTGGGCGGTGGGAGGTCCATGCGAAAGCATACAGCCATATTCGCACTCGGCAGCCTCACCCAAAACGTGCGCACTGGAGTGCCAAAACACCTCCCTTCCCTCTGGTGAGTCAAAGGGAAGATAGGAAACCCTGCAGTCTCTCTCCAGAGGCCGATCCAAGTCCCAGAGTTGTTTGCCATCAAGCTTCGCAATAACAACATTTGAGCTAAGTTCCTTTGGTATGTCCTTCAAGAAAGAGCCCGGGGTAGATTCCCAAGCCTTGGCAATGACTGTTGCCGGCGGGCCGTCACCGACATCGAGGGTGACCGTAATGTCAAATCGAGGTTTGGATTTTAATTCCTCATCAGCAGCCCTTTTCAACTCAGCGAACAGCCTATTACGCTCGACGATGAAGTCTGGAAGGGGCGTCTCCTCTGGTTTCTTCGGCTTTGGCTTGCCCGCTTTCTGCTGAGGGGCAGTGGGAGTGGACGAGACGGACCGATCAGGGAGGTCGGTTTGGACGCCTTCAGAAACCTGCGGCTTTGCGCTTTCTCCAGCCATGTTGAGAACCCAATTGTAGTTGTCACTATCCCAAATTTTCCCACGTAGTCGCCTGGTGAGTCTCTATTCTCGATCGACTCGCCAGATCTAGATTTGGTGAGGGGACAATTTTACGAGCCCGCGCCGGCAGAGAAGGCGGTGAGTCACGTGATGACATATTTTTCACAATATTAGCCGAAGCTAGCTTTTGGTGTTGAGCGAGAGCAACTCGTTGATTGCATACAAATTCTCCAAACCGGTCTACATTTAACCAAAGGATCGGCAACATGGCATCGCGAGGGGGTAGCAGAGGCCGCGGATTTGGCACCGGCGCCAATCGTGGTGGTTTTTCTGCTCGTGGTGGTAAGACCCCGATACAAATGTGAAATTGCTCATGAAAAATGCTGATGGCGAGCTGCGGCATCAGGACGAGGAGGAATGCAACAATCTTTTGGGCCCCCGACAACCGTTTTAGGTACATCTTAGCGAATCATTTTAGTTGAACGAGAAACTGATCAAATTTTAGAAATGGGCTCATTTATGCACGCGTGCGAAGGAGAGATGGTTTGTGAATCAATCAATCCCAAAATCCCGTACTTCAACGCGCCGATATATCTCGAGAATAAGGTACATATGATCTCTCTATGTGCGGGATCGCAGGACCTCCAATGGGCTAACATGACGCGCAAATTAGACGCCAGTCGGAAAAGTAGATGAGGTTTTGGGACCAATCAACCAAGTGTACTTTACGATAAAGCCGCAGGAGGGTATCGTCGCGACATCTTTCAAACCGGGTGACAAATTCTACATTGGGGGCGACAAGCTGTTACCTCTGGAGAAGTACGTTGACACTTTGTTGATATACTTTGCTGGGATACTAATCGCGCGTCCTAGATTCCTGCCAAAACCCAAGCCACCACCAGGTAAGATAAAAGGTCGTCGACTGATATTAAAATGATGTTTTAACAAATTCTTCTAGGGGTTTCAAAACCAAAGAAAGCCGCTGGAACCGGTAGAGGTGGTGTCCGTGGAGGAAGAGGTGGCGCCCGCGGTGGAAGAGGAGCTCCTAGAGGGAGAGGAGGCTTCGGAGGAGGCTTCGGAGGCAGAGGTGGAGGTGGAGCTCGAGGTGGAAGAGGCGGTGGATTCTCTTCACGCGGTGGTCCAAGAGGAGGTTCTCGAGGCGGGTTCCGGGGTCGCGGTTAATTCTGCCTTTCCTATTTGGCGTTCAGGAGCATGTGTGGCTGGGAGTTTTCGTTTGGATACGGCTGTCCACAACCTTGATCTGATTGTTGTATTTCAGCAGGATCGTGTAAAAATAGACGAAAATTTTGCGCTGAGTTTTGTAGTGAATCAACAAAATTGTGACATTCTGTAGTTCCACCTCTCGATTGGCTGTGAAGTCCAAGCTTGGCTGCAAGAAATTCAGCTTCTGATTTCGGTGCCTATGGCCGCTTATGACGTTTCGAATCAGCAGCCAAAAATTCAAGAACACTATTGCTCCGTTGTCAGCTGTCCTTGAATTTTCTCAGTGATCCTTCTTTCAACAACACCAATAACAACCTCAAAAACTGCAAAACCATCAATCTCCCACCAAAGTTCCTGTTCGCAGCCCTTTTTCCCACATCATATGCTCCCGAGTCCAAGGCTTGGCAATGTCCCGCAGAAGTTCTGTCCCGATCTCAGCTCCGGTGGACAATGCCGGTTCGGACTGCAATGCGAACCATAAAGATTCGAGTAAGTACTTGGGACATACAGCAGCGTGCCTCGAAATGCGTAAGCTTACTTAAGTTAGCTCAAGATAAACAAAAAATGCTTCTCTCAGCGGATACAGGGCATTTTAGCATGATCAGGTCAGTGCTTGGTTGAAGTCATAAGCTACGGAATCTCCAATATCTGCCTGAACAGCTGCTCACGGAGAATACGAGTTAGGGCCCTTCATCTTGCTGATCTGATTACTGAATTAAATGGTAAGCCTCGCCCGTTATCCTCTTTCACCCTTTTTTACGGTCCATTGAAAAACTAACTCCCTACCATAGGATTCTGTGGAGGCAAGCTTTACCTGCGCGCCCTTCGTTGGGATTGACTACTTACATTGTTGTTTTTAGTGATGTCGATATTTTCTTCGATGCGATACTGTCTTGGAGACCCTGATCAGTTTAGAGAATTGTGGATTGCTTTGGCATTCATGCCATTCGGCCTGTTTTTCGACTTCATGGACGGAAAGGTTGCTAGATGGAGAAGAAAGTCGTCGCTCATGGGCCAGGAGCTTGACTCCTTAGCTGATTTGGTAAGAGATTTATTTTGTCGCCAATTCCTTTTACAACATGCATAGCATCGATAAACACAAGCTTACCACTCTCACTCGCTGCAGATATCTTTCGGTGTTGCTCCTGCTGCAGCCGCATTCGCTATCGGAATCCGTACACCACTGGACCACGTCGTCCTCGCCTTTTTCGTTCTCTGCGGCCTCACTCGTCTTGCCAGATTCAACGTCACTGTTGCTACTCTCCCCAAAGACAAAACCGGAAAATCACAATACTTTGAAGGAACCCCGATCCCAACCACCCTATCTATCGCCGCTGTGATGGCATACTGGGTCTCTAAAGGTTGGGTCTTGGAGGATATACCCCTTGGCGTGATCGCACGTGGTACCCTGTTTGAATTTCATCCTGCAGCTGGCCTGTTTGCTCTATGGGGTTGTCTAATGATAAGCAAGACGATACATATCCCTAAACCGTGAATGGCATGCAGAAGAACAGAGAGAGGAGATGCTCTAGGGTTCGACTTAGGAAGAAAAATCAGTGTTCAAACCAATTTTAGGTTAATAACCAGCTATTTGTGTGCTTTGCGAAAAGCCTTGCTTTACTTCGACCATTAGAAGGTGGGCAAACGGAAGACAATAAGACTCGGTTTATGGGACAGCTGTGTGGTGAATGTACCGCAAAATAAATGCATTAAAAGTCTAAGATGCGCTGAGCCATCGTCAATCACTGTACTGTATAACTAGAATCTCAGATGCTTGAATAATTTATTGACCCCGTCCCAGCTGCTCAAAGAATCAAAGCGTGTAAAAGTCAACTTCTCAACAAGCCAATCAAATCGCTACGCCATTTATACAACATGGAAGCACTTTTGTTTCTTTTCATTGTCAGAGGTCAATTCAACCCTTGAATGAACAGTGTCTCTTTCAAAACAATAATCTTCATTGGGGCCCCAAGTTTTCAAACGCAAGCTTGACTCTTTAAGGAGCTTTGACCCTGATGTTCAGAAAACCTGGCCCATTCTCGCCACAACTTCACAGATTTGCTGGCGATGGTGCCGTATCAAGTATTGTCTCCCTCTTTACCCGTGTCACAAATAGGGTGTAACGCCCCATCTTGTTTTAAACATGAGCGACGGCTGTCAGGTTCGTACCTCAAATTGCTGCTGTCTTTCCTGTTTAGATCTAGGGGACACTGGGGCAGCACCCCCTCACGGTCTGACACAGCCAAGTACGCATATATAGTATTGGTCTGGATGTACGGAGTACCCGAGCGGGATTGGCTTTGTCGCACTTCCAATTTTCTCATGTTATATATTGAGTCTTCTTTGCGTTCAGAAATAGCCGAAACTGTGACTGCTGAACATAGTCTATGCACTGAATGATACTTATGCTTGCCACCCAAATGTCTCTGGCAGTATGCAGGTCTGGGAATGATCCTCATGGGCGGACCTGGGATTGATAAGTACCAGTCATCAGTTCTTGCCATGGCATTTCTTGTAGATAACATGTAAGTAGACAGTTCCAACGTGCATGTTTAGCTTGATCTTTCATTGGGTGATGAACAGGGTAAAACTGGTCAGATTATCCCATTCTGTTCACCTGCACCTCTTGACTCTTGAGCTTCAGCGATTGGGCATGTAACATGTTCACGTCATGTTGGCTAACAATGGGATTATAGTCATCCCGCATTTTTGGAAGAGAACTGGAGTAGTTAACAACGAGCTTGAAGGTCTAATAGGGCCTGCTTGAAGTCATTCGCAATATATTGCGGGAGTGTGTGGAAGTCAGAGATGGAAGTTTGTATGTACGCTGTATATATACACAAATCCTGAGCCAAAACAGTACAGGCCAATAGCTATTTGCAGAGTGATAAAAGCCATATGGTCTCCAACATGATCTAAGTGCCTGTGCGCCTACTTCGAGGGGCACATTGTGAATAGAGCAGTCAGTCATGGGCCGATCATCAATTAAAGAGAAATTTACTGTTGTAGCCATGAATAGAACCTTTTGATGTGTCCTCTTCCGCACCTGGGACCTATCCTCCAGAGTTGAGGACAAGGTCACCCCATGTCTTGCAGGAGGCTTCTCCAGAAGTAAGTTACATTCACTCTGTAACCTCTAGAGACATTTTGCTTGATTTGGTGCTTCTCATTCCTCATTGGATGCAGATGAAACAGAGGCAAGTTACAATGAACCTGTCACCTCATTGTCGTCTGAGCTGTGAACACAAAGGATTTTGCTTTGTTGTAATCAGAGAACATTTCACGCAGAAAGTTCATGCCAATAGTTAGTGTTCGACTCTCTACCAAGCAGGGTGGTTAATGTTTGGCCCTCATGGATTGTCAAGTGTACTGTACATACATAAAAGGGGCAGCTTTTATTGGGTATTGAGGTGAAAATCATCATCATGTTAAGATGACCAGACGGAAGACTGAGCAGCAAGAAGCTTAAGAAACTTCAGGGCGACGGTGTTTGTTGGTTCCAAGGCTTTGTGAGAGGCGGGAACCTGTTTTCAGTACTTCGTAAAGAGCTGGACTGTCGCTTACTGTAACAAATACATGTTCCTGTAACTTTCACTGTTGATGAGTTGGCACAAAGATGGAGCCTTGCGAGGCATCGAAATGTGAGAATAAAGATCCTCCTCTGAGGCTGCCGAGAGCCTGCGCGCTGAGACCTGGATCTTGTTGAATAATTACCGAAATCACGGAGATATCCTCCGAAACCACGACTCAGCCACTAGAGATCTGATAGATACCTTCTTCACGAACAGATCCTGGATGGATCCGATAAACACTCTTCCAGCATCTGCTCTGTGTTGTCTCTGCTTAATCGCCCTGCCAGGCCAAGGAAGACTACTCTGTGGCTGAGATAACAATATGTAGTCAACATAGTCTACGGAGTACAGTCCTGGAGTCTGAAGGAGGCCCTGTATATCAGAAAAAGGGGGCTAGTTTCGCAAAAGGCACACCCGCTTCTCGCAGTTCTGCAAGGACGAAGGACAAGAAAAATTCGAACCCGAGCTTTCTGGCTAACGCAAACCCCATGTTCTTATCTGACGGAGTTCAACGCAATCTTCTGAGACATCTGCGCCAGGTCTCCCCCAAACGGCGCAAGGGTTTGAAAGGGACCTCACGCAAACATTCACATGACTGGCGGGATTGCTTGAAGAAATTGCGCAATGAAAAGACTCCCGTCATGATGACTTTTTTCCTGGTCTGATGTAATCACTGCTCTGTGGGGTAGGCACGGTGTAGGAAAATTGCGCGCAGATGCCATATATATTATTGAGCCCCTCTCCTCCGTCTGCGCTCTGAGGAATTTGAAAGGCATCAACACGGCGTCTGCGCTCGATTTGGACTCGACGAGAATCCCGCACAGCCACCGGGACAGGGAGTGTGGAGATCGAAGTGGCCTATTCAGGTTAAGCTTGTTCCTGGCCCGCTCTTAATTTCCATGGGCGCCAGGTATTGTTTGAAATTACGGCGTTTTGTGTAATCATGGGACCAGGTATGGAGGGAATCCGCCAATAACATACGCTGCAGGCGACCCCAGCGGTATCAGTGTGACCGTGTTTGGCCCAGGTGACGTACCATTCCCGTACCGGTAACGTGTTTACCAATCAGCAGTGTGTAAAGTGCCCATACCGGCGGTCAATACCAGTCGTCAGTACGGTAACTACGGTTCGATGGGCGTCCCTTACGCCCAAGACGGTTAGATGGCCTGGCCCTTGCTCGTCAGATCCTTTCCAGGAGGTTTCACCCATCCTCCGCGATCACCATCGACACAGCCCTTCACTTTCGTTTCATTTCCATCCCAAGTTCAACTTCTGTCCATCCTTTGGCATCACCCTTCAAGGACCATTGGCTAGCCCATCAAGCCGTGTTGCAGTCATTGTGTCTTTTCCTGGCTCGTTGGGCTCAGATTCCGCTCTTTTTTCTGCGTTGTTGTTATCTCTTAGCGAGAGTGTACTAGAGATAGGGAAGACGTGAGCAACCCATCAAACACTCACCCCCTCATTCATCAGTTTTTCGCCGTTCTTTCATCGACCCCCTAAGTCACTGTTCGTGCAAATCCATCCACAATCTCGATCGATCCATCGATCCTCACATCCCTCCAGTGCGAGCCACTTGTGTGCAGAGCACATCGCCAACCACCCGAACGTCTCTCGCTGCTAAGGGCTCTACATTACTCCGAGAATACCGGAGCAATCCCAAAACTAATCAAATAAAAATTAAATCGACCGTGATTTCTGGAGGGAACCGCTCATCAACACAGACTCTTTCATTCCTGATTGAATATTCGCTGGACATCATCGGTATTTATTAGTTTTCGTCCCGGAAGCTCGCACCGCCTCGAAACCCCTTAAGCCGGTCGAACCGTTTGCTCGATACGAAACGATATTCTTTATTTTGAAATGCTTGAACTGTCTCGATCGAGTGCATAAAGTCAAGCGATACTCTAGAACAGGATTTTTTGTTTAGTGTCGGATACCCAACAGGGCACCACTGATTGACGGTGCCATTCATACCCATTCGCCTTACTCGCTTCAAGCACATCACTCAAGCATGAGGTCGCTACTTTCAGTGGCCGCCATTGCGGCTTCGATATTATTGCATGGCGGTCTAGTAGGTGCGGCAGACGATATTAACAAGGAGACATCACAAGGATGTTACAAATCATCAGGTTCCATGAAAAGTCAGGGTCCATACACATTTCAGTCCGTAGGATACTGCCGGGGTGTATGTGAGAAGTTGAAGAAGCCAGCCATGGCCTTGTCAAGAGGATCACACTGCTATTGTGGAGATAAATTGCCACCGAAGTCCCAAAAAACGGATGACGATGATTGCAAAATTACGTGTGATGGATATCCTAAGGAGTACTGTAAGCCACGCACTTATCCCCCCTCTCCTTGGGTAAATATGGTTGCTAATTTTTGAAGGCGGTGGGAAAAAAACATTTTCCGTTTTCATTACAGAAAGGAATGATGAGGTCGAATCGGATGATGACAGCGTTCTGACTGCTACCGGTACTTCTACAAGCCCACCGATGCAGACGATAACGCAATCGGGCCATACTGTTGTAGTTACTGCTGGCGGTGATGCAGACAAAAAGGGAGGAGGGCCTAACAAAGCTGGTATTGCTGCCGGTGTGGTGGTTGGAGTGGTCGTCCTGGCGGCTATCATCGGTGGAATCTTCTTCTTCTTGAAGTACAAGAAGCGCAAGGAAGTGATGGAGGAATATCGTCGCAATGCCACAATCAGCAATTTCGTGGCTGGGGGAAAACCATATTCTGAAGGCTCGATGTCTGATTCCAGACTGGAACCTAGTCTCATGTCTCAGCGACGACAGAGCAACGGCAGTATTGCTGATGATCAAGACTTCTCTAGACGGATCCTTAAGGTTCGCACGGCCCCCGCCACACCTGCTTACCTAGACTTTTGCTGAAACTAAAATTTTCCAGGTTACTAACCCTGACTCACACTACTGAGCGATGGTTGCTCAATCTGACAGTCATATTTGAACCATCATGTCCGTCTTTGTTATCGTCGACGATCTCCTTCTGCTATTATCTCATCCTCCATTGCCTTTGTATCCCGTTTTAACGACCTACCTGTTGATTATATCTCTTTCCGGCGTTATGGCATCTGAAGCGTGATGACGCGGGATGATACGAAGATTTCGCCATCTACCAATGCCACTCGAGCAGACACGTCTTGGTACTATTTGTATGAATTGACTAGTTGTACTAGAGCAAAGCCGTGCTCCATTGTGAGCCCAGGAACTGGGGTGATGTCAGTGCAAACCTGCGAAATTATTTTAATGCCGTCTTGGTCATTTCTATCACTCGGTTCCAAATAGCAGCTCGTCTCTTTTTCAACTAACAAGGAGACCTTGTCACATTTTCCCCTCATACCTTGGTCTCTGCTGATGGGGAATAATTCCCTGATGGACCTCTGTGGCTTGCCACGTTTATTCTACTTTGCATGTGTGGAAGGATAAGTTGTTTTTATATGCAATATGGCGTTGATCTGATACATGTATCAATTTTTTCTCTTTAATAAGGACCTTTTCCCTTTTTTCTTTTTGAAATCAAATATATAATCGAACTTGATTCGGGGTACCACACTATCATTTTCTCTTCCCTTCCTGGGTTATGAGCACTCAGATGTGACTATTCTATGGTTACACCTACAAAATACATCTTTCTATATTTGCAATCAAAAAGTTTGAATTCTCCCGCCGTCTGCCGCATGTTCTGATATTCTCTGAAAGATCGCGGAGGCCCTTCACTCCAGTTGTCCCTGAGTTACGAGCATCCATGGTTCTTCACCCGTCAAGCTCAACCACGGGTCTGCCATGCCTGCAAAACCACAATGGAGTCAACGTAATATACGTTGGTTAATTGAATATGAATAATAGTAAAATGGCTGAAAATGATGCCCACTTATTATATCCACAATGTGGATACGAGGCTACGTGGGTTTAACTGTCAAACACCCGACAGACTCGAAATATGCTAACCTCAGGAAATAGAGGTCTGTGATCGAGCGCGTGGCAGTTCAGCGCATTTTCTGCTTTGCCTTTTTTCTTTCTTTTTTTTCCACCTTGATTCGTTCAGCCTACAGTGTGATCTCAATGCGACTCCTTTCCTTCCTTTCCTTTTTCAGTTAAGCATGGGAGCTCACACAACGCAGGATAGGTTGCATCGTGCTCGTCGAAATTCAAAGGGTTCATGGAATCCCAATGGTCATCAGCAGGCGGCCGTTGCCCAGCCGTTCTACTACAGGAGCGAAAGAGGTGACACCTGGAGTAGCCAGCGATGTTTGCCTAGGGAAGCCCATCAAGTGTGTAGATCAAGAACGAAATTTACACTCGCTGGATAGCTTAGCTTTCTTCGATTCTAAAGTCCGACAGAGCACAGGACTAAAACCTCATCTATCAAATGGAGCCACGCACTCGCCTGTGCCATAGAACGGAATTTTTTTGTCCTTGACAGCTGCATGCTTTTGATCTCTAACCCCGCATATCCCTGGCTAGGTATCAAAAGCACATCCGATACATGAATTTCTACAGGTTGTCCAATATCTTAGCATCCAAAAAAGCAGCGATTTGCCTCTTCTGGATTCTTTTGTTACTCGTTACGCATCTCCTGTCCCGAAATACCTGCCGGTTTCTCCTCTCTTCTCTTGCATTGAACAAGGGGAGAAGAAAGAATAACTCTGCGCTTGGGGTGAGGAAACATTTTTGCAGTCCGGTTGAAAATCGACACTGAAAAGCTGCCGTGGCGTTTCATGAACGCTATGCACCTTCAGCCATTCTCGTCGAGCAGGATGTATCATGTCCTAAACTACGTGACTCGTTTGTAGTAATCACTAATTGATATGGAGTGGCACAACATTGTCTTTGATTGCCGGATGAACTCCCGAGTTCACGGCCGGCCGAACTGGGAGTTTCTTCACAAAATGAAGCCAGAGGGATCTCTATATAGACCTGCGCCTGGAAACTCAGGAGCCCTTCTATCTGGGTATAAGACAACTCAACGCACCTTACAACGAATCGGACAACGCTTATCATAATTCTTCCGATTATTCACTCAACTTACGACAAAAGCTCAGTCATGAAGCTCTCCGTTCCACTGATCCTTGCCGCTTTCTCTCCGTTGGTTGCGGCGCGAGGTTGCAAAGCTGGCTATTATTACTGCGGCTTCGTCCTGTTGGAGATAGGTGAGGACATTCCGTTCCAGATAGAATCCATATACTCGGAAGTCTGTACTTCGTCTATTCAGAAAGAAACTAATACCCGATTCCAGGTAACTACGAACGCCAAATCGAACAGGCACTCGAGACGGTGGGTGTTGCTAGCCCATCAGCCTATCAAATCACGGATACGCTCTTCTTCTGCCCAGGAGGTGCTCGAGGTGACGATATCACCTACGTGAAAACCTGCGAGCAGAGGTGCAGTTCTGCCGGAACCGGAGAAAGCGATTTTTGTGTGGAGTTCGAATGATGAGCCTGGGTATGAACGTGCAAGTGTGAAAATAGCTCAATTTGTTTGATTCTTGGGCTGCTGATAAGCGCCTGCTGGAGATATTCTAAATCTACAAGCGAGGGCTATGACTTTTGAGTGACAGAATGGATCGAGTCCTCCGTTTCTACTATGATGCTTGCTAACATGATGAGTCCTAAGCGGGGGCTTAAGTCTTCCGGTCATTAAACTTGCGCTATATTGACCTTTCGGGGCATTAATTTCTTTTTTTTTTTTTTTTTTTGGGGAGAATAACACTCTGTTATGCTCGCTTCATTCAAGCTTAGTAAAGACACAAGAGGTGATGGGCTTGTATGTACGGAGTACTCTGTAGTCTTAATGGGAAATTGATGGAGGAAATGTGTCCGCGGTCTGTATCACTGCAACACACAGCTTCTGGCAGATGGTCGGATGTGAACCATGGAACTACGCCCGATCAGTCATCTGAGGGAAGACAATGGTAACATTGGTTGTTACGCGGGAATCTGGCAGCGCTGCATCCGGATTAGTGCGGGAGGCTCGCCGCTCTGTCCTCACCCCTTTGTAACATCCTCACCATCTGCCTCACCAGCCTCAATCACCCGCCCTCCCCACCAGTCGCCCGCCCGCTGAAAGCATCATCATGTTCAGTCAAGTTTACGCGATGGTCCAAATATTTCTGCCTTGGCCGTGCATTGGCGGCCTGATGCTCAAATTCGGGGAGGGTCTGCCCTCCCCGGTCCAGCTTATTCTCCCTACTCTGTCTTTACTTGTTGTTGTGCATAGAGACTATTTCAAGTGCAGTTTCTTCCAACACCCACCTGTATTCTCCAGTGCTCAAAAAAGTCCCTGTGGCTTCTACATTTCCACCCGCCCGAATCACGCAGAATCAGCACCATGCTAAAGAAAGTCAGCCTTGAGGAAAGGGATTGAAGGGCTGATGAAGCAGATTTTCACCCTGATAAACATCCACGCGACGTACAACCTGTCCTCAAGGCGATAGTTTTCAGAATCAAGAAAAGATTCTTTCAATTTGAAATAAAACCCCTGATCTCATGATTCAAATTTCAGTTATGTGTTAGAACTGAGCTCATTTCCCAAAAGAAAGCATTTTTGAAAGAGTAATAGAAATTCTACAGTGCTCCAACAGTTCTCTATTTGGATTATGGTTCTCGCATGATTCCTAATTAGGTTACTGTGAGATCTCGGAAACATAAGGGTTTTTCGGACCAACGAAATCCCGATATGGTAGCCAAGAGTTGATGGCAGCGTCAAGCAACACTGCGACTCTTGAAAAGCAACCACGCAAGCAAATCCTCTTGAGTTTCTTCTCTACTTGCAACGTCCGCCTACTGAAATATGCTACCTTTTTTTTGCAAGAAACCATCGAGGCCACGCGTCCATGGCCACGCCTGAAGAGCGGTTGCCGTGGCTCAGTGCCGCCTCCATTATTGATGAGAAGCTGCACGGGGTATGTATATCTGGCTTCATCGCTTCTTCATCATGTCGTATCTGATTTGACTGTTCCCTCAAGCCCCGTCCCGACACCCCCATATGCGAAAGAAAATGTGATCCTCAATTTATTAAGAAACTCGAATTTTGCCTTGATGGCCTGCTCTTTATTCAAACACTGCGACGCCGCAATTATGGGGATGATGCTGAGGAGTGGCCCCCAAGCCACACCCCAGTTGAGCTTAAAGGGCGGTGGGAGGCGGAGCAGGAGGCTGAGGCTAGGAGAATACAATCAGTTCTTGAAATTCCTACACCCGAGTATGAACCTCCGGGAGCTCCCCCTATGATTACTAAAAAGAGGAGCCTGGATGATATCCCGTCCAGCCGTTGCTCAAACCCGCCTTCTTCGGTAACTTTACCATGAATATATGCGTCCGTATATATCTTATGTGTCACCGGAATCTAACCCCAGCAAGTCACCCAAAGCGCCGTCGCGAAAAACATCCCGTTTATGGATTCCGCCTCAGTTGCGTTCTACTTCCCTCGCGTCACCCGGAGAAGCGGTCAACTACATCTATCCTGATATACAGGTACTAAGGAAGAGAGAGCATATGGTGCTCAGTGGTAATTGCAGAACAAAGCGTCGGAAAACAAGTAAGTTTACTGGACAATTTAAACCTTTTATAACTAAAATGATTTAGATCACGCCGACTCGATTCCTGTCGCCCGAAATTTGGTCCCCTAAAGCCAAGCTATTGATAAGGCAGCAGCCTCTCACCCGCCGGAATCCGCCCTACCAATTTTCCAAGTACCTACACGCAAAATGAAGAGCGAAACACAAGCAACAAACTGATGGATCTTTTCCCCAATCATGGGTGCAGCGAGACTTCACAAAAAAGTAGATCTAAAAGTTACTTTCCTCAAAAGTTATTCATCGGCGTCGCCAATGAAGCCGACATTCGGGGATTGGGGGTTGTGGATCAACAGAATCAACACTTGGCGAATACATGTCTCATTTGCTTGCTGAATCCCTGCGCCGGTTGTCCAGCCTTGCTTTATCGGTAAGAGTAGCCCCAGGAGCAGGGTCAGCTAATACTAACTATACTCGGACAGAAAAAGCAAGGGTAGAGCAGGTGAAAAGTTCGGTTGGAGATAATGTCTCTACCTGGCAATTCTCACTACATGAAGCACCCTCAGCCATGTCAATTAAGGAATCGGTAGGTGCATATTAGTATTCTGCTGTTGGCTCGCACATTGGTTGCCTCACCACAGACCGTTTGCCATGCCTCTACCGCCTCGGTTTTAAGGACCAGTGGTAACTGCGCAGCACGCATACAATGGTGTTACAATGTGTGGTACTGCTGCCTGACGACCTACCCCTCATTCTCAGAAACAGCCAAGTGTCTCAATATATAACAAAGAAAAATATCAGTATCTCACAGTTGATTCAATCCCTCAGTCTTCATCCACATTCTAGCAATACCAGGCCCTTCCATACGGAGTTCTGAAAAAAAATTGCATTAAAGACAACCCTGCCAGGTAAGACTACTTAAACATATCTCGACTCCGAACACTAAAATGACTCTTGATCCTTAGAATTAAAAAGGACACCGTCCGTCTCCACCTGTTGCCTACACTCTTATCATGTCCGCCGAGAATAAACAAGACTGTAAAACGGGACTCTGTGTCGTCCGCAGACTATGATCCTGTTATTGCCGAGGCAATCAAAGCCAATGCAAATGAACGAAAGCAGCTCTCCACTTCGGGGAAAGCTGCCCAGCAAGCTCGGTTTGCGAGAGGGGCACAGGAATTAGACAACGCGGTAAAAAGAGCTGTCGATGAAGATGTTATCGCGGCGGCAAGGAAAACAGGCGAGACTGGTGGAAACAATCCAAAATAATCGAAGAAAAATATGGGAGAAGAGGTATGACGCTCATCCCAATACCAGTTTTGCACGCTCAAACCTGTCTAGGTCATTTTTGAGCCCCTCGTTGAGCTCCTCGTCCTTCACCCCGAATATCTGTTGAAGCCGCTCGTTATACTCCATCTTATCTTTGACCTTAGTCTTCAGAAATCCCGCTGCGTCGCGCGTCCAATGTTGATATGTTGTCATGAGAAACGGGACTCTGTCCATGTCTGCCATTGTAAACTGGGGTTGGATCCGTGTATAGAAGAGTTTGCCGAGGCTAGACGGGGACAGCAGTGCTAAAATGTACCAGAATGCACCAGTCTCCCAGGCCCTCTTGATGACGGAGGAACACTGTATGGAGTGGGACGGGTGAATCTTGTGCTCCTGCTCCTTGAACATTTCCGTAAACTCCTTATGACGCTCACTGTATTTATCAGGGCTTATTTCATCCACAGTCTCACCAGTCAACCAGTAAGGCGGCTGCATAAATTCCACTGGTTGCGCGATGGCCCACTCGAGATCAATCAGGTACTTGATATTCCAGTCATCGTCAACAAGAATGTTGCTTGCGTGCAAATCAGTCAAGATAAAATGGTCCATGGTTCAGAGTAGGCTCGAAAAACCGGGCTGATAGAGCGCGCATCATAGATAATGCTGACATTTGAGTGACACAATCTGCCACACAAGCGAGTGAATTTGGCTGGTAGCGTAAGTAGCTATCGTGGACGGATAAGAGATCATTAACATATGAGTCGACTGTATGGTACACGCGGTCTCGGGGAATATCAAGAGGTGTCTCCTCGTTTTCCACAATTGTTGAATCCGCTGCGAGAGGCCTATTTTCCAGTCGCAGAAAGCCATCGTTATCAATTGTAAAGGATCCAATTTTTGGCAAGGGCTTGTGGCTGAGGGTGAGGATGACTTTTGCAAGGTTTCGAAACAAATTCATCCGTAGTGCCTGATTACCATCATACTTGTCATGCCAGTCATCTGAGAGCATCCTTCCATCTGCTTCCTCAATGAAATCTATGAGCAAATACGGGCCAAGTTTATTGGAGATAGTGGTTGGATGTTGAACTAGTCGAGATGGAAGGGGAAGTTGGAGCAGCTTTCGAAATGTGCATTTTAGGGAATGCCATAGCTGTGTGAGAAATGGTAGATGCTCTCTCGAAGTAAACTGGAGAGTTTATTAACAACAAATTAACAAAAAAAGAGAGGTAGAAAAAGACAAAAGTTCTCACAAGCTGGCCAGTTGAAAGAGCAAACCCATATAAATGTGGTATTGGAATTGAAGGGCACTCCTGGCTGATCCAAGCATAGGTTGCAGCCTCACAACGCACCTTCTCATCCGCGTTTCCAGGACGAAAGCTCTCGCCCACGCGATAGGGGAGACGAAAGCGCATGATTACGCGCCGTAAAGCGTTGACATTGACAGGCACGCAGAGGTTGAAGCTGCCACTCATCCATTTCTTTGGTCCTTCCACTTGACAAGCTGAAGGACAGATACCTAGGTGGTGAGCAACGAGCTCGGAAATCACATCACAATTCCGGTATATGCGCGTGTAAAACTTCGCCTGCTCGGCCGTGTAAGACAGCTCGCGTACGACATTGCCATCGCTCCCTTTGGCCTGGGAGTAGGTGATCTCCCCCCGGAGGGTACGCTTGGTCGGCATGATCACAAGTGGACGTTGGTTCACTCGCGGCCATAACGCCGAACCTCGATAACTACGGAATATCTTTTTTCCAGCCATCGGTGAATTTGTTACCTAGGTACTCCGTACACACGCTCGCCTATCCTCCTTCTTCTTCCTTCCCCAAGCAATACGTTCGTGTATACTCCGTATAGAGCCTAGCTAGTAGCTTCAGCTCAGCCCCTGACAGTTGGTAAGTACAGACCCACATAGTTTAATTCAATCAAATTGTAGCGATCACGGTGGCAAGTCTCCAATTGTTTTGAATACGTGCGAAAGCATCTAAATGTATTCCTTTGATTCATGAAAAATTGTCAACTCACCTGAAATGTAATCAACAGAATACCTGTGCTGTATGGAAACACAAAAAGTCCTTCACAAGAAAACCAGGACAAAAAGAACCAGGACAACCACCCAAATTACAAAAAGTAAAGGTCCACAAAGTACTATGTGGGGCAGATGTGAAGAGCAGGAGACTACGGAGTACTCCGTACAAGATGCCCACTTTTTTCGGCCCCGCGATCAAAAGCATACCTCAAAACCATGGGGGTCATTTTACTGGGAAATGCGGTCATACTGATCATTCAAAAGATATGAGAATTTTTACAGTACTGTACACTACCGAATTCGTTGTAATGTACGGAGTACAACAAACAAGATATTTCATCTATTCACACTTATTCTCAAGTTTCCCTTGCTTCCCCACTTCCCCCTCTGTGAGGAATAATGCGTGTGCTTTGCTCTTTCTTTCTTTCCTGATACTGGTTGGACGGAAATTAAGCAGTACTTGGATCCATCTGTATTTGATGGATCGCTTCCTGTTCACTGCAGCAGCAGGCAGCATCCACCTTTATCATCTAATTAATTATATTGTAACTACAAACATGGACAGAGCTTGGGCTTCGCACATAGTTCAATATTTCTATCAATCGCTCGTGCCCCGCCCCCACCTGCACTTACCTTCTGCCGAAAAGTTTCCAAGTTACTAGTCATGAGGATATTGTTGTATCACATGCGTCGGCTGCTCATCATTCCGCTCATACCCTAGCGAGAGTGCAAATTTCCGCTACGCAAAATTCAAGCGTTACCGTGCCATGTCTATGCCTTCGTTAGCTGCTGATCACTGAGACAAGTATAGCTAAGCGTTCAAATACCAATTCATCCATACAGTACATAATTGTGTAAATCATGATGATGGGGGAATGGTGGGATATGAGCCATATGCGAAAGAATTTGTAGCTAGGTAGAGGAAAAGACACTTTCGGAGTATATTAGCCGGTTTTGATTAAGCAGCTTCAACCGTGCGTCGGGCACATATATACCCAATGGGGATGGCCTTTTTCGTTCACGCGTGACACGAGAGGATTCGATCAAGTGCAGTAGAAAAGGTACGCTTCATCAAGTTTCCCTTTTCTACAATCGGCTTGCTGCGGTAGATAATGAGATTTCGAATGGGTCGCCCCCTTAGACGAGCTGCAATTGGTGCAGAGCACTTACTAAACAGTCCCAGAAGCCAAGAACAATCTCCTCCTCCTCGTCCAAAAGCCTTTTTTGTTCATCGGTGACTGGAAGGTTGTAAGTCTCTGCTCGATCAAAATCTATCCAAACAACTCTTTCCGAATCGTCCTTGACGATCATCATGTTCCTAGGTTTCGGATCCCTGTGTCGTACTCCTGCTCCGTGTATCTCCTGCATGCCTTTGAGAAAGTTGTCCATTCGTTTCTGTGTATAGTTGTGCAGATGAATCATCTCAAGATTCGGTATGTACTCCAGAAAAATAGCGCTAGGAAGGTATTTATCATGAAGGAACATTTTCAGGTAAGGTTGGCATGCTTTCGGATCGAACTTCTCCATCGTCCCAAGGAAACGAGGGATAATTCCACGTCTACACAACCCTCGATCCCTTAGTCGCCGATAGGCGGCAGACTCAAGCACACGGATATCCAACTCACGATCTTTCGGTTCGTAGTACCGTCGTGGCCCTCGACCGTGATGCTCTTACCATCAGTATCAGAACACAGCAATGCTCGGAGGATCTTACTTACCACCTTCATAACACATATCTGGCCATGAACCATAACAAGAAATATCACGGAATAATCGGAGGCAAAAAGCTTCGCCTTGAAAACAATTTCGGAAGGTTTGATATTGTTAAGCTCCATCGTTACCTGGACCTCGAAAGTGGGCTCGGGTCGCTGGACGAAAGACGGATTGTGACTTTTGACGTCTAGACCTGCAGTAAATCACGTGATACAAATGGTACCTTGGTATGTTTGTCTTGTTTGTCTTGTATGTATCCGGGTTAAATATGTTAACTTGGCAAGCGGAGCCCCTTGTTGTACTCATGGGCATGTGAAGATTGTACAAAACGTGGAGTGCCTTTAGGCAGCAACCTACGGAGTAGCTAGACGTGGCTGGTGATAATTGGACGTGAGCAACGTAATCGTTGGCGCTCGATTATTTTCATACAATCCGGCCGATGACCTTACCCTGAAACCAAATATGCTGATACATTTCAGAACTTATAAGACTACGATATTCCTCGGCTAGCGACTTGCGAAAAACTTGAGAGTGAAAATTGATTCCTGCTCAATATGGCGAACCAGGTGTCCCTCTTAACTTACCTGCAAAGTGCCTTACCAGCGATTCCAGTCAATCCACCTCCAAACCCTGGGGCGCAACACCACCAATACAGCATACGAAGCTAGCGACATCCACAATATAGGGGTTTGGCATGGCTTCAACTTGAACGCACTTCTTCAAAGTTATCAGAATCTCTTGGTTCAAGCACGGCTTCCACCAGACCCCATGCCGACATCCCCACCCCGTGCTATAACAGCAGAGAATGCTCTTAGAAGCAAGATCTCAGAATATGTCTTTCCAACAGTGCGACGGGCTCTTCGAGCTGGGTTTGACCGGTTGATGGCAATCAACCAAATGAACGGCCTCACTCCCGTGTCATTTGATGTTGGAGAGTGCGCCGAAGTTATCGATGCTTTCAAGCCAGACACCGCTTATTTTGCGGTCGCACTGCCAGCAGGCGCCGGTCCAAACCGCGCACCAGGAGATGTCAAGCCATCGTGGAAATGGAGCACAGCCCTTGCAACCCACCCACTCCTCGGAATTCGCAACGAGTATCGCCAAGCACTCAGTCAGGTCATCTGTTATATGAGACAGCACAATTCTCGACACGGCTTTCTTAATGGACACGGTGGTTGGCATATGTGATCTTTTCTCTGCGGGGTCCTTATATACTTGGGCTCTTTCTGTTGCAAATGTACTGTTTCAAGTGTGTGGCCAGGTGAGATGGACAGTCCGGGAATCACCACTCTCCATTAACGTTGAGGGTGACATGGCCCAATTAGGACTAGTGCAGGATAAATTGGTTAAGTTAGTTTAGCCATCCAGTGAGTGTCAAGCATTTCAAGACCGGCCGGGTATACCGTATACATCAGAATCGCTAGCGTATATTTCGAAGTTCAAGACGACATTTCGACTTCCATTCCATAGATGCTATTGAGACGGGTTGGCAAAACATAACAATAAAAATGATTATGTAAACTAATCGCTCACTGAGATGGCGTTGAAGCAGTTAACTCCACATCGGTTCCAATCAGCGGAATTATTGCCTATCTAAAGGTACGTCTCTTCTTGGACATATTGAATGCTTCAGCAGAGCCCTCTTCGCTCTGCCGGGTTACCGGAGCATCCGAGGCAGCGTTCTGCAAACCATCAGCCTCTTCCAATACAGATGTAAAACTAGAGCCATGTATATCAACGCCTCCGACACCTTGTGAAAGTCCAGTGGATTCTGAGAAACTCAGCTCCGATTGATGTAATACTTCAGGTTGTTGTGATATCTGTGACGCCTGCGACACCTCAAAATTTACCTGTGGCAGTTCATCAATAGCGGAGCATATTTTCTTAAAATGGGAAGGTGCCCAGTCATTGTACACACTCATAGAGAATTTGTAGGATGTCCATTTCTCTTTGCCATCAAGTGAGGTGAAGTCGAACTTGTGAATGGGATGGCGGTAGTATGTAGTCTTCTCTCCCTCGATCACAGGATAGTGGCCGTAGATTCTCACAGAACAGTGATCGTGTGAAATTGAAAAGGCCAGGATCTGTCGGTGTAACTCCTTTTCACGCTTCACGGCCTTGAAGAGCTTAACAACTCCTCTTACTGAGAGAGTCATACTGTGCGCATTTTGTCGATCTGCTATATCGAGTGCCGCCTTTCCGCACTTCACTTCAACCGTCATAAACGGAAAGTACATGTATGCAGTACTCATAAAGAAAGACATATCGCCAATTTCACCGACAAATGGTGCAAGCTTTTCCAGTCGAGCTTCTGAGAAGGATTGTCGGGGGAACCCGACCGCATAATCGGGCTGTGGCCGAGATAATCGAAATTGTCGAGAATGTGGAAGATGTGGCGTTAGTGCAGGTGGTGGCAATCGTTGATCCTCATCTAGAGATATCGAGCTATCCCAGCCTTCATTCACACTTTCTACCAAGTGCTGGAATGAGACGCGACCGTGGTCTATCGCACCCTCAGCAGAAGGAACAATCAACTCAGCAATGACTCGAATGACGCCCGTCTCGTTTTTCTTCCTAATCCTTTGGCAGGTTAATTCGAACACGCCATCATCAAACCTCGTTCCACTAGGAGTCTCTGAGTCTTTCTCGAGTAGTCTTCGACAGGAAATTTTGCTGTCGCTAGTGATTCCGTCCTTATGATCGTCCAGGAATATTCCTTTAGACTCAAGGAATACCTCATAGTTCTTGTCAGTGTAAGGTCTACTCTTGGCTTCTCGTGAACTTGTTTCGCTCGGCCCGTTCAAGCTAGCATTCGACTTCGTACGGCGGAGAGACGGGGTTTTTTGTCGTACAAAGAAGGTTTCCATGGTGTCAACTTCTAAGGGGCTTTTGGGCCATTCGTAGTTGCTAACCCAATGCTCAATGAGCTTATCCTCCTCTACCCGTGGCCGCTTCGGACGATGATAAGATGGATGCTCCGGTTCGGAGTGCCGTCGTTTAGGTTCAGACGAACGGTGTTGCGGCGAAGCTGTTAGACTAATCTTGATAAGAATTAGCTCCTGTCATCTGTATTATCAAGGCCATGATAAGCATACCTCTGGACCAGCAGTTTGGACGACTCGAGGAACATCAATGCCTGTTGACCTCCTGATTTCGCCCACTGTGAACCCACCAGGGCTCGCAAGTTCATTATCGTGCTTTTCACGATGTTTGGGTGGATGCACCGGTGGTGTTGTTTCACACTCTCGTTTTCGTTTACGGTCATTCACCTGAGGGATTAGCCTCTCGCTTACCAGCTCGGCCATAGAGAGTATCGTACAGTGTTCCCAAGTGTGCAACTCGCTGGAGGTGATGACGAGTTTGGTAGTCCAGGCTGGAGGCGTGCGTTTCTTCGCCGAGAATGTTGCACCTTTGGTGTGCGTTGGGATCGCCTCGCTGGTGATTGTTAGTGAGAGTAAGCTGGTAAAAGACGAACAAACTCACCGCTGTTCTGAATTTGAAATGCAGATGATTGCCTTTCACTCCTTTTTTTTACTATACGCGGAGTCATATTTATTGGAGGAGGGAAGGGTGTGTTGTCAGAGGGTGCGTGCAGGGATGGGATTTCATCTATTGGTAGAGGGGAAGTCGAGCGTTGGTCCGTGGTGACCACACTGTACGAAGTAGCTTTAGTGTATATGTTCCGATCACGTGCTCTACCAAATTGTGAGGGAAGTGCTCCCCTGTTTCCAAAAATTGGCCTGTCAGTTTACTCCGAAGGGGCCTGGAAGGAAAACCGCGTATATATTTAGAGATTATCCATTGAACAAGAATTAGATGCGCAATTGATTACGAAGGACGGAGTGAGGTACTTTGTACGTTCATGCGGCCATTTTTGTGAGCCATCTTCGACAAGTTGGCTCTTGCGGTATCGAAATTGCTGCATCAAGCTATTTATCTTTTCTTGAAAGAGGAAGGGAGACCATAACTGGCGCTGAGGTCGTCGCTGGGAGATAGAATCCTTCAAGCGCGTCAACAGGTGAAATTTCGAAATCACGTGACATAATCAAGCACTGGCTCCATCAGAAAGAGAGTTATCGGATCATGCTTTTTCCCTCTCCGATTTTTCGCGAAATTATGGATAAGCAACGGGACAGAGCCAACAAACCCCTAACGTAGCTGGGCTATCAACCTCCGACTGTGTGTGTGTGTGTGTGTGTGTGTGTGTGTATTCATATTTTTCATAGGCCTTATGCAGTCAGAGACTATGAAGGCCACGCTATCTGTCCAACTAGTTACAGGCATGTGTCCTCCTCAATGTGGGGACTTCAGTTAAGTCATTCTGTTTAACTAAGCTCAAACTGCACATGATTCCCAGGGGAGGCCCTGAGGGCCCCTTACAACTCACGTCATTCTCCTGATTGGAGCCATGCCCCAAGGGAAAACCCTCAAAACCTTGGGTGTAACTGACACATCTTGACATTTGCAAACCAATAGAAAGTACATGATTAAGTAAAGCATCTTGTAAACTACACAGGCCCAGTACATTTCATATCTAACTCATATATATTCCTGATCCATAACAACCAATTATAACTGCCAATAAGATAGCACCTGTGAGGACTGTGACCCTCCTGACTGAGCTGGTGGACCAGTGAAAGATTGTTCCAGGGCAAAGCCCTAAATTCTAGGCAGAGGATTCACTAAAGGCATAAATGTTTATCTGACACAGAAGCTTATTGTGTGTATACAGTGAGCCCTCACTCTGAACCTCCTTTCTAGAGCCTGTCTTAGTATTTTGTTATTATAGCTACCTAGTTGGCAACAGGGATTCTCTTCCTACAGCACCTAGCTGAGCTCCTAACATTAGGCTCACCAATCCCAGAAGCACTGAACACAATTGATGGCAATAATTGTGGTGTTGGCATATTTCTTGCCTGTGACCTGGAATCAAGCCAATCTGACAGTATCTCTCGCGCGGTACTCATCTGGGGCAAGCTCCTCAACTATCTTCTTCCCAGAACATCAGCTCTCTTTGGTGGGTTTGGAGGGCTTCCATAAGCAAGTCTATCAGGAAAACATGTCATTCAGATAATAGAAGGAAGCAGAGAAAGTAACTAGCACAAGGAGACTGGAAAGGAGCAGCATAAATAAGTGTGAAGACAGTAGAGACAGTATTCACCAAGAGTGAACTAAAAAAATGCTTCAAAGGAGCAGAAGACATTGAATTTATACATTGTGAGAAGTAGAGCATCACCATCCTACAACAAGTCTGAGCATTGATAGCTTGTGGATACAACATCACGACTATTGCTGTGTCTGAGGTATGCATGTGGAAAATGGTTGTTGACATGAGACATGAGGTGTGTTATTGAAATAAAAGCGGCGTAGGTTTCACGTCACATGGCCTGGAATGGGCTTAAAACAGCGTTGAAAATGGGATGCTCTGAGTGGCTGCACCTGACAGACTATAGGTCCTCATCGAAGGCCTCACCCGCCTCACCTGCCTCACCCACGCGAGGCTGAGGCAGCCGGGTTAAAGCAGCCCGCCTCCAGCGCTCCTCCGGGACTAGTTAGTGCCAACGGAGTATTTTGGAAAAATCCACATTCCCTCTTGACTATAGAAGGTTATAGTAAAATTGTAAGAATTGTCCATTGCATACAGATGGAGGTTAGAATTGATGAGAACATACACCCGCACTAAGAAACACAACCTAATGCTATAGCCTGTGATACTTCAGAAAGCAAGGGAGGGGTGACTGTCCAACAGGCATGCATGATATAACCTGGTGTGTTAATCCTGTCAAGCAGCCGAGCTATGTCTGTGCTTCGGTCTGTTTTGGTACTCTGTAGTGGTCTCGCAAGGTTACATGATTGAATTGTCCAGCTCTTGGGTTTTGCACTGCATCACTGTGTTTAACTAGTGTGCTATGTATGTGTGGTGCTCAGCCCATTTCCTGAGTTTAGATGACTATTTACTGTATCGTTGGAGACTAAAGAAGCATATATATGTTCATCAGAGTTGAGTTGTGTTTCTTTCAATATTTAGAACAGGGTGTAGATTCGCTAATTGATATAATATAAAGGAGATAAAAGCGCTGCCACTGCACATCATCACTACAAAGTAAATTTTAGTTGAATTCACTGCATCAATATTTGCTAATATCACCATACTTTGTATCAGGATTCAAATCTACGCATATGCGAGCAGAAAGACAAAACCTGCGTGTAAAGCCATTGAGCCTGCTACAGCTTTTAATTGCACGCTTGACTTCTAAGATCATGGAAAAATCAGGGGCAAGTAAACTTCAAACCTGCTAAATGACCAGTTTACAGAAAGTGAAGGGCATTTCTGCCAGTAATTAAGGACCCGGAAAGACAATCTCACAGTTTATCCCAAGAAACTTCCCTGAGTCAATATATGGCTGCCATCCAACAAACCCAATGTAAGTTCGACTGTTAATATTTCTATAATCAATATGGCCAAGACCACTCTAGGTGCCATCATATAGAAGAAGAAGCATGTTCATACACGCCCCAAAAGACCCCCATGCTGGCTGCCACCAGCAGATCAACCATCTTCAAGCCTTCGTCCTGGATAATCAACTTACCCAGCTTAGCACTGTTTCCCCTCATTCCACCGCCCGCTCGCTCCCTCGCCAAACTCAAATCTAACCTGTCTTCATCAAAGGGAGAAGATAAGTCGTTAGAACTGTCTGCACGAGGCGAGGAGCTAGGACGAGGATATGTAGATGGGAATGTGGGAAGGTTGAAGCGGATTTCCGCGACCGTTACAGCGGACGATGAGGATGACTGTGACGTAGAGCTATTTGGACTTGGGATGACATGTCTGCATCGTAGCGTGCGGCTATAGGCCCCAGGACCAAAGGTGCAGGTTCCATTCCAAGGTGATGTGAATGCATAATTTTCTATGGGCCTGAAGGGATGTGTCTTTCGGCGTGGCGGACTGATGTCGAGAGCTTCGCTTGGGGGGTGATGGTGTACGGGAGTGAGTTTGCGTGTAAATTTCAAGGGTCCAGTTGGGACATCGGGGTCGGTCCTGGTCTGATCTGCTGAAGAATCTGACGAGGAGGCCGATACTAGATGGCGCATTGAGGATGGGAGGTTGATTCCGAGACTCTCGAAGGAGATGGGCTTGTTGTTCGCGAACTTTTTATATCCAGGTGTAGTGATCTCAATTGCGACGGATCCGTCCGGTGCAGCTTTTGAAGGAGCTATACAATTCGTAATAATCCCAACATTCCATTGATTCCCGTAAGTTGGATCTCGCCGTATCAGTGTGATGTGGAAAGGTGGAGATATACGGGTTTCTTGATGCACTTCGTAGCTGCGTTTGGGCCTTAGAGACAGCGGGTGTCCTGTCGATTCGCCCGGCAAGTGCAGCCGTCCTCCTAGTCGAGATTTGCCCGGAGATTTTGGATGGATAGTAGGACGTTCACAATCCCAGCTCGCTCGTCCCGGGGACGAGTCAAAGCTACTCCGCAGGCGATGGAACGTTTCTTTCATAGGGGCGGGAGAAAGAGAGTGTGCACTCCATCGCTTCGCATGCGTATCTTCTGTTCCGGATTCTGGGTGAACGGAATGCTGCTCTTGTGACGGTGATAGCGACGACACTGGCTGCCTCGAAATACCTGGAGTTTCCCAAGGCCGTGGCGCCTCCAAGTGTCCTGCACTCTGCACCCCGCCTCTCAGATGCTCTGTATTTGCGACAAGCCGGCGTTCTACACCTATGCTCTCCTTGTCTCCTGAGCGCGTTCCGTCAACATTTGCCAAAGCAGGATTTGAGCTGGGAGTCATCGTATCAATATGCAAGGCTGTCGTGGTGGGTACAGGCTTCCTCCGGACACGGTTCAACAAAGCAAACATGTCAGTTTTGCCCTTCCCATTGCCGTTGCCATTGCCATTGTCACCACTATGGAGCGCCAGTTGCTCCTGCTGCTGGTGCTGCCATTGTCTTTTCTCCTCCTCTACCTTTCTTTCATTCTCAATATTTTCTAGAACTGCTTCATCGCCTGGCCCAGCGACGTGACAAAAGTATAACGATGCGTTTATCGATTCGGGAGAAAAGCTCGACTTCGTGGGCGGTTTGAGGGGTGACAAGAAAACATCTGTGCTTCACAGGCTTGGGCACATCAACCCAGCACGTCGGTTAGTTATATACACATATCTCCGCCATAATCCGCATGGAATCATGTATGCACGTAAAACAGCTGCCATCCCCGTGGAGGAGTAGTACCTTTGCTTCCCGGAACTCTAACGATATACAGAACTAGCGGTTCAAGGACTTGCTGCGTCGGATTACGCGGGTAATTTGGCGGATTTGAGGCGAGATTTGTAAATCCAAGGAGAGATCGGGCCTCAATGGGCCCTGAAGGAGATGGCAGAGGTTGATCCTGGCTTGTACGCGCCATCCATGCGGTTATGTATGAATGAAGTATGAGCAATCGATGGTTAAAGGTATATTTGGGTTCGAGAGGGGAAGGATACGAGTAAATATGGTTTTAATGGACCAGAGAGCTTATCGAGAGAATAGCATACTAATATGCATCAAAAACCAAGCCTGCTTTGCTTCTGCGGGATTGGGCAGCGAACGAAGGAACAGGTGGCACACAGGAGCTTGTCGGAAGGAACCTGGGGTTTTGGAAGCGGGTTTCCTGCAAACTTCCTCACGTCTTTCGCAGCAAGGCAAAATAGTTAACGACGGAGTCCCTAGCGAAGAATTCCAAATTCAGAGTCTGCGTGGGAGGAAACTAGGCCGTGGTTCAGGGTCAATCAAGCTCCATCGCATGCAGGCTCCCACTGTACCGATGCCGGGCCCCGCAGGATGAGACAGAAAGCAACGAGCGTCACTGGACGACGCGGAAATATTTGAGCCACAGACATGTCAAGTCTGCGTCAGAGGCTTTATCTGGAGCGAGAGGGAGCGAGCGGACAGCCAATAGACGGATCGCGATGTTCAAACAAAGCTGACACCGATGGAACTGGCGTTACAGAGCAGCCCGCCTGCTGCGCCACAGTTATACGACAGCCCCATCTGGCGAGACGGCGCACTTTTGAAAACGAGAGGCACAGGATGATATTATTACTGCAGATTAACAAGATGATAATTTAGCTACACCTTGGAGGGCCATTTGGGAGAAACGTTTGATGCAAGTTAAGGAAAATATGCTTGATTGTTGTAATTATACCTGGTATCTTAGGAAAAGTCAAATATCGTGGAGGGGAAAATATACTTCGCCGTAGGTAAAGGAGGAAAAAAATCGTTTACAACGGTGATTTCGGGTTCTTGGACGGTTCTCGAACACTGTGCTCCGTGGCATCGACGCTGTCTCTCCAATCGATCGGTCGCCCCAGGATAAGCTCATTAACGCCAAAAAAAAAAAAAAAAAAAAAAAAAAAAAAAAAAAAAAAAAGGCCTCACAAAAGGATAGAGTACACGCAGTTACATGCCTTCTCATGTACGTTTTTTCATTAGAAAGAGAAAAAAAAAGGGGGGCTCCCGTAGCCAAAAACCTGGGGTTCGAAAGCGACCAGAAGGCATATTTATACCGCATTTTCTGGTCGTTCCCCTTCGGCAATAATTGGGACAGGCAAGCCTCTTTCGGGACTCTGTAGAACCAACTGCTCGTGCCGCCGTGCACGGAGATAATCGCTAATTGCCCGAATCAAAATAAACCACCCAACAATCATAAGAATGTAGGAAATCCACTCGCTTGTGGTAATGCCGGAGATTCCGCCACCGGAAGAATCGCCCGAGTCAAAGGCGTCTCCATCAGAAATTGATCCTGGAGAGAAATCGTGACTGTTGGGATTTGGCGGAACATATTGAGGATCGCCGGGCGATGATACTGGTTCTGAACCACCACCAGGCTTCATATATAATCCATACTGCACCAGGGTAAGGCCAAGACCAGCTCGGCTTCCGTTTTTGGCAGCATGCGTAGTATGAAGGAGATAAGTGAGAAGGAAGCCGACAAGCTGGAAAGAAGTTGAAATCATGCCATTCCAGACGAAGGAGAAAAATGAGCCAACGGGCAGACCATCGACGTATACTTCATCCGATGACATACCGGGGGCAACGATCGTTGTCTCCCAGTATGGGGGTGTAGCGTCGGCGGCGGCTTGTTCGTAGCTCTGTGTATACATCAGCAACGCGCCTTTATATCCCTAATCTGCAGGGATAATATGCATACCGGTGGTAGGTCATCCTCCTTCTCCCCACGTTCCGGCTTCGCGGCCAGATTCGCGAAAACACCATCGTTCGCGGCGGAACGTATCACTCTTGGGGCACCGGAAGAGCCGCTGGTGCCAAATGTAGGTAGCACTGTGGAGCTTCTCGGTCTGGATGGCCGCTGCGTCTCTCTGGAACTGCCCGGTATTTGTGTATTCTCTTCTGGCGGAGTAGGGTTACCCCTCATCAGTCGTTGCCTGTCATCTATCTCATCTTCCACATCGGAATCGTTCTGTTCATCGCCAAATGTGTCCGCAAGCGTTTGGTCGGCTTCCGTATGTAGGGGATCCTGAGCAAAAAGGGGCCGGGAGGAAGGAGACGAGGCTCTGGAATGGAAAGAAGGGGGTGGAGAGGCAGGGACAGGATACGCTACGGAGGTGCCGGGAGCTACAGAGTGGTCATCATCGTCATCAGTACGGGTGTCGACCTAAAATAAACGGCTCAGCATCTGGTTGCGTAACAAGCGTGTTGATATCGACAAAGCGAAAGGGGACACATGGATCCCAGGCACTGAGCATGACTTACCGGCTGATACCGATGAGAGCTCATGGCCGGCGACACGGACAGAGATAAAGTCTAGGAAACAAGTGGGACAGCGAAAGACTTGAAAATAGAATCTAGGTATAAACAAAGAACAGAAGCTCTCAGCGTGGAGGAGCGGGCGTCGTCGTCGTGAGGCCAGCGAGAACCAACGGCGGTTGTGGCGGTCATGATCGATGGCTGACGTCTGATCCATAGGCGCGACACGTGATGATAGGGAGCCACAGCTAGGCCGGGTCGGTGCTAGCGCGCTCTGATAGACGACGATCTTTAGGATGAAAAGCTTCCAAAACGCAATTCTGGCGCAGGTTCAAGTTCGCAAGACGGCAAAGCGAAGCACCACATCCAGGCTCGGGGAGTGAGCTCACTCTTCCCTCTGATGGTATTCGAATCAACCAATCCAATTTTATTCCTACTGATCTAAAGGAAATAATTTCTCTCCCCCACACACCATGCATAACGTAAGGCAGACCGAGATTGCAAAAAAAAATAAAACACCGCCCCCGATTCCATATCCCAACTGATAATACTTATCTAGCTCTCCCGCACCCAAATAACCAAACACATCCAGCGCCTTCTCACCCGCTGGCCCACTGACGCAATTCGTCCTTCTTCCGTCTCCGTCCAAACATACCTCCAATCCCGCCTAACACCACCCGCCCCGGAGACCCAATCTACGTCGCGCTGGTCGCAACTCTTCCACAAATCCTCTCCTCCTTCCCAGCCTTCCACCGCCACTTCTTCCACACAGTCGAGCGAGGAACCGCTCCTCTCATCACAGAATGTTAACGCGCTGTATTCCCTGCTGGAGAACAGATACCAGAAGAAATATCCGCTGCCAAACTCGCTTCGGTATCCGGCCAGTCAGTCGGACTATTTTGATAAATTACTGAAGGAGTTTGAAGAAGCGCCCCAGCGGAATTGGCTGGGGAGATTAGGAAAGAAGTTTGGTGGAATTTTGAGGTTTAAATGATAGGAAAGCTATACGTGGGTTGGATTAATGATAATTGATGCAGGATCCTATAAATATAGGAGCACGCGATGCGAGTTTAAGTCTTCGGAGATGATGTGTGAATAAGATAGATTGGCAGGCTACATGTATATTACTTCCGTTTCGTGATCGAGGAGGTTGGGACGAACTGTACTTTTATATAAGAGATACCTTACGGGCGTAAATTTTTGGCTTTGTTTTGACGCCAACAGTGGAAATGAAAAAAGTGATTTTCGATTAGAAGCCTGGACAGAGAAGCCGGATTGAACAGACAAGCCAAAGTGGTATTTAATATCCTGTAACACACATAATGCTATATTACCTCAGAAAAAGCAGCAGCCCAAAATCCGGCAGACATATCGCGTATATACATAACAATCTTGACAGTATCAAACAATCGCCTTAAGAGTATATCATCAAAAGATTTCCAAGGTAACCCACGTGGGTAGGTTTTTTCGTTTTTGCTCGCTCAGAGCATCGGCTTCACATCATCCGCAACCTTGAACGGTGCCTCCGTCTTGGCGCGGACTTCATCGACAGTGACACCGTCGGCAAGCTCGATCAAAGTCAAGCCATTGGTGAAATCGACATCGAAGACGCAAAGGTCGGTGATGATTCTGCTAACACAAGCACGACCAGTAAGAGGGAACTCGCACTGCTTGAGAATCTTGGGGTTTCCCTTCTTATCGGTGTGCTCCATGGTGACCACGACCCTGGTCTTGGAGGGGTTAGAGACGAGATCCATGGCGCCGCCGAAGCCCTTGATCTTGCCGGGCAACATCCCTATGGAAAATTATGTTAGCTGACCACCCTCAAATCCAACACAGGTGTAGAGAAATCTTACAGTTGGCGAGGTCACCCTTTGCGCTAACTTGCATAGCACCCAACATAGTCAACTCAATGCGTCCAGATCGGATCATGCCAAAGGACTCATCACTGCCGAAGCAGGATGCACCGGGGAGCAATGTGACGGTTTCCTTGCCGGCATTGATCAAATCGGCGTCCTCCTGGCCCTTCTTAGGGTAGGGTCCAAGACCGAGGATCCCGTTCTCCGACTGCAGCTGAACCTCGACGGATGGGTCAACGAAGTTGGGAGCCAACATCGGCATGCCAATACCCAAGTTGGCATACATTCCGTTCTTGAACTCCTTGGCGGCACGGCGGACGATGCGTTCTCTCTTGCTGGCGGTATCGCCCTTGCCGAGAGCAGACATATCAGCCTCGTTACCCTCCTTAGCGAATGTGTATTTCTCGATCTTCTTCTCGGTGGTGCTCTGGACGACACGCTTGACGTAGATTCCGGGCAGGTGAACCGAAGCGGGCTCGATCTCGCCGACCTCAACGATGTTTTCGGCCTCGACAATGGTCATCTTGGCATTACGACCCATCGCGCCGTTGAAGTTCTGGGCAGCATAGCGGAACTGACAGTTACCGAGCTTGTCGGCCTTCCAGGCCTTAACAAAGGCATAGTCACCCTTGATCGACTCCTCCATGACGTAGCTCTTGCCGTCAAATACCTTGACGTCTCTGGGTTGGCCGTACAGAGCAACTGTGCCGTCAGGGTTGTTTCTGAGAGGAAGCTCACCGGTCTGGACAACAGTTCCAAAGGCAGCTGGGGTGTAGAAGGCTGGGATACCAGCACCACCTGCACGGCATCGTTCGGCCAAGGTACCCTGGGGAGTCAATTCCAGATCGATCTGTCCAGAGAGATACATGCGTTCAAAGGTCTTGTTCTCGCCAACATAACTAGCAATCATCTTCTTGATCTGTCCGCTGGCCAAGAGAAGACCAAGACCGGCACCGTCGACACCAGCATTGTTACTGACAGCCGTGAGGCCTGTGATCTCGGGATTCTTGTGAACGGCATTGATCAAGCTGTCTGGCACGCCACAAAGACCGAAACCACCAGCCAAGAGTGTGGAGTTGGATTTCATATCCTTGATGGCCTCCTCGGCCGACGACACAACCTTGTTGATCTCATTTCGGGCAAAGGTGCTGGAGAATGCGCGGATAAGGAATTTTTGATGCTACAGGGAAAAAAAGGACCAAGGCGTCGGTCAGCCCAGGCTCGTCTTTCACCACAAAGCAGAAACGGGGGGAGGGGAGTATATCATACTCTAGTGGGGTTTGCAGAGAACTGCCTTGCAAGGCGCAAGCAGGTGATGGACTTCCGTAACTGCATGGTGTGATTATGTGTATATGTCTGTGTGCACACAAAAAGCAAAGCGGAACCCTCCTTTTCTTTTCACTTATTCTCGGAAAATCAAAATTTCTTTTTTGTTTGATGAATGCGTTTGGCAAGACACACAACGCTGACAAGAAAATTGAAAGAAAGAAAGAAAAGGCCTAGCAGCGCGGGGGGGGAGAGAGAGAGAGAGAGAGAGAGACAGAGAGGAGAGCGTCAGAAAGAGAAAGGAAGGACGGATTCGACAAACAAGGATGCAAGTCAAAATCTCGATCTCATTACCCGATCCCAAGAATTCCTGCTTAATCCACCTACCGGGCGGCAAGGCGGAAAAGAGTCGAGGTAAAAATCTAAGCTTTGGGGGACCTGATGGAGGCGCTAGCGAAGGGGCCCACGGATAAATTCAATGGAGCTTTCTTTCGATCAACGCTGTGGCAGTGAAGTAAAAGTATATATAACTATGACAGAGCCGAACTGCTTACAGGATAACCATAATAGAATAGACGAAGATGCAGAGAACGTCTTTAGCCGACATCACAAGCAGCCCATGATAAATACGACATCAACAAGCCTGCGCGAGGAGCAAAAGGGGGGGAGGGGGCGACAGCAATAGAGCGGAGAAAATGCCGACTGCCACGGAGGCGGGGAGGCGGAAATCTCCCATGCGTCGCCTGTTAGCGTGCTAGAGATCGACGGCAAAGTGCTTTTCCCGGCATTCTTGAGGACCCGGATGCCACCCGCTCTCTAAGCAAGTCATCGCAAGCTTCATGCTCGTTCAGAGAGACACGTCCTGTAGTTACTTAAAGGTCGCCCGCTAATAAGCCTGAGTACGAGCTCAAACCACGCCTGACAGCCTTAACCAAACAAGACCCCCTATCCCCAAAATCCCACGACGGTCTGTCCCATTCCCAAAACACCGGCGCTACCCGCGCTTCCTCCCGGTGGGCTGTTCGTGGCATTCCAGGAATCCTTGGCATCGGAGGTGGGCGCCCGGACGGTTTCGGTGTCCAGATCGCCAGCCAGACAAAACCTCTTCCGTGGCTTGCCGCGTTTTCTGGTTTTCCCCTGCTCGGCTCGGGCAAATTCGGGCGGTCCGGCAAACCGGCCGCGATCGACCTTTCGGGGGGGCGGTTTTGGTGGTTGTGCCCGATCTTCGTCATCTCGCTATTATTGCTCTGGACTATTGCTTAACGTGTAGCGGCAAGTCAGGTTCATACTGTATATGTGAACACACGATATCGGTGTCGACAATGAAGGTAGGAATCCTCGAGTTCTGAGCCCTTCGCTCCCGTTGAGTGACGGGATTTCTCGCCGATTTCCGTCCGGCGCAAAAAAAAAGCCGCCCTGCCAAGCATTCTAGCTTTCCGGAAACTGGCGAAACTATTTCCCCGGATCTATAATTCCGCACTGTCTCGGCTGATATGACCTCGAGCAACTCCTTAGGTCTGGACGTGATGCTAAAAGGTAGAGAGGAGAATGCGCAGCATGGTGCTCTGCTCGGCAAAGCCACCCAGAGTTGAAACCAACGGGAATCTCTATGCTGCTTTCAACGCCAGCAATTAAAAAAAGCCAAATCGCACCTCGACGCCTGAGGAAACCTTTCTATGTCCATGATACCTTTCGCTATGCTACGCCGCAACAACGCATAATCTTGAGAATCTATAACAATATAAAAAAGAAGCTTACGAATGTTAATGGTACGGAGGAATAAACCCACAAGAAGACCCATGGTCCGACAAATCCGATTTTCCACCCCGGCGCTGTTTGCAAGTATGTGTCCCGGTCCCAACCAGCTAATCAATCCTTCTATAAAACCCGACCGTTTATGCGCCCGCAAAATGGACCCACTGAAATCGAAACATTCGATATAAACCCATGCAAGCCCTCATTTAATGAAAAAGAAAAAAAAAAAAGAAAAAGAAAAGAAAAGAAAAGAAAAAAAAAAGAAGAAAAGAAAAGAAAAGAAAAAAGAAAAGAAAAGAAAAGAAAAAAAAAAAAGAAAAAAGAAAAGCTTGACACGTGGGAATAGTACTAAAACTGAAGGGTGACGTGAAGCCGCGAAACAACGCGAATCCGCACGAGGAGCCGAGGAAAAATTAAGTCCAAAGAACAAGCAAAATATAAAAGGGGTCAATCTCAGTGTTTGCGTTTTAGAGGGTTCGATGGCGGAGATGGTGATGGCGACGGTGAAATTTCTCGGGCCGAAACATTTACCCCTACCATTCGGCGCCAGGCATGTCAGTAAGCTCCTTCGCCCATGATCCACCCGCAGCAGGCTCAAGGGAGGCTTCGTGAGAACTACTCTGCTTTTGAATCCGGGGACGAGTATTCCTCATACCTTTATTGTTCATAGAAGTCACGTCTTCGTATGATGGTGGGGCGTCGGACATTTCGAGATCTTGTTGTGCCACTCCATCGGCGGGCTGCTGCTTCCCCTTGACAGGTTCTCTAGTGGGCGGCCTGGCATGCCTATCCATCTGCTCCTCTGAGGTCTTGAACGGCGGCGGATCGACCGTATTTGTAGGCAGGTCCGGTGAAGGTAGGTCTCTAACGGCCCGGCATACTGGATTGGTGAGTTTTTCCTTCAGAGGATCATTGACGTATACTAGGAAGTAAGGCGACGGCGAGTGAGGTCCTGTCTCTGGCGCGAATATTGTTGACAGCTTCTTAATTTCCAATACCTGCTCGTCGTTATATTCACGCCAGATTTTTTTCTCGAAATCAAAAATATAAATCCAATAATGACCAGCTGAGGCCGAGCCCCGATGAATAAACACCGCATACAGACGGTACGGGACTCTTTCGTCTTCAGCAAACGTATTCTCGAGGTGCCAACCGAGCTCGGCGATCCGTTTGTCGATCCCTGAGAAGCCTATTAGCAAACATATGCGCCCCCTCCCCCCCCCAACACGGTATTTAAAAAAAAGAAAAAGAAAAGAAAGGCCTAGGTCTCGACAACCGGCTTAAAAGGGCATCGCCAAAGCAGCTAAACTTACACAATATTTCATCTTCCGTAGCCTCCTCGAACCTAGAAACAAGAGCTATTGTTGATTCTTCGACACCAAGGCCATCATCATTAATTTTGGAGCTTTCTTGGAGGTCCATAAACACTTGTAATTTGTTTCCAAGCATGTCGAATACTTCGGGTAAAGGCTGGTTGGCCTAGAGTTCGCTTTAGTCTTCACTCGGCCAACAAAAGGTAAAAAATTCCAAAAAAAAAAAAAAAAAAAAAAAAAAAAGGTATACCTTGTTGTAGAGCTCATCCCTGCGTTTTTCTAATCTCTGTAGCTCGTCCTTTAAACGCCATTTCTCCTGACGCTTCCTGTGGATTTTATCATCCAGTGGCGTGTCCATATATCGATCAAGATATATCGTCTCTCTCAACTCCAGGTGATTGTTTGATTTGAACGACTGCATTTGAACCTGGTCAAATTGCACTCGCTGGATTTGAATCTGGAGAATCGGGGGAGCCTTGCTGATAGTGCCGTGTTGCTCCGCTTCCACGCCACCAATGTGCACTTGTTGCATGTCAAAGGCACCATCAAGGGCTGAATATATATCACTGGATTGTCTTGCAACGTCCACTTTAATATCTGACCATGGCTCTTCTTTGCACCGAACACCGTCCGACGTTGTGATGTATGACTTTGTTTTGCCATAGAAGAGTCTGGGAAAAAGTGGTCAATGGTAGATCAAATAATAATATAAGCCTGACTTACTCAGTGACAATATCGAGTTGTCCGCCGTCTGCATCATAGCCTTCGGGCTTAACGGCACACTGTGCTTGGAACAGTACATTATTGATCACTTCTGTGACATCCTGCTGTGCGCCAATCTCTAGTTCCTTCTTCACGCTATCAGGTACTGGACGAGGCGGAACAGGCGGCGGTCTATCAGGAGGATTCATTGGTTTACGCGTCGAACCTTCCTGCGCAGCTGCAGGGCCATTGGCGGGCGCGGCAGCTGTAGACTCAACAACAGCCCCGGGTTCTTGAGGCTGTACATTCTCTTTATTGTCGATTCCGATTTCGATACTACTTGGGTCAGAAGGGGGGACAAGGGTTGCCTCGCTATCTTCACTACCTTGTCCTTTGATAGGTCGTGTGGCCAGAGATGAACCAGCATTACTATCAAGGTCAACATCGGGTGGTAAGAAAGGACCGTAAACTGGCAAATTTGGTTCAGCTAGGGATTTACGTCGAATTGCGGCCTCGTTTGAAGAGCTAAGAAGCGTCAATCTCGCAAGTTCCTGGCTCGGAGTCACACAACGTGTCGGGGAAGACGCCATGTTCTTAAAAAGCGAGCGTAGTTCGCGAATAACTGTGTATCTGGTTAGCCATTAAACGAATAGTTATACGAGGACCTTTAGCAACCCCTACATTTTTGGGCCCGTTCGACTTCAGATCTGGAAACTGTTCGCGATCCGACTTTCTTGCGCCGTAAGCTTTCGTCGTCCAGCTCCATTTTTTGTTTTTCAAAGTGAAAGATCATATTCCGAAAAGGCGTCACCGTAAAATAGAATTGAAGTAGGCTGTTGAGGTAACATGTGTTGCCGATATTGCGTAGACCCACTGGCCATTCTTTAAGGTCGAAATTGTCTGGAGTGAGATCTTCACCAAGCGCCTTCTTCAGCAATAAGCTCTGGGTCTCATCTGAAATAACCTTAAGGGCCTTTCGGTAAGTTTCGATCTGTGCCGGATCCTCCGTGGCGAAGACTTGAAACGCCGCAAGGATAGAATCGTCATCTACTGTACGGTCAGATATCTGAAAGAGTCGATAAGCTTCGCCAATATCCATTTCATCTGATTGTGCATCGCCGGTACGAAGGAAGTATCGAAGGTGCTCAGATTTTCTTTCTTCCGCGATTAATGACAGCGCACGCTTAGCAAGTTCTTTAGTGGCAGGCATATCGTCGACCTAGGGTATCAAGGTGCATTAGATATCCTAGCTCTAGCAACACGGGCTGGGGACCGTACCTTTGCAGCATACATGGAAATGATGAAGTCGTCAGGCGTATCTTGTTCGGCACCGAGGAACACAAGGGCTTGTTGCATGTCCGATACACCTAGTTGCGGCGATTAGTTATCAAGCGGTTTAGGGTGACCATGGCAGATAGGCAACCCTACTTTCTTCTGCAACTGATTTTATCGCCTGACTACGGCGATAATCGCCAATCCTTGCAAGCTGCCTTCTCGGTTCTGCCTCATTAGGAGAGTCCTCTAGTCGTGCAAAAAAAGATCCTATTATAGTCTCATCGGAGAGGCTTCTATCATTGATATCAAGCTGGAAAAACCGATAGGCGTCCGGAATGTCATCGTCGGCGTATTTTCCCTCTGCGTATTGCTCTTCGATGAATTCGGCGATGGTTTTGCCCTCGAGTTCCCCCCTCCAATGGCCGATGGAGCGGAGACATTTGAAATAGTAAGAGCTTCGATCCGGATCACACTGGACCTGATTCCGATAAGCTTCGATGATCAGTTCGCTCGACATATCCTCTGTCGCCCCCAAGTCCTGGTAAAATCTAGCACCGGTTCAAGATATTAGTTACTTATCCGTTAGGCATAGCGACGCAGGGCAAGGAAGCCGGGCTTACGGGGGTTGGGATTCTCTTGAGCCATTGATAGGAAACGTATACATCCTTGAATCTGACGAATATGGTCAGCGCATTGGCTTAAAGGGAGGGGGAAAAAAGAAAAAGAAAAGAAGAGGAAGAAGAGGGGGCTAAACTCGCGTACAATTGTTTGAGCCAAGCAGGTAACTAAACTGGGTGGAAGCTGCTTCCGCCGAAAAATCCAGGAAGTACGCCTCCTTTTCATGCTCGGGGCGCTGTTTCATCAAGGCAAGCAATTCATTCGAAAGGTCGTCAAGGAATATGCGTTCGGGGTGGTGATATGGCAGGAGAGAAGACTTCACTGGGTTAGGTGGGAGCCAGCAGTTTTTATCTTCCTATAACCGCAAGAATGCATGATATGATGTCAGAACGTGGACTCACAAAACCATTGTCACAAAACGGTTCTGGGGGGAAGAAAGGTTGCAAGAGAGAAAGAGCCTTGCGCACCTTCAATTTGAATCCTATGAATTCTAAGAGGCCTTTGCAAGGTGTCCCTCTGACACCAAATGATGTTGTGAAGCGTTTATTCCCAAGATCTATTCCGCGGCTTCTTTCCGGCTCATTCAATGCAATGTCGATATATGCTTTTAGAGTGGCCAAGACTGTGATAGGAAGCGGATGACTGATTCCTTCCAAGCGATCAGGGCAAAGCTTCAAAGCTTCTTCCATGCGCTCTCTCAATAGATGCTCGTCTACTAACAGCCTGACACTCTGAGGTGTGAGATATGGGGCAAAGAATTTCAGTGAGAACTCGGCGGTACATTCCGGAATAGAACAAACAAAGTAGTACCGTTCACTGTGTCGGGTGCGTGAGTCAAATCGATAGTCCGGATCGTCTTTTGCTAATGTTTCAGAAACAAATACCAGATGATGAAGGTGATCTAGTCTCACTTGTTTCGGGGCAGTATATGTGATGGCCAGTTCTATATGATAGCGACACCACATACAAACCGCAGAAACCTTGAAGACATTACCGCAACATAGTGTGCTGATGTCCTGTGGGAGTTTTGTCTGGTTTGGCTTGGTTAGGTAACGATGAGGGCAGTGATTGGGTGCGACAAATTCTGGATAGTCATTGGCATCCTCCCAAACCGGCGGGACATCTGTGAGGAGATTGAATCCTTGCCCTGAGGGGGTTGCCGGGTCGTAGCAGAGAACATCTTGGATGAAGCGGGGGGAGGTCTTCCCTAAAAGTGCGCGAAACAAGAGTCGTCAGCGTCAAGCAGTAGGGCATCGAAGTGATACGATCGATGGTTACTTACCTGGTCGCCCAAAGATACGTGGTTTCGGAAACTTGAGCATTCGGTAGAGTGTTCAGGACGACGTCGCGAATATTTGGGAGGGTGTTTTCCGTTCAGGAATTTGGACGACGAAGCAAGACGCCCGGCGGTTTCCTGGCGTTGTTCCAATGCAAAGACCTAGAGATATATAGAGAGAGGGTGAGGAAAAGCGTGTTCGGCTCCTCCCGAAAAGCTGCGGTCGCCTGTGCTATCGGGGCGATGAGCCTTCTATCCCAGAAACATCGAAGCTCATTGATTCCAGCGAGGGGCAGTAGCTGGCGGCAGGAAAGCACGAGGCGCGACAGACAATTGAGAATCTTCCAGGGGGCGCTGCTCAGATGTGCCCAACAGGACCAAAGCGAACAGCCAGAAGCTATAACGTTACAAAGCTTTGGTCTGTCTGTCTGTACATATGTGAAGCTAGCTGGGGAGAACCTTATATGGGGTGTAACTAGTATGTTTCTGACCACGACGAACGATGATGATGATGGTCGCCTGGTTGATGGAAAGCATCTGGTGCAAACACGCCAAGACGCCCTGGTGCCGGGGCCACACCTTTGAACCTCCATATCATTACAGGCGGCGAAACTCATCTCGACTCCCGTGCACCGGCTCAATTGAACGCAGCGCAGCAACCATGTCCTCGTCAGAAGAGCAGCAGGTGTACCATCCGAAGGATGCCATCTCTACCGCAGCCAAGACCACGCTGATTACCGGCAGCATGGGTCTGTTCACCTCCGCCGTACAGAACACCCTCGCAAAACAGAACCTTGGGCCATGGGGTGTCTTTACAAGAACAGGCAGCACTATCGCTCTGTTTGGTACGCAATTGTTTGACATAGCGAATAATAATAATAATTCGGGGCAATTAGATGGTCTCAGAGGGGCTGACGTTGACATTGACCGCAGCGACAATGGGCGGCGCCTATGAGTTTGTGAAGACCGCTTCCGCAAACCTGCGCGAAAAGGAAGACTTCTGGAACGCCACCCTGGGTGGATTCTTTGCCGGCGCAGCCATGGGCTTCAGAGGTGGGCTTCAATCTTTCCAACTTTTCCTTCCCGCAGGACATCTAGAAATTCATGATAGTGTTCTGGTAACTTCATTCATGGTTCTGATCTTGTGTACTACGCAGCACGTACCTTCCCCGCCGTCCTTGGCTACGGTGCCACCGTCGCAACCGTTCTCGGCGTATTCGAATATACCGGAGGCAGACTTGAAGGATACGGGACGGAGACCAATGTGGACGAGTATGACAGACGGGAGTCATTGAGAAAGAACTATCGTAGCCCGGGAGAACAGACAATTGCCGAGCTGGGCGAGGGAAGAGGTACGTATTTACTCCCACTTTCGGGGACCCGCGGGTTCGTCCTTTTTAACACAGTCCTAATGCGATTTTTTTTTTTTTTTTTTTTCTCTCCAGGAATTTATGGCCCTGGCTACGCAGAGAGACGACAAGAGAGAATAAAGCAGAACTACGGGATCGACGTACCAGTCGCCCAACCCTCGGCCTCTTAAACCAAAAAATTTTATTTGTTCTGGCAGTGTTCATCTTATGTCTATCTTTCAGTCATTGCATGTAGTATATGGTGCTCTGGATGTTTGAGCTCAATTAGATTCCAATTTTACATATTTTCCCCCCACAATCCGGTTGACCATTCGCCCTCTGCGTGACCTTTGATGGGCGAAGCGAACCGCGTGTCCATTGGAAATTGGCATGGATCAAACGGGCACAGCATTGACAGAAGATGGTTTGCCGGACAGGAGCTCCACCAGAGTGACTGGCCACCCTCCCTCAGCCAGCCCAAAGAGCATCCTCCCCCCCTCAGACACGCCCAGACGACACGACCACGCAGCGTCTCGTCGCCCTCCTCGCTCGCTATCGTTCAACTTCGCCCGGAAACGACGACTCGCTTTGCCAAGCCCCATTCGACGGCATCACATGATCATATTGTCAGCCACATGATTACTCATCTGTGTAAATGACGTCGGGCAGTCTGTGGCGGTGCAGTGTTCTCTCCTTTTTCTGGAATCCCCCTTAAACTCCACTAGTAGAACTCCGTACCTGGTACTTCCAACACCGGCGAAATGAGGCCGTCAGGGCAGGTACCCTGTACCCAGCAGCGCGTAGTTCGCACCCAAATCGTCTCGCCGGATTCGCAGTGCGTGTAACGGCTGGCAGAGCGGCGAAAAAACAGAAAACGCAAATCGTTCTCTTCATCTGGACTCAACCGAGACAGCAAGAAACATTTTCTCATTTGCACTGGAAAACATCCCTGTAATTTATCGAAACATCCCAAATACAAAAAGTCGTCAGCAGAGCGCCGGTTCAACCAGCACCAGCACCAGCCTGCCCCTTTTTTTTTCACAACCCCGGTGGTTTCGTAGCTTTGTAGCCATATTTTACGATAGAGTTATTTATTTATTTATTTATTTTTGTAATGAAATAATAAATAGGGGATACGGGTGCTCTGGAGACGTTAGATTCATAAAAACCTTGGGATCTCCGTCTCCCGATTTCAAACCAGAGACAACCTTTATCCTGGCCTTACAGTATACTGTCCATTTCTCGGTGTTGGGACAGCTTCCGGCCGGATTGGATCTTGTTCCGACTCCCAGAACTGGCTCAACTTTCTGGTACCGTACAGCCCACGCATCGCTCGCTCCCCTAAGACGTCATTCCTCCCCCCGATCGTCCATTCGCCCAACAACGTTGCCCTTGAACTCGTTCTGGCTCGCCTGCACCGTTGCCTGATCCGAATCGGCGATGCGACAGGGCTGCGAACACACTGCCTTTCTGCACATCTTCCCGCTGCTCTGGTTGTCCCAACTTGTGCTGCCCGAAGCTTGCCGGCGTTGAGCTTGTGAGTCGTGACAGCAACGCCGCCGACGAAGCCACCATAACTATCGTCCTGTCCCTATCTTCGGTTAACTACACTTTTTTTCGCAACTCTGCCCGGATGGACACAGTGTGAAAAAGCAAGAAAGGACCTCTCAAATAAGATTGCTCTTTTTTTTTTTTCTTCCCCTTCTCTTTCTCCTTTCCCCCTTTCTCCTTCAATTCGATCGTACCCTTTCCGAGTACTATATAGCGAACGCGGTCGCCTCCCGCCCCTCTCACCCGGTGACGTTCGAGGGCTCCGTAACAAGCCCAGTTTTATTTTATTTTTTATTTTTTATTTTTTTTTTTTTAAGAAAAAAAAAAGAAAAAAGAAGGAAAAAGAGAGAGGCCCGCCATGGCCACCTCCATGAGGCCCCAGACGCCTTCGCAGGACGTCCACTCGCCCGTTCCCAATGCCTCCGGTCAGAGCAATCTCCACCGCAGCCACACCTCCAGCTCTCGGCCAAATTCCTTCGTCGCATCCAATTCGATCCAACCCACCGAATTCCAGGTACGAACGGGTATTAGCGAATCCTCCTCCGCCCCCCACCAGTCTCGATTCCACGAAGAGCTAAGCCAGCGCAGCTCGTCCTTGATAGATGGTCATAACATCGGTGATGTGTCGCAGAACGATTCCCACCCGTTACTCTCGCAGCAAGCAGCCCCGCATCGTTCCGGAACGCTGAAAAAGAAGCCGTCGTTGGGCAAGAAGGGAAGTTTGAGGCGGGGCGGAAGTAAGCGGAGCAGCCGCGCAGGCAGCGTGAGGAGTCTGAGGCTGGGCGAAAAGGAGAAATACGACGTGGGAGAAAACGAGATGAATAGCGCTTTCTACGTTCCCATCCCAACAAAGGGAGCTCCGACGGAGATCCTTGCCACCAGGTTTCAAGGTAATATGCTTCCCCCCTCGGCTTGTCACATCCTGGCGTTATCCATGATATACCCCCCCACCCCCCCAATCCCCCAAGAGCATCCCAGCCATGTGTGCTGACTGTGGAATACAGCATGGCGCAAAGTGCTAAAGGACCTTATCGCCGTCTTTCGAGACATCCAGAGATCTTATGAGACGCGAGCTAAAATTCTCCTTTCTGCCTCAAACTCGATGGGCAATATCGCGATGCCGAGCACCTTTTTACAGTCTGGTGGCATTGCAGATGCCGCCATCATACTCAAAACATACCATAAGCAGGCGCTTGCAGAATGCAATAAGGCCAAGGAAGTGGAAACAGAAATTATTGTCCAGTTGAATAGCCTCAGAAACGACTTGCAGGCAAAAATAAAGGAGATCAAAGCCCTCGCAGGTGATTTCAAGAATTCCGTTGACAAAGAAATGGAGGGCACGCGTAAGGCCGTGCGAAATTTACATGAGGCCCTTGGACTAGTTGACACCGATCCTGCCGCTACATCTGGAAAAGGTGATCCATTCATCATAAAATTGGGGGTTGACAGGCAGCTTGAAAAGCAACTGTTGGAAGAGAATTATCTTCACAAAGTAAGCACTCCACTCCAGTCCAGTTTCAGATGCGATACAATTGCTGAGTTCTTTAAGGCCTACCTTAATCTCGAGAGCTCCGGTCGCGAACTTGAAGCTATCGTTGTTGGCGAGATACAGAAAGCATACAGTGCTTATGCAAGCATTCTAAAACGCGACGCGGACTCCGCGTACGATGCCGTCGAGCGATTGCGAGACGGTCCTCTATCAATGCCAAAGGATCGTGAATGGAAAGCTTTTGTGTCGCATAATGATCATCTAATCGACTCCAGCATACCCATGCGAAACATACGCAACATCACATATCCTGGGAGTGATCATCCGGCAGCGGTAGAAGTTCGGGCCGGGATGTTGGAACGAAAGAGCAAATATTTGAAGAGCTATACCCCGGGATGGTAGGTTTTATTCGATAATCAGACCCTGATGAATTCTATATTCACCTTTTCTTTTTTTTTTTTTTTACTAGGTATGTCCTATCGCCAACGCATCTACACGAGTTCAAGTCTGCGGATCGAATTAGATCTCAGAGTCCGGTTATATCGCTGTATCTACCAGAACAAAAGCTTGGCTCTCATTCTCAGCCCGACTCGTCGTCCCACAAGTTTATGCTCAAGGGACGTCAAACCGGGTCGATGCATCGTGGGCATGCTTGGGTATTCCGGGCTGAATCGCATGATACCATGCTTGCCTGGTACGAAGATATTAAAAACCTAACCGAGAAAACCGGCGAGGCACGGAACGCATTTGTTCGGAAACATGTACGTACCCTCAGTGGCGCAAGTTACAGAGCTGCATCTATCAGCAGTGACGGCGTTCTAGATGAGGATGAAGCAGATGAAACCCCGTATTCTGCTGAACATATGTTACCTCCACGTGGAGCGTCCCTGGATGAACCTCGGTGGCGTTCACCCCCTGGGGGACGATTTCCAAGTGAAGTCCACTTGAATAGAACACTGGAGGCCCCTGAGTCTCCGTCCAGCGAAACAAGCTCTCGTGGTCGAGAAGGACCTTTGGATTCGACTTTTCGTGAAGCCGGGATCCACTTCACCGGCCAACAACACCCACACCAACACACGCATTCGCACTCGCACGAAACAGAGCTACCGGATACAATGCCAATAAATTCTCGCTCTGGCTCCGTTCGTTCCACGCTCTCTAAGAAACCAAACCGGATCTACGACGAATGGATGACAACCCATCGTCCCGTACCTCCGCAAACGCCCACACATGAACAAACCAGCATTCATACCGACCAAATATACAGTCCGTCTCCTCAACTCTGCCGCACCGGAACACGCGTTCGCTCCATCGCATTGTCCACTGGTGCTCCCATCGTCGTGCCCGGGGATAGTTCCCACCCAACCCTACATCCCGAACCGGATACCTCAATCTTATCCACCCAGCCTACTGGCACAAATACAACAGTTCCCAGTCTCACGACCGCAACATCACTCGGCGTGCTTGGTAGTGAGATATCCGCCCAAAACACATCTCATCTACCGAACGGGGCAAGCGGCTTCGGGCCTCCTATCGCGGATCTGCACGATGCGCAGAGCAACACCGTCAGCGATGTCGACCGCTCGGCGAAACAGCGAATGACGCCTGTGTCAAGCCGGACGGGGACGGTTAGCGATTTGAAAGTACCAGGGCAATATCCCATGGCAAGTAGCTAAACAGGGATCTTGCCCAAAAAGTGTCTGTTTATTAGCTGCACGTTACTCGGTTAACAAGGCTGAGTACATGTTTTTCTTACTCCTCATCTTACTACTCTCGGGAATAATTTTTTTTTTTTTTTTTTTTTTTTTTTTTGCCCTCTCAAATATAAACATTTTAACTCTTTTCAACCCCTTTTTTCCGTTGCCGGCAATTTTTATATCTCCTTCCGGCTCTTCCAGGCCTTGCATATTTCCTACTTCTGCATCTTCTAGGCTTTGTTACATCTCGCATTTCCGGTTTTCTGGATATTGGGTTCCTTTCCTTTCCTTTCCTTCCCTCCGCCCCTCTCCCCCCTTTTCCCTCGCCCCCGGTCTATTAGCATATTTCCGCTCGCCGTTCAAATTGGCATATTCTTCGGTTTTCTATATACATACATGGTTAGACAACGCTCCCGCGCGCCTCTTCTTCTATCCTTTCTATTAAAACATACTCGAGCATCTTTACGGCTTTAATCATCACCGTCGTTTTCTATACATCTATCTTCTTGGGAGGAAATACACCCAACGGGTGAAACCCCTTATGTTCGTTGATTATATATTCCTTGTCACCCATGCCTGGGCTTCTTTTGTGTTACCTGGTTGGAGTCAAGAAATACCAATTTTATCAATTAATGATATTACACATCAGCAGCATTATTAGCTATTTGAAAATGACAAAAACAGGAGCCCACTTCCTTTCGAGAGCTTTGTTTCCCTCCATTGTTTTAGCTTCGAAGGAAGAAAGGAGCAGATCTGGCAATTTCAGTTAAAAGTAGAAAAGCAAGCAACATACATACACAAACGGAACAGGCTTTGGGATCAGATAAGAACACAGAGAATGGTTCAAAGCATTCACATATGCGCAATTGAGAGGCCACAGAGGAAGACAAGTCCATAGTTACACTCCCCAAGCTAAGTCCACAAAAGAAGTAAAAATCGTACAGAAAGAATTTTAAAAAAAAAAAAAAAAAAAAAAAAAAAAGAGGGAAAAAAATGACAAATCGAGAACAAAAAACAAAAGTTTTCCCCTCAAACATTGCTGTTCGGTTTCATGGCAGAAGAGGCAAAAGCAAGGGTAGGAAAACTTGACTGCTTAAATTTGACAGGAATTAAATGCCGCTCTTTTCCCCTTTTTTTGATTTGTTTCATGTTTCGATCCATTAACCCGATGACAATTTGTCGCCAACGCCATTGATCATGTCTCTATGAGAAAGCAGTGTTGAAAGGGCGATCATGGTGTCTGTTCTTCCTCTATCGCACCTTCGTGAAACCGGGAAGTTTACATGATTTGATCCTGGGTAATACCGGAGGGTTGGTCTGCAGTAGCGTCTATGGCATCGCCGGAGTTGGCATTCAGGTACTTGACAAATGTCAGGCCGAGAGGACGACCTCCGTATTGGTAGCCTGTAAACTTGCCTATACACATTGTTAGTATCCATACTCTCAGGCTGCCTTTATGGTAAGAGCAACGAACTGATTGCAGTCTCTGCGTTCTCAACTGTATCAAACTGGACGACACCAGTACCGCGTGATCTGCCATTTGCCTCGTACTGGATTTCGGCGCGTTCCACTTTGCCGATCGTAGAAAATAACTCAACTAAGTCCTCGTTGCAGGTCGACCATGGCAACTAGGAATGCGTTAGGGAAAACCGCTCTCAATAATGGAAACGCTGTTCCGGGTCACATACATTGCGGACGTAGATAGTGGCACTCCGTTCTCCACCGTAGGTTGCAAAATCTGTAAATGGGTTCGGGGGGATGGAGGCACCGCCATCAAAACCACCAGCTCCGCCGCCATAACCCCCTCCAAACCCACCTCTTCCGCCATAGCCGCCATAGCCGCCACGACCAGCGAACCCACCTCGACCACCGCCAAAACCACCACGGCCGCCGAAGCCGCCGAAACCACCCCGACCCCCAAATCCACCTGGAGTGGAACCTGCGAAACGATCTTCACGTACCTCCAGAGTTCGACCATGCCATTCATAGCCATTGAACTGTTGAATAGCATTGCGTGCATCCTCCACGTTCTCAAATGCAACTATTCCGGAACCTTTCGGGCGTCCATTTGGATCGAGATGCACATCAGCACGTGCAACGGTACCTTGCTGTGCTATTTTGATATTAGCATCGTACTTTCCGAGTACAACCCTTTAAGGCAGACAAAACCATGAGAGAATAGAACATGCTGTACTTACTGGCTTGGCGGAAAAGATCCTTCAGATCCTGCCAGCCAACATTGAATGGAAGCTAATAAACCAAGTTAATGTGTCGTCCACTAGAAAACTCTTCGCGGCTAATGAGGCCGTCATTGGATGGGGTTGAGAAGCTGGCAAAATAGTGTAAAGTGGGCTACAAACGTTATTGACATAAATTTGACGGCTTGCAAATGATCCGTAACCTCCGCCAAAACCACCGCGGCCGGCGCCTCCGGCGTCTCGGTGGGGAGGTCCAGTGAATCGGGGTTCCGCCTCACGATCCTATATGATAACGACGTGTCAGGAGAGGTTCACTTTCCCAGATGATCAGTCGTACCTCGCGAACATAAACAAGTCTTCCCATGAGGTTCTGGTTGCTAAGCGTCGCAACAGCATTCTGAGCTTGCTCCCTCGTTGCGTATTCCACAATCCTGAGATAGAGGAAAGTAATGTTAGACCCATTAATTCGAATGCAACTTGGTTCGCAGATGTAGCGAATCTGTAGGATTGTTCAAGACTTACCCGCAGCCCTACATAGCCCAAACGACCGAGCCCCAACCCGTCAACCCAACAATCCATCAAAAATGACCAAAGAAAACCAGGAGACCAGTCACAACTACGCATTGACGCCCACCTTCGACATTCCATTGGGAAGTAACAAGACATCGGCAAAGAGAACCTCTCCGGCTAAAGATAAAAAACGACACGGTCGCAGTCAGCCTCGTCCCTCCAAACCTACGGTACGACATGCGTCCCATCGGCTGCGAATTCGTCCATGGCTTCCAGCTCACCCTGTCTCATGAAATCTTTAAGATGATGCCATTTGACATCGTATGACAAATTTCCAACATAGACACGGCGGTCTTGTTGGGAAGACTCGCGAACAGCCTGCATCATCTGTTCTTTGGCGAACGCACGATCTTCGTAGGAACGAGTAGGCGGACCACCACTTCGTCCTCCGTATCCAGAGCCTGGATAACCACCAGAAGTGCCAGCTGCCCCGCTCATAGGTGATCTCGATCGCCGGTCGTTACGACGGTAGTCTTCACGGCTGCGGGAACGGCTGCGTGGAGAGTAGGAACGGCGGCTTCGACGAGGGCTGCGAGAACGTCGGCGTGGAGAACGCGACCTCTCACGCTATTACGAGTCAGTATCAATCGTCAAAATTTATACTTTCGATTTAAAAACGTGGAACATTTTATGACATGTCGGAAAGGTGCTGCAAGAGGATGACTCGCAGATGGGCCCAAATGGACAGATACAAGCGAAATGGCCACACGTGGGAGACCTCCATGTCAGCTTGGAGCTTGATTTGTGGAAGGCGGTGAAGTAGCCCTTGACCACACGTGAGACGACCAAGAAACGGGCGGGGCAAAGGACTGGGGAAGGGCATGCAACCAAAATTGCTAGCACATCCGACGGGGATAAAAACGAGCTGAGTAAGAGACATATATCATAACTGGGGAGTAACGAAAGCGACTTTTAAGGCGGAAAATCGTCGTCAGACGACCTCCTGCAAAGATCTTCTTCGCTGCCTGCTTCCATATTGGAGAGACTTGCTTAGCCGTGCTTAGCACCGCCAGTAAGGACCAGATAGATGAGGATTCGTAATATTAATGTGCCCATAAACACGATCGGTCTGGATGTGTTCGGCATAGATGTTGACGAGTCCATTGTCCTTATTGTTTCTGGACGGCGCCCATGGCTCTTCTTTTGATGGAATTTGATTTTGGAAAGGGGAAACGGAAAAAATTGAAGCATACTCCGACAGCATGACTTACTTGATGGGGTCGATAAACGTCGGCTGAACCTAGGAATGGAGCGATAATTAGTGAGCCTTGCGCCTCGGTATAAAATGAAGGACGGTAACAGTCGTCAGAGGAGGAATAAAAATGGTGTCAAGAAGAAAAGTGAGAGCCGGGTAAAAAAGGGTGAAGAAGGAGTGAAGGTCGGAATTAGAAGAAAAGGTGTGAGTGGAGAGTGAAGTGACAGGATGTGTGATGGAGGCAGTCCGTTAAACAATTCTTGGTGAGTGCCCTGGAAGGCCAAGACAAGGGGGGGGGTCCTTATTAGGCAAGCAATGGGCGATATGACAGGATGGTACGGACAGAGAAGAAACACAAAGAGGATGTGCACCGAAGGGGAGAAGGAGCTAGAGGTTGTTTCACTCGCAAGGTGGGAGGTGAAGGCTCAAGGAAAAGTATTTTGAGACAGCGCGGGAGAGACACAAGCGCACAAAGAGCCGCAGAACGGCAGAAAGCGATCACTTGGGGCCTGGAAATAGCGAATAGAGCTGTCGCATGACAAACTGGCAGCTCAGAAAATAATGGCAGCTAGGCAAGTTCCCCAGAACAATGAGGCAGGGCAAGGGAAGAGACACGCACCCATGATTTTTTTTTTTTTTAGGTTGCAGATGAGAGGTGAAACGGAGGACTTCTCAAGGTGAAGTGGGTTCTTGTCCCAACGCTGCGTCCAAGGTGACTCGTGGCCGTGAACTTTTCCAGTTCAGCGCAAGACTGCAGCGGATGGGGGTGAGCTTCGACGGGTGGACGATGACGGCGCGTTGCGGAGCTGTAATTGGAGGAACGGCGATAATTGCTCTGAGCACGGTGCAGGGATTGAAGGTTGGGGTTGACTTTGGAGGAACTGAAAACCCGACAGAAATTTTCTTTTTGCCCTCTGCTCTCCAAATTCCAGCACCTTTTCTCTGCTAGCCCATTGGCAGATGCCGGAAAGATAATTGGTTGTGATGAGAGAGGTCACAAAGCTGAAAAAAAAGAAGGGATCTTGCGAGGTCTCGAGGTGACGACGAAGCTCGCCAGACCGAAGAGAACGTCGTTAGGCTGCCGCCGCCGCCGCGCCAAGAGGGCATGTACGGTATGGTACGGTACGGTATTGAATATGTATGTATCGTTTTGCGTTGCTCCGACTGGACGGGATAGAATAACCGTCTTCTCCGAAATTTGTGGGCACAGGATGCTCCATTCCCGAATGCAGTCGCTTGCAGAATACATATTTGTACTCCGTACGTTTGAATATACCTTGATTCTACAGTACAGAGCACATTCTTGAAGGATTGGATTTCTTAGAGATTCCGCAGGATTGCTTCTGTAACACCCTTAGCATTGTATAGCGGTACAGGGCACGTATATATTACAGAATATGTAGAGTAATACAGTAATTTCGCGGGACAATCCGCGCTGCTGTATGTAATGCTACGTATCGTGGCGACGAACCCGGCTAGCACGCGGCTACCTCGAAGCATGATCTGACCACAGTAGTCGTCGAACCTCCCACTTCACATGCTCTTTGTTCTTGACGATCACTCATACTGTCTCCCAAGGCACTCATTTCTCCATCAGGTGGAGCTTTGTTGCTCGAAACGTGAAACTGTCCGTAGCCTTGCCTTGATACTTCCCTTGCCAGCGCTCCAAGACAAACCAAGTCAAGGTCTGGAACATTTTCTGTGAGACTCATCCCACAAAAGCATCATTTTCCAGGCATATGACTGTGTTTCTCTGGCCCAGGTTATGTTTGCTAACTTACAATTTTGTGACAGAAAGGCGTCATTCGATTCGCAAATAAATCCTTGTCGTTTGGGAGACACCGGGCCATGAACCATGTGCTGAGCACACTGCAGGCACCAATCATTCCACAAGTTAGTTACCCGGCGGCTAGACAACATCAAGTAGCGGTAATGAGCAATTTTCTTTTCGTGTTCAAAAACATGATTTTTGTTGGAAGCCACAAAAGAAATTGGCACAACTTCTCTGGTCGTTGTGCGGGAACTCTGTCAAGGATGGAATCTCTTGGCCACAGAGACTTAAATCCTGCGGGCTGGCGCCGCTGCAAGTCTTGCCTTTCCGCTGGCCCTATCCATCATCTTAAAAATACACCGGAGAAAGCTTCGTTTTACGTTCCAAAAGGGTCCCTTGACCCCCTCATTGAGTTCGAGACTGAATTCCGTCCTCCTGCGCCTTTCCAGGTGATATGATTGGATCTACATATTACCGATGCTGTATGATGGGAAAATGGCCCGGCGCTCTGTAACGCAGTAGCTCAAATGCTTGCAATGCTGACGAACAGTCGAGAGTACGGGGTCCAATTCTTGGCATTTTAAGGGGCGACATGCAATGATTTCAACGTTCTATTTATTCGCCGTTGCCCTGCTTTGCGGGAGAGTGCTCACTCGGTCTCGTGTGCTGTGACCAGAAGACAGTAAATAGTGACAACTTCCACGGAGCTATCGACGGGCGACATAATTTTGGATGAGATTCGCCTATCAACAATGGCAATCGCTTTTCATCTCTTCCCTCGAAATTGTTCCTTCTGGAGATCTAGGTACAAGTCCAATCTCTAACTGAAATTTGCTAGGTATTTCGATCACGTTAACGATATCCACGACCCCACCCGTTCAAAGGAAACCAATTTGGCAGCCGTATTTGATAGACAGCCGCTTCGTGTAACGACTCGGTGTTCAGCGCGATTACTGTCCTGTTGCACAAGTTTTCCCTCCCTTGTGAAGGAACATGAAACACGCCCCAAGTTTATCTATCATCAATACGGAGTACAAATCTCCCCAATCATCACTACGGTGACCATTGAGAATCGATGAATCTAGAGTTTTCCTTTATGCCATGACCACCATCATCTCCGCGCGGTGTCCTAGCACAGGCTGCAACGTCTCATTGTTCAGCCCGGATGGCTAGACGAAAGACAGGGTCCTGTTTTGATGAATGTAAGGCGCGCCAACCTTTCGCATCCTTATGGGTGGGAAAAGGGTTGGCCGAATTTTACTGCTACGCTCCAACATTGTGGCTCTAAAACAAGGGCTGCATTTTGTTCCCAGAGTCCTTTTTCTAGAGTATAGGAGTTTAGATTTGTTCTATCCTCTATACAATGGGCTCCTTTTCTCATCTCAAGAAGGATCTCTGGAGGCCACTCCTCTTGTGACACTACCACCAATCCACGCAAATTTGATTCTTCAGAAGTCTAGATTCCATCAATCACACCTCACTCATGTGTGCGGCAAAGTAGCCATTGCGGAGGCCGTCAAGCTTTATTTTCATAATGCCGCATTTGTTCACGACCTTGTTGCAATTTAGACACGCACCGGCCTGCGCCAGACTGATCTCTTTCGTATCGACAGGGTTTCGATATTTTATGAGATCGCAGGGGCAATGATTTAGGTGGCAGGCCAATTCCTTGATCATCTGTCGGTGAACGACATCCCCGGAAGCCGGAGATTCAATAACGAAGCTGCAGCTGCAGAAGGAATACCATCTCGGCCTTCACAGGCCCATGTCCACTCGTACTCCTCTTTCAATTACTGGGCTCCTCCCAGCCATTATCCCCTGCAAAAAATCCCATATTTGTCAACCTACATGCACTAACATTTCAGATGAAGCCGATGCTCATCGTTTGTCGGTGTTCTTATTGGTAATGGATTATCGGCTTCCTCTTCCGGGGCTGGGGCCCCTGGGTGCGAGGATTGTCAACAAAGGAGCTTGTGGGAGCAAAAGCGATCCATCAGAGTCTTGGTCGTTCACACCTCAGCGATTTAACCTTAAGCCTCCCTTCCACTTTGTACCACACTTTCCGAAAGTCAAACCTGGGAGTCGAGTCCTTCATTTTGGCGTCCGGCAAACCTCGATGTATATGTATCGTTGCAAAGGTCATTTGCGACCTTTGCTCGCACCTTATGCGTCAGCAGATTCAATCTCTGAAAGGAAGCAAAATGATCCATTTTCCGTTAGCAGCCTTTCTGAAGCTGAGTAGATACATTTTCAACAAGTGCTGGAGAGGTGGTTAGCTTTACTGGACAGGGTTCAATACAACTGTGTTTCACACACCGAAGGGCCAATCGTTCCAACAAGAAATTCTACAGGCTCATTCTACATATTCACAGATTCAGTCAAGACCAGCCATCTGCAATTTGCCCGGAATATGTCATGGCGGTAAAAGGATGGTTGCCCCCTTTCAATGTGACAGAGCATGCTCTTGTTGGCAATGCTCTTCCTATATTTTAGCGAGTTTGGATGTCACGGGCAACAAACTGTGCTCTCCACACTCACCAGATGAGAACACGAAAATGTCAATCTCGCCCATCACTCTTCAATGACAATATGATTGGATTGTCAGTTTCTCAAAGCACTTCCAACGCATTAGCTAATTGCATTGCTTGATGGCGCATTTTGGAGTTGTGGTTCAGTATCACTAGGTGCTCATCACAATACTGTGCTGCTTGAAGACTGGCCGAAAGGGTGAAATGATATACACATCTCCTCACGTGATGTTTAAAGCACGCATGCAGCACAAACACCCTGGGAAGACCCTTGTTGCGGGTAATACTATTCTGCCATGCTGAGGTGAATGTAGGCCTCAAATCTATTTCAGAGTCCAGATATTCTCATAATACCCCATCTACACTTATCAGAACCCTAAGCGTGATACAGCTCCATTTCCAAACAAATCTATTTCTGTTAAAGCACAAAGCGTTTTGTATCGGTCTTTGTTCTATTCCTTCCGCCTTTTTACTTCTGGCTGCTTCTCAGACCCGTCGTCCCTGTACGTTGGACGGACGGTCGTCCTACAAAGAGGTAGACGACTCAAGTGGATTTTGCCAAAGATGCTCTATCTTGTTTGTACCCCGTACAACTGCCTGATTTTGACAGAGTGACACAAATGAGTAGTGCCGACAGTTATGCATATCATATCTGTCCAGATATGAGAAGCTCGGGTTCCCCTCTGTGCTTTAACTGAGAGTCCATAACATCTATTTGATCGACGTCACAATGATGCAGCGCGTGTCTGCAATAGGACGTATGCGGACTTTCAAATGGATGGGCTGCCGCCTCCACTCCTTAAGCCGAACGACCCTCTCGGATTGTGACGTTTATTGGATGGGCTGTAAAAAGAGGGTAACTCCAATAGGCAGCTCGTTTATATCTGTCAAGGGGCCCCTTCGCATGATGCCATCTGCCTCTGAAAAAGCTCGGTTGATTCTACCCGCCTACGGGACCTACAGTACAGTGCACTGCGTGGGCGTTATCAGAACCCTAAACTCCCTTTCTATAGCAACTGTCTTACGTATCCTCGAGGGTGGTTGCTCACCACGTATAATAGACCTACATACGTCCAGTAGCATTGCTCACGCAAACGTTTCGTCCACCAGCAGTTCCGAGTTTCTGTTTCCCCTCCTTCATCGTATGTCGTGGGGAACCCAGCTAGTGTAGTTCGAGAGTTAGCAGCGGACTAACGAGGTCCACCCCAGCACAAAACGACCGGCGACTGCTCTCAAATTGCTGCTTGCCATAGATAAATAAATACATAGATGCAGAGGAAACTAGGATTGCTCAATGCACCCAGAGAGAATTAATTACCTCCGTGGTGCTATTTATAGCCTGGGGCTTTGATTTCGGCTCTTTCACCCACCAGTGTGCGAAGCAAACTGTGAAATGCTCCTTTAGCGACCTTCCTGTTTGGGACCGTGACCGCTCGGCCCCATCTTCAATCTTGTCTTTCTGCTCTCTTTTCTCTGGAACCTGCGCTTGAAGGGAACAGACGATCGCTATGGGGCCTCTGGCCTGGATCTTTTGCCTTTTACCTTTTTCTTTTTTAAATTTTTCTTTCTTTTCTTTTCCAATCGATGGCGGTTCATCTTCATTTTGCCCGTCAATTACTTGTCCTTGGATAGTTAAAGGGTAAGGAATCAAAAGAATCTTTTGATTCCCCTCTTCTTTACCATTGAATGCTTTAACTTATAATTCAGCCAGCCGGTTCACGTTTGACTGATTTGAAACCATCGAGTCCCATCTTCAAAAAAATTCCCAACCCCAAAAATCCACAGGCTCACATTGTATAGCACCATGGGTCGTGGGGTATCTTGCGAAACCATCCACCGCCACCAACAGCATCTAAAGTGGTCAAAGGCAAACACACCCGTCTTGACAATTGACTCTGGCGATACAGTCACGTTCGACGCCCTTGATGGCAGCAACGGGCAGATCAACAAATCTTCCACTGTGGACGCCTTGGACACTTTCGATGTCAACCTGGCCGACCCAGCCTTTGGACCTATCTACGTTAACGGTGCAGAACCAGGAGATGCGCTAAAAGTGGAAATTCTAAATCTTGAGCTGGGAGACTGGGGGTGGACAGCGATCATGCCGGGCTTTGGATTGCTGGAGGACGAATTCCTCAATCCGGCTCTTAAGATATGGGATATTGATCCAAACCTGCCTTACGTGAAGTTCAAAGACGGAATACATATTCGCAAACAGCCGTTTTTGGGCGTGATGGGCGTGGCTCCCGGCGAGGAAGGAGAGTTTGCGATGATTCCACCACTAGAGACAGGTGGGAATATGGACTGTCGGTACTTAATTGCTGGATCGACGCTATATCTCCCTGTGCGGACTAAGGGAGCGTTGTTCAGCTGTGGCGATGGCCATACGATCCAAGGCGATGGGGAAGTATGTGGGACAGCGATTGAGACATCACTAACAGCAACGTTACGTTTTACCGTATGCAAGAATCAGCCGTGGGTGACTGCACCGCAGTTCCAGACTCCTCCGTTAAAAGAGATTTTAAGCGAGGAGGAGTTGAGTCAGGATAAAGGGGAATATGCCGCCATGGGGGTTGACGCCGACCTTCGTGAAGCTACGAGAAAAGCCACGCGAAACTTGATTAATTGGCTGGTCTCAACGAAGGATCTCACGCGCGAGGAAGCGTATATGCTCGCTAGTGTGACTGGACATCTTAAGATGGTTGAAGTTGTGGATATGCCAAATTACGCTGTTATTATGAGCATACCTCTGAGCATCTTCGTCTGATGAAATGCCCCACCAATTAGCTAGTTACTCACTTTACGACCTGAACGACGTTTACGGCTGACTGGATATGATTGCTATGTTGGTACGGAATGTACGAATACTCCATGATATAATTACCTGGAGTGTAGACTCCATACGTACATCCTAAAATAATTCTACCACGAGAAACGTAAATGAAGTGGCCGCATCTCTGGTGTAAAGATTTCACCTGTGCTAATCCTACTGAGGCTGTTGAGACGGGAAAAGGAAAGAAATCGCCGATTCCGCTGTCATTTCAGAGTGCTTCTCAGGCGTTTGGATCTCGCGGCTCTCAAATGTTGTCGTGGAATTATGTTTCTCCATAGAAAGAAACGCGCGCCAAGGTCGGCGCTGCAAACATGGCAAACAAACGGCAACACCAACCGTCACCCGCTCCTTTGTACTTCGCCGCCGTGAACTCTCATATGAGGCACACCCGACGTCCTCTGTGTTCTTCATTTTTGGTTTCCCTCGACTCTCTACCACCCGCCGGTGCTTCAGAAACCAAGCCACAAAGCCAGGGGTTGTTATCAGGAGAGCATTTTTGCCTACTGTTTCAGGATGCCCCCATGATACTCTAAACCCACCCAACCCTTAAAGAGCCCCTTTCGCCGCTCTTCACTCCAGCTACCCACGATAAGCGGCAAGCTACTACAGAAGGGGAGACAGGTCGTTTATAGGGAAAAGCGGTTGCCTGATCGCATCATCAGTTCCCCGTCTTTCTAACCATGATCTGCGGCATGCAACTGATAGCACAACAGTCTTTCTCTAGGGAGTAGCGAATGTGAACTTTTGCTATGGAGTACCCAAGAAAAGAAAAAGGGGGAAAAAAAAAGAAAAAGGTTAAGAGCATCACTGCGGGCCCTGTCCCAGTGCCCGTCTCCGACATGTTTTCCTGCCATTAGCTTTTACTCAACGTCTTTATCGCATTGACTATTGATTATGAAGTCCTTACTGCACTTCATCGCCATCAAAGCATCGAGAAACATAAGCATGGGCATTTTCACGTAGTCCAAAGGAACTTCAATTGTCCAAAACATCGCGTTCAAGTTGTACAATCCCAGGATTCCCTCGCTGTGGTGGTCAAACATTGGATGAGCAGCTGGGTCTCTCACCGCTTGACTTGCAGGCGCCCAGTCCTAGCCCTGGGCCTCCATGGCTTTAATGAACCCAGATATTCTGCGCATTCACTTTGAAGAGCGCAAAATGGATATCGAAATATCTCTAGTTTTAAAGAGAAAAAAATCGGGCATGAACATACTCTAGCCCGCCGTATACCTCATGGACTGACTGAAGGAATTTCTTACCTACATCATTTCCATTTCTTTCTTGCTCATTCGGCACTCATTCTGATATCCGATGTATCTGTATAAGGATACATAAGCCGAAGCTCATTTGATTGACGAAAAAATTTCGATTCGGCTAACGTGTCAGGCCTATTGATATCTTCGAGAATATTCGTCAAAGCGAACACTCCCCGATATGAAATTTTGCTTCTCCTTTCTTTCCCTCCGACATTCCCCGTCTTTCATTGTCCTATACATCCCTATTGCTGAGGATAACCCTCGCTGTGAAAGAGACGGTTGGAGCCCAACGGAATCACGAGTTTTTGGGTGTGTGATACGAGGTATTGCTGACAGTATTATGGCATCGCCAGAATCGTGGCCAACTTTCACGCCATTTTGCCTCACCATTTGCATGGACGCAACCGGTGGCGAACCAGGGGATCTGGGCACTGAAAGTGTAGGTTGAGACGGAAGCGAAAGATCGACGCGTAGGCAGGAGGTTGGGAAAGGGTCGGTTGTATTCAGCTGCAACGATATATCTAAAACGGAAGTTGTGTCGCTAGCTTCGAGAGAAGACCAACCTCTCCTAAGGAGGCTGGAGGATAAACTCTGGTATTTGTTTCATCTGGTGTCTGACCTTCGGTTACTGACGTCTTCGGAGCGTTAAAACAGAAAAAGAATACGATAACTTTAACTATGGTCTCTATTCGATCTAAATCCGAAAGTTTGCGACTCCCGCGAGCAAGGAAATGATGCCGTCGTTTCAGCGTGCATGATCCCGCAAGAGAGATGAACGCTAGATGAACGCTATCCCCAGCCTCAGCACCCGGTCCATCTACTCGATGTTGACAATGAGACAATTCACGACTGTGCTCCTCTGGGCTAATGTCGGATCATCGAGGTAGATAGACGCTACTTTCAAATCTTCCTCAACCTTGGTTACAGGCCGAGACACTAGGTTCTTCAAATATTGCTTAAACGCAAGTAAGGTCCTCTCGATGAACTTTGATAAAGCTTGTCCTGATTCCACCTTCTCCGTCTCTGGAACGATTTGATTCTGTTCAGTGTCTCTGTCTTTCTAAACCAATTCATTACTCATACCTTTGTTTAGCTTCCGTATATATTCTAGAGATCTTCAGCCTTTGCTTTGAAAGCGTTCAGAGTGATGAGTGTCACCACAGCATCAAGAATGCGATATAGGCTTAGAAGAAGACAAGCACCTCCTCCACCACTATCTCTTGCACCAGAAGAGGACGAGAGTGACGATAGTGACGATAGTGACGATAGTGATGACAGTGAGGATGGAATTGAGAGTGATAGTGATGACAGCGACGATGAGAGCTCCATGGAGCTTCTGTCGCCGACATCTACCGTCCCACCGGAAGCCGCGTCACTAATATCAACAACATTGCGCCAGAGCACATTATCCAGAAGCTGTTCGACAAATACGAGCGGGACGTGCCAAGCTGGAACAGTTCTCATCACTTTGCCTGACTCGACAATCACGGCCATAGTAACTGGTACAGAGTCAACAGCACTCTTTGTCCGTCCAGTCGAGGAGATAACGGCTACGCCTACCCCATCGCGAGGAGAATTAGGCGCGGAGAGGACTGCGTCAACAAACAGTCAGAGCAGACCGAGTCAAACAGCAGCTCCTGATACCGAGCCGATGGGCAACATGGGGGCATCGCAGGCATTTTCTCCTGCTTTAATTGGATCGCTAGTCGCAACTGGGCTTATTGGTATGTTGTCTTATATTTTTCAATTTACAACAATGTCGGTTAACCTTCTCGATAACAGTTGGCATAGCAGGTGTCGTCACCGTCAGCCTGATCTTACTAAAACGAAGAAATAGAGTCCGCATCAGCCCGCCGTCTCAAGTGAGCAGCAATACGTTCCCTGTTTTAGAGACTGATATATGATGAAAAGCTAACTAGTCTTCTTGTAGGACTTCCCCGATAGTACACCACCACCAGTAACGCAGGTGGATACAGGAATACCTCCCGGACGGGATGCTGAGAACCCCTTCCGGGATCCCCCCACAGCACCAGCCCGGACATATTTTATGTGATAGGCTAATGCGCTAGTGAAGATTGGCAATAATGGGTCGAATAGGAGAAGATCCTGCGCACTTTAATCTCTGCTGGCCCGATGGGTCTAAACTCGGATACCCTGCTAGATCAGGGTATTGGTGGATCATTTTATACATAGACTTCCCTCTCTAAAATCAATTCAGCGTGGATACATATTCTTGGCCAGCAGCAGAATAAAGCTGTCTGAGGTTCACACTGAATATGTGGCCACCGAAAGACCGGAACTTTCCACGTTCTATAGGAGCATTGAATGAATTTGGCGACTCACTAATGATTTCTTTATGGTTCTTGGGATATGTACATATTTATAATGATTTATATATATATATATATATCTATATATGCATGTCTTTCCTTTTCCTGTCTCTTATGAAGAATGGAAAGTTTGGCTTCTGTTAGTTGGGGGAGCACTCTAGGTTAAATTGAGGCTCTATGTTCGGAGAACAGTTACTGATCCTTTGGGGAGAAATCTATCACTGCCTAAGACCGAACTACAAATGAACCGGGCACCAGCAATCTATGCAGTGGCATACTTAGTGGAGCCAGTGGGCATGACGTATACATGATGGCGCACACGACGGTTCATGTTACCTTAATTAAAGACTATCTACATGCTATAGGTTCAACTATTAACATCAAAGGCAAATAGCTGAGAGTTGGATCAACCCTCCATTGTGTTTAGGCGGCAAAAACAAGACGACCGTACTGGGACATCTGCTGTTGCAGTCGCTCGGGCCAGCTCTTCCTTGACCGCTAGGGCTTCGGCCTCATGCCCAAGCCTCATCAAGCATTCGTGGTACCCATGTAAAGCCCATACGTTTTTTGGATGCTGTCGGGCTCGTGGGAGGGTGTTGTCAGTGCCAAGGTCTGCACGATACGCGGCGGCAGCCTGTTCGACATGGCCCTGCTCGAGCAAAAGTGCACCATAGGCATGTCGGGTTGGTTGCATCCAGCCCCAAGGTTCGTCGTAAGGAAGTGCATCGTCCAGATGAATAGAGCGTCGCAAGTGCTCGAACGCAATCTCGATATTTCCGCGACGGTACTCGAGTTCACCGTCCAACATTGCACCGGCTACCTCAAGGATGTCGATACACTTGTTGTTAAACAGCGTGCGAGAGGCGGGGACCCGCTGCATTGCGTCGCGAAACAAGGTACGTTGCTTTTCCGCGTCTTCGACTTTCGCAGTCGCAGCCAGTGCCACGCCTTTTGCATAGTGCGCCATCGCGGTAGTGAAGCAGTAGAGTTCTTGGTTTGCTGGAAGTGGTAGATCAAGAATATCCTGCCACCGCCCGAAACGGATGAGAACATGCACACGTACGCTCAAGAAACTTTCCAACCAGTCAGCCATAGGCGGGGACTCGACACGGAGTAACTCCTCCGGGAGGGAGGCTTCCAGTTGTGCGACGGTGCCAAGGGCAACTTCGGACTGTCCTGCGAACATTGCAGCGTAGATAAGAAAATGGTAGTCGTGCGACCTATAGAGTGAGTAAAAGTTCAATGGGCCAGCTCGTGCTAAAAATTTCTCATCCGCACGAACTGCGTCTGAGTTTGAGCTTATGGCACGCGCGTAGTCGCCACAGAGCATGTCGAGATGGGTGGGCATGTGGTGAAGGTGACCGGCGTCCGGGACAAGTCCACGCAAGTGATCAGCCACAGGCAGAGCTATCTCGGGTGTATTGGACATCTCCATAAGGTGGATATACATGTGCAAGAGGCCCGGGTGTGCCAGGCCTCCATCCTGAGCTAAAGCCTGCTCAAGGGCTTGCTTCACCTCCATAGTCCGCGCATCCGGAGCAGGTTCGCCAGTAGACAGATCCCATAGCTGCCACGGCGTCAAATTCATAAGCGCATCTGCGTAGAGAGTCGCGACGTCGAGGTCATCCGGGAACTCCTTGTACACCTTTCTCATCGCATCGGCATAATCCCGGTTCCACACTGAGCAATCCTCGGCTGCGTGGTCCTGCTGGTATCGAAACCGAAGTGCGTCAACGAGTGCCCGCTCCACAGCTGATGCACTGGAGGCATTGGCTTTAGCCTGTGCGGTTGCACGATGTGTTCGAGCCACGGTTGTGTCGAGCTCCCGACCTTCGAAGAACTCCCATGGTTTGTTGTAGTTAGGGCCAAGAGAATATGCGAGACCCCAGTATGCCATTGCGCAGCCAGGATCAGCCGCAATAGCTTGGTCAAAGCATCTGGCAGCCTCTTCGTGATTGAATGCGTAGCTCCAGATGAGACCGCGATCGAACCAGGTCTGGGCGTCAGGGCTGGAGGTCGTCACTGGGCGGTGGTAAGAGCCGAGGTTATAATATCCATTGGGATCTGGTCCCTGGCGACAGCTACTCATCTTGAAGTGAATAGCATCCGTTCGAGGATTGACTCTCTGCTGATTTGGACTATGCTTCGGCAGGTCATGGAACTCCTGTGGTGTCAAATGGAAGTCCAGTCAAACCAGCAATTTTAGGCCAGCTGCTTGAGAGCCCTCCATTACGATCTGGAACCCCGCTCTTAGAAGCTGGTTGTTAGCAGACTCAAAGCACGCCTCACACGCTCGGTCCGACAGAAATCCAACGTACTCCATATTCATCCGGAAGAATGGAAGACAATATGTTTAATTATTGATGCCAGATCTGTAAGAATTATAAGCATAATAGAAAGATAATCTGAAGATAATCTGGGATATAAATAATATTAGTTTACTTACTACAGAGTACCACAACAGCATATATCAGCTTCAGTAAACATCTGATTATCAATTCAATAAATATATTCAGAACACACAAATTCATGCTAGTTTATATGAGCAGTGCATACCAATATTTAGCATATAACTAGGCAGCCAGACTACAGCCTGGATTGGGACCAAGGAAGCCAAAGAACACCCTATTTCCCCTGTGTTTCCGGTTTATACAAGATGTCCGACCTCATGGTATACTTCACACCTTGCAAAACCTGATCCCCAGAGTGGTATAGGCCACGATGCTGAAATATCAGCACTCTGCCTGGTTTTGGGTGGACATCCAGTCGCCTCCGCTCATCTCTAGACCAAAATGTAGTTGCCCCTCCGACAAGCCGCTTCCTTTCATCCTCCTTGCCGTCGCTGAGGTATAACTGTAAAGTGTAAAACGTGCATTGGTTTCCCGTGGTGTAGGGTGCATCGCAATGAGCTGTTGACGAGTTATTGTTCACCCCAACACAATTAGTCCTAATGCCTTTAATGTACGCACTTTAAAGTCCCAGCCATACCTTTAAAAAACTGCCCATTGGTATAGCGTAAGAATCGCATGCGCTCATTCAGCTTCACAACCTGCCAGCTCTGTGCGCTCTCTAGTGCCCAGGCTCCCAAGATGCCCCTATATTGCTCTCCGGCGATGACACTTAACCGCTTCCTGATTCCATCGGCCTGGAAACACCTCTCCAAGAGACGAGATGTAATCACGTCATTATCCCAAATTATTCGGTCCGAGTTGCGGTAGGTTGTCATTAATGCTTCGCGCCCTGGGCCAACACTGACAAGTGCAGGTTTCCAGGGCTCACCAGTCTCTACGCTCTGCTCCGCTAGGGAAAGCAACTGGGCGCATTCTGACTGACTAAGGACATTGTCGAGAATAACCGCATAATAGTCTTTATATTCGGGCAACGAAGACGAAGAGAAATCGATAATATTCGCGGTGATTGGTTCGGCATCTGGCGGCGGAGTGGTGAGGAACGTATCCGGGATGGGGACCTCTTTGGAAGTGTAACTTGTCTCCAAGATGACCGGCGGGCCGGTAGTCGCCGGCTTTCTATTGAGAAGGTTGCTCATTTAGTCGAGATGATGTAGGGAAATACTAGTTTTTATCATTTAGGAAATAGACGAAAGCGGGACAAAGCGCCAGCTTCACTCAGCCTTCTTATATCTAGTGGGTAATAATTGCTGCCTGGGTAAATATAGTAGTGGAGACAAGGCGTTCATTGAGATATGTATGCTCATACACTATGCACTCCTGTGGCCTTGGACGGGCTCCGCACAAGCTCCTCGTAGACTAGATGTCTGAACATATGACTGTACTCCAGGCGGAGTAATTAATCCACACTCAAGATTTCGTTGCAGACTGAGTTGGCGTCCTCTTGCTTGCGTCCGCCTTGAGACTTGGCCAAATGGCAGCGTGAATTTCGCTGGCCTGTGTTTTGTTAAGATAGTACTCCGTACGGAGTATGTACTTAACTCAAAGAGGAGTCCTCCTGCTCCGCAGTTAAATTTAGATAACCCTCTCCAGAAGAAAATGGTTTTGATCGGCAGCCTGGGCGAATAAAATGGCTTATCACCACCGTCAGGCTGTTGGTTAAATCCCATTGAAATCGACACGTCGGGGGTCGGTGGAGCCTGGACACTGCCAAAGCGGAAAATGGTAGCTCCTTGAAGCTGATGGAGAATTATCGGTCGCTCTGCTCCGAATGAGAATGCTGCTGATCTCTGTGAAAGACACAAATCTTTAATTTGCGTGGCTCGTTTAACTAACCCGCTCGTTAAAGGTAAGCCTGAGTTTGCCCCCGAAGATATTAGAGACCCTCCTGGACCTGCCCTAAAACCCCAATTCCTAGCCACCCCAACAGGCACCCCCAAATTTCCTACGTGCCCCAAATAACCCGCCCTTAACCCCTAACAAACTCTCGGTAAGCCTGTCTCTCGAGCAATCATCAACCACGGATGATTTAATTAGACCAGTCAGCCAAATGCTGTAGTTAGACAATATGTGGATCAGATGGCTGCTGGGTGATACAATTGTCAATTGCTGCGGTTTGTCAATTTGTGCGGGTTATGATTGTTTCGCATCAATTCTCTTGATATCTTCTATGCTGCAATCATCAACAATGGCTTGTACAGCCATCACTGTTGATTGTTTCAAACAGCGACGACTGCCCCCTCATCATGACCACCTGCTCCGTCGAAGTCCACAAAGAATAGCGACGCCGGAGAGGACGCCCGCTCCACGGGTCTACCCAGGTGTGATTCCCACCAATCCTGTACGTGTCAGAAGGAGAGAGTATCTTAAGACCGTTATGGATTGTTGCTTGGACTTATCAGCCTGTGATTTCGCGGCTCGCTGATGCTATTTGCATACTCTAGATTCGGATTTCAAAACACCATTGAAAACATATATACTCGTGGATTACTGATAAACTTGTGCCTGGTATAATGCTGAATGTAAATACCAGGCACAAGTTTATCAGTAATCCATGAGTATATATGTTTCTTCAATGGTGTTTAAAATCCGAAACTACTGCACTTGCTAACACATTTAAAAAGGGAGGGGACGGCAACATGGGCGGATAAGAGGCAATTTTCGAGCCAGCTGATCCCGTCTATCCTACAAAGTCTGCCTCTTCTTTGGACCCCGGGCTCCCAACCAATTGACTGGATACTTTGTTTGGATATCTGGGTATATTCGCTGCATAACGAGCCCCATTACGCAAGAGGAACATGCAATGTACCGATGAAGGCGGTACACCTCGTATGAACCAGAAGAGCGCTTGGTCAACACCCTAGCCTGTGGAAAAATATCAATGAATATCCATCGGTGACCTAGGCTACTTCAATCCATCTCACACTTTCCCTGGCCAGCATTCAACGGGAAGACTTGGGCGGACGGTGAACAATCGAGGCAGCCTGAAGCGTATCGCCGGACGGCACCAATTTCGGTTCCATCGGTTTTGCAACGACGAGCTAACGGGAGTTGCTAGGCCTCGAGGGCTCTTCAACTGTTGGCGACAAGTTGGTATACCTGGGCCCATCGGAGATATTACAATATCACCAACCATCTCGATGCAGAGGATGCCAATAGAGGCGCTAGATGTGTTCCAGACAACAGCAATGGTTCTATCTGCATTTCGCGGAGATAAAGTGGGCTGTGGACATACAGCTCAGTTATATGAGGATTTTGTGCGTGCTATTCTGGACTGCGTGTGAGCTGGTTCCGGTTAATGCGCAAGCTTCCCCCAAATATTCCGTCTTGATCCTAGCCATATAGGCAGAACGCCGATGCTGTCACTGTACTCGGGCGGCTGATCAACCCTTGTATGCTCTCCTAATCCTCGCTTGGGCGCATGTCCTTGATGAAATTAAATGTCTTAAGACGCAATTAATCCAAAAATAGACAGGACGTCATATCCAGGGATCCCTTCGAAGTAGCCGTCATGAGCCGAATATGCAACATCCTACATGTCCATACTCAGCGTTCGCGTATTCGACCATTCCTTGAATTAAGCCGCCGGGCTTCAAATCAACGACGAGTAAGACTGTGTGTTGGATGGTCTTCAGTTTGCCCACGGGGTGCCCACAGGACTTTGTTTCCTCCTGGTCGTCTCATGTCCTGGAGAATATGAGTGGCTCGGGAGAAAACCCAGGACGCCGATCATAAGGTACAGAGCATGGTACACCTCTCATTCATCCCCTGGCTTTGGTGTACCCCGCATAATACCACGTGTCGAGGGCGTGGATGGAGCAAGGCAATGCAGACGTTGGACTTGCGGGTGATGAAAACCCAACATCCTGACAAGTGACTGGCGTACTCTGTTGTTGCTTGTGTATTTATATTAGCGTGTATTGGTCATTATGTCCGAGTTAGAAATTCGTCAGATTTCATCCAAGCTGGAAATTCGGCATCCATTTTTTGTCATCATGGAGGGTTTGTTCTGTTGGAAATTCCTCTTCCCCTCAAAAAGAAAAGAGAAAAAGAAAATATAACTAGCTGGGAACATCCAACTCAGCCAAGCCCGCACGCGACGAGAGAACCCTGCAGATCGTCGCTCGTGGCTCGAGTCAACCATACTCGCATTTGGCAATCTCGCGGCTGATCTTCCGTCTCGCCCCTTTTCGATTTCTTTTTTTCTTTTTTTTTTTTTTTTTTTTTTTTTTTGGGTTCCCTTTTTATGAGTGAATTCATTTTTTTTTTCTTCCTCCTCCTTTCGAGAAGAATTCAGGGAAGACAAAGAGAGAGATGAGGATAGTGTCCACCGCCATAACTCGCGAGTTAATATTCCTTGCCCATGTCCAGGGCTTATGTACTCCGTATGGCTTGCTGAAAGTCTTAGCGCAATGGCCATGCTGCGGAATCAAAGCCGTGGTGCCTTTTGCCTGCGGCTTGCCTGATACGCCATTTTCAGGAATAATAACAGTCGAAATATTCCGTAGTGGGCGCTGTAAAAGTGATCCTACATCTGCAAACGACTTCTGCTCCTACTCTCATGCATCCGTACGGAGTACGGGGTAGAGTATCGTGAAATATACGTTCATTTTTACAATGTCCATATGCGCTAAGGACCCCGTGTAGCTAAATGATTGCAAGAGCAATAAAACAATAAAATAGGAAACCCGCAAAACACCATTACTGTGCCTTTTGAACATATGCAACGGGGCCCTCGTATACTTTCCTGCCGTGGACCATGTACTGGACAATGGCAAAGACAACCACAACCCCCCAGACCAAAACCGACCAGTTCATATTTTGGAGAGTGACATGGCGCTGACCCGGGAAAAAAGTGAAGACGATCGCAAAGCACAGATAGAAGAACGCGAATATATTTATCGGTAGTCCGAATTTTCCGAGGCTGAACCGTGCTCGGGGCAGCGGCTCGGGTCGCAGGCGGCGAGCGATGAAGGCTCCAATGGATAAAATATATGAGAGATAGAGAGATCCTACGGTTAGAGAGGCAATGGCGTTGAATGCTTCCGTTGAGCCAATATTAATTAGCGATAAAAGAAGGGTGACAGTGGTGGTGAACATCACCGCATTGACGGGAATCTTGGACTTGGGGTTGACGTTGGCGAAAAAACTGGAAAAAGGTAGAGCGTTATCGCGGGCAAACGCAAATGCCTGCCGAGAACAGGTTGCTAAAATACTAATGGCGCTGCAGATTTCGAGGACAAGGATAAGCGAAGCAAGGGCTGTAGCTCCCTTTGCGCTACCCAGGGCGTTGTTGAATGCAGATATGAAAGAAAAGCCGCTTGCTGGGTGAAGAACTGTGTCTAGATCACCCATCGTGAAGAGATATGTAATGAGGATCACAAAACCAAGAGTGCCATTGATGAGGGCAGTCGCAACCATACACCAAGGGACGATCTTTGAAGCGTCTTTAATCTCCTCAGCTGGAGAAAATTGAATTAGTTGCCGGATCCGGACTGTCAGCCGGGTGGATAACAACTCACCGATATGCGTAGCACCGTCAGGCCCTAAATGGACATGGAGAATAAGCTTATACCACGCATGCTGCTAAATAAAGAAACACAACTTACCCAAGAATGAGAATATTGGAGCAATCTGCCCTACTAAAACGGCCAAGCCAGTACTTGGCCACTCGCTGATATTGCTGAATTCAGTAAAAACGGTTTTGGCATCCACCCTCTCAGCCATTACCCAGAGAGGGATCATTGTAGCAAAGAAGCCAAAGATATGGAGAATGAGAATTAAGCCCTCAAGACTGGGTAGCTGACTTGCAGCATAGGTATTGATGAAAGTGGCAAACAGTGCAATTGCGAAAGTCAGGAGAGTGCCATGCCATCTCTCAGGAGTATAGGAAGTTGGGTTGTTCAATGCAATAAACCCCTGGACTAGAGTGCCACAGAGGAAGGTGATACTAGCAAATCCACCTTGCCACCCTAGTACGGAGAGCCACCCTATTTGCCTCGTAAGCTACCTTTTCCTTATGCGGAATTTTACGGTTTACCGAATTTCACATACCTGTGATATAACTCAAGAACTTTTGATATCTAGGGCTTGCGTACTCGCTTACCCAATGATATTGACCGCCAGATGTAGGAGAGCTAGCCTTATGTTAGCATTTCTGAATCTCAAAGATGCACTTGAGTAGGGAGCACAAACAGTGATGCAATCTCGGCCATTGAAATCACCGAGAAAAGGAAGCCGACAAATGTCCCGATATAGATGTACACCATCCCCGCTTGACCGCCATTCACCAGGCCCAAATTTGAAGTGCTATTCTCGGGAAGTAAGTATAAGAAAATGGCTGGATAAGCAACAATAAGCACTCACAGTAGAACAGACTCCCAAGTTGCCATCAGTGTACAAGTAAACCCGAGTGTCGACATGAAACGAAAATTCCTCTGGGTTACCATTAGCTAACTGCCCGCAATGGCCCCGGCTCAATCACCTTGCATTTCTTTGATTCCGTCCTGTGAAGGGAATACCTTAGGAAGGTATTTACCTTGAATTGTTGGGACTTCCCCATTCGTGCCATGTCATTTCGATCTCGATGAGTAGCATCGTCCACCGTGCTTAGACTTAGGTGGATATGGTCAATTTTGGGGTCAACCCCTTGTTCGATGACTGGTCCGTCTCTCATCGCCTGTACAGCTGGGAATATCGTGCTTGTGCCAGATATCTCCGTTGAAAATAAAGAAGAGCTTAGTCGCAGGTAGAGGAAAGTTCCCAAGAAAAAAAATGAAACCAGCGTAGACGCTAACGGATATCGAGGTCAATTGCTAGTATTATCGTAAAAGCTCCAAAGCACAGTCTTCTCTAATGATGGTACAATACGAGAAGAAAGCCTAGAAGGGCACTTTTCCAAGGCTGAAGATTCCAAAAGTCTATCGTTAAATTGAGTCCAGAACCTCAAGACACCGATGGTCTAAGAAGGGAGGTACTGTGTAGTGAAGGAAAATCCGAAAAAGGAAGAGATAGTCCACAAGAGAAGCCAAAGAACGAGCGGCATCCCACTTTGTACGGAGACAAAAGAGAAGCCAGTGAGAAATCAACAACTTTTGTCTCTCCAAATCGCTGCGATCAGATCGAAACAGGAGAAGTCTGAAGATGCACACAGACAATACCTGCATTAGCTTTTCTAACTGGACATGGCATGATCAGTAGCGTATGGTGTGCGTGTTAGCATCAACTCAACAAACTAGTGACGAGGCTCCGTCACTCATTGTTTTCAGAAGCATGCTTAGAACCACAGAAATCCGCTTTCTAGCGTGTTTCCCGTACAGTCATGGTAGCACGCCCGCTGGGAAGAGATATCTAACCGTTTGTTAACTTATTGGTCAGCTTATCTGTGGAATCGAATGAAACCTTTTCCCAGTCCGCCCTTGAATTTCGCTATTGCAGGGTTTGACTTTTGCAGGGGTCTGGATAACGTTGAAGCTCGTAATTCCAAATGCCACGGCGAGGCGATCGCAAAAGGTGCCTTCATGCCGCTGTGACAGTTGGCTTCTTGTTTCTTAGTAGAGCCTCGATCCTGAACCTTAGAGCCTGGCTGATGAAGCTCCCTAAAAAAGGCTGAAACAGGCTTAAGAATTATTATTAGGACCAACTTAATCGGACTCTTTGTACTCCGTACGGAGTACCATCACTGTCGCTCTCGATTCTTTCTCGGGACGAACCTGGCTTCAACCAGGCAGTGGCTATTAGTTACCGCCTCCCGCAGCGAAAATGTGGGCCAAAGGGGATGCTACGGCAGCAAAAATGCGGAGGGTGGATGACTGAGCGAGCCGACTAGTCACTTAACTCACTTGGTTAGTTAGTTAGTTAGCTAACTAACTAGTTAATTAGCCTACCGTCGCCATCATGGAGGGGAGCTTAATCGAGAGTGCCCTTGATTGAAAAGCAGGAGACCCAAGGAAAACGAGCAAAAAAGGTGACTTGCCAATGTGTATATTTCGCCGGCCTCTTTTGAATTTCGTGGACCGGTAAGTTGTCCAATTGAAAATCGATGCAAGAGACTGGAAGACGGGTGAAATATGTTTCGGGCCAGCATCCCCTTGCACAAATCCTCAGCCGACTGAATGCATGGGAGCAGCGTCACTTGGCAAGCCCCAGCATTTGCTCGTTCCGCGTTAGCATGGCTCGAAAAGAGTCCATGCCAAAGAAGACAAGGCCATGTACACATTCTTCGCCGCACAGAGCCGATCCACGCCTGCCCAAATACTGTTTCGTGAAAGATCTGTGGAGGCGAGATCTTGTCTCTGTCAATCAACTCGCAAGTCGGGATATCCATCTGCCCTCGATTTTCCCACGACACCGGCCATGCGAATGGGACTATCAAGAGCCTTATGGCCTAGTGAAACCCTTTCAGAAATATAAGGCGATACGAAGTTAGAAGTACTCCCGCAGATTCTCGTCCCATATATCAGGCCAGCATTTGAAATCTGACAAAGTTTGGTCCGACATCACTTTCCACGCTATAAGGATGAGAGGCTTTTCTGTTCATTCAGTGCATATCTAGTCGAATAGCACCGTGATTTTGATGTGCGCCTGGACAAGGATTTTCTCAGCTACTGAGGGGTGAAGGAATTGGTACCAAAACCCCTTTCGATACCTTGTCTCTTCAATTTTAACGATGGAAAACGCGCCGCATTAGTTAGAGCCCACTTTGTCCATTGATTCTTTGGAGCATTGAACTGGTTACGCGTCGAATCGCCCCCAAACGCCCAACTTATCTGGTCCAAGCCTCATGGCGAGGGGACCGTATCATATCAGCGATGACGAGCATGGCCCATACGTCGTTGTTTTCGCAGCCCTTCTTATGACTTATACGATTCTGTGCTTTATCGCGAGGCTCGTAATGCGCTTCACCATAAATGGGCCTCTAGGGGCGGATGACTGGACCGTTGCTGCTGGATCGGTGAACCAGACCCTTTCCTTCTATTTTATGGAAAGCTTTGAACAAAGCAGCGTTGCTAATTCAATCCGTTCTGTGGACATTCGCTGTAACAGATCATTGCTGTCATCCAATCTGCGCTGAAAATATCGGAAGCGAGGCATGGACTTGGGAAGCGAACGGATACTGTAGGCCTAGATGATATAGAGGCCATAGGAAAGGTGAGAAATTCAACCGGCTCGATAGACATTGGTGGGTAAGGCTTAACTGGTTTACAGCTGAGCTTTGCAGGGGACATATTATATATCGCCGGAATGGCTTTGTCTCGAGCGGCGTCCTTTTTGCTTATTGCACGACTCACCCGTCAGACACACCATGCACGAGCTGCGTATGTCGGGGTGTTAATAACAGGAGTACTGGGCTTTGTATCAATGTTTGTTCTCGGTCTGCGATGCAATTTCGCACCATGGAGGATTGTCCCGAAATGCTCTGAAACGGTACGAGTTTATAATATCCGAATTTCAATGCGGACTTGGCTGGATTGACTGAAGTACAAAATGTGCAGACTACTCGCTGGTATATCATCGAGGGTTTGGGAACTTTCGTGGAGCTTATTGCAGCTTGGATCCCTATATATCTGGTGTGGAGTTTGAGAATGAGACTGAAGGCGAAATTTGTCGTCCTTTTCGCATTCTCGTTCCGTCTCCCGTGAGTGTGGCGCTGTCTGTTCTTTTTCATGGAATTTCCGAATTTGCACTAATTCGAATAGCGTTTTCGTCATCATTGCCTTCAGAATATATTATCTGTGGCGGGAATCCGTGCGTAACGATCCTCTGTTCTATGGGGCCGACTCCTCGGTCTTCTTAGAAGCTGCGCTGCACTATGGACTGATGGCAGCAACGATTCCCTGCTTAAAACCATTCGTCAAAGCCTTCAACACCGGTTGGTTCGACACAAGAGGAGTGGATACCTCGCTTCATAGTGACGGATATGCTCTCTCGAACCTAAACAGAACGAAGTACTCCGCAAATGCGGAAATAGTAAGTGGCAGTGACGAAATCGACAATTTGGAGAGTATACCACGAGGGCGTCTACGTCAACGGGGATCAGACACCCCATCGTCGGCGGGATCGGATATAATGATTATTCGTCGTACAAAGGCATGGAATGTTTCGTACGAGAATGACGATGCTGCTGTGTTAAAATAAAATGAAGCTCCTTTTCCTCGCTTGCCTTGTTTCTGGGGAAAAAAAAAAAATCCCGACGTTTGGATGACGGTCGGGTTTAATATTTAATAGTCCTTGCAAATATTTGCCAAGGTTGAGCATCCAAGGGTATTGACCTTATTATTGAGACGCAATCCAATCCCACAGCCATACTGAAGAAATCGGATGCACTCGTGGAAGGAAATGGCTTGTCTTCAGCAGAACCACCCCATTCTGGCGCGCCACCTCTGTCCTCTCATGGAATGTGCTTTGACGGTGACGCCCATGTGGGGAGCTTTAGATCTCGACAAGGCCCATCAAAGTCCACAGCAGAACGGCGCCAAGCTGTGGCTTTTTACGCGAAGTTGACCTTGCAGTCTACGCACAGGCCCAGTTTCCGGATCTTAACACTCACGAATGCTTGCTATGCAGGCTGGCTAAGATTGGGCAAACCCAGGCTTGGATGCACATGTCAGCTAAAGATACCGCAGCAGTCAAATGAATGGCTCTTGTTAATTTGCTCTGATTTACTTGCTTGCCCAAATAATTATGCAGCCAATATCAACTTCTCGACTTTGGAAAATAACTTAAGCTAGGTTGCGTACCAATCAAACACCTAACTAGTGAACCTCCCGCATTTCGTAGCAGTGCTGTGGCTTTAATCCATGGAATGCTAACCAAGGATAAAACTCTGATTCGAGGATATAACCTGTGCCCAGTAGAAACCTCGATTTCGGACAAGCAATACCAGCGAGACAACTGACAGTGGAGAGTTTGTTTCACCCTCATCTGTTTTAGCTTCGTTTCGTCCCCAAATTGCAAAGAGCTGTATATGGAGTCGCTTCCTGCCATACTGCTTAGACTAAAGCCGAGAGATCGCGCTCTGAGAGCTCAGAGAGTGCGCTACAGTGGTAGTGCGTGGTTTGCATATCCCTAGTTGCAATACTACTCGTGCTCTAGGCCCGACTGCATATCATCGAATAGCTTTTCCACGGCTTCTTTGTCAGGTATCGTACCTATTTCTAGGTCCGCCTGAGCCCAAACACGGTGGCTGTCTTGGTTTGCAAATTGTCTCAGAGTTGGATTGTCGGCGTTTTTGTTTATCTGGAATTTATATCGCTTATATCGTTTTCCGTCCTTCTCGTAGGTCTCGCCATGGTCAAGACGGCCGCCGATGCTTGTATCGTTATTGCCGCTTCGCGTACGGGCCGCTCGGGTGCCGGCAATGCCCTCTCCTGTCGCAATCTTGGCCACCCGGGAAAGAGCGGCAAACACCCAGTTCTGGAGCCTTGTGAGGGAGTCAACTACTTGACGGCTCATACTATCGGATGACAATGATTTAATAGGTTCGATATTCTGTGATGGGTGTGCTGTGAGGCAATAACGTCGGTTCTTAGCACGCGGAGTATATCAGGAGCACCGTTTCACTTACCAAGAATGGAGTTTCATAGATGGATGAATGGTGAATGGACAACCAGGACTAACATCTAGCGAACAGCCCCTTAAATATACTCCCGCCGTAACCCCTCACGAGGGTCAAAGCGTATGAAGTGCATGCCCTTTGGATATCACATTTATCCTCTCACCCAACCAACCACCTTGATCCCAAAAAAGATTTAATCTTAACATCAACTACTGAATGGCCATTCTTCCTCCCACGCCTTCTCTTCATTTTGGTTTCGGGCGAATTCTCTTATGATGAATTCCTTGGCCTGACACAGAGCATCCTTAGCCTTCTCATACTGCTCTGGTCTAACAATCCCTTTCTCCGGAAACAAATCCCCAAGGCTGTCCTTGATGCTCTGCATTGCTTGCATACCGAGTGATGATCCATTCAGGTCTCTTTCAATCTCTGCTTTTTCTTCATTAGAAAACGAGAATGGGTACTGATGATCTTTGCCTTCTGAGGTTGCAACACCAGGAAGGTCTGTCCATGTGCCCTCCAGTTCAACAATCCGAGCGAGGTAGGTTGCTTCGCCGTCGATCAGAAGGTTTCGAGCAAGGAGCAGTAGGTCAAAGCTAGGGCTTTCTCTGTATTCTAGCACGCGGTATAGCCGTGGATTTGTTTTATAGACAAATGTTCTGTATAACGAACATAAGGCTTGCTTGTAGTATAGAGCTTTGGCTTCCCTTTGGGCTTCAATGTCCAGCCTGGGTAAATTTTCGGGCAAGCTAGGCCTTTTGAGATTGTGAAGTTGGGGGCCGTCGTAATCCAGAAGGTGAGGCTGGCGTGCATGATTAAATAATGGAGCTAGCTCAGTGGATTGCCAGTCAATGATTCCGACAATTTCTGTGGGGGATTTAGAGTCCACAAAGATGTTTTCCACGTGGAGATCACTGTGCCAGAGACATGATGATGTTATAGATTGATCAACTGGACACAGATATTTGATCATGGTGAGATAGCTCTCTAGAGCTTTGAGCTTCCTTGCTCTTGTGGGCTGGTATGTCCCTGGCCCATACAGTGCAATTGGCGATTTGGGCAAATTTGGAAGCGCTTTCACACAGGCGATCTCTCGGCGGCCTATGGCTGTAAGGTACTCTACCACTGTCGACCCTATGTTCTCTTAGTTTGAGGGTCTCACAACTCATAATGAAGGGACTTACACGGTCCACAGTCAAATTGAATGGTACTCCTCCCATTATCAACATTCTCTCTGGCTGTGGATGGCCCGATGGCAAACCTTCCATCCAATAGTGTGACCCCTCCTTTCTCGTAAGACATGCTTTGATGTCTAAATCCGTCGAGGTCTTGTGCAAAGTACAGACCACCAAAGTGATTGAACGAAACAGACATCCACGCTTCTTGGTACCGAGCAATATTTTTTACTACCGCGAGGCGGTCCCCAATTTCCATGTTAGGCCAGACTGAATCTAGCGGCACGCCTGGAACTTTCTCCATAATGATATACTCCGCACCCACGGAGTTTGGTCTCGAGTTCCATGAATATACTTTGGGAACAGGAGTTTTGCATACGCTTCGCACCTATTAACAATAAATCAACATGGACTCAATAGTTGGGGTGAAAAATAGGTAGGTACAAATTCCATCGTCGCTACTTCACTGGAAGTAGTAAGGTGAGGAAGCCCAGCATTAGGATTGGGAATCTTCGCCACAGCTTGCATGTCATTGCCCATAGTAAGCAGAAAGGCTTTATTGTACATGCCATCAGGGTACTTCTTGATGTTGAGGCAAGATTTGGCACCAACAGCCGCCGCCCCGACACGAGCTAACTCCTCAACGTCAAAGTGGATGTATCGCTGCGCCATTTCATGAGCTTCATTTTGAATGAATCGGCCACGCGTAAAACAAAAAAATTCATGGTCCGAACTCAGCGCTGTATCAAATTAACACCGCTGAACTGCATGTTTTCGGCAGTAGCAAATTCACCTGTCAAGGAGGAGTAGCAGGCTTGTGAATGACTCGCAGACATGGTGCGGAATGGCATCTGGCAGATCGACACGTGAGGTACAAAGTGTTGACTGATAATGCGAAACGTTTCAAGGATTTCCTTATGAAGATGGATCATCATCACCACATACAGGCGACAGATGTACGAGGCATCAAGATTGATTTTTGCAATGTTAAGGTATCTAGAGTACGGCGGACTATAAGTGACAAACGCTCTCGGATCGCAGATTTCTCACCAAATAAGGTGACTTGTTTCATCACCGATCATCAGGAAGCACAAAGAATTCAAAAAAGTCCAGTATTTTCTTGAATTGACTCTTCATAAACCAAGCATCTGCTGGGAACTTGAAGAGTGGCATCCTGGAATCTTACTATAGGGTGGTGGGGAAGCATTTTGTCATTAAAGATACCTGTCCCTAACCTGTTGCCTTGCTATGTGGCTGCTTGAGGGGCCATGTCCCCTACTCTCTGATAATCCCAAACTCAGTCACATCTTTGTTGTAATGGTGTCGCTGCCACTTTATATCCTCCTGGTCTCCAGGCTTGGCCGATGATGCGGTCCTCTTCTTAGACAGTGTTTTGATGTGTCATGGGGATCCGGGCCCATCTATTTTTCCTGCTGCATGAGCCTCTCCTTTCTTGGCATATGTTATCCCCTACGGAGTACAGTGCGCCCCATTCCGCCACCACCACTTACCCCTATTTGGGAGCGTCAGCCTTCTTCTTTGGCCTTCAATGCCTGTTCTTACCTGTTCAAGAGCTCCCTTCTTCCCTATGTTCACTACTACTTGTTCCTATGTCTTATGTGCTTGTTCTTGTTCTTGTTCCTAGCTAGCCACCTAGAATGAATACCTTTGGCTGTTTCCTCCCTATTCTCCCTTTCTGCTAGCTGCCGCCTAATGTGCAGCCCCCTTCCCGCTTCAGTAGTTCTACAAAGGGCTTTTTAACTGAAAAAAAAAAAGCTGCTGCAGATTTTCCATGCCAATAATTTCCATTAGAATACGAGCTAACTATGCGATAACCAGCATAATTGAAACTCATGCACCAGGGAGCTGGATGCCATGTACAGTAACTATATGATGATAGTACTGTGTTTTAGAAGTCACAATTTCCTTACAACCAGGATAACCGCACATCACCACCTTCAAGAAGTCTTTTTTCGCTAGGTGCACGCAGTCAATGTGATCCTTCAGGTTATATCTGCTGGCGAAACTAAACTGCCGCGCTGCTGGGGTGATAGTCTCCATTGCTTAGACACTCAGGGCATTGCAGCCCAGTCGGGCTTTGGGGAGGAAAGTTGACTGGAAATGGACAATGTCGCGCCAGCTCCGTTGGAACAACCTTTCCTAACTGGTTTTTGGGGACATGGATATGATGGAGTTCAAGATGAAGCTCCAGTGACTTGATCCGATCCTCCAGCAGGTCTGCATCAGAGACTGTGCTGGCATCTTGATTTTGGAACTCAAGAACTGCCAACTCTTGCTGCTCAGGCAGAACAAGTGGTGTTTGAGGTTCGAACCTGATAGGTTGGCGGCAGTAATTTTGTTTGATAATGGTATTGCCAATACTCTGAAAGTATTCATCATATACTTGCTCGAAGGCACGTTTCTGCAGTTTCTTGCGTGTGGCTCAAACTGACTGACTAATCTTCACATATTCCTGCGCTTCTAGAGTTCCCGCTGCCTTCTGTATTTTTCCATATCATAGGACTAACTGTTGTTTACAATTGTGATGCTATTGCTTAGCCTGAATTAGCTCTGGATAGTTCTCAACCGCTTCCCTCTGCTCCTTAGTCAGACGCTGTGGTGCAGCTGGGTCGCGTGTAAGGCTTGCATGAGTGGATAAATTGTTCAGGGCTTCGCTGGTTGGTGTCCCTAGATATATCGACTGTGTGTCGCCCGCGTAAGGGTTCACATATGCGCGGAAGATCTCGCCTTTGGTATGGCCCATGACATGATTGTGCTGGTGCTCAGTCAAATTTTCTGGAGTTGTGGTTAGATATTTCACAGGCATGTATATTTGATGTGCTTTACTGACTATCAAATGCCTCAGCTGCCCCTTTTCTGTACTTGTATGCCCCACCAACTTTCTCCATGCCGGTGGCTCGAGAAAGATTGTTTTCATCCTCACCAAATTGTTTTGCTGTTAGAGCTCTTGGATGGGTGATGCATTTTCCCTCTTCATTTTGAACTCCAGGTCGGAAAACCAGTATTCTCCGCATTTTCTTCTTGATATGGATTGGAACGCTCTTCCTGTGTTCCGGGACTTTGGTATGCCGCCAGATATCCCAAGGTTCTTTGATGTATTCACTTGCAAAAGCATCATCCTCGAATGCAAAATCTAGTATGTCTTGAATCACACAGTATCCTAGATTATCGTTTCGCTCAGTATAGGAGTATATTGGCCTTGAGCAAGTGGTGAGTGATAAAACCTTAAAGAGTTTAGTGGGTGAGAGTTACGGTACTCCCTCGTTTCTCTTGCCCTTATTGAGATGGTGTTTTACTCTCATAAGGAGGACTTGACAGGTTGGATGTTCAGGATCCATAACCATGAAAAGCTCAATACCTCCCCAGAGAAGTGAATCATTTGTTCGGCAATACCCTGAGCTTTCAAGAAGTGTTCCAGGCCGAGCGGATGTACGTGTCATCATTTTCTGAATCGTCCCATGCTGGGTTCTTTGCCTCTGGGTTGGAAAGTACACCTGGGATGTGGCAACGGCGTGATACGAAAGAGCAAGAAGATCATCTGGGTTGATAGGTGGTTGAAGTTTGGCCGTCTCACAGAGTCTATAGTCAAACTTGAGAACCGTACAGATTAACTGTAAGAAAAATTAAAATGAGATCATTAAATAGCATAATAATCTGTAGGCCCACCTCCTTAGTCTTTCGTTTCAAACGATAAGGGAAATCCATATCAAGCTCGTAGCAGTAATATATCCTCCAGAAGCGGACCAACACGAGGAAACCTGGCAGGGATCCCACATTATGACAATCAAGATACCAGCGTAGGAAAGCCTCGATGACATTAATGGTCAAACTTTTAAGCCAGTGATTTGGGCAGGGTGGATTAAGGTTCTCCAAGACAAATCTGAGAAATTGAAGTAAGCAAAGCGACTAAAGGGAAAGAAAGCCTATGGAGACATACTCCTTGTAGTTATTCTCCACCTGCTGCATGGCTCGAAGCGTTGAGGTTCAAGATTCGGTTTGATATCCTGTGATGGTTGACTGATGATGTCCATATAATGTCCCTTGGGCTTTGGCTTTCGAGCCTTGCGTTCAATGGCACCCATCTTGATATAAATTGGGGGTGCAAGAGGTAGATAGTAAAACAGAGCCCTAATCCTAAAAGATAAAGGATGAAAGATAGAAAAGAAAATAAAGACAACTCAGTGGAATACCAAAAGTATATATACCCTGCCATGATGTGTGTAATTTGTGTTGATAGAGTCTGGATGGAAGCGCTCTGGGAGGTTGCTCCAAAAATAACAAAAGCGGCAACATGGATGGGGTACCGGATCACATAAAAGCGGCAACCTTCAAAAAAGGCAGGCCACATAAAATCTACCCATGGCCACCGCCAGTGCGATCAAATTTGGCTTCACCCAGAGTCACTCCGTACCGCGGCGCACATTCATATTAGGATAGTCAGATACTAGTAAACGCATTGATCACATGTAACCAAAGGGTGTACTCCGTCATAATGCAAATAACCTAGTCAGCTCGAGCAATTGACGGTTTGGATTCCACCCAAGAAGGCCGAGAAGACATTGAGGTCGCTGGGTGTACCGGATTCGGAAATCGAGACATGTCGCGCACGTGACGGTCACGGCCAACCTTAACGGATCGATCTGAATTTTTATGAGTAGCTAATTACTACGGAGAACCCTTAGTTACGAGATAATTACCAAGTACACTGCGGGGAAAGGAACGCAGCTTCGTTAATTTCTCGCTTTACATCCTTTTAAAAAAATTTTGGAATGTCACACCCCGGTTGTCTTCTACGGCGCCCTGCCATAGCTTGCATAGCGCCCAAGCCGACAAGCCCTCGAACAAGCATACCTTCTGTCGGAGCTTCCGGGCCCTTTTGTAAACAGGCCAGCTACTTCCAGACGCAGTGCCCCCGTTCCCGATACCTCTATCCTTCTCTCACATGCTTCCGCAGGCCAAAGAACAGACCTGTTCCCTTACAGAATGTCCGGAGCTACCACTCCGAATTCCACCCTGTTCCAGACCCGCCAGCGGATACCTACACGCTTGAGCAATCGGCCATCCTTTCGACTGCGCTGAAGCATGTCCCTGAGTATGGGTTTTCAACCAAGGCAGTGATTATGGGAGCCCGGGAAGCGGGATACTTGGATGTTTCTTTGCAGCTTTTCCCTCGTGGGGGCGAGTTCGAATTGGTGTTATATTGGTTGGCGAGCAGAAGAGGGCTATTAAAGCAGAAAGTCGAAAGTGGTGAAATATTTGGTCAGAAAGACGATGCTGATGGGTCCATCACACCTGCGGAGGTGGACCAAAGGGTGAGGACCCTGATCATGGAGAGATTAAAAATGAATACGGAAATAATACATCATTGGCAGGATGTGAGTATTTGGCCTTTTGTCCTTTACATGTACTTTCCCGAAGTCATTTTGTAGGAATAATGCTTACTCCTTTTTCTATTCTCAGGCCCTAGCAATCATGTCTCTCCCTCCACACGTTCCACCCTCTCTTTGCGAACTGTACAGGCTATCCTCTGATATCCTATACCTTGCCAATGACCGTTCCGTTGATGCGTCGTGGTATACAAGACGCATTTCCGTAGCTACCATTTATGCTAGCGCGGATATAAACATGACTGAAGATGTATCTCCGGGCTTTAGCGCCACAATGGAATTTGTTGACCGCCGGATAAATGATGCAGATGCTGTCACGGATACATTGAGTGATGTAAAGCGATACATGGGATATGTTGCTGGCAGCGTATTTGCTGCTGGAAGGAGTTGGGGAATGAAGGTATGAATGCCTCAAATGCAGGCTTCAGGTCTATTGAGATGCAAATGTGATTCCCTGGTGTGGAGTAATTATGTATAATATTTACCCTATAAAATAATCATATACTGGAAGTTATTCTATGTTGTAGTTTGAAAACACTAGGAAACAATGCACGAATTCAATGCATGCCACAACTGTGGTAAAAGGTTGTGTCACATTTGGTGAATAGGCAGTGCCATTTTCTTCTTCCTCGCCGCTTCCTTCCTGACCTGATCCCTAATCCGAGTAATCCATCCGACTTTACCACGGCCCCAGCCTACTAGGTCTTTATATGATGTTCTAGTGGCTTCCGACTCCCACCACCAGGTGCCATCGCCCTGTTCATCATCCTGCGATCCTGGTCTCATTTTATCGACCCGCCGGTCGCTGCGTATCTTATCGAGTATCTCAAGAGTTTCCCGATTGAATTTAATTCCAGCCTCCTCCATTTCTTCGAGGACTGATACCACGTATGGCAGATCGTTGTATACTCGCCATCTAAATGATATGAATTCGTTGCAGAGGCTCGCCGATACCCCCATTATAAAAGAAAGTCGCCCGTGCGCTTTGACAGTATCGAGTAATTGTGTGCTGAACTGGGACATGGGATAATGTTTATGAAGCAGTTTTGCTGCATGGAGAAGTACGGTTGGGTATGTGTGTAAAACCACGGGAGCGATAGGTACGTTATCGGGGATATTAAGCGGACTGGCCTCTTTGATTGTAGTCTTGGGGCTTCCTATAATTTCAGAACCATTATTCAGGGCACTCCGTTTCTGTCCATGTCCATCGCCTTGATTGCATTCGTCTTGAAACCCGGGGAGTGATGCTAGGCTTTCCTGGCTGAGCATCCCTAGCATTGCAAAGATTTTATCTTCACAAACCTGCCAAATCCCAATGTCGCCCTTGCCATTAGTAACAGCGTTGTCGAGTTCCTCGCAGATTTTAGAACTCTCTCGTTTCGCAATCAATTTCGCGAGAAGGTAAGGATCAATTCCAGCATGCTGTATGCCTTCGGGAGTAGAAGTGTCAACAACACTGTCTCGAAAGGCACGTAGTTTAGAGTATACTTTCGAAAACTGTGCGGAGTCCGGTGCGATATCGTGGAGTTTACCACCGGAGGTGGCGGCACTGTCCATCTCATCATTTGCTTTTTTCGAATTTGCAATCTGAATGGTCCGCGGGGATTCTTGATTCAAATTCTCAACAACGGAATTGAAAATAGAGGTAATTTCAGCTTTTTCTGGGTCATTAGAGCCGGCCTCCAATGTTTGCTTTGGTGGAATAGATCGAGGATGATCACCCTGTGTATTACCAGGCCGAGATTCATCAACCGGATTGTCCGCAAGACGACTGAATATTTCTAGTTCTGTGGCGGTCAAAGTTGAACGAGGCGACGCTTTTACTCTCCGGAGAGGGACAATTGAAGCCCGTTGTTTCAAATAGCCTGGGAAATCTGTCGATTCACTGACATTGCTGCTTGAGTCGCAAGCCTCGGTTGTGGGAAATGAGGTTCTATTGAATTTTCCATCCGAAGATAATTCTCGAGCCGTTGAATAAGGGCACGATTGACTCGGTGCCAGTGGCCATAGCCTGGAGGAGCTTCGGTGATTGCGGTTAGGGGTTATGATTGTTCGCGTGTAATAAAGGAAGGGAAGGAGGGTGGAGTCAGCGCTCGCACTTATTAGCTTGGATGGAATTGTGCGACGCATTTTGCTAGGCGAAACGATGTGAGCTCTGCGTCTTACAAGTTGTCGTTTGCGCAGCTCAAATAGCCCAAAAATTCTCGGCAGCAAGAGCTGGAGATATATACTTGCTGACTCATCAAATCTTTTTTCTTTTTTAAGTCACGTGATATCGCGGTGTGACGTGACGCGACATGCGAACTGGGCGTGGCAGCAACCTGCTCTCATCAGGTCGCTGGGGATGAGACGGCCGGGGTATCAATTGGAGAAATCCTTTCCCCCTTTTTCTGTGTGTTGGATTTATTGGTGATAATCAATTCCTTTAGGACTGTTGAGCCTACGAAAAATCATGCCACGCACCAAGGAGGAGCCAGAGCTCTCGGAGTTCGAGAAGCAGCGCGCGGCGAATATCGCCGAGCGCGATGCGCTTCTGAAGAAACTAACACTTGAAGCCCAATCTGCAGGCATATTCTCCAAGCCGCCTGCCTCGAAATCTTCCTCCCAAACAAAGAAGAAACCCGCGCCGAAGAGAGTTAAGAAAGAAGATGAACCGCCTGTGCCACGGCGAATGTCCTCACGTCTCAGGGGGTTAGCGGCTGAAAGTGAGATCGCTAAGCGGAAAGCTGAGGATGAATACCAAGCAATGAAAGCAGCCGCTCAGGCCAAAAGGATGCGAATCTCCGGGGATTTGAACGTGGGAGATATCGTTGTGGGAGAAAATAAATGGAACGAGACAGGATTACAGGGGCTAGGCATCGTCAATTCAGCTCAAAGATATCAAAGGACATTTGGAGAAGAAGACATTAAAAAGACGACAAATAAAGAATTAAAGGAATTGAGGGAGAAAATGAGCGGCCTCCAGCTCTGGGAGCTCTGGGAGCCAAACCGTATGCCTCCTTTGCTGTCGCCCTCTCTCCACTTTACGGGAAATCTAACTCTCTTTAGGAATCAAAATTACGCGAGAAAGAATCTATTCCATGTTATTTCATCCCACTGAGTCAAAGCCCTTGATTTTTGCTGGTGATAAAACTGGACATCTGGGTATTTTGGACGCATCGCAGCAGCCTGACCAAAATGAGAGCGACGAGGAAGATGAATACCCCGACCCAACAATCACAACTATAAAGCCTCATACAAACACTATTAGTGCCATGCACATTCACCCATCTGACCCTTCAAAACTTTACAGCGGGAGCTATGATAGCTCCATCCGCGCCCTGGATCTAGAAAAGTCAGTCGCAACTGAAGCATATGCACCGGCTTCTAACTCTGATGATGAGCCATTGTCAGGCATAGACATGGCTCCGACAGATCCCCATGTTCTTTACTTTACTACCTTAGACGGATTCTTCGGACGACATGATATGCGAGTGTCCAGCAAAGCGAACCCCGGCGATGGATCCGCTGTCACTTTCTACCAGCTCTCAGAGAAAAAGATTGGAGGATTTTCATTATGTCCTACCCAACCACACTACATGGCAACCGCATCGTTAGACAGAACCATGAAAGTGTGGGATCTGCGACATCTTTCCACTAAGCATCCCAAGCCCGTGGGCGAACACGAAAGCTCGCTGTCAGTTTCCCACGCAGCGTTCAACCAGAAAGGCCAAATTGCTACAACCTCTTACGATAACTCCATCAAAATCTACGACTTAGCTTCGAAAGGTCTGAAAGACTGGAAGCCAAACCATACACTCTCGGAGGACGAAATGGCGCCTGATGCTGTGATAAGACACAATTGCCAAACTGGAAAATGGGTTACAATGTACGTCCCTGCTCTCTCCATTCCTCTAATTGCACCCTTATAATCCGCGTTGAATTAACATGTCTTTATCGCGCTCGCAGTCTCCGCCCCCAATGGCAAGCGTGCCCGGATAGTCCCGTTGAGCGATTCTGCATCGGAAACATGAACCGGTTTGTGGACATATACACATCAACAGGGGAACAACTGGCCCAGTTAGGTGCAGATGTGATAACTGCTGTTCCGGCCGTTGCGGTGTTTCATCGGACTCAAAACTGGGTCGTTGGAGGTACGGGGAGCGCGAAGGTCTGCTTGTGGATGTAGAGAGCTTCATTCATTGTGCGGTTCCCACTTTTTTGTTTTGTCACTGTGAGCAGTACATGTAAAGGCTGGACCTCGCGAAGCTATACCAGATCCCCTGTGTTCGCATTCCTTGCACCTGATACGAATTATATAGTAACACGTATTTTTGTCGATCGACTATGGCGGCACATAAAAGAGGATCCTTTAATGTAAAAGTACATGTTCCAAAATGGCTAATAACACCCGAGCTCCAGGTGTCTCAGTATCGCATTCTCTATGATGATGAACGGCAGTTATCAAAATGCATATATAAGATAAAACAATAGAAAAGCGTGACAGTGGCCCCGTTGGCTTGGCCTCGAAGAAAAATGGCAACGTCTGCAGCCTGCAGAACTGCAAGAGAGACCAAATCAATCAATGAGTATGGGATCTTCGCTAGAAGAGCCCTCATCTTGCACCGATTTTACTTTCTTCAAAATAGGATTCCACGGCTTGGAGAGTGGCGACAAACTCACTTGTAGAGGATTTGAGATGTCATTGAACGGTGTTCCCGTCCGTTCTCCAAGACTTAATGTCGAAATGCCAGTGCTAGTATCTTCAATCGATAAATCTTGCTCTAGCCGATACCGAGTTGTCGTAGTCGTTGTCACCACAGTGGCTGTGGAAGTGTTTACAACGATCTCAGAGACGCGCCGCTTTCGTTTCTTCTTATTCAAGCAAGTTTCGATGATCTCCTCTGTTTCTCCGTAAGGTGGGAGCGGTGGATTGCAAAGAGTCGCTTCACGGATCGATAAACCTAAAGCCAGAGCTACTTGACGCGCAACACTATTCCCGACAATCTTCCACTGATGCGCGGCTCGCCCGACCAGAACTTCTGAATCGGGATAGCCCTGAGCCCTTCGCGCTTCCATAATCGTTAAGAGGCGGTCTTCGCGCCAGTGGAGCCACCGACCAGTAAATTTGCAGTGAGGAGAAATCGCAGTAGTAATTGTCGGTATCAAGAAATTCGGATCCACCCTACTCCAAGCCCTCGAGGGTGGATTTCTTCGCTTTATGTCACCGGGAAATGGATCAAAATTCAAAAAGCCCTTGGTCATAGCCTCGGAGAACCCTGATTTCCTAGGGTGCTTAGGGACCTGGTCAATTATTACCTGCGTCATGTTCGACTCGTTTCGAGATGTTCGGTGGTCTGGCCAGGGAATTGACGCTACCTTCGCTCTGTCAAGGTCCGGCAAGTCTTTAGTTCCTTCGTACGCAGATACGAATTTGAAAATGGGGACCTCCCAGCGCCTTTCACCAAAAGGCAACCCGTTTGGAGCTTCTCCAAGAGATCGAATTGTTGTTCCCATGGGATGGGAATGGGTCAATGCAGGATGCTCAGGCAGTTGAAGACCCGGTGCAGCAATAAGTAAAAATAAACGGGATCTGCTCTGGGGAGCTCCATAGCTCCATGCATCCAGGTGCATGAGCCGAAGCTGATAACCCAAGCCAACAAACGCACATATCAACTGCGAAAGGGGGTTTCTTTCATGTGTCTTGCTCGCCATGGCAGGTACGTTCTCGAGAATCGCATATTGTGGTCGATAGAAATCAACATATGCAGCGACAGAAGCAATCATTGATGAATTGCGTAACGATACCTTATTGCCTTTCCTAGAATTCGCCAGAGAGTATCCCTGACATGGACTTCCCGCGGAAATGAACTCGACTTGCCCAAGTTTTGCAACAAGGTCGGACCCCTGTCCTCTAATTGCCACTGCCAGAAAATCATCTACTGATCCACGAAAGAGCTTCACGTCTTCAGGATTTGTATGATTTGCGCGATAGGTCAACATGGGAGGTAGATCCCATTCCACCGCCCATTCACTTCTGATCGCGGTGCCTTCTTCTAATCCTCTGTCAAAGGTGCCACCGCCACAGAACAAATTGAGAGCGCGTAGCTTTCTTTTGGCCTCAAGAGGATCAAAACCATCGCAGAAACTCGCCGGTCGAGTCATTGGGCGTAGCCCTTGAGCACTCTCTTCACATGTGATGTAAAATGCACTTCCATTTCCATCTCGATTATATGGTGCTGGGATACCACCTTTGTCCCTCTGTTCCTCCGAAAAGAACCGGATGTGGCAACGTCTCCTGATTTCTTCAAGATGAATGTGCCGAAAATGCCCTGTATATACTAGCTCGTTTGGGCGGCAGCTGTCATCATTGAAATCACGGGAGCGACGGAGGAGCACGCGGACTTTAACTTCATCACCGCTGACCTCAACAATTTCGACAGGCTCAAGTACGTCTGAAGTTTCAACCAACACCGTGTCGCCGACGTTATATTTCCTGTCTTGCGATTTGCTGCACTGACATTCAAAATCTCCTTTATGGAGAGTTCTGAAAGTTTCATCTCCGGAGTGGTAAGTCTGCCTGACGAAAAAGTCAGTATCTATGGCCCTGTCAGAGAAGAAGGTCACAGATACTTTCTTCACAACCTCTGTAACTTTGATCTTACTATCCCCGCAGTTGCAATGATCTGACAAAAAGAGTTCATTGCAGTGTGGGTATGTGAGGTCCGCGCATAAGGTATCCGTAGCCTTATACAACCAAATCAGACTAAGATAATGTCCAGCCCCGGAAACTCGTTGAACAAGGGCATACCAGAGGTCATCATCACCCTTCCATGATGTTTGATTGTCTCTATTGATTGCCACCACATCGCCCGGCTCGATTGGTGCCTTGGAACCAGTCACTACTCGCCTCTTTCTTGGCACGAATCCCATCCGGTGGACAAGTTGTTGATGTCTGGCAGCCATTGTAGAGTCTAGGTTAACAATTTGCAAGTATTGCCCCCAGGGCATATCCTTGAAGCACTTATAAATATACGGTGTCACAACTGTATATTTGGCGCGTGATGGCTGCTTAGGCACAGCTGGAGTTGATGAGAGCCCTATCTCATCCCAGAGGAAGTGTTCTTCATATTCAGAATCCAGGCCCAGCGCTTGTCCACGCAGAAAGGGGGCATGCGCTACAATTGCCTGACGGAAATCCGATCCCCCAAATTCCTCAAGCCATCCTCGAAACGTCGAATCAAGGTGATGATGCTCCCATAGCCATTCGCGAAAGTGGGACTTGAAAGCGGATAGTGCGACGTTGCGGTTTTCTTTGAGATAATCGACGAAGTGCTTCGCGAGGTTGGCCACCCACAGGAAAGTGTGGTGATATGGCGCATATTCTCGAGCAGGCTTTCCAAGGCGATACCATATTTGACCTCTAGTATTACAGTAGGTAGACTGAATCCACACGTCATTCCCAACGCCGTGGCGTTCCAAATCCTCATAACCGCCAATGGACACAGTCATAAAAGAGATGCGTTCTAGATAAAAAACAGGGTCATCCACAACTTCGGGCCTCACAATCCCGTCAAAGAAAAATACCGGGCTTCCAGCAACCTTCGCAACATCATTAAGTGCAATCAAGCCATAATTTCTTTCATTTGTGGCTCTATCTTTATAAATGCTGAAGTCATCCAACTGGACGCTAAGAAATTCAGATCCGTCATAAATTTCGTAGCTAGAGAAATCGCGAAGTAACGTGTCAATCGCGTCTCTCTCTGTGGACTTCGGTAAGGGGGGTTCGAAGCCTTCAAAGGCAGACGTATTCAGAGTCTGCCGGGGAATGACAACGCCAACGAAGTCGTCGCAGTTTGGCGGGCTAACGGTCTGCTGGTCCTTCTCTTCATTGATCGGCTCGGGTGATGATATCCACTCCAAACTCGACATATCTGCATCTAATGCAAGTATCTATACCTTAACATCAGTCATCTGAGTCCTTCGAGTTTGTCCTGGGGCATTTGACAGGATGGTTCGCACGTACCGGGCTTCTGTCGCGTGAGAAAAGAGGGTGAAAGAAAGGAAGGAAAAAAGAAAAAATCTCTAGCAATATATGAGCAACATCGCTGCTCAAAACTCCATTTTGCTATATAAAACAGAGCCAAAATAAATAAAATAAAATAAAATAAAATGCTGTTTCTTGTCAGGAAGTTGCCCCAGGTCTACACGGAAGAACGCGAAAAAGGCGCGCTTCTTGGGGGTGCGAAAAAAGGAAAGAAATTGCCAAATGCTAGGTTGGTAAGTAAGGAGCTTGAGTAGAGGACCTGGGTACAAAGGAAACTCAAGTGAAAGGAAACAAAAAGAAAGAAAATCGTCCAAACAGGAATTAGAAGAAGCCAAGGAGCGAGGGCCGCCTATTTCACAATCCGCGCTGCGCTGTTGATGGTCCGGAAACCCTCCATTGCCTCAGCAACTGGAAACATCACAGAGAAGAGCATTTCATACCCGATTCTGCTGCAATTGGAGCCCAGGGACCAAACAGTCAGATTGGTTTATTATCCCCAGAAAGAACATCAGAAACCTGTTTTGCATAATTTTCATTGTCTTTTTACTCTTCGGTTCCTGATAAAACCAGCGCAGGTCAAGCTTCAACCCCAATCAATTTACATGCTTTATGTGAATACTCCAGCCATGAATATCAACATCTTTTTTGCATGGCAAAAGAAAACTACCGACAAGCTGTACCAAATAAATACAAGAACCACCACCGGGCCTGAGCGGACTCGGGCTAATCATACAGCCGCCGACACCTCCATAAAAGTTATGGTCAATGTGACCAAAAGGGAGAGCAATGAAATCGGCAAAGTCATGAAATGTCAAGCCCTAGCCCTTCACCGCTGGGTATCCAACACCTCAGAAATGCACCAATCTCCATAGAATTAGGAAAGATATTTGGGGGGGGGGGGGGGGGGGGGGGTGGATGACAGGCATTGTGAGCAGCCTTTGTGGGAATCAGCATTTCCTACTAATTTTTCTTTTCTTTTTTCTTTTTTTTCTTTTCTCTTTTTTTTTTGTTGAGAAACATTAAAATAAAGTATGTGCACGAAATCATAGAGCCTAAACAAGCAGAAATCTAAGCTTCACACATGCATGACGGTTAGGAGAGGCATCAGAAGGGGAAAAGAAGTGTATACTAGTCTTAAACTAAAGGGTGTAACAAGAATAGATAGGAGAGTATTGAGTTCATAAAATCATATGCTGCAAGATACCATATCAGCCAAGGTGGCGGCTCTATAAGTCATATATATTCATCTCGAGGACCCAAGTCAGATGGGAGGAATTGCTGGGATTCTTTTTCTCTAGCCTTCCGCCTAGAGTTCCCCACCAAATCAAACAATCGGTATTTGCTAGAGGACTCTTTGGAAACGCTAGATTGACGGATTTTTGGTTGCTCAGGATATTCCAGAGAATACGTAGACGAGTTATGGGAGCTGTCAGCGCTTTCTCTGGCTTCTGAATACTTTGGCACCGTGAATTTAGGCCGGCCAGGATCCCAGTTTGTTGATATTGCATGTGACCGTGTGTCATCCTCCGCATCTTCACTTGCATTGCTCATATCCGTACTTCTATGCTGGAAAGGTGGCCTAGAAAAATAGCCAATCGAATTCCTATTGTTTCCCGACATTGCTGCAACGTTTGACATCGCTGTCTCCACGGAGGGAGTGTTCGCCTTGCTCGAGCTCTCCTCATAGAATGTGCTTGACTTCTCAAACTGCTCGACAAGTTCTTCCCATTTCACCTCAAGATTTCCGTTTGGACGTTCGGCTTGCTCGGCTTTGTTGAGGCAATCCTTGGTGCGCTGTTGGATTTGAAGACACAGCTTATGGAACTGAAGGACAGTTTCGTCTATATCAGACATGACCATCAGATTCGGCGGTGCGGATTCAAGCCATAACCGAACCAAGAAAGCAAAGCTTTTCGCATTATCAATCAAGAATGGGAGACTTGGGAATCCTTCCCGCGAGGTGGGTGGTAAGCGGTTTAAAATCTGAATTGGCGTGGCGTAAGATGGGTTGACGATTTGAGCCCCGCGCTCCGCTGGTATGGAGCAGATAGAATCCACAAAGTCCTTAAATTCACTGCGGTGGGACAGCAGGAACTTATTCATAGGTTCCATCCATGGTTCCTTGTTTCCAAACGTGGCCAAATTAGCCAGTCCTTGCAATGCTTTTGCAATGAGGGTCAAGGTGCGTTGAGCCCGTTGACGAGGATGTTCTGAATTTGAGGATTGCTTTAGTTTTATGTTTATAAGAGCGGAAGGGATCGAGCATTTTTGACAAACCTTTAAGCAATCCAAACAGCTTTGGATTCAGTATTGCAGGGCAAAAGAAGCGAAGGAATAGGAATCCAGAAACGCTGCTATATGCAACAGACCGCAAGAAATCACCATAGCGATCTTCCGCACAGGCTCTTATATGCCGGAAGATGTGCCTCAATTCAGCAGGGCAGCGAGAGGCAGAATTGGCAATAGATTTCCACATACTGCTCGTGAGCAAAATTAAATTTCGCCAATTACGTTCCAAATCCTCATGTCGACTGACTTTATTGGGGTCAATTTCGCAATCAGGGTCGCTCTCGTCAATGTCCCTTAATCCGGCTCCAATGGTTTCCTCGAGGTATTCTTTTCCGAGTCGACGCATATGCATATCCAGAGACTTTGTTAGCAGAGAATTACCCCGAAAAAGCAAGTTGGCTTCAACGGTAGCTGATCTACCCAGATCACGCACGAGAGCTTCTCTTTCCTGGGTCGATTCGTACGAGTCGTTCGAATGAATACGACTTCGACTAGTGTATCTCAATCGACTTGCTGTTGAATCTTTATGGATTCCATCTATTTCATCTTCAACAAGCGCCATAATCCACTCTCCTGCCTGCCCTGATACTTGGAAAATGTCAAGGAAGGTTTCCGACAACTGACGTAACTCTGGAGGGACGAGGTGCGCAAGATTCACCGTAAGTCCGTTCGAAAATGAGTGTAGTAGCTCAGACATCGCTTCATACTCTTTGGATATCAAGACAACCGTCTCATCCAGTTGGACCCTCATTAGCATTTCCCCTACCGGCTGATCATGATCATCCAGAATTGGCCACCATTTTTCCGGGCCAGATCCACGCTCTAAATCCTCCAAACGGAGGTCAATTCTGCCGTATGTAGCATCCTGCGAAGTAATCTCGACGTCACCCACTATCGACAAAGGATCACTGCTAACATCCTCAAAGGAGTATGGCGCACGGGATATTAATGTCCAGTCTTTTTGGGTCGAATTCAACGTCTTAACCATTATAGATGCATTAGATAGGACAGGCGGTAAATCGTGGAAGGTAAAATCTTCTCGCCAAAAAGGCGTTGAAGTATCATGTTTAGCAGCAGTCTTCGCCCGCACTTCTCCATCGAGTAAAACTTCGGCATAGTAGTCGCCAGAAGCGCGTATTTTCATTTGAGACAGGTGGGGCTTCACAGGCTTTTTGGTCTTTGTGACCTCCACACTGTCTTTAACAGAGGTGAACATCTTAGCCTCTATTATTCGAATCGATAGCAATCGCTCAATACGGAACATGTCAGCGGTAGAAGTTGCGTTAGAAACAGCCAGGGAATGATTCCGCGCGGGATCATCATTCGGCGGAGGTTGTTCGGGGCCGTACAACTCTGGTATCGTGAACGCACGTAATAAGACAAACCAAACTTCGAACAGGATGCGACTTTCGAGAGACAGGTAAATCGGGCGAGTCAGCTGGTCTCCTCCAGCATGAACAGAGTACTGGGGATAAATGGCGATACAAAATTCGTCGTGCAGGACTGATGGTTCTAATTGCTGGATAGCGCACCGGGAGAGCTGTGATAGTTGCACAAAAGCAATTAAGGTCACATCAGTTTCTGTGAATATCTTCATGTGGCCATTCTCTTGCAATGAACAGCTCACTTTACGCCACGATGGTGATAAGGCCCGCTGCTGCTTGAAGGTGGAAATTCTTTTAGGCGTTGGGGGCGGGAGAAGGCCGGATGCCGTCTGTCTGTCCCACAAAAGCATCTGCCCAACTTTGATTATTGCGGCCTCTTTTTGTATTGTGCTTTCAGAGTTTCTTCTCCGCTCTGGAAAGCGGTGGTTACCAATTGCAACCGATTGTGGTTTGGTCATTTTATTCTGGACACCTTTGGGGCGGATCGGTTGCCAACAAAGAAGAGCGGCCAGCCAAGAATCGAAGGTTTCAATTACATGGGGTCTTAAGTGTATGCCGACAGTAGAAGAGTGAGCTGAAACACTCAGATATGAGCCTTGTATTTCCGTATCGTACAGAGTACGGACGCGACATCCCCTGAGGTCTGGTATCAGTGTTTTTGCGGCGGCCGGCTCTCCCTTCGCCTGATATATTAGGCTTCCGCTGGCCACGTTTATGGCGCAGTATCCCGAGGTCCAGGAAGTACTCCCTGAAGCACGGAAAGAAAGAATGCCATGCATTCTACCACATGTTGTCTTCATCAGCTGTAATATTTTTGAAGAATCGGAGTTCGACAACGGTGATCCGTATGACGATAGACGCGAAGAACTAGCCACAAGCGATGCCCCACCTGATGGTGCCTTGCTAAGCCTCTGTCGTTGGGTCGGGGATTGGATTATGGAAGGGTATCCAATGGACGAAACCGAATCCTCAGATCCCTTTGAAGATTGCGAGGCCACATTGATAGAACCTAGTCTTGTTCTGGTCCGTGACAAAAGACTCTGGGATATTTCACTTCGTTGATCATCCAGGGTGGTTCTGGATCTTGCCCTCAGGCTTTTCGGCCCGAGCCCTAGATCCTCGTCATCACCTGCGGAGAAATAGGGAGCAGACTCCTGACGTCGTTCGCGGTGTTTCGCACGAAGGGTAGCATGCGGGGACGTTGTGGTTGCCGACATATACTCTGCGTCGGACATTGGAGAGTTATTGGCATTGTCGGACATTGAATCCGGCGTGACAGTTCTGATAGTAGCGTCACGAAAACTTTCAGGATATACAACACCGTGCCGATCTTTGGAGGAGGACTTTTTACTTGGACGTCGTTCAATCGGTCGTCTATGGTAATCCTGCCGGTCTGGATCCCTCCTAAAACCATTACGACGGTCTGGCTCCATTTTCCTTTAGCACGATCAGGGGCAACATAGCATATAGAGTTAACGGCCGAATCCTTATGGCCTTGGGGGAGAGGGTTGCGTTAGGGGATCTGAGATACGGGAGGGAGTGAAGCACGTCGCGAAAGTTGCGGCGAATACGTACGACCGGCACTGGTAATCAATGATGGGGACGGCGACTCGTCGAACAAAGCTTGGCCAGCCGGTGGACTGGTGAGAAGGCACACGCCAGACAGAGGGACACGGGGAGATGTTGTTGAGGAGAGGATTACCGATCAGCAGAATCTATATTATTGAGAAAACATGTTTGTTAACTATGGGAAGGGGAAGAAGCGTGGATTGATGAGAGAGACAAGCGAACTGTGACAAGAAGCAGGCGAAGTAGCTGAGGTGTCTTGCCCAAACATACCTTTAGTCCGAAGTTTTGACCCTATTGCGCATTGCTCATCTGAAATGGAGTAACGTGCCGTTTCAGAAGACATAAGCCGTTGGGAGAGGGCTCAGATCCAACCAGAGGGCTAATCAATGCACACAAACACCCTGCGGATTCTCCGAGAGCAGCGTGGAAGGAAGCTAGACTTGAGCACACAGCACCGGCAGGCATTGGCATTCCTGCACGGGTTTTGGTTCGGCGAAGATCAACCAGGGCTGCCGTTTGGATTCTTCCCACGTTTTTGACGGTGGAGAGAGACGTCCCAAGAACGAGATCACTGCGAATTGCCTCTTTGGGTGGGCCGGCTTACCTAAGACTCGCATTACAGGAGTTCGTGCGTAAAATTACGGCCCGGGGGTGGTCCAATGCAGGCCGCGGGGGGTACGCTGACTGGCCGGGCCTGCGTATGGAAGCGGTATGGCCGCGTGTATCCTTGGCGTCCCTTGCCCACGCTGAGCTCCAGCAATCGTGTACCTGTATGTATGGCGTGTACGGGGTGCTCCTTACAGTAAAAATCTGTAGGTTACGGCAATTGCTGGACATATGTACGATGTAACTAGGTACCTACCCCTCTCTGCCGCCGCCCAACCCCGGAGCTCTGTCGTGCCCACCCTGGTCGCCTCCGACAACGGCGATGACGGGCACCTGAGAGCTGCATGATGGACCTGCGCAGCCCAAACATCTCTACTCTTGCGGTATGCTCGTCAATGGAAACGAAATAGCCCGCAAAACGACCATGCATGACACGTCCCCAGTCTCCCATTACATAACGGGGTTTTATCGCAGCATGGTAGCTAGGTTTGATCCGCCAAGCCTCTTTGACCCCCCGGAATTTCACCTACGCCGACGCCGTCAGCCTGAAGGTTGGAAGCTCCAGAGGGGATCACGAGCTTGACCAGAGTCAAGACTAGCGAGCTGCAACAGAGGCGGATGACTCGAGCTTTGTCTAGCTGCACCGCCGCAGAGCTCGTCACACGACTCTTTGACCTACGTCTGCTTCGATCCTGTTGCTGGGACCGTTGTTCTTCACTAGTAAACTCGCTATTCCTTGCCGTGTCAGCAGCTCGTCGACCTTTCGCCGACCGCCGGACGTCTACAGTCATTCAGTCAACGGCGATATCCATCACATCGGTCGCCTTGTTCCTTATCCGAGATGTCGCAGAGACAGCACTTATGGGGATGAAGAAATGATCTGAACCCTTCGATATCCACTAACTGCTAGGCAGTATCATTGGTTTTCTTGAGCTTGTGCCATCATGACATCACAGCTCATCACACGCTTGCTGCCCATCAACAGCACCACCTCGCCCTCAATCTACGAAACTATTCGGCAATACGATGATGATTCCGGCCATTCGGATACTGAGGAACGAGCTGCGATGGCTGCGGACGAAGAGAACTTGGACGGAGCTTACCAGGACTATGAGCTGGAGGGTGCTCTCGCGCAAGCTTCGGACACACAGTCCACGCATAGCAGTTTCCAGTCTCCCGCAGCAGGTGATTCCCACTTACCGCGCCATCCGAAATGGACGCAGGAGTCAGTGAACGAAGCCGAGCACGATGATGAAGTTCCGGCTTCCCTTCTCGTTGAAGGCGATGGCGAGGAGGATCCCCTTCCACCACCTCCTCGACCTCCTTCCAATCGTAACAGGATCCTTGACGATGCGCCAGCTGCAGAATTCTGCTCCCCGCGATTACGAGGCCAGTGGGAAGCTGCCGAGGAGCATCAAACCCCCCATCTTGCCCCTCAACCATCGCCTCCTCTAAACCTTCATTCAAATCGAAGAGCTGGTCTAGCATTTGCCAATCCAAAGGAAAAGGCAATGTGGAGATGGGCCAATGTCGAGAATCTAGATAACTTTCTAAAAGACGTTTACATTTATTTCATCGGTAACGGGATTTGGTGTATAGTATTAAGTCGGATGCTGAATATTCTGTAAGTCGGGAGGGTGTCTCTCTCTCTCTCTCGAGCTCAGAAGCTGACTGGGCCGCATAGAACCTTGGCTTTTGTTGTTGGTTTTACGACATTCCTAACAAACTGTGTTGACTATCGGAAAGTCCCGCATAGCAAGACACTGAATCAGATTATTGTCCCGAAGTGCACCAACAAAATGTCAGCCTCATCTACATTTTTCCTGTGGCTGTTTACAGTCTTTTGGTTTGGAAAGGTTTTCCAATACATTATAGATTTCAGGCGACTACGGCATATGCATGACTTCTACCTCTATCTTTTGGACGTGCCCGACTCGGATATACAGACAATATCATGGCAGGAGGTGGTTGGTAGGCTCATGGCACTGCGGGATGCGAATCCCGCGACCGCGGGCACCGTGTCCACAAAACATCGCAAATACATTGGTAGCCAGTCAAAACAGCGGATGGATGCTCATGACATTGCCAATCGTCTTATGAGGAAGGAAAATTATCTCATTGCACTGTTCAACAAAGAGATATTGGACCTTACCCTTCCTATACCGTTCTTACGAAATCGGCAGTTGTTTTCTCGGACCCTTGAATGGAATCTTAACCTGTGCATCCTCGATTATGTCTTCAATGAACAGGGCCAGTTACGACCACTTTTTCTGAAATCGACTCACCGAAGAGCTCTAAGCGAGGGTCTCCGGCGTCGATTTATTTTTGCTGGGGTCATGAATATTTTCATTGCGCCGTTTATCGTGGCTTACTTTTTGATGCATTACTTCTTCCGCTATTTTAACGAGTACCAAAAAAACCCTTCCAAAATCGGCTCTCGCCAATATACACCTTTGGCGGAATGGAAATTCCGCGAATTCAACGAACTATGGCACCTTTTCGAACGTCGAATCCATATGTCTTACGAGTCCGCAAATATGTATATCAACCAGTTTCCCAAAGACAAGACAGTGCAGCTGTCACGTTTTGTAGCTTTTATTGCAGGTGCCCTTCTGTCTGTCCTCGCGTTGGCATCCGTTATAGACCCTGAGCTATTCCTCGGGTTCGAAATTACTCACGATCGGACCGTTTTGTTCTATATTGGACTTTTTGGGACTGTCTACGCTGTTGCACGTGGGGTCGTACCAGACGACGCCCAGGTGTTTGACCCGGAACACGCCCTCTTAGACGTGACTGCGTATACCCACTATAAACCCGCTCACTGGCATGGCAAACTTCATAGCGACGACGTAAGGAAGGAGTTCGCCACACTCTACCAACTGAAGGTGGTAATCTTTCTTGAGGAGATTCTGAGTATGATATTCACTCCTTTCGTTCTATGGTTTAGCCTGCCTAAATGCAGCGACCGTTTGATCGATTTTTTTAGGGAGTTTACAGTTCATGTCGACGGCCTTGGTTACGTTTGTTCCTTCGCAGTTTTTGATTTCAAGAAAGGCACGAATCTGATGCCCCCTGAACCCCAGCATCATCGTCCAAGAGGCCTTAAGCATGGCCTACACGATCTACGAGGTGATTATTTCTCTGCTAAAGATGGAAAGATGCTTGCATCTTATTATGGGTTCCTCGATCATTACGCTCCACCTCCACGCCCAAGTGGACCTCATGCTTCGCAGCGCCAAAATTACCCCCAGCAGCCCGTTCCCGGCCCAACCCATCGTGCTCAGCCGGGAGCAAACCATCTACATTCAAGTCGCATTGACCGGTGGGACAATGGTCAACACTCTACCATGAGACAATCCGCCCTTCGAACCTCTCGATTCGGAGCTATAACAGGTGTCGGAGGACATGCATCGCCCATGGCCTCAATGCTACTAGATCCCCATCACCAACCCTCTATGTCCGGATTTCGATCGAAAGCCCATCCAACAGCAGCCTCCCGCTATCGGCCGTCTCGGCAAGCCCACCCAATGGCGGATACAATTCAAGATGTCGACGAAGACCAACTTCCCGGAATTAATACACAGCCCTCAAACGTGACCACAACTTCCAGCGGCGGACCTGCAACTGATGATAGCCAGATAGAAGAATCATGGCGAATAAATCTGGCAGAAGACGCAAACAGCGGCGAAGATGACGAGGCTGAAGACGTGGAGAAAGTTGCTGGTGGTGGAGGAGTGCTGGGCTTGATTCACCAGTTCCAGAAAGTCACAAATGAAGGTCGCGGTGCTGTTGGGATGTAATACTTTTTTCACATGGCGAACTTCATTTTTGTGATGCTCTGTGTTTTGCACTGGCTGCTTGCAGTTCACATATAACAGCATAACCGGGGTTCCTTGGTAAAATTAGTTAGGCGGTGCAAATATTTGGGTCAAGGTGAAACAATGATATTGGCGCTACATATAACCTCGTAGGACGCACGTGTTCCTTGAGTATGCCAGCCATTTTGTGATTTTGTTAGACAAGGTAATTTAGACGATACTGCCGGCTATGCAGGGTAGTCAACAATATATACTGAGTGAAGCTGAGACATGTATCGATTGACCTATTTGAATAACTATGTCAATCTAGAGAAATTCAATTCAGAGTCATGACCAAATAATCCGCCATATTAGCAGGCCCTGGAAATCATCCCATCCTCTCTTGTGGGAGAAAAATACAAAATATACACATTTAAGCATCGTCTCATGTATCTACGCGCCTACAGAGATCCACTATACTATGCCCTGAAACTGGAGAGATCTTCAGTTCACAAGGTTATTTTGCGCCGCCGCCTTCGCACCAACCTGCTGTTCCATGGAGAGATAGTCCGTATAACCAATGGCCGGATCATCAAATGGCCCATATAACCTACTCCGATCATATTTATTCAATGGGTACCCTTTCTTCAACCGCTCCACCAAATCCGGATTACTAATGAAATACCGCCCATAAAGCAACGCGTCATATTTACCAGACTCAAGCACACCCCAGGAATTCGTGTGATCCCATCCACCGGCCGAAAAGAACGGTGTCGAACCGAAAATTTCACGGAAGCTACTCAAGTCGACGTCAAGGAGACCCCATGATGCGAGAAAATCGTCTTTCTCCTTGGTACTGAAGATTTGTTCGTAGCGCTGAGTGATGGTGTTAACATGGGAAAAAGAAACATAGAATGCTAAGAGGAATACGTACTGGTTCGATAAAGCTAACATAGGACAGATTGGGAAGCGATTGCTTCAGGCCTCGGCATAGATGTGTCCAAGTTTCCACTCTCTGTTCTCCACGTGCTTGGTTAAACAGCCCAAAAGGCGAAAGGCGAATAGCCAAGTTCTCCTGTCCAACTGTCGCAGCCAAAGCGTCCATTAACTCAAATACAAACTGACACCGTTTCTCAGGCGTTCCTCCGTAGTCGTCCGTCCGTATGTTGATGTTTGAGCTCAAAAACTGTTCTGGAAGATAGCCATTTCCGGAATGAAGCTCAACTCCGTCGAATCCAGCCTCCATGGCCATATTGGCAGCATTGCAGTAGTCTTCAATAGTCCGTTTTATGTGCCTGTGAGAAAGTTCGATAGGTGGATGCTTAGAATAAGGCACTGGCTCACCATACCCAACGGGAGTGTGGAAGAAACACTCCTTTGGGTCGTCCCAGACCGTTGCTGAGGCAGAAACAGCCGGTGAGCCGGTCATCTGGGGTATAGTGGCACGTCCAGCGTGCCAGAGTTGGAAGTAAATGTAGCCACCTTTTGCATGGACAGCATCAACAATTTTCTTCCAACCAGCTGCTTGTTCGGGTATGAACATCCCAGGAACGCCAGGCATTCCATTGCTCTAGGATCATGTTAGCACAACCGTTGCCAGAACATGCTGTACAGAGACAATTTTGATAATCTCGCCCACCTCCAGGGATGGCGGAACACCCTCTGAAATCAATAACCCCCCTTCTGTAGCCCGTTGCGAATAATAGTCCACCATCAGATTATTTGGCAGCTAGGCCCTATTCGGATTTTCAATTGTACTCTCTGGCTGAAGAGGTGTCCCGCGATTTCTCGTCAAGGGTGCCAGCACGACACGGTGTTTCAATTCGATCTTGCCGTTGGCGATCTTCAGCGGCTGGAAAAGCTTCGAACCTGAACCTCTCGGTACCGCAGTATCCTTCATTCTTACAAAGTTTGCGGCTGTGTCAACCAGCTGCTTTCTTCTTTTCTGATTACTATGTAGTTCCTGTGGCCCTTTGACTCTGGATATTTATCACGAGTGAGAACCAACAGAATAAGAGGCAGGCTACAGAGCCAATTGCCAAATTGGTCCCAACGATTCTCCCCTGCAAGGAAACGGTTGCACTCGGCCGTGGAACTCCTGGCTCTTAAATTCAAACCGCGCGCCTCTCCATATTTTCAAGGATGCCGAATGATCGGCCTCACCCCACGCATAAGCCGCCCCGTCCTTCTTTTGTCTGTCTGTGATCGCAGACAGCCACGTGAAGCCTGATATCGGGTTCAGTGACGGTGTACGAGGATCACAAACTGCTGCAGTTCATAAGGTCCAAATGTCAGAGCTTGGACAATGCTGGTTTTAGCTAACTAGCGGTTATGTTTTAAGTTAGTTAACTAGTTAAGTAAGTTGTTAACCCCGTATTTTGCTTATGTAACTAACCAGGGACGCAACTCTACTCTGTAACAGCTGGCAGTCAACGGTCGAACGGCTGCCATCGAAGTTGTCGCTGTGTGTGCTGTGGGAAAGGTCTGGTTTTGAGGTATCGTGTGACATTAAATCCCTCTACGTTGCGCAATGGTCCCAATTGAAGCGGCGCCTCCTCCTGCTCAATAGTTAGTTCAAGTGCGGACTGAGAGGGACGAGCTCTTCGGAAGAGCGGTCCACAAGCCAGAATGCCCCGTTTTCGTCGATATCGCGTCTTTCTCGTTTTCGCTGTTATTAGTGTCCTTGCTCTCTTCCATTTCACTAGACTTCGAGAGCTGGGGTCTTCAATCCACAATTCGAATGAATCGACGGCGGAACAACAAAAGCCAGCTGCTCCTCCCGCGCTTCCGCCGCAACGGCCTCCAGAACAAGCTGGCCACAACGGGGAGATTCAGAACCCCCTGGCATCGCCTACCAAGGCAAGGATACCATCTGTGGTCACTAACACAAAGCAAGGATCGGTAAAGCCGTCTGTGCAACCGACCAGCTCGCCGGCTCCGACACGACCTGCTCTTGTTTCACCGCCGTCATCACCCAAGGCTGAATTCGGCCCTGGTGGCCAGGGAAGATTGGAGGTGCCCGAATTGGATCGTACTGACGTCCGATGGGTGAAACAGCCCGAAAACTTCCCCGTGGTTCCGTCGAACATCATTCCTCTGCCCAAGGGCAAACCGAAAAATATTCCTAAGATCCAATTCAACTTTCCAGAGGAATCACAGAAGGCTAAGTTGTCCCGTGACAAGAGATTATCACTTATCAAGGCATCATTCAAACGATCCTGGGCTGGCTATAAAACACATGCTTGGGGTCGAGACGAATTAAAGCCCGTCTTTGGTGGCGGTCGGGATCCCTTCATGGGATGGGGAGCAACTTTAGTTGATAGTTTGGACACTCTTTGGATAATGGGCTTTGAGAAAGAATTCGCGGAGGCTGTCAAGGCTGTGGAACAGATTGACTTCAAAACCAGCAATCGAAAAGATATTCCTTTGTTTGAAACTGTCATTCGCTATTTGGGAGGCCTGATTGGTGCATATGATATTTGTGAAGGAAGGTATCCCATTTTGCTGGACAAGGCGATTGAGCTAGCCGAAATCCTAATGGGCGCATTCGATACGCCAAATCGAATGCCGCAAACATATTATTGGTGGGCGCCGTAAGTTGTGGACTTTGCCGTATCCTGTCCTGGCATATTCACCTGCTCACAACTTCTAGGTCCTACGCTTCACAGCCTCATCGAGCACCCACCCGGGCCGTTCTTGCTGAGCTTGGCTCTCTGTCTCTTGAGTTCACACGACTAGCACAATTAACGCTACAGAACAAATACTACGATGCTGTTGCTCGGATCACAAATGAACTCGAAAAGTTTCAGTCTAACACCACACTACCAGGTCTATGGCCCTCACTAATTGATGCCTCGGGATGCAAGAAAATACTTCGTAACAGCGATGAATTAGAAGATGTGGACGGTTCAGTGAAAATGCCGCCGTTAATGCCCAAGGCCAATGGGCCCCCAGAGGCCCCTAAAAAGAGAAATGAGGCGGCCTTTAAGCCTTTGCAGAATGCCCAGCCAGCAAATCCCAACTCACAATCTAAGGCTACAGAGAAACGTGATTTGGCCGGATTCGAAGATGGGCCCGATTGCGAAGAACAGGGCCTCATGCCACCGCCATTCCAAATGTCGAACACATACACGCTGGGCGCTTTGGCGGATTCAACATACGAGTATCTCCCGAAAATGCATCTGCTCCTTGGCGGGCTCAGCTATCAATACCACAAGATGTACACCCTAGCAATGGATACGGCCAAGAAGTATCTGCTGTTTCGGCCAATGCTGCCGGACAATCGTGATGTTCTGTTTCACGCAAAGGTAACTTCAAGCAAGCCACCAGAGAAAAAAGAAGATTTATATTCCCACTATGAAGGCACTCATCTTGGGTGTTTCGCAGGAGGAATGTTCGCCCTCGGTGCCAAAATCTTTGGGATTGACGGCGACCTGGATCTTGCTGCAAAGCTAACCGATGCGTGCGTCTGGGCATACAATGCTACTACCACTGGCATTATGCCCGAAGGCTTTGAAATGCTTCCTTGCGCCTCCACTGAGCGCTGCGAATGGAATGAAACACGATATTATGAAAAAATCGATCCTTATGAAGAGGAGAGAAAGCTCCAAGTTCAGACTTGGCTAGGTCAAAAGGCCGAACTTGAAAAGGTTGAGGGCGTGGAAAGAGCAGAATTCCAAGCTACCGAAATCGAGACTTCGCACCTTTCTAAATCCGCCGTTAGCAAGGGCAGTTCTGGACTTGCCAAAAGGCAGAGAGCAATGCCCGACGATCCATCACGCATCAGTGGTATTGACGATTCAATTCCTGATATTCTTGGACCCAAACCTACGTTCGTTCCTCATAAGGACTTCGTGGAGCAACGACTTAAAGAGGAGCGTATTCCTTATGGAATGACTGATATCCTCTCACGCAAGTACATCCTCAGACCCGAAGCCATCGAATCCGTATTCTACATGTACCGAATCACAGGTGACGAGTCATGGAGAGAAAAGGGGTGGGAGATGTTTAAGGCCGTTGAGGCAAGCACAAGAACTGAACTCGGAAGCTCCGCGATCAAGGACGTGACGAGTCAAGTGCCTATGCCCTTGAACGAAATGGAGTCGTTCTGGCTCGGAGAAACTCTGAAATACTTCTTCCTCCTTTTCAGCGATCCTGACGTCGTCAGCCTAGACGATTATATTTTGTAAGTCAATTCCCCGGTGCCGGCTGTAGCCTTCGGGGGGAGCTAGACCCGTAGACTAACCGTGCTCACTTGTAATAGCAATACCGAAGCGCATCCCTTGAGGATGCCACAGAAAGTTTAATCGACATAGACCAGTATCATTCGATATATATATATCTTACGCCATGCTTGTTAGCATTCGCGGTATATTTGGTGTTGTTTGTTGGGTCAATGTAACGGATAGGTTTTCAACGCAGGTTTAGCTAATATCTAGGAGATATGGGTCGCTCTGGTTTAACAGACTTTGCATATATATTTGGTATCATTCACAAACCGTCCCTTTTCTATACTTTGTGGTACATGTCAGTCTCGAGCTTTTGATTGTATTTTTATTTTTGCTAGACGGTTCTTTAGGAATAGGGTGTTAATTTGTAGCGTACAGAACGGTTGTATGTGCATTACTTTGAACGGATCAGTCTAATATAAGGACGGGCTAAATATCGGGTCGATAGCTCTTCAAAGACGTCAGTCGGTTTGTTTGTGTAACCCACGTTTTTCGGTGTGATGTCAGTCGTGTACCCCGTAGGGGGTCAGCTCGTTCGTTAGCGCGGGAGGAACCCCGTGGCGTTTGCCTTTTCGTATCGTAGGTACTCCGTACGGAGTACTCAGTAGTTTGATGCTTCCTGTCAACCAGCCACTCGAATCGATCGCGTTCATTCGTGTCACAGCCGAAGATAAATCGAGAATAAAATATAAATCATTTGAAGTCCGAAGCGGCACAAAAAGAAGTTATTAGCAATGCATGGGTTTGGGAATGGAACTTGAAGTTTCGCACAGTTTGGGAAATGAGGATCAATTCTGGGACGGTGGGTGTTCACTGTGTCGATCTGAAGACACGATTGTCTTCTAATCGGGCACCGTATCTGAGTCTTTTCGCTCTTTTTCAAGATGTGAAAACTCTGTAGATGAGGAATGTAGCTAATTTGCACCGTTCTCGAATAGAACTGCACCGCGTTGTTGACGCGCAATGCGACTCCCATGCGGCGATCGACAACGTTCTTCGAGCATACCTCGAGTTGACAACGAGATATAAAGGTAGATGCGACCTTCGAATAGCCCCTTTTTTTGACTGTCCAGCACTTGTTCGGCATAGTTCTTGCGCATTATCGGGCCTAGCCATGAAATGGAAGCGAACATGGATACTAACTTCCCCGGGTATTGTCAACAGATGACCTCCTCCATTTCGGGCACAACCTCTCCCGATGCTCTGAGATTTTGCTCACCTCAGAGCTATTCTCCGGAAATGCAGAATATATACGACGGCAGATAATATACAGCTTGCTTCAGGTATGCGGTCTTTCAGCCGTACAGATCCGGCGCTGGGTTGGTTCTCATACACTACATAGGAAGATGACCCGAGCGCTCTCTATGTTATCGTGTTGCTCCTCCTTGTCGATGGCCGCCACGATGAAATTGCATTTGAAATGATGAATAGCGAAGGGGCCTTCGTACGGCTATTGGAGCTTATACAGTCGCGGCGACGCAGAACCGGTGATCATGAAGCTGGTCTTCATCGATTATTGATGGATCTGTTTTATGAGATGTCGAGAATTCAGAGGATTAAGATTGAAGACCTGCGTATGTTTCTGCGTGTACCCTTTGAGAACCTTATTGCCTGCACAACTAATCACTCTGACTTCTGGATTGCAGTTCTTGTAGATGATGAGTTCATAAAGGTTTTGTTTAGCATAATTGAGGAGGTTTCAAATGATGTGGACGACCCATATCATTACCCAGTCATCAAAGTTTTGGTGAGCATTCCGCCAAATAATGGATCCAATGATGCTAATTTCTCTTGGCCAGTTGGTACTCAATGAGCAGTTCATGGTCTCTACTCATGATGCTCCTGCAGAACACCCTTCGCTCGTCCCACCTACAAACAAAGTTATCAAGGTCTTGTCAATGTACGGGGGCGTTTACAAGACTTTTGGTGAAAATATAATACTTCTTTTAAATCGTGAAAGTATGTCTTTGACCTGTTCCCTTTGCAAATGTCATTGGTTTCTGACTGCAGAGTAGATGAGACATCTCTTCAACTTCTCACGCTCAAGCTCCTATATCTACTCTTCACAACACCTTCTACTTATGAATATTTTTATACTAACGACCTCCGAGTTCTCGTTGATATATTAATTCGTAACTTGTTAGACCTTCCGGAAGAGGCCTCTGCTCTTCGTCATACATATCTTCGTGTTCTCTACCCGTTGCTAACCCATACTCAATTGAAAAATCCTCCGTATTATAAGCGCGATGAGCTAAGAAGACTGTTTGCTATCCTTATTAGGGATCAGATTGCTGGCTATGAAGACGAGTACGAAAAGATCCTTCACTTTGATGAAGTTGATGAAACAACTAAGAGATTGGTACTGCGTTGCGCGCAAGTTGATTGGCTAATCGAACACGAAGAACGGTTACCAGTAAAAGGGTTGCCATCTGTTGGTATCTGTAATGAGGCGCAAGAGACCCATTCAGAAGCAAAAACCGAGGCCACAGCTGACGAGACACTGTACCCGGACCGAACATGTGTTGCGACGAATCTTCCTAAAGAGAGCTCCGCGGAGACTCTATCTCCCGTGGACCGAATGCAGGCTCAATCCCCTAGCACGGGCCTTGAGCCATCGCGTGCTTCGTCTGTGAGCATGGCAGAGATCGCCACGCAAAGAGAGAAGCCCGGAGTCATGATGCCAAGGAAAAGCGCCGCTGTTCAGACACTACCAAAGAAAAAGCCAGAGCCGCCAAAGGCACGGGGATGGCGAGGTCGTAGAGGACGGGAGGAGGAAGAACATAAGGAGACAAATATGTCACCGGGGCCAACTCACCTTCGCGAGAAACGGTCAATTATTCGTCGGACAGCGTCCGAATGTCAGCCTACTTCTCATACCATCACCATTGATGCGCCGTCTCCACCCTCAACTAGTACAACGTCGGAAGCCGACCTGACAATACCTGTCTCCAAACCCCGTGCTCACCATTCTTCTCTCCACCCACCCGCCGTGCCGCCACCACGTCGATCATCCCACTCGGTTCCCCCTCCTGTAGCGTGCGACGTTCACCACCACTCCCCTATTCCTCCGACCCCACCCCATCATCATCACAACCATTCTCATCCTCAAACACAGGTCTCCAGCAAGACTGGTCTACAAAAACCGGAGCCTCCAAAGACCCGTCGTTGGCGCGCTCATCTGCATGCCCGTTTAGCTGTTGATGAGAGGAGTAGATGTGGAACCCCGCAGAGTGATGGAGATGATACCAGTAATTTTTCGCGTGAGTCGTCTATTTCGAATGTCTCTAGACCTGGAGAGCCTGATCATGCTGCCCTAGATGGGATCGCAGAGATAGAGAAAACTGTCTAGCAATGCACTTGGTGGAAGCATGAAGGTGGGCTTCCCATGTACGCAGTCCAAAATGAATGGATCAGTTTGACTTGGATATACAAACATAATTAGTATATAAATGCGCAGGTCTGCTCTAAACTCTCAAATCATGATACTGTCAGCAATCCCTTCACATGCTTTAAATTGTGCATGCAAGTGGTGGGACTCTATCATCTGCACACAGCTGTGAAAACAGCTTCAGAGACACTGGTACCTAGGTATTATGGTTCTCTGGAGCGGATCAACAGCAACTGATTAGAGACATGGACAGAAAAAATCATTTATCCCATTGATCGAACACTGATACTACGAAGTTATTGTGGACTACATTCAGTGTACCCTTCCCTTAGCTAGGCTTCTCCTTTCTGTCCATAACTAGCAAACCGTGACAGCTCAATGACTTGATCCCCCTCACAGATCGTACCGCAACTTCACTACGGTCCGTTCCTCCCAGGTATTCCTTTTTGCTTTTACTCTTCAATGCCCCAGAACTTCTCTCCTCCAAAGGAACCATCAAAGTCTTGCTTCCATTTGTCATCAAAGGCAGAGAATAGGAAAAGCTGACCATCCCTGTCTTTGAAGCTATTTTTCAGGCTCTCAATTGCTGCATTTTGGTTTTGAGGAGATGGGACCGCCACGCCGTTTGGTTGTCCAGAAGATGGCCATCCAGACTCTGTGATAACAGTGAATTTACCACCTGCTGCCTTAGAAACTGCATCAGCTTCATTACGTGCAAATTTGCCTGCATCTTGTGCCTTTGTCTGGCTTGAAAAAAAGGCATGGGCGTTTGCAGCACAGAAATCCGATGCATGGCAGAGTTTGGGATATTTGATCAGCATGCCAGATGTGTCGACAGTAACCACAGGCCCTTGGTAGCCTGCGCCACGAAGAATATCACGTGCTTTTTTGACAGCGTCGGCAACTTGGTCTGGTGAGTTAAGTCCCCTGTTCACCAACTCATTCCCGATATTAATAGCGGCGACATTGGACCAGGAATCCTTTGCTTGGCTGATCAGTGATTTGAGGTCACCATCAAAGTTCTTCAGGTTGAAGATGCCAGCAAAAACTTTGGAATTGTTTTTCTTTGCCGTGTTCAAGACCATCTTAACCTGGTTGCAGTCGACACCATATATCCGGATCGTTTGGTACTTTTTAAGCTTTGCAAAATCAGCGTCGATTTCCTGCTGTGGTTTACATTGACCGCCGTCCGTATAGGGGGCATAGCAGATGCCGAGACCACTAAAGTATCCTGCTGCAGCAGCTCGTTCTTCTAAAATTGGCACACCAGAGACAACTTGTTTTCCAATGTTAGCCTTTTGAAGCGCAAGGGAGGGATATAAGGTACCAACCATATCCTGAGAGGACAATGCTGAGCAAGAAAGCCAAATGGGCTAGAAAGCCTGCAAGTTCCTGCATGACTTCAAATGGCTATGTCAACGCGTATTTTGGAGAAAATTTTAAATGCCTGGAATATCTGGGCCTTTTGTCAGCTATATTGGTCCAAAAATACAGTTAACAGTGAACAAGAGGTCTTTTGCATGGCATCTATAACCCCTTTTTCACTTGTCTTGGAGAAGCAGCGTCAGGTGCAACCTAGGATCTAAGGAGGGTGAATTGCTTCCTTCACAGAACTTGGGACCTCCTTTGGCCTTTCATGAAGCTAAAGCAGCAGCTTTCAATAACATGCTCTGCTCCAAAAGCAAGAAGCACTGGCCTTCAAGGGTTCTGTCAACTGCTTACACATGCTTTCATCAAGGTTCATAAGATGGTGCAGGGCACGAGCCCTATCCAGAGGTGTGGTGCAAGCTTGATGATGGAACTCAGGGCAATCAACTGGATATCATTGAAGTGAAGAGCAAAGAACAGCAACTTACCTTCAGCTCACAAAATTGAAAACATGGGGGAGTATTGTTATGGATATAGAAAAAAGAGAGAGGGGAGGTATAGAATGGAGGTGTCAAAGGGTTTATATATGGCTACAATCACGCGTTCTGCCATTGCGGGTTTACCCCTTTGGGTGTTTGTTGTGATGTCACAGAAATAGCTGCCTTCGCAGCAATGTGTTCCTATTCCCTCAGAGGAACACATCAATGCTTCAGAAAGCTGCACACACCCTGTGGAACATGAGAAGATCCCCATACACTAGCATCCTAGATGATGTGTACATGTGTATTGTTCCAAAAAAGCTAAAGTGCAGATTTTGGCCATCAAAAAGGCCTCTTGATAATGTTTACAGAATATTGACGTATATCCTATATTACTAGATCCTTGAGGAAGATAAGGATACATAGTATATCCCATACTAGAAACAAGCATTAGGAGCAACAGCAGGTAAAGGCCTATCTTCTTAAAGATAAAGCCAACCACCAACATCATTGTTTTGCGTCTCAGACTAAGGATAACGTATGTATTGTTGTACAGATTTTTGAACACAAATGATGACCGACCACTGTGGAGAGACCACAAGTAACAAACATGATCCTAGCGCGGGGTACATGGACTGATATTGGGCATTGTCCCTCAAATATATAAAGAGCACTGCGGGATGATGGCCCAGTAGATTCTCCAACATTACAACAGACTATTGTTCGTGATATTCAGCATGCCTACAACAGTGAAAGAGGCACCTACTTGTGATCCAACAGAGAATGTCAAATATATACCTAGTTTTTTTGGTTTGACATGTATATGATTATGAGCAGCAAGCCTCATCAGTAGTTGGGTATTTTTGGCCCTGGCACATGTATTGAAGATGGAGTGCTCTATCCATTCTAAACTTCATACCTATTCGTTGCATCAAGATTTTAGCACCTTTCTATCGGGGATTCGGGCATGACCACCATCCCTGTGTTACCGCTCTCTAGCATCTCATACATGTCATTGTTTCAAGCCGCTGAGAAGAGCTTTCCGTCGGGGAAATACAGTGGTATTCTGGTACATCCCACTGTACCAATGTGACACTATGTGTAGCAGAACCTAGGTATAAGCAGAAGGGAGGGGAATTTAAGGCATATACTCTGGGTCTGACTGAAATAAGGATTGGCAGCTCTGAGAAAGTAGTTTCTCTGCACCAGTGTTCCCAACCGCGCCCTCAACTAGGCCAAAGAAACTTCAAAGTGGATTACATATAGGAAACAAGTCCCCAAATAGCACGCCAATAGAATTATTGAATTATGAGATCAAAGAGGTCAAGGAATGAGAAGCAGTGACCTGTTAAGATTTGTAGTTAGCTCGTGCCTAGCAAACAAAGAGGAATAGAGAACAGAAGACTCTTTGTTGCCAGAAAGAGCCATGATATTAACAAGGGGTCTGGAGAGGACTGGTGAACAAACTGCAAGAAAGGGTGAGGCTACTAATGAGGCCTAGGTGAGACATACAATCACTCAAGTAGGTTCATAGGCCTCAAGATAGCTTAAACTCCCAATGCTATAATGGTTATCAAAGAGCTTGAAACCCTGATTGACTCTTTGTCATTGAAAATCCACAGGGACCTTGGCCAAGGCTGCCAAATCTTCTGCATCACTCCTTGCTCATTTCTGGCTGTCTCATCAAAAAGCTTCTGGCAAATATTGACATTTGCTTTGAATTGAAGTTGACATCTGGCCTCGCTGGATGTTGATGTTTGGCTGTACATGGAGCATATTGATTTTTTTCCGTTCCCCACTCCTTTCGTTTTCTGTCATTTTGTTCGGACAGTCTGAAGCTCAGCAAGCTTAACTACATGATAAACCTGTTTCTCATTCATTTGTAAGAACAGCCCAAACTGTTGACTTTCATAGCCTGAACAAAAATCTTAGATTGGTGCTACATTTTCCATCACATACAGGTCATATAAGAGAAAATTTCTCTTCCTTTGTTGGTGTTTTCAATTTTGAACAGAATTGAGTTTCACTACTTCATTCTGCCAAAACTGTAGCAACACAAAGATTGAAAGATCAACATGGCCAATTATCTGTAGGGAACCATTCTTCCTGAAATATGTCTTGTGATTTGGAAATTGGACCTAGTCAGCACTGAGAGACATTGAGCCCACATACCATGAGTCTCTCAGTAAGAGTGTGATCATTTGTTGTAACTTGCAATATTTCTGACTTTTTGATTGGGTTCCTGGATGGGGCAATTCCAGAAGACATGCTGCGGCTGCTGCCAGAACATTGACATCCTCCAGTAGTGCCACAGGTTTGCTGCGAATCTTGTCATCATGCGGTGAGGACATATACTTCCATGCAGCATGCAACTTCAATAGCTGACGCATTCTACTTCTGCGGCTTGTTCTGCCCAGGTTCTTCTTACATTAGGCACAGATTTCTTTCATGCTAAGGGCGCCCAGGCCTTGGAGATACCCGGAAAATATTAGCTAACCCTGCAACATATTGGCTCTGAAAAGAATGCAAAACCCCAAAAACCTAGAAAGGCTGTTGCCGAAGGACCAAGGTATAGTAGAGCTTCTGGGCTCCTCAACAAGATGATGACAATGGAGCCTGTGAAGGTCAATTTACTTTATTGTCGCGATGTTGGGTCGCCATGTTTGTGTCAATTTATGACAGCCCGAGTCTCATTCCAGGGCCATACAGTTTATCTACAAGCCGTGTGTGAATAAATATGATTCCTAGCACTACTTGTTCGCAAACCAGTTCGTTCATTTCCGAATCTGCAAACTAGGTGGCATATATTGGATCTCACATGCAGAACAGGACTAGTCACCTTTGCCGCAGCTTGATCAGTTGGAGCTTCAGCTCCATCACAAGTTCACTGTTCACAACCTCACTAGGCTGGGACCTTCTGAACAAATTGAGGGAAAGAAGTTTGATGTGATTAGTTGTGTGTCTGCTCTGTTTTTATTAATTAGTCCTCACACAGAAATCAGGGCATGCATCGCTTCAACATAGAAGTACTTGAGCAGCAGATACAGTGATAGACAAAGTGCCATTTCACATCACAGTATCTTGAGAAACATAGTGGTGTTTGATTCTTGATATTTTGTGGCTCGAAAGGGCATTGTCAGCGCGATATATGTATAAATAATGTAAGGCATGTTGAAATGCTTTACCAAGGCGTTTTCCATGACTGTTGAAGCTAGGAACACAGAAAATCAAGTATAGCCAATATTCCCATAATCAATCCGACCCTCGATTTCCCACGTTTCCTTAGTAATCGTCTCCTCGGGAGATCACCTCCTTGCAATTGGGCCGGAGCAGAACGGTCTGTTTAGAAGATGGTGTCAGTATATTCCGCAGTCTTCAACTGTGGACAAATTCTCACATGTTCAAATTGTGCAACATAAGAGCCAGGAACATCGACCATCGGTGCATAGGACTCAACAATACCATTCGAGACAAGCGACCTCATGCCGAGATGGTAATTCTTCACTCCAATGCGCTCTAGGTAACGCCTGGAGAAGACAAGAGTTCCGAAGTTCTCATGGATCGTCTTCAGCAGTGACTTGGCGGAGGCATGACGAAGGCCAGTAGCGCTGGCATGCTCATTGCACCCGTAGCCATAAACTCCTACATCATCTCTGAGATAAGCTTTTCCAGTGCTGCCGAAGGTTTCAATAGCGAATACATCGCCTTCTTCCATGCGTTGGGTGGTTCGTGTCTTGACGAAGGGGAGTTGTTTGTCGCCATGTATCTTGTAGCGTAGGATGTTATGGCCAGTGATGTTCCGAATCGCTTTGACAGGGATGATCTTTCTGTTGAGCTCGATTTCGTAGCTCTCCATCACTTCTTGGATCTCCTCACTGATGTGATCTATCCGGGCATCAATGCCAGCTTCCTGGGCGTTTATTTAGCTTTGCAGACGCCATGCAGGACCAAATTCGCTTACCTTGAGCCCAGTATCAGGTGTACATTAACCTTCAAGTTGGCTTACCTTTGCTGGGCTGACCACTGGACTTCAGGTCAGCTCTGATTTCATCGTCTTCGTCATTCTCTCCATCTTCGCCTTCCCCTTCGAATGGGCCATGGAAGAGTCTACTTGTTGCGGCCGGCTTGGGAAGACTGACGGTAGCAATTGCAGCGTGTGTCGATGACCCTGCTCAAATTGTCAGAGTAGCTTCAACGCAAAGCAAATACATTCTTTTCCATACCATTTGGACTTCGACGATGACCATGTGGTGTCTCGGATCCCATGATCGGCTTCGGCTTGTAGTCATAAGGTTCCGTAGGTTGTTGTTGATACCATTGAAGGTCAGCTCCTGAAGAGATCGTGAGGAAGTGAGGTCGTCAGCAGCATTTCTTGGAGTAGTTAACGAACTACGGAGTACGGATAGTTAGTTAACTAACTCCCCTTGTGGTTGATCAGCGCATTGGCCGGCCGCCAACAGGGTCTGTACATATTACCCCATGCATGCATACATTTTGGCGGGGACATGACTGATAGCCACTGTTCAAGAAGTTTCGAGTGTTGGATATGTTTTAGGGGTTGTGCGTGCAACGAAAATCAATCTCCGCATCAAGCTTTATCCAAAGAAGCAACAAGCACATATCTGCATCCTTAGCTGCTAGATACATTGCAGTACGGAATACTCCATAGTACCGCCTGAAATCGCAGATCAAATCTCTAGCTAATAAAGATGTATGGCTGGATGCTTTTCAGGCTGCTTATAGAGACGTGGTGTCAGGAGAGGATTGGTTTTGCAACACTCCCCGCTGCGTGAGCACTGATGAAAGGATCGCAGGTTTTCACTGCTTAGTAGAACAACAGTGCTGTTCTGTGACTCGAGTTGTATACCTGTTTCATTTTGCTGTTGGCTGGCTGGACAATCTCACCGACATCTAGGTAGCGAGAATAAGGAGCCTCCCAGACCCAGATCCAACACACAACTCGATAATAACCTTGGAGAATTTTGTTTGCCCCCCGCATGGCTGTTGTAGTGTACCTGTTAGTGGGTATACAGCATACCACGACGACACGGTTGGGACAGTTCATGGGTTCGGGATCAACAGTTTACACGACCTGCAAAGACTATGGAGGATGAGGACTCTTTCATACCTAAAATATCTTTTTCAACACAGGTTACTTCATATATGTAATGATATTTGCCTCCCCCCTTTTTTCTTTCTTTCTTTCTTTCTTTCTTTTTTTTTTTTTTTTTTAAACAAAAAAGCAACACTCCAGCAATCTATAATCATTGGATTTCTCTACTTTTCATCCATAACAGATTAATAATGTACAGCGGAACTCATGCAGGCGGTACACACAACAACTATTGCCACCCCTTTCCGACTCAAAAGAGAAACGGCCAGAAAGAGCACAAGGCGAAACATGGCGTGAAAAACAGCACTGGGACATATGTGTCTATGGAATTGATTACATATCTTTTAGGGCAGAAAGGGCAAAGGGGCGAGAGGATATATTAAAAATGCGTATCGTGAATATCCACGGCATCACCTGGAGATACCGCGCGCCCAACCAACAGGCTAGGAAGGGCGTGTTAGGGCCGAGGCAACGTGATGAAGCGGGTAGGCAAGGAGAAAGCCGGATAGAAGACATGCCTAGGAACCGAGAAAGAAAATCCGTTGCCGCGTATAGGATGTGCATCATGCAGTCATTCAATCATCGCTTTTGCCTCATGACCTTCGTAATCGCGTGCCTAATGATGGTCCCTGCTTTCTCCACTTCCTTTCTCGATAAGCCGGTCGTGAGGCAGATCTTGAGCGCCGGTGGTACCTGGCCGCCGAGAAGCTTTGGGCCTGATTCATCGGGTATTGTTTTTAGTCGAGTGATGAGAACGCCATTGGCAAGGGCCTATTCAAGGGCAATTGATTAGCACGGCTGCCATGTTGGTAATATATTTAGCGAACAATGCGCTTACCTCATCGACAATATCCTGCATGATATATTGCTGATCCTCAACTGAAAGACGCCTGGAGGACACAACCTCGGGCTTCAGGGGCAAGAACATAATCGGATTCTCAGGTGCGCTAGAACAGTAAACCCAATCGCTGCGATCCAGCTGCGACCACATGGCTTTGATATTATCTCTTAGAATCGTGAGTAGCTCTGGGCTTTCTTGCAACAAAGTTAAGCTTTCGCTGGCCGTGGTGGAAAGCAGAGCTGGTAATGCTGCCGAGAAGCAGTACGATGTAGCCGAAATACGCTGATGATGAACAATCTCCTCTGAACCAGCACAGAAACCTCCACCAGCAATCAGTGGACCGGCCAACGAACCGACAATCATGTCAACTTGCGCAGGGTCGACGTTTTGATGTTCCGTGATCCCACGTCCGGTTCTGCCGAGGACACCGAAGGACCAGGTCTCGTCAAGAATGAGTCTGAACTTGTATTTGAGTCTCAGTTCAACCTACAGGTAAAATGGTTAGCAACAACGTCCTAAGACGAGATCTACGAAAGTGGGAATCAAACTAACGATTTTCGGTAAATCCACCATATCCCCACGGTTCTCAAACAACGCTTCAGTGATAATAAACCTTCGGGTGAGTGGCTTCTTCGCCTGTTCCTTCGTAATCTTGGCCAAAACCCGCTCCAGGTCCTCCATATCGTTGTGCTCATACCACCGAACAATGCTCCTTGAAATCTGAATTCCCTTTCGAACGGCGAAGTTAACACTTTTATCAGCAACAATGATATCCCCTCTCTTTGAAAAAGCAGGAATCACGCTAGAGATCGTAGAGAAAGCCTGTGCGTAGATGATACACGCCGGAGTTCCAAGGAAAGACGCCACATCCGCTTCGGTACGCATATGAACATCCTGGGTTCCATAGAATCCGGGAGGGCCACAGGGACCGACGCCATACGTCCGGAGAGTCTGGACTGCCTTTTCTTTTAGGAATTCGCTTCCGACAAAGTTAAAGTGGTTGTAAGAGGCGAGATTGACTACGGTGCGCCCGTTCGTGAGTTTGGATTTTGGTCCGGTCGCCCTATACACGTTCTTCAATGTTAGAAGCCAATCCAGGTACCTTCGCAAGAAACCCCCATCAGACGAACATACCCAGCAAGTACTACACGTTTTTCAACCTCCGCTTCATCGTCCGGGGACGGGTTCGGTACCAAAGGATCGGGGCTCCAATCTTCGACCAAATCATCGATCTCCTACAATTGACCCCAGACCAGTCAGCACTATCCCACAAAATAAGAACCAAAAGGGCTACAAACAAACAGAAAACAAAAGAAAAAGAAAAAGAGAAAAGAAAAGAAAAGAAAATGTAAAGAAAGAAGAACGCATACCTCCTCACACAGAGACACAAAATTCGGCTTCGTCGAATACTTCGGCGCCAACAGATATCTCACAGCGAACAAAAACAAAAATAGCTCCACAGCCGACCGCACCGGATCATTCTGATAGCTCGACTTCACGTAGCGTATGAATATCGCCGACCCAGGAACTCGCTGGAACTGGTTTGCCAGTGCCTGCAAGCAGGCTAGGACGACCCGCTGAGCCTCCTGGAGATCCATCATGACATTGCTATGAGAAGCGCGGGAAACAAGGAATGGAGGACGGAAGGACGTTTGAGGCTGGAAAGAGGGCTATAAATGAATTCTTGCTGCCGCAGGGCGTCCGGTCCAGATTTCTCTCTCGCCCCGGAGGATTTGCCTGTTCCGAAGCTGGGAACCAGCTTTCCCCCTTATCGTGTCATATCACGTGATAAACACAAGCTCTTGACTAATCCCCGACAGCAAGCCACCTTCTCTCATCACCACGCTCGAAGTCGAGACACGACCTAGAACCCAACCATAAGCCCACTCGCGGTGTATGCTACACATGGTGCGTTCTCTTGCCCATCGCTCCGTGTTACATTCTCGATGCCTGAAGTACAGAAATATACAGTCAATCAAAATCAAATCTACTAATAATCATGTGTTGGCCGACGATCACAATCTTGGATATTCGGCAGAAGGGAATCCAGCAGCAACGGGAATGAACCACAATACCTAGACTACGACGATGCTCCCTTCATCCTACAGAAAGAAGTGGAGATATCGCTAAGTTCCATTCCAAGCCACCGACCCTCCAAATCCAACGGGGCGCAGTGTCTATACTTTCAAATCCTGAGGCTGTGTCAATCGAGAGCATCACCACATTCATATTAACAACCTAAAAGTATTTCATTACACTCTATAACTTTGCACAAAAGGGGAAAATAACATACCCCAGGCAGGCCTTTCTGACAATATACATCTGCAGGATGGAGAAAAGGGGCAACACGCATTTCACACATTGTCACGGTTGCATGCTAGCAGCCTGAGACACTGATGGCCTGCAAAACACATCATGAAAGGTATTTTTCACGGGACATTGATACTAGGGAAGGAAAAGAGAATAATAAAAAAAAGAGGTTCTAAAAGGTTGTCATTGGCCCCGCAGATAACTAGCCCTTCCAACACCAACAATTCACAAAAGTAGGAGATTTAGTGGAGAAAAAAAGATGACAGTGCCGTTCATTAATCAAGGGAGACACAGCAAAATTTCAGAAAGGCGGTATTGACACCCTAGTTATACACTGAAGCATCTTAAACAATGTTGGGAATCATAGATGCACATGTATTCTCACGTTCAAAGCAACATCATCCGGGCTGTGGCCGACGCCATGTCTGGTAAACCAGAACCTGTTTCTTCATTTGTGGTGTCATCATTATCCTGATTAATAGGTTGCAGTAGATCAAAGGGGATGTCCGGGAATTCGGTGATGAAGCGACGCGCAATTAATGGCCCTGCAATCAAGATAACGAAAAGGATGAGCATCAGGAAGTAAAGAATGGCAAAGCGGATAACTCTGCGCTTTCGAAGTTTAGATTGCTTCAGAGAGTAGATCGGAGGGCGAATTTGACGACTACGATACTGTTAGAACGATATGAGGGTTAATGACCGAAGGGATATCAAGCCACATACCTTGGGCGCAACCAAAACAAGATGACTGAATGGAACTTGTCGACGAATGGGATGCAAAGTGCGGGAAGCATAAAGAACAAAAGTACATGACCGAGAATGAAGTCGGCAGCGAACAACCCGAGTTCAGTAATTTTGCAAAGGAACTCGCGACCGGGTTGAGAGATCGAATGCCAGCCCATGTTGTACCACTTTCCAGTCCACCATGCGATATTGGAGGAGTCTTGCCGGAATTCTCTCGTTAGCGCAAGGGAAATGATCAGCTTGAAGACAAATCGCTGAATGGCAGTGGCCGCGATCATTCCTATGAGAGCCCTCGGGAACGACCACCCTTCAAGGAAGAACATGACCTCAAAGAGAGCCAAGAGAGCAATAACAGCAACACCATGGGCAATCGCTGCAAGAACAGAACCAAATTTCTTGCAGCACATGCTTAAAATCGGACCCATGCAACAAGCCATTCCAAAGAGCGCAGCAAGGACACCGGCGTTGATAGCAATTGGTGCCAATGCAACAATACCGACACGAATCAGTGAATTAGTAGGCTTGGGGTTGTCTTGCACTCCGGTCTGAGCATTAATAAATAGATACGGAATAAGCGTAACAGCGACAAGGACCAGCGGCCCAACGATCTCGCTGAAGAAGATATTAGACAGGTGTGCCCTTGGTGCATCGGCAGAAAGTTTCTCTGAAGGGGAACCAAGCACTTTACGCTTGTAGCCGGTGATTCGAGTACGGGAAAGCCGGCAGAAAGCGATCCAGGACGAGGCGTGTGAGCGTGAATTGCCTCTAGACAGCCAACGCAAGTAGTCGCGATAGTCGATGAAAAAATCATTCCAGGCAAACTGGTGGGGGTTAAACAAAAATGGCGAAATGCAAAGGGCCAAAAGCGATGCCCAAAAGTACAGAAGCCATGCAGCCCAGACTGTTGCCGTTGCGAAGAGTAACATCATCAACGATCTGGCACCGAGGTAGATGGATGGGCCCGCGAAACGAGAATACAACACTCCAAATGGAATACGAGCAGTCGCAAAACCTCTTCCTGTACCGATATATCGAGCACCACCGAATGACAAGTTGTTGTGCAGAGAATTGGCATAAATCTGGCACACGAAGACCTCGAAGAGCGGGGAGAATGAACCAAAATGTTTTGCCAAACGGGTGGCAGCACGCCAGCATCCTCTTTCGGTCAACTCCTGAACCACCAATGGAACGAAAGAGATCAAGAACACGATACAAATTGAGACAATGCAACGCTGGACCCAGTCACGAACCGGATTGATGTCGGCGCAACCAGTTGGCTTCAAAGGATCGGTAATCGGCACACCCTTTTTGTAGACACAAGGAATGGTCTCATGTCGCAGAGCTCCCAAGTTGATAAGACAGATCATGAACATTTGGACTGAAAGCATGATGAACAGGTTGTTGATGTGGAAACCGGGGTGGGCGTAGAAGAAGGAGAAAAACCGGTCAAGAGGCAATTGGGTCCCTAAGTAGTAATACTCTCGCGACAACATTTGCTCTCCCATACCGGTTCCGATCTTAGTGGTGAAGTTCAGAATGGATCCGAAACCAAGGTCACGACCTTTACCGCACTGGTAGTATTCACAGTGCTTGATACGACCGCCACGAAGAAGTGCGTTCATGCCAGCGTAGATATCTTCGTTGAGGTGCAAACCTTTCTGAGCTTTGGAAACACCACCACGAGTTGTCATGAAGATACCATTCAAAAAGTCAGGATGTCCATAGTGCAATTTACCACCGATCTGAGCCATAGTACGCGCGAACAGGGTACCGAATGTTTGTTCTTTTCCAGCAGCCACATCACCGAGGATACCGATATTCTCCGAGAAAATATATTCACGAGCTCCAAGGATAGCAACGGGATTGGTTTTTGTTGGAGGTAAGCCAGGAGTATAAGGGGAAACGTTGTCCGTGGTCATCTCTTCGAACTCAGCCAAAACACTTCTAATCTTAAGACATTCTTCCAGATAGTTGTCCTGATTGGCATCAATAAGCTGAACATATTCGCCGCGGTAAAAGATAATAGCGTGGTTCTGATTATCAGATTTACCGTCTCCAAGAATAGGGTTGCCAGAAAGTTGAATCCGGAATTTCGGTCGCCGTAAGCCGTTCTCCATAATTTCCGAATGACCATCGATGAGTGCAGAATACAAACGTGGCTCTTCACCTTCGTTGACTGGAGGTTCTTCGTCCAAATATGCAATTTGGAGGTCAGGGTATGCACGAAGTAAAAACTCCGTGTTCTCGCGCTCTTCCTTGCTAAATTTCGCGTATCGTTGCATGGAGACACAGATCTTGAATTTTCGACGAGCCATCCGTTCTAATTCGCGTTCCAATTTTTCAGAATTTCCGCCAAACATTTGAACAACTTCGGGGTTTTCCACACGGTAGAGAAGCTTGATCGCGCGACTATAGTTCATAAAACCGGAAATTGTACGATACAGGGTCTGAGAACGGAGTGATGCCCAGATACGAGTGCGCAGAGTATACTCAGGAGCGGCCGATTTGAAACCGATACAGTAGAATGGAAGGTCGTCAATTTTGCTCTTGGCTGCGTCTTTCTCGCTCTTCTCGTACTCGCCGTTGAATTGCGAGGTCTCGTCTGCCAAAATCTTGGTGTCCTTCACGAAGCAGTCCCATTCATGTGGGTGAAGCTGTTTCAAGTACTCCAAAAGTGTCACGCGAGAGTAGGGTTCATCTTCGCGGATAATCTCTCGCAACGATAGGAGGATCTTCTCGCTATAATGGGGAATGAGCACTGTAAAAGTCGGCATGTTGTCCACGGGAACCGGTTCCGGGATCGGGGTGGAAAGGGATTGTGCGAAAAAGGAGATACGACGCTCCGCTTCACTCTGAGAGGGGAAAAACTCGGTCTTAAACGAATGATCTTCCTGAGAAACAAAGAAGGTTGGAGCACGTAGAGTCCGCTTGCCCTCCTGTTCGGATGGGACCTGGTGATAGAGCAGTTTCTGAACATGATCGATGGCCAACAAGTGTTCGCGGTACATGGAGATGACCACGGCGTTCCATATTTGGGATATCAAAACCTTTGGCTTGTACTTGATTTCCATGTCGGTAGTTGCAAGGACCTTCGAATAGATACGTTTTGGGAGGCGGGAGAATATATTTCGCCAGGGAGTCCAGATTGACACACCGAGGTAGAAGGAACGTGCAACGGAGAAGATCGTGTTCAAGATGATGTACCACAGATAAGTGTCGAGGAAAAACAACACCAAATCAGTGAATAACATCAAGCCCAGGAGGATCTTGGGCTGGTATTTACAGAGGATATCCTTAAGAATAGCGTCACCGGCACACCGATGTATCGTCATGATCGACAGGATTCGGATTGGGTCTTTGATGGAAAGAGTCAAGAAGAAGTAAGACTCAACGAACTTTGCGGTGAACACGCATACCCAGAGACCGTACGACATCCACATATCGTTTCCACGAAGACGAGGGAAACTGGCTGTGAAAGTCTGACTAGCAACGTATCGTCGGGAATTCTTTGTCAGGTAACTGCCAAAAAGTCCACCAAGTGGCATGACGGAGAAGAAAATAAATGTTGCCAATGCTATGAAGAACTGGACGATACCCAGGACTAGGGCTATCTTGTCATCCTGACGGATTCCAAAAACGTAGACGCTCGGTCCCAAATTTATCACGAAGACCACGATCAAGAAGAGCAATCGTTTTGTCAAATGCTGAGCGCCAGCCCATTGTCTTGGGACGTATGCCCACTCTGCAAGTGTTGCACCGATCATAATCAGCGACGCAATCGCCCCTCCAAGGCCCACTGCAGACCATGTCGCGGCAGCCTTAGGTTGATTGTCTAACCTCTGTTCGTAGTTTGGGGTGTACAATGGCTTGGAGTTGAAGGCTGTATAGAACCAGAAACCAGTAACGTGCATAACCCAAATGCGATTGAAGTTGACAAGCATGTGGAACCAAGATCGAGTTTCCTTGTACGTCTTGAAGAAAACCTTCTTCCAGTTGACATCTTTAAGCTTCATATAGCGTTCCGCGGGTGGAACGTCAACCAGCCTGGTCTTGTCCTCGAGAATGATACGTTCAATACCTTCGGGATACCAGAACAGTTGATTGATGTCATCGTATCCAATAATCTTGTTGTGGTCCCTTTCGCGACGAACATATTTTCCATCCAAAATTTCATAGCCTTGGTCACGACAATACTGGTAGAGCGGGGTAACGATCTCGTTGAGGTAGGTGAATTCAGGAACGGGTTCGACACGATTTTGGCATTCCGGGGACCGAAGGTAGTCATCGGCACACTTAAAGATGAAGCACAGGCATTCAGGCATGAATCGAACCTGGTTGGCTTCGCCCCAACAAAGCAAGTACAGAGCGATCTGACGGGCTCTCTCATGCTGTGACATGCGATTCATGCGAGTCTTCCATCGATATTCGGCGGCCTCAAGACTGTTATCGCCTTCCATAGACTCCAATGCTTGCTCTTCGTTGTTGGGATCCGACTGTGCTTTCTTTGCAGCCTTGCGCGCCTTGCGGGTTCTGCGGTTTGTTTTGCCAAGTTTCATGTTCGCGAACCCGACGGCATCGTCGAGATCCAAGTGAGCAGCGAAGTACCACCGTCGATAGTTTGCGTTGTCTCCTCCAATATAATCCGCATGGAGAGAAAGAAGTGCCTGGTTTGGTGTCATACGCGATGCACGGGAGTCGAGCTGGGTCATGAAGTGATCGTACATGTTGCGCATACTGTCACGCTGGAAACCGAACTTATTGACCAGATCCAAAAAGATGTCCTCAATCTCTTCCTTTGAAACGGGAATCTGAGCGTCTGACGCCCATGCTGGGTATGGCTCCCGTGATCTTTGGCCTGGGGGCAGGACGTTGCTGTAATCACCGTATATCGGTGTCGAGGCGCCCGAAGATCGATTTCCCCCATAGGAGATCTGGGAAGAAGGGGGTCTATAGCCTCTGCCTCCCATCTGGCTGTCGCTATAGCTATTATATCGATCATCTCCCCGGCCATAATAGTCCATGTCTGCTGCGCGGGCAGTCTCAGATCGCATAGTAAAGTCGCTGAAAGTTTCAGAATCCTCTTCAGAGTCACCGCGACGGGGATATCCACCCTGCCAGTTGTTGGACGGGCCAGATCCTTGGTCGTAATACTGGTCATTGTAGTAATCGTCTTGATAACCATATTGGTTATCATAGTAACCGTCTTGCTGGTACGGGTTGTTGGGATCGTAACCACTGGGAGCCGGTGTTGTCAGTTTAAACAAACTCGTGTCGAGAAAACGCTCGTTCTTACTTTCTGTCATAGTAGCCATCCCCATGCTGGGAGTAATCGGCTTGGTCATAATATCCTTGATCTTGATAGTAGGCATCGCCATGGCCCTGATGATAATCGTCGTAGGGATCCTGGGCACCGCCGCCGCCGCCGCCTCCTCCTCCTCCTCCTCCAGCACCTTGCGGATATGCCGACATGATGAATCAGGAGAAGCCGATAATGCTAATTTATAGATACGGAGAACATCAGGTCAACAACTGGTGCACCAGCAGAGATACAACTCCTCCCGTGTAGCCGACATCAAAGAATTTCGAGAAGGACTCACCTCATCTACCAAAGATGTGGCGGGCTGCCTGACAGAGCCGAGAATAGCAACAAGACGCGGCGGATAGTGGATTCGTCTGGTCGAGCTTATCAGCAGGTATCGATCAAGCGGGGAGTGGCTGGGCGTGTCTCGGAAGACCCTTTGAGACTACCCGACTCGCGGAACATACAAGATTATGATTCCAACATTCAAAAGGCCAGTTTTTTTGGCTGGTGAATTTTGTTGACAACCACAGTCTGGAGAGTTGTGAGACCCCGACGGAAGGGCTATAAAGATAGGAACCGAGTGATTGGAGCGAGTGATGATCAACACGGGCGATTTTGGTGATTAGTGAAACGAGCGAAGAGCGATGGGGTTTTTTCTGTGTGGCTGCAGCGAGAGGATGTGAGCCCGTGCTGGCAGGCACAATCAATGGAACAGCGAAAGTCACTCCTAACAGTCCAGCTTCCCAAATGAGTGTGAGGGTAAGTCAGGACAGTGACCTCCTCCTTGCGAGAAGAAGGGCGAAAAAGAGTTCAAGGGAAAACAACAGGTAAGGGGGGAGAGAGCCAAAAAAAAAAAAAGATCAAAAAACAAAAGAGTGTGAGAAGAGGTAAAAGAAAAGAACGAGAGCACCGGAACAAGATTGAGGCAAGTGGAGGGAGATCAACACACACCAAGCCAGCGGTGGGAAAGGGGAGCGAGAGATCAGGACAACGGAAGACGCCAGAGCAGGGCGAGCGGAGTTGATCAGGGCACCAACTTTTTTCTCCCTAATTATTGGCCCCAGGAGGGTGTGCCGGTGTAACTTACGGCGATGCGCTCATGCTCGACCCGTATTGGCGGACGCATGCAAACAAAGATAAAAAAGAACGTGAGCGGCCAATAGAATCCCCCCACAGACGGTGGAATTACTGGTAATGTCGGAAAGTTTCAGCGGTAATACACACACCTTTTCATGCAGGCGACAGACACTCCCAAATTACGTGGAAGACGAGAGGGGTCCGGTCCTGCACCGTCCTGGACTCCTGGGCGCTAAATGGGCTCCAGGATCCCCACCGCCTCATGGCATTTCCCAGGCCTGGAATGCACTGTGGTGACCGGGCCCCCAGCGAAAACCCCCCCAATTCGCGGGCTGGCTCCAGACAGGGGCGCGAAGTTCTGAGCCAATGAATCTCGGGATTTACCCATGGGCCTATCCAGCGCAGGACCCCTGGTAATATGTGGTCCACTCAAATCCTGATGATTTCCCTTCAGGCGGGATTGGCTGGACTCTTCAAAAAAACCACACCAGCACGAACTCCTTGTGCCTCAAAATTGTTGAAGGCTTGTTTGCTGCCCTTCAGCTTTCACCAGGATGGTGGCAAATCTACCGAGAAGAGCGTGACTCCCGCACATGAAAACTCTTCAATACCGCAACTCTCTCAGCATCTTGTCGTGGAACATACGCAAAAAGCATCTCTTCACCAGGTGACCCCTCAGATCTCGAAGCCTAGGGTTGAGCGGACAATTGATAGGGCAGAAACACAAGTGTCGCCAGACCCCCAAATCATCTGAGCGCGGGTTTGGTGTCCTCCATGCTCCCGTACGGAGCACAACGTATGTAAGAATCTGCTTGTACAGGGAGTACTCTGTACTGTAACCCTTAATTACCGTATTTAACACCAGTTTTGATTTTACTGTCAATCACGAGTGGCGGAATTCACAGCAGAGTTTTTGGCTTTTGGTTTTTTCTTTTCTGCCTGATACATCAGGTATCTAGGATACCCTACTCCGTACACAATACAAACATGTATACGGAGTACATAATGTGTGTACTCTGTTGTAAGACCACAAGCCAGCCATTGACAATATTGGCACGCCATCTCTAGCGATCAGGCAGGTTTCCAATTAACGGTGGACGATGCCAGCATCAAGAACCCAGAGAGACAACCCTGGACATGGATGGATGTCGATGCTCTGCATTGCTGTTGAAAGGACAGTCCAAACCAGACAGTCCAAACACATTTCGTAAGGATTGTCTCGCGTTTGAACCAGGGAATACATGGGAACTCCCCAAAAACTTTCCGGGACACGGTTTGTTTCCCCAAACGTCCTCCCTGATTAACGAGTTCGTTACTCCGTCCTCTCAACCATGCCCAAACGCAACCGGGCGAACGTATCCTGGGCGGTCGGAAATTGACCTGCGAACTCCAGCCCAGTCTCTCAGTCGACCTAGCAGCGAATAGTTTCGATGGCTGTGCTGAGATTCCCTGCAAATTGCCACGCTGGGTCCGCGGACAGTGTTGGTGTGGGGGGGGGGGAATATCTGAAACAGTTACCAAATTTACTTCCGCGGGGCCCACGGTCAAGACCTTGATTGTCGCCTTGAAACCTCCCGTTTACTGATGTAGAGCGCCCGTCAGTGTTGGCCGCAGGCTGTGTCTCAAGCATGTGCTTCGCAACGGACCTGGGAGTCACCAGTCTCGACTATGTAGTAACTATATTACACAGGTGCTGACAACGGTCTCAAGGCAGCATGGCGATGCGTCTACTCTACTCCGTATATATTCGATAACATTACTCCTTATATTGATGAAGATCAACCTAACTCAAAGACGACGATGTAGTTTGATGAAACCGAGGCAATAATACATAGAAATTTTCCCTTCCAAGTCCTTTAATCTGTCGGTAATGCAACAAAGCCAGAAGCTGCCATTTCCAACCGCCATGATAAAACCGGCCCGAAAATAGGCTTTCTTCCATCATTCATGCGAGATAAAATTCCGATAAAGAGATTGTCATTCTCCTTGCAGATTTTTACAACGGCATTGAAGCTGGGCTCGTTTCACTTCGAAGAGGACATCTGACAGGAAAAGGGAAAAAAAAGGAATTTTTGAGACATATGGGTGAGCTGTTCAGTCCGAGCGGTGACAGCTCATCTGCCAGACCAGGCAATGACGCATCTGCCGCCAACAATCTGTCAAATCCGAGCAACGTCTTGACGACAGCTTCCGAGTGGACTGTCAGGCGCGATCAAAAACAAGGCATTTTGCTTGCAGAATTCCCTCGACGTCAGAGCAGAAACCCCCTCGTTTTTCATAAGCTGATCCCTGACGTACACGAAATGCCGCAATGCTAACCGTTGATGTTCTGTGAATCTTTCTCCAACGGGAAACTGATGTCTCAAAGCCCAAAACTACTGTACTACAAAGCATGCATGTACATGCTTTGGTGTACGTATCGAGTCTGCTCAATTGAAGAGGGGTTGGACCGGACGTTCTTAATCATATGATCAAAATCTGGATTGAGATCCGCGTTGTTCTTGCATTCGAGACTGTGTCCTAAGTTCATATACACATACTCTCGTCTCAGCCACGAACACCTTTCCCCTGTTACCAAAATTGTGCCCATCAAGCCAAGGTCAGCCCTAGCCTTCCAGAGATTCCACGGGCATTTGAGGCTCTGTAGGAATGTTATCCAAATCTCAGCAGAGGCTTCACTTCTCCCGAACTCTCCCATGACTCAGCAGGTATTCAGATCCGTGCTCAGGATATAATTTTTACGCAAAAAAGCACCATAGATTGAAGGATCAGGTGAAACCATGGTACTTGTTAAAATGCTGTTATGCGCAAAACTCTATTCTAGCAGGCTATCACCAGATGTGCTTTCCTGGTTCACACATGATGAGGTCTCGGGCATAGGCTATAGCCTGGCGACAGTATAAATACAACTCGACATGGCATCAATGATAGCCACCGGGGGAAACAGCTTGTTTTCTTCAGTGATCCTAGGCATGCTTTAATGGTGGAGGGAACACCTGCTGAAGAAAACAAGCCGTTTCCTCCGGTGACTACCAATGCTATCCGCATTGGGTCTTTGCTCAGCATACCGAAACAGACATGCGCATCCCAAACCGCCCACCCCCGATCCCCCCAAAAATGGCAAATGTAAAACAAGGGTCGTCACAGCACACAAAATCAGAGTGGCCGGGCTTCCATCGAGAAGAAATAAATCTCCGGCGGGAGCAGCAGTTACTTTCTTGATTGCCCAACATTGCATGGGTCTGTTCGTCGTGCAGGATGCAGACCATTCAAGGCTGTGGGAAGACGATGCGATATTTGCCCCATTCTTCAAGACGTACAACATTCCCTTGGTACTAGAGCGGCGGACGGCTGAGGAGATCAGATCTGCAGAGTTGGTTCTCACATATTAATATTCACTGATAAACACAACTTGATCTGGAAACATGAGGGGGTTCAAACGTGAGAGCATGATATCCAAACGAACATCCAGCCCCCTGAAAAACCTGCCCAGCGCGCACTGCCGAAAATAGCCCCTTGACTGGTACGGATCTTGTAATTTACAGTGCCAATACTAGCAGGTGATTGGACAGAACCGTGTATGGGACGCGTAATGGGCTTGCCCCTTTCTCCAGGCGCTCCTTACCCAGATCGTCACTTTGGCAGACTTTCTCGTCCGTCGCTCGACATCAACTCCAAAACCGCTCGTTACCTTTCATCCTCGCTCCCTGTTTCAACCTCCCCAGCCTTTTGAATGAATTGATCGCCCCTCGATCCCATCTCTCTTTTCCTTTCTCCCCACTTCACGACGTTCTTTTTGTTTAAAAACTACTTTTTTCACTTCAATCGTCCTTCTTTTATCGAGCGAGACCTGCGTTTTCTCCTGTTCTTGCCGCACAGCAACTCGCTCATCTCCATCGCTTTTGACCGATTAACTACCCATTCAAAGAGACTCCGAGATAAACACGATATACATATCTATTATTGTTTTTAATCTATCACTGTCATGAGACTTTCAAATATCTTGGCCAGCACGGCCGTCGTTGCTGGCTCGCTGGTGTCAGCAGAGCTCGACCCTATCGTTATCAAGGTCGGTCCACCTCGCGAACATTCTCGTTGATCCGGGGACAGTCCAACTGACGTGTATCCATTTCAGGGATCTAAATTCTTCTACAAAACAAATGGCACGGAATTGTAAGCGCAACCCCTCCAAGCAAAACAGCGAAGTGGAAATAGAAACTGACCGTTCATGCTAGTTTCATGCGAGGAGTCGCATACCAAGGTACGTGGCGATCATCACCATCATTTTTTTTTTTTTTTCGAATTCATGGATGCTCTCGGCGGTATGAAATTTAGTACTAAAAATGAACCTGTATCCAGAGGACTTCTCCAGTAACGGAACCACGAGCGGGTCGGACAATTACAAAGACCCTTTGGCCAATGTTGATAACTGCAAGCGTGACATTCCTCTGTTGCAGGAATTGCGAACAAACACGATCCGAGTGTACGCCATCGATCCCAAAAAGGATCATTCCGAGTGTATGAAGATGCTCGACGATGCCGGCATCTACGTTGTTGCCGACCTTGGAGAGCCAAAAACATCCATCAACCGTGATGATCCCAAGTGGGACGATGAACTCTATGAACGTTACACAACCGTCATCGATGAGCTTGCCCAATACAGCAACGTTTTGGGTTTCTTCGCCGGAAACGAAGTTACAAACAACAAGAGCAACACTGAGGCTAGTGCATTCGTCAAGGCTGCCGTTCGTGACATGAAGGCCTATATCAAACGGAAGAATTATCGCCCAATGGGAGTTGGATACGCCACAAACGATGATGCAGAGATCCGTGACGACATGGCTGATTACTTCAACTGCAACTCTGAAGATGAAGCCATCGACTTCTGGGGTTATAACATCTACTCTTGGTGTGGAGATTCCAGCTTCAAAGAATCCGGATATGATGCCGTTGTCAAATATTTCAAGGACTTTAACATCCCCGTTTTCTTCGCCGAGTATGGTTGCAACCATGTGCAACCCCGTAAATTCACCGAAGTTGGGGCTATTTACGGCCCTCAAATGACACCTGTCTTGAGCGGTGGTATTGTCTACATGTACTTCCAGGAAGAAAACGACTATGGTATGTTATTGATCTACCCTCTGTCTACTTGCGAGCTAACCATTTTTTTTCCCCTTAGGTTTGGTCAAGATTGAGAATGACAAAGCCAAAAAGCTGGAAGACTTCAAATATCTCCAGAAGCAAATGCAGAAAGTCGATCCCGATGGCGTCCAGATGTCTGATTACAAACCCACCAACACTGCTCTCCAAGCTTGCCCAACCAGCAGAGTCTGGAAATCAAACAAGGATCTCCCTCCTACCCCCAACAGAGAACTCTGCAACTGTATGGTTAAGAGCTTGAGCTGCGTTGCCAATGATAAGATCGACGACGAGGACTTGGGCGACCTCTTTGGCACTGTTTGTGGATTGAGCGAGGAAGCCTGCACAGGCATCGCCACCGATCCAGAGAAGGGTGTCTATGGAGCCTACAGCATGTGTAGCCCACGTGAAAAACTCTCGTTCGCATTCAACTCGTACTACGAAGAGCAATCTGCCAAGGGCAACGGCCAGAACGCATGTGACTTTAAGGGTAGTGCTAAGCGACAATCCCCTATCGAACCATCCGGCACCTGCAGCTCGCTCATCGAGCAAGCTGGAAAGGACGGCAAGGGCAGCGTAACCTCTGTCCCGAATGGCTCCTCTTCCTCCTCTGCTGCCTCGCCAATGGCCATTTCTCCCCTCAACCTTAACTTCCTCCAGCTTGTTGCTTATCTCTTATGTGCGGCGATGGCTGGTGCTGGTGTGATTCTATTGTAAATACCTAGTTGAAAGCGGTTCCTTGATTTTGCTGTACCTTTTAATGACTCCTTTTTTTTTTTTTTTAACCCGTGTTCAAATACCTTGGTTGGCAATAAGCTTTCCTTTTTTTTACAGCGGCTTATATAATTCCAGCCATAAATGAAAGAGTGCCTCCCTTTCATGCAAAGAATAGAATATATGCTTTCTATGAGCCTCTATTCCTGGGTTCTATATCGAGTCCAATAACCTCTTTTAATCTCTTTCGTTCATAGCACTTGTTGAAAATTCAATATTAGTAAATCAAACCCCTCTCCGTATGCCTTTAGTGTGAGAAGTATCAAGGGCCATCGGCAAAAGGTCTCAATGGTTGTCCCCGATCCTCTGTGATATCCTGGTACAATTGCGTTCCGTGGTCACAGATGCATTCGAAACCCCCATACGGAGTAGAGCAGTACGCGTTTGTCAACTCTGTGCTTCCCACCTTGACGATCTTGAAGCACCTGTCGGAAGATGGGAGGTAAGTACGCTGTCCAATCCCATTGACGAGTTTCCATGGCGAGACAGCCAGGCATTCGCCAATCGCTTTACTGCCCGCCAAAAAAAAAAAAAAAAAAAAAAAAAAAAAAAAAGAGGTTGGTGGAGATAACCCCGGGGTCTCCGGGCAGGGTGGATCGCCGTCTCCGGGAAAGCGTTCACGAATGCCATGTATAGCAGAATTCAAAGAAACATGCAATCGGGCCGAAAAAAGGTTCCCGATTAGCGGATTTCCGAGCATGTACGAAGTATTGAGTATGGGAGTTTCTCTATTTGTTCTCGAAGCAAGACACCTTGGTTGTGCGGCCAACTGGTTGCATTTCATGTGGATGTAGCTCCCCATCTCCTGCGGGAACCCATGGTCAAGAGAAATGCCGCGTATGAGCTGCAGTCATATCAAACTTGAATCGCGGATGGTAGGAATGACACGAAAACGGCACGGATGTTGTCAAATTCCCTTAAGCTGATTCTTGAGTCTATACTTCATCCGCATGTGTGGTTACACTACATATTCGGATGTAGTATTGCTGACGTCGATTCCTACCATCGTTCCCGGACCTGCTCCATTACCTATCCGTGCACTAGAAGAATACTGGTCACAACGCTTGTTTATGTGGATTGAATTACACGGCTTCTGAGGTGTCTCTTGCGGGGAGCCAACCACGCTTTCTTCTCAGACCCGGCATCACCATGAACCGGCTGGCTGACGTATGCGCAAAATGAGCATGCTGATTCTTTACGTTCCGAATCCTCCTGTGTTGATGCACATCATGCAAGTGTGCGAGACTGGAATGCAAATGGAAACGGCATCCGAGCAACATCAATAGTATCGGAGTCAATATGTATGCATCGTCCCATACCAATTTCGTAGGCCATCATTTCGGAGGTGGAAGTATTAGGACACATAAGTATATACCCCTCAAGGACAGTTGACATAAATGGCCGTCCTGTACCTCCGGAAAACTTAACAATTTTACTTTGATACCGACTATTGTGGAGTGAAAATCATGGCTCGCATCAACGTGGTAGTCAGTTTTTTGGCTGCATTGGCTGTTGTCCAGGCAGCTCAACTCTTGAACCTCGATGGCCAGAAAGACGCCGTTCCTGGTTCCTATGTTGTTGTAATGAACGATGGACTATCAGGTCTTGACTTTGAATCCCATGTGAAGTCTATGGCGAAAGTTCAAAAGGCGAACGCGTTAAAACGGGATTTTGACAACACAGCCGACGGTGTGAAGTTTAAGTATAATATCAACGGATGGCAAGCATACAGCGGTAAATTCGACAACAAAACGATACAGAGTATCCTTGACGATCCCAGGGTAAGCGAGCTGCGACCCTTCTGCTAAGGTATATTGTATTTTAGCTGATAGTTTCCAGGTGAATTATATCGAACCCCAGCGTACTTTCAGAGCATTTGGCTGGGTAACACAAGACAACGCTCCTTCGTGGGGGCTCGGTCGAATTTCGCACACATCGCGGGGCAGAATGGATTACGTGTATGATTCTTCAGCCGGAGAAAATGTGACCGTTTATTCTGTCGACTCAGGCGTTGACATCTCGCATCCCGAGTTTGAAGGGCGCGCCATTTGGGGTGTTAACGCGGCGGACAATTCCGACGTAGACCAGATTGGCCATGGAACGCACACTTCCGGGACGATCGCCGGGAAGACGTACGGAGTTGCAAAAATGGCTAAAATTGTTGCAGTCAAGGTCCTGGACGCTGGCGGTCAGGGTACCAACGGTGGTATCATCCAAGGCATTAACTGGGCAGTGAATCACGCTAGACAAAACAACGTCACCGGTAAAGCAGTTATGAACATGAGCTTTGGAGGTGGTCTGTCACGAGCCATCAACGAGGCTGCCTCCAGCGCAGTTCGAGCTGGTATATTCATGGTGGCAGCTGCTGGTAACAACAATGTCAGTACGCAGTTGAGGCTCACAAATCCGAATATTTTGCTGACACCGAGTAGGAAGACGCGCGATACACGACACCCGCGAGCGCTAGAGGAGTTTGTGCTGTGGGAGCGTCCACCCAAAACGATCTCAAAGCCAGATTTTCCAATTGGGGCCCAACTCGTAAGTAGTGTGCAATTTCACACCTGCCGATCCTGATCCTGAGTTTGTATAGTTGCCGTATACGCTCCAGGAGACAGAATTTGGTCGGCAATGCCCGATGGCGGCAGGGATGTCATGCGTGGGACGTCCATGGCAGCTCCGCACGTTGCTGGCGTTGCTGCAGTCCTCATTTCATCCGAAAAGATTGGGACTGACAGGCTTTGTGAGCGTATCAAGGAGCTATCAGTATCAAGCATCCAATCTCCCGGGGCAGACACTACAGACAAGCTGCTGTATAACGGAAGCGGCCAATAAGTGACGGGCAGGCATGGTTTTGGCCTTGTAAGGATAAATCGTAATAGACTCTATAGGAGTTTCATCCATAGCCGCAGAATGATACCTCCTACTCGATGATTCAGTGTCGGCTGCTTTGTTTTGCCCGGCCGGCACCGAGGTCGAACGGGGCGGATGTTGAATTAAGCTCATCGGTGGCGCTATGACCAAATGCGCATTGAGTAACTTGTTAGCGAAGCTCATCAGTCACCCCAAAGCTATCGACTGGCCAATTGAAGGTCCAGGCTTCACTCTCGCCACACGGAGCAGGCCAACGTTTTTGTATGTACTCCGCATGCGCGACTCCGCGGTTTCGAGGATGTAGTACAGCGCTGCAGGCGGATCTACGGCTCAGAGTGGCGTGACTTTTCCCGGTTAGCACTTGAGAAAACGGCCAAACTGGATATTTTCGATGTGTGAAGGCATTGATGCGGATAAGAGGGCCTATCAGGTGTCGAAGCTCTTCGCATAAACTCTGGCAAAGACCACGGACTGGACCCTACTGATGACGAAATGATGCTACCTTTGACCGCAGACTGCGAGACACATGGCGAAAACATGCGTAAGTAGCATGCCATTTTATATGACTGGGCTGTATTCCTTATCGGCATCTCGTATCATCGAGATGCTTCGGGAACTTCTATTCATTTCGTCATCTCAAGTACACGTCAAAGCATAAAAGGACAGGCAGGTTTCACCCATCCAATTGCTCCAGGTTAAAAGGCGGATTCAATCTTGTGTGTGAGATGCAGGCTCTGCGATCGCAAGCAAGTCGAGTTCCTTCGAAGCTCATCAGATCCACAGGCAAAGTTACCCGTTACTCGCGTCGAATCTCACCTCTACTCCATCATCATCCTAGATACGTCTCAAGTAATTCTCCGTCAACGACCAACAGTATGGCTCTCTTTCCGCGCGGACCACATAGCGAGTTCGGCACTCTCTTTCGTCTCCTAGATGACTACGACGCTCATCGTGCCGACCGAAGCTCTGGTGCCCTCTCTTTTGCACCGAAATTCGACGTCCGTGAATCCAAGGAAGCATACATGCTTGATGGCGAGCTGCCCGGTATCGACCAAAAAGATATTAACATTGAATTCAGCGACCCCCACACCCTAGTTATCCATGGCCGCACAGAGCGTTCATACACGTCCGGAACTCCGCCTGGCAAAGCCTCAGAGGCAGCTAAAGGCAAGGAGACAGAGACAGGAGAAAGGTACTGGGTATCCGAACGGTCGGTTGGGGAGTTCCAACGGTCTTTTAATTTCCCGACCAGGGTGGACCAGGATGCGGTAAAGGCGAACTTGAGGCATGGAGTGCTATCTATCGTGGTGCCCAAGGCGACAGCTCCCCAGACAAAGAAGATCACCATCCAGAGTGCGTAGCTGGAAATAGGGTACACGCGTTTATTTGGGATTTCAGACAACAATTCGTCTATACATGAGTGGAGGATCAGCAGTAATATGGAGTCTTTTCAGATTTGTCTTTATCCATCTCATGAAAAAAGCAGAGGGAAACAACTGACTGTTATCTCCCTTGAATCGAGCAAATTTCGGTCTGGATACGAAATGGGGAGCCATAAGATGATGCCCAATGTTCCTGTGTAGCTAGCAGCGTTGAGAATGGAATCATGACTAACACTCTTATCCTTTTTCCATGAAGCTTTGCATGCGAAACACGATCTGAACTTGCCGGTTACCCGAGCATATCTTTACAGCGTACTCCGTAGACTCTCCTTTTTACCGTGAACGTGGTGGCGGCATCGGTTGGGATCACCGGTTGCCGGGTCAACTAACTGACCACAACGAACGTCGCCTTTCACTTTCAGAGGTGATAGTTACGCATCGTCCACAACAGGAATATTGCATTGAGCTTCAGAAGAACAAGAAATTATGGCACGATTACGACAGGCTCCATCAAATGCCCCAGAGGCTACTGGCTCCTTCCAGGATTCAAAAGTTGTTCGTGAAAATGAAAAAGCGTTTGCAGATCCTGTTCACCACAAATATACGAATCCAGTTATCCGGAGAAGGGACAACAAAGAGAAAGTAACTATTTACGAAGATGAACCTGACAAAAAGGATTATTATAAAGATGACGAGGAGCATCGACGGGGCGACTCCGGATATCTCGACCTCGACGCGGAGGAAAGCGGCACGGAGGATAGCGAGACCGGGATATTGGAGTATGGCAGCGAGGAAGAAGAAAGCGAAGATGTCGACGATTCAGAAGCCTCAATTGAACGACCAGGGCCAAGAGTAATTGAATCGACCGTGTTGGGGTCGCACAGGAAGAGGCGACTACGGCCATTGGGCTTCAATAAGAAAAACATCTTATACCAAGTTCGGCGGGTATCAGGAAGGGAGGAAAGTCGCTACAATGATTACTCGTCAGATAATGAAAACACCAACCCTGGAAGCGGAGATTACGAAAAAGAGAACGACGAGAAAGGTCTGTTCAACGAAACCAAATCTAGCGCCTCTACTGCTCGACCCGGAAAGGTGATCACAGAAAGTTGCTTCTCCGTTGGAAAACGTATAAAGAAGCCGAGCATAACTGAGCAATATATATCGGAAAAGGACGAGAAAGGAAGACTGGACGAAGGTGAGGATGATGACAATGATGATGACAATGATGATGATGATGATGATGATGATGATGATGATGATGATGACGATGATGATGATGATGATGGTGAATTTGACTCTCTGGATGATTTTATTGTTGGTGATGATGAGAACATCAGCTACCACGAAAGCACCGACGAAATTGAAGAAAGTGAAGATGAAATAATTGTCAAACCAAGAACACCAGCAAGAAGATTATTCAGAGGGAGAAGACCACAGAATAAGGAAAATACCACACAGAACACAAATGTTGAAACCAACACACAAGATGCACCTGATGCATCTGATATTGATGATCTAGCTGAAATCTTAAACAAAACAAAGCTTTCCAAACCAGACCTTCAACCAAAACTGTCCTTTCGTAAAGCTCATCCAGTATTGCCGGAGCGAAAGGATCAAGATAGCAGCAAAATGAGCGATGACGACGAGAGCGATGGCGCACAGTAAGTCACACTAGCCAGCTTTCGCATTTCCACTGATTAACCAAACATCCTCCAGGTTACCGAACAATCAGCCAATAAAAAAGGTAGTGGAAGTCGTCACTCCTCCAACCAGTCCATCAAAGCCGCGGCTCCAATCACCAAAAAAGACCCCAAAACGAATTCCTCCATCCCCTTATCGACCAAGTATAGATGCTTTCTGGAGCCAGGATATCATCAATGGTTGGAACGACAAATTTTCGCCTAAGAAACTGCAGTCTCCACGGAAGTGGCCACAAACTTTTACAATCTTCTCCGACAACCAGAGCGACGATAACGGCGATGAGAACTCCCCGCTCTCATCCCCAGAGAAAGCGCCACCGCGTTCTCCGAAGAAGGCCAAAGGAAGTCCTACAAAATCAATCGCAGCAATCAAGAAGGCCGAGAAACGCGAATTTGATAAGAGAAAAGTTTCTCTCGCAGAGAAGTTCTTTAAGGAATTGGATGACAGCGTGACGGGAGGTGAGATCCAGAAATTGGCAGCTGCAGCAGGCGGGGTGCGAATAATATGGAGCAATAAACTCAACACAACAGCCGGAAGAGCAAGTTGGAAACGCGAGCACATTAAACAGAAACAACCTACGCAAACAGCGTCGAGTTGTTTTGCTACTAGTCATAATTCGAGCGATTCTAGGACAGCTAGTTCTCCTGAATATCTCCCATCCCAGGCTGCTTACCGGCATCACGCGTCTATCGAGCTTGCAGATAAAGTTGTCGATTCAGACGATAGACTCTTCAATACCCTTGCTCACGAATACTGCCATTTAGCCAACTACATGATCTCGAACGTTCGTGATAATCCCCATGGAGCGAGTTTCAAAGCGTGGGCGCAGAGATGCAAAAAAGCCCTTAATGAGAATCCTTCTTATGCAGGACGGGTTGAGATCACCACCAAGCACACATATGCGATCAATTACAAGTATATTTGGTGCTGCGTGGAGTGTGCTCACGAGTATGGAAGACATTCAAGGAGTATCGACCCAGAGAAGTCGAGATGTGGGAAATGTAAAGGGAAATTGGTGCAAATACAACCAAAGCCAAGGAAAACGGCTGCGAAGCAAGGAGATGAGAGGAATCGTAAAGGCTTAAAGGAGTTGGCTGGAGGAGCAGACGCCATGTTGACTTCGATGGGGAGCATTCGCCTAAATAGTTGATCATAAAAATATGACCATATCAACCCCGTAACGATTGTTCTAATATAATAATGAATTTTTCTATATCTCCGAGCTCTTCCATTTACATCGAATACTTTCTCATGCCCGGTAAGTCGGAGGTATGTAATGCCTAACGCTGATGCAACGTGTTGAGAATGGGAGTTCCTCTGTTGTCATGGGTCTCTCTACAGCTTCGTTGTCCTAGCAAGCGACTAGCAAAAGTGTTTGGAAGTATGGAATGCGGCCATTCAGCGTCACTGTGCATGGCCTGAGGCGATCGTCCATGCCAAACCATGTTTCATGACCATCTACTTAGCCAAACATCGAGAAATCGATAAAGTTCAGAGTATTCATAAGGTGCTCGAGTATATCCTTCGCTTGACGTTCTGCGTCAGGAACAGCGCTTGGGTCTGAGTTATATTTGAGCAGGGTGATCGGAAGATTGACATGAACGAGCATATCCGTGCCTTGCTGCACCAATCGAACCATAAACGTGTAGCATTTTGTAACTTGATCAGGCTCTCGCAACGCATTGGAGTGATTAATTCGGGTCGAATGCGACAGAATATTCACTTCGCAGACATACGTAGGGCCCTCCTGAGTGCGGCCAGTAGGATGCGATGACTTTGGCCCGTCTACAACTTCAAATTGATCCCTGTTGGCGTCGCAGATGTCGTGAATGTGGGCGAGAAGTGCCAGCGCATCCACGTCTTCCGTAGACGCTCCAGGCGGTATCTTGAACACTGCTGCATGCATAGCTTCGGAATCTGACTCTACGCGTTCGAGGAGTTCGACAATTACGCTCATATCGTAGCCCGTGCCAGAAGCAAAGACTTCTTGGTTGTCGGGAATCGGCCTCACGTTGCTAAGAGCACGGGTTAGCTTAAGGCACTGGCAATGGTACTGGGTAGCGGTAACCGCTAGAAAACTTGGTCATATAAATAAATCAAATGGCCTATTATTACCTCATATTTTTCCATCCTTTGGGTAGTTCTACCGACATCGCACCCCCGTACAACAGAGTTGAGTTATATCCTTGCGTAGGCTCCTTGTCTAATTCCATTTTGACGGGCAACTTAGGAGCGGCTCTTGTACTCTTGCTACATAATAAAGGATTAGTAGGAGGCGCCCTGAAAACACGCTGCGCCCAAGTAAAAGCTCGACCTTTCTCACGAAGAGGGGTAATAGCACGCAGCTGGATTGTCCACGTCGAGCCCGTTTTAAGATCTCGTGGAGAGCTTTTCCCAGAGCCAATGAAGCCCGTAGTCTTTTCTGGTATGTAAAATTCTTCTATAGTGAGAACAACCAGCTCGAGCCTCGGTCTGGGACTGATGTAGCTGGTGAGCAGCCGACGACAGGACTGATATGCAAAAACAACCAATTCGCCAACGTTTCGCTGATGTCAGACAACTGATGGTGGCTTAAAGCTTAAATGAGCCAGACTAACTTTATTAGGAAATATGTTTTCATGACCACTCGCACGGCGGGATGTTCGAATAGTCTCAATCACAGGGAGATACATATATATTTCTTTATTGTAATTTCCAATAACATAATTCCTCGGCGGGAGGTTCTACTTGGCTTCGGAATACTAGCGCTACTGGCCAAAAGCCAAGTCTACTTTCAAATATGTGATGGGTGGGTTCAAAATATGAGAAGACTCGTTCAGCAGAAGTCGTAAAATAAACATCTTTAGGTCCTAGCAGTTTAAGTGCTTTACTCTCTGTCAACTGAACGGTCCCATTTGTTTCAATGTCAGTCGACAAAGGGTAGCTTAGATACGAGGAACTTAATAGCTTCACAGTCTGGTTTCACCCAGACCATGTGCTAACGCGCAAGGCATCGCTTGCTAACGGGGTCACATGTCCAACAGATGTTCCGCGTATCTGTCCAACTCGATTATCGAGAACTTGGAACCCCATTTGGATCGAAACGCCTTTCCGGTGTAAGCGCGGCTTATGGTGCAGCTGAAGCTAACCAGTTCGACGGTCCATCCCTTCATTAAGGCGCGCTCGACCATTTTCATAAATCCCTGAGAGTACTCGGCTTCGGCTGCGTCCCCTGTTACAAGGACGATAGTCGAAGGTTCATCGGTATCAACGATGCTTTCGAGAATCTTAAGATGTAAGATTTCATCCACAGCCTGCTCCACCCATTTCTCTGGGACAGGTTTGTTAGAGCTGCTTTCGGACCCACTAGATTGGTCCTGCTGCTTGTTACCGCAGCATTTAGCACCGACGATACCTCTTCCTTTGGAAACCTGATTCTTCTGGGGGGTTGCTTCTTTCAGCTTTTGGACCCGTACTAGGATGTTAGTCTCGTAACCAAGTTTCTCAGCCTCATCTATCGCTGGAAAGCGGTCAGAGCCCACAATCACCCGCTTGCTGACTGGTCGACCTCGCGTGAGAACTAGCGACAAGTTATGAAAGGATAATGGGAGGCGTGGAACTCGGACGGTAGTTGGAATATCCCTGGCAATTTTGATGCAATCATGGAATCCAACCATCACCTGTGCAAAAACTAAGATGAATCTCCGCACGTCGGGAGTGTCAGAAGCTAGGATGGACTTACATTAGATATGTCAACAAATATGTGGATTCCATTTGAGCTGATATTCAATGATATAAACGCCGAGTCACAGAGTTTGGGGTTGGCCAAGTATAATCGCTGGTCTCTATGATGTTTGTAAAGATGACTGATGAGATCGGATCTCTTTTCAGCAGTGGAGCCACCCAGTTTAGATTCCACCTGGTATTTATGTTTCGCAAGTGACCTGTTCGGGGATTTCGGTGGACGCACCAATGGGATGATGTCGCGGGGTGGGTGGCGCTGTGGACGCTCCGCTAAACACAGGGATTCTTGGCGAGGGGGCGTTGGTAGACACGCTCGCCGAATGCGATTTGGATTTTTCAAGATTTGAATCGGCCGGCATTCAGGGATCGTTGCTTCAGTATCGCCTGGAGGAGCACTTGAAACAGATGGTGGGTTCCTTTTGTTAGGTAAAATCTTCTTTGGTTGCATGCCGCACAGCTCTGGCTGGCATTCAACAGTAGCCGCCGAGGCTTCCTCAAGGTTGGTCCTTTGTTTTTCCTTGCAATCAGAGGCTCCTACCCCAAGAGTCGCGTCTCGTTCAATATTGTCCGGCGCGGTAGGGCTGGGCTGCGAGAGAAACGTCCAAAGCGCACTGAAATCGCCTAGCTTTCCACTACTATTATCCTCACGCCCCCGTCCGGATGGGGATGCGGCACCATGGTTGCGAGCTTCGGTAAACTCGGACTGAATGCTTCGAAGGATTTCGATAGGTTTCGGTTGAGGCTCAGGTTTGAAAGAGTAAAGTAAGTTGATCGCAGGAGTGAAATCCCAGGTCGCGGAAGCCCCAGAAGTCGACATGAACCGGTTGTCCGTATACGCAAAAGATAGCGCTTGAAGTCAAATAAAACCAAGACTTGGAAAAACAGATAAGCCTTCTGGGCAGCTAAATGAGATCTAGAAATGACGGCATTGTACGTGACTCTTGCTTGTTGTGAGGGGTGTCTTCAGTCATCGGTTAGGCTGTAGTAACGGATGTTTGGGCGTTTCGCTGGATGCAAGGAGTCGACCTTCGTTAGCGCACGGGCCCACAGGCGGCCATCACGTGGGGACAGGAGGCTGCCTACGTCATAGCCACCTGGAGTACGCCGAACGTACTACTCCAGCAGGCCTGGTTTGTTATATGCCAAACAAAATCGGTGAAATAGTCATAAGGAACCATAAGGAAAACGACAAGCAAGCTCAAGGTATCTGCAGCATCTCCGCCGATATCTCAACAACAAGTCTCCATCAGCGCCCGATAATACTCGCATTCGCAGCGTAAATCGCATTGATTTCTATGCCCATCACAACAAGCTGCGCCTCTGAGTCGGCCGTATGCTATGTGTTACTGTCTGCAAGAGCCAAACTCATCTGTATAATTCCATCGCCTCAGGTATCTGAAAGAGGCCAAAACCCAACATCCAGAGCTCGCTTTCTATATTACAACAAATTATAGTGCTTCCCATAGATTTGAAAACATGCACAGCTTTTGCTTCAACCTTTCAAACATACCTCGGCCCAAAGGCTCTTTATTTTCCTCTCCCTCTCTTTTTTTTTTTTTTTAAATTTATTCCCGCAAACTTCATATGGTCTCAGTTGGTATAATCGGCCAGCCGTCCCCGATGGATTGTGGCGTCGGATCGTTAGCAAGCACTTCTCCTTCAGCCCTAGTAACAACCGAGTCAAAACTGGGCCGGCGCTCCTCGTTTTGATATAAGCCCAGTTTGAAACCTAGCACTATGCCAGTAGATTGTCGTTCCTGATTAGGTTCCCTGGTGTAGGTTTTCATTCATTTTTCTCTTGACTCAGGCAGGGACCATTTCTATGACCGCTCAATTGATCAATATCCACATGCTGGAGTCATCCAGGAAGATCCAAAGAAGATTCGTCTGAACAAAAGACGTGTTGCTAAGCAGCCTGAAGGGCAGGCTCTGGTCATAGTCTCTCCTGGGTCGCTTCCTGAAATCACATTAAAGTGATAATTTGGAACAATCCATAAGCAAATTCTTGTTGTCGCGATCTCTTTTTGAGTTCCCGACACACAATAGAAGTGCCTCTCTTGAGGTATACACTCCTGAGAGGGGCATCCCCTCGTGACGTTGCTGGATATCTTGAGATACTGAAGATATCGAGTTGCTGTGGGTCACCAAGCCAGTGCCAACGGTTTGGGAACCTTCCGAGTTTCCGCTGATGGGGGGATGACATCATAATTATCACCACATCAAACCAAAGCTCAAAATCCTGGGGTCAACTCGTCTCGACCGCGTGACAGGGTATCTGATGCCCTTGAACCAGTTTTTTTTTGTGTTAAGGGAAACCAAGGTGCCCTATTATCCCACGTCATATCCAAGATTCTAGTTGGATATGGCCCCGAGAACCCCTTTGCCTCCCATGTGGGCGTGGGATATGTGCGTAATCCCTCGTTCGCAAAGGGTATAAAGTCATGCACAATGCTCGAGTTCTAATGGCTTTATGCTGCCATTAATCAAGAAGGAGAAATCGAGAACCTTAGCTTTTTCAGTTGTTTTACGAAAGCCCCGTTCGAATTGATCAACCAAACCGCAATCATGTCTGATCCAGGCCGCAAGGATTTCTCAACCAGTATGATCTCCGTCTGCCTTCGGCGGTTGGGCTTATTTATGTGAGCAGTGTCGCTAATGTTGTATGGCTTTCATAGAAGCTAAGGAGGAAATAACTCCTGACTCGACCAAATCCACTCAAGAGAAGATTAAGGAGGCTGCCACAGACACTAAGGACCGCATTGCTCGGTAAATTGGAGCCTAGCAAAGTGTTATTCTTGTTTGCACTGGAGGCTAACATGTTTGCAGTGGTCTCCAGCCAGACGAAAATAAAGGAAGTGCCCAGGAGGCCTTCGACAAGGGCCAGCGCTCCAGCGACAACCAGCAGGGTGGTGCTACTTCCACAATGTGAGATCACCCGCTAGCATATTATTATTGACCAATTGCTGAACCGATTAATAGTGGCGATAAGGTGAAGACCGCTTTAGGGATGGACAAGTAGACGACTTGCTCCGGCAACGATCTTTGGCTTTGTTGGTATAATGTTCTCGGCGCTTTGGACTCCTTCAAGGAACGTGTGATGTACTATATGATACCATAACTCAACGTGAATCAATCCGGTTAAAGTGGTATGACGTCCTTTTCAATGTAGAATGTAGGGTGACAAGTAGGAATGAAAGTTCCTATTGGCTTTTGCCCCTGTCGACTAACCCTTCAAACAAATTGTCACGCTGTTGAATGAGAGAACGAAGTTCACTCTCAAGTTCCTGATATTCCAATTTTGCATCCAGAATATTAGATGGTAACCCGTGGAAGGTTTCGACTTTCTTTTCGAGTCGCTTCACGTTTTCGCTTATCTTGGCCACTCTTTCCTCTTCAGCCATTAGATCCTCAATTTTCGTACCCTCTCTGTCCGAGGCACTTCTGCCCGCCATAATTCTTCTTTGATACTCTTTAGCCTTTGCCTCTACCGTTCTCTTGCCCCTCAACCATTCGCTAGTCTTGGCGGGGAGGTCTGGAGGGGTTTCATAGTTGTGCTCGTCCTTAAGCTCTTCAAGTCGCATATGAAGCGTAGCCAGTTCTTTTTCCAGGTACTTCTGCAATTCTTCCAGTTTTCGTAGCTGCTCAGTGGCGTCGAACTCCGCCCTTGTCATATTCAAAAGACTTCGATCACGATTCCCAACATCCGCGGTGGGCACACCTAACAGAACCACTGTTTCGGCGAGGTCTTGGAGGAGGTTCGAGCTTTCGTCACTAAGGGCAGCTTGGATATCCTCGAGAAGATCAAGTTTCAAATTTGGAGATTCAATCTCTTCAGCCTTTAGGAGGCCGATTGTTTCCTCTCTGACACGATGTATGAGCGCCTCTTCTTCATCTGCGGTGTCATTGGCTGCAGCCAGGTTCAGGAGGACTTTGAGGGTATCTTCATTGCGCTCGAAATTCGGAACACGGTTTGGAGAATTTGCATACTTATGGTTCAGCCAGTTCATAACGTATGCCCAATCTTTCGCCTGAGAAGCTGCTTGGCGGGCTTTGGACGGCGATGAAATAGTCTCGAAGTCCTCCATGACCCAGTTAAATAATCTGGACACAAGCCCTTTGAGGATATGTAAACCCTTTTGCCAACCATCCCTTAAGCCAGTTCACCAGTCGAAGTTGAGGTGTTCAAGGAACAATTTTATTCCATACCCGAAGATCCCTCCAGAACTAGACGGGTACTCGCTGATTGGATGACATTTCGTGTGCAAGTTGCTCTGTCGTCTGTGCAGATGTTCCAAGGTAAACACTCTTGTGATCTGGGCTTGAAAGCGCAACAATCGATTCTGATAAGCGATGGCTGCCGGCAGCCCTTCTCTAGATGGCATGCCATCTTCCCCTCATATGGCTAATACGGGTTCAACCCCCAAGCCAACTGCATTGTTCAACCGCCTCAATGCGGTCCTATCCACCTCATACACAGACCCAGATATTCGGGATTCGCTGGAAACCCTAGACAAGAGGGGCTTGCAAAACACGGCGGAAACGCGGAGGACGTTGAGACTGGATATTCAAAAAGAAGTCATAGACTCCAATGGCAGTATTATACAGGATTTCGGGAAGGTCGCCGAGGTAAGGCTTATTGTACCCTGGAGCTTCGTTTAGTGCTAACGACAGTCGAATCCAGCAACTATCCCGAATTGGAGCAGCAATATCCCATCTTAATACAATATGCGAGGATATGCGTCAACATATTACATCTGCACGTCAGGAAACCGAACCAGTCCTTGAAGAGGCCGCCGCTCTCCTGTCACAGAAGCAAGAGGTTGAAACGAAGCAGCACTTGCTTGACGCCTTCAATAAACACTTCATACTTTCAAGCGACGATATTTCTATTTTAACCTCCACCGCTGAACCGGTTGATGACCGCTTTTTCCAAATTCTTTCCCGCCAAAAATGGATACACAAAGACTGTGAAGTGTTACTTGGTGGTGAGAATCAACGACTGGGACTAGAGATCATGGAACAAAGCTCAAAAAATCTTAACTCGGCGTTTATGAAGCTTTACAAATGGATACAAAAAGAATTCAAGTCTTCAAATCTCGAAGACCCCCAAATGGGCAGCTCGATAAGAAAAGGCCTTCGGGTATTGGCAGAACGGCCTACCTTATTTCATAGCTGTTTGAATTTCTTCGCCGAAGCCCGGGAATATATTCTATCGGATTCTTTCCACTATGCCTTGACCGCAGCAGTTTCAGGCGATAGACTTGATGCGAATGCTAAACCCATAGAGTTCTCTGCTCATGATCCCCTTCGCTATGTCGGGGACATGCTTGCCTGGGTCCATTCTGCGACAGTCTCAGAGAGGGAAGCTTTAGAGGCACTTTTTATATCCGATGGGGGTGAGCTAGTAAAGGGTATTGAAGCTGGCATAAGCAGTGAGCCATGGTCCCGTATCAACGATGAGCAATCTGTCTTTGATGGAGAGAAGGCGCTAAAAGAACTTGTGACTCGTGATATGAGCGGCGTGGCTCGCTCATTAAAGCAACGGGTGGAGTTGGCCGTGCAAGGACATGACGAGTTGGTTACTCTCTATAAGATTATGAACCTTTTGGCTTTCTACGAATCCACATTCTCCAAACTTGTTGGTCACGACTCAGCTTTAGTGGAAGCCATTACCTCCCTGCAAGATTTTGTCTTTAAACGCCTGGAGGCAGTGATCCATGATCAAACTGCCACGATCACTGGTGATCCGTCCGGCTTGATTCCTCCGGATGACTTGAGTGCTCCAGAATTCCTTACTGATGCCATCGACAACCTTGTTCCGCTTATGAAGGCGTACGACTCTTCATTTCGACACGAAATTACCGATGATACATCGCAGAACGAGAACAAATTCAGCCCAATCATTCGAGCTACTCTGGATCCCTTCCTGGATCTCGCGGAAAAATCATCCACTGCACTTTCCAATTTCACTTCGAGAACAATATACCAAACCAACTCCATTCTTGTCATTCGCGATGCAATATCTCCCTTTCCATTTGCGTGCGCCACGCATCTACCTCGATTATCATCAACCTTAACTTCTCTCAAAACCAACCTTCTCGACATTCAACACGATTTCCTCCTTAGGGAAACCGGCCTGCAGCCCCTTATCGCAGCCCTTGAGCCATTCATGCCAAAGAGCACCTCTGAATCATCCACGGGTAACGGACTATCGCGCAACCTCGCTGATATTGCATCTCTGCCAGAATTTCAACCCGAATCCCTGTCTACAATCAGTCAACAGCTGGACGATTTCCTTCCTTCGGCGCTCGTCGATGCGACGGATAACTTGAAGCGTATCCACAGTCCCGGCTTGGTGAAAAATGCTACTGAGGAAGCCGTTGAAGCATTTTGCTGTGATTTTGAGTTGGTGGAAAGCATGATTGTGGGCGCGGATGAGGCGAGAGAGAAAATGAGCGTTGCGGGAACGGTTAGCAGCTCAGCGGCAGGGAAGGAAATGGATGAGATTGCTGCTCTAGGTGAGACTGGCGGCCAGGTTGGCGCCTGGAGTTTGCGCGTTCTATTCCCAAGGACGACGGGGGAAATCAGGGTGCTGTTGAGTTGAGTAGTATAGTCGATCCAATATTGGATATCTGGTCCAACAGCGCTCCACGTTGTGGAATGTCTGGCTTTTCTATGCATAGTACAATGCGAATCTTCATAATCTTGACGGAAATCACAGGATCCTTGGCTTCTCGGCTCTTATACCCTTGACTATGAGTCCTGGAAATCACCAATATACATGTGCTTGTGAAAGTCAGATCTGGCATGAATATACAACCCTTAACTTTCACCAACCCCTCAATCCTAAAGGTTTTCCGGCCACGCCACGATCGAATACGGATCCTTATCGCACTCACTCACTTTTACCTCCACACTCGGATCGTTCAGCGTATTGGCCATTCCACTGCTCGCCGTCTCAGGCAGGTCAGCCAAATCTTCAATCATTTGACCCCATTCCAACCTCAGCGCTTCTTCGAGCTTGCCTCGCATAACATCATGCAAATAGCCCCGTTCAGAATTAGAATGAAAGAGAGATATCACCACTGATCCATTCTCGATCGCAGCCAATGCGTCATGGTGGCTCATTTCTCCAGTTAACAGCAGGTCTGCGACGGGTTTGCCGTCCTTCATCAGTATCGACGAGCCAGAGCCCGGACAGGTGGCCACAGTACTGATTTCCATGTCGGCGACATTTGAGTCTTGGGGTATAGCAAGAGGAAAATGAGGTAGGCCACGTGGAAGACCGAGTGTGGTGATGATGCGTTTAATGATTGATGTTAAGGGCTGAGGAGTGGAGAAGGATACAAGACGGCCCGCGCCGGCACCTTCAAACCCGGGCGGCGGCAAGGGATTTTGGAGGATGGTTGAACGAGAATGGGGAATTACGGCATCAGAGGCTACATTCGACAAAGAAGTGTGAGACCCAGGAACAACTATATGCGGCAAGGCACCTCGCGAAGCCGTCCGAGGAGGGAGTGGTGGAGGCTGGGATATACCTGATATCGACGATGGCCCTGTGCTGTCGTCTGTTGCCTGTTTGCTCTTGATAGGGACTTGTGGGTTCTCATGCACGGGACGAGTTACGATGTCGCAGAGCCAATCTGCCATACCACCAGGGACAGCATCGACGGCGGTATGCGGAGAGTAAACACTTATGCCTTCCGCCGCAAGTCGAAGCAGGGTTTGCTGTTGGGTGTTATTGGAAGTTAGAGATTTAAATCCACGAAATATTATAGGGTCTACATTGTCGAGCATCCATCAGCTTTTGCGCAATTGATCGGTCTGGACTAGGGTTGGACTGTACGATATGCAATGATGATCGAATCCCCACGCTCGATAGCCTCGGCGGCAACCGCCTGCGTTAGGTCGATTGTTAATAATGCAGAGTTCTTCAGCTGTCTCTTCCTATTCCAGGGCGCTTCAAGTAATACTGTTCACGTCTTAAATTAGCTATGAATCCGTGGAAAACAGGGTCGGATTGGACTCACACCCTGTGTTATCAAAACTTTTATCTGCGAGGCTCTCAGGATATCTGTGCAAATTTGATCAGCCGCTATCGATTCAGGGATCATGGCGAGTTAATTCGTACAGTCTCCGCATGCACTCGACAACTGCATCTGAGAACGGAGAAGTTATGAAGGAGCGATAGGACGCCATCGTGCCGGTCCGTAGCGTCGTACGAATCATCAGCTGGAGACAAATATGCCGAGCAATAGAACCTATTTACTTTGCCAGCCAGGTCTGCGAGATGGAACGATGCCGTCGACGATTTTCACCTCAAATGAAGCTTCAATTGCGAGCTTTCGGATTGGTTAATTACCTCATCGCGACTTTTGTGGGGAGCATGTTGATGAGTCAGCGTCGACCTTGGCTGAACGTTTCCCCGCCATTTTTAGGCGTTCTGGCGCAAGTTGCGCTCAAAATCTCGAGGGACAGTCAATAACCAAGACGGAGCGGCCTGGATTCCCCCGGACCTTTTTTTCTTTTCTTTTCTTTTTTTTTTTTTGGGTTCTGATACCAGAGGCAACGGAATTTGTTCCCCGCTCTATATGTACGCCCGCCACCTCTTTTCCCGCGGGACTTTCCATCTCCTCCGCACCCAGCGAACTTTTTACCAAAGTCATAGCATATCTGCAGCCATGGCGGATGCAGCCCAACAAGCCGGTAACTCATCCGGCGTCACTGCTGAGTCCATAAAGGAGACCCTGATAGCGAAATTGGGTGCGCAGCATGTGGAAATCCAGGATTTGTCAGGTACGGCCTTGGTTATTCTCTTCCCTTTCCCCAGGAAACGTCGCAGTCTTTTCGTTCAACGTCTCCGGACGAATTTGCTAAAAAGGGTTACCCATCCTGGATTAGGCGGTTGTGGTCAAGCCTTTCAAGCTGTAATCGTCTCTCCGCAATTCGATAAGAAAACTATGCTCGCTCGACACCGATTGGTGAACTCGGCTTTGAAAGCAGAGATTGCTGCGATCCATGCCTGGACACCAAAATGTTATACCCCGGAACAGTGGGAGCAGTTAAAACAACAATGATTAGCGCCGTTAGTTATATCGCCATATATTGGCTTGCGTTTCAAGATACGATGCGCGGCTATCAAAATTGCTTGCCCCCGCCGATGGAACGGTTTGAACAGACTCCGAGCTCGGAACGGGTCATCGACTCAACTGATCGGATTTGAATAAACATGGTCTACGGTCAATACATCCCTAGTGGCTGTGGTTGATGTATTTATAGTTGGATATCCTTTGATATTTCTGCATCGTCTTTCGGCGTTTCTGGTGCATTAGGGGACAAAGGCTCCTCGATTCGGCTGGCAAAATAAAATTATTTAGGAGACCACATGCCCAAAGACTAATAGATGAGCTTTATTTAACTCCAAGGTGTTGTGTCGATGACGAAGATCAGCCTCCGCCTTAACCATTCCATCATGACCGCTGGTTAATCCATCTACTACGGAAAACTTGCGCTCCACTCTCTGGCACGTACATCTGAAGCGGTGCTACATCATCCTCTCCATTATTTCTGGAGATGCCGTGCTCCGAAGGATGGAATTATCATTTGGCCTGATATGTCCGCTTTTGTGGAGGTTACAGCTCATGAATTCTCATGGCTCCAGCATTCCTAATACCAAAAAGTAGTGGGGCTCTAGATTCCCCGAATTCCTACTCCGTACGGAGTACAATAAGGAAAAAATGCACTTACTAGAGACTTGGCATGAGAAGGCTTCTAGAAGCGCCTAGAGATATAAATAGGTGTGAAATACCCTGTGAGAATAACTGTCAAGCCTACGGAGTAATGCATGCTCATTAACGCAAAATCTCATAAGAGTATAGCTTAAGGTTAACTTGTAGTAAGGGAAAAAAAAAAAAATTGTATGGCTTCTTTCAGAAATTTAAGGAACTGCATCTTCGTTGTCTCGAATGTGTGCAGGTTTCCGTTCTTTAAGCGTTTGCTCAGATTCAATACCGCGGTTCAAATCATAAGCCTTAGTCAATAAACTTAACAGTCCACCAGCGCCTATGATCCCGCAACAAACTGCCCACACTATACGTAGGCTGTCAGTGTATGCCTGTTTTAGATCAAGCTTCATGCGACCATCGTCCATCTCCCGGATGAGCTGAACGAGAGCAGCAGCATCCTTGCTAAATTCCGCCGCGCGCTCAGCCAATTCTGGATATTTTCGGATATTTCTGAACATTTGATTCTGGAAAATAGCACCCCCAATAGCAACCCCAATTGCTTGGCCAAATGCTCGAAAGAAACTAAACATTCCAACAGCAATGGCCATATTCTTCTCAGTGGCCGATGCTTGGATAGCAAAGGCTAATGAGGGGAAGAGTATGCCCAATCCAATTCCAGCAGGTAACATCAGCACAATCCATCCAGCAATGCTGGTATGGACAGACAAAATACATAAAAAACCTACCCCAATGGCTGACACCATAAATCCCAACCAGATCGCCCAGCGATAGGTGCCTGTCACACTGCATACAATGCCTGTCACCAGGGCCCCGGGAGCCACAGTAAAGGTCAATGGAAAGAGTGCCACACCAGTCAAGATTGGAGTGTATTCTTTCACAGTCTCAAAATAAAGTGGCATAAAGTACAATCCACACCATAGAACTAGACCGTGAAGCACTGTCTCTGTGTAGGTAACAACTGCGGTTCTGGTGGCAAAGATTGATATTGGAATAGCTGGGTTTGTGGGAACGTAGGCCTCGTAGTACATTGCTCCAATGAGCCCAAGTGCTCCAAGGACTAACGGAACAAGTGTACGCCAGGAGTTCCAAGCGTACATGATGCCACCCCAGGTGACAGGTACCAAAAAGGATGTAGCACTCGCTGTAAAAAGCGTGGTTCCTAAATAATCAATCCGCCGCAATTTAGACACCAAGGAGGATGGAACAAAATTCAGTCTCAAGAACATCAGCACAAAAACTATGCCGACTCCAATAAATGGAAAGTTGATAAAGAAAATCCATCTCTAAGAAATATTAACACTTTATTCGTTTTAAATTGCATTCTGAACTCGGGAAGACATACCCAACTAACATTCTGAGCGAATCCACCGCCGACAATCGGACCTAGGACAGATCCTAGACTCCACATGGTGCTTAGGATGCCAAAGTATTGTCCTCTGAGTCTCATGGGTACGAGATCAGTAACCACGACCTCGCACAAAGCGATTATACCGCCGCCTCCGACGCCCTGTACTGCTCTCCCGAGGAGCATCAGGGTAAAACTATTGCCAAGTCCAGCAATAAGGGCGCCAGCGAGGAAGAAAAGGATGCCAGCGATTACCATCGGTTTGCGCCCAAAAATATTTGAAAAAGAGGTAAAAGTTGGTTGAAAAACTTCGCAAGCTGGAGTCAGTACTCTGACAAACCGCGTAAGAAGTCGTTCCATACCGGTCGAGCACAAAAGAAAGGAGGTTCCGCTCCAGAAAGCTTCAAGAGCGGTCGCATGCAGTTTGGAAGCTATTATCTAGCACAGAGATATCAATACCTTTAACAAATTCCCGATCTGATATGTAACCATGCTGCGTGACTTACAGGAAACGCGACGGAAATCGAAGTACCATCAAGTGCAACCATCAAAGTTAACACAGCCAATGTTACAAACGCAAGCCATGCTTGCGCTGTTAAGCGAAACTCGACGGCCTGTGCCTGGACACCCGTCGTCTGGGGCCCCGATAAAATATACCTTTCGACAGAGATACTCTCCTTCGAAGCATTGGCTGGAGAAGTGGCCATTATTGCCATGAGATTGAGGTCATCCATGTCCCTCCCGATGCGGTGTCTTGTGATTGAATAGCTGCCGATTGTCCCTATTTCCGACGAGTCCCAGGGCAGCATGTGCAATTTTCAGAACAGGCGCTGCGGGAATGGGCTAAACGAGGGACAGAAGTTGCCCATCATACCTTGTCGATAATTGTCCTGTCATAACTCAGAGGCAAGCGCACGGAGAAGCCAATACGGAAGCGCAGCCTCGATCCGCCAACCCCCGGTGTGCCCGCGTGTATTCTCGTCAGAAAGCAAGAAATGCGTTACTTATCCCGTGGATGGATATCGGCATTCAATATCCAAAGAATATTTCCAGCGTCATAGAGCCGGTCCTCCACGTAACGCTTCAGGAATTATCTGGAACCAACCGCCAAAATGATATGTCAAACCATGAGCCAGCGCGGCGGGTATGCATGCTAGGTACATTCCATGTACATATGTGAGTCCCAAAGAACTCGAATTCGTGTTAACCAGCAGCAGTGTCGAATGAGACACTGGATCAAATTTGGATTCGATCATCCGATAGTTATCTCCGAAGGCCACCCAAACACGTATTCTGGTAGTTATTGCTTCACTATAGACAGCGGGGATGTAACAGTCATCGCAAATAGTGGTAGGGCTTAATGAGAATGGAACTTTGTCTTTGTAGAAGTTATTGAGTAGGTTGAGGGCATGAGGATCCCATGTTCGGGGATGTCAGATTTAACATCTAATAAGCCTCTGGAACCTTTTATTGCCACGCTTTTCGCCTCGCCTCCCCCTTAATTATGCTTTTGTTTGCTCGTCATATAACAACTTCCGGCAGGATTGGCAGGAACTGCGTTTTGTGTATTTAAAAGTTTAAAAAATATAAAATATAAAAAATAAAAAATAAAAAGTAAAAATATATATATAAAAAAAAAAGAGGGGGGGGGGGGGGGGAAGGAAGGAAGAGGAAAGCCAACGAATATCGAAAAAATGGCATTTGAACTGAGAGTATACGCAACGTTATGTCATGTACGAACTACGAATTATCATAAGGATTTAACAGGCTAGACAGTCTCAGTATAATCCGCAATGACGAGCAAGACCACGACGAAATAGCTGCTATTATGACAAAAGGGGAACACTTTTGCGCCATCATGTCCCAGTGTTTTACAACGACCCCAATCGATCCAATTCGCGTTACTTCGTTTCGACCCGGCGTAGGTAACTCATCTCGACGTTGATTCCTGGACCCATTGCGCAAGCAATGACGTCCTTCCGGCCGTCTCCCATCTGTGGCAGGCGATCTATCACGTTTAGCACCGTTGTGCTAGAACTATTTCCATTGTTGGTGTAGATATCATAACTAGCACGAAGGTGCTCGTGATCTAGTTGCAAACTCTGCCGGACAGCATCGACTATAGAGATGCCGCCCGGGTGCAGTGCCCAATCGAATTGACGAGGATCTGGCTCGACATGATTGGGAGCTTCTGGTGTACGCTTGAGAAACTCTTGAAATAACGGACCGATTGCCGCGCCACAAACAAAGGGAACCTTCTTGGATACAACGGATTTGTAGCCTGTTTCGATTAGCAGGTGGTTCTGGATGGAGAGATAAGCTGTAAATACCAGTTACGTCGATATTGAATGTGATCTCATCCTCTGTTCCTGGGAGTAAGGCATGCTTGCAATTCATCACTTGATAAATGGGTTTCTCGAAATCCCGTCGTTTGATCCCGTTGCTCATGATATATGCTGTGGAGCAGTCGCTGAACAAAATTGGTCCGATATTAACACCAGCCTCCGGAGTGACATCGTCCAAGCTGCTCCTCGCTAGGGTAGTGGGTATATCTGTCGCTAGTACTAGTGCCCGAGCCGGCCGTTGTCGGAAAGTCTCGGCTTGTAGGATATTGAAGGCAGTTCTAATGACAGAAAGTCCCCCGGAACATCCTGTGCCATGAATAAGAACCCGTTCTGTATCTAGTTTGAGTCCTAATTCTCGGGCAACAATCGCATCGAACCCCGGATTCCCCGTGTGGGTGCAGGTCATCGAAAACATATGAGTAATGTCTTTCATATCTCCTCCCCATTGCTCGATCGCTTTCTGGCAGGCCTGTACTGATAGCCTGATGCCGACATCCCTGAATACAGCATCCAAGTCATTAATGGAAGGAGTTTTTGGCCCGTTGACAAGTGGGCCGTCGAGATCCAAGACTGACGGACGTGATTTGATGCCCGTCCGTCTATTAAGCGCCATCGTTTTCAACATCCTACAAAAAGCCGTTAGAACATATTATTCCGTTTTGCCCAGTCTCAGATTCATGGACGTCTTGTCCTGCGTAAAAAACTTACACTTCTGTGTCAGCATAGTGGCGCTTTCTGAACTCCTCGAACTGCGCTGGATATACTCTTTCTTTGGGATAGTTCACTGCCATGCTTAGGATCTCGACTTCTGGGTCGTGGCGGACGCCATTGGTGCCATTTGGCATCCCAAACGGCATTTCGAGGGCTAGATTATATCTCTTCTTTCTAGATAGTAGGTTTTTGGGCTGTAGAGTGTGAAAATCATTTCTTTGAAGACGAAATAGCGGGAAGAATACTAGCCATGGATTTGTGATCGAACAACTTATAAGAGGGCCATCTGCCCGCGGGTAACGTTTGATTGGAAAGACTTAACCCACTTTTTTTTGGGCATATTGACCTTTGCTCTGGAATGAGTGCGGTCCATACGCCGTATGAGTCCCCCACAGCCGGCTGTTTATTAACTGGTAGGGCTATTCCAGAGAATTAAGGTACTGATGATATCAGAGGACGTTGACATGGCTGATACCTCAAGCAACTTAACCCTGGTTAAGCGGTAGCTTAAACGTGATCTAGGCCCACGTTTTCCAAATCAATGGTGCATGTAAGAAATAAAAGCCGTTCAAGACCATACTCAGGCATGAATGGCTGCCTATAAGGTTAAGGCGATCAGCCATGCGGGCGCCGTTTCGCGCCAAAGGCGGTTCCACAATTTTCCGGCGGCTCTTCGGATGCTTTTTTGTCGGACAGCCGGTTCAGCACAGCCTGGAATACTCGGCTGCAGCACTCAGATATTCCGAAGAAATCCCCAGCATACTGAGTACTTGATTCCGGCTTTCGAAAAAAGATGGGAGTATTGATGATTGGAACCTTGGATCCATGCCCCAACATATTCTCCCGTGTGTATCACCAGCGAGTAGTTGACGATACACGATAAAGGATCGATTCGCAAGACCTCCATATCGAGTTTCATATGGATCAAACTATTGGGGTCCCTGTCGCCACTCAGACACTGTAGCCGGGAAGCGCACGATAGGGCTGGCCAAGATGGAAGCCATCAATACTTGACCGCCCGCTTGTCTTCGGAATTGAAACGAGGCAAACACAAATATGCTCACCCTGCGTCCAAGCCCGTCCTCTGAAAACCGGGAACGGGTTCGGGACCTTGAGAGCCAATAATGACGGTTCATATGCTGAAGCGCTCGGTGCTCGCTTCATTTCACCGTGAGGATTAACCAAGTTCGCAGCCCCTGTGTTTCCCCCCAATTCGTGGCGAGTTGGAGCGGTGGAAACGTCGACTGTTTCTTGGGTTCGGGTGCTCCGAGCATGAGAGAATTTCAAGGTTCGGGTGATTCGAATCCTGGGGCACCTGTACCTGCATGGCGAGCCAAATCCGGTCCCTTGCTGGGCTGCATAGTGCGATCGGTGTGGTCATATCCGCCAAAACAAAAATTGCCTAAATCGTAACCGGGAATGTCGTCGCGCATCCTATCTTGGAAGCGTGGCAGAGCCTCTGTAGGGGTATAGGATCAATAAAGGTACGTGTGCCGAGTAAAATCCGGGGTGATCCCACTGGGAAGAAATGGTTTCGTTTTAGGGCCGAGGAAGAACAGGCTGAGATGAAACACCGGGCGAAAAGACTGATATCTTTCTGATGCACCTAAAAAACCTGTAGTTAACCACGAAAAGGATTGGCAAGGTTCCAGGTCAGACGCTCCATCGTTTGGAACGCAGCTCTTGTACTCTGGTCGAGCGCTCGTGTATCCATTCCTGGGGAAGCCAGGTTAGGTTTAGCCACGAGGAGGATCAGGCGATGAAAGCGCTGTGGATATAAGTCAAAACGCCCACATCTCCGCACCAAGTCGATCCGATCCGGTAAACGGAATCAATAATGATAGGTCATCTTTAGAAGTTTGGAAAGAGGCGATATTCCGTTGATTCAGCGAGATGATTAGAGGCTACTTTTACTATCCATCAAGGTTTCTCCTCATCGAGCTTTGAATTAATTAAGATGGTATGAATGCTGTAAAATGCGCACCTTCTTTGCGTCATAAAGCAAGGATTAGATCCTATCGACTTTAAGATGGCTCAATGCCATGGAGTTTCTCTTGTAAGCCCACTTCCCGTCACCATTATTGACAGGGAATGTTCCCCGTGGGCGCGAGCTGCGGAATACCCCCGTTGTCCCCTGGCAATCCCATCAAGATTCAAGAATGGCATCGCATCGGGGCACATTTTCGGGAACCAGCACTGTAGGATATAGATATATATATATATATATATATATAAGTGTGATGCTCATGGGCATCAATCAAGCTTTCAAAATGGGGCAAGGGATTAACCAGTACCTACTCCGTATAATGGAAGAGTTGTTACATGACCCCGAGGGGAAGCCTACCTGCGACATATAATATGCGTTGGAGGACGTACTGGACATCGGAACCCCTTCCCGCCCGGGCAGAACAAGGTAACGGGCCATCTCCTACTTACCTTGTGAGGATCTTGTGCCGACCAGGGTACGAAGAGACTCCAAGACTGTTCGGTCGACAAATAGGCGCTTTCATAGCGTTCAAAAGTCCCCTCTTGTGGATCAAATCTCAACACATGATCACCTGTGCGCTAGCGGGGCAGGGACAACTGGCAATAATAGCTAATAATTTGAAAAATATGGGCAAAGTACGGAGTATGGAGCCTCGACGGGTTCATCCATACGAGCCCGGAGTCCCCCGTAAAGGGGACCTTTTGTCGGGTGGTGAGCTTAGGGACCAAGAATTTGGCCACAAGCCCTGATTATCCGAAGAGAAAATATGGGATTTCCTCCCAGAATAGTTGCGGAGTTGCGCCTCCTCGAATTCCACCGAGGGTGCGCTTATCCCAGGGATCTGTAAAAATTTTCGCTCGGATCTTTTTTTGCCATCGTGGAGTTAATGGTGTTGGTCACGACGTTTGTTTCCCGTCGACCATTGGATCCCCGCCGAGATATAAATACTGGGGAGAACAACTGTACAAGATGGAGAAAAAAAAAAAAAGGATATTCGTGGATTCGTAACTAACGGCTTTGAGCAGCAGCGAACTTATTTCTGAGACACTTCGAAGTGAGATGGCCACAAACTTCCTCATCCACCGATTCGCACCACTTTGGTCATGACTTCATCCTCCCAGCCAACATGGCTTTTTCAGTCATGAGGAATGGTTTGAACAGCACCAGCATCAGATTGATCCTCTGCTAGTAAGCTTCAAGCACTGAAGTAACTGGACTCCGTGCCTAAAGTCTGGCTGGTGATCGATCGTGGCCTCCCGTGGCTGAAGGAGCTCCGAACTCTACTCCGTACAAGCGAGATTGTGATTGTAATTCATTAGGCTTGAGTAATGGGCACTGTGCTCGCCACGCAAGTGTCCAATATGGACAGGTATCCCGACACCTCCTCCAGCTGTACCTCTGTAGCCTGTATGTACTGTTTTGAGGGAACCAAAAACTGCGAAGCTGAACAAGAGAAATAAAAAAAATAAAAAGTTACAAACGATCAGGAAAAAAAAAAAAAATGGTGAGGCGGCGAACCCAAGAGGATAACTCCATACAAGGCCTCTAAAAAAAATATAAAAAAAAATAAATGGGATCCAAAAACGGGGGCTGATTGGAAAGGCCGTCGAGCAAGTGATCAGGTTCAAGACCAGCGCAGCGGCCCACCCAATCAGTGGATGTTTCCTCCGTGATAATAATTTTGCTAAGGTTCAGCGTCCAGAGGCCACCCACGCCAGGGCTTGAGTCGACCGCCCTCCACTTCCAGAAAGCCTGCACGCCGGGATCCATGCTGCAAACACTCAAAATTATTTGCTGCAGAGGACAAGATCCTTACTCTCTCACTACCTCTCCACCTTGCCTCTTGACTCTCTTCCCATCCCTTTGGCCTCTCTTCCGCATGTTAGCTTTGTTTCATTGTCAATGTTCCCGACTGTGACACCGCAGTCCTGCCCTTGCCTGCCTCTTTTTCATGTCTTCCAAGCACTCCCTAACTGCTCTGCTTTGAAATCCTCGCCTGCGGCCGGTGAACTCCAACTGCCCGCTCGATGAGAATCTCTCACTTCAATTGCAGATGGACTAGTTGACTGTGACGACATTGGACGAAACGAAACCAGCAGGCTTCATCCTACACACCCCGCTTCCCTCTGTTATTCGTCTCATCACAAAAGTTTTTCCTTTTGCTTCAATCATCTCCCTACCCATCTCTGTTGTCGGATGTGCATGCGGTTCCGCAATCTCTCTGTTTGACCGGCAAGGCATTGAACCTCTCTCTCTTATCCCTGTCGCTAAGTTTCTGCCGCCTCCACTTGTATCCTGCCCTACCTCTTTTCGGCCCTTTTCCTGTCGCCATCGCACTTCTTGAACCTGCCCTGCTGCCACGACCTTCGCTCCAGCCACCATGGAAAATACTCAGTCCGGAGGTGGTACCTCCACAGGAAATTCTAGCGACTTCGTGGGTTCTCTCCCGTTGCTCCTTGCTCGCGTTTCCTTTGCTGACTCGATGACAACACAGGTCCGAAAGCTCTATAAGTAAGTCGATGCTGACTCGGAATGTCTCCTTCTGCGCTTCCACCCCTTCGCCGCAGTTTTCGGCGGGACCTGTTCTGACGAACCACCGTTTTAGAATGCTAGAAGATCCTTCATATGCGCAGATAGTACGATGGGGCGACGACAGAGACAGCTTCGTCGTTCTGGAGGTAATAAACACTCTGGCCATTTTGCTTCGCCTGTTTTATGGAGGCAAGAAGCTGATCGACCGTCAATCTTGACCGCAGTGCGAAAAATTCACCAAATCAATTCTCCCGAAACACTTCAAACACAGCAATTTTGCGAGTTTCGTACGGCAGCTCAACAAATATGACTTCCACAAGGTTCGCCAGAATAACGAGGAGACTGGGCAATCACCATATGGCCCCGGTGTATGTGTTCGGATAATAGTCTTTGATGTTGCGCTTCTAGAAATCTGACAAGATGCTCTAGGCATGGGAATTCAAGCATCCCGAATTTAAAGCGGACAACAAGGACTCCTTGGATAACATTAGAAGAAAAGCTCCTGCCCCCAGAAAGCCTCCTCAGTCCGCCGAAGATTCCATCCCCACACAACAACTCGACCTGATGAACCAGCAGATCGTTGCTCAACAACAACAGTTTCAGCATCTAGCCGATCGTTTTGCTGTTGATCAACAGCTCATGATGCAAGAAATCCGTAGAGTCCAGAAAACCGTCTTGGGCCACGAGCAAGTCATTCATTACATGATGACCTTTTTACACTCCGTGGACGCTCGTCAAAGAAGAGAGAATCGCGCTGCTGCAGCTGCTTTCCAAGGGCAGCCTGGTAGCTCTGAGCTAAGCCCAGCCCAAGCCCAAGCCCAGAACGACGAACCTGCATCTCCTTTGCAGCACGCCATGAAACTCCTGAGTGAAATGAATTCTGAGATTCAATTCAACCTGAGCAGCTTAGAATCGATGGGCGAAATGCAGAACAGACTCCCTGGAGCTGTGCCAACTCCGCCATTGGATCAGACCCAGCGAAACGGGACTGTGCGGCCTCCTACCTCGACTGGCCCTGCTTCTGCCATGGCATTCCCGAAGCTTAATGGTGATCTCGAGCAGGTGGTATATCCAGTTGGCGTCACTAATGGCATCGATCCGATGTACGGTGACCATATCAACAGTATTCCCTACACTATGTCGACCAAAGAAGCGGATCCGTCCGACCCAAGGCGTCAATTTGTGGACAGGAAAAAGAGCACGGGAACTAGTACGTACGCAGATCCAGGTTGGATTCGAAGCCCTCATATTCTTCTTGTTGAGGATGATCAAACATGTCGTCAGATTGGTGGAAAATTTCTCTATTCATTCTCTTGTGTGATCGATACCGCTGTTCGTAACTTCTTCTCTCCAAAGCTCCTTTACTCTGGTTCTGTTGGTGTTCTTATTTAACATGCCACTAGTTCGACGGCTTGGAGGCAGTCAACAAGATCCAGAGCGGGTCAAAGTATGATCTTATCCTTATGGATATTATCATGCCGAACCTAGACGGAGTGTCGGCGTGCAGTGTGATTCGAAGATTTGACGCGACCCCAATCATTGCAATGACATCGAATATCCGCAGCAGCGATATTGAACTTTATTTCCAGAATGGTATTTGAAATTTATTCTCATTTTCCTCGACTGGATGAGGCTAACAAACACAGGCATGAATGATGTTTTGCCGAAACCATTTACTCGACAGAGTCTCCTAAACATGTTGGAAAAGCACCTTGTTCATTTGAAGAACATTCCCACCGCCATTGACGCGACCCAATCGGCCCCTCCCACTGCCATCCCTCAGAACTCCGCGACCCAGTCAGTTAAAGAAGAGACAACACCCGGTCAATCCCCCGGCACATCTATTGGGAACTGGCAGTCACCTGCACAATTCCCGGGAGTGTCTCCAATTAACGTCAGCATACCAAATCAGTTCATGCAACAACAAGCCGGGGCTCCTGCAACCCCTTTTACAATTGATCAGAACGGCGGTATTCAATATCCTGGGAACCAGATGGGGTCCATGAATGTTGCAACAGCCCCTCGAACCTCGCATCGGCGACAGATGTCAGATATATCCAGCGGTGCTGATGCCCATAATCTTGCCAAGAGACAAAGAATGTTCGCGACGCCTGCCAACAATACCGTTGTGAATCCGATGCAGACCAACAGAATGCCCTAGAGTGCTTATTGAGAAGTATCTATTCTAGATGGACCTCTCCCATTACGAATAATTCAGTTGCATTTTCTCATTTACATAATTGTCCTACAGTACATGTCACGGCCTACTGAACAAAAAAAAAAAAAATTTCCTTTTAACTCACCATTTTGCCCCCTGCCTAATTACAGCGACATTAATCTTTGCTTCATTCTCTCGATATTTAACCTGGGGTTCATGGCGTTGGCGGTGACCTGGTACCCGAAACTTCATTCTGAGCAGACATTCTGCAATGCTTTGACGGTCTTATTTTATTCTATTTTCGTCCCCCTCTCTCGTTTACTATCTCGGATATTCCAAGTTGGAAAACCACGGAAAGCAACCATTGCAAGTCGACACTGTACATGTGCTTCTCATATCAAACCATTATCGGCCCGATCATCTCGGGAAGATCGAAAAGGGGTTTTTCTCCAAAGTATTTTTATCAGCATGACAAATGAACTTGGACGCAGCACCATCGGGCAGTTTTTTCCATGAAGGGGAGGGTATCGTCTTGCAATTATTTTCCCGATGCGGGCTTTCTCTACTTCGGATTTGTTTGTTTTTTCCATTTTTATTTTGATTCTTTATCTTTTTAGTCTCCGTTACTTGGGCTCCCACTGGATTACCTTTTTCTTTTCCTTTTTTTTTTTTTTGTTTTACTGTACTCCGGTATTTGACTTTGATATGTTACTTCCCCCGGCCTATTTCCTTTTTCCTTTTTTTTTTTTTTTTTTGGCGCGATCGGGTTATGGTCTGTCTGCAAGGGCCTTTGGCGGTGGGCGGGTGATCATCAGAGCGGTGGCGGCAAACTGGGGTTGGATGCTCGTACATGTTGAAAATGATATCGAAATACATAATGAAGTGGGGAAATGAGGGAGTTATTTTAGCAATTGTTTGTGTATAGAAGTGGCGAGCATGCCTAGCGAATTGAAACCGGTTCTTGATGCTATTTACGGAGTACATTTCGATCGAATACTCCGGGAGGTCTCCGAGCATTCGTGCATGAACTGTGGAGGAGAAGGCAGCATTATGGAGTATTTGGCCTGCATCTACTCCGTACTCCGTACAGAGGACCTGGATATGAAGCTTCCCAACGCGCGTCCATGCCACGACATGCCTGCATCCTCCTCCATACAGAGTACAGGGGAGGTATTTCACAAAAGCCATCTGCATCGCTCCCTGCACAAAAAATAAAGATAAACAATCAAGCCCCCAGCTGCATGTCTCGAAGCCCAGACCCCCGTACCAGGGATATCTCATGTTCTAGACCACCAAGCCCATAAGCACACAACAAAAAAAAGTCCAGAACCTGCCGAAATCCAGACCTGGCCGTTGTGCTCCGTCCCCATTGACTAACTAGTTAATGCTTGAAAGGGAGGGGGTTCGTTTTTCTTTCTTGTTTTGTTTTGTTTTGTTTTGTTTTGTTCCCCTCCCTTCTTCTTATTCTGCTCCTCTCCCCTTAAACCGGCGCCAGTTCAGAAGAAATACCCGGCGATCTAGAACTCGAGGATATTTTTCTTTCCTTTTCTTCTTTCTTTCTTTCCTTTTTTTTTTTTTTTTTTTTTTTGGGGGGGGGGAGGGTTCATCTTCCCATGGCTGTGGGACGTTTCCCGGGGGGTTTGCTAGGGGCGGGAAGAAGAGGATTTGCTAAAAATAATGGGACGAGAGGGACAAAATAAACTGGGGGGGGGGGGGGGGGGGGGGGTACGGAGTAGTTGGTGTTTCTTTTTCTTTTCTTTTCTTCTTCTTTTTTTTTAAAAAAAAAAAAAAAAAAAAAAAAAAAGGATATTGGTTGATGTCCGTCTGTTGTGGCGGTTCAGGGATGGGCAGGGCGAAAGGTTATTTCTTTTGCTGCAAGAAAATGTACCCCGGAGGTTGCTTGATTGCTGCTGGTATTTCTTTTTCCTTCTTTTCTCTTTTCCTTTTTTTTTTTTTGGTGCTTTGATCTCTCTCTCTCTCTTTTCTTTTTCTTTTTCTTTTTCTTTTCAATTTCTTTTTTTCCCTTTGTTGGTTGGCCCTGTCTGTATGATGAGAGCGCGATTCGCTTAATTATACTTGAGATGGCTTGACTCCACACGCAAGTCCAGTCCAATATTCCCTCCTGCGCGAAGGATGGAGGTTGAAAAACCCACCGCTGAATTCCTTCAGAAGTTCGGATTCAAATAAAAAAAAGAAAATGATCAATATCCTCCCTTCGGGCTTCAGAGCTCGCTAAATTCTCTGTTGGGGCACGTTTTCTGCGATCAGACTTGCTCTTCCTTTCTACTAACTATGAAGACCGAACCACTGGTAACCAGCACCATAAAGAAGCATGAATTCATTGCTGATATGACCAAGCCGCAGGTTACAAGATAGGACTACCATATGTTCTACTGCTTCGGAATTGTCCATTCTCCTCGAGAAATTCCGCCATCTAAAATGGAGTGGTCTTTCGCCGAATGACCGACCTCTCAACAATCGACAATGCCTATGTATTTGCGGTCAAGGCGAGCCGGTTTCTACCCCGAACCATTCGATTCGCCGAAAGAAATTCACATGGCTTCACCGGATGTGATCCAGCCCTAAGCAAACACCCTCCTCAATATCGCCCATTAAATCTCTGCCTATGGATTCGTTTCGCCGTCAGGCGCGAGGAATCTGACCATACGTTTGGTAGGCAAAAGGGGGTTTCCGGAGAAATTGCAGGATTTGTTCTGTAGTAGTAGACAACAGTCGGCTGTTCCCCAGACTATCGACCTTCCGTTGGGTTTGCGACGAGCGAATTATCCCTGGAGGAATTCGAGTGAGTTAGGGTTATCATGTGGCCTGGCATCACCCGGTTGCAGCGCCATTGACGAAATGAGAACCTGCGGGTATGGAAGTGTACAGATTTTCCCAGCTTCCAGGAAAGAAACCTTGGCTCCGCCCGTCAGAGTTGATTGGACGGAGGACTCGTGACTAACTGGATGAGCTGCAACGATCAGACTCTGGTTGGGGCAAGCCAACTCCAAGCGCAAAGGCCTTCCAAAGCAGGATTTTAATCGACGCGATCCTTGACGTGAAATCTCTGGTTCGGGAACTAAATGGGAAATGGTCCAAAGACAGAGCAGAATCGCGGAACTAACAAGGACAGCGAAACAGGAGCAATATGAATGACGGTCGAGGGTGCAGTCGAGCAAAAACGAGACATCATATGAAGGGTGGCTCGAAAGTATGTGTGCGGGTCACTTGATTCACCACCGCCATCATCACAATATGCTATTATAGGCCTGGAAGTTGGCCCTTCTTCAAAAAGCGAGAGTGTGTCAGGGTGGAAAACCCTGGAAAACCTCTGGTGTACACTGTATATGAGAAGGTCAGGCTTTAGGTGTTTTAAATCTCCAAGGAGCTTTGTAATCCTCTGGCTCAGGCCGGGTTAGATGACAGTGAAAATAAGAACAGTTAACAAGGTCTAAATAATTTGAGGCGTTGAGTGCATGTTGAAGCTGTGTACTTTTCCAATCCCCTTGGATAGGGATGCCTAGAGAAAGGAATAGTTTTCCCGGGGGAACTTAAAACCCAAGGACAAAGGTAACCCAGATTTGTACGCATCAAACAATCTCCTGTTCCAGGACATCGCTCCTTACCCCTTGTGCGCATGAATCCTTGATGACAGAGTGAAATATTCATCAAGCATACACACAGGTTTTCGCGCGGTGAGAAAGTTATACCAAATTCGCCCTTATTCAGCAACCTTAGCAGCTGGTGGCTGGTGGCTGGTGGGACAACCGGCAAGGGAGCCACTCTCTGTGGCTCAGTTGGTTATGCGGCATCGCAGAAAGTTAGTTGACCAAGCGGTTGGAGCTGCGGGAGAGCGTGAATACCGGAAGGCGGATCGGTGTTATCGATTGCATGGTATATTGGGGTATACGGTTTGGCATAGCGGGCTCGATTATCAAAGCCGGCTGCCTGTCTAGCCATTCACTGGCTAATCTGTGCAGTGCGATCTCTTTCCTGCTCCCACCGCACATCGTATTTTGTGAGTCAGCGGGGTGACCATATTCTGCACCCCCGAAGCTTCGAGCGACCGCGCAACGGAGGCCTGTTTCTTTAGCAATGGTTTCTGCGCAAGGCCGCCGTGGCGGCGGAAACGCCGATCCGTTCCAGGGATTTATATCAGCAGATGAAAGAGAAGAGTTACTCCAGGCAGTTGTATGTGGGCGTTTCATTTTTTTTTCTTTTCGTTTCCCGTTCCCTTTGCGAAAGCTTCCCTTGTCAAGACTAACTATGTCGGTCCGATAGGTTCTAACCGATACCTTTGAGACGCGGTTTGAGCCTTTTACCCTTGAGAAGCCAAGAGTGTGTACTCCTCTCCCTGTCGTTGACCGACCTCACAGTGGAATCAATGAAACCGAGCTAAGATGTGAGCCTGTCACGGCTTCTGCGAGCGATATAGTGTCTCTTACCTCTTGCAAATACGCTGTTGATCGACCATACCCTTGAGTTCTTGCTCAATGCGGGAATTGAAGAAGTTTTCATTTACACACACGCGGATTGTGATCTGGTTGAGAACCATCTGGAGTACGTAAAGAGTTAGCTTGGTGGTTATTGCGCATGTCATCTTTGGATGGGCTGTCTAACTCTCTTGGATATAGCGCTTCGAAATGGAAATCTTTCCTCTCTCCTTTTAAGAAGTTCAAGATTCTGAAAACGACGGCTACATCGGTTGGAGATGTGATGCGGGACCTTCACGGTAAGCACCTTATAGCAGGGGATTTTCTGCTGGTCAGCGGCGATGTAGTCAGCAATATGCCTGTTGAAGAAGTATGGGCGCAGCATCGGGCACGAAGAATCGCCGACAAGAACGCAATCATGACTATGATTCTGCGTGAAGCTGGACCGTTGCATCGAACAAAGGCATCTCCGACTTCCCCGGTGTTCATCATTGACCCGACAAAGGACCGATGTTTACATTATGAAGAAATCCGCCGCTCCCAGACCGGTCCGAAATCGTCCTATGTCAGCATCGATCCAGATCTGGTGAAGTCGTTCCCAGAAATTGATATCAGAAACGACCTAATTGACTGCGGTATTGATATTTGCACTCCGGAAGTATTAGGTCTGTGGGCCGATAGTTTCGACTATCAGTCTCCGCGCAAACATTTTCTCTACGGCGTGCTGAAGGATTACGAGTTAAACGGCAAGACTATCCATACGCACATTGTTAAGGACCATTATGCCGCCAGAGTACGAAATCTCAAAGCTTATGATTCTGTAAGCCGAGATTATATTTCGAGATGGGTATACCCGCTCTGTTCCGATGCCAACTTGTTCACTGGTGACTCGTACAGATTACGGCGTGGCAATGTGTACCAAGAGGAGGGTGTGGTTCTCTCAAGGTCCGCGATAATAAAGCAGCGGACAATTATTGGCACAGGAACAAATATTGGCGAAGGGACCTACATTACGGACAGTGTAATTGGTAGGCGCTGTCGTATCGGAAACAATGTCATCTTGGATGGTGCATACATTTGGGACGACGTTGTCATCGGCGATGGGACTGAGATTCGACATGCAATTGTGGCAAATGGGGTAGTAATCGGAAGCAAGTGTCGGGTTGAGCCCGGAGTACTCCTTTCATATGGAGTGAAATTAGGAGACGATATTTCAATCCCGAGAAGCATGAGGATTACCAAGCTACAACAAGATGAGGCAAGGACTACTTCCGAACTTCTTGGAAAGGATTGTGAGGGCTACGAATTTGTTCATGAGTATGAAGATGAAGAAGAAAGTGACGATGAACTTGCCATGTCTGGACTATGTAAGTGCTTCCTTGGACCTGCATATTTTCACTTCAGGTGCTGACAACTTGCGACAAAGTGTATAACATGGCAGAACTCGCATTATCGGATGCGTCGATTTCCACCCTTGCATCTGGGTTATCGGAAGATGAATACGCTATGTCAAGGCAGCGAGCGGACAGTTTTGGCACGTCAGTGTCCGACGATGAAGAAAGGGATCATTTCCATCATGATGCTGTTGTTAGTATTGTTGACAGCCTTAAAGAGGGCTTGAGTGCCGATGTTGTGCAGCTCGAACTCGTCGGACTACGCATGAGTGCCAATGCGTCAGAACATCAAGTCCGACGGGCAGTGGTAACAGCATTCATGAAGCATGCACAGCGCCAGCTCGAAGAGGGCGTAAGCGCCGGAGAGGCTATCAAGCAGCTTCTTACTAAATACAAGGAAATGCTTGCCCGGATTGTGTTTGATCGGGAAACTGATGAGAAGCCGGACCAAGTTGACTTGCTGCTCTTGTTCCAGCAGGACCTCGTTGAGCGGAGCAAAGGGGGTACAATCCTTTTGTTTGTTGCAAAGGAGCTTTATGATTTGGAAATAGTCGAGGACGAGGCATTTGAGCAATGGTGGGACAACGACCGGTCAACGGCTACTGAGGCATTGAAGAAAGTTAGGCAGCAGACTCAGCCCTTTATTGACTGGATGATGACCGAGGAGAGCGATGAAGAAGAGTCTGATGAGGAATCGGGTGAAGAAGAAGATGATGATGATGATGACGATGATGAGAGTGAATAAAGATATGAAAAAACTTTTTGCATTGACATAAAATGTATTGGCATTATCAGAGAAATACTCTTGTTGTTGTTCAGTCTCTGGAGGCTATATAAATTCCTTGCGCTTCCTGATGAGGCAAACTACTCCTGTTTGGCTGATTCAGCAGACACACCTGCTTTAGGTAACATAATCCACAAGCAAGTGAAATCCGCAAGCAAGCGAAAGATTAAATTAAGGCATCTCAACTAACTAGAATTTAACCCAAAATATCTATGCTCAACAACACCTAAATAGATTAAATTACATTGCAATAGGACTACAGCTCCTTCTTCTTGTATGGCCTAAAATATGGCAGTTTGTACATCTTGGTGATGCCTGCAAATATAATGCAGGCTCTGAGACTGCAGACTTAGAGAGTTGAGCAACTGATTGTTCAACAGATTAAGCAAGTAAAATAGCAAGCTCAGCAATCTCTTCTCTAGTTAGATCTTCTTTATACTGAATTTGATGCTTAGATCTTGTATATTTTTGCTTCTCTTTCTCATTTGCAGCAAATATATTCTGATATTTATAATAGTGGTGTTGATCATTTCATATTCACAGATCTTGATAATTTGGTTAAATTCTTTTATTAAGCTCTGCATAAGCTCTTAAGCCTCTGCTTTATAAGATTCTTGATCTCACCCACCTGTCTATGCAACTGCTGGGGATTGCCACTTGGTGTTTGTAGAATCTAGAATGACTGGGAGTTACTAGATTAGCTAGCTGAGAAAGTAGAGAGTTAGAGTTAAATATTCAGCTACTGAAGAATCTTTCTATTCTCACATTTTGCTTGCTTGTAATTATAGTGTCTGGAATAGCAACATTTGAGCTTCATACAGTATTTAATCAGATTTGACATTCAGTTCTTGCCAACATACAGGGAAGAAGAGATAGAATCTTGTATAGCAAGAAGATAATTAGCCATATTCTTAATAAATACTGGTCTGAGGAGAATTCCTTGTTTAGCTAGATCTAAGATTCATTGAACTAGCTGATTCTCTTCAGGCTCAGTTAATTTGATTGAATTTGCATATAGACTGATTCTTGCACATCTTCCTTTTACTTAATGATATAAGATAGTATAAGATACATTAAATAACTATACAGCTTCAGCAATTGAGCTAATTTCTTACTTTTTAAGAGTAGAAATAGCAAGTTCAATCCTGCCCTCTATTTCTATAGAGGATCTTGCATTTTTATTGTGAATTGGTGGCATTCTGATGTGTTGAAGTGGATGGTTGAGGAAGTTGAAAAAATATCTTTCGCTCACTTGCAGATTTCGCTCGCTTGTGGATTATGTTATAACGCCCCAAACACGCCATGTGGCCTGCTACCTTTCAGGATGGACTGCGGATGCACCTCTGCCACCCGAAGCCAAAACTCACTGTAGAACCATCACGGCCGGTGGCTCGACTCAACATGCCGGATTTGCTGGCTAGGTCGCGTGAGCGGGCAAGTCAGTCAGACAACGTTGCACATCCCCGGGGGGGGGGAGGAAATCACCCAAAAAAGGACCGTCGACAACTGCCATCTAAACCTGCCGGAATCAAGCAAGGTTCGCATCAACGGCCGACACAATGCACAAGCGAACGGTTAGTGGTACTGTGGCAATCAACAACCAAGTGCAACAGGAAGTTAAAGACTTCGACGGTCCTTTTGTGGTACGAAATGGAGGAATACATACATGAACGTGCAGCTTTCCTGGCTTTGGAGGGTTGGTTAAGGATTTTCCTGAGATACATCCTCGCATCCACTCGCACCGTACCACTATGGTAGCATATCTTGATTGACTCCTTACACTGAGACCAGAATCTCAGGGTACTCCTTCAAGTTCTAGTATCCAGAGCTCTTCCGAGAGAGCCGAAGATTTCAGCAAAACCATATTTGTCTACCTTCGATCTACCACACTATTATTCTGTACGCTCATTATAGCTGCTATTTCACTGTATCTGTATCAAAAAAGATCTAGCTGCGGAAACACTGGGAACAGAACTATAATGTAAGCCTACCACTTACATCCCCCGTATCTCACTATAACGCCTTGATGTACCACGTACAAGCTCCTTGAGGGCTCGGTGCGCATTGCATAAGTATTAATCAGAGAACCATCTTCGTCCGCCCCCCCAGTCTCTTTCCTTAGGGGTGAGCTTTTTCAGTCTGCTGCTGGTAATGTGTCATAGATGGCGGAATACCCGAGAACAAACCCTTTCCTAGGAGGAAGGCTTCGGTAGTATATCCATCCACGTAGTTGGTTAACGAAGAAGGGGAAAAAAAAAAGAGAGCAAAGGGCAAAATTGCGGAGCGCCATTTCCAAATTTGAGCATCAGGCTCGTCCAAGCCCAAAGCAATTGGACCGACCATTGCGTAAACTTGAATGCTTTGACTGTGTTCTAAGCTTGCTAGTGGCTGGTGGGGAGGCGAGGTTAGGCAGAGGGAGAATGGGAACATTCCAGGGCCGCTAAATACATAGACTGCGCTTAGATCTTATCAAGTATACTCCGTACAAAGCTGAACAAATATCCTAAAAACTAAAGCAGGTCCATTTTCTCTAGCCTCGAGAGCCTGCCCAGAAACCAGCATCACTGTGGCCGCCAGCCGTGAAATCGGACTATACCCCACTTGTCAGCGGCCGGCCCGAATTTCACCCCTCTAACTAGTTCATGTAGGCACCAAGGCGTGCAGTCTTGAAATAGGCACAATATATCTATATATTGTATATTGGACAAAGCAAACAGCTGTATAGATCACAAACACCTGAGCACATGCCCTGACTTCAGAATTTCGCATTCAAACACTTTGTTCTGTTTCCTTTCAGTACCACACCTCCTTTGCTGCATAGCTGTCACTCCCACCCAACCCTCCAGAAACAAGCGCGCTCACAATCCACACTCCCAACACAACCCTGTAACTCAGCAAAGGCTGTGGCGTGACAGAGGGCTTTTTTCCCTTCCTTTCACAGGGACATCTGCAACTCAACAGATACCACATAGAACGCGTGACCACCTCCCACCCAAAGTTGGGAAGGCAACAGCAGTCCAGCAAGGCTGGAGAACTCTAGCCATCCTTCATTCTTACATACGGAGCTGCACGGTTGGAGATACCGTCATCATGGATTCGGACGACGAGTTCATGAGCGATGTGACAAGCCAGCTTGACGAAGATATGGATTTCATTGGTACTCAAGATAGTGATGAGGATAGTCTAGGTGAAGGTATGCTGAGGAGCTATCGATTCATACCTGGCTTATCCATGAGGATGATTTTATCCCTTTGGGATTCGAACGCTAATGTTTCAATGTCCTGCACCATAGATTTTGACGCTGACCTGGGTGCCTCTTTCACGGACGAGAAAGAAGTAACGAAGAAGTCACGGAAAGCCTATGAAGTCGAATTCAAAGTCCTGAGCCCGGATGATATACAACGAGAGCAAACGGTACAGATCAACGAGGTCTCCTCTATCCTCGGCCTACCCCCTGAGTCTGCGGCTATTTTACTCCGGTTCGGTCGGTGGAACAGAGAGAGGCTGATCGAGTCGTATATGGACCACCCAGAGAAAATATTAGAAGAGGCGGGACTAGGGTCTAATATCACCGGAACGCCGAAGACGGAAGTTGTCGATGGGTTTATGTGTGATATTTGCTGTGAGGACGGCGAGGATTTGCAAACATTTGCCATGCGATGTGGTCATAGATTCTGCGTTGATTGCTATCGTCATTATCTTGTGCAGAAAATCAAGGAGGAAGGTGAGGCAGCTAGGATACAATGCCCGCAAGACCAGTGTCAACAAATTGTGGACTCGAAAAGTCTCGAATTACTCGTTCCGGATGACATTAAGGAGAGGTATGGTGCTCCGTGTCTTGTTTCCCGTAATATGGGAAGGTGCTAACATACACTTCGTTCATTAGGTACCATATCCTCTTAACAAGAACTTACGTTGACGACAAAGCGAACTTGAAATGGTGCCCGGCCCCGAATTGCGAATTTGCTGTGGATTGCTCGGTAAAGACGCGAGAACTCGACCGGATCGTCCCCACAGTACGTTGCTCGTGCGCACACATGTTCTGCTTCGGCTGTACTCTAAACGACCATCAACCCGCTCCCTGCGCCATTGTCAAAATGTGGTTGAAGAAGTGCAAGGACGATTCAGAAACCGCAAACTGGATATCAGCCAACACTAAGGAGTGTCCCAAATGTCACTCGACAATAGAAAAGAATGGTGGATGTAACCATATGACATGTCGAAAGTGCAAGCACGAATTTTGCTGGATGTGTATGGGCCTGTGGTCAGAACACGGCACCAGCTGGTATAACTGCAATCGTTACGAAGAGAAGTCTGGCGCCGAGGCGCGGGATGCCCAGGCGCGGTCTCGAAGATCTCTTGAAAGATATCTCCATTATTACAACCGTTATGCAAATCACGAGCAGTCGGCCAAGCTCGACAAGGATCTATATCTGAAGACGGAGAAGAAGATGGTAAACCTCCAGACTCAATCAGGCATGTCGTGGATCGAGGTGCAATTTTTGGATACGGCCTCCCGAACTCTCCAAGAGTGCAGGCAGACACTCAAATGGACATATGCTTTCGCCTTTTACCTTGCACGTAACAATTTGACCGAGATGTTTGAAGACAACCAGAAGGACCTAGAATTGGCCGTGGAAAGCTTAAGTGAGATGTTCGAAAAGCCCGTTGCCGAATTAGCGGAAGTGAAGGGCGACATTCTAGATAAGACAGCATATTGCGATCGAAGGCGATGCACGTTACTCAGCTATACAGCTGAGAATTTGAAAGCTGGTACGTTTCCATGATAGGACAAGTTGAATTGCTGATTTTGCTGACTTCTTTTTGGCTGTAACAGGGGAATGGTCCTTCAATGTTGATATTACCATGGCATAGACTAAGGATGCTTCTCTCATTTTTTTTTTTCATTTTTTTTTTCTCAGCTATATCTGGTCTTGATGATGGTTGAAGATTTTATGCCTGGCGTAAAGGGTAGCATATTTGCAATTATCTGACCAGTTTCGAAACATATGTAACCTGAACAGTTCTCAGTGCCTAATTCTTCGTTTATGCTATCTACGAAGGCTTTTATATTTACCTTAACGGGACACGACGCATGATCTCAAAACATTTGACATGGCGACAATATTTTCTTGATATGCATTAGGAGGATATTACCAAAAATACATGATGACTCTGATAGCAGAATTAAATGTATAATATGCTGCTATATTCCACATAGACTACCGTTTTTGCATTTTATCTGATCTCTTTTGATGAGAGAACGCAACCATTAGAAATGAAGACGATAAATGCCGGAGAGACACGGTTTCTCGGATGAGAGAGAATCAGGCTTGACAGCCAATAGCGGAATCTTCGGTTCTCCTTCGAGAACCTCGCTACCCCCCGTCGCGTGGACCCCGATGAGCACGCGCGCGCCCGTCCGCCTGGCCTTCACCCTGGGCGCATGCTCGCGTGTCTATCGTGGATTGGATTTCGTGCTGTCATGTGATTATGTCATGGCCAACCGTATTTTTAGGTTTTAGGTTTATCAGATCCGAGGCGTTCGCCCGGGAGGAAAGCCGAGGATGACTTAGAACATCGATGGATTAGATTAGATTATCACTGTTGCTGGAAGAATTCTTCCGTGTGTCGCCGTGTGGATGCGCTACTGCAAGGGTTGCAAACGCCGGGCACTCCGGACGGAGATTTGGCGATACAAGAGCAGTAATCGACCTAGGATTTTAAGCCCGACGGGACTAACGGAGGCTTCCGTAGCCAATTCGTGAACTCTCTCTCCCCACCTTTGCCTCTTTTGTCCCCCCAAAGAGTGTTTTGTGGGTTGTGGATGCTTCCATCTGCTCGCGACTTGCGGTCAATTTAGTTTGGTTAGTTACTAGTTATCTGATCGTTTAGTTACGTAACATGGGAACTCCGATAGCCTCCGAGGGCTGGTGGCGGCTTGGTGATGCACTCCCGGTTTCGCAGCGCCTCGAGTCAGGTCTCTTTTGGGAATATCGTGTCTTGAACTATTCATGAAATGCTTCTGCCCGAACTTTTGTGGCCGAGACTGATGACCGAAATGTGCCATGTACTGGGCGTACTTCTACTGAGGATGGATGCACTGTTGGATGTGTCAGGTTTTGAGCCTTGGCGATGTCCGCCTCGGAGATGCACAAACTCTTTCTGGAAGCTGAACGGTCCTTAATACGGCTCTGTCTTTGCGGCGAGAAGTTCTGGAACAAAATGTCCGACAGCTCTAAAAGAGGGCTTTTTCGCTTGACACGAAGTTTAGATATGTTCTCTTTGGATGTAGAGATTACCTGTATAGAGAGAGAGAAAGACACACGGGTGTTGGATTTTTTTTTTTTTTTTCCGCCGAATCTGTTAACTCCGGGTTTTCCATCATCCTCATCTTCTGAACAGAGGAGGCAACTGGGGAGGATCTGTTTCAGGGTGGGTGGGAATAAGAAAATGCGGATATAGTAGACCACGGTAGAGGGTTTGCCTTGGACGGTGCAGTACCAACCCAGAATAGCCATCAGATGGATTTTAGGGAATAACTGGAGCAAACCAGTTGCCAGATGAGCAAGCAAAACACCCAGCTCTCTCTCTGAAGGGCGCTTCTCCGGTGTGCGGTTTGATGCTTGGCTGGTGAGCCATTGGTTGCAGCACAATTGAAGCTAGTGTGCCCGCGCCGAGCCATGAATGGTGCTTGAAAGAGAAAAACTTCCCCATCCCAGCTATCAGAAAACTGACATTCTTAACTCTTTCGTTACCTTCCTTTTTCCAGCACTCCACCTCTTCGTCTCATTCTCTTCTGTATAGAAATTCCATCTAAATTCACAGCTATTGCCCTGTGATTCCCTCTGTTCCCATTGACTTCAACCTCCAACCACCAGTTCCCTCGCTCTTCCTCTTCTCACGTCATCCACATAATTCGCCCCAGTGCGCAAAGACCTCAAGCCTCCATAGCTCGAATTTTTGGAGGCCAGTCCGTCGCGACATATCAGTAGACCACCGCGCAGCTCCGGCTGCAAGAATCAACTTTAAATGGCCTCTCCAGACCGTGTTCCCGGCGAGGAATATGAGTATGATTTGCCCTTTCCCTATCAAATTGCCCTCTTCTTCATGCAGGCCAGGGGGTTGGGGGGGTTGCCAAAGACCTTTGAGCTTCTGATGCTAACGGTGCGACCTCCCTTGTGATTAGCTATGAGGCGCTTCCTTCGAATTACTCCCTCGGGCATAATATGATAGCCGGTGCTTTCGCTGGTATTGCGGTATGTCTCCGTTTCTGCGTGTCGCTTCGGCGGTTTCGCCCGTGAAGGACAAACAATATTGGTATAGTAAGAGAGGAAGGCTGACGGTAGCTCCCGTCTAGGAACACTCTGTTATGTATCCAGTCGATCTCCTGAAGGTAAGCCGATCTCCTTTCCAAGTTTCGCAAGAGAGAAGAGAACCGGTGCTCTTTGGGCTCTTTTTCCCCTCCCAGAATCATTTCAGGCTTTCACCTTGCCCAGTACGCCCGTGGCTGATTGTTCTCTCGTTAAACAGACTCGAATGCAAGTTTTGAACCCTTCTGCTGGAGGATTGTATACAGGTCTTAGCAATGCGTTTACTACGATTTCGCGGGTTGAAGGCTGGAGGACACTTTGGAAGGGTGTATCGAGCGTCATTGTCGGCGCTGGTATGACAACACCTAGAATCCCTCGCTTCCAGGCTCGAAGACGCTCTTGCAAATGGCTGATATTCATTGTGCTCAACAGGCCCTGCTCATGCTGTCTATTTCGGCACTTATGAAGTAGTTAAGGACCTTGCCGGAGGTAATGTTGGAGATGGCCACCATCCATTCGCTGCAGGTAAGCATGCCGGCTTGCTCCGATTTCCCAAGCAGGCCCAAAGCAGGCCCAATTGGACCTTGTATTGATTAAATGCGGCTAGGCTTGAGTGGAGCATGCGCAACTATTACAAGTGACGCATTGATGAATCCCTTTGACGGTAAGGAGCTCCTCGTATTCCCCTATCTGAGTATTCCAGATACTAACACTTGATGCTCAGTCATCAAACAACGGATGCAAGTCCATGGCTCTACGCACAAGACCATCTGGCAATGTGCCACAACTGTCTATCGGGCCGAAGGAATGCGCGCTTTCTACGTATCTTATCCGACAACATTGTGCATGACAATTCCTTTCACTGCTACTCAATTTATCGCATACGAATCCACGTCGAAGATAATGAATCCGTCCAAGAAATATGACCCCCTCACCCACTGTGTTGCTGGCGCTTTAGCTGGAGCAGTTGCAGCAGCGGTTACAACACCTCTCGATGTTATCAAGACCGTACTACAAACACGAGGACTCGCAAAGGACGACGAAGTTCGAACCGCTCGCGGTTTATTCAACGCAGCTGCCATTATCAAGAAACAGTACGGCTGGTCTGGGTTTTTCCGTGGAATGCGACCTAGAATCATCGCCACAATGCCAAGCACTGCTATTTGCTGGTGAGTCAGATCGGCGGTCTTGTCGAGCACATTTACCTTTGACTCGCCAAGGGCGCTCCATTTGCGGTAGCACTCGCTAACGTCAATGTAGGAGTTCATACGAAATGGCCAAAGCATATTTCAAGAGACACTACGGCGACTCTGCCGCCTAGACGTTGGTATACCCCCACGCTTTCAGTGCCTCTTCCTTTATTGTGCATATGTTCTGTATCGAAACATGTGCACTAGATTATTCCCTTTAATAATGCGGCAGATTTCTATCCTTTGCTGGATGAAAAAGTATGGAACGGTTTCTCCTGGGTTTAGATTTTATAATTTCACACTTGTCGTTTTTTTACATCTTGAGTTGGGCGTCCAGTGGCAGAGAGGCTTTGTGTGCACCAGAGCATTTCCTTTCCATTCCCTATCCCCTCGTCAGCTGGAAATACATAGGAACGATTGAGCGGAAATTTCTCGCTTTCACTGTTCAAAGCACATAAATCCATCAGATTTGCTCTTATTGGTTGGATCCAGTTCTATCCGGTTGGATTTTCTTTTGTTTTCTCTGCTTTATTTTCTTCCTTTCGGCTATGCGTGCGACTTCAGCCAGTACGCCATCAATTAAATGTGCCAGTTTACCGGTCTTGCGGGGGTAACGCATCCTAGGAAACCCGATGCCAGATGGCGGGACGACGTACCGTTGCGTGAAAATCATTTCGTTGGGAATGGGTCCTGTCTCGGGTATACCCTTACAACTTCTGTCCGTATGTCTTACATTTGTAAGATTCCGATCGTGGGAGTATTCCCGTGACGTCCAGGTTTGCAAGAGTCTCAAATATAATAAATGGATTATTCGCTTGAGCGCGGTGCAGATACACATGCGAACCCATTTGGGATTGAAGAATATTAGGAGATGGGACATTGGCTGGGCGGTAGGCCCTGTACTTAGCGGCGGGAACACGGAGCTCAACGTGGACGAGCTACTCTTAACCCGACGAGGGCCTCGTCATTTGCTACAAAGGCATGGATACGTTCGGGAGCATTTGGACTCGCGACGTTCATGATTCAGCCCCAAGGTGGCAGTGTGTACCCGGTTTGAATATATGAGGAAATCTAATAGTAAAAGATAGGCGCGAATAAATAATCTTGACGCCTTAGAAGCAAGTAGTCAGACGGCAGAGACCTGCTGCAAGAAGACTTAGCAATGCACCACACCAGATAGTTCAAATCTAGCGACAATCGCAGATCGGATTCACGGATTCACGGACCTTTCGGGTTGAAGAATCACGATGTGTTGGGAAGCCCTCTCGGCAACGGGGTCTGTTGGTATATCCTCGCAGATCTCATGGAATCGGGTTCTTTCAAATCAGCTAACAGTATGAATGTGAAAGGGGACTGGTTCGGTTCCAGTTGGCCCTTGTTAATCAATTTTGCTTCTCAGATGAGGCCTTTCCAGGAGGATTACGAGGGCATTGGAAACACCGAAGTTGCAGTCCGAAGAGTAAAATAGAAACGGAGAAATATGTACAAAAAGGGCAAAAACTGTTAGGGATATTGAAAACTCACCCCCTGGCTGATTGGCCTTTTTGCCTAACTAGGTAGTCTATGAAAAATATCGTTTTCAGCTATTTCGATAGTCCCCTTTTTCAAGTCCTACATAGGCCCATAGGTCTCCCGAATTGACTATCCCATTGTGTATTCAGCCTGCACCTTGCGCCGCTAATTTGCGGGGGTATGCAAGTCGTCTTTTCTCGAGCCAGAGCAGAGGCCAGCGCGCAGCCATCATACCCGCATGCGAGTCTCTCAAAGTATGATAGAAGGAAATGAACTCGGGCTCGAATCTGAGTCCAGTTAATATTTATGTAGGGGAGTAGCCGTTGCAGATTCTGTTGCTGGCCGTGACACTGTGGTATGATGCGGAACGACGGCCTCTCAAGAGTTGGCACCTCGACGTCATACAACTCCCCCAGCAGGGACAATTCCACCAGAGACCTCGTCGTTTTACAATCCCTAATGACGAACCGAATTTGGACTTGAGCAATTCCGGCCATACCGTCCGAGGCCTTATGACCCGTTAACTGAACTTCTTTTCATCCACCACCGCTTGCGCGGCGGGGTGGACTCTTCAGACAACGAAACGCCGGAACAGGAGCCACGAGCGAACCACAGAACGACTTAACGTCATTCCCCAGCCAAATAACGGACGAAAAAGTCTATCGAGATCGAACATTTTACCGGCCAGCAGCGAATGTCTGTGTTGCAAGTGTAGATTGCACTTTCCCTCGTGCCTGCCCGTCGCATCGTCTCGGACGGCGATTGTATGCAGTGATCTTCAGATGGAGGAGCTTTGATCCGCGCACATTGCCACGCCTATAATGTTGCGTTCGAGCCCCGGGTCGTTGATGCAGAAGACGTACGATGAGTGTTATCTGATGTGTTCGACTGCCGTGTACTTTGAAGGACGGGTATGCAATTCTCGCTCAAGCACACTTCGCCCCCCGTTGTTGCGATCCATTTGCTGCACTACTGGCCGGGAACACCCAGCCGGTTTCCGCGGATATATACCCTGGCACTCTTTTTTTCCCGAACAGTTCCTTTCGCCGGTGGTTCTTTGTGTCTTATAGCGCTTGATTGTTGGGAACGCATCGCTAACCGATTCACTGTGTATAGAATAATGAACAAGAAGCCCTACGGTCCTGGCGGGAATCCCTGGATACCATATATCGCCACAATGCCTCTATATCCTCGAGCTACGTCCCACAAAACGAAACCGAGCGCGCTCTGCAGAAGTCAATCCAAGAGTTAGAGACGCAGTGCAAGGAGCGTATAGATTTGCTTGAAGCTCTTCGGGAAAGCCGTAGAACGGCACTGCTAGAAGAAGGAAAGGACAAGTCCGGATTGCGTGGCGAGTCTAGCATGGGAACAACCCATGCTGATACGGGACAAGGTATCCCTTCCCCTGGGTGGATTGGTGATGGTACAGTTCCATCGCTCGGTTATCCGGATCTACCACGACCGGCTTTACCTCCACGACCTCAAGCTCGAAACACTAATCGGGTAGCAAATGCGGTCACCCCCTCAAAGCTATCGAGATCCGCAAGTTCTGAGGAAAGAACAGTGCTGTTGCCGACTTTGAGGGGATCTAAGGACAAGAAGTCACCCGAGATGCGAGACAAAAATTCCCGTCGGGTATCTCGCCCAGCTGCATCGCAAGCAGCAGACCTAGCTTGGAGCGCTTTACATTCCCGACCATCTGGCCCACATATGACGCACTCCACCCCCGTAAGTGATTCCACCTCCAGAAAATGGGTGGATTCTAGTCTACGACCAGACGCACGCCCGAGGAAGTTAGGAAATCCAGCGGTAAACTTGGCGTCAGGCGCGGCAGCGGCAGCTACACGTCGCCCCGCTGAACCGGAATCATTACCTGAAGACTCAAATACATCTGCAAGATCATATCGCAACCCAGATACAACGGATGCGCTATCTGCAAAGGCTGCAACGATATCAAAACTTGGCGCACCCGCCTCTGCGTATCCTAAATACCGGAAAGAGTATCCAGAATCTGGAAATACGCTGTCGTCAGGTCCTGTAACCCCCCAAGCCAAAGCGTCTTCCAATTCGGCACGCAAAGGGCCAGAGAGTCAGCCAGGGACGTCTCCTGGACAACCGCCAGCAGCCGATGGGACACCGCTTTTTAAGCCTCCATCTTCGGGCCAAAAAAATGAGAAGGCCCGCCGGCCTGGTGGTAAAGGGCATAATGACAATTCTGCAAGGCAGAATATCAGCCACGAGCAGTCTCACTCTGCAACGAGTTCTCCCGTCCAGCCAAAGAAAGATTCATCACCGTTGCCACCAGAAACACCCCGAAACCAGGTGGAGTCTAGTGACGACGAGGATCCGTTCGCAGAGGAGATAAGAACTGATAAAGACTTCTGTAACATTATGAAAAATCTTCCGAAAGGAGTAGATCGTAATGCGGCAGGTCAAATCTTAAATGAAATTGTCGTTCGGGGGGATGAAGTTCATTGGGACGATATCGCCGGTTTAGAAATTGCAAAAAAAGCATTGAAAGAAGCTGTCGTTTATCCTTTTCTTCGCCCGGATTTATTTATGGGCCTCCGTGAACCCGCGAGAGGAATGCTGCTTTTTGGTCCACCTGGCACAGGAAAGACTATGCTTGCAAGGGCAGTGGCCACCGAATCAAAGTCGACATTTTTCTCTATATCAGCAACGAGTTTAACGTCCAAGTGGCATGGGGAAAGCGAAAAGCTGGTTCGCGCTCTGTTCGCTCTAGCAAAAGCCATGGCGCCGTCGATAATATTCGTTGATGAGATTGATTCGTTGCTCTCTTCTCGTTTAAGTGGCGACCATGATGCCACTCGACGATCGAAAACCCAATTCCTTGTTGAATGGTCTGACCTTCAGCGTGCAGCCGCCGGGAGAGAGCAATCAACCAAAGAGAAAGCTGAAGGTGATGCAACAAGGGTTCTTGTGCTCGGTGCGACGAACGTGCCGTGGGACATCGACGATGCAGCCCGGCGGAGATTTGTTCGGAGACAATATATACCCCTACCTGAGGATGATGTGCGAAAGCTGCAACTTCAGAAGTTACTTAGCCATCAGAAACATGAGCTGTCGGAGGAGGATATTGATGTTCTAGTCAAAGTTACTGACGGTAACTCTTACCCCTTTCCTCACATTAACTTGAGTTACCATTTGAAACTCGGTACTAACAGTAGTTATATTAACCCAGGGTTCTCTGGTTCTGATATCACAGCTTTGGCTAAAGATGCTGCTATGGGCCCTCTTCGCAACCTCGGCGAAGCTCTCCTCAGCACACCCATGGATGAGATCTGCCCAATTCGCTTTAAGGATTTCGAGTCGTCTCTTTACTCTATCAGGCCCAGCGTCAGTCGTGAACGCCTAAAGGAGTACGAAAGCTGGGCACGAGATTATGGGGAACGCGGCTCTTAGCTCCGCCAGTCGACAATTCATGTTGTTTATTCTCTTTTCTTCCTGACTTCTTTTCCCTCCTTCGGGTCCGAGGGAGTCCCTGCAGTGATGTGGATACTGTGAGTAGGTTTAAGGGAATTGTACTCTGGGAGTTAAATGCATCGGCATCTGTGGTTCTATTATTGTCCTGATTTTTCTAGTACGTTGGCTCATGGGATGGAGTTGGCTGCTCTCCTGTCAAACATCTATGGATATGAAATGCTGGATCAACCTGAATCCACCGGTTGCTGGCTTTCAATGAACACGTGCATTGCATTGGCACTGGTTTATGATCGATAGCTCTGCTCTTTTCTTGCTAGCCTTCTTTCAGTTTTCAGTTTTTACAGAATGTAGTTATTTTAATCTTCATTGATTAATCAATAGCAATCACCGTGCCGAGTTATATGGTTTTCTGTAATAGTCTATGTCAATGCACTTGCCTCTTGACTTTCGTGCTTGATTATCATCGCTTGACACATTCAATTCCGTACCTATAAGTTAAGTGTAAAGAGCACGGAGTGCATGCTGGGAATATACTTGTAACAATCGATAACTTATTCGATTCTATCAAACATACATCATATTATACAGAGCGGCGTAATGACACCCTTCGTCTTGCCGCCGAGAACGGAATAAAGAGAAGAAAAACAAGTTTCTATTCGAGCTTTGACAACTCTCGGGGATTTCTCCTTGTTACGCATATTTCTTTGTTTCTCACGCTCTCACCGCAGTATTCCGAACATTCTCCGTTTTCTCGGAATCCTCCGCGAGCAGTAATTTAATGTGCTCGACACGATCTTTAGAGAGCATCCCTCCGAGCAACAATTTCTCGAGTATCTGCCGTTTCACTGGCCCCAGTTTCTTTCCCGAGCCTTTCATTCTTTTCACAGAGTCATCCACAAATCTCTCAGGTTCTGTCAGGACTGGTGGACGTGCGCTAATCGGCGTCTCGAATGGCGCTATAATTCTCTCTACCACGTTCTTAGGATTTCCGAAATTAAAACCGTTCGAGAATTCGATCACATCACCTTCGCGGAGGGAGTTGTTCGGATCCGATACGCTGACCCTTGTCTTGAGGGGGTAGTATTTGTGCAGATTTCTGTCCCAATGTGTGGTGATGTGCACGACTTGAACGACTTTGTCCCTTTTACCGGCGGAAATGACGGTGCCGGTTTTGTGGTGGGTTATACCCTTGATATTGGAGTGTCTCGGGGTTTGCGGTTTGCGGGTGAGTTGATTGACTTGGGATTCTTCTGGCGGCGGTGGCGGCGGTGAGGAGGGCGTGGCATTCGTGTTTGATGGGGATGTATCGGTCGATAAGGGTGCGTTGATCTGTGGTCGGTTGAAGTATTGTGGTCTTCTGCTACTCAGGCATGCTGTCGCGGCGAATGAGGATCCGAGAGGGGAGGCCGCTGTCCGCGACAAGCAAAGCAGACTTCTGGTATTCATTTTTGCAGGAGCTCCTCCGGTCTTTGTGCCGCCAAAAAGAAAAGTCTAAAAGAACGAACAAAAGAAGCTCTCGAGGTAATTTGGCGGCCGCCAATCTAAAAGCTCAGCAAAAATTTAGCTGCGTTGTCTTCTGAGCGCGGACTTCAGTGAGAATCGTTTGCAGCTAAAATCCCCTCTTATCCAGAAAATTTGTCCGACCAGTCAATCAATTGACACGCCGCGGCACCTCTTCTGCTTCTGAGCCAGCAAACAGGGTCAATTCGAGTCGAACAGCTTGAATGGAACTCACTGGCAGCAGACCAGGATTGATCGAAGCCGCACGATCGAATTTCCTCTCACGTGACCTTTGACTTGGAACCAATCAAATAGATGCTATTAAATTAGTCAGCTAATAAAGGAACAAAGATCTTCCGAAATACAAACATGTCAAACAACCTTCTAGAGAGTACGGCCGGACGTCAAGGGAGCCAGCTGATAAATACTTCGGTGTCCAGAGTATACTTGCGGCGGCACATATATTCATGCCGGGAATCACCAAGTCCAGCTCTTGCTGAATGATCGAGATTTACGCATGAGATAGAAGGAAAGTAAGAATAGCACAAGGGCAGTTTCAGATATGTAAATGCCTCCACCGAGAGAAGAGAAGGGATTGAGCAAAACAAAATCGGACAAAGATGCCTACCCCCAAAGCTCCAAGACTCCAATGATGTACCGCATGGTGTGGTTGTATTGTGACATAAAACTAGTCCGCTTCCCTTCCTCGGCCATCCATACATGCTAATCGCTTCTCATAAGTTCGCCCAAGGGAAGAAATGGGCAAGGAAATCCCCAGTATAGGAAGATAACGCCGTATTAACCCCATATCCTCGTTTTAATTTATCAAAGCGCCCCCTTGACTTAATGGCTTTTGGAAAATATACAGTGTCAGTGGCCGTCGACATCATTGTTTATGACATCGGCGGCAGCATTGGGTGCTACTGATGAACGTCTCAGGAGCAGTTTCTTTTCTCCATGGGCAGATATCCTAGTCAATTCGGAAACAAACGACTGGCCCCAAAATGCGCTGCATGATGGTGATTAGCCATGTTCTCATCTGTGACAATCCTGTGTGTAAATAGGAACCATACCTAGTAAACTTGTGAACATATTTCTCCAGCTTTGAGTAGTTAAGGGCCCTCTGCTCATCGCTCATGGTGACAGCTTCCTGGTAAGCAGCTGCCAGCTCTTCAGTATTCCAGGGGTTCACAATGATGCTGCCGTTGAGGCTTTGCGCGGCGCCTGCAAATTCAGAAAGAACAAGGACACCATGACGCTTGTGCTGCGTTGCGATATATTCGTATGACACAAGATTCATACCATCTCTTGTTGACGAAACGATGCAAGCATCTGACACCGCGTATAGTGCAATGAGCTCGTCGAAATTAACAGATTTATGCATGAAATGAATCGGCATAAACTCCACCGTGCCTAAACAACTAGTGTTAAAGCTGCCTTCCCGGTGTTGAGGCAGGACATGAGTGTACTCAATACGTACCAAACTTCCCGTTAATCCTCCCAACTAGCTCATTGACCACTGCTCTCAAATTTTGATATTCTTCAACGTCTTGTCTGCTCGGAACCGCAACTTGGACAAGAACGACTTTGCCAATCCATTCGGGATGGTCCGTCAAAAATACTTCCAGGGCATGTAATTTTTGAGGTACTCCTTTGATGTAGTCAAGTCTATCGACTCCGACCATCAACTTTACACCTTGGAACTTCTGCTCCAACTGAGCGATTCGTTTTTGCACTTTTTCCTTCTTTAGCCCTTCGGAGAATTTATCAGGGTCAATGCCGATCGGAAATGCACCAACAGAAACCATCTTGCCCTGAAACTCCACACCGTTAGGCGTAGTGGATAAACCCCTAAAAGTAGTCATGTCAGCCGCCATCCTATGACACCCTAGATGCATTAGCGTATTCTGTCTTACAATATCCGAGAGCAACTGCTCAGAAAATGTCGCGCGTAGTCATATGTGTGGAATCCAATCAGATCACAATGGAGAACACCGAGAAGGAGCTCATTTCGAACCGGTAAGATACGATATATCTCGCTGCTGGGGAATGGGGTGTGAAGAAAGAAGCCTATCTTGACGTTGGACTTGGTCTCTCCGATCTCTTCGCGCAACATTGACGGTAAGAGCATTAAATGGTAATCGTGAACCCAAACTAAATCACCATCCCTCACGTCTTTTGCAATGGCTTTTGCGAAAAGGCGGTTGGCATCCCGGTAAGCATTCCACGCAGATTCATCGAAGGTTATCTCTCCCGGATGATAATGGAAGAGGGGCCAGAGGATTGAGTCTGAATGAGAAGCAGATAGGTCAGCATAGAGTTTTGAAACTGAGAAGCTTCTCGCGCGACACCGCAACCTATGGGGCATCCAAGTTCAAAATCCAAGGACGGGTCCACGATACGCACTTGAAAATCCATTATAATGCCTATCAGCAAGTTCATCGTCGATGAACACAGGCACCGCATTATATTCATCCTTCAATCTCTTGGTGACTATTTCAATTTCATCCTCCGGTACCTCTAGACCAGGCCAACCGTACCATTGAAATCTCGTCGTCTTTGAGAGACCACTTAGCCCGCTTACGAGACCGCCTGACGACATCGAGGAATCGTACTTGCCATCATCTGAACGCTTAATGGTGATTGGAAGCCGGTTGGAAACCAGAAGCAATCTCGGGTCTTCTTTGTGCGGGGACTCGAGGGACGGCATCGCGGGCGATATTGCTGATGTGACAATGGCGATTTTCGGAACGACGATTTGAAAACTGTAATCTCCGGTGGATGTGGAATATGTATCCCGACAGTGCAGTGGTAGACGAGCTGTTCAGCGGTGCAAGATGCTGTGTAAGGCTTGGAGCAACGTGGGGTTTGTCGATAGACTACGTAAGAGGTCGATGGCGGGACACTGGTATTTGTTTGGGCGATTCGGCAGTGGTCTGGCCCTCGAGGCGGCGTTTTAGTATGACATACTTAACTAACAAGGGCCCCATCAGATAACAAGCGCTTCTCACGAAGCAAAGGATTGGGGATTGGGTGCGATGTGGGCACAGCAAGGATTATGGGGGCAAGATCAAAGTCAGACGCCACCTGCTTGGCGCTTCAATGCCCTTCGTCACAGGGACTTCTGTTGGGAAGAGAACTCTCTGTCCGCCTTTGGAGGTGCTTAGATCGCTTCAATAGCGAGTCCATCGACTAGGAGGAGTTAAGTAAGAACGCCGTGTTCGATCTACGTTAACCTAATTCGGTTGTCCTGTGGTATTCCTCCATCAATGTATTATTAAACCTCAGCTCGCAAGGGAAAAAGACACGGCAGGGCGATGACAGCTGGATTTAAGATTTGAGCCACGGGCGCGTGCAAGGCCATTTCCAAGGGAAACCGGGAGCCCACGAAATGGACGGTGAGAGTGAGAGGACCCTGACAGAGTTGCGGGAAGTTTGCTGCATCGATGGCTGACTGCATGGAGCATTCGGATGGTGGAACCAACAGGAAACCTGGCGATGACGGCATTGCTCAACCCCCTCAGCTTCTATCCCCTTCGTCTTGACTCTGACTGTCGTCTTGGCTCTGTCCTTGCTGTCGAATGATTCTCCAACCGTCTCTAGGATTCGATACGTTTCTCGGGATTTGCCAAACGAGTCGACAGCCACTCCGGCGCGAGAACAGGAGCCCTGCGTGCCGTGATGAAACGTGCTGATTTGATGCTTGTTAGGTTTGAATTCGGAGTCTTGCATCCAACGACAACTTGCATGCCATACCCATCTCGTGGACACCTGCATATGCACCATGCAGCCAGTGTAACAAACTCATAATCTACGGAGTATAGCTCATCAAAAAGTTCCTTGGGATTGTCCACATTATAAAGTGACGTATGTAGATACTCTGTACAACAGCGCCGCGTCTAGGAGGGTATACAGACATACACACAGCACCCATTCAAGAATCCAATCAGTTACATGCTCATAGCGTCGATCTCACAGAGATCAACGTCCATTTATCGGATTTCCGGTCATGGATTACTCTTCCATCGTCTTCCAGCTTGAGGAGCACTTGGCTCACTCCGTAAGCGGCCGGCAGATGCAGATTCTCCGGCACGTTTTGGTAGATAACCTTGACAAGTTCCATCGGAGTCCAGGAGCTGGGTTTGCGCTCCGATGACTCCGGCATAGGAGAGGCTTCTAAACTCCCGTATTCCAAAACACGCAAGATTTCGTTTTCTCTTTGTTGTCGGTGCTTGATATATTCGGCTATTTTCGTTTTGCAATCTTCAATGATCGGACCGTGACCCGGGTATCCTGTTTTCGTCCCCCGAGCGCTCATCTTCTCAAGACTAGTCAGATAGACCCCGAGGTTCTCAAACACCGCTGTGCCGTGTCCTAATACATCTATTGAATTTCGGCCTTAGTAACCTATGCACCGCAAGAAGGGAAAAAAAAAGAAAAAGAAAAAGAAAAAAGAAAGGAAAAGGAAAAAAGGTGGAGAGGGCTCTGCAAAGACATCGTCGAAAGAGAAAACTCACTGTCGGCCGTAAACATGGCATTTTCCTCCTCTAGGACAAATGCCATATGATCACTGGCATGCCCCGGCGTATAAAAGGCCGTCAACGTTGCTCCCTCGACCTTGAAAACTTGCCCATCATGTATATCCTCCTGGCCGCCGTCTGGCTGATGTTTATATATCTTCACTTTAGGACATAATCTCGACAAATCTGCCACGCCACCGATATGATCGTGATGCCAGTGAGTAAGCAATGCTTGACTCACAGTGGCTCTCTCCGCCGCGAGCACCGATTTTAACGCTGCGATCCAACTGGGTTTGCCTTCGCCCGTGTCGATAAGCAGCCGCTGGGGTCCACGACCGACGAGATATGTATTTGTACCTGATTTTAAAGAAAGTTAGCCCCGTTCACCCATGGTTTTGCACCCAAGAGGCGCATATAAAAAAAAAAAAAAAAAAAAAAAAAAAAAAGGAATCCGCTTTCATTTCAAGCATGGGATGATTCTCCCGGGGAAATGCAACTACTAACCTTGCAACGTGAACTACCGCGATATCAGTAAATCCTCAATAAACAGTCCTCCAGTTGGAAGATGAAATGTCACTATGACATACCTTGCCGGGATTTCCGGCCAATATTCTGATCACCGACGCACTCAATCTCTCCACCTCTGGTATCGATATCAACTGTACTGCCATGTCTTCTTCCCCGGATGACTTCTAATGCTCCCCGGTGCACCGACTAAAGAGCTACTTGCGGAGCCTTAAATATCCTTACAGCATTTATCTGTATATGGCTTGACAGAGAAACGATGCGCGATGACCAGGAGCTTGGTTAAACCGTGGAAAATCAGTCGGCTTAATTGAAACACAGACGTGAGGAGGGAGGGGCTAAATAAAAATGTAGAGAATGAAAGGCTCTTCGACCAAGAGCTATAACTAATTTGGATACCTCGCACGCTGTTATACATACACTTCTCCTTGCGCCTTGCGCCAGTCCCTGCTGGGAGCGTCTCCCTCGGCACAAGGAAAGTCATCGGCCCTTTTGTACGCGGGGCTTTTATGTACGCTGGTGACAAAGTCCCCGAAGCTCGGCTGCAGGCTGATTACATAACAAACATAACGAGTTTAACGGACCTGGGCTTGATAATGCCGAGTCCTAGAGAGACGCTTTGAAGAACGGGGTAATGGGCTTCAGAATGGTTTACAAACTCGTAAAGGAAGGTTTTCAGAAGACGTAATTGTACAATGAATTGAACATCGTAGACGACATTTTTAAGGGCTGATCAGAAAAATAGAAACATCAGAAGACAAAAGACAAACAGTATATACAAATGTGGGACACCGATGAAACCCCAAAAAGTGAACATGAAGGGATAGCCTGCAAAACATTCTTTCTTTTTTCCACCCGGGCTCTATATTGTTGCACAACAATCAAATCGTCTCTAGGGTGAAAAAATGATTACCCCCCAATTGCACGTCCTCCGTACGCCAAGGCAGAATAAGCAAACATACATTTCCGGGGGGTTTGAAAGATGCACCCTTTTTGGTCATAATTTACGGCCCTCAATTGCTAGGTAACACCACTCCTACCAATAGTGGTCATTTTAGTGACAAGTGACCACCTGAGGACCGGAAACTGGTATCATATAGCACGTTGTGACTCGAAACCCCGCAACAAGAGCCGAAAGTTCGAAACCGCTTCGGGCTCAACGTTTATGCTCTCTGCTTGGCCATGGTGTTGAGAGCGCTTCCGTCCTTAAACCACTGGAGTTGAGACTCGTTGAAGGTGTGGGACAATGAGACATCGAATGGCTTGCCATCCTTGGGGTGGACACGGAGGGTGATAGGCTTGCCGACAGCGAGCTCAGTGCACATGAGGTCGACGGTTGCGGTTGGTGGGATTCTGTCGTAGTCGGCGGGATCAGTGAAGGTGAGAGGCAACATTCCTTGCTTCTTGAGGTTGGTCTCGTGCTAATGCAAAGTTAATTTTGGTAAACATCAAAATGAATAGCTCCGGCAACTACTCACAATACGGGCGAAGCTTCGGGTGATGATGGCAAGACCACCAAGATGTCTGGGTTCAAGAGCAGCGTGTTCTCGGGAGCTACCTTCACCGTAGTTCCAGTCACCAATCACAACCCATTTAATGCCCTTAGCCTTATAAGCACGGGCAGTATCGGGAACACCGGCGTATTCTCCGGTCTGGAAGTTCTTGACATTGTTAGTTTCTCCGTTCTCGGCATTCACAGCACCGATAAGCATGTTGTTGGAAATGTTGTCAAGGTGACCACGGTATTTCAACCAGGGGCCGGCCACTAGAAAAAGTCTGTTAGCACGGGGCGGCCAAAATTTACTTTACTGGTGGGTTATAAACTTACTGGAGATATGGTCGGTGGTGGTCTTTCCTTGAGCCTTGATCAGGATTGGGATGCCCTTGGCATCCTTTCCATCCCAGGGTTTGAAAGGCTGGAGAACCTGGAGGCGGTCACTGCTTGGAGAAACGGCAACCTGAATCGAGGCTCTGTCCTGGGGTGGGGCCTGGTAGGTGTCACGGCCAGGATCGTAGCCCCTAGCTGGGAGACCTTCACCAGTGGGAGGAGCAAGCTTGAATTCCTTTCCATCCGCGCCCTTCAGGGTATCGGTGAGTGGGTTGAAGTTGAGGGTGCCGGCAACGGTCAGGGCAACAACAAGGTCGGGCGAGGTGACGAAAGCGTGGGTGGCAGGGTTGGCGTCATTTCGTCCAGTGAAGTTTCGGTTGTAGGAGGAGATGATGGAGTTCTTCTCGCCCTTCTTGACGTCCTTACGATCCCACTGACCGATGCAAGGGCCGCAAGCATTGGCAAGAATGACACCTCCGAACTCCTCGAGAGTCTTCAGCTGACCATCACGCTCGATGGTGGCGCGGATCTGCTCGGATCCGGGGGTAACAGTGAAAAGAGACTTGGCCTTGAGTCCGTGGTTCAAGGCATCACGGGCGATGGAAGCTGCGCGGGACATATCCTCGTAGGAAGAGTTGGTGCAAGATCCGATAAGACCAACCTTCAACTCCTCTGGCCAACCGTTGGCTTTGACGGCCTCCTTGAACTTGGAGATAGGAGTGGCCAGATCTGGAGTGAAAGGACCGTTGATATGAGGCTCAAGCTCGCTCAGGTTGATTTCAATGAGCTGGTCATATTCGGCACCCTCGTCCTCACGAAGACCCTTGGAGTATGTGCGAGCAAAGTCACCGATAGCTTGACGCTTCGTGGCCTTCAGGTAATCATACATGCGCTCGTTGAAGGGGAAAACGGAGGTAGTAGCACCGATTTCGGCACCCATGTTACAGATGGTACCCATACCAGTGCAGGACAGAGAGTCAACACCAGGACCGTGATATTCGATGATAGCACCAGTTCCACCCTTGACGGTGAGGATACCAGCGACCTTCAGGATGATATCTATTAAATCAAGTCAATATCCGGATCGTGACAAAATTCTGACTGGCAAATTACCTACCCTTTGGAGCAGTCCATCCGGACAATTCACCAGTGAGCTTCACACCAATAACCTTGGGGGCCTTCAGTTCCCATGGAAGTCCCGCCATGACGTCGACGGCATCAGCACCACCAACACCAATAGCAGCCATACCGAGACCACCACCGTTAGGAGTGTGAGAGTCGGTACCGATCATCAGACCACCGGGGAAGCAGTAGTTCTCGAGAAGAATCTGATGGATAATACCGGAGCCGGGCTTCCAGAATCCAATGTTATATTTTGCGCAGGAAGAGGAAAGGAAGTTGTAGACTTCCTTATTGATCTCGTTGGCTCTGGCAAGATCCTTATCTCCTCCAAGCTGAGCCTCAATCAAGTGGTCGCAGTGCACGGTGGTTGGGGTAGCGACTGAGGGCATGCCAGCTGACATGAACTGCAAGATGGCCATCTGGGCTGTGGCATCCTGACAGGCAACGCGATCCGGTCGCAGCTTCAGGTAGGACTTTCCACGCTCAATCTCCTGACCGTGTGGGTCATCAAGATGGGAATAGAGAATCTTTTCCGCGTAAGTAAGGGGGCGATTCAGACGAGCTCGGACAATGTCCAAGTTCTCGGCCATCTTTCTAAAAATCGTGGACATTTATTAGTAAATGCACGCTTCAAGAAAATCGAGGCGCCGGCTCAGTTCCACGATCGGACTAATGGCCACTTGGAAGGGCCTGATTTAAAGCAATTGCAGTGGAATACAACATGGCTGCAAAGTTGCGCACTCATTAAAGTGAAAACATACTTATAGTTAATGTGGTTACCCTGCAGTAGAATGTTAGCAATTGCACGTTTGATCACAGCCGCCTTCATCTTGGTGAATGAATATTGCCCAAAGAAGCTCTGGGGGACTTGCCTTCTCCCAATTGGTCATCTCGACCTTCTTGTCAAGCGGAGAATCAGCGACAGTGGCCATACCCCGCGCTCCAAGGAGCTGGTGAGAGAAAGAATTACAGTTAGCCAACGGTCAGATTCGACGATAATAAGAGGGCTGGTGAGCCTCCGCCCTTGCGGGGTTTTCTGTCCAGCCGAAAGTTCACACTTACGAGGCGAGATTTGGATGCCTGCAGGTGGGAAAGAGTCAGTCAAAGACACCATCGAAAGTCGGCCCTCGCAGATGGCCATTGAAAGGGATACGGCGAAGATAACAGGTCGTTGGGGGGAGGGGGAAACGTACCAAAGCACCCACACGAGTGAGCCTAGTGCTGATCATGACTTCGGATTCCTAGGCAAGTGGTCTAAAACAGTTGTTCGTGGCACATCCAATGTCGAGGCAATCTCAGCTACTCGACGAAGGCCTTTGATGGAGGAGGAATAGAGGGATGAGAAGGGGAATTGCTCTGGAGAAACGATTTTCGAAGACCGAGAAGAAAAGAAAGGAAGAATAAAACGCGGAAGCTTGGTGCTGTTCAAGTGGAGATGCAACTTCGGCCCATTGTAACCAAAGCGGTTATGAAACACCCTGAAAGGGTCCTTACGCGTTTGGACTAGGCGTAACCTTCCGACGGCTGGCTTCGTCGGCTCCGTTTCTGGGCCTCGGCTGTAATTCGCTCGTGTTCCGTACCATACACATACGGTAAGTTACATCGGTGGATAGCCACGGCTACGAGCAAGCATGTGTCAGCAGCGGCGCTTCGCTGTGATTTGCGGAGCCAAGGCCCCTCAGAAAATTTCGACTGACCTGCAGACCATGAGTTGAAAATCCGCCGGCGCTGATTGGCGGTCCGGCGGGCATTCCTCATGTCCGTGGCCTGCAAGGTGTGAGCCTGTTGTCGTCTGCACGGAATGACATAACCACCGGGACAGCCTGGGCGGCACCATCTCTCCGCTATCCTGCAATGGAGGCAATGGAGCGCTGGCTGGAGCAGCTGTTTGGCCCGATGAATGTCCGAATCATACAGACGACATGCGAGCGATCTTCGCGGCCAACCCGAGAAACGAGAAGTTATCCCTGTGGCGTAGGCTCTGTCGTTCAAATTGTTTCTATGACGTTGCTCGGGCAGCCTTTAAACAAAGGCGCCAAGTTCGTTCGCCGGATATTACTTCAGCCAACCTCAAGGCTCAGGCTCTTTGACCAGATGCATTCGGCTTGCGTTTCTAGAGGCCTTGGATTTGAGAGCCCTTTTCCCCCTTGGTGTTTCGTCGCTGGAGATATGCCTGCCGCTTGATAAGAGAAAAAAAAATATCCCCACTAAAACATGCATTGCTACCTGACCCTGGAACTTGGCTATCGGCTTAATGCGATCCTCGGGATTACTCGCTGGTTAGTCAAAAGGCCTCATATCCCTCTCATATTTCAAGCGAGAACTATCAACAGAATCCTCGACTAGGTGACCTCCCGGTTCGCGAGAACTTTATCTCGCTTCGGGAAGATTGCATGCATTAGCCGGTCATTCTATCGATTTTCTTTATTCGCCTTTCATTCTCATACATCCACTGGCGATCCTTTCTCTATTAGATCGTCGAAGTACGAAGTAGATTTACCAACCCGAGTGGCTGGGGAAATTGGAAGCAACCAAAAAGCATTCCTCGTTGTTTTCATGGTCTTTTCGAGCAGTGAATATCGGAAGAGTTTGAAATTGCTCTAGTTAATTGTTCAGCAATGTAGTTTGCCATATCACTGCGGCTGTAAAATGTGTGATTGTACCCTCTACTTATATATTTATTATTTAATATTGTTGCAAGCCGGAATGCCTTTCCATTGGATATTTTCAAAGACACCTTTGATCCACGATACTTCGCGTTGATATCGGGGTTTGTCTCGCAAAACCCCAAGGACAATGCCGAGAGGCGCAGACAGCGTACATGGGCCCAGAATTTGCATCTTCTCTTGTAGACAGTACTCCACCGACCCACAAATATTCCGGGCCAATGGCATATAATTCGAGCATTTCCCCAAGGATGGGAGCCGCCTCTGATTTTGCGTGATTCTATCATGACTATCAATACTGTCTTCGCCTTGCTCGTCGATTAAGTTCGCATCAATCGACCGTATTAGCTGATAAAGGTCGCAAATCCCAGACCAGAGCATCAGGAGTGCTGCCCAGTACATCATTAGCGTTCCAGCTGTTCTCAGGTCCGCAAATGATAACTTTACAGCCGGAAAGGAGTCATCAAAAGGGCTGGCGCCGATTGAAGGCTCTCTTCGCGATGACGATGGCCAGAAGAGCGGAGCTGGGCCCGAGGACTCAAAATCGTCGTAGAGGGCTTGAAGCGTCTCGTCGAGTTGCCAACACTCAGTAACAATGTCATATGCAAGCCACAATTGCTCCGCTGGCCTCATGTGTGAAAGGTTATCGCTTCGACCAAAAATCTTGGGCGCTTGTGCAAGGCAGTCGAGAATGCGATCCATGGGTGTTTTGCTTGAATCCTGCCACGGGATTTCCATCCACTCTCGTTCCGCTAGAAAAGTCGGAGAGTGGGCTTGCATCGCAAAGAAAATCTGATATCGAGTTAGTGCGCTGTAAACTCCTTCCAGGCAAAGTGTCTAAAATGTCAAACGCACCGCCTGCGCCCTAACGGTGACAAAAAGCAGGTGTCCCAAGCCCGATCTATGGGCTTGCACTCCTCGGTGCTGGACTAGTGATACAAGGCCCTTGCAATGACTTTCGTAACCGCTGCGCCCTTCTGCCGGGCACTCTAAGAGCTCGTACAAACTTAAGGCCATACAGGCTGCCAGTGTCTCATCCTCATACATTAGCGCCTGGTTATACAGAGCTCTCTGAAGTTCGTAAAGGCTTCGGGTGTACAGTTTCAGGCTTTCCATCACCATTGAAGTATCTCCATACAGGCGGCCGAGAGCTATAGTAGAGAGCGCCAAGGCCGATATCTCGAGGGCCTTACTTCTCATCGGAAGATTAGGAAGCAGCAGCAACCAATGCCTATCACTTCGGATTCGGCAACTTTGTATCGCAGAGAGACAGTGCGATCCAAATGCATTCAAGACAAACTGCCGTTTGCTTGCTCTAAAGACTGTATCTACGCCGCCGCTATTAGGACTGCAAACCCCGTCATTGCAACGGGAGATTGTAGCATGACTGCGATTGACGGTGGAAGTCACAGTCAAAGCTGCATCGCCTCCTAATTTCGAAGTGGATGAAGTTTGCTCGGGTACGGTGTATCTCTCTTTGGCTCCAGGATTTACCAGGACAAAAATGCGCTCTCGCTGATAGCCGGCGCACACTCGATTGGACTTGGTGCACTGGATGCATACGGGCCTTTGGAGGCCGCACTGAATGGTTTGTTGAATTAGTTTTTGACCAAGAGCTCCCGCAGGTATAGAGTTGCCAGTACTCACCGCAATCTTGCGCCGCCTGCAGGTATGGCACCCCTTAGATCTGCCTGGCACCCCTACCATTCAGATGGCCTATGTAGCAGATTCTGTTAATTCAAGTACCAAAAAGGGAATGATAGGGCGAATATAATGTGGCGAGGGCGTCGCGCTGGGTAAAATATATATCCATCATCTTAGCAAGAACAAGACATGGCCGATCGCTTCGTACTCTGTGTGTCTTCCGCCGCTTTTGCCGTCTTCATGCCGAAGCTGGAGACGCCCAATCCAATGGATGCCGTCGCTCCTGGCTGGGTCGAATGCGGCTGAGATCCGATGGTTCGATTTTGGCGCTAAATTAGTTAAATTCAATCCCTCCACTATTCCTACTTAGGGCTCATTCTGCGAGGCACGTGATATACTTCCCAGATCGCTAATCTCAGGCCAATATCAAACAGCCAGCTCCATTGAAAGCGTCAGCATCGAGATAATCTTTGTCCTATTTGGGACTTAAGGTGCGAATATACTTGCAAATCAGGAGCCCCTCCGCCCCAATTCCTACAGGAGGAACTATGTATCTGCTCGAAAAACGTGAAACATGTCTACCTCTTGCATCTATAAAAGGATGCCAGAACCCTGGGGAGTTGGACAGAGCAAATTCACCATCTCACTCATTTCTACTTCCTCTATAAGTCTCTAAAGGTATTTGGAGTAGGCTGTAATTATGCTCAACGACCACTCTAAGGCGAGTATTGCACAGATACTCTTCTACCTTCCTGCCCTCGTGTTCACGGGATACCTTCGCTGGCACCGCCATGGACGCCCAAGAATGGCATGGATTATCCTCCTTGTGTTTACAATCAGTCAGTTACTATTCCCAGTCACCTTAAGGATTTATTTCATGTGACTTAGTTACCGGTACAGTTCGGATTGCATGTGGCGTGGTGGTGATAATTTATGAGAACAACCAGAATAACGACGGTTTATTGGCTGCTTCAACCATTCTTTTGAATGCAGGAGTATTTCCTCTTATTGCTGCAACCATTGGCCTTATCAGAATCATGTATGTGAATGGTTGACGGGGATGTCTTCAGCATGTTTTCCCTTCCCAGCCCTGGCCCGCTAATAGATAGACTATAGCACAGCCTTAGACTTCCAAAATAGTCCTGGAGTCCGCTATGGTTTGATCCTTTCACGGATCTTCTTTATTGGTGGTATTTTCGTTATTGTCGCTGGTGCCTCCATTGTCGGCGATACCGATCATCCAAAAAAGGTGTCAACTGGCTCGGACTTGGTGAAATCCGGCTATATCATTCTCGCAATATTTGTGGCCACGCTGCTTGGATTCCAAGCCTATTTCTGGTTCAAGCGCGCAGGTCTTACTCAAACCAGTGTGACGGTAGGCTTATCCCTATTGCCACATTGAGTGCATAGTTTCTCCTATCATCGAGCACTAAGAGCAGAAAGCTAATGACATAGAAGGTTCTCAGAGGCATCTCCACTGCAATGCCTTTTTGCCTCGTTCGTCTCACATACCTATTTTTGTCCATTTTTCGCCCATCAGAGCCCAGGTGGAACGAATTACTCGGAGACACTGCACCGTACGTTGTCATGGGGCTATTGATGGAGTATGCGGTTGTGTGCATCTACATCTTCACTGGCTTTCAGATTCCGCCGAGTAAAAAGACGAGGGAAGAATTGCTGGCCGTCTAATTCCACCAAAGGGGTGACCCGGCTCTCCTAAAGTGCGGATTCTAAGCAGAAGGGACATCGCCCTGTGGATCCGTATAAAGATTCATCGACTGACAGAGTGACCCGGTGACTTGCCAAAGGCCATCTGAAAGTGGTAAAGGGACGGTGATAATGGGTAGTTTTTTGTAGATGTTTTTGCTATGGATACATGTGCTTTTTATGCTGAAATTTGGTTTGGCATGTATATTTTTAACTGCTTTATATCGCACTCTTTTCCATTACATTTTGAATCAGGGAATGAATCGTCGGGAGTGAAGAGTCCTAGCTGTAAAGGTTCCCTTTGAAGGGGTTTGGGAAGAAGGTTTAGCAAGTGGGCACCTGCAAATTCAACTGGGACGGCGTAACTTTGATCCGGGGCCAAATTTTGTTATCGATAGTGTCCCCGTACGGAGTAATCGATTCATGGAAAGACGAAAAGGATCTGCGGAGTGCCCGGAACCTACAATACAGAAGAAATAAAGGCCAGGCTTAGGAGCAAGAATGGGTGCCATCAGACGATCGAAAACTAAACGGCGAACAAGGTGAACTCCAACGCGCGCCCGGATTTCAGCTAATGCTAATTACTCTACAGGGACTACGACCAGGTCCGCAATGACATCGACTCAGCGAGGCATCTAGAGTTATATAAAGAGACAAAAGATGTGGAAGACTTGCCCGGTTTAGGTCAATATTACTGCGTTGAATGTTCAAAATGGTTTGAGAGCGAGTACAATTTAACAGCACACCGGAAAGGCAAAAACCACAAACGAAGGTAAAAAACGATCGGATCTCCGGATGGAGTCTTTGCACGATGGGATGCTAATCATATGGCTAGAATTCGTCTATTGAAAGAAGAACCACATACACAGAAACTAGCCGAAGCGGCGGTCGGATTGACGAGTGATAACGGGAAGCGTGGTGATGGAGATGCGATGCAGATTACCGAGTCAAACGAGGGTTGAAAATGTTGCCGTTTGACTTACAAGAATGGCCCCTAATGCGCCATCAGATCAGCACAGGTACAGTAGAGTCGCTGGATGATATATGTTGGCGTTGTCGTTTCGAGACGGGTTCTGGGAAGCGCCTCCAATCCCACGGAATCCCCATCGGCGGACGTTGTCAATGTCCAAAGTCATACAGACTACAGCTAGCTTAGCCCTCACGAGCCCAAGAAAGTCACTTGGAAATGTGGATCCACCAACTAGGATGATGCGTATGGTTAAAATCATTGGAGATACGGATACCAACCTTCACGAACGGTGGCCGCGATCTCTCCGACCTAGATTTTAATCTATATTTTAATATGATTTATACTGGTATAGAGTAGTTAATGAAGCCTAAATTTTCTCTAAAATTTGAGGTAGATCACGGGATTGTTCGAAGGCTTTCATGATCCACTCGTAAGTCGCCCACTAGGATAGTCAGCGCATGATGGAGATTCAAGTGCTCGTCAAGCTTCATACCTGCACAGCGTTCACGATAAACGCTCGAATACTACACACTCCAAGCCCTCGGTAGAAAATGCTCAGGCCCTCGGAGCGGTATGCTTGCCTGGCTATCTCAACCGAATTCAATACCCGGCCAGTCGTGGGGGTCTGAGAGTGGGATGCACTGGCCAGCAGTGGCTGTTTATCCGGAAGGATGCTACCCAAACGAGCTCCTGGAAGAGATTGAGCCTGAAGCCTCGTTTTAATTACATCAAGTGGAAAAACAGATGCCCATGTTACAACACCTGCAATTCCACCGCACAATAAAATACTGATGGCTTCTTGTTGCGAACTTGGCCCTCTGGAGTCCATCAATCGCTTGCAGAGTTCGTAAGACCAAAAACTAAAGAATAAGTTGGCGGTCAATCGGACGGAACTCGATAGCTTTCTAGAACGGAGGCAAACGCACTAAAAGCCGTATCCCACAGAGTCACGAATACTTGTAACTAGGCCCCCGAAATAAAGACCTTTTGGGCCTGACTTGCGTAAGATATCCTTTGCAACGGTCCAGGAGGAAACAGACTGATGGCTGCTGAGTTGCGCACGACATTTGACGAGCTCAGTTGGAGAAGATATTGTCCAGCTTGCAAGTCCTCCTATTGCGCCTGCAAGCCAAATCTGAGACAACGGCACACCTTGCGGGTTTGTTGGGTCGGTCGTCGTTGGCGATAAATACATCAAAGTCCGGTTATACGCAACGAATAGAAGGGCGTTAAGAGCTCCATATCCAAGAATCGGGGCCGCAGCGCCTGTTGAGAATAGTGATAAGTCGAAACAGTACTTTTACGTTCTTTGGGCGGGCCTAACCTCTGACAAGGGAGCTGGTGCCCTCAAATTGGCCCCTTATAGGATTTGGCGGGGTTATCGCATTCGCTGGGGTAGTATGTGAAGCCTGAAGGCGGACCTTGATAATATCCAAAGGGTTGCCGATGATGATACCAATGGCTCCGCTCAGGTAGCCAGCCCAGAAATCTGCGGACATAGGGCTTGATTGGCCATCCAGGGACCCAAGAGCAGCCGAGTTCGTGTCATTGCCAACGAAATCCTCGTGCTCCGTAGAAGCCGGTAAGCTCTCCGCCTTGGCGGGGCAAACTGGTGGACCGAGGAAAGTCAGCGGGGCTCCGACGACTCGTCTGGGAACGAGCTAGTTAGTTAATCATGTGATTTCGTGGCTATTTGGCGACCGCCTGATCGACGCGCCATCATAAACACCACAGGCGCGCCCCGGTCACTCTTCATCGCCCATGATTCACGCCATTTTGAAAAGGAAAACGCTTGGAGTTTTTCACTAACTGTGATAATATTGACAAAGCCTGCAGCAGTTGCTAGATTAAATGTAAGGTATTCATACCGCTATACTCCTCTATGGCTGTTGACAACGTTTTAGGCACCGTCCAAAACCGTCTGCTCCTGGAAGCAAGACCTTGTCGAAGCCTTCTCGCATATACGGAGGAGCAGACACGTCGCTTGAAAAACTTACCAAGCCTTTCAAATGCCCCGGTTCGGCAACAAGGACTCGAGCGTCGGACAAACCTCTGAGGAAGCGAAGGAAGGTCGACTATACAGAAGCGGGCGGCAATGGTCAAGATGGTGAGGAACAGGCATGGATAAGTGAAGAGCGCACACCGCTTTCCAATCGTGACGTCAATAAGTTTCCTATCTATAAGGTTAAGGACAAGGAAATTGCGTTTAAGCAACGCTTTTCAATACCACTGATTGATAAGAATTCAACGAGCTATGACCCTGGACGCCCGGCACCGCTCTTGGGAATGAGAAGGGGTGCCACCTTCGTTGTGAAACCTCTCCATGATCCGAGTGGAGAGTTTGCTATTGTCCTTTACGACCCTACTGTGGACGAGAAGCCGGAATTCAAGCCCGAAACTGAACAAAAGCAAAACGAGGAAGCAGCTAAACCTAAGTTGAATGAGCCTCTTGTCCACAAGAGCCTAGCTGAGATTTTGGGTATAAAAAAGAATGTCGAGGAACGACCAAAAGTTCCGGTAGTTATCGACCCCAGGCTTGCTAAAGTCCTTCGGCCACATCAAGTCGAAGGCGTTAAGGTACGTAATGCAGCTTTTGCCTTTCATGTGACGACATATTAACGACTTCAGTTTCTATACCGCTGTACGACCGGATTAATCGATCCAAACGCAAATGGTTGCATCATGGCTGATGAAATGGGTCTCGGGAAAACGGTATGCGAAACTTGCTTCACCATTCCTAGCGTTGCTAACAGTATTCAGTTACAATGCATAACGTTGCTGTGGACTCTCCTTAAGCAGTCGCCCGAAGCTGGTAAGCCAACTGTTCAAAAAGTTGTAATCGCCTGTCCAGCAACCCTTGTGGGAAATTGGGCCAATGAATTAGTGAAATGGCTCGGAAAGGATGCTGTCAATCCATTTGTAATTGACGGCAAAGCTTCGAAAGCGGAACTCACATCACAACTTCGACAATGGGCTATTGCCTCCGGACGACAAGTGGTCCGACCTGTTCTGATAGTGTCCTATGAGACTTTGAGACTTAATGTAGGGGAGCTGAAGGAGACCCCAATTGGCCTTCTTCTATGTGATGAGGGCCACCGCTTGAAAAACGGAGAGAGCCAAACATTTACCGCATTGAACGGTCTAAATGTGGCGCGCCGCGTCCTCCTTTCCGGAACACCAATCCAGAACGACCTCTCCGAGTACTATTCTCTCCTGAATTTCACCAACCCTGGCGTGCTTGGGAGCAGGAGTGAATTCCATAAGCGATTTGAAATGCCTATTCTCCGGGGTAGGGACGCCGACGGAACAGAAGAGGAGAGAAAAAAAGGTGACGAATGCTTGGCGGAACTTCTTGGGATCGTGAATAAATTCATCATTCGGAGATCAAACGACATCCTCTCCAAATATTTGCCGGTCAAGTATGAGCATGTTGTCTTTTGCAACTTGGCACCGTTTCAGATGGACCTATATAATCATTTCATTCAGAGCCCTGATATCAAAAGTTTACTGCGGGGTAAGGGAAGCCAGCCGCTGAAAGCTATTGGCATTTTGAAAAAACTCTGCAACCATCCGGATCTCTTGAACTTGTCCGCGGACCTTCCCGGAAGCGAACAGCTTTTCCCTGATGATTATGTCCCGCCAGAAGGTCGAGGTCGCGACCGTGATGTCAAATCATGGTATTCAGGTAAAATGATGGTGTTGGATCGTATGTTGGCACGCATCCGCCAAGATACAAATGACAAAATCGTTTTGATTAGCAACTACACACAGACTTTGGACCTTTTTGAGAAACTGTGTCGGTCACGCGGGTATGGAAGTTTGCGGCTTGATGGTACGATGACCGTCAAAAAGCGGCAGAAATTAGTTGACAGGTTCAACGATCCTGATGGCGAGGAATTTGTGTTTTTGCTTAGTAGTAAAGCTGGAGGTTGTGGCATCAACTTGGTCGGAGCTAACCGTCTTGTCTTGTTCGATCCGGATTGGAACCCTGCGGCAGATCAGCAGGCTCTTGCTCGAGTTTGGCGTGATGGTCAGAAGAAAGATTGTTTTGTATACCGGTTTATCGCCACAGGAAGCATCGAGGAGAAGATTTTCCAGAGGCAGTCCCACAAGCAATTGCTATCGTCGTGTGTTGTGGATTCCGCCGAAGATGTCGAGCGCCATTTCAGCTTGGACTCTTTGCGAGAGCTGTTTCAGTTTAAGCCTGGAACCACCAGCGATACCCATGATACATTTAAGTGTAAACGATGTCGTCCCGATGGAACGCAGTTCATCAAAGCTCCAGCCATGCTTTACGGCGACACGAGCAGCTGGAATCACCTTGTCAACAATGGGGACAAAGGTCCAATGAGTAAGATTCAGGATCTACTATTGAGACAAGAGACATCCGAGAAAGATGTCAGCGCTGTATTCCAATATATCAGCCATTGATTTCTGCCTTTTTCAGGCATTGTCCAAGTTAGAATTTAGAGTAAATGGCATACATGCACATTCTTTTAGTAGTCTCTCAGCTAGATTGTGGGCTCTCGTCGGTCGAGCTGATCTAGGCCATATGGAGAACCCTTTTGCCTGAATGGGAGCGTAACTCTTCTAGAAATAATAGTGTCCACCGGCAGTGAGAAGGGGCTGATGCAAAAAGTTTCCCCGGAAATAACAGCTGAGCTATTCTGGTTACGTCACCCCGCCTAAACACGCGAGCCTCGTCGGTGCGCCTGAGAGCTTTTTCTGCTCGGCATTTAACTCGAATCGGCCACAAGAAGCCGCAAGACCGCATCATCACCTTGGTAGGAGTTCACATGAGGGTCTTATGCCCAAATGGTAATGATTGGTGCATGCTGACCTGCTTCTTCCTGACCTTCCTAAGTCCAAACCTAATTCCAGAGCTTGTTTGATCGACAGCTCAATCGGCATTCGCACTGCTCCTGAAGGCCCGCGGCAGACATCCCGTCGATCATAATGAACTGTGCGGATAATTAAAGCAGTGCGATGTTTTTTTCTAGACAATGGCAACTGCGATTTATGTGGATCCAGCTATCCAGCGACTCTTAAATGACAAGCTTTATGACAAGAGGAAACAGGGTGCCTTAGAGTGAGAGCTACCATCAACGCTACAATCCGGCGATGACCAGACTGACGCCAAATACAGGCTCGAAAGAGTGATTCGAGAAGCCGTCGCAAAGGGAGATCATGTTAGAATTAGAGGAATAATCGATCAGCTATGCCGCGACTATGCCTACGCCGTTCATCAGCCTCACGCGAGAAATGGGGGGTTGATAGGGTTAGCTGCAGCGGCTATTGCGTTGGGATCAGTGAGTTTCAATTTATCATGCAGAGTATATATATTGAAATGCAATGAAACTAACAGAGAGGGTAGGAGGAAGTTGCACCCTACCTTACGTCTATCGTTCCTCCAGTTCTCGCCTGTTTTACCTGCCAGGATGCTCGCGTCAGATACTACGCCTGCGAGAGCATGTACAACATTGCGAAAGTGGCGAAGGGAGAGATATTACTATATTTCAATGATATATTTGATGCTTTATGCAAAGTGGGTGTCGTGCCTTTGGTGGTTTGGTAGTAACGAAACTAACTCCCTACCTTTTGGGAATGTAGCTGGCTTCGGACTCAGAATTATCTGTGAAGAACGGTGCTGAGCTTCTGGATCGCCTAGTCAAAGACATTGTAGCTGATTCCGCTGCTTCCTACGTTTCGGTGCTGGAGGCATCTCCCAAGGATCAGGATGAGAACGAGGAGGAGCTCTTGGAACCTCCAACAGCGTTCTCGCTGGCAAGATTCATTCCTCTCCTCAGAGAACGAATCCATGTCAACAGTCCATTCACACGCAATTTTTTGGTTTCTTGGCTAACCTTGCTTGATACAATACCTGATTTGGAGCTTGTTACCTATCTGCCAGCGTTTTTGGCAGGCTTATTTAAATTCCTTAACGATCCTAATGGGGATGTTCACACTGCCACCCAGGGGCTACTTGAACGGTTTCTTGGGGAAATTAAGAAGATCGCTCGAATTAAAAAGGGAATCGCCGAGAGTCGACGTGATCGTGATACCGGCCAGTCCAAAGATTCGATGTCAAGTGACAGCATGAGTGTGAGTTCTGAACGGAGCGATATAAATGAGCCGAGTGAAAATGCGATTGCGGATTCAGAGTCCGGGACAGTGAATGATGATCAGACTATCAATGTCTATGGTGACTGGGTTCCTGGACAAGACATTCATGTCGACCATCCCAAAATCCTGGAGATTTTAGTTGGGTTTGTTGACACTGCTTTTGGTATACGTTGGACTCCCTCTTTTTCATATCATGTCAAATTGAATGCGTGCTTATGTTTCCAATAGACGAGGAGATTCAGTTGACGGCACTACGCTGGATTGATAGCTTTTTCGAAATAAGTCCCGAAGACATCCTCCAATTTGTTCCGCGGCTACTTTCACAAGTCCTACCTGCACTGTCAAGTGGATCAGAACAAGTATGCCAGGCTGCAAGCCGTGTGAACAACTCTCTTATGCAGTACATTGTCTCTTTACCGGAGGAACCCACTAATGATAGTCGATTAACGCCGCCTCCTCGAACTTCAACAACGAACTCTAAGGACTCAAATGAACGTAGAGGATCAAATCCCATGGGGAAACTTCCAAGTTCCACACCAGGACAACGACCCTCGCGTCCTCAGTCAACGGAAATAACCCCACAAAGTACCGAACAGCAGGCCCAACCCCAGCCAGCAGCAGATCTCGATTATGCAGCAGCAGTGAATGCGTTAACCCTCCAATTTCTCAATGAGAACGAAGCGACCAGGGTGGCTGCCCTTACATGGCTGATAATGTTGCACAGGAAGGCTCCTCGAAAGGTTCTAGCATTCCACGATGGAACGTTCCCAGCATTACTCAAAACCCTCTCGGACCCTGCTGAGGCTGTGGTGACGCGTGACCTTCAGCTCCTCTCCCAAATTTCAAGGAATAGCGAAGATAGCTATTTTACCTCTTTCATGGTGAATTTATTGCAGCTCTTTTCTACAGATCGAAAGCTTCTCGAAATTCGCGGCAACCTTATCATCAGGCAACTTTGTATGAATCTTAGCCCCGAGCGCATCTATAGGACTCTTGCAGATTGTCTAGAAAAGGAAGAAGTAAGCTTTATTTTGTTGAAGGCAATATATCCATGCTAATAGCTTCAAGGACATTGAATTCGCCAGCATTATGGTCCAGAATCTAAATAACAACCTCATTACAGCACCTGAACTGGCAGACCTCAGAAAACGATTAAGAAATCTGGAAAGCAAGGTTCGTCATTTTATCTTCTATCTCGTGCTCTAGCTCAAGATGCACTAGGAGGGGCAAACGCTTTTCATGGCTTTATTCAGGTCATGGTGCCACAATGCCGTGTCAACGTTCTCGCTCTGCTTATTAGCCCAGGCTTACGAGCAAGCTTACCACCTTCTTCAAATCTTGTAAGTTCCTATGGGAGTGATTTAGTCTAATTTTAGCTCTCTCACTGACAATTTGTTGCAGCGCTGAATTGGAGATGACAGTCAACATGCTTATCCAAATCGACAAGCTTGTTCAACTTCTAGAGTCACCAGTCTTCACATGTAAGTTCCTTATAGCATTAATTTGGCTTCTACATGTGGAACTCTAACTCATGGTACCGTTTAGACCTTAGACTTCAACTTCTCGAGCCCGAAAAGTATCCATATCTTTACAAATGCCTCTACGGGGTGCTTATGCTTTTGCCACAAAGCTCGGCCTTTGCCGCTTTGAAAAACCGCCTCAATAGTGTGAGCAATATTGGTTTGTTCCATACTGTTCCCAGGACGTACGTATCCCAATCCAACATAATATCTTGTTCCTCCCATGGCACTGGAATGTGTGTTTTTTTCCTTTTTTCTTTCTTCGACTCACAACCTTGATAGTCCTGGAATTGGCGGTTCTTCTACACCGTTAAGCTACGAACGACCCACGGGCAGACTCAAACGAGAAGAAAGTGTAATCCGGTGGGTCGATCTATTGGATAAATTCAAGATAGTGCAAGAAAGATCGAGACGATCACGGGGATTGGGCCAGCGAGAATTTGAGTCAGAAAAATACCCTTCCTCTATGGCTGTGGGATTGGCTTCTGCCGCTCTGGCCGATTCAAACAGTGGAAGGGAGAAGAATGAGGCGTCCGGTGGCGGAGCTGGTGCTCGTTCGGGTGAAACGGGTGCGCCGCAGAAAGGGGCTGGACATAAGGCAAGATCATCGCTGGGGAATTTTGGTCGGCTGAGTAGTATCGGGCAGAGGAAGCTGAAGAAGTGAAATTTGGGGTGGGCAAAGTGGTTGTATGTCGCCCCAGGATGGACCGGGACACACATACGACTTTCCCCGAGTGAAATTTTTAGAGGTCGCATATGGATGCTGAATACCCTGTTGATAATTCCGCAGTCAAAGGAGTTAATGTTAAAAACGGTGTGATAAATCCATGGTCCAGGTTGCAGCATAAGCAAAGAATGCAGTATATTTTTCAAGCCCATATATCGTCAGGAGAACATATATACATGAAGTTACATCCACGTACAATAACATGCATGCTGAAAGTAAATCCAAATTACAAATTTATCCATAAATGTGTTATAAACACGGCCAAAAACGAAAAAAAAAAGAAAGGTCCGTATAGGCGTCACAGTCGAATTACCAAAAAAATGGGGATCCTTATAAAATATTTTGTTTTAACATTTGTTCATTGCTCCTCGATAAAGCTTGACGTGTCCGATATATCCGGAGGTTGAATATATATATGTCGCTCGTTTGCTCAAAGGTCGACGTTACCTTTTAATCGTTGGTCGTTTTGCAGGTGTCACCTCCATCGGAATTTGCTGGAGGATGATCTCCACCCGGAACCGGTATAATTCTTGGACACAGTCGCCGTGGAGGAGTAGGGTGACGAGCCAGTGCTGTTGGCGTAAACATATTCGCCGTCAACGTAAGTGGCTCCTGTGGTAAATGTGCTCCGATGTTTGCGTCGGGCATACCGCTGCTCAAGGCGGTAGAGTTCAAGTTCTGCGTGACAAAGAGGGGTTAGGACAAAAGAGCGAGTCCATTCTTTTCAGAGTCAGGAAATTGCACGAAAATGTGTTTGACATACTAGCATGCAGTTTATCGAGGAGGTTCATTTTTGTGGACTAAGGATTGGAACGACGTTGAGGGTGGAAGCGATCGTAGGTATTGGTATGGCTTTTATTTCCTCGTTGAGCAAAGGGCTACAACTGGTCCGTTGTGGAGTGCTCTCCGTCGTGCGAAATGTGTATGTAAGTTGGTTGGAGTTGGATGACAGTCGGTGCATCGGACTCCCACAAGGTACCTCGTTGGATATTCTTTGGCTTCCCCGCTTGACTATGAAAAAGGCATTCCTTTTTACCCCGACGGGTAATGCAATTGAGTGGCTCACGATCAAAAATGAACCAGTCTCTGGGGGGATTTCTAGGGAGGGTCGTTTGCGCACAGGATATCGGTGGCTCCAGGGTTCTAATTGATCGAGACAACCATCAAACTAATGAACGCTGAATCTGAAAGGCGAATGGCAATGGTTTGCGGGCGAAGTGCAGGGTGTTTGTGAGCTGATGATTCGATTCAGCCGCAGCGCGACGTTGGTGTTATACAACAGAAGCAAGGAAGAGCGAAGACTGGATTTAAACAACAATGAACGGACAGATGGTTTCTCTGAAAGAATGAACGAACGAATGGAAAATCAAAGAACGAGGGGAACGAAGGCCCAGCTTGTGGTCGGCTGTCAGGGCGAGCGAGAGAGAATGGGCTGGCGAAGGGAGGGATGGCCTGGCGAGGAAAAGGGACGGGCGGAAAGCTTAGCTAATAGCAGCTTACCTAAGTGGGTGGAAACACGCGACGCTTAGACATATCGGGCTAGGCTGGAGGATCCGGCTGGAAGTTTATTTTCACGCCGAGAATCGCGGCGGCAAAACCGAGGCGAACTCAATCACGCTGTGGACGAGGTGCTGGTAGCAGCGCTCTCACTTTGCTCCTGAGCGCATCAAGTCGCCATTATTGTCACTGTCCTGACAACATGGCTGTGAGGATGTGTGTTCCGTGATTGGGCATCGCGTTGCAGCCCTACCAGTCCGTGCGAACCGCGTTCGAGAAAATCCAATGAAAACCCACCAATAAAAACCCTGTTCCTGAGCAGTGTTCCCGGGGCTGACCCCTTGTCGCAAACCCGCCTAGAACTCCATTCCTCGTCCTCCGAGCACAGCCGATAGAACGGAGTCTCGTCTTTTTTTTTTCTTTTTGGTCTTGGATCCGAAAACCCAACCTGTTGTCCTTTTTAGATAACTACTCCGTATGGCCGCTCGCTTCATAAACTTTGGCGGGTTGCGGGGTGGAAGGCATTCGATCCCACTCAACTGGAGTCAAGCGGGGCATTTGGCCGCGCTTGTTGCCAAAGACTGTTCTACAGGCCGTGGGGAATTTAGTCTGTTATGCATACATTCACCGTTTGGCGACACATTATTTTTCACCAGGAATCCCTGAATCATTATATCAAACCCGGAAATAAACCTCTATATCCAGAACCATGCAAAATGCATATCACATGCATCGAAACTTTTCGTTTGTTGGTATGTATGTATATGTATGTATGTATGTATAACACAGATACATACATGCAATGGGTATAATGGTGCTGATTGTCTGCTACAATCAATGTGGAATCGGTGGATCCTGCGGTGGCTGTGGTTGTGATGAAGAGTCCTTGACCCGATCCGGCTGTTCCAATCTCTTTTCTACTTCGAGCTCTTCGATCTCGATTTCTCGCTCACGCTCAGGGTCCTGCGCGAGCGACGTTTCTTGCGCTGTAACCGGTCAACTTAGCATATGTGTGCACGGAGCGTTGTAAGGGGAGGGAAGGCATACCTTTCCAGAGGTCTGAATATACACCTCCCTTTTCTAGAAGCTCGGTATGGTTTCCGATCTCAGCGACGTGGCCGTCCTTTAGGACTAGGATTCGGTCGCTGTCGTAGATCGTACGCAACCGGTGCGCGACGAAAACGCTGGTTCGCGCTTGATCCTTGAGAATGCTGTTAATATTTTGAAGCAGCGCTTGCTCTGTGTATGTATCGAGTGCGGATGTCTAAAAATGAATACCACGATCAGTTAAAGAACCTTCTGTTAGAACGAGAATGAGACCGACCGCTTCATCAAAGAACAGTAGTGGCGGGTCTTTCAAAATCAAGCGAGATATAGCAAGTCTCTGCTTTTCTCCTCCAGATATCATCATGCCACGTTCGCCAACCGGGGTGTTATAACCAGCCGGTAGGCGCTCAATCAACTCATGAATATGTGCTCGTTGCGCGGCCTTTCGTACCTCCTCCGGCGTTGCATCAATTCGACCATAGCGGATATTGTGCTCAATGGTATTGTTGAAAAGTGGGGTGTCTTGCGGTACGACACCTATGGATTTCCTCAGACTATCAAGCGTGACATCGCGTATATCTTGCCCATCGATCAAAATTCGACCTCCCTGCACATCGTAAAACCGGAAAAGCAGCCGTAAAATAGTCGATTTACCACATCCACTCGGGCCAACGATAGCGAACTTTTCGCCCGCAGGGATGGTAAAGCTGACATTCTTCAAGACGGTTCGATCTGGATGATAACCGAACGTGACATTCTCAAATCTTATTTCTCCGCCCTGTCGAAGCTGCAGCGGCTTCGCATTGGGCAACTCCTTTATCGTGACGTTAACCTTTTGGAGGTTGAAAAGTGTCTCCATATCCAACAATGATTGCCTAAGTTCTCGATATACTGAACCAAGGAAGTTCAAGGGAACAGAGAGCTGGAATACAAGCTGATTAATCATCACGAGGTCTCCCACTGTTAATGAGCCAGTTGCAACTCCGTCAGCACCAAAATACATCATCGCTGCAAGTGCACTTGAAAAGATCATGTTTTGACCAGAATTAAGGAACGCTAGAGAAGTAGTGACTTTAATCGACGCATTTTCGTATGCCTTCAGAGCTTTATCATATCGGGAGACTTCGAAGGGTTCGTTGTTGAAATATTTTACAGCCTCATAGTTGATTAAAGAATCAACTGCAACTGTTGCCCCTCGATTATCAGCAGCATTCGCCTGTTTCCGAAACTTCGTTCGCCATGCCGTAGTTGTGATTGTGAACGCCGAATATGCGACCATGGTCGCCGCTGTAATTGCCGCGAACTTGGGCCCATATTGGTAGCTCTGCCCCTGTTAGCATTGTATAGAACGCTGTAAATATGTGGATCAGTACATACCAATATTCCGCACACCATGGATATCTCTAGGGCAGTAGGAAACACGTGGAATACCATCGAAGTGAGTAAAAAGCTAATTCCTTTCGTACCCCTATCTATGGCGCGGGTGAGGCCTCCCGTTTGTCGGCTCAAGTGGAAAGTAAGGTCCAAGCGCAGCAAGTGGTCGAATACATTCCGCGCAACCCTCCTGATAGCCTTTTGTGCTACCCCAGCAAATACGGCATTTCGAAGCTCCTGGAACAATGTTGCGCCTATCCTCGTTGCGCCATCTGTGATAGTTTTCTCATCAGATTCGGTTTGGTAATACGTCGATAGGTCAGGGTACGCATACAAGCCACGATCATGGAGCCCGCAACGGTCCAGGCAGTGCCTCCAAGCGCTGCAAAATCGATATTCATGGAGTCCACAATCTGTTTAAAGTAAAAAGGTACGTTGACGTTCAAGATCTGTGACATGATAAGCCAAATGATGCCCTAGAAAAAGGTAGAATATGTACCAAACACACCTTGCCTCCGATTAAGAGTGAAAGAGCAACGCCCACACGGAGCTTAGTTCCCCAATCATCCTAGAATTGCCCAATCAATAGAGAAACGGAGAAAATACGCCGGACAACACCCTTACTTTAGGCCATAGATATTTTGTCATTTCTCTCATGATGGCCCAATCTGCCTTTCTCTGAGCTTGTCTAGTCACTGTAGCCTCGCCGAAGAGGTCTGGTTTCGTATTTTCCGGTTTAGGGGCCTTGTTCTCCGGTGTAGCCGCATGTCGTGAAGCGTTCTGTGCGGCTATACTCGAAGTTGTAACCTTCTCACCACTATTCTGCTTGTTCAGTGCAGAGCCTTGCGTTGTAAATATCCTCGTTTGACCTCCAGGGCGTATATGTGTTTGGCGAAATAGCTTAAAGTGAGGGGTGCGGGATGTCGGAGGATGAGGGGATGAGAAGCAGCATCCAAATCGCGCTGCTCGGAGCAACATCTTGAAAAAGACTTGACCTCTTGCTCCAGCTGTAAAGGACTTCCTTTGCGAATCCACCCTATCGGGGCATCATGACGTGCGGAAGCCTCAAAATGTCCGCGGTGGTGATGAATGGTGTGCGGGAGACTGCAGTGTCAATTGTCAAAGTCAAGCAAGAAATGTAGCAAAAACTTTGAAAATAATACCTCAGCTATGGATCCGGAAGAATGAATCATGAATCGGACATAGCCCGACCGACTCCGTCTCGTCACTGTGATCCCGCAAGCTGACGGCTTTTCGATCTGCGACGGGGACTTGCTTATCTGATCCGCCGCCATGTCCGCCCATGTTTGTTCTGTTTGCTTCCAACTCCATCCTCCCAAAAGCTGGACGGAAAATACTGTTTACTTGATTTGAATAACGGCCAGAGAAAGCAAATGAGAATTGTATGGAACCCATGAACTACCTGGTCAGGAGAGGCTTTAGGCCTTCCGCCTGGAAGTATGGAAAATGGCGCCCCATTGGGAAGACCGTTTCAGAGCGAAGACGCATATCCATCCAACCCGTGCCCTCAGTTGAATCAAACACTGTTAATGCGAGCTATCTTCCGGCCGCGTCGACTCCAAGTTCTGTGACGTCCCCGGGTTTGTGCATAGTCTCCAATGGTAATTTTATTGATTGCTAATATATATCCAAAGACGCCAGCTTCGAAGTCCTTGGCTCGCCCTATTCTCTCCTCTCCGTTTCTCTCTCCGCGTCCCAGAACCTATATACAAGACGCGGTACGCTTGTCGGGCTAACAGGGAAATCAGAAAATGTACCTTACAAGTCTCTAAATATCCTCATGTGATGCTTTCTGATCAATTCCTAAGGTTGTTTCTACCCTCAGGCTACTTGAGCCTCTCCGACGAGCTGCACTGCGCATGCCATTCCTATATCAAAAGGTTGTTATTCGTGGAAACCCACCGTGGAAGAGGGACTGTTCTAACCCGTTTTCATGACGTTAGATATCCTCCGCCAGTCCTGTTAATGCCCTTATTTCCGTCCGATCCCCAATAACTTCATTTGCTGTTGTTCAACTGGATGGTACAGTGGATTGGATGATTACACAACGCGATGCTTTGCTTTCGTGGACTGGACACGCATTAACCGTGAAACCAACACTCAACAGAGAGCTAGTACGTGCGCTTGGAGGCTCCTTTCTACGGTTCTATAGAAGCTGACTTAGGAAGAGTTTGGTTCATTGGGGTAGTTCAAAGGTGACTGGACGTGGCCTGTTAGCGGTCGTGGGGAAAGGTCAGGTCTATTCAATTAATCTGAGAGCTGGGGAACGATATATTGCCCATCCTAGGTAAGCCTAGTCGGCCGTCGGATCCGTGGTTGAACCCCGTCTAATTGGGATTCCAGCAATGTCGTCGCATACACCATAAATTCTCACTGGCCGCGCCCGTTTCGGTTCAAATCAACTTCTCTAAAGTTCCAGATTCCGAAGCTTGGGCTAGGCACTTTATTGATGAAATCTAATTTCCTAAGAAACTTGGCCGATTCGGACACATGGAAAGCCACTATGAGGATTTTCCACACTGTTCGGACGTGGGCGAGGAGAACTATCTGGGGGGATAGGGTAAAGCTTCCCATTATCTAATTATCTAGCCGCGGCGTTGAAATTAACTGTCGTCTAGTTGTTCTTACAATTTGAAGGACCAGCAACCGTTCTCATTCAGTCGCGAGCATCGCGAATAGCCGAGTCTCTGACGGCCCGTGAAGTGAATGAGATTGCGAGCACTCAACCAGGTGTTACCAGGGAAGCTACAGAAACCGTTGAGGCACGACTTGAAAAGCAATCGCCCCCACCTGCCAAAGATGACGGAATGAAAACTGTGGGCCAGTCTGTTGCTTCTGTTCGACGAGATGGCAAGGTCGAATTCGAAAAAGTTGATGGAGTTTGAACAAAAACACGCTCTTCTAGAAAAAGAGGCTTGCCTGTTTGGATAGTCATAACTTCAGGAAGTGCTGTACTTTTAGTTCTATATACCTATTATCGCTTGTATTATATTCTACTTGCAATGATGATGATATTTTGCATTCGAAGCCTTCGGTAGTATTTCAGCATTGTTGACTTCAGTGGAACACACAGTTTTTAAGATGTGATGACCAGGAAGATTCCTCAATGCCCATGGGTTGGCAAACCGCGGATGGAGATTTCTACCTGCGACGCCCTGAGATGGATAGTAGGGACATGTCAATGAAGTATCTCACCGGATCCCGTCTACAAGGATCCGTTGGAGAACCCTGCTACCGATTCTCTAAACTTAGGCTTGCTAACCTGTATGACTAGCATTCTAATTTTACACCAGGAGCTTTCTAAAAATGGATCATGGTAGAAACGGGCACACGCTAAATTCCCACAATACCTGCCCTGCTCTTGAACCCAGGACGATATGTAACAAATAAAATTAAATTGGTTTACGCAACCCAAACATCCTTCCCAACTCCCTCGATCCAGTGACCAAGCTGGTTGACGCCAGCATCCCATTCCTTCAGCCGATTCCTCATTCCCTCAATTTGCTTCATATCCAAAACCTTCGGTTGTACCCAGTTGATTCTCGCAATTTGTGCAACCTGGTCAATCGAGCCCTTCAGTAGGCCCAAACTTAAGGCTTTCATAATCAGATGCTCGATCTCGTTCGGCTGAACCTTGGTTTCTTCCGACATCGCTGCGAATGTGACAGTCCGATCATGGGGTGGTCGACGGAATATCATTTCTGTTAGGGCTGAGAGGGATATTTTCTGATATAGAAAAACTTTGTGCTGTTCGAGGAGGGGATTTTTGCTAATGTTTCCTGCTAGAACATCATAGGCTGTCAAGTCACCACGGTTGAAAGCAAAGAGAAGCTCGCGGAGCCACGAATGTTGCGTTTCTTTGAGTGATTCGAGAATTGGATGGAGTAAGAGTTCGCCAAAGTTGTAAATCGTGTCAGATACGAGTGCAGCTATGCTAAGGTCATATGCTCTAGCAGCACGCTCTGTCGGTGTGAGCTCAACTATGTCGATACAGGCGAGGTAGAGGAGGGCGTTCTTGTAGTAGGATGCGAACTCCATTTTCGCCTAGAGCAAAGCCAACAGTTAGACAAACACGGGACAGAGGTAGTCACAGCCACGTACATGGTAATAATCAGCGTTCACTTTATAGAACGCTGCATGTACAACATTCTCGACAGAATCAAAAGAGTCTAACACCGCCTGCGATGCATCAAGATCTTTCCGCGAACCCTCAAAGTCCTCGAGTCGTAACTTAACGGCAGCAACGTCTGCCATGGCGTAGACATAAGCATCCTGCGACCCAGGCTTGTTGACCTTATCCGCGAGCGCAGTTAGGAAGGCTAGACGTTCCCCATCATCTAGTCAAGCTCCGGGTCAGCACCGCTCTTCGCCGTGCTCCTCGCAAGAGGGATCATTAAATACCTTTACACTGCGTCGATGCCATTAACCCCAGAGACACGAATTTCAACTGGTTGATTTTATCTGCAAAAATAAGAATGAAATTTTTGAACATGGGTAGTCTCTGCGGTGCACTCTCTGACAGAGAGAAATATGTTATCAACGCGTTGGTCAGTTGATGCCATAGCTTTCGTTCCCAAAAGTCTTCGAATTCTAGGAATAGGGCTTGGGATTCGTCGGGAGCGAGCTCGCGCTGCTCGGTCAGGAACTCGGGAATCTTGTCGGCCTGCATAGCGGCGGAAGGAGGTTAAGGTACGGCTGAGCTGAGTACGATTATAAAGGTTAAAATAAAGCCCTATCCCATAAAAAGCAAGACAAGCAGAGGGTCCGATTGGAGCGACAGGCAAGTCTGCGAGATGGTTGTATAGGTTAACAGCTGGTTTTTACCAGGCCACTGAGGTTGGCAGTGATGGTGGTGATGGGTGGTGATGGATGCCAAGCTCGAAAGGTCGCTTCAGTCTCCCGTAACCAGCAAGCTCGCCCGCCTTGCTGACTAAGACATCCCGTGGATCTCGGTGGTGCCGAACGACACGTCCTCAAGTCGCGATTGACCGTGGAGTTGATCACCGCCGCGATTTGCTCCGCCAGGTTGATTTGAAATACTTCTAATGCAACTTGCGGACGGATGATCCTCACTTAATCATGTCATGTAAACGGAGCGCAGAACCAATGGTATGTTGCGCGCACTTTATGCCGCACGTCTGGCTCTGCATCACCCCTCTGGGATGCGCAAGCTCATCCAAAGACTGCAGTGTCTTAATTATTTCCCTTGAATATTTCCTTATGTTGGCTTCTATCTCACAGATTTTGAGTCGCATTCGAACAACCTAATACGCTTAACGCAATATAGGATCTGCATTCTAGTTTTCTAGGGTGCCGTCTGCGCATCACAGTACATGATGCACGAAAAACCATAGATGCCAGACGAAGATCAGCGGAAAGCTGAGACCAATGCTAACTGAATCATTGGGGTAGCAGCTACGAACTTTCGGCGCAAACGCCTCCCCAGATCAAAAGAAATGCGACCAGCCACTCCCGTTGATGGATGCGGGTTGGGATCTGTTATGCTATTGTTGTCAGTGCAGATCCGAGTTCCCATCTAAGGCTAGAACAAGTAGTTAGATGTTCTGTTAGTGACCGAACAGGACACTAGCTGAGGAAAATTAGGTATTCAATGTCCTGATTAGGAAGCCTGTGCCAAATTTGAGTAACAACGCATGCAATTACATCCTTCCCAGCTGTTGCAGTGGGACACATTATCAGCTCCAACGCTACTTTCTCTTCCTCAAAGCCTGGCTGGTATTGTAAGCTGTGAGTCCGAGATCGTTCAGGCATGGATATAAGAGGAGGCTGGTTCCACAGGTTAAGTTGTTTTTGTCTCGTGTTCAACTCGAACCAGCAATCCCAAACACATCCCCGGAAAATATACACTATTTTATTTTAACATAATACCAAAGTTATCATGAAGTTCAGCTCAGTTGCAATTCTCCTCTTAAGCTCTTTTGCCTCGGCAGGCTATATCAGCTTGAGCACGGCCAGTGGACGCAGCACCGACACCGGCGACGCGAACAAGGGTTGCTTTGGCCCTGTTGCGGGTAAAGGACCGTATAAGATTACCGCTCATGGTGGGCTCAAGCCGAAAGAGCTTAGGATCTACGCAGGAAAGGATTGCAAAGAGCCAGTCCTTGCAAAATGCAAGGCCCGTAAAGAAGGCGATTGCCAATCTCTCTCGGGCGGTAGCTCAAGTAAGTCAAGTCATAGCTGTCTAGTCGGTTCGAGATGTGGTCCTCTCTGACGCTTTTCTTTGAAAGAAATGACTGGCGCTGTGTGGGGGTGGTTCGCTTGAGCTCCGGTGGGAGTCTCATGATGGGACGATTTGTACTTTAGGAGGAAATCCAGTGGCCGAATGAACTGGCAGAAATAACACGTTTATCAGATTATGCATCCTCGAGTCCCTATGACAAGCCAGTGAACCCCTTTTCACGGATCAACTTGGGGAACTGATGAAGGAGCAATATCATTTTGTTAGGATTGCTAATTTATGTAAATGGAGTGTTGGATTTTCCTCTTATGGTCAACGGGTTGTGTGAAATGAGCATGATGGGAAAGTTAAACTGATATCTGAAAGTTTCGTGATCCTCTGAAGCAGTACCTTTTAATGCTTAATTTATCTTCCCATTAGTTGTCTTTCCGATTTCCGATGGCTATGGAATATGATATGGAGTACTCCGTAGCTCCAGCTCAAACGTAAACATAATAGTGACGGGAGAGTGGTCTGAAGAGCCACAAAGGTACGGAGCATAGCGCATTTAAAAATATGCCCATTGGGATATATGCCGCTAACGGAACCTTGCCTGTCCCAATACGCTCGGTTGAAACTTGCTCTCACTCTCTGTGGCCTGGGGTCAACCATCAGAGGTTGATATCGGCGTTCTGGTGAACGCCACAGAGAAGTGGCTAGAGCCTCAGTTCTGATCTAACCTCATCTGGGTTTAGTATGTTCCCTGATTGGGAATAGCGTTGCTTGTGGAGATTCGCGGGCATTAAGTCAGTTCAAGACCACAAACAGCCGGTTGTCGAAGTTCAACATCATCTCCGGACTGGGACGGCCAATTAACCCGCTGTTCGGTCAATTGACTTCGTTTGAACTGACATTCTGTCCCATCTGAATTATCATCTTTGATGATTGTATAGCTGGGAAACAATGCAGAAGTGCCGCGCCGTGCAAGGCGCGCTTGGCTCGAAAGCCTTCCGCCCTTCTCCCACTTCGTCCTCTCGTCTGCAGCCGTATACCCAAAAACGAAATGTACAAGATGTTTTTATTACTCGGACAGGAACTCCAATTATAAAAGTGCAGGGTGGACGGTAGGTCTCAATTCCCTAATCCTTTCCTCCTCAGAGAAACGCATTGGTGCTAACTAGCATATTTGACTGGTAGGTCATCGCTTGGAGGTAATTGATCAATCAGAATAGCGGCGTCATTAGTGTACGAGCTCAACGGATTTCTAGGTCATACTGCTACTGTCTTCGGTGCTACGGGTTTCTTGGGCCGTTATATCGTCAACAGACTAGGTAGGGAGGCTGGTCCATGAACTTATGGATCGTAGCTAACCAGATGTACAGCCAGGCAAGGATGCACGGTCATTGTTCCTTACCGGGAGGAGATGGCAAAACGTCACCTCAAAGTTACTGGCGACCTTGGGCGCGTTGTCTTTATGGTGAGGATTTAAGACCAGGATGCGGTTCTTTTCGGGAGGGGATTCTGACGTCCAAGCCAGGAATACGACCTGCGAAACACACAATCAATTGAAGAGAGTGTGCGCCATTCAGATGTTGTGTACAATCTAGTTGGACGAGACTACCCAACAAAGTACGCCAAAGTAGCATCATATTTCCAGCTTCATTCAACAAAAGCTAACCCGTCCTAGAAACTTTACACTCGAAGATGTCCATGTTGAAGGCACCGAAAGAATAGCGGAGTCTGTTGCAAAATATGACGTCGATCGTTATATCCACGTTTCGTCCTACAATGCTGACCTGAACTCTCCATCCGAATTCTTCCGTACCAAGGTTTGTGTTGATTGAACATATACTCGATGTACTGCATCATTGACTCCAGGGTATAGGCGCAAGGTGAAAATGCCGCCCGCGAAATCTTCCCAGAAACTACCATTGTCCGCCCAGCTCCGATGTTTGGATTTGAGGACAGATTGCTCCACAAACTTGCCGGGATCACTAACATTTTCACCTCCAATCACATGCAGGAGAGATATTGGCCTGTTCATGTAAGTTTTGCGAGTACTTATGTTTCGCTGGCCGATACAATGCTTACAATTCTAGGCGATTGATGTCGCTCATGCCTTGGAGCGTATGCTTCTTGAGGAATGGACCGCATCCCAAACGTTTGAGCTCTACGGGCCCACCAACTACTCTACCGCAGAGATCTCGGAAATCGTTGACCGTGAAATTATCAAGACTCGCCGCCGTATCAATGTTCCAAAAGCTATGTTGAAGCCCGCCGCCTATTGGCTTAATAGGCTGATTTGGTGGCCAACAATCTCTGCCGATGAAGTCGAAAGGGAGTTCCTCGATCAGGAAATCGATCCTAATGCAAAGACATTCAAGGACCTAGGAATTGAACCAGCGGAGCTCTCCAACCTCACCTTCCATTACCTGGTAAGTATAATTGTGTAAAATCGCACATTCGGGGCATGGACTAATTCTCCTTTTCAGCGAGGGTACAGAAGCGACAAGTACTCGGACCTTCCGCCAGCCTCGGAACGGGAGCGATTGGAGGAGAAGAAATATCTCCACGTGCTGGATGACCAATAAATTATTTCGGTTTACAGACATTGTATATACATACCTAGACACAACCGATTTCATTATCTGTTCTATCATGTTCTTATTTCCATTCTGCATACCGTAAATCTCAATTAGGTGCCACCGGAAGGGTCGAGTCGTCAGTTGTTCGCAAAATAGCGATGACGTTCTTATATTTAGTAGTCAGACATGCCAATTCCTCCAAACCTTTTCAAGAACAGATAGTGTCTGATATCCCATTGATATCTCTCCTACGCTTAATCTTCATGTAGCAATGACAGATGACGCTAGCTTTTCCACTTCCAAGAAGCCCGATGAGGATTCCATCCCGGTCCTTTTGCTCAAAACCAAATCAACCCCGCGCGATGGATATGAAGAGTACTTCTCTTCCTCCACGAGAAGATATAGCTACAAACCTATATTCGTTCCTGTGTTAGAGCATGTATTCGATTATCAGAATTTATCAAAAGTGAAAGACTTATTTATTTCCGGGTCGCTAAAGTGGAAATATGGCGGCTTGGTATTTACGAGTCAGAGGGCTGTGGAGGGGTTCAGTAGGATGATTGCAGAGGAGGTTAACCGTGAGTGTGATCTATTTCTCCTCTCACCTATCTTGATCTTAGTCTTGGGTGCATTTTGGAAATTCCTGGCGAGGACTGACTCTGCAATTTATTTAGAAGACATAGCCAGCGAAGCATCTCGCGATCTCGCGCTCTACACCATCGGACCAGCTACCTACCGCTCGCTGAATACTCTGCGACAAACCCATCTTCCACACGCAACGTTGGTAGGTGAAGATGCAGGGACGGGTGAAATCCTCGCACCACTTATACTCGAGCACTATAACGGCCTTGAGCGGAATCAGATAACATACGGCAGCGCAGAAGCGGTTCAGGACCGGAGTGGAAAACTTCCTCTCCTCTTTCTCGTGGGTGAAACGCATCGCGACATCATTCCCAAGACTTTGATGTCTCCTGACCTTCCACCCAACGAGAGGATTCAGATCGACGAGTTGATAGTCTACAAAACAGGCGTGATGGAATCGTTCAGGGAAAATTTTGCATCTATACTGGATGAGCTTGATGCGAGCGTCGGCAGCACTGAAGGGGCTACTAATCCGGATGAGGGAAATCAAATGTCTCGGCCGCCGATTTGGGTCGTCGTGTTTTCCCCTACGGGTTGCGACGCCATGGTGGACATACTTGGGAAGCATGATCAAAGCACCTTAAAAGCGAGCGGAATGTCCCAGACATACACGAAGAAACATCAACAGCGCAAGAATTGCTACATAGCCACCATCGGCCCCACGACAAGGGACCATCTACGCTTTAATTTTGGTGTTGATCCCGATGTATGTGCGGAGAAGCCGTCTCCAGAAGGGGTAGGGGAGGGTATTGAGAGGGTTATAGTAAAGAGGAGTTGAAAGTCGAATGTATAGGGTTAGCTTTGGTGACTCAGTCAGGGAGAGCGTACAGTAGCTTCATCAGTTCACTGAGATTTTCAGGAGATATAATTCGTATTTGCGTGTGTACTGCGTAATTGACCGCCGTGGTGCACAATAGATCAAATTAGCTACTATGTGGGATACCCACACATCTCACACTCTTTGAATTGAGGGAAGCAGGCTGGTTACGAACATTTGCATCCACAAGAGACCTCATTGTCACAAACCAAGAACATTCATAAACCAAGTCATATGGAAAAATATGTTATTTAAGACCCATGTACAAACACCTTTATTCACATCAAGGGCATCAATGCAGCAAGTATGAAGGAGGTATCAAATCAGTCACGTCTCTAAGAAAAGCTCAGCCAGCCTATTTTGAAACTGACACAAAGAAATCCAAAGGGATATTAAGCCATTCTGGCATGTACGTGACTGGAATGTCATCGTCATGCAGTGCGCCTGGGTATACACTTTGTTGTAACCCGATCTCTTACCTCAAAAACATAGCTCAGTGATGCCAGCTTTTCAGATTTATCGCATAATTTCTTCGTAGATAAGGACTAAAAACGATTAGTGGTGATCAAAAAAGACAGCTACTGACTGTTACCTTTAAGTTGCTCCTTGCTCAACGAATCCTTATTCTTATCAAAGTCAAAAAACTCTTCAGGGATAGGTTCCGCGGTGGGCTCATCATCTGGATCGTGATATGGTTCAAGGTATGGGTGGCGAAGGGCTTCTTCGACAGTAATACGCTTGACCGGATTAAACGCGAGAAGCTTCTCAAGAAGGTCTAAGGCGAGGTCGGATGTCTTAGGGAATAACGCCTTCAGGGGAATTTTCTTTTTGAAAGGCAACGATCGGATATATTCTCGAGCACGGCGAGACTTGATACCATAGTAATCCTCCATGGTTGGTGTTCCCAAGACATCAAGAATCAGAGTCAGTTGATGATGATCTGAGACAGCACCGTTAGCATTGAAAGTATCACTTATGCTGCGGATAGACTTACAATCCTTGCCCGGAAACAATGGCTTTCCGCTCAGCATTTCAGCCAAAATACAGCCAACACTCCAAACATCTATAGCTTTAGTGTACTCTTTGAAAGTCAACATAATCTCCGGAGCGCGATACCACCGAGTGGCAACATATTCTGTCATAAATCCAGAATTATCATCCGTGGAAGCAGCGGAACGCGCAAGCCCAAAGTCGCAGACCTTCAGGTCGCAATTCGCGTTCAAGAGCAAGTTGGATGGCTTCAAGTCACGATGAAGGACATTTGCGGAATGCATAGCCTTCAGAGCGCGAAGTGTTTGGTAGATGAAATATTGGCAATGGTCATCTGAAAGGTCTTGAGTGCGAATAACACGGTGCATATCAGTCTCCATGAGCTCCTAATGGCAAACATTAGTTTTAACATTAACGGCAAAAACGGGATACCATACTTGAATGAGATAGACTTCTGTGAAACTCTCATAATTTCTAGGCTTCTGGATATCCAAAATGGAAATAATGTTCTCATGGTTGAAATATCGAAGCAGCTTCATTTCACGCAATGTCCTCAAGCAGAACATAGAATGGTCGAAAGGTGTGATCTTTTTGATTGCGACCTTTTGTCCGGATGGTTTGTGCAAGGCAGAGCTGGTTTTCAGTTAGATCTACACTCAAGGACGGCGCATAGAGCAACTCCACTTACCAGACTACACCATAAGCTCCCTCGCCAATGACATCTTGGATATCATATTGGTCCGACACATTAAAGGAGATTTTTCTCGAACCCCCTTGGGCCCCTGGCTGAACCATTGCGTTCGGTTCTCGACCTGTAGTCTGATTAACCGCTCAGTCTCTTATCGATTGATCGCTGAACGAAGCGAAGAGAGCCAAAACTTCTGAAGAAAGGCCAGTAAAGCAGGATCCCCAAAACATTTGGGGCAGAGTAAATGGGAGTTGGGTTTACACTGGAAAGTGAAAGGTGAGCGCAGGGAGCTATAAAAAGCTCCCAGGCGCGGCCAACGCAGTCATTGAGCAATTGACACAGTTGCATCAGATCTTCAGTTCAGGACCAAATACGAAAAGCGCAGAAAAGCAAGGAAAGGAAACAAATAGGTAAGAGGTCATCAATTAAATAAACACCAAGTGGGAAACCAGTTATGAAGACATGTGATAAAAATATACAAGCTTAACATGCTTTCAAAGGAAACTCACGTTATAATGTTAGATGACAGACTGCCCCTCCAAACCTTACTATTCCTTCTCCTCTGCCAAATAGATTGCAGATATCTATATGTGGTGCCACCTATTTTCCAGTTGTAAAAACCAGGCTTATATTGCTTTAGAGTGCAGTTTCTTTGGTAAACTGTGAAGGATTGTTGTTATGCAATATGTTCCCACCCGGTCGAAGGGAGAGATGAGACGGAAGGCACTGGAAGCGTGAACAGATCACAGGGCATTAAGAGTTCGGAATGGGCAGTTGACCCAGAGACAAGTCAGACAAAGGAATATGAGGAGGATGGAAGAGGAATGTCTGTCAATCGATGGAGCCGAACGTGAAGGATGCTAAAACCTGGTGCGGAGACGCTGTCAGTCAAGCAACTCGGTATATACCCCATCACCCAAAAGAACTTCAAAAATTGGCACTGCTCTCCTGCAGTGACACAGTTCTCACTTTGGAACAAAGGAGCCATCCTGGAAAGGTGGCCATGAAAGTAACACAAGATCGAACAGCTTCGTACCTGATGCCCAAGACTAGCTTCAGTTTAATCCAAGCTTTTACCCTCGACTGTGCTACTTTCCAACACCGGGAGCTGCGAAGACGCGTGTAAGCTGGATTGTTGGAGCAATCTTTCTTCAGGGAGATGCCCCAGCATTGACTGACCTGTGATCTGTTCCCCGCCTTTCAATCCCTGAGGGGAGTAGATCCAAAAATAGCCGCCGTGTGGTTGGCAAGCGCACCGCGTTCTGCAGCGGGGTGAACAGAGGAGGAGAATAAGTCGTTGTTAACTAGTTATCTTTCGTGCACAAATTGTTTACCAGCTCTTTCCAGGAGATCACAGGAGGATGAGGTCGGCGTCGGCCGGTGGGATGAAGGTAGGTTTCAAAGGGCCAAGTCCAAACAGGCGCCGCAGTTACAGAGTGCCTCGAGGTGGGGCAGCGCACTCCAGACCTCACAGATACGATGAGTGTCAAACGTGCAGATCGGGGAAAATATGGATCGCTAACTACGTTAACGAAGGAAAAAGCAAAGCATAATAATCCGCAGACGCTCCCAAGCATAGAACAGCAGCCCAGCGGGCCCCTTAAAAGCCGACACGAGGCGTCCCCCATTTCAAGCGCCCTCCGTTTCTGTCGAGGATCAATACGACGGTTCTCCAGTTTAAATTAGACCGTTCCTTGGGCGGGTATCCCGCCCGTGGGTCAGATCCAGAGAACGCCCCGAACTTTACGCAGTTCAACTCGCAGACGCCGGAGATGAAGTTTTAGATTTTCGCTCCAAGAATATCCTGCTGGTACGGAACCGGAGTTGGGCGGAAGTGTAAAATCCGCGGTGGACTCTGCATGTCCGGCGACAAGGCCGGTTGGCTGCAGCTATTCGCGGATTGGCCCTTCGATCCATTCTGCACCCCCCTGCCTTGGACCCCTCGTGGATTTCACCATCAAATCGCCTGCAGATTTTAGCCGCCGAGCGTTGAGCCAGAAACTGCCGCTATCTCCATACAATTCAGCGTTCAAGATGCTGACGTCCATCCAGCACCTTTGAAACGACGGGCCGAAATGGGACAATACGAATGTGTCCTATAAATAAACACCTGCGCGCTTAGTTCGCCTGCAAGGCGAGGCCTAGGATGATGATATGACGTTTATCAGCTGCCTTACGGGCAAACTGGCATGATTAAGATCGGGAGTACTGAATCCATAGCCAAAGAGATATGAACAAGGGTTTTATTATGTAATCCTAGATATGTATTGGGCAACAAGACTACTCTCAACACCTTCATTGGATAACCTGGAATTAATTTGCTCCTGTCAGCACGGTCTAATAAACAGTGAATGGGTTCGCAAAACGCTTCTAAAAAGTGAGGAAGACATACCTTTTCCCTAAGCAAACTCATCCATTGCTGCAAACTAACTCCTTGATCTGCGCGATCCTCCACGAGCATCGACTGTGCCCATAGCCTGAGACCAGGCTCTCCGTCCTCCTTGACCACGTACAGCTGAGGTACGATGATGCTGCCCACGCCCCGACTGCGAAAGTCTCGGCTCTTTTGAATAACCGCCCGTACTCTCTCATTAAAGTCGTTATCCAACTCCGGGAGGAACTGTTTTCCGACGCGAAGCTGGGACTTATCTGGGAATCCAAATACATCCTGGACAAGTTGAGGAACAGCATCTCGCCCGACCCAGAGGAACTGTGTCTGGCCATCGTCAATGAGGTACAGCCCATATGGCACCAAACGCTCGGATGTAAGGTTGCAGAGTGGAGGAAGAACAATTTCTCCCGTTGCTGGGTCAGGAATTCCCGCATCATCAGGCATGTCATGAAGGGAATACATTTTCGGATAGATGTATTGAATGAGAAGGGGTAGTGGCAATGTTGATAATAGGCAGAGCGCAGCCGATCGCATGTCAGTTGGTATCTGTGCGGATTTTCGAAGCCCAAGCTAAGGAAGAGTTAACACCACGTAGTAGGCTGGAGGGTCAAATGAACACTTACATTCTTTATCAATGCTAAGAATAGAAGAGGTAGTCCACGGAGATTTGATGGGAACTGCAAGCCTCCACCGGTGACACTGCCACCAGCAAGTTCTTTCCTATATGTCGATAGTAGCTCGATAATCTTTGCTTGGAGAGCATCTCGAGCTTGTTCGAGCCCACTGCCAAGCGTCCGCTCTACGGCTTTGTGACTGAAATATGTCGCGATCGCGGTCTGATCTGCGGATGCATACACGTCGGCCAACGACTGGGTTGTAGGTAGAGCCAACGTCAGAACTCTGATTCTTCGTTCGCCATTACATGTGGTATGTAAGACAGCAGTCTGAAGACACACAACTGATTTCGTTACCGTCTCATCAATAGCGACTTCGACGACATAGGCCTGGTCGCGGGGGAAAGCAGGGAAAGCACAGAGATCAGAGCTTCTATTGAAGAAATTGCCATAGAATGTGCTCATTCGTAGCCCCGTTGTTGCTCGTACACGAAGGACAGCTTCCAATCCAATTTCGGATGAGAGATAATCTGAAAATTCTTTGGCGAATTTGATCGCATCCTCACTCCTGGCAGCATTCCATCCCGGATAGAAATAAGTCTGCCCACCAGTGTATCTTGGAAGGTTGCTCAAAGACGCAACGTCTTGGTATTGCGAAGAGAACAGAAACATGTCGACGGAAATCTGCTGTTTCGAGCATTCCACTGCGAAGCTCTTGTAGAAGCTGTTGCCTGTTTGCAGCAAACTACTCTCTTTACTTGTTCCCAAAACCTTCTTGTCCTCTCTCATCTCAAGAGAGCCATAGCCGATGTTGGGAAGCGATGCCGTTAGGACAGTTAGTTTTCCTCCCACAGGGCCAATAAGTTTGTGGCCCGCACGAAGCGCAGACCCCATAGCAGATCCGCCGTTCTGGGTATTCTGGAACATTTCTTGAAGCTTATCGAGGAAAATCTCAATATTTTCTCTGCATTCCGTCAGAGTGACGAGGAGATCGCCCGGTATTGGCAGGAAGGGTTCATCCAAGTCGCTAACGACAAGCATGCTTGGATCAGAACTTTCAGACCCATCCCTCGGTATCGTGAAATAGTGAAGGCTGGAATCGACAGCGATGAAACCAAGCCTGGTGCGGCGATCTGTGTTCGGTATCCTGTCCAGGCTTTCCTTGATGCACCGTGCGGCTGTAGCCAACAATCCGGTAGTGACGGAGGAGTAGCTAACATCGATCAAGAACAGGTATACCAAGGGCTGTGGCGGCCGTACCATGTACTCTTGAGGAGCGACGAACTCCACCACGGCATGGTTTAGCTCAGGTCGCTGCCATCTATCGAGAGCCTGTTGGGCGGTTGCATCCCAGTCGAACCCTTGAGGAACGTCATTGGTAAGGTTACACATGTTGCAACGCCAGCGATGCCCATGATCGAGAAACGTTACGAAGGGGTTGATATACGATCGGCAGCGTCGGCATCTTGAGATAATCTGATCCGAGACAATTGGAACCGGATCCTCCGAATCATGTAGCGATGTAAAAGGTTGAATTACAAGGGCGAAAGGTAGACGGGATTTCTTCAATAGGGAGTTGGTAGTCGGAACGGCGTTGAGCGTTGAGCGGACAAATTTGGCGGAGCAGTTCGCTGTTGGAGAAGGCGTAACGCTAGCCTAAATTATTCATTAACATCAGAACATCCCGCCGGGATTGGCGGACCCAAAAGAAGGACTCACATTCGGCGGAAGGATGACAGGAGGTGGTGGGAAATCAAGCTCCGCGACATTGAACGACTGAGCCAAAAGGTCGGTTGGATAAAGCTGGTTTAACGAAGTGGCTCCTGGCGCTCGACCTGGCATCTGGCCCCCCATACTCATTTGTCCCATCTGCTGTGTAATCTGGCTGACATCGGCCGCCGGATAGCCGGGGCCCGGTGGTTGGTATCCTCCGGCTCCCAGCTGCTCCCCCGCCGCGTATGTCTCCGGAGCGGGCTGAGCTGGTTGGCCTGGGTACGGAGCAGGGGGGTAGCCTTGTGGTTGCGGTGGCGCGGGATACCCTCCATAAGTACCACCTCCTGGTAGCTGTCCTCCCAGGGCAGCGTTGGCACCGGATCCGAATTCGAAGGCCTGCCCGGCATAGGCTCTCTTCTTCCTGCCACCATGTGTGGGACCTCCAGTTGCGGGGGCGCCAGCTGGTGGAGGCGCAACAGGTTGGTCTGCTTCGGCGGGAGGTGCGCCATATGGCTGGCCGTAGCCCTGCTGGCCATCGGAATGTGGAGGAGGATATCCTTCTTGCGGCGCGGCCATCTAGGAGAGTACTGAACGAATCAAAGGCCGCAAAGGGTCGATGGGTAAAAGGGGATCAGCAAAGGCGTTGTGACGAGATGCTGGAGATTATAATTACTAGCCCGAATTCTGGGGTTAGGACTGATTTCCATGGACTGGATAACGGCGTCGGGGAGCTAGGCCACTCACCAAGACGGACGTTCGAGCACGCATTGAACAAGGTGTGCAATACAAGGCCAGTCCTATAAACCCCGGGAAACCCAATGGTCAGGGTGCGGTCAATGTGGCCTCTAGCCTGATAGAGTGACGACGGCGGGGGTTGGCAGCTCGGTGGGTGGTAGGAAAGGTCATCGTTTTGGGTGAATGGTGGCCTTTGTTCCGCATCTTGGTTGACGCACCTCGGCCAGCCAATCACATCGCGGGGCTGCCGGAGTCAGCATCATGACAAAGCCGTTTTGCTCGCCGGCTCGGTTGCTACAATGCACTTGTTATTGTCCGAAAACGTGTCGAATGCAATCTGTCAACTCTACTCTGTACTTGGCGCATCTTTACCAGTGTAGGCTCTCTAGCTAATGCTTTGGAGCGAATACAACGCGACGTCATCATATGAGGTTTGCAAAAGCATCGTGTGCCTCTCGCATTACTGACTGCACCCATGATGCAAGACCTCTTGGGAAGACGTTATGGATAGATAAAGAGCTATGCCAATGTATATGCGCCAAAACGCCATCGCTTCGTTGGAAGACAGACATGAAACAGAAAATGCGTGGGTATATATGTATATATGTGCGTGTGTGTGTGTGTGTGTTTGTCAAAGCAGGCTCATGAGGCCAGGACTTCAAGAAGCCCTATGCAACATCGACTGCATTCCGCATATTCTCCACCGTCTTCAACCCAACGCCTTTCATCTTCCCTAATTCCACCAGACTGCGAATCTGAACCGATTTATCAGCATCAGAAACATTGCCATCCATCTCGCAAAGGCAATCAACAATGGCCTCTGCTTTCTTAGCCCCAACGCCGCGAAGCAGCTTAATTTGATTAATATTCCTCGAATTGATAATGGAGAGAATGTGTGCTGTCCGCGGAGACTGGATCGCGTTGTTGGCGTCTACGACGCCTGTCTCTTTTGTTCTTGGGTGGCACCTTCGAGTCGCCGCCTTGCTAGCTTTCGGTTTGGGGCGTGAATGACCCTGTGCCTCGTAGTTCTCGTCGCTCAAGCTATCATTCTCCTCTAACTCGCAGTATTCCTCGTCGCCACTATCATACTTCTCGGCGCTTTCACGATTAACTCGTCGACGGTTTTTATGCCCTTGCTGTTGTGCCTTCTCGGAATCACTGTGCGTTGTGTCATGTCCGTTCAATCTCGCCTGCAAAACTTCGATTTTCTGTGCTAATTTTGCATTTTCTGGGAAGAAGGGGAGCGCCAACTGATACATCTTTAAAGCTGACTTATCTTCACCATGGCTCTGATGTTGCTTACCCATTAGCAAGTACGATAAGCCTTCAGCCCGTGCATCTTCGTTCCCTTCAACCCTTTGCTCCAAGCGTTCAAGTCTGCGTTGTAACTGGGCATTAATGTTGTTTGCTTGCGTGCGAAGCGCTCCACGGGACGTTTCAGCTTCATCTCGAGCTCGAGCAGCTAGGATCTGTGCGACCTTCTTCTCGACCATCTCCTCGATCTTTGCAGCGGAGACACTGTTTGATTCTTGTGTGCACCGGGTACTCGCCTCGTTTGCAACACGAGCAATTTTTGAAGGACGGGCCAACGGCAGGAGATTGTTTCCGGACTTTCGCTTCAATGGAGAGGCTTTCGCTAAAGCAGGTTGAGCTTGCTGCTTGGCCTGCGACTTGTCTGTGTAGACCATGAATGACTTTGTAGGCTTGCCATCGGATGGCTTCGAGGCCCCATTGGCGGCTGGTGGCACAATATTTGCATTTAATGAAGCTGTTAGTGGCCGCAACGGCTGCCTTTTTATGGAGGACCCTTTCGCGGATAACCCCGGGGCAAGACGTGGCGGTCCTTTGAACATCGGCTCATTCTCCACCTCTCGGACCTCAATCTTCTTTGTACGGTTCGCAAAGTTGAGAGAACTCAGCGTATCCAGGTGATACGAACGGACTGGTGCAAGATTAAGGATCATCACTGTAAGCCCCTGGTTTTGACCAAGGGATAAGATTCTCGTCATTTTCGATTCTCGATACGGGATTCTTGCTTGCTTTTTACTTATAGCCTCCACACACTGGGCCAAGACGAACAAGCTCTTATTAATGCTCGCCGATTCGACCATGCGTTCTTTACCATTGTCTGTTCGGCGGTTATCCTCCGAGCCAGCCAGGTCTATTGCAGAGGCAGTGCTAACACGAACGCGGTCTCCCGTTGTGACTGTTAACTTCACGCACAAAATTGCGTGTGACCTGGAAGAATGTGCATTTAACTGTTTATCCCGTTCGCGGGTTAGCTGGTCAACATCTCGAAACCTTCAGCAGCCGCTAGAGATCCATTTCCGTACCTTCGTGGCAGAGGTCGACCTGTTAATATTGGCTTGGTCATATAGACATTCGAACTCCTTCAATGAACCGCATGGCCGCTCAGTAAGCCCTACAACTATGGTCTTACCTCCACTGTCTCTGAGTGGAAGGCCGGAAGGCGTCCTCTTCTCGGGCGGCTCAAAGAGATCAAACACCTTGTCGTTGTATATTTCATAGTAGCTCATGACAACGTTCACCTTTGTGGCACCTTGAGAGTCTTTCTCCATCTTCCGACTTCTCCTATATATGCCGCTTAACAATCGTGGGATGACCCCTCTATCGGCTAGGCTTTTTCCTCCTCTCATGGTATGGGTTTTTCCCGTGCCGGTGACTCCATATGCAAACAACGTAATATCGAACCCGTTGAAAAGATGCTTTACAGTCGGCGCCACTAAATAGCCGCAGGGAATCGAGTCAGTTTACCGATATTGTTCATTCACGTCAGTCTACGCAGCCTCAGCGAATATACCTTCTGCATCGAAAAATTCTTGTTGTCCCACAGTGTCATCATATACCGAATTGAACTGAAAGCTATACTGCTCTCCCTCATTTTTCGGGTTCGGGATACGCACAACATTGGGCCGGTCGTAAATGTCTTTCTGCTTCTTCAACGTCGTATTCTCATCGGAAGATTTGGCAGCAGAAGGTAACGTCTGGTTGGACGCACCAGGACGGAGGATGATGTCGATTTCACGTTCCGTTTTCAGGAGCGGTCGAATTCGCGCCACCACCCTGACACTCATTCTCTTCGTTTATGTGCAAGTCGGTACCAGCAACAAATTTCAAATTCGCCAGCGCTTCAAGCTATCGCGTTGTGATCGCGACCGATTTCTTTCAACCGCCTTTGGTCCTCCACGGTGTTGCAACGCAAAAAGAGGCGAAAAACGACAAATCTTGACCAAGGTGCGATATCCACTGAAATTCAAAGTCTATACTCCGTGCTTTCGACTCCAATGACGCGAAGCAGTATAGAAAGAGGAGGACAAACAGTCTACAAAATGATATCTTCCAAAAAGATGATCAATGCAAGTTCAAAGGTGTTTCGGAATGCAACCCAATTAAGGCTCCTCTAAATCCAATCAATGCAGATGCCACGCTGTGCGAAAATGCATTTATGATCTAAATGCAAGATGCAGCAAGATTCAACAAAAACAGAAAGAACAGCAATCAGTAAAAGAAAAGGAAAACAAATTTGGGCACAGTTCTGCCCGACTTACCTTGCGAGTTTGTGGAATTCGACCCGAGTTCGACAGGCTTCGGTCAGTGTTGTCGATGCTTGAAGTGCGACCACCATGTTGGCATGGCAACCGAAAGGGGCCGTTGGTGTTGATTATGTAACTCGCTGGTTAACAGTTAAACCAGTTAGTTAACTAGTTAGCGAACCGCTCCAAGCGCGCTGACTTGCGATGATTACAACATGCTGAAAGTACTCCGTACGAACTATTGATTTGAGAGCTTGGAAGTTATACGGTCTATCCGTAGCCATACATGGTTTTCAAATGGCAAGACGAAGAATAGATCGAGATGGACTCTAAATATCAGTTTTCTTCGGGCTGAATCTCTCAACAACTGGAGATCTGTGGCCCATCGTTTCGACTATGAGACGATGTGCTGCCTTTCCTCCCTCTCTCATCCGAAGTTTATAGTTTGTGGTCTGAATGTTGGAATTGTATTTTTCCCTTTACTCAGCAGTTCTAGCGTCGTTTCAAGCTGCTATGGGCAAATTTTCCTTAGTTTTGGATCGATCTCCTTCTCCCTTGAGCATGAATAAGGATGCACCAGAGGACTGTTGCGTGGTCGATGTTCTGAGGATCACTCCTCAAAAACCCCAGAAATCCTGTCTAAACTCGCGAGAAGATAGCATTCCTTCTGATGAGTATACCCTCTAAGTTCTTCGGGCACTATATCTATCCAATTTTCTCTGGTCCCGCCATCGGTTCTGAAGGAAGGGCTGCCGGTGCAGATAGCTAGCGTGACATTTCATCGGTGCCTCAATGTCTTTATTATCTTGTTCAATTGTTACCTGTCTTGAGTTTGCCTTATCATCCATCACTTCTCATTTGCCAATGATTCCCACTTGGCATCTCGCAGTCGTCTCATGGTACGAAAGCATACGGAGTATCGAAGCAATCATCCCACTTTGTTTTCCCAGAGGGCCAAAATTTTTTGAAAACCATTTTCGCATGCAGTGCCAGAGGTGTGCCGAGGTCTTCAGACATTTCCGACAAATGGTCAGCGACAAATTCACGTGCCGCTGGGCCTCGATTTACCGCTTCCGCGCCGGCCACGATTAACGGCCACATCATGCACTTATTCACTTTTGGTGAGAGTAGGGCCTCCTTGAGAAGTTGGAAGAGGCGATTACCGTGGGCAGTTCTCCTGGCTTTGAGCTGCGAAGTGAAGGGGAGGACAGAAACGCTTTGCAACGATGAGATGCAATACAGGGCGACTGCTGATTGGTATATACGCCCGATAAGGAGCCAATCTTCCTGAGACGAGGTATTTGAACAGGCCCATTCCTCAGGCGAGAAAGCGTCAACGTGTTGCAACACCGCCTCGGCTGCAGTTTGAGAAAATTGATTTACAAGAGACGCGATCTTCCATTGATATCGAAGGTGATTGATGCTGAGGATATCCAGAAACAGGGGGGGGGGACAGAGAAGGTTTGGAAAAAGATAGCCCTCCCCATACATCTCAGATGCCAGATTGGCTAGGTCAAGCTGAGACGTTGTCGCGACTTGGTCGGACGGGGGTGTGGTTGTGTTTCCAATGACGCCAAGTCTATTAAACGCGAAATTAGTACACAAGACTCCGTCACAAGCAGTTAGGGCTAATCCAAATCAATTCCAGGGAAGAATTACATAATGTAATAAAGCAACATGGGCTTCATATGTGGGGACAGGCGGGCAAGGTTCTCTAAACCGCCGCGGAGCGAAATTAGCTTCTCAGCACCAATAAAATGTTGCCGCCAGTTTAGCGAAAGAGAGTCTCGGACCTAGTGCAAGGACATGGTTAACACTTGCTTAGCTTGCCCACTAATAACAGAGAGGAACTGACATCCGTGACCATGAATAGCAGAACACTAGTAATCGTCGCATCGCTGCTTCGGGTTTTCTCTTTGCCAACATCTTCACCCAATGCCCTGATAGCCAAGCCGCGATAATGATACAGATTAGATAGCGCCTCCGCTAAGGTTGAGCGACTCGTTCTTGAGAGTAGATGGTAGATGCGATGGTTTAAGGCCATGGATACCAGAGTGTATTTCATACCAGTGGGAATATAGCGCGCTGTAGAGAGAGAAAAGCGAAGGAGGTATGGATTTGGCGCCAGCTGGTGCATAGATTCAAAGTGTGGATAGATACAAGAATTGTCTAACAGAGTCCAAGCGAGTTAGTCTACCCCTCCAGTCCTTTTACCTTCCACGGCCAAGTGGAGGGTATCAGATTGATCGGCTCACAGTAGAGAATGGCTTGAGTGAAAGCACAGGCCTCGGTTCCAAATGTGACGTGCGAGAGAGCTGCAGCAACGTCTTTCATGCCATTCTCGGTATGGCACGTCAAGCTCTTGATACTACTTTCTTCCACCTCGCTAGTCCCAAGACTAGGATTGACTGTGGTGGGGGCGGAACTACTGGTATTGCTGTCGCCTTTGTCGGTAGGGTGACCTCGACGTCGCCTAGTTCTAGACGTCACCTTCCCCGGGGGAAGCCACTTCAGGGGTTTCTTCTGGCTATACCCAGGGCAAGTGATCCCAGCAGTCTGGCACTTGTTGCAGGCCGGACGTGATGAGTCGCATACCAGTCGGCGGCGGGAACACTCCCAGCATTGTCGCCTTTCGTTCGCCTGCGTTGTCTCCTTTTCGCGGAATTCCATCATATGTCCGCACGTTGCGAAAATCTCATTCCTAACTAATGCAGTTTAGGATAAAAGATAGCAGACGGGAAGAGAGCCAACTAGAGCCGGCCTCATTCCACCCGTGACTTTTATATACGCCCACAAGCGATAATAAACCTCTCCAGCTCTGTCTCGGTCTGCCCACAGCATCTTGAAGTCTAATCTTCAAGCGGATCGTCCGTCAGCCCTGCGGGTATGACAAGGATTCTCGGCTTGGCCAACTTCCACTCCTAATTCGGTAAAGCGTTAGCGCAAGGCTCTCTACAACGGTACAAGGATATTGAAAAACTCATATCCTAGTAGCCAGTCATTATTGGTCAAGCTGTGGTCGGTCAGGCCCGTGCAGAATTGGAAGTCGGAATGTCGACGAGCACCGCCAAGCTGAACCCGTGATCGGTCGACGATCTGCATCTTTACCATCGATGGCGCAGCACTACAGTGGAGTTCCGGAGCACGGAGCACACACCATCAGATTGTTTTGGCGCCCACAATTTGTTTGTTGGATGCATGCTGCAGCATTGCATCAGTGACCAGTATTGTCAGTAAACAGCCACGGGTTTAAAGATGAATGGTGATTAGCACAGAACTGGACTGATGAGTCAACTGTCACCAACACATATGGACTGTGGCGAAGGTCGATTTAAAAAAAAAAAAAAAAAAAAGGAGGAAATTGGACGCTGCTTGAGTCAATTCCAAAATAGAGGGCTGTGGACTGTCGAAAATCATGAATTCTCTTCCTGAAAATGCTAATGAACAGGTAGTAATTACGGCAATTATGCCTCGGGCGTACCCCATACTCCGTGCACGAGCGTATTAAACTCCAGAGTCCTTCAAGCTTCTTTCTCGTTAGCCGCAGCTATCCCGAATTAATAACACCCAAGCCTCTTCAGGCGCCGTGGGGCTCCATCACACGTTACTGTCGGTACCAACATGCCCGTTAGTTTCCCAAAACGGCTTTTCTCTTTCTTTCCTGGGCCCAAAGAAACCAAAAGGATCGAGCAGGGTGATTAGCAACGAGCGGTTATCATTCCAGCCAGGCCCTTCGATTTCTGTGGAGCCATTTTGTGCGAGATAGACCTTGGAACTTTGGGGAAGGAAGCGCCTTGGGTGCCGCCAATTCCATAGAAATGAATTGAGCAGCAACAGGCTCGCCTCGAAGACGTAGAAATACCATTCATATCGCACTGCGGGGCTAAGGGTCGAAAGATCGGCTTCCGAGTTAATTTCCGTATCCGAGATGTCGAACTGCTCCACAGTGCGATAGATACATCGCACCAAGATAAGAAATGTGCTAATGTACATGGTCCTTAATGGGGCCATGACAGAACGAACGTTGACCTTGGCTTTCGCAGTGCGCTGGTGGAAAATACCGGCCAGAAAGTAGAACAGCGAGATCACGACAATTTGGGTTATTAGCGAGGCCTTTATCAAAGCTTCGCCAAGTTCCCTGAGGTTCTCAGGCAGCGATTTATTGGCGATGTAAGCCACTCCTATCGCGTTCAGAACCTCCACGACCGCGGACAGTGCACCAAAGGTGGTAAGGACACGCCCGGGGTGCAGCGGAGAGCAGTATGGCACATAATAGAGGATGCGACCGAGGACGTGATAATTTGCAAGTTCGAGGATAGGTCTATGAGATAAGGCTCTTAGTAAGGGGTACGATCCCCCGTTTCAATGGAGTTTTGCAGGTGCTCACGGGGCCATGTAGATCATCGAGGTACTCGCGATATACAGATCAAGATTCTTCTTGGTGTACAGATATTCGAAAGCGCCGTACTCCCGCAGCGCAAAGCCGGTAGTTAGCATGAGGCAAGAAAGAAGGTGTAGGCCCATGAGCTTGAAAGATTTATAATGACTATCGAAATTGTCAGTGCATCCTTCCTAGAAGCTCTTATGCTTATAGGTGAGACAGCAATTTCTTACGAGCATTGCCATAAATGTATGCCGCCCGTCAATGCGAACGCTGCAGTAAAGATGATGGGCGCTACCTTGCTAGGAGCGTAAATATAAAGGCTCCCGTCGACTAAATCTTTTGTCAGCACCGCTTCCCGTTGCATTCCAATTGATGACCATACCAGGATTTCCGTCAGGCATTTTGAGCGTTTGTTGCCGTGACAGTTGTTCGAACGGAATTTTGATAGAGTGAGGTTTGGGGGAAGAACATGAATAAGGAATATGCTACTTTGAACGCCAATACATATATATATATATATATATATTCGGAAGGCTCCAGGTGTCAACCCTTCTAGGCTAAAAGGCACTTTGCTCCTGGCCTCTAAGTGCAGCCCGGTACGGAGTACAGTATGGCGAAAATACGGAGTAGACCGACGCATAGAGTTTGATGCCGCAAAAGGCCAATCGTATCAACAGCCAAAGGCCGCTAGACCTGGGACGGACATAAGTAAGGCCAAGATCTGCCACGGCCCACCCAGCCGTGACAGGGCTTTGCACGAGCTGATCACTGCGGCTTGTGGTGCGGCGATCTAGTCCAACAGGGTTAATGGGGATCATCTTCCTCTGTTTGTCAAAGGGTATCGTTAAATAATAAGCCTTTCTTAGGGAATAACCAAGAACAGAATTTTTAATCTAGTGGCACCTTGATATCCAAGCAGCATATCATTCAGACGCAAGCAATCACATACCTCATTTACACATTCCACATTCTCACCGTCAGAAACATGAGCTACACAGCAGGCGGGTATCCATACTTGCCTGCTGGCACTGGCGGCGGCCCGAACCTCCCTCCTCCATCCTACACACAACTTGACCAGAACCCTTTTAGAGACCCGGTCCCGCCATACCATACATTCCGCGATAACAGTTCTACAAGAGATTGGAAACCATCGAACCCCCCGACCGTCAAATTTCCACCGAGAATGAACGGGTACTTCAATTGGAAGATGTCAAAGACATTTCACCTGGGACCGACAGCCGAGCAGAAGGTGCATGCTGTGACAGTGCATTCTGCTACTTCCACCTGCGGGCCTTCCGTTGACCTATACGACGGACCAACCAATACTCACCCGGTCCTGGCAACAGCTACTGCCGACAAAAGTAGCAAAAATAAGCTTGTTAACATAACTGTGCCGCGGTGGCCGGGATACCAAGAAGGAATAGCCGAATTGGAGTCGATAACCACCTCCCCTCCATCCAAACACGTCGCGCTTGCATTCTCTTTGCCCGTTGGGGTCGGCAAGGAGATGCGGCTCGAGAACTTTGAATGGCGGATGAGCACAGGAAATGAGATCAAGGAGCAAGACGGCCAGTCCTACGGCTGGAAACTGGTGCGAATGTCGAATACGATGGAGGACTGCGCTGTGAAAAGATCGAGGCGAGAATTCGGGGTGACAAGTGATGGGAAAGAGGTTGTGGCGGTTTTGGCATACTACTGCGGGTGGAGCATGACGAAGGGCTTCAAGTTCGCTTTCCTTGGTAGCGGCCTAACCGGCACTATGGGCGAGAAGTGGGAGATCGTGACTCTCGTTTCGGCACTGCACGTCTGGTACATGGATTTCCGGCAAACGATGGCTGGAGCTGCATTATACTAGGGAGAGTTGCATGGGATTGGAGTTGCCTGAGTTTGGGAGAATTGGGGCTTTTTTTAAGCCGACCAAATTGCTTGCTCTAATAGTTATCGAATCACAAGATGGACGGAATACTATACCTGGAGACAACAAATTGAATGGTTTTAAGTTAATATCGAAGCCAGCCTTAAAGCTATCTAAAAGCCTATCTGGCCAACTGATCATAATATCAACGCCAATGGCTCATGAGCAGCCGGATAGAAGTCCTAACTTTGAGCAAGAGTCATGATGACCGAAACCAAAGAGGCGACTAGAATGCTGAACAACGTTATTGCAGCAATCCATGACTCCGGTAGGCGTAAAACAAAACTTGCAATGCCATTTAGGAACGAAATGCTCTGTCGAAACAAGGCACCCCCGGGATTGTGGAAGAATCCTGGCCTGGCAGTGCAACAACTCCCGCTGGAGGTCGTCGTGGTCACGAGGCATCACACGATTCAAGCCAGTCGGAACGTCTCTTTTAAGTTTTGAGCACAGCCCGGTGGAGCAGGCTGGCGGATACGCTAATCCTAGAATGGTAAATGCGGCGCATGGATCGGCGCTTGGAAAGTCCAACCCGCGTGTGGCAGCCAACCGCGCCTTCCCGGCGGGTTGAAGCGCGGTTGCTGCATGGGGCAAATTGCGGTTTCGGGTCAGCCCGATTCGTTTGCCTTAGGTAATATTCTTCTGGGCGTCTTAAGGTTGGAAACTTTATATACGACTTCGAAAAATTACCCAACTAAAGGATGAAGAGTAGGATGGTTAAATCCACACGGCCTCACCAATCACATATGCAGAGATGTATACATTATATTAGACCACCACCGATGACACCACTCCCATCACTCCAGCCAGCCAAGCGGGCCACCACACACACCACACGGCAACCTGCGTCCACATCCCCCAAACATCCCACCCGAACGCAGCCTCGGTAAGAACTTTCTCCACTGAGACGTTCCACGCCTTGCAGGCCCCGAGGAGCACGGCACTCGGAGCAATGGCGTTAAGGACTACCAGGCTCACAGCCACCTTGGCAAGAACACAAGGCGTCAGTGGGGTCGCTGACTTGGAGGGATTTCCCGCCTTCATAGATTTGGACTCTGCGCTGGCTAATATGGACGTCGGTTTGGGCTCGACGTATCCGACGAATGAAAGAGGCGCGCAAAGTAGGCCCATTAGGAAGGAAAGAGAGAAGTTCAAGGTTGCAAGAGCGGAGAGGAAAAGGCCAAGAAGTAGGAGAGAAAAGGATTTTATGAGGAGGAATTGCTGAGCCGTTGGGTGGTGGAATCGCGTGAGGAGAGTGGCAAGCACAATGGGGATGAGGATGTTGATGAAACCGAAGTAGTAGGCTGCAGGGGCAAGGAACTGCAAAAAGGCGGTTAGCCGGCTTGTGCTCTCTATGCAACGACAAAAGGAAAATTGGGTACCTGGTGTGAGAGATTGTTGAAAATATAAAGAGGTATACCCCCTAAGAAATGCAAACCCATGACCAAACTTGCCGGTAAGGCAAGATGCCTTTCCAAGATGCCATTGTTCTCCCCGTTCCCAGGCGAGGCGCTTCTTCCCTCCCCCGCCGATTGTCCTTCCGTTGTTTTCTCTATTTTACCCTGGTTCAACCGTATATCAAGGCCGGAGTATCCGCTTTTCATCCACGACGCAATCGCCATAATGGTAAAATTGCCGGCAATCAACATTGCACTTGGAAGATACGTTCCGATGCTCACAAATCGATTCGTCTGCATTAGCAGGTAAAAGAAAAAACTCTGATGCAGATGCTCTAGCAGGTTATTCAAGCTTCGAACTAAACCCTCTACCGTTCTACCGAGAGCCATTTCATCCTGCCATCCCTGACCAACGGTTTGAAGTGTGATCGCATCGATATGATACGGAATAAAGCAACTGTGTAGGCCCGCCGCACTGCCGAGGCCCTGGCGCATCATCCCCCTGACCATTGTCTGTAGGCGCATCTTGTAGCTATCATCGTGGTTCCACATTTCTTGCAATTCTGCGCGAATGCCCATTTGCCCATTAGATATGGATACGGCAGTGTTGAACAAGTCGAGATTTGGTAACTGTCCGTTGACTCCGTCGTAAACAATGTGGATAGATTCGAAACGATGGTCAAACGGGTATTCGAAAGCGAGCGCGCCTTGTAGCGCGCCACTCTTCAGGGGCAGTGGCTCAACCGATGGAGGGTGCATATCATGGTACGCGTCGATCCACGCTTGAGCACCAGACCTGCTATCCGGTGTGATGAGAAAAATTATATCTTTTGACCAAAGAGACCATCCTAAGGAGAGAACGTTAGGATAAGACAATAGTACACCACAAAAGAGAAAATAACTTACTCTTAAAGTACCGAGCCAAAGTTAAAGCCAGCGCAACGCCATTGAGATTGGGTTCTCCCTTGATCGTCTTCCACGCGGCTACCAGGACAATTGCCTCCGTCCCATCACCCCGGGGAGCTTGAATGATGCTGTAAACGTTCTGGCCCGAATAAACATTCCCAGCAGACCGATAATCATATTTCTGAGTCGCAACTTTCAACCCCGATTCCCGAAAGATCGACTGTAATTTTTGTGAAACCCTATATCGAATCAATAACCATCAGCGTGGACCGTTTCCAACAACCCCAACATCCTCTTTTCACATTGAAAATTCAAAAGGTTTCTCCAAGGCTAGACACATAACGTACACATCGTACTCCGCATCCTTCACTGCCTCGATCTCCTGCCTATATCCACGGAAGATATTCTGCTCACTGCCCGAAAAGTACGTGTGCACCTGGCCCGGTAACAGCGCATTTTCGGAGATATACGTCTGTCGAGAGTACTCGTTCAGCGGGAGCAGGAGGAGCCATATGATACCGACAAGAATGAGGAGAGCAGAGAGATAGGGGGGGAGTTTGGACAAAGGGCGCGGGTCGCGACGTAGTCTGAGGATAAGATCCGCTATGCCGGAGCTCCAATATTTAGTATTCAGGTGGGAACGGAGAGTTGGGATTAAAGCAACGGGTGGAATTGGCCCAATTACTCGCGCCAGTTCATGACTTACATATTAGTGCCATTGGAAAAGAAGCCTTCACGGGTCAGGTCCCATGAAAGCCATGGGGGTGAGATTGCAGGGTGTTGTTTGGCCTGAGTCCGCCTTGAAGCTCTCCAGCACGCTGGCCGCTCCTGGGTGCCCCGTCCGGAGTTAGTGCTGTCACATGACAAGCAATGCTCACTATATCATGTGACCAAGATGTATAATCCCATACAGAATTTTAACTACTTCCGTACGGAGTAGTTAGTTAGTCAATGAATAGGAGTTAACCTCAGCTCACGGTGTTCTCGCGTCAAGGACCTCTGGTGCTCATTCTATTTGCACTATTCCTGCGTGCATTTGATCAATTCATTAACTAACTGTCATCGGCAAATTATTCTACATGAGACTATCAATGGAAAGGTAACACGAGCGTGGAATGTTCAGTAGCATATAGAGCCCGACTTTGTGCAAGGACCCGATCCGTCGCCGTCGGGAAATTACTTTTCGTAGATCATTATTAAAAAGATAAGTACGCAGTTCATCTAACCATATACATGAAGAGTATGCTCTTCCTCAATCCTTTCTAATCGCACTTCAATCTTCTTTTTCAGATGCAATATCAAAGGCAGCATCGGGAGCTAATGTTTGTGAAAAGCATGGAGTAAAATGCCGAGCGACTGACATTTTCAAAATAGACCCATTTACGGCCCTAAACGCTGAGTAGATCCAAAGTAACTCATTGTCGTGCCCGGGCCACTGGAAGAATTGCCCGTGGGCAATATTCCGTAGCGCCCATACGTTTTCTGATCTACCGACACGTAGTGTGGGAGGATCCCCAGAAGGTTCAATTTGCTTTCAACCCATCGTAGGATTTTCTCTGGAGGGAAAAGGATTTTTAGGTAGCCAAGTCCGACTACGAAACAAAGTCAGCAATGATTCTCCCCCAAAACAGGGTGTGAGAAACCCTTACGGGCGTATCCAACGGCAATTCCGCACAAGTGGCCCACGAAACTAGTGTTCGGAATCAATGCGGAAACGAAGATCGTTCCAATCAGTGGCGTTGCCCACGTTGGAATCTTATACGTCCCCAGACTGCCAATGAGTCAGTGATGTCTGCAAAGAAAGCATTCAAAAAGAACACACCCAACGAACCTGAAGTGAGGGTTTGAAGCGTAGGTCTTCATTGCTTCTGATGCAAGTAGCAAAAACACCCAAATACTACATGTCCCTCTATTAGCAGCGCCCATATAAAAGCCCCTCTTCAAAAGCGCACCTTGATCCTAAAATAGCAGTATCTTGGCGGAATATACATTTCTCGACGAGTATATATAAGCCTCCAGGGAACGTCGATAGCGCTAAAGTCGCAGGTCAGCCTCCATCCTTTCGATCAATCTCAGGTGCCGAGAATAACGACTTACGTCCAAAGAACATAGCCAGCGAAGTAAGCGTTCCATATTCAGCCTCGAATCTCTCCAGCAGCGGCGTCAGCGCCAAGATATTTAAAAACGCGTGAATAAACCCCTGGTGGACGATTGGATAGGTATTAAGACGGTGCACTAAACCGTGAAGAAATCATTGAACACTCCTCGTCAGCAAGGCAAACGTCCTTTTCTCCAAAATCATACCAAAAGACACAGGGTGTATACCTACTGCTCATAAGGCTAACTTCACTCGGCTTCAATGCTCCCCAGCGCGCCACGCTCCATGCCGGCTGTAAATCCAAAAGGCAAAGGGTGACGATAGCTATTAGGACAGTTCTGGTGAAAAGCGGGAGGCGGAGTATGTACGATCGAAGCCGTGTAGGGCTGAAGGGGAGAGGGGGGAATGCTAGCGGCATTTTATCTTCGGACCGTCGAACGGAGGGGTGTCGGAGTACGATGCGGATAGAGAAGGTAGATAGGAGAATAAAGAAAGGAAATTAATCAAAGATGGAGTGCTTTTGAAAAGCACAAACTAATGTCGGCCGTAATACAATCGCGGTGGGAGAAAAGAGTTGGGCGGGAGAAGTGGTCGAGCTCTCTGGCAAGCGAACGCACCTCGCACTCCGCCAAATCCAAGGATTCTGAATAGAATCGAATACGACAGGAAATATCCCTATATTACTTTAAGATCTCTGCGTTGATAATCCCATCCGAACCTGAACGTCTCATCCCAATCCAAGCAACTTCGCCAGGGGAACACACGGCAGATGGTGAATGCGTAATTGGCCTCGAGAAACTCGTTAGCGACTGAATAATAAAGAATGCCTCTCCTCCACCAAAAGAAAGGCCAATTCTCCCACGCAAGAAAATCCACAATGCAAGAAAGCAGGGTCCTTGGAGGTTTGTAAAATCTTTGGACGGAGATCAATAACCCATGCGGTTAGGTTCACCCAGCTCCCTAGATCGTTAGCTTGGTTGGCCGCTGGAAAGCTTAGTTCGGTAAACTCAAAAGCGTGATGTGGAAGCCCGCGCCAAGAACATCCCTGGCCCCGTATCAAAAGTATGTCCTCCGTATCGAGGTACAGAAACACATTTGGATTAATCTCTACCGTGGTCTATGCAACTGGATAAGCTGTGCTACTCACAGTTTCATGCGCCAGCCGAGTCCATTGTGTAAAGCCGATCAGAATCTCTAGGACCCGGCCATCATAACCATGGACCCATGAAATCTCCTATCAAGCAAATTCACAAAATCTACGAGGTAGACTATCAGGTGCTGGATGAATATGAACTTGTTAATACGTAGTTACATTTGAGTAGAGACTATCATTATCATAAATACATAATCATTTCAATGCTTAAGCTTCCCTTTCATCTCCACATTGTGCCTTTTTTTTTCATTTTTTTTTTTTTTTTTGTTGGTTGCCTTTTTCGCAAAAAATTCATACTTACCTTTTAAAGGTGACAACCCAAAAATCGCAACAAGATGAACCAACTCGATAAGGGGTATAAAACTAGGGCAATCCAAGTAAATGAAAAGAGAGGGAATAAATAAAAGATCAATTGCGCATCAACTTTGAGCCAGTAACAATGTTCATTTTTCACTCCGGAAAGCGGAGGTCCTGAGGAGACGGAGGAGCAGTCTTCTTTGATGCCCACGCCTTTAGAGAGATGGCGACGATCTCCCAGGCCATCACAAAGGCAGTGAAGCCCATTGCAACTGTAAACACAAACATTGCGTTCAAGTCGTAGTGAATCATTACTTCGATGATATCCTTGGTCTAGTGGCTATCAGTGAAACGACCGTTAAAACTTTCATCGCCCTCGAGGTTACACTTACGCTCAGCATAAAGATAAGCCCGCCAGACATAAGACAGAACGATGCGACAAGCTCAGAGGGTGGTCGGGATGGTAGCAACGAACTTGGTGGATTGAGGTAAAGGATGATATAGGTGACTGCACGAGCCATGGAAAATCCAACGAGGAGCATTCCCCACTGCGAATGCACCATCGTCGAAACCATACTTGCTTGATGGTGCGAACTCATCATCAAGCCCAACAAAAGTATCACTATGGCAGGCATCGGGTTGAGTGATAGTCTCTGCGTCTTCGGCGCTTGCCATACCTCGTCCTTGGCGGGCTGTTCAACATTGGTTGGCGCAGGGAGCACACTCATATTTATCCAATCCCGAACACGTTGTGACTCTGAAAGCATACCGCACTGACTCGGCCGTTAGTTTTAGAGATCCTTTCAAGCAACAATTGCCCAACTCACCAATCCTCCACCAAAAAACATTATCGAAATCGACACATGCTCCAGATCTTGCGCAGTCCAAGCTCCTCCCCATGCGGCTAAATGTTCAAGGAATACGTTGCTAGATCCGTAAAGGAAAATAACAAGAGACTCGGTGAATTCACCGGTAGGTACCCTGGATTTCCATCCAACAATGGCATGGGATGGCTTGATGTTCCATGCCCATCCAAAGTCGGCAAAGCACCCAAGCCATCTTCCCAATGTGAGAAGCCCATACCACAGGAAAATACCTCCTTTGATAAAGTGGGCAAGACCATTGAAGATGTTGTTGCCTCTCTGTGCATGGACTGTCAGCTTTATCGACAGCTGGCCATTTTACTTTCCTTACAGCCTGAACTTACAAATATGCCGCCATAGGTAACTCCACCACTAACCAGTGCAATGAAGCCAAGGGGAAGAATAGTTCTCTCGATAATAACATATATCACCTTTAAAATATTCAGAGCGCGCTGAGAAAGTAGACCTGGAATACGGTGCGCGAGATACTTGTCCAGGAAGCGAGATCCTAAAAATTTTCGTGGTCTAGTGATATGGCCAGCCTCGTTGATTGGCTTCTCCTCGAAATCGTCGACATCATTGTCCCGAGATAGGCTACGCCCTCGCTCCATCGAGCTAGATCGAGGGCTACGCAAAGACGAAGAGCATCTCTCGGTACCCTGCCCGCTATCTCCCGACCAGCGATATTGATAATCTCCACGGGAGTATGAGGCCCGACTATCCTGTGGCGTATCCTGCGATACTGGGAGGAAAGCAAGCCTTTCATAGGCGCTACCCGCAACATACCTGTTTCTCCCCGAATAGGCAAAGAGCAGACCCATGACGACTTCAGCGATCATGACCCAGGTAGCGATCCACCCAATTTTATGGTGAGAATTATTCACATAGAGGTCCGGAGTTTGGGTGTTGTAGATAATGCCCAAGAGCAGACCGACCGCATTGACGACGAGGAAGAGGAATTGAACGGGGAGAGAGAGGTGAGATCGCGCAACGCTAAACATGACACCTGGATTGTAAATGCAATTAGCATGTGTAGAATCGACCCGGAAGCTTCCCTATCCATACCAATCGGAAGGATGAAGAACCAAGCAAGTACCATAAGAACGATGTGACCCAGGATAACTCCAAAATGTTCTCCATGGGCGAAGTAACTTATTGGGCCAGAAGGCTCGGCAACTTTCGCGCTCGTACTCATTGATGGGCTAGCGCCTGCAGGCATCGCGCTGTGCATGTCCATTGAGCCATGTTCGTTACCATGCGGCTGTGCGTTTACTCCGAAGGACAGGAGGAATAAAAACACGCCCAGACGGGCAGGGAAAGCAGATAGCCGCAGCATTAGCGAAGAAGAGTACTCCGTAGCTGGGATCGATTTCCAGTCTGGCAAGAGAATGGCTGCTGGGGATCCAAGCGAGGGTCACTGCAGCTTCGCGGCAAGATAAAGCACACCATACAAGTAATGAGAGAAAGCAGTCGTTTCAAACGAAGGGAGAATGAAAGAGCAAAGAAGAAGATGGAAATATTAGCTTCACAAAAAGAAGACAAGAGAAAGAGCGGAGCTGGGCTATTATTAATGAGCTGAGTGTCGTCCGAACGAACAGGTCGGAGCTTTCTTGAGGCGGCCAGAGTTCGGCCTTGATAAACAAAATTAAGCTCTGGAGGGGGTTTGGGTTAGTCGTTGGGTACCTCGTTGCCAAATAATTAGTCAATCCCATAAGAGCTCATGATTAATTGCAGGAACAATTTCCATGCATCAAAGCTTCTCAGGGAAAAGAACCGAAAGACGGCAAAGCTTGTTCTGATCAGTTCCTGAAGTTTTCCGGAGATGAGGCTGGAGACAACTCGAAAGATGAAACTCCCACACAAGACATTCTTCAGTGTATTCTCCCAAGAGCAAGCAGAGTATCCCCGATATGACACCCGTCTTTCCGTACATGTGGAGGCTTGTCCGGCAAAAAACTGCCAGGATAACCACCATAGCCAATTTTATCCATGCGATGATCCGCGTCGACATCACCGGTCGATGACGCTAAACGTGGTGGGGAGATTCATCGTTTGTTAGCTCCGCATGACCTGGGCCTCTCCCGCCCTGCACGGTGCCAACCCTGTCAGGCTTGACAGAAACACTTGGCCCGCCTAACCGGTCTTGAGAATATGGGCCCAGGTAGGCGGATAGACGGCTAGGTATTCTGTACTCGATGTGGGCATGTAGAGTACTTCCATCCATGCTTGTTGTCCGACACAGCAAATACATGCATGGTTAACTGTCGGTCCTATCCGCTGTACGGAGTACTCCGCACTTCAAGTGCAATGATATCAAAGTAGGGGTGTCCCTCTCCTCTTTCAAGCTTTTTCTTGGAAGCTCTTGATAGGCCCTGCAGCTCGGATATCGCAAGGTCCAGCCACGAAGGAAGCATTTGTCATCCGCACACTTTTCCTTTTAAAACCACCAGTGACGCCGGTCCCGGTTCTTCCGCAGGCCGCCATGGCTCGTAACAAACTGTAATGCTGCGGTAATTTTATGGATATTGATGCCAAACTGGAGGCTGGATGATGATGGTTTCCCCTCACTCTGCTGTAAATAGTCATCCTCGGCCCCTAGCTGAAGGGACTCGTAATCGCAGTTATCGGTGGCCGAGATGGGCAAGTCAAGGGCGTGGGATGAGGACTTGACTCACTTCGGCAATGATACCGCTTGCATTCCAGCGTCCTCATGCCTCTCTCCTCACTCGGTTCCAAGAGCTCAGGCAGATGCGGGCTGACACTGACACGACATCCGATACATGTGCACTTCGTACTCATTTCGTATACCGAGAGCTTATTCGATCAAGTCACTACTGTACTGGATGTTTGTACACACATACGTGCAGCCTGCGGGGCTTGACAGCTCACCCTCCCAACGACAGCAGGGGGGATCCAAGCGTCGGTCGGACATAGATTAACAACAGCATCCGGCTCACTAATCCAGAGCATCACGCGCCCAGGTTGAATTTTGAGCATGACGGGCACGATGCAAGACCGAGCCCCTGGTATTTTACATGTTCATGGGAATTCCTGCATTAAGGCCAGGAGAACATTTGATACCAAGTTTGGGAATCCGTCTGGCGACGTGTCGCCTGTAACTATTACCTAGTTAGCCAGATGAAGCTATGCGGGCTGGCCCATCTGAGAATTCTTCCTCGCTCGATTGGATGTACTATACGGAGTACTCGGAAGGAGTTCCAGAGCATAATACATTCCAAGTGACATCGGATACATGCATATTAGTCCAAATTCATAATTTTTCCTCCCGACACTTTTAGACAGTTTTTTTTTCGCGCCATTTTCCTCATGTCGGGCTCCACTCAGCACGCCTCGCGGCAAACGGCTCCCTCGTCAAGACGGATTCTCTGGGCCCCGTGTCGGAATACACGGCACTCTGACTCCGGATGGGAAAAAAGAGAAAAGGGCGCTAAAATTTTTGTGCTGAAGATCGCCCCATAGAACACTGCGTCAACAACCTGCCTTTGGCCTGGCTCAGAAACGGTGTACCAGGTCCCTTGTTCGTACATTGTATGTACTGGACATATGTATGTCCTGAGCGTTGTCATACACCAAAGTCGGCGTGCATCCGCCAGACGAACCCCGTGGGATAATAGCCTGACTCTGACTCTCCATTTGAGAATGCAATACTCCGTACGGAGTACTGAAGATGATATTCCATCACATACCAGCTAACAGGATGGGATACATATGTAACTGACTACGGTGTACGGAGTACACAAGCAAGATATTGGCCGAGTTTCGTTTGAGAGATGTCCTAGCAGTAATTTTCATAAGATATCCCTGGCCGCTAAACCGACATATATATCGGGCTCCTCCTTCAATCCGGGACACATGCCTCAAACCCCGAGCTGGCTGTTTTTGCACGGAGCGCTTCGCACCCCTGAAGCTCCGACATTCCCTCTAACCAGCCGCATTTATAAGGGGCGGGAATGAGTCATAAAGAACCCCGTCACGGCTCATACACTGGGTCGGCGACTAGGCAACTAGCGATTACTTGCAACATTCTTCTTTTTTCTTTGTGCGAGGGGCAAGAAAACGACCAATTATTCGGACGGGGTTAAATTGTTCTGTCTCCAAAGGCTGATACCAAGCTTTCTGTGCATCCTTTCGAAGATGGACAGCTCTGCATCTCTTGACCTGTCGCAGCAGAAGGGATTCGTCGCGAATACAGCCTGCTTTTGTTTGGCCTAGTCTGTTCCCATTTATAACATCTATGTCCAGGGCAACCATCAATCAAAATGAGCATCGATGAAATCCTAGGAAGCGATGATGCAATAACCATCTCCGAAGCTTGTATGGACAGACTCACATGATGCAGTAGAGCTGTGGGCTTGTGCAATTTTGGTGAACGGGATTGTTGATAATGTCCTACACACCACCCTGCCAAACCTAACCAAAGAAGAAGTCAGTCTACAATCTTGCTACACCTGACACAGTAATAGTAAAATAAATAGCTTGCTCATAAGAGATATATTTGCTGGTTTTGAATGGTTCTTACTCTTCGATTTCGCCTCGTAACCCGGAGCGGAATTTCGATTTCTATTTCTATTTAACAGACGAAAACCCTTGTCTATTTGGGACCGTATGACGGTGATCTGGCCAGTTTTGAATCCATCTGGGCTATCCACGGCTATCTTCTGATACATCATTCCATAGAGAGCATGCCATACTTGGAGTTCAAGCATCTAAAAGGCGTAAATGTACAGTTTCCTTAAAGGATCCTGGAGTTCTGAGAGCACATACCTACATATATATATATATATATATATATATGTGTGTGTGTGTGTGTGTGTGTGTGAATTGGCGATGAGGATTCACTGGAATCAACGCATGAGAATCTAGAACAAAAGGCAAGCCCCAAGCCATCCAAGTCATTGATTTTCTTTTCTGCCCTCTGCAAGTCTCGTCAAAGGGTTCCATGAATGCTATGGCAATCGCATCCCTCTAAAAATCCCTCGACCACAGCCTAATTATAATGTGGGCTTACCACAACACACTTTCACTGAGAGTTAGTGTTGCAAGCAAATGCCTTGTTTTGTTATACTGACAATTTCTGTGACTCTAGCAAAAGATCTGCAGATCTAATATGCTCATGGTCATATTCTAGGTCTGTCCTTGGCAATTTTCATGTATATAAGGGCTTGACAGCCCTACACTTTTGTGTTAACAAGGGAAAACCATGAAACACCAGCTTGATGCATGGATTAGGGTCACATCTCTGTAGGGGTAAAACAATGCAGGTATTTCACTTTAACCCGGGTGAGCTGATCACTAGCTACTAGGCTTAATGGTTCCTAAAGATGCACACCTTATTGTAGAGAAGGGCGCCAACATGGGCTTCCTTTATCTTTGAGACGATTAAAGCAGAGGATCATGTAAGAATAGGGTCTGGGAAAGAGAAAATATGTAATCATTCTCATTGAACTGTCCTTTGTTTTGCGTCACTTCCTATCCATCCAAAGCAAGGTATGTGCCAAAGAGAACTTTTGAGAGCTATGGTACCACAGATTATTTTGGAACGAAAATCAACTGTGTGTCAAAGAATATTCATATTCTAAGAGGGCGACTTCCACACCCTATAAGTGGAAGTGGACAAGAAACAGTAAGAGGCGATTTGAAACTCTTAATTCATGACACAGGTTATATGGTAGAGCGAAACGTGAAAAGGAGAAACTGCAGTGCTTAGCACCCTGATTGAGTATTGCTCATCTCTGCAGAGAGAAATGCAGAAACAAAAGTTTACAGAGTGAAAATTCTTCTGAGACTGAAGACACCGAGTCAAGCAAGGCTCAACAGAAAAGAAAGGTGAGGTTCTCCAGGTTTGCCAGACGAAATCACACTAGGATCACGTGATATCAAGATTGACAAGGTTGTCATCACTTGTGGATGTGCACTTTGGAAAGGAGTCTGGGTTTTCAAAGATGTCAAGATTTATCCCTTATTGTAGACAGAGTGTTGTGTTGTTGCAAGAGGTTCAGTTTTTAGCTTCACTTTGTTCCTTGGTAACGGATTGGCTACTGGTACCTTGATCTCGATATCAGCCTGAGGTCATCCACACCCGATACCGTTCCATTTATTACAGCATATGAGACTTGTCCCTAGCTCTAATACCTTTTTTTTATTGAGTTGGTTTATTTTATTGAAGGATTGATTTGCTGTAGCAGCAAATCAGCACCAACAGAGCACTGCACCTACTTAGCCCAGCTTTATCAGTATCTTATTCTTCCTCTCCATGTCTTTCTGATCATCTTATCACTTGAGGTCTCAGTCACTTTTTCCTTTTAACTATCCTGGACTCGACCTGAATTCTGGCCCTTTTTCGTTTTATAGCAGCATGGCAGACGCTGTTATTAGCGTGACACCAGAATTTGGCTGTGGTATAGCTTCACTTCGCGATCTGTTGAGGATAAGCAGTCGCTGACCTGAATAGAACACCTCAGGGAAATAATTGAGAGCAACTCTAGAACTGCTGGCCAGTTCTACGATTCCCTTCTCCTTGTGCGGGAATCCCAGTCCTCGCTACCTCAAGTGTTCCGGGAGCTTCCTCAGCCACGCTCCGCTTCCACACGACGGTTGTCTTTCAAACCATTATATCAGTGCCTGCACTGCCCGGCTAGTCGATCGCGGGACGGTCGAGCGGCTCATCGGGAGATGACCGGTCATTTATTCTGTGAGAATGGTTATGCCTAATTCAATTTGATGGTTTCGCTAACGAATCGGCAAAAGTCGCTGACTGCCGAAGTGGATCAATATGGTGTCAAGGCTGTGATGACTTCATATACGACAGTGAGGTGGACAGGGTACTATGGGATACGTCTAGAATAATCCAGCGCACGGATTCGACTTCAAAGAAGCGCACTATTGCTGAGACTCTAGCCGACCCTGATACAGAGGACGCTTCCTACTTGACATCTAACAGTAGCAAACGGCTCTGTGGGAAGGATGGCGTGAGAGGCTTGTATAACCTTGGCCAGACGTGTTACATGAACGTTATTATGCAGACATTGTTCCATGAGCCCCTGCTCACATCTTATTTTCTCGGACACGGTCATCGCATCTATGACTGTTCCGAGGCGAACTGTTTTGTGTGCCAAGTTGCAGAGACATTCGCAGAATTTAATAACGATGAAAAACAAGAAGGATTCAACTGCCTGAATCTGCTGTTGAGTTCATGGCAATCATCCCCTGTAAGTTTCTTCTGAAAGACAATCACCAGTGGGATATCAACTGACTTCCCTCGCTTGTAGGACCTTGCCGGGTATCAGCAACAAGATGCCCATGAATTCTATCAGTTTCTTGTCAATAAACTCCATGCCACAGCCGAGGATCGAGTTGACGGATATGACCAGAGATGCCGTTGCTTCTTCCATAAAGCGTTTTTCGGCAAGTTGCAAAGCAGCGTGACCTGCCATAACTGTGGAAACACAAACCGCACTGAAGACCCAATCATGGACCTAAGTCTTGCTTTCCAGGTACAGAGGAAGAAGAAAGCATTGCATTGGACGCCTGGAGAGTCGGATACGACGCCAACCCTCAACGGCTGCTTAGAGAGCTACACAGCTCCTGAAGAATTGCCTGCGAGCGATTACAGTTGCAGCTGGTGCGGAACACCACAAGGAGCTACGAAGCAACTTAGACTTCGAAATTTGCCGGTGATATTATGCATGCAGCTCAAGGTTCGTCACCTTGGCCTTTACGATACAAATTGCTGATACTTCTAATCCAGCGGTTTGAGCGACATCGCTCCGTCTCGGAGAAGGTAGACGCCAAAGTTTCTTTCCCGCTGTCGATAAACATGGCGCCGTACACCACACGCTCTCACTCTAAAAATGTCTTGAAGTATACCTATGACTTGCTAAGTGTGGTAGTCCACATAGGGGACATTGACTCTGGTCACTATCTTGCTTATTGCCGGCAGGGCGAACTGGTAAGCTAACGCCGTCTTGTGTATTCGCGGCGATCTTTTTCGATTGTGTTCAACAGACGCTGACTACGAGGTAATAGTGGTTTAAGTTCAACGATGATCGAGTTACGTGGGCTACTGAGGCGGAGGTGCTGGATGCCGACGCTTATCTGTTATTCTATACCTTGCGCTCTCTTTAAGGCATAGTAGTTCCGGTTGATGAATTACGCGTTTGAATGAAGATTCAATGTATCAATATGGTAATAGGGACCTTTTTTTTTTTCCTCTTGTGTTTTTGCCTCGAAGGATGGTTCTCTCGTTTTTAACGTTACTTATGTTCGATCTCGTCACGTTTAGAAAATAGTATCTAGATCAAGGCACCAACGCCAAGACCTTACTCTTTCTCCCGAATCGCCCGTCTGAAATGACACTATGGGGATCATAATGCTAGAGAGAGATTAAAGCTATACAGCGTATGACAGGTTTTCTCTCGGACATTGAGTTCAGGTTGACAAATGCGATATTGCTAGCATTATCGTATTGAACCTATGCATTGGAGCCAGTTGGCTCCACTCAACCAAAGTATATTCGTGGCAAAATTTCAAGCCTTCATAGGCCATTGCAGCGAAACTCCATGGACATCTCTGGAGCTCAAAGCGGGAAATGCTTGTTTTGGAGTTATTGCCCCCGCAGATGGCCCTTGGTGCCAAATATTTCGGATGTTGGGTGGTAGCCGTGAGGTTTCAGCGCGTAGCGCGTATACCTTTCCACCATTTCGTCAAAATAGAAAAGAAAAAAAAAGAGTTCTCGGGCCGCAGATCCAGTGAAAATCACGGTTCTCGAACGGTGACAAAGTGCATACAAACAGCACTTATGCTCTATTTTTAAGCCAAACAAAGGGATAGTGTTCGGGAGAGCCGATGTTGTGGGAGTCAGCGAACTCCTCTTCCCCGAGGCCTTGCTAGGCCGCTCCCTCGTTGCTGCCGGCCCGTGGTCCCTCTTGTAGTGTACCGACCTCTTGCACTTCCTCGACTTGCACCCGTTGTTGGCGAAGTCGTGGAAGCGCCTGGTGCAGAGAACTTCGAGCACTGTTTCAAGGACGTGGGCGGATTATCGACGAAAGACGTATCGGTTGTCCTGGCACGGATACATTAGCCTCGGACATGAACCCGAGTAATGGAGAAGAACTTACAAGAAAGTGGTTTCGGGATCGACTTCAGGCTGGGTTGGCTCGGGAGTTGGGGGGGATTCCGCTAAATATGGAAATGTTAGATTTTATGTGCCTCTTTTTTCTTTTCTCTTGCCTCTCGCCGATCAGGATGACGACTAACTCACCGGCAGCCTCCTTTGCTCGCCGAAATGAGTCTGGGACAGGGGCCTAGTGCAGCTGTCAGCAATGCCATCGCATCTCTGCCATTATGCAGGGACAAAGCTAGCCTCCGGAAAATCAACGCAAAACGCGTTCATGTTCAACCCATACAAGAAGCTAGCAAAGCTTTCACTGAAACGGGAGAGACTCTCATGTAGGAGTTGGAGGTGCATGAAATTAGCTTCCAGGTCAGCCATGGAATCGGAGAGCTCTGCGAATTGCGGTTCTAGAGCATTGATCGCCGGCTGCATCGAATGTGCACCGCCCAGGCTGCCTCCAAAGCTCTGTTCACGGAGAGACGATCTTGAGCTCGGACGGAGTGGTGTAGTTGGACGGGAGGAAGGTCTCGGGCGTGAGGTCGACCGTCGGCCACTTGATTCCATTTTTCTCAAAATTTCCCTTGAACTGTATACACGTTATGTGAAAGGAATGGGAAACTTGAAAAAAAAAAAAAAGGTCGAACCACACCCTTCCACTGACGTAGTCCTCGGGCCAGCTCCCCGTCGTCTGCGGGTTTCCAGAGCTACAACGATTGACTTCGGGCTGCTGCTATTTTTGTCCATCCAGAACCGGGTCACGTGGGGCGGTGAGTTTCGGGTTGTTCTGGGGAGACTTCTGCCAGCGCGCGCAGAGGCGCCGAAAGTTGGATGGCGAAAAAAGTGAGCGATATCGAAAGACGGCAGTCTGGTTGACGGTTCCAGGTACGAAAACCCTCCCTGTCCTCCAAAAGGTTTTTTCATCTTCCGTCCCACCGTTTCCAAGCCACGTTGGTGTTCCCACCAACCCCGGCAGTGCACTCGATTGCCCCTCCTTTGCCGCCGCCGCCGCCGCCTTCGCTCCCTCCTCGCCGACTTAGCCTATAACTTTTCTTCCGCTCCCCAACGGGGGAAAAAAAAAAAAAAAAGAAAAAAGTAAAAATAAAAATAAAAATAAAAAGGAAAAGGACATTTCGTTGACACTCGCCCGTCACTCGCTATCCTATCGTTTGTTGTTTTTGTGAATGAGTGCTTGTTTTCTGCGCCGTGTGCTACCTTCTCAGCTCAAGGCAGCATTCCAGTTTGGCAAACGACGCGCGGACACCCGGTTTTGGCTCAAGGATAGGCAGGCCTCCAGCACCAAAATCAGCCCTATTGTCTCTCGCTTTCACGTCCTGACATTCGTCCCTCGTTCTTCCACCGTTGCTACCTCGAAAGCATCCTCTCTCTGGACATTTTCGATTTCCCTAGTTCTTTTGTGCGGCGGTCTAGCATTGAGCAATTCATATACGAGTATTTGGCCATTTGGGGACCCTAAGATAGTTAAGATACACGACGAGTCTTTCGCCGACGAGCTGCAAAACCCTGAGATTCTACAAACTATGACTGAGCAAATCCCTACCGGCCACGTCGGCAACCTTACGTTGGAGGAGGAAGCGAAGCTAAAAGAATTCTGGGGCGCGCTTTTTAAATTATTCGGAGTTGCAGATTCCCCAGAAGAGAGGCAGCCGACTCCACCAACATCGCCTAGTGACACTGCTTCCGACCCGAAGAAGCCTAAGCGCAAACTCGGCCTGTTTGGTAAAAAAGATGGAAATGCTGAAGAGCATGGTGTGAAATCTTCCGATGTCGAAGATAAATATGGCCAAACCAAGGAGTTTTACGATGCTCTCTCCACCCATACACCAGAACAGTTAAGAATTGCGTTTTGGAGTATGGTGAAGCAAGACCACCCTGATGCCCTTCTACTCCGCTTCCTTCGCGCCCGGAAATGGGACGTGAATCGGGCGATGATCATGTTAATATCTGCCCTACACTGGAGAGCCAAAGCCATTAATCTTGAAGAGAAGATTATGAAAGTTGGAGACGCTGGCGCCCTTGAAGGAACAAAAAGCAGCGATCCCGCGATTAAAAAGGATTCCGAAGACTTCATGAATTTACTCCGACTTGGCGAGAGCTTTATACATGGGAAGGACAAAGCCGGCAGACCAGTCTGTTACATTAGAGTGAGACTGCACAAGGCTGGAATACATTCCGAAGCGGCACTAGAAAATTACACTGTCTATCTGATCGAAACGTCAAGATTATTATTGGAAAAGCCGGCGGAGACAGCTGTGGGTCTCCCAACGCCTTCACGGCAAACATGTATGCTAATTTGACCAAAAGGCCCTTATCTTTGACATGACCGACTTTTCTCTCGCAAACATGGTAAGACGGCCCACGTCCCTCGCTATGCTCGAGACCTTCATATTGATTGTCAACCATAGGACTATGCTCCAGTAAAGTTCATGATCAAGTGCTTCGAAGCTAACTACCCTGAGAGTCTTGGTGTGATTCTTGTGCACAAAGCCCCATGGATATTTTCCGGTATGGCACATTCAACTAATATCTCACATGTGAAGTACTAAACATATCTACAGGTATTTGGACTGTCATCAAAGGCTGGTTAGATCCAGTCGTTGCTGCTAAAGTCCATTTCACAAAGACCGCTGAAGACCTTGAAGCATATGTTTCACGTAGCCAGCTCATCAAGGAAATGGGTGGTGACAACCCATATACATACAAATATATCGAGCCGGAAGTAGGGGAAAATTCAAGGCAGGAGGATACCAACGCGATGGAGACCTTGATCAGCAAACGGTTCCAATACGCCGCTGAGTTCCAGCTTGCTACGAAGTCATGGATATCAACAAATGGCGCCTCTGCAATGGCCGAATCAGCGGAACTTATGAAAACGCGAAACAACATTGCTTCTCAATTGCATGACAACTATTGGTACCTTGACCCATTCGTGCGGGCACGATCTCTATACGACCGCCTCGGCGCTATTCCACGCCGCGAAGCCAAGAAAGCTACATCATCCAGAGCAGATAGTCTCAAGACTCATATTTCCGAGAAGCGCAGCTTTGAAATTGTCACCACGAGACAGATTCTTGTTGATAGTGATGGCGATGAAGTCGATTAGAAGTTGAAGTCGATTGTCGCTCTTGTTCTCTCCTCTTTGTTCTAACTTCTTCGACCACTCAACACGGCATTTAGCCTTGGCTTCTTTTCAGGAACGTTTGCTCAGAAGCTTGATGCCAATTATCTCTGTGGCCCTATCGTGGGCAAAGAGATCGGAAAGTCGTACTCATTCTTTTGCTTGATTACATTTTTACTTGCTTCGGGACCTTTGCATGGTTGCTTTTCTTTCCTAAACCGTCGGATTATGGAGAAAACGGATGGCATACAGTTGATTCCCCTTTGATTACGTGACTTGAAGCATATAGGACTGGTCCTGTACATTAAACTCGCCTCTCCTGTGCTCTCTATCCTGCGCTCCTTCTCCTGGAAGATTCTTCTCTGATCCAAAAAAATAAATGAACACCAAGGTGTTTTTGTGCAAAGTACATACATATTTCCTTGCGAAGACGACGTTTTCTCCCAGCTGTTTCAATTTTTATTTCCGCTTTGAAACTACAACATAGATTTGTAGACGCGCTCGAGAGATGTATTTGAGGATCAGATACTCCCTCAAGCACAGAGGATGCTTCTTAAAGAGTTTTACTTTACATTTTTGATTTAAGTTCGTTGCAGAGCTCCTTAAGAGAGTCCATATCCGCGTCCTTCGCGGGCCAGCCTACGGTGAGACCTTCGGTCTCGTTTGGTTTCGGAATCTAGGTCGCCATCGTTAACCAGTTCCTTGGGATACAACTAACAACTTAGGCAGCACCAAAGGTGCGCACGAAGGGACAAAATGTTTTTCTTACCATATGGAAATGGACCTATAAAAAGATTAGCATTGTCCATTTTTGGTTCCTGTGTTTTGAGGGGAGATGAAGCTTACATGATCGACGAATTGATGAGCAATCTTGCCGTTGTTTTGAAGGATATTGAAATCCGATGCCCCAGCGGCGAGGGCAATTTTCTTAGCGACGGGCTGTTGATTCGCTGTTTTTAGCCCAATTGTTGCCGAGATACGCATTGTGGCGTAAAAAATGTGAGTTTGGGGCGGCGAGAGGGGCGCGTTTTGCTTACCAGCAGCTCGGTGAGGTCTTGATCGGGGATGTCAGTGAGCTTGGCACCGTGGTATTTGGGGATTACGAGCTGGTGGTGAAAAGAAGATACGTTAATAAATGGCCCTTTGGGAACTCGGCACGCTGATCTAACTACCGCGCGGTGCCATAACTTGTCACGGTATCGAGGCAGATGCGCGAGTGATGTTTCAAGTCAGACAACTGGTATGGAAGAACGAACCGCATGTCCTCGGCTCAGTGGCTGAATGTCGAGGAATGCCAGCACCCTTTCGCTCTCAAAGAGCTTCATGCAAGGGATTTCTCCTAAGGCGCTGTTAGAAATTAATTCACAAAAGCGCGACATCCCGGCAATAGAAGGGCTGCGGGAAGTATGATGTCAATGGGGACCTTTGGGCACGGGAAGCCGTTGGGAGCTTACCCTTGATGATCCTGCAGAAAATACAGGCGGCAGAAGCGGCAGACATGGCTAACAAATTATAGAGATCGAAGACCAGATAGGAACAAATGAATCTTTCTGCGATGGCGAGGTGAGTGCAAGCATTCAATGGAACTCAGAAGTTGAGGGGCGGTAGAAGTGGGGATAATAATTGTGTGTCCGTAGTTTTAAACCCCGTGTGGATTTTGGGGTGGAACAAAACAATGGGTTGATTGTTGGTGATGGCGACGGGATTCGAACGCGCGATGTTGAGGTCACCGTTGGAAACCACCAAGCTTATAAGGTATTTCGCTCCATAATTACGAGGAGTGGGACAAGCTAGCTCAGAATCCATTTCTTGCCTTTTACCAGAGATGGCCGTGGCTTTGCCCAATACACTCCGCTCCTCAATCTTTGGAATCACTATCGACAATAGTCGGTCGATAATTTTATACTTTTTATCACCCCGAAATCTTTCATTTTTCGCAATCCATCGTCTTTGTTTTTGATATTTTAAGTCTACTCTCTTGTCAAAAATTTCCTCACTCGAATGCCATTCAAGTGATGGAGCACTTTTCGCTGGGCAATGGGTTGGGTTTTGCCGTGGAAACAACCGTTATGCCGTGCACATAACGGGGCGAGTTGCCCCTCATAACTCCCCCAACAGTATCCGAAGTGGCCCTCAATCGTTCACAATCAACCGAACCTACTCGTACGGAGTGCTGGCGCCAGGAGCAAAGCATCCAGGCTTGCTCGATGACAAGGGCGGCATTAATTCCATGGTCTCAGTCTATCGTGGTCTACGGCCAGATTTAAACCTTCGGCTCAGGCGGCGCTTCTCTTCGCAGCCTTCACGCCGAACGGAGTCCCGTTCTCCAACGGGCTCGTATCTCCTATGGAGAAAACGCTTAATGGACCCAATCGTATCAACTCTGGCGTTGTCGTCGTCTGCCGAGTGGGAAACTCAGTCACTTTAGTTACCCCGGATGACTATCGGCATCGAAACCCCAGAGAAGGATAAATGCTGCCACATTCCCCACATAGTTCAACATGTCGCTGTTATCGAGGTCACTCTTCCATACATCTTTCTCGCGGATACCCGTTACTCACTCCTTTCGTGTTGCCAAATATCACTTTACTTACTGCACTAGAAAGCCGGCTGCTAGTTATATTCGATTGTATTCTGTAACTTGTCCACGAGCCATGTTGACGACCGAGCTATCGAACGCTGACGTCGCGGCGTTGCGTGCCAACAAAGAAAGACTACAGAAGTATATCCATAACAGTTGCCAATGGGGAACTGGGATAAGATGGGGAGAGTAGGTGATATCCCTCTCTTAATCCCGGAATTAGCTGTTGAGTTAGATGAGCGACGTTCCCACAGGGCCACGCACCAGCTAGTTTCTCTCTGTTGGGTTGACGTGGTCAGAAACGTGGTGCTAACTACATCGGATTGAATCAGCAAACCGACGGATACGGGGATGGCGCGGCTTGCCTTATCTCAGGAGGATAAGCAAGTTCGAGACTGGTTCAAGGAAACGACCGAGGCACTTGGCTGCAAGGTTACTGTCGATGCGATGGGAAATATGTTTGCTGTTCGTCCAGGTCGCCGACAGGACGTTCCCCCAACGTTTGTTGGAAGCCATTTGGATACCCAACCAACGGGAGGAAGATACGATGGGATTCTAGGAGTATGTGCGGGTATTGAGATGTTAAAGGTGCTTGAAGAGAACGGCATTGAGACTGAAGGCGGCGTCGGGGTTGTCAATTGGACAAAGTTAGTATATTGTTTTCATGACTCCAATATTGTCGACCTATAGAACTAATCGCGCCTAACAGTGAGGAGGGAGCTCGATTTCCAATGAGCATGGTCTCTTCGGGGGTCTGGGCAGAATGCATTCCTCTATCGGCAGCTCATAATCTCTTCGAAGTTCCTACTGTGGCCTCTCTTCCATCGGCTGCATCGTCTCCTGAATCAATGAAGTCTGCACTGGAGAAAATCAATTATCTGGGTACTGTACCATGCTCTTACAATGCCACACCCATGGCTGCCCATTTTGAGCTACATATCGAGCAGGGCCCTCACTTGATCACATCTGGCCAGCGTGTTGGCGTAGTGACGGCAGTGCAGGCATATCGTTGGTATCGGATAAATGTAACCGGCCGTGACTGTCATACCGGAACAACGTCCTTCGAGCACCGTGCGGATGCTCTGTATGCCTCGGCGAAAATGATGGTACGTGCCCGAGAGATCGCGCAAAAGCTTGGCTGCCTTGCTAGCGTTGGGATTGTCGAGATCAAACCCGGCAGCGTGAATACCGTTCCTGGATTCGTCAGCTTCAGTCTCGATATCCGTGGACCGGAATCTGAAAATGTAGACGTATTGGATAACGAGCTGAGGAAGGAGTTCGATGGTATTGCCGCGGAAGAGGGAAAGAACATTGGAAAACCTTGCCGTGTTGAATGGCAGTTGGATTTTGATAGCCCTGCGATCAAATTCCACCCCGACTGCATCGAGTGTGTGACAGAAGCAACAAAGGCAGTGGTTTCCGACTCCCCAAATCCGGAGTCGATGTATCGGACAATTCGCAGTGGCGCCGGCCACGACAGCGTCTTTACGTCCAAAAGGGTACCGACTAGTATGGTATTTGTCCCTTGCAGAGATGGAGTTAGCCACCATCCAGAGGAGTTCTCCACTGCCGAGGAATGTGTGGATGGCGCGTCTGTCCTCTTGCAAGCAGTGGTGAGATACGATCGGAAGAGATTCAGCAGCTAAGCACTAGCGGAACACTACTCGTGAGCATGTCAATTACACTTGGAATTAGCAGAAGCAACGAGGATTGTTTTTAGTCGATGTTTCATTATATTTTGAACTCGTTCGTAGCGCCGTCATAATAAAATAGGCGACTTAAAACAACATGACGAGTACTTATAACACATTGAAGTTTCATCGACTCAAGACCCGACATATCCCAATATCACTTGTTTTAGGCTGATGTGTGGAACGGCCACTAACCAGGTACGAGTGACCGTAACCACCGCTCCCCATCCACAAGTTCAAAGATAAATCAGTTCATCTAGGATGGTGGAGCACCGCGACCACGGCCGAATCCACGGAAAGAAGGAGCGAAGTCTCCAGGAGCACCGCCCTCCTTACCCTCACCCTGCTCACGGCGTCTGTAACCACCGTCACCACGAGGAGGACGATCGCCACGGGGACCAGGGCGTCTCTCGCGCTCACCCTCGCCGCCCATCATGCCGCGTGGAGGAGCATGAGAACGCTGCTGCTTGATGTGCGTAGCGGGAACGATCTCAGCAGGCAAGTGGAGCCATTCACGGAGGTACTCGAGACCCTCGGGGGTCAAGGTGTAGTAGTAGTATTGCCAGGAGAAGCGGGTCTTGACGTAGCCGCGGGAAGTAAGGGACTGGCAAGCCTTGATGACCTGTAGAATGCGGCTGTGAGTATACGGGGTTCAAACCGGGAGATAGAGAGGCCATACATAGAGGTTCTTGGTGTCAATGTCAGAGTGCTTGGGAAGGTTGAAGTCCTTCTTCGCCACGAGCACACCCTCTAGAAAGGTGGAGTTTTAGTACTTGTCCGCCATTCTGAAACAGCACGTAATGTACTGGTGTAAAGGCTACATACCACGGAAGAGGTACTCGTGGATCTTCTTGCGGTCAGCCTTTGGGATAAGCCTGCGAACTTCGATTAGTGCTCATTCTGCGCGGAATAGGGTACGAGATCTTGACATACATTGTCGCGAGTTCCTGGCGTACTTCGGGGAATCGCTTTGACAACGCGACTCAGTACTTGCAGTGGGTTGATTGAAGTGCTGGTCTTGAAGCTTTGGCTTTCGATGGTCTTATCGAGTGTGTTAGGGTTCGCTAGCCCTTTGCCCTAGCTCGCCGCATCGGGATTTTCACGTGATATTGAGTTTTACTTGGCGGCGCTAACCAGCCCTGTAAATGACGAAGCGCATCGTGAGCTAGCAATTGATGTCAGCACCATCACTTGACTACGGAATAGTTACTCCATATACACAACCTTCATCGTCTCTCCTGTAGTGGAGTCACCGCCAATATATTTGCTTAAACTCCGAAGAAGATTGAATTCACTTAATAGGATTGACTAGCTTTCTGTCATCCTGATACGCAGCCGCAAGGAACACTGAACGCCGCCACCATGGCGCCTTCGACGATTAACGTGCTCCTTTCTTCGTTCCCAGGTCTCTCGCTGCCTTCGACGCTATCTATTCCTATCTCATCAATCTCAACAGTTGCTGATCTCACTGAGAGAATCGACTCAAGGCTTCCGGCGTCATTATCTCTTCAATCCCCCTCCCTTGTTCTAACCACCACCGACAGCACCGAACTGGGACCATACTCTTCTGACAAACTCGCCAACTTCCTAACCGAATCCGTTGATGGTCCTTCCACATTCCTTCCCGTCCGCCTCAGCGTTCGCGTATATGGAGGCAAGGGTGGTTTCGGCTCCCAGCTCCGTGCTGCTGGAGGCCGAATGTCCAGTCGCCGAAAGGGAGCCCAGGGCGAGGACAATGGTTCGAATCGCAACCTGGACGGACGGCGCTTACGTACTGTAAAAGAAGCCAAAGCTTTGGCCGAGTATCTTGCTTTGAAACCCGAGATGGAGAGGAAGGAGAAGGAAGCGCGGAGGAAAAGGTGGGAGATGATTGTCGAGCTGGCCGAGAAAAGAGAAGCTGAGATACGCAATGGGGATGGGAAAGGGAAGGTTGACGGTGAATGGATGGAAGATAAAGAAGAAGCGGGAGAAAAGGCCCGTGAGGCTGTTTTGCGTGCGATGAAAGAGGGAATCTGGAAGGATAACCTCGCCGGAAGTTTGCTTGCTGGATCGAGCACGAGCCCAGGCGAAAGTAGTGGAAGTGGAGGCTCTGTTAGTGCAAGTGAGGACAGTGAGATGGAAGATGTCGGGAGCGAAAGTCATATGGAAATTGGCAACGGCTCAAAAGCATCTCGTCCGGCTAGACGATTTATCGGGTTTGATGATGATGATGACGACGAGGAATTCCTCAGTGACGAAAACGAAGATAAAGAACCTTCTAATAATGATAGCGATGACTCTGCTGGTGTTAAGGGAAAGGGAAAAGCTAAGGCTTGAAGTTATGGACTGTTACCTTGCTCTTCATGGCGTTTGGCGCACCTCCAGAGCCCTATCGAATTTGCAGGGTTGGTAGGAATGATTGCTCATGTACATTATAGCGACATTAGATAATGAAATTGTATTGAAATAGCAGCGCCCCCCGGGTTCAGGTGCTTGGGCAAATTCTCTGGCAACACTGGCTTGCGCTATTGGTATAAAAAGGTCACCCGAATCGGATAAGATCGCTACGGTTGACTGCATCAACCTATGTAGCATCCTGATAAATTTCGAAGCTTCAACGTCCTCCAAACTTGGAGACGATTAATGCTAAAGGGGCCGTCATGATTGCCTCAAACTCAAGAGTTCTAGTTTGGAGACACCTACGGTGTTTGCCTCGAGGTTTTCCATTTTCAAATTGCGGTCGCTGCCGTCCATCAAGGTTGCTTCCTCTAACTTCGACTATTCACCTCAAACCCAAAGCAGCAAGGGGATTTCATACTCAGCCGTTCCTTTGCACATCAGCGAATGATACCTTGACTTCCGCCAAACATGATCCTAGTTTGCTCCCGATTGCTTGCCCTGGCTGCGGTGCACTAACACAATGGGTGGACAAAGAGCAGGCCGGTTACTATACTAGGACTCGAAACGCTGTGAGATCTTATATTCAGGAAGCTTCGAGGGATCGAGATGCTACAGGCACAGAAAATGAATTATCTGCAGAAAGTACCGATATCAGTGCTAAGGTTAAATCAGCAGACACAGCCTCTGGCGAAGAGTTGAAGCTGGCCAGCGGAAAAGAAGGTATTACAGGCCGATGCGTTGATATCCTCAGCTCCATTTTGCCCGACCAATAGCTAACACAGACAGCTTCTTCAGAGCTAGAGTTAGCCGCACCGATTTTACCACTTTGTGACAGGTGTCACAGTCTCGTTAACCATCGCGAGGCTTACCCCATCCCCTACCCTCCACTATCGTACATTCGAGATATCATGGAAGAATCCCCCTGGCATATCAACCATGTATACCACATTCTTGATGCCGCCGATTTTCCACTCTCCTTGGTCCCTGATATTTATCGGGATCTTTCTCTCCAGACCCAGCGATCGCTGAACCGCAGAGCGAAAACCGTCACATTTCGACATGGAAAAAGGCAGACAGACGTCCATTTCATAATCACTCGGGCGGACCTCCTGGGTGGCATGAAAGAACACGTTGATTCTTTGATGACATATATGACCCAAGTCTTAAGAGATGCCCTTGGACCAAGCAGTGGCAAAGTCAGATTGGGAAACGTACACATGGTGAGCGCTCAACGGGGATGGTGGACGAAGGAAGTTAAGAAAAAGATATGGGAAGAAGGTGGAGGAGTATGGATGGTTGGTAAAGCCAACGTGGGCAAAAGCAATCTGATTCAGGCTATTTTCCCGAAATCTCCCGATGCTGCTCGCAAGTTAAGGGTAGAGGAAAATTCCAGCCACTTAACCCCTGAGTTTGGACCCTTAGATATTGAAGAAAGTGGCTTATTGCCCCCAGTGCAGAATCAATACGACTTCCCCGTTCTCCCCATTGTATCTTCCCTTCCAGGGACGACGGCTTCCCCGATCCGACTTCCGTTCGGGCAGAAAAAGGGCGAACTCATCGATTTACCTGGACTTTTCCGTGGTGGAATAGACGAATATGTTCAAGATGGATTCAAGTTCGACGTAATCATGACAAAGCGACCGAAACCAGAGCGTTTGACTGTAAAGTCGAGACAGTCCCTGCTACTAGAGGACCTTGTCAGGATAACACCTGTCAATTTCCAAAGCGTAATTTTGGCATCTCCGTTTGTACCGTTGACGCCGCATGTTACCTCCACAGAAAAAGCAACGGAAGTGCTTCTCGGACAGCGCAAGCCTCCACATCCACCGATCGCCAAGAAAGGAACAAACAAATGCATCGCGTCAGCAGGAGTATTTGAACTCAAATATGACGTGACAGAAAGATACGGAAAGTCGGTCAAGCAGTCAAAGTACCAAGATGGCGACAATCTCACGGCTCTTTATAAAATCATGTCAGTGGACATCTTAATTGAAGGGTGCGGATGGGTGGAGCTCATAACGCAAATCCGTACGAAAGACTTTGTGGAAGGTGAGTTTCCCAAGGTCGAGGTCTTCAGTCCCAATGGGAAATGTGTTGGAAGCAGAAGACCTATATCTGCATATACATTTTTGCATGAGAAGAGAAAACAGGATGCAAAGAAGGCAGGGCGTCGGAGGCGTTTCGGTTAACTGAATGAAACTGTTGCATCTGATGTAACGCTAGACATTGATTATTGGTCCACCTGCGCAGTGGAGTAGCATGTACTATATAATCTAGAGGATATATCCCTTGGGTGGACGGAGTTCTCATGGAGATATTGCATAATTTGGATTTCGATGCATAGCCTGAGGTGTACATAGGTCATTTGTGTGGAACTGATCTCTATTTCATGTATAAACAATCGAATATTTGGAGATTACTCTCTATCATCACTTTTTTTTCATGGGAGCTATGGTTCCTTTCCAACCCCAGCGGTAAAGGGTAAGCAACCAAAACATAGAGCGCTCTCACACTAATGATAGAACGCCAAAGCCCAAACGTTAAGCTGCATCTGCGTCGTTAATATTTTCAAAATGGAAGCTTGGTTGGCCAGGAACCGCGCTCTCAGCAACAGGCGGTAGGTTTTCGCGCTGCTCTCCATTAAGTGTAGTGCCGACCTTTCCACCTTCTTCGACTGAAATAACCTCCACGACCTTACATCCGGTGGTCTTCCTCACAACCCCAACCATGTCTCGCAAAACTTCGGCTTCATCAAAGGCAAGCTGGCGGTTAAACACCGTTTCAGGGCTCTCTTTGCCTTGAATTAGGCGTCTCTTCAGTCCTTGGACAAAAGGCATAGCTTTCTTCATTTCACCTAACTTGCCAACCTTGGCATTAAGTTCCTTGTCGTTAATCGAAATGCTTACTGCATCGAAAGCTTCGCGGACAAGATCAATGTACTTTTCTTGCCACGTTGGGAATTTCTGCGCAACGAAGATAGTAATCTTCTTGGGTTTCCGGGGGTCAAATGTGACGGCTTTGCCTTTAGAAATCTTCTTGACATATGCTGCTTCAGAAGATGTGATACTGGAGGATGTTGAGCGAATGTAATCGATAGCTGCTGAAAGAGCGGGCACTGGCTCTGGGGCTTCAGGGAAAAGAGCGTATTGAATGGTTTCAGGCTATTAAGAGTTAGCAAAATCGTAACGTGTTTGAACACGCAGCTGTATACCTTCTTAAGCACTTCAAGCCAGACATATTCTGCCCAGTGAGGGGCAATAGGAGTTAACAGGAGCGCCTGGAGCTCAATGTATCGAAGAATAACGTCGCGATGCATTCCAATGCCGGCTGCTGAAGCTTGTTCGCGGTAGAAGTCTCTAGCGCTAGTGAATTCATAAAGAGCAGATTTGAGAGCCAGTTTGAAATTTGTACTGAGATGTATGGTTATTAAATATTGTGCTGGATTCGTGGGAGGGAACAGGGTGACTTACTCGGAATAATGCTTCCTCGCGTCGTGAACCAACACATTCATCTCGTTGTTAAACAGTTTATCAACGAAAGCATCGGCTGGCCCTGTACGCAAACTATTATCTTTAATGATGTCTTCGACCCATTCTTTGAGTGTGTGTAGCCGCAGAATGTTACTGTTGGCAACAGACTCCTCGAAATTTGCATCTTCAATGCCATCACCAGCATCAGCAAAGGCAATACGGGTGGCATCCGCACCGTACTTATCCACAGCATCTCTTAAAGTCAAGAAATTTCCAGTACTCTTGCTCATCTTTTCGCCATTCAGGAGTAAGTGACCATTGGCTCTAACTGACCGTGGCCAGTATTCTTCAGGGAACAGAGCGATGTGAACATAAAGCCAGAAAGTAAGATGGTTCTGAATCAAATCTTTGCCCGAAACTCGAACGTCAAGAGGATACCAATACTCGAACTCTCTTCGAATGGTTAAGTATGCCTCCTTGCTAATGCCGGTGTTCTGGATAAGATTATCGTCCAAGTCTCTACGGCAGAAGATATAGTCCCATGCATCGTCCGTTAGTTGTTCTGGCTTAATCCCAAGAGAGCCAGACTCGTTGCCATATCTGTCCTTCTGGAGTAAGTGGGAAATAGTATAATATGCCTGATAGATGGTACTATCACTCAAACTTTCCACGAGGAATTGCGGATCCCACGGCAGCTTAGAGCCGAGGCCATAAGTTCTCGCGCAAGCCCAGCGATTGAGCCACTCAAGATTCTTTTCGAATCCGTGTCGAGTCTCTGGAAGATAAGTGTTGAGACTGTTCGCAACGTAATTTTGGGTGTCACGAAGCCATTGAGGATCATTTGGACCATAATTCATGAACCATTGACCAAGGTATGCCACCACGCAGTCGTCGCCACTTCGGCTCACAACTTTACCCATCGGGTCGGCATATGCGAACGCATCACCGCTTTCAATGAGCTGCTTTCGGACTTTCTCCTTCGCGGATTGAACAGGCTCGCCCTTGAAGTCACCCACAAGCATTGTCCCCTTGTAAAAGCCCTCGTTATAAGCCAATTCCTTGGCTTGGGTAAGCTGTGTGGTATCTTTTGGAGAGTTAATTTTCAACTTCTTCACCAAGGTTGGCGCGGTGAGGTTTCCATATGTTGGTGTCTCAATTATAGGAATAATCTCTAATTCCGCCCATTCCTTTTTGATGCCATAGTAGTCCGCTTTCTTGGCGAGATCAGAAACGGTGGCAAAATCGTCAGGGCTGTCTGACGGGACTGAAGTCACGACACCGGTTCCTTTGCTGGCGGAGACAGTTTCCATAGGCAAGATTCTAACACCTTCCTTGTGCACGGACAACGGGGCGTTTACCAATGTGCCAACAAAGGTGGACCCAGGTGCTTCAGCAACAAGAGGAAGCTCGCTCTGGTCCCGCGGAAATTGATCCATTTCGAAAAAGGTTCCTTGGAAAGCCATATTCCAAGCGCCACGTTTTGTCACCACATAGTACTCCTTATCTTTCACTTTAAAGACACCATAATTGAGCGATGGTCCGACATAGCAGCAGGTCTGACCGTACATTGTCTCGGGACGCATCGTAGCAGGCACAAAGTACACATTTGCGTCGCTTTCAATCTTCCCTTGTAGAATCTCTTTCGCTTTTGGGGACCATTCTTTAACTTTCAATTTCAATGCAGTATATTCCTGCGGCCCAACTCCTTCACCCTCATTTCTATCGTGATCCATACAAGGTTGTCCATCTTTTGGAGAATAGATTGTGTATCGGTTACCATACATAATTTTGCCCATTTCATGCAGACGATTCATCTGCCACCGAACAAATGAGTCGAAATATGGATTAATGTCGGTTGTGACAAACTGTCTTCGCCAATCGACTCTCGCTCCCATGCTGTCTAGATCACGGATCCAGAGTGGTGGGAAATACTGAAGCCAGTGGTCAGGGTCGGCGAACTTATGGACCTCTTCAAGCGGTATGCCCAAAGCCAACATGATCTGGAACTGGTATTTTAACTTCACGGTTTTGCTTGCGGCCTTGCTCTTCTTTCCCGAAAATTTTGAAGGATCTTCTTTAATCTGAACTGTTGCCGCCGCCGGAGCCGCATCCGCTTCCTCGTAGTCTTCGTTATATTTCTCGAAATACTTGCCAAATTTCTTGATATCATCGACAAGCTTATCTGCGCACGCCTTAATTGGCATACCGGTACAGTGGAAACCGAGAGGAAACAAAGATCGTTTGCCTTCCATTCTAGCAAATCCGGCCATAAACTCAATTTTACTTGCAGTAAAACTGTGTCCGGCGTGCGGAGAGCCATTCATGTACGGAAAGGCCATTGTTCCAAAGAATTTTGGATATTTGGCCCGAACCTCAGCGGGTGACATAGAGTCGAAGGGAATTTCGGAAAGCGAGGGCGCATCGACCTCGAATACCCTCTTTTCTTTCCATTGCGCCTGGTACTTCTTCTCAATCGCGATAAGGGTGTCTCTTTTCTCAGTCTGAGGGAGTTAGTAGAGGGCGGGGAAGCGGACAGGGGTCTGAGGAGCTCACGTTCTCGAGTTTAAGAGTATTTTTGGTACTGTTGCTGGGGTCCAGCGCAGCAGCTGCGGCGACTGCTGCAGACATGGCTATCGAGGTATAAGACGACCGGATTTTCGTGAGGCACTGAGGGAAAAGGACTCCAATATCTGCTTGGTGCCGGCGGCGGGGGTGATCACCGTGAAACTCCGCCCTCGAAAAAGCTCGGCTTAGATCAGCATTTTGACTCATATTAACTAACTTAGGCCGAAAACTTAGCAGAGCTAGTCCAAATCAAGACTAGCGTCTGTGATCCACCGAAACCTAGGAACATCATTTCTCCGGTCTTCATCCAAAAATTCCGACGAGCAGTTCGGACGGCGAGCGGAGGAGTATCGAGGAGTATTGTGCTGGCACTCGCTCAAATTTCAGAGTTCCGTCGTTTGTATTTATATTTGTTTGGTATCCTGCAGGGACAATTCCTGCAGGGCCTTTCCTAATACCTCCAAAATGGTGTCCATTCTTAAGAGAATGCGGAAGATGAAGTCTGTACGTGTTGAGCTTCCCCTCTGGCTCGAGGCCTTATTCGTCTTTCTGTACAATGATCCTGCTGACACTTTGCATATAGAGAGTATGTAGTACCCTTAGTACATACCCGGTGCCGTCTGCAGCTCCAATTGTCCCCAATTGCCTTTCCCGGCGGAGCACGCTCCCCGGCTGCCCATTGCGCTCATCGTCAAGGAACAGAATGCTAAGGACTCCATGGTGAATATAGCTTTTAGACATCAGGGTTGGCCTTGGAGCTGCCCTTCTTCCATCTGCATCATCGCCATCAAAATTCTCCCCCGTAACTCGCCTCCATCTCACGTACGCTCGCAAAATGTACGAAGGTCACATCGGCGCCCGTAGATTCTGGCGCCAGTGCCTTCCACGATTAAAATATTATAATCCCAGCGTTGCGATGTCCGTGAAGCAAACAGATGACAATGCTGGCCCGGCAGTGTTAACGCTATACTTCGCAAACAAAGACGGCGCTACACAGGCAACATCTTCGACAACCGATGAATTTGCTCCGGCTCCTACAGAATCGGAATCCTTCAAAACGATAGATGTCAAGGGCAAAAGCCTCGAGGAAATTTGGGGTAGCTTTAAGAGCATGACCGGTGCAGAAGATCTAAAGGTCTCGGAAGCTGATCGTCAAGAGCTCGAGGAGCTCTCTAAGCAGAAAGAGAAAAGTGAAGTTGATCGCCAGCGGGTTGCGGGTATCCGGCAAGCGAGAAAGGACCAAGAGAAGATGCTCGCAGCAGCCAGAGCTGATGTTGAGAGGGCTAAGGAGGAGTAGCTTTTATTTTTATTTTTCTCTTATGTTCTCAACTTCAGAACCCAACTAGTGGATTTTCCCAAGGCATGCGAGGAGTTTATGGATCCTGTATTTGTTTTGTCTATGATAGCTTTTGTTTGTTTTGGTGTACAGATGAATTGCAATGTACATTAGGGATCTTTTCAGGGATCAGTGACACTCCGAGCACCTATTGTTGTGTGATGTTTTGCATCTTGCCATCGGACTCAATCAGGTTGCCATGTAGTTGTAAGATAAGAATATAAGGACGGATGATATCAATGAATGGAGGTAGAATATATTTTGGTGTGAAGATAAGCCCGTATATGCCGCATTTCCAACTAAAAGGATTGAGATAGATTAGTGCAACATCAGGACTCCGTTCTCGTATAAGGTGTTAACATAATTTGGAACATAAACTCATTAAGAAATTGTGATTCAACTGCATTTCAACCTTTAAACAATTCATGACACAGGGTATCCCTTAAGCAGGACGCAGACACCATATAAAATTTGCACCGGGAAAGAGACTCCGAGATGATCACATTTGCTCTGAAAAAGATACAACATAATACAGGTAGAAGGGGGAGGGAAAAAAAAAAAAAAAATTAAAATGTGAAGAAGCCATGAGAAAATTTTCTCAATAACAAATCTCTTCCCATTTGCGTCAAAGGACATTAAAATCTTTACCTAACACATCATCAGAGGCTCACATTGCAGAAAAATGTTGGAATATGTTCGTCATGCGCGGTCAGGAGTGTAGCTGGTTTCACCCAGCATACTCTGACCGGGAGCAACAGCCGGAGCCATCGATTGTGGGGTCGACTGAGGTGGGGGCTGACAAGATGCCGCAGCATTCGTCGCCGGTTGAGCTCTGTTTGCACTGGCTGCCTGGAGCCTTTGATCAAGAGCCTTAAGTGCTAAGGCTCGTCGTCGCTCTGCCTCTTCTCTTTTACCCATTGACCGCACATCTGCTCGTCCAGTCGGGTTTAAAAGACTCGGAAGACCAGCTTCACCTCGCGCAATGGCCTGTTGGTTCCCAGAGGCAATGTCCTCCGCTGAGAAAGGCGTGCATACACGAAGTGCTACGAGAATCGAATATATTCTGTCTGAAATAAACGTGATTGGTGGTTGGATCACGTCCGGGAAAAAACAGGCAAACGCAAATGTCTCACTAGCATCACCTTTGATGCCGAGACTTTGTGTAGAGGTTCCGGAGAGGTCTGGCTGTCTCTTGTAGAACCGAAGATAACTCCAGCCAATTAGAAACCCAAGCCAGCTCAGATTGAAAGTAGTATCCATTCCCAAGACCATCGCTCCGATGGCATTCAGCGCAAGGAAAATGGCAGGGAAATGCTTCACGCGCATCTTGACAACTCCTTGAAGCAAAGTGACAGTATGTTCGGGGACCAGCTGCTTGAAGGCAACTAGGAAACCAGCTTGGATCGCTACTCCACCGCATATTCCTTTTTCGCTGCCGTAACCGTCAGAATCAGGATTCAAACAAAGCAGGAAAGCAGAGCACTCCGTGCAAACTTACGCGATGGCCGAGTTACCCACGATAGCAGCAACAATAATATAAAGAAGGGTCGTGATCGTATTCGACAATAGGGCGATAACGAGAAGAAATTTACCAAATTCCATTGAACCCCAGGCACGCTCCAGGTATTTTCCACCATAGAATATTGTCGCTCCGGTCGTGATCACCGTGAAAATGTTTCGTTCCACGAAAGTCGCGCATAAGAGTGTCCACGGATATAATAGGAATCGGGCTGGTACAAGCGAGAGATATGCGATCGGGGCGGAACCTTGAACGGGACCGTACTGCTGCCATCGAGCAACGCCATAAAGAAGGGAAAGGGAACAGACTCCGGTCAGGAAAGCCCGAGTAACGGGAGGAATGTTTATTCGAGGCATAATTAACGGTCAGCAGCAGATGAGCCTAAAACAAAGCGTGGAGACTTTCGTCCACCACTATCACCACCCACAAGAAAAAAAATATTATTGCTTTAGATTAACAAAGCTATCTTTTTGCTGAGCAGCTCAAAAGTTCATGTCCTCCAAACAGTTAAGCAAGAAGAGGGTCACGTGACCACCACGGGAGCGCCCGGCGTGTATTGCGTGCCCAACATCAAATCGACAATCTCTTTGGTTGGTAGCATTCTGTGTGCAAATGCAAAACACTGTTTCATTGTGTAGTGAACATGGTGCTGGATGTCTGTCTATGTGCTTCATAAGGAAAACTTGACGAGAGGAGGATCAGCCAATTATCAGTTTGTTGTCTCGAGCCAGAGGAAGAGATTGTTGCCTTTTCGTGACCTTTCCGCCTTTGCTCGCGCTTTAGAACCTATTATGCCTTTCCGAAGTCCCGGGATCTTCTCAAAACCCCTATTTCATGATATGTTGGGGAGGGGGGTCGGGAATTGAATCCATGAGCAGAGTAAACAGCCAGGCCACATGGAGCACAGAGTCATTTAATATAAACAAAACAGTGACACCAACACGGAGGTCAACAGGGTTGTTAACAAACAGACTTACCCATGAGCCAGCTCACTACGGAGTAGTCAACGAGTTTGTCAGCGTGCGGGAATACCAATTAGTCCCGGGATCGTCACCAGGCGACCTCAAACCCCTTTGAAATCGAGCCTTGCGTGGACTGCGCAGTACAGCAAGCTGCTCAACCCACACAGAGATTCAAGACACGAAAGGGATTGCTATCCCAGCAATTAGAACACCAAAGGCATGAATTATAGCGTGAGGATGTTGAATAGATTCTAGGAATATTCGGGTGGGGTGTCATGACAAAACGCGTCCGGACGATTTTGACAACTGACATTGCACAAGAAGTTGTAGATTGCTACAAAACGATGCTTGATGGATTGATGCCTGTCCGGGCAAGAGCTACGACTCTCGAAAATCGAAAAAGAAGTGCAGTGCAGAGAAGGCCCTATCAATCCATTACCATTGCATACTGCACTCATACCCAGGATCGCAGCCCAGCGGCTGAACAAACATTTTCATATACGCTGTCTAGCACACCGGGTGCAGACTTGTCTATCCCCAAGAGCTCAAAATTCAGAGCCTTTGAAATGCTACGCTTGAATTATGTACTGAGGCTGCGGTCCCACACTCGGACAGAGCATTTGCCATTCGCTAAATAGTGAAAGGAAGATGTGAAACGAGGCCTCGGACACCGCCTCATGCAGAAAGTCCCAAAGAGGCCAATACGCGACCCAAGAACATTCTCACGTACCCTCAATTACTTTAATTATTTTTGTGCGAGAATAACTAGTCAAATATTCCCCGTATCTGATGCATCAGAGGTTCTCCATAGTGTGAACTGAACTGAAACCGGACATGCATATTCCCTAAAGTCAAAGTAATACTCCAAAAACGAACACCACAGATGCTAGCATAGCAGGGAGGATGACACTTGTGGACATTGTGCTGGTGTTGAGCCTCCCAGCAGCATTCTCTGCACCCTGAGAGTTCCTACCCCTCACCACTTTGACCGGGTCACCGTATGATTTAGTCTCCTGATCATACGCCAGACATGTAGTGGGTAGCGGGAACGACGCTGATGCAATCGCGACTTGTGTTTCATACGCGGGATCAAAGGACCCAAGATTGACTTCCAATTCTGCGATTGGGCCAAAGCTAAGTTCCACGCTGGGAATGATGTTCGTGAAGTTTCCAACAACTTCATCCTCTTCGTGGGTCTGCCGCTTTGGGTTGCAATTTCGGTCTACGTTATTCATCTTGGAGGCATTGACGGCAATCTCAGGGAGATTAAAGAACATTCCGATGCCGCCAGTCGTAGAGCCAACTAGAGAGTGCACTCCAAGCAGAATCTCAGGGTTAAATGCAAGGGAAAAGGAGATACTATCAATATCCTCCTCAGATTGGAATGGCAAAGCCTGGAAGGTTGTATTCGGGCTGTTAAGATCCGTCAGCATTGGTTATTTTTAGCAATATCATAGCGAACTGCTAAGCCTACAAGCCAGTGACAGTAGAATTTCCGAGATTGCCAATATTGAGTGTGAATTTCGAATCATCCGGCACCTGTCCTTGATGTGAGTAGTGACTTCAGGGGCAATAACCAAGATTACGTTTTCAGCATACTGAAGCGTTGAACCCATAAGAAAACTCAATATCCTTATCAAACTGCAGCGACGCTGTGATCTGAGGTCTGACAAACACACCAAATGTCACAAGGCCGGGAATCTATTGGTGAAGTAGAAAAGACGCACGTCAGCTGTCAAACATCCGTAAATGGATGATGCGCGCCATAATATAGCACTACGTACCGCAAATGGCGAGAGTGGGATTGTAGGCAAGGGAATCGAGAACTCAATGGGTTCTTCATTTTCAAGGACAACGGCCAACTCAATGTGTGAAGAGAGACCATTCACGTCCAGTTCAATCGAACCTTCTCGGAAGAAATCCACCGCCGCCGGAATTACGTCCTCAGGGCCGTCAATTTCCTCAAGCCGAAAAGATCCTTGAGAGAGTTCCGCGTTTCCTTGCAGAGTGCACCTTTTGCATTTTAAGGTGACTCCCTCAGGGCTGTAGGCGGATTGTTAATCCCACAAATTTCAACCCGTAAGCGCCTTTAGGTACTTACACGAAAAGCCCCGTAACCGGTGTCTCTGGCGGCAATATGACCCGGTCATTAAGTCTCATATCTAGCTCATCTGACGTATTGGGAGGGAGATCCGAAGAAGTCGGGGCGGACGGGAAAGACATAGTATGAATGCGCGAGGGCTCGTCCTGGCGCTTTAGGTTCTGATGCGACCTTCTGGAAACTTGATTCGAAGGCTGTCGAGCGAACTGAACTTCCGTCGAAGTGAAAACCTCCTTCCAATCCGTATTGGTTTTCCATAATGTGATACGCTTCTCCTGTCTTTCAATTCCCACCTCTATGACCCTGAATTGACCTCGCTAGTTAGCAAGACTGATTGAGTGTCAAATTCGTAGTGCACTTACATATGGGGGGCTCTTTCGTCTTCATTATTACACTCAGAATGAGAAGTAACAACTATAAATATTCCTGCGGCTGATAATTCTTTGCTGACTTCATCCAGCCGCCCCGCTGATAGGAACTCTAGCTCGATTTTTGAAGGGAAGCATCTGATCTGTCGAATATCTGACTCCAGATCCTCTAAGGACAAAATGGGCCTTTTCCCCTTGACATTTAGAGTGGTGGTGAAGACCGTGCTATCGGAACGAGCAGCTAAAGGGCCTGAGTCTTCAACATAGTCGAAGCTAGTTTCTCTCTTCAGCAACCGTAATTCAGAGTTACGCTGTATCAAGGCAGTTGGGTTGACTGCAGGATACAACTGCCTCGCTGGCGGGAATGCCAGACTGTCCAATTCACGGACGGAAGGTTTGAAGGAAGAGGCCACCGCTATAGCATGTAGCGGTGCCAAGCAAACGACAAGCGAGAACGGAGCGGTCTTCATTCTCGAACGTTTTGACAGCTCTTCCACAGAATTAAAGTGAAAGAAAGGCAATCCGTAACACGAACAGCCCAAACGCAATCCACTTTCAAGGGGAATTGGCTGAAAATATATGATTGACCGGAATATCAAGGGGGTAGGATACATTTCTAGGGGAAAACTCTAGAGTGCGGGCATCGTACTCGTACAGGCGGAAGCCAAGTGAGTCTGGTGAAGGCTTTGGGTTTCATCCTACCATTGATCCGTTGGATCGGTATCGGGCACGCCGGGCGTACCTCGCATATTTCCCCACGACAAGGCTGGGCCACCGTTAAGGATCCCTGGCGCAGTCACGATCGACATAGATCTGTGACAATATGAAAACATCTGTTCATTGGCAGCTTGGACAAGAAGCCGTAGCAATTGGAGCACTTTCTTTGACTTGGTGTTGGGGGTGTGCTTTTCGGACCTCCTTCGAGCGACTTCGAACCGGCACACGGGGGCCCCATGCTGGAAATCCCCTGCGGTGCTGAAATGGCGTTCAACGGAGCGCGACGGGCAGTGCTTGGTTCGCATGCTTGATAGCGTCGAGACAAGTTCGCCCGTTATCCCCTGCGCCACCCCGAAATGCAGGGTACCTAATTTCGACAGGGAAGGGCCCGCTTCACACGGCAGCGGTAGTATTCAATAGACGATTAGATTTCGAAACCCCCCGATGTCCTGGAGTATGGAGAGTGAGGAGTGGGAGAACGGAAGCTCCAGCCGTTTGTGATTGGATCTGAGCGTAACTTGTGGACGCTAATAGAGGGAAAAGCATTGACATGGCCCCCAGACCAACGGCGCTATTCGCCGTGTTAGTTATAAACTTTGTCCGATCGCCCCATCACAACCCAAAAATTGGCTCGGTGAGCCTGGCTTGGTCGCTAAATGTAGCCTTTAGCCGCATGTGCCTCCCAAGATTTGAAGTCAACCTTCTGATTGAGAGGTCTGAAGTTCACACCCAACTCGAGAGGGCTGGATTCGAAGTCATCAATGCTAACCTTTTTTTCTTTTTCGTATTTCCACTCTTTTTCAAAGTCTTGCAACAACCTATTTATGGAGTATGGTAACGAGGGAGGATGCCCTTTTATTGGCGCTCGAGTCCCTGAACAAGTCGCGATGCCAATGCAGCCTTGCATTCTTAGCAACGATTGACGTTTCACAAGAGCCTCGGCTTCTCTATTGCCAAAATAAAGAAAACAGCGGTAGGAGAACACTGCACTTCTTGTCAAACGCGTTTTACGGCCCTATGGCCGATGAACCACCGGCTGTCACTTATCAATCCTAACTCGATACATGTGGATGGATACTGATACTGACCTTCAAGTATGGTACTCTTTATGTATGACCAGTCAAAGCCGTACTCTTGCCGGTTTCTGCGTAACTTTCCGCCGAGAGAGCTGCGTCCGACTGTTATTTAAAATAGGGACTTTGGCTCGATTCTTGTGCTGGGTTTGATGGCAAACTACCAGGAACATCGTAGAGTGCCCCATTGAAAGGCATTCTCGCTGGCGTTTGAGGTTGGGACTTTGAGTCTGAACGGTGCTGGTCTTTTCTGATTGCTGGATACCTATTGTTACTTCATGCAGACGGTACTCCGTAGTTTCTTCTTTTCACGACTGAGATGAGGTCCTCATGACTCCCAAATATGAAGGCTTCGCCGGAATTTCGGATGGGGGAATTGATAATACTCTGCTTACTAGAGAGTACTTGCTCCGTACATCCCTGCTTGGTGTATGATATTTGTTGAATGGCCTCTTCATTCTGTCTTTCATCGCACACGTGGGAGGGGACGGGCTAATTTACAGTCTGTAGGACAGAGGATGCCGTTCCATCATCAAATCCTCCCGCTTAAAAGTGAAGATCACCCTGCATCTTGATTAAGCTTAATTTGTGGCTTGCACCCTGATAGAAGCAATGCGGTCTCCACGTCGAGGACGGGTGTCTGAGTCTGTAGGCAAGGTCTTCCGATCCTGGGTCCGTCGAAGAAATGGTGCTTTGACAACTGTCTCGACAAAGCTTGTCCTGGGCGCATTTATTGAAGGTGGAGGAGCTCGTCTAACTAAGTAACAAACCAAGCGAGCTCCAACTTTTCCGAGGACCTCCAAAGCCCGCAGAACTTTGGACAACGGCACGTCTCTCGAGCTTATCAAGCTCCTCTTCCACCTACCGGGGAATCATCTTCATTTATATCTCTCGATTTCGAACAAAGAGGGAGAAAATATTGGAAAATACTTAAACGTGGTTGGCTGGAGATGAGTTACATTCCTGTCGAGGGCTCAAATGCCTTTCAATTTCGAGGATCCGTGGATACGAACTCAACGCATACCATATTGTCGGTGATGACTCAGGGTCCTTCGTTCACCGTCTTCTTGACTTCCAATGTGCTTGTGTGACATTCTTTAACACCTTTTTTTCCCCGATAGTGGAACAATGGCAGTGGGCGCCAGGTTCCATTATACTTAAATTTTCTCTCTATGGCTACCCTTTTTAACTTGTCAAGGAACCATGCACCTATCTCTCTCTGCAACATGGGAACGCTAGCCAACACCCTTCGGACGGATCAAGCGTGTCCACCGTTGAACTTCGATCGCTGTCATCTGTGCCAGTCGAACCAGCGACACACAAAGGGCGCCGAGTCAGTGACGTGCAAAATGAACGCGCCGCTATCCCCAGATCCGACCAGCCATCTGGAACCACAGAATCGCCTCCATCAACCGCTCAGACGCTTCAGATATCCAAAGCCAAAGCCGTGACAGTCATAATCACTCTTGCCGGGATCAGTTTCCTGAATGTCATGGGTTCTGGTATCCTCATTGCCGCCCTCCCGCGAATTGCAAAACATGTTAGCATATCTGAAGGTCTGATCCTCCGGCCTGCTGCTGTCTACTCCCTTGCAGCTGGGTGCCTGCTTCTCATGTTTGGCGCAGTTGCAGACATTATTGGGCCAAAGCTCATGTGGGTCACTGGGAGCTCTCTTTTTGTTGCATTCACTGTGGCAGTGAGTGCTGCAAGAACAGGTCTTCAGGTCATTCTCTTCCGGACTTGCCTTGGTGTTGCTATTTCTATGTGTCTACCAACAGCTGTTAGTCTGATCGCGAATACCTTCCCAAAGGGTACATGGCGGAATGTTGCTTTTGCTATGAACGGGATGGGCCAGCCGCTTGGCTATGCACTTGGACTAGTTCTTGGTGGTATCTTCACAGACACAATTGGGTGGAGATGGGCATATAATATGATGGTAATCATCAAATTTTGCCTTTCTATGGCATCTCTGTAGTCATTACCATCAGTGCATCACCATTCAAACAAGAAATTGACACGTCGGCTCATTGAGGATGTTGATTGGCTTGGTGTGCTTATCATTAGCATTGCTCTTGGCCTGCTGCTTTATGTTCTGGCAATGACAACCTCATCTTACCGGCGCATAGGTGATATCCAGAATATTGTGCTTCTTGTGGTGTCAGGTGTCTTACTGGTTGCATTCCCATGCTGGATGTATTATCAAGTCAAGAATGGAAGGCCAGCACTTATCCACAACAAGCTTTTGGACGAATTCTTCGTTCACTTCCATTTGCATTTCTGTCTTCCTGTGTTGGGCATCTCTTAATGCCATTGAATATTTCACCACTCTATAGTAAGTGAGATATCCCAACATCTTACCAAATCCGCGTGCTTGTGCATCGAGTAATTGACAATAAGCTGTATTTGCCTAGCTTCCAAACGATCCAAGAGCTTTCTGCCCTGCAGAGCTCAATCAGATTCCTGCCCAATGTCATCATGGGCGTGCTTGTAAATATAGTTACAGCATACTTTGTCGCACGAGTTGAACTTCGGACGCTGGGTGTAATTTCAGCCTTGATAACCATGATTGCCCCGGTACTTATGGCAACTGTCGACATCGACGAGGACTATTGGCTTGCTCCATTTTGGGCTTTATTATTCTCACCGGTTAACCCCGATAGTATGGTTCTCCCTTTCCCACTCAAGCCAGGTGGCATAACGCTCCCTAAATCTAGTGCTATTCACCCTTTCCAATCTCGTCATCTCAGACTCCTTCCCAGCTGACATCCAATCCCTTGCCGGTGGTGTTTTCAATGGCGTTTCTCAGTTCGGCAATTCACTTGGCCTAGCGGCGACTGCTGCAATTGCTGCATCTGTCACGGAGCACTCGGATATCAATCTTAGCCATAAGGAGCTGGTGATGAAAGGCTATCGGTCTGCCTTCTGGACTATATTTGCGGCGACCACACTAGTTGTCATCGTTAGCGTTTTTGTGGAACTGTGGGGAAAAAGGATGAGTGAAGAGTTTCGGCCTCTCAAATATCTTTCCAGGTTCCCTCTGCGGGTTGGCTTTGGAGAGTTGGGCCGAGAATAGCATTCAGGCGACAGAGATCCGGCCCAAGTCAATTTGTGCTAATTGATGGCAAGGAGGGTAACGTAAATATAACATCTGCCGAGAGAACCACTAATTAGCATCAACAACTGACAAAGGTCCGGTTGCTTAAGGCGGTAGGCAAAGCACGCTTAGATCCCGGATTGTGTGTACGTTACGACGTACAGTTCATCCTTCGGAGATGCTGTATGACTGACATAAAAGATATTTACGAGCAGAGTTCTAAAGAGATCCATTCGCTATTCGCTCTTGTATGCTGCTTTGACCCACGATTCGGCCATAATTTCGATAGACTAGGAGTCTTTTTAGATGGGTATCCCAAAGTCTGTTTCGATGGAGAAATGATTACGGGGAGATAGAGATACCAGTCATCTTCGTTCACAAGATTTAGATTCCCTGTCAGCGCTGTGGGTTCAGAATATTCCGGTTAGAAACCGCTTTCGTCTTTGTAGATAACCCTAGTGACAATTCCGAGCAACCACAATGTTGGTCCTCTTGAAGTCGCCGTGAGTGGACACAGAGCCGGCGGTTTCGTCAGCTAAAAAAGAACGGAGAAGCTTGATATATGCGCGGCTGCCGTGATGAGGAATGGAACACCCTAAGGAGTCAAACTCCTGTACTGTGGCGATGACAGTCTTCTGGGGATGCTCGGAGGGTCAATATTCCTTTGGTCCGTCTCCACCCACGCCTCCAAGTGCGTTGCCGTCTACCTGCCGGAGAGTCCTCAACTTGCGGAAAATATTATCTAGTTGGCATTGGATTGACAATTTCTCTTCATGCGCAAAGATTTGGCCATATTTCGCGCTCAATGTAGATACGATATAAATATAGCAGGAAATGGCCCAAGTTGAATCATGCCATGTGCCCCAGGTGTTGAGGTATCGGGCACCCGCTTTTCAAGACCCGTGTACACGGTATAGTCCTCATTTTCTTGTGTATTCACTTTAATGACAAGGTCATCGTTGCCCCCTGATGACGACTCGACGGGTGAACCCTAGAGTATCCTCCTTGTCAGCACGAGGTTTTAAACTAGTTACTATTCGAATCCAGCGTGCAGAGTTTTCGGGAAAACTGAGAGGAAATCTATCTCTCGTCATTTTTCAGTTCATCATGAAGTTCATTCGTCATCTCGAGGTTAATCTGGGCAATGTACTCCTGAGGAGAGCTTGCGATACTGAGCATTTTTGTGCGCTCAACTATAGCAGGAACAAGGGACATCAAACTGGCCGCTGAATTTTCCTCGAGCGCTTTCTGGAATTCTAGCATAAGGTCTCAGGTTCCGCTGTGTAGCTTGAATGTTTGGCAGCAGGGTCTGTGTGTTTCCTCCCTGCACGCGTGTGGTCTTGGCGCCTCGGAACTTCTTGAGAGATAAACTGTACAGGGCTTCCGGCTTATTGTTCGCGATGGTTCTGCTGCCCCCATCTCAGCAGCCTGGCCATTAGTGCGCCTGCAACCCCTGGATTTGATTGGATGTGCAGCGGGAATGCGCCACCCACAATTGCCAAGACCGTCTCAAAGTTCTGGCCAAGCTTTGGTGATTACCTAAGATTCATCCTCCACGCCGAATCCCTCCAACCCTCAAAAACGAAACAGCTGTCTGAGAAGAAAGAAGCTGACGAGAAGACTGAAGGGAGAGAACAGGAGGATCTCCTATACCACCAACAGGACCCGTGCTATGGTGCTCACTAGCTAAGTAGACAGGGATTCTTGGTGAATAGAGACATCCCAGCATCTCAGCATCTCACCCTCTGTCTCTTGGGGCTAGAACCAAGCCGCGTTCTGGTATCCACCGTCCTGAACAATCAGTCAAATCTCACCCTTCCTTGCTCTCCTGTTCTATGACAATAATCTAATTCATGTACTATTGTGGCCCTTTAATCTTCTCCCTTTTTCAGAACTTTTTATCTTGCCATAACAACATCTTCCACCTCATCACATCTGCCTGAGCTTGCTCTCCTCATTCTGCTACGCCACCTGATTATTTCTACTGAGATATCATTTGCCGACATTCCGATTTCTATCACAGTACCATTTTTCCCTTTTCATGCGCCGTGTGGTCCTAGCATTCTCGAGTAGTGACCTCGATCGAATCTCCACATTTGCAAGGAGGACGTGATATGTTATATTCGATATTATCTCTCGAATATCGCTGCAGACGGCAGCGACTTCCTATGTAGCCATGGCTCCTTGCGCCCTAACTTCTCACCATGTCAACTATTTGATTTGGAGGCAAGTATCATACTTACCATTGATAAAATTACGGATAAGCTAACTTCTAGCCACTAGGTATCTACAAGAATCAGGTTCGTTCAAACATAGACTACCACTGGTAGTAGAATTTTAATCTAATTAACTGATACACCTTGCAGGCCATGGGGAAGCGGCAGTTATGCTGCAGCGCGCATGGAACTCTGATCCTCAAAGGCTACCCTTCGCTCCGTACATTAAAACTCATGCCTTAGTGACTCTAATTCAGAAAGGACTTCAGTATTATGATATCGAAAAATCTCTAGACCAGGTATTTACGCAGGAAATCTCCTCTTTATTAACTTACTATTACTAACCAGATGGTTTTAGAATGGGAACCCCATTTCCGTTTCTGATGTTTCATTTTTTGGTCCCAGCACCGCCCATCCCAGTATTATAGTCGGTATTGGAGACTCAGTCAAAGCCAAAGATGCAGAAATAGCGAGAAAACCAGAGCCTGCGTCCGAGGCCTTTGTTCACGCTGCTCCCAAACCTGATGGCGAAATTAATGGGCAGTCCCCCAAAGCAAATATTCAGCCAATCGCCAAGAAAGGCGCCGAAGCTAGCGAGCCTGAGGGATTACCCATCAAGGTGGATGACGCGGCCATGGAGCTTGACAAGCACCAACAAGCCGGTGAACCGTCGCCAGCTCCTCTTCCATCTTTGGCGCCTACCGAGGGCGTGGTTGACGCGGATGGAGATGTTGGAATGATTGAGATGCAGGAGCAGGAACCTCAAACGCCCGTATTTACATTAACAACGGGACAGAGCGTGGGTGTGCAGATATCGCCGGTCAAAGCTGCAGATCTAGGTCCGGACACTACCTTGGTCGATGTTTCGGGAGAAAGTCACATGATGCGCGCTGCTTGGCGGCCTCACGATCCGCTTGTGTTCGCAGCAGCTGGTGATACGTTTTGCGGTCTATGGAAGCTATCAGGACAAAGATCCCCGACATTTCCTACTCATACCACGTTGATAGCTGGCTCATGCGTGACAGCCATAGATTGGGATTCCACCGGGAATATGCTCGCTGTCGCCACATATGATAATTTCATTGGATCTATTACAATATACGATAACCATGGAAACGCCTTAGATGTGCTCCCGGAATCCCCAAGATTAATTTCGGGGCTACGTTGGTCTGGGAAGGGCTCTCAAATCGCCATTGTAGCATCTGACGGTCAGAGATCAGAACTTTTCTTGTGGAATCAGGAATCGCGACCGGATTCTTTTGTCAGGCCACAAGCGATCGATGGGCCGGTATACGATGTTGCGTGGTGTACAAATGATCATATATATGCCTGCGGAGATGGATCTGTCTACCAATGTGATATAGACGGGAACATCCAGCTGTCGAAAACGTTTGATTCCGGGGAAGAGCCAGAGTCGTGGACATTACTCAAGGCAGTCTCTATTGCTGAAAAGCCCGTCGCTGTAGCTGCATCGACTTCGACATCGCATATCTGGATTCCTACCCATGACATACACGTGAAATTCGCACACCATGGAGACATCACAGGACTTGAAATTCGTCCTCGACCCAATCCTTCCGAGTCTCTGAAGAACTCGCCTTTAATATTGGCCACCTCTTCTATGGATGACACTGTCAAACTCTGGAATGTGGATCTCGACTCAAAAGAAATATACTGCCAGTATCGACTTTTCTTAGGAGCTGTAACGCCTGCTTTGGCGGTCAGTTTCTCCCCAGATGGCTACGCTATTGCGGCTGCTAGTTACAACAATCTCACCATCTGGAATGCTGACCGTGGTGGTACACCTATGGCGGCATGGGACGGATACTTGGATAAGTCGAATGACGAGGCCAATCACGACAAGTCGATAGAACTCGACCCTTCCAGCGTCTCTATGATGGATCGACCGTTGTCGTGGGATACTGATGGTAAAAAGCTTGCTTTGGGTTTTGGCGAAAAGGTATGTTAAATAATGTGTATAAACCACGTAAACACGGGTTTGCTAATTTGTGACAGGTTGCAATTATAAATCTTCAGCGATGATGATTATTTCTTCGGATATCGATCAACTGTAATGTGTGCCCATCGTCTTAGCTCTGAAGGCCCTTTCTATTTTCCTTGCCTTTCAGCTGAAGACCATTGTATCATACCTCGCTTCTCGCGGATTAGGTGTACATGAGGGGTTCTCTGGTGGATTTCTGTATTTTCTTTTGGTGCGTTGCTTACGCCTTGAATTATGCTTATGGTCAACGGAGTCGAGCTGGAGCAGACCCAGGATGGTTACCCAAACATGGCGAATAGGGCGTTGTGGATGTTTCATGTCTGATGGGTGCGTGAGTTCCGCCCAGCTCCGTCTAGGCCCCCAGGATACCTAAATTTGGATAGACAGTCAGAGATAATTCTCATGCCTGTTTGAACTGTACATATTGTACGGAGTACAACTTTCCCCAAGAGACAACATATCAAGGGTGAACTGTTTCTGCCACATTCACTCATAGTTATGTAAAAAATACAAGCTTACATTGTGCACTTTAATGCTTAGTGCAGAAAGGAAGGCTTAAAATGACTCCATACATGTAATATGAAGTACTCCGTTCCGTACTAGGTGTATATTTTATCGCCAGCCGCCCTGCAAATTGTGGGTTTAGGTTTTGGCGTTGGGCTTATCTGATGGTTGGTGGCTAGCTAGACTTTGGCGAGATGTGACAAACATTTCGGATGGCGAGGTTCTGTGTAACTGTTCCGTGTGGAACCAACGGTTATTCATATCCTCTCCCTTTCCTGAGTTATTGTTAATTAGATCCTCATTCCATAGATTCGGTAACCACTCCATACATATTGTGTTAATTTGCATTGATATAATTTTCATCTGATTTCAACACTCCCGCTTCCCCGCATTTGCCATGGCTCCAAGGGTATGTGCTCTGCGAGCGAAACGAGATGGGTCAATGACTTACTATATAGGCAGTAAATATTTGCTAATAAGACTTGATTATATAGGCCACAATACAGCCTACACTCGAAGCAGTCCGGGATGTGCTTTCCCAGTCCACGGGTGCACCGCACGCGCCAAATATCGTCCCAATAACTGCTTCGATACGCGCTGATCTGCTCACTCCTACATTGGCGTATCTAAAGATCGCAGCAAAGTAGGCTTGTAGTCTCCTATGACCACGTTGAAAAGATACGAAGTGTTAAAATGGTAGTGCTAATTAACTCACCCGTTGTGGAAGATCGAAACGTTCCTTTTTGTACGAGAGTGCTGCGACCACGGAGACAATTGGGAGATATAGTTTTGTAGGAGCCGGTACGTTTACATATGATTCATATATAATGTCGATAATGACTTAGATGTGCCCGTTAGATCCCAAGAAAATCCTCACTACTGGGCCCGGCCATGGGCCCGCCTGCGATCCGCTGCCCCTTCTCGAGGAGGAACTCTCGCACTTCCGGGTTGCTACAATTCCTGGCATGCAGCTTCCGCCAATGTCTGGAGGGGTGATTGGATACGTTGGATATGACTGCGTGAGATACTTCGAGCCGAAAACAGCTCGGCCTATGAAAGATATTCTCGGAATACCGGAGTCTTTATTTATGCTGTATGACACCATTATTGCCTTCGATCATTTCTTCCAGGTTGTGAAGGTGATAACCTACATGCCTGTCCCCGAAAATGAGACAGAGTTGGAAGCAGCATATCAAGCCGCAGAGGGGACCATGCGATCAACTATTAAGACATTATTGGATCCCAATGTGCCGCTTCCGCCCCAACCTCCGATCAAACGCGATCAGGTATATACGTCGAACATTGGACAGGAAGGATACGAAAACCATGTGAAGCGAATGAAGGAACATATTGTTAAAGGGGATATCTTTCAGGCTGTGCCATCCCAACGACTTTCTCGACCTACTACGCTACATCCCTTCAATCTATATCGGCATTTACGCACGGTGAACCCGTCCCCATATCTTTTTTATATTGACTGTGGCGATTTTCAGATCGTCGGTGCCAGCCCCGAACTGCTCGTGAAGGATGAAGGAAGACGGATTATTACTCATCCGATCGCAGGTACTGTGAAGAGAGGGAAAACCCCCGAAGAGGATGCAAGATTAGCAGCCGAGCTTAAGGGAAGCTTGAAAGATCGCGCAGAGCATGTTATGTTGGTAGACTTGGCCCGGAACGACGTGAACAGAGTCTGTGATCCGGTCACAACGCAAGTGGACCGCCTCATGGTCGTCGAGAGATTCTCACATGTCCAGCATCTGGTGTCGCAAGTGTCAGGGATCTTGCGTGAGGGTAAAACACGCTTCGATGCCTTCCGCTCTATATTCCCTGCCGGCACTGTCAGCGGTGCTCCAAAGGTCAGAGCCATGGAGTTAATTGCGGAAATGGAGGGCGAAAAGCGCCACATATACGCCGGCGCGGTCGGTTACTTCGGATACAACAACAGCTCTGTGGACGGACAAAAGATAGTCGACGGTACGATGGACATGTGCATCGCTCTCCGAACCATGGTCATGAAAGACAACGTTGCATATCTACAAGCAGGAGGAGGGATTGTATTCGATTCCGACCCTTACGACGAGTACGTGGAAACGTTGAATAAGCTAGGAGCGAACATCCAATGCATCAAAGGAGCAGAGGAGGTGTATCTGGAGCTGGAGAAAGAAGCTGCAAATCACTCTTCTGTCTAAGAATCGACTGCTGTTTTGCAGTTTGCTCATTTCGGCTTGGACGTTTTGAGATATAGAGGCGACTTCGGCGGCCACTCCAGGTCCTCTGCAGCGATGACTCAGTCCTTGGCATGGGAGAACTAAGCGTTGAGACGGCTGAAACCATTTCAAGCCAGCTGCCAACGCATGGAGGCCGAGCAGAAGCGGCGAAACAGGGCGGTGTTGCCAACGTTTTGAGTGTGGCTAGGGTTTGCTACACCCGCCACCAATTAGTCAGCTAATCAGGCCAATTTAGTTAGTTAGTTAATAAGCCACATCAATCCATATTATTTCGGGGACTTGCCTCATCACCGTCATCATCAACCCTTTTTCCCAGTGACTGTCGACATCACGACCTCCCCAACAAGTTCACTGAAACGACCTTGCAACACTGCAGACTAAGTTCTTGCAACTGCAGCTAGCCGCTCTTTCTTAGTATTCAAGGCCCCCTGTTTCCCCGCACATCCTTCGGCTGCCAACTGAAATCTAATTTGAGGGACGTCCGCTTCTTGGCATCAACCCTTATCATCATAGGGACTGGGAACCAGTGAGCCATTGAGACACACATGCTCCCATCAGCCATTACTTAAGTAAATGATACTAGCTCTGAAGCGGGATCCTCCGTACTCGGCACGCGCATCGGCACTATTACAACATCATCGGTCTGCTAATAGTGAGTTCGACTGGTTCCAACTTCACTCCGCCACCTCAATCGCACTACTCTCCGAGTCGCCGATATCGTGCTGCACTCAAACCATCGGAAACCGTTTCAGGATTGAAAACTGAGAACGTAAACTCACAGAAGCATCACCCTATCCTCTTTTTTTCCTTTTTTTCAACTTCCCTGTTGTGGTGCTCCGAGCTACCGAGAAGAGTAAACTACCCCGGTCGCCAATATGTCCAAAGTTGTTAGGAGTGTGAAGAATGTGACGAAGGGGTACTCTTCGGTGCAGGTGAAAGTCCGAAATGGTATAGTGATACCTACATTTTCTGCCTGGATCTGAATGTTAACTGTGTCTCTTCCCTTAGCCACGAGTAATGACCCCTGGGGCCCAACTGGCACGGAGATGAGTGAGATCGCGGCCCTCACGTACAATAAGTACGCACTAAGCCTTAAATGCGACCATTGGTGAATATTAACTTACACGATGATAGTCCTACCGATTTCTATGAGATTATGGATATGTTGGATAAGAGACTGAATGATAAGGGGAAAAATTGGCGTCATGTCCTCAAGTCGCTAAAGGTCTTGGATTATTGTCTCCATGAAGGCTCAGAACTTGTCGTCACATGGGCAAGGAAAAATGTCTATATTATCAAAACTTTACGCGAGTTCCAGTACATTGACGAGGATGGTCGTGACGTTGGCCAAAATGGTCGGTTAACATTTTATCACCGTATGGAAGCCCGTCCTAACTGCTTATTATGATTCTAGTTCGAGTCGCTGCGAAAGAACTCACTGCCTTACTTCTCGATGAAGACCGTCTACGTAGTGAGCGTTCGGATAGAAAACTTTGGAAATCCCGCGTTAGCGGCCCTGATGACGCCATGCACGGCATCGCCGGAGGCAGTGACATGGGATACCGACCTCCCCGTAGACGCGAGCGCCAACAGCGAAATGCAGATGAAGAGGATATTGAGTATCGTCTTGCCATCGAGGCATCCAAACATGAGGCAGAAGAGGACAAAAAGCGAAGGGAAAGGAATGCGCGCTTGGAAGAAGAAGACGACGAGCTCGCCAAGGCTATCAAACTGAGCAAGGAAGAAGAGGAGCTTCGCAGGCGTGAGCTTGAAGAAAGCAACGCTGCTTCTCTCTTTGATGATGCCACTCCAGCCGCGCAACCTCAACCTACAGGCTACAACCAAGGTTACCAGCAGCAGGGAGCGGTGGATTGGTTTGGAAACCCTGTCGACGCCCAACTGCCAATGACCACCGGCTTTTTGAACAATCAGTATTCACAGCCTACAGGATTCCAATCTCAACCAACTGGCTACGCTAACGGATTCGCTAATGGGTTCCAAACCCAGCCGAACACTTTCGATCAATCACAATTTCCACAGCAAACCGGTTTCCTCCAACCGCAGCCTACCATTCAACCTCAACCGACAGCATTTAATAATAGTAATCCCTACGGTAATGATATCTGGGGCCAGCAGCAGCAGCCGCCGGCGCCGCCGCAACAGAATGACTTCCTTCACCCGGGAAGCCATAACCCGTGGGCTCAAAACAATCAGCCACAACCTCTTGACGCATTGAAACCAGCCCCTACAGGATCCAACAACCCATTTGCGTCCTCTTTCACTCGTGCCCAAGCTCAGATGCAGCTGCAACCACAGAAAACCGGACCCCCGTCGCTCAATACCCTTGCTGAGCAGAGAACCGCCACCCAAGCGCCCTTTAACAATCCCATCATTAACTATCAAGCACCTCAGCAGCTTAATCCACCGAAACCAGAAGATCCGCAACGTGCTCGCCTCAACGCTATCCTTGCCACTGGTGACGGCCAAGATACATTCGGCAATGTTGGCGACCTTCGTATACCTGCCCAACACACGACTCCGGGAGTGTTTGTTAATTCGGCTGGATCAGGCTTGGAAAGAATTCGCGCTGCGCAGACTGGCAACAATCCGTTCCTAAATCAGAATTTCACTGGAGCCCCGCAACAAGTGGGATTTGGGCAGCCGAACAACAATCCTTTTGGTGCCCGACAACCTCAGCAGGGTGGTAGCCTAATTGACCTTTAGGCTAGGGTCTTCGTTACACCAAGCACGGATATTCTTGATATTTAAGAGCAAGTTTTCTTTTGTCAATATTATATGGGTTATCACTCGAAGGAATTCGATCGAAAGCAACAAGTGGGAGCCGGTTATTATTGTCAATGCTTCACTCAATTCTTTTCCGCCACTCCGATCAAGCATCGAGAGATATCCATTTAGCTACGGTTTGGGTTTTCACGGTTGGCCTAGGTGGCTATTTATCTTGACTATTTCGTCTACGCTTTTATTTTCCTTTGTCATACACCTGCTTTCAAGATTATTCCGTCCTGTTAAATCATATGGATATGGTCATGTCTACACGGGAATGGCGTTTACATTTTGCTTTTCAATTCTTTTCCTCTCCCCAGGGTTTGCAACTCTACTTTTGTACCTGAGCATTCCCCTGGATCCTTCGTTTTCCAGTATACGTCTTGACCGGCGCATTGCTTTTTCGCTTATGGATACCTTAGCTCCTTTTTATTTCCTTTAGTTTTGCTTTTCTTATTACTGGTGTTGTTAGTTTCTCTCTTCCAAGGGCTTTTAAATTGGCTTTAAATACATTTTGCAGATCTTCTATATGCGAGTGCCTGTACATCTGCTTTTACTTTCCGCAATTAAAGGTATTCTGTTTTTATACACCTAACACCATGAGCACCTGTAGCCAGAATCAAGCGTCAACGTGCTTGTTATCAGCTCTGCTAAGGATAATATCACAAATCCTTCACCAGATGATACCTTTCTAGTCTCTTTTGAAGGGTTACTCATAAGCCAATACTTGCCAATTTGCTCCCTACACTTGAGACATCCAACTTCTTTGCCTTCTCCACCAAAAAAATAAAAAGAAAACAAAGAAAAAAGGGGGAATTCTCTCGTGTAACCTTTTTAACGTCCACTTCTCAAGTTATTATGAGACAAAGAGCCATGTCCACTCCAGTAGGTCAAATGATCCACCCGTTCCTACCCATAAACACTCAATCGTAGTTAAACCTTCATCGTGACGCAGAAGTGCAACGTTTAAGAAGTATTCTCGACACCGAAAAGTGGCCCTAGTGATGCTGACTTTTCTTTTCTGTGGCGTAGACATTTGTGGGGGTAAAAAGGGATACGCCGCATTGCATCGGACTCCTGTGCTCCAAAGAAGAATCTACGAATTACAAATAAGCCCATGCATATAACCCTTAGCGTCGGAGTAGAAATCTGCTATGCCCTCGAAGCTTTAAGACTCCCTGACCAGCATGACGAGGGCAAAAATTGGACGTAGGTGCTATGTTTATATGTCTGTACGTAAATATGTAGAAGGGGTATCAATATAGCCAGCTAGCTAGCCTTGAATCCACCTTTGCGCCAGCAATAGACAAGGAAAGGAAGCAGAAAGTAGAAAATGGAAACGAGAAATCACGAGACGCGGGCCTAGAGAAGAGCGGCAGAATATACGAAAAATGGCAGAAAAGGCACGGACAGGAATCCCCTAACCTTCATCTAATGTCATCAACATCATAAAAAAGAACACGCCCTCGAGTGTATAGCTGGTAAACTCGGTTTAATTTTGTTTATTATCATCACCCCGCTCAGGACGCGAAGACTCTCACGTTCATATCCACGCTCCCAGTTGCGATGACACATCGAATTTTTCCACCACCCCCAGTATCTTCCTTCTTGCTCGTTGTTGAAATGGAAACTCCATTCATGCTTGGAGTACCTTGTCCATTAATGCCCCCTTCACCACTTACGAGTCCGCTCTCGTTGATGATATTTGGTGCCCATCGTATGCAGCTCACAAAGTGCCCGTGAGCATCGCTCACGGTTCGAACACATTTGCATTCCTGCGAGAGATCCCAGCATCGGAGCGTTTTATCGTCGCTGACTGAGAGAAGGTATTTTCCGCCGGGATGGAAGACCAGTGCTCGTATCCAATTGTCGTGTCCCACAAGGGTTTTAATTAATGTGCCACGGGAGTCCCATATCTTTATCGTTTTATCCCGGGATCCTGTGGCAACGAATTCAGCTGATGAAGATGCCGGTGGAGGTTTTTTGAGGCCTGCTAGAGCAGCCAGATGCGGATAACTAGCTGCCGGGGCAATCGTGACGCATTCAACGACGTGTTCGTGGCCAATAAACGTCGATTTTGTTTCTCCCGATGAAGCGTCCAATAGCCGTGGAACTCGATCATCCCCTCCTGACATTAAAAATCGGCCATCTGGAGACGGGAAAACGTCTCGCACCCAGTCAAGATGACCCTGTATTGTTTTTACACAATAGCCTGTTGTTACATCCCATATGCGAATGGTTTTGTCGCGCGATGCGGATGCTAGGAGATTTCCTGACATCGGAGAACCCGCGGCACCTGAAGGTATGAATCGGACTGCGGAAACGCTGTGATCATGGCCCGGGAGGGTTCGAATATTTTTATATTCATCCGAAGGATCCCATAGCTTAATTGTCAGATCCGATGAGCACGATGCTAGAAGCGTCCCGCCTCGAGGCCCTCCGTAATCCACGTCCAGCACAGCCCTGGTGTGGCCCTTTATGGTTCGTTCAAGCTCGCCTAATTCCCAATCCCAGATTTTGATCGTGGTATCTTCGGAGCCGGATGCAAGTGATGAGAAGATTGGATGGAAGGCAACGCATGTGACCGGCCCTCGGTGAGACTGCAAGCTATGCCTGGCTGGAGCGCGAGGTAGCCAGGACGCAGGGTCTTGATTTCTTCGAGAAAGCGACGTTGGGGTGGCAGAGTCGAGTTCTTGCTGTAGGGCTGCATTTCGGGATTCTAGGTCCATAATCTGCAACAAAGGAAGCAAAAGTTGTCAGTTCCCGGGTAGCTATGATGGGGAACATGCGCTGTGTGCGTGTGTAAAAACTCGACCTTCTTCTGTAGTCTGACTACGCTGGTCCATTTTTTCTCCAGCAACCCCTCATATTTCTTTGCGGTAGCATCGTCCAAATGAACGCTATCGGCGAGTTCTTCACGGAGTGCTGCTGCACTTTTCGAGAGGTTGACAGACAAAAGGTATGCTATCATCGACTTGTGACTTGGTCCGAGCCTATCAGCATAGATCCTAAAGAAGCTTCTGTAATGCTCACGTACAGTTCCTCTGCCTGTCGTGCCGTGAGTAGCTGGCTCATGGCTGCAGTGATTTGCCTTTTCAGAGCTTCGTCCAGGACTTCCAGTTGTTGTGATTTTTATTTAATCTTTTTTTCTCAGGTCTGTCGTTTTATCGTACCAGGTAGAAAGACACGCCCTTTCATGAGTGGGTTTTGTGAGGGGCCTAAGCAGATACAGCGGTCGATCAATGCAACCATGCGAACTATGGCTTTGTGAAAGAGTCAAAAGGACAATGTCGACGGGCCGGATGGCAAACAGCCTGCACAGCGAGGTGTGCAGACCACAAGCAGAGAGTTGCCTCAAGGAGAGAGCAGTGAAGGGCGGGGCGAGTGAGTGAGCTACGGCGGGATCAAGAAGATAGAAGAGACCTTATCGATAGAGGTGAGGATAGTAGTACCGATATTGAATTCTTCGGTTTCCTGGATTATGCTGCTAGACCTTGAAACTCTCGAGAAAAGGACCATGGGTCGAGCAGCGGAGATGCCTCGAAGTCTCTCCGGATTTGGCTTTTGGTGATTGGGGGTGTTTTTGTGTCTGATCACCACAGTGACCGAGCCCTCATTGGGCGGTGACTGTTGACAATTGACCCTAAAAGACCGTAAACACAAGCCCGATCTATCGCCATCGTCTCCCCGGCCGACCTTTCTCCTCCTCCTTTTCCTTTTCCTTTTTTCTTTTTTCTTTTTTCCTTTTTTTTTTTTTTTTTTCCGTTTTTCTTAAATTATTTCTTCCCAGACTCGAGACCGTTTGCTCGAGAATCAATCCGTCGTTGAGTCCTAGATTCGGTGGGAGCAACAGGACTCTCGCTCTTTCAAATTGAGCGTCAACAATTTGCCCTCTTTTTGCCGCCATCCTCCGTCTCCCCACAATCCCTGGCTGGATCTGCGCCTGACCTGTGAGCCCAACATCTCGATGTTTGAAGGCCTGACCCTTCCTTTGTCGATGTTATTCTTTTAAAAGATCTACTATATTTTGCTCTGGTATCTTTGGTCTTCCCCCAGTTCTTCTAAGTCGCGACATCTTTCCTTCAGTGCGACGCGAAACGGATCGCGCCTGTGACCGCAGAGGCTGATAGATTGACATCGCAGACCAACCAATTCGGACCTAAACCGAATTCCTACTTGCTTAAATTATGGCTGAGCAGACGGAGGACTTTTCCTCTCTGCCCTTACCCGACCGCTTTGCTCATAAGGTCGGAGACCCTGCCCCCAGCCTTCCTCGCTCTGTGCGGTGTGAGAGGTGGTCGAACTGACAATTTATGTTTCGCATAGAACTGGAAAGTGAGGAAAGAAGGTTATGAGGATGCAAGGAAACAATTTGAAAAGTCACCAGACGAGTCCGACCCGGTATTTCGACCCTTTTTAATGGACCCTGGTCTTTGGAAAGGAGCCGTGGCGGATTCGAACGTAGCCGCGCAACAAGAGGGACTTGCGACATACTGCGCCTTTCTTAAGTATGCTGGCGTGCAAGCGTCCTCGAGGTGCGCATATCCCGTCTTCAAAAAAAAAAAAAAAAAAAGAAAAAAAAAAAAAAATTGTGCTAAAGTGCTGGAAATGCTGGATGGAATGCTAATTAAGTCACACTCAGAACAAGGAGTATTACAACCGTACCTATTGTGGAGAAGGGGCTATGCTCAACGAGACCCGCCGCGAAAACAAACGCCTTAGAAGCCCTGTTGCTCTTCATTGAATTGGAAAAGGCAGACCCAATCATCGAAGATGTTGTCGGGACACTATCACACAAGCTGCCGAAAGTTATAGCTGCAGCCCTGGCCGCTCTCACTGCAATTTACCACAACTACGGCTGTAAAGTGGTCGACTCTAAGCCAGTGCTCAAGGCACTGCCGAAGGCTTTCAGTCATGCAGACAAAAACGTCAGAGCCGAAGCCCAAAATCTAACTGTGGAACTTTATAGATGGCTGAAGGAAGCGTTGAAGCCACTGTTTTGGGGTGAACTAAAACCAGTGCAACAACAGGATCTGGAAAAATTATTCGAAAAGGTGAAGCAGGAACCAGCGCCAAAGCAAGAAAGATTTACTCGAGCTCAACAGGAGGCTATGGCAGCCGCCGATGGCCAGCCCGATGATGGTGCAGACGGTGCGGGAGCCGACGGTGAAGACGACGCTGCTGAAGAAGATCTCGATGTATTCGACCTGGCAGAGCCAGTCGATGTCATGGCAAAGGTGCCGGCTAGCTTCAACGAAAGTGTGGCGTCATCAAAATGGAAAGACCGCAAAGAAGCTTTGGATGCCCTCTACGCGGCTGCAAACGTCCCACGAATCAAAGAAGCTCAATTTGACGACATAATGCGAGTACTTGCAAAATGTATGAAAGATGCCAATATTATGGTGGTTACAGTGGCCGCCAATACCGTCGATGTCTTTGCAAAGGGTCTTCGCAAGGGATTCGGAAAATATCGCCCAGTAATAATGTCACCAATGATGGAGCGGTTGAAAGAGAAGAAGCAGACCGTAGCTGATGCCCTTGGGCAGGCGTTAGACTCGGTATTTGCATCAACGCATCTTTCAGACTGCCTGGAAGACATCTTTGAATTCTTGAAGCACAAGAACCCGCAAGTAAAACAAGAGACCTTGAAGTTCTTGATTCGCTGCCTTCGTACCACTAGAGATGTTCCTTCCAAGCCAGAGACAAAGTCGATAGCTGAAGCTGCTACGAAGCTGCTTACAGAATCGAGCGAGGTGACTCGCTCGGGTGGTGCTGAGATCCTCGGCACTTTGATGAAAATTATGGGTGAGCGAGCCATGAATCCTTATCTGGATGGTCTGGATGACATTCGGAAAAATAAAATAAAGGAATTCTTTGAAACAGCCCAAGTCAAGGCCAAGGATAGACCCAAGCCTATCATCGGTCCTCCAAAGGCCGCGCCTGGTCCTGCAAAACGCACGGTTGCCAAGAAGCCAGCAGTCCTTAAAAAGCCTGCCCCCATTTCCACAGAGCCTCCAGCCGAAGATCCTCCAGTTCTCTCGTCTCCCGCTCGGACCAAGCCAGCCGCGAAAGGGCCCCCGTCGAAACTCGGTGGCATACCAAAGTCTAGTGGTCTCGCAACTCCTGCCTCAGGTCTCAAGCTGCAGAGGAAGCTTCCAGGCCCCGGCGGAGCAGTGCCCCAACTCTCTTCGCCTAGACGGCGCACCGCTTCTCCACCACCAGAAGAACCGGCCCCTGCAGCAGCCCCAGCTCCTGTCCAGCCTAAATTTGGTCTTGGCCGCGGTCTCGCAGGCCGACCGATTGCAAAGCCCAGTGCTCCGTCTGCAGAGCATGCTCCAGTACCTGCTTCCGCACCTAGCCATGTTGCATCCGGTCTGTCCGTTGTTGAGAGAGCGGAGTTAGAAGAACTTCGATTAGAGAAGGAAAGATTAACGAAATTGACGGAAGATCTACGGTCGGAGCGTGCGAAGCTCAATTCGGAAATAAATGAGTTGCAAAACCAAAATGCGCAATTGATAGAAGACCATACTAGAGATGTCCTAAGCATCAAGGCCAAGGAGACTCAGCTTGTACGTGCGAAGAGTGACGCTGAAACCGCCGAACAGACTGTGCAGAAACAACAAAGAGAGATTGAACGGCTCAAGCGAGAATTAACAAGGGCCATGCGAGCTAATGCAGCTAGCCCACCAAACCCATATGTTGACCAACTGGGTCTAAATATGGGTGTTAACGAAGCTAGCGCTGGAATATATCAAGATGACAATCTTCGAGCAAGCCTGCACATGGGCTCTAGATTCGAGAGTGCTAGACCTAGAAGTTATGTTTCATCTAGTCCCAGTGAAGAGAAAGAAAACAATGGCCTCGCCTCACCGGGTCTAAGTTCGAGGTTTGCTAGTCAGAGAAAGTTTAGCCCTCCCGTGGGATCCGCCTATTCTTCCGGGAGAGGAAGTCCTGCTAGGACATCGATAAGAACAGGTGGCATGGGTGCGGACGGGATAACGTCCCAGGGCGAGCCGGCCGAGAATTGGAGACGAGCCGCCGAGGTCACAAGTCAATTGAAAGCTAGAATAGAGCAGATGAAGGTGAGTTTGTTAATATCCACTTTGTCTTAATCAAGTTAAGATAAAAGGCTAATGTCCTTCTTCACGGTGTCTAGGCGAAGCAAGGCCTATCACGCCCGCCTCCGTCACATTGATGCTCGACCCACTGAGCGATAGATAATTTTTCTCTGTGACGTTCTGATATGATTTACTCTTTTCCCTTCACCCTTTACCTTTTCTTTTTTTTTCCCCTTCTTAATCTCAGTTCGTTGAATACCCCTCTAACCCTTCTGTTTTTTGGGATGCTTGAGTGATGGCGGCGTCGGCATGTTACAAAAGGGTCATGGGCTGGGTCCGGCAACAATGTTAAAACTTGTTTTTGAAACGTACGCTATTCTCTTCCCGATGGTTCTTCGCGCGTAATACTCGAAACATGCTCCGTACTGTTTTATGCTATCCGTGAGATACTGGAATTCAAGTTCCGTCTACTTTGGATGTCTACAAGACGGAGGAGTCTAGTCTTTTTATGGACCCAAATCACTCAGTAAGATTGAACCGTTGTCGTATTTGCTTGACCTGAATCCATAGAAAAAAAAGACCACCACGCGCCGGGTATATGCATATCAAACAAATAATAAAATCATTAACACGAGATAATAAACCCATATGCGTAGCTTTTCGATTCACGATTCTACTAAGTGCATGTGGGTTGAAAGTCAACATTATTCGTGGGGCCTTCACGTTAACTTTTTTATCGAGGTACAACGCCGAGTTGAACTCCCATAACCCATCCTGTCCTGGAAAAGCAACACAGAGATAACAGTTTAGATCTTAACAGCAGTCTCAATGGCTCTGCGCTTTTTCTCTTGACGAGCAAGGGCCTTGGCACCCATGATACCACCACCCCAGTGGCGCTTGGACTCTTCGTACTTCTCACTATAGCCCTCCTTGATGGCGGAGACGAGCTTGGCAAATTCGCTCTTGTCCTCGGCACGGACTTCGGTGAGAGCAACGACAGCGGCAGTCTGATGCAAATTACATTAGCGCTCATGCTATATCCTTAAATGACAGGATAAAGTTTACCTTCTTGTGGACCACAGTTCCGAGTCTGGCCTTGCCCTTGATGATAGCGTATGGAACACCCATCTTGCGGCACAGGGCAGGAAGGAAGACAACAAGCTCAATTGGGTCAACATCATTGGGGATGAGAACCAAAGAAGCCTTCTTGTTCTCAATCAAACCGACCACGTGGTTGAGACCATACTTCACGGTGTATGGCTTCTTGCTAACATCCTCTTTCTTCTGGCCAGCCTCGACGGCAGTAGCTTCCTTATGGAGACGCTCCTTCTTCTCAGCCTTGGACTCTGGGCGGTACTTGTTGAGGAGCTTGAACGCCTGGGCAGCAGTGTTGCGGTCGAGGGTGTTCTGGAATTGCGCAATGGCCGGAGGAACCTTCAAGCGAAGGTTGAGGATCTTCTTCTGGCGCTGAAGACGGACATACTCGGGCCACTTGACCATACGAGAAAGGTTGCGGCTGGGTTGGACATCCTGACCGATGCCGAAGTTACGAGGGCGCTTCTCGATCAAAGGATTCTGCACCAGGTTAGCATAGACACGCTAGTTATATGTAGATGGAGTGCACTGACCTTTGGGCCCTTCTTGCCGGCACCAGCCTTCCCCTGGGGGAAGGGGGCGGGAGCAACTTTCTTTCCACTCTTTGGGGGCTGTCATTGAGAAAAGAAGATCTGTCAGCGAATCGTGTTCACCAAGGACTGCATCTTCTATTTCTCTAGAGAGACGACAGACGTGCGTTTCCGCAACGACCATGCCTCAAGCCGTATCATCACTGACTCAATTGCTCAAAAACAGAGTCAATTGAGTCGATGGAAATGATTTCAGCTGGATGGTATAATTCAGACCAGAGCCAGATTATAGAAGATCTCAAGAAACCATTCTGGACTGTGTTATTCTTACCATTATTGTCGATGTTGTCGGCGCGTTGTTGACTGATGACGAAGACGAAGAAAGGAAAAGGAATGCGATTTCAGCGAGAGTGCGAAATAATTGCTGGTCTCCTTAGCGCCGAAACCGTAAGCGAGGTCTAGCCCGTTTTAGGTAAAGCTCCTCCATAGCCCTCACGTGAATTCGCATTGGAATATCTGGTTCTTCGCTAAACCGAATCGGGGATGGAGGGCCGTGCCGCGGAAGGGGGAAATAATTCGCCGGCCGCCCCCAGCTCGCCCAGCGAGAATACTTGCAGTAACGCTTCTGGCCCTGCAGCGCTGGTGCATATCAGCTGTTAGTGAAGGGAGTCAAATGGTTGCTATCGCCATAATAACTCCTACGAGCTACTGAGGCGCAGATATATGAGAGATCGTGAGAGATCGTAAATGACAGCTAGCCTCAGTAGCTGTATCATTGTAGTATTTTAGCATTGGTAACGTCATTTCGCTCATCCATCCAAAAATGCTCCAAAGTATGTATATTGGCACTGGCCAAAAGCCGATATTAACAGAACGCCATTCCCATATATCCCAAACACCATGCGCTAGGTTCAGCGTAGTAACACCCAGGTTGCGTTCAATTTGATCCCTGAAGATCAAATTGGTCTTTAGTCGATGGGAATTTCACCTCCACGGGACTCCCAGGCCCGGGATCCCTGTGCGTCCGATGCCTGAACTCGCTGCCTCGACCGCTTTCCTCCTTCCTTTAGAGCCCTCTTGACTCCGAACACCCTGCACAATTCGATCGAGGTTCGTTTCGATAACCACTCCGCCAACGATCATCTCCGCCAGCACTGCATGCATCGTCTCAAACCCAAAAATTAGGTCTAGTTCGCAAACATTTTCAAACAGGCGATCTAACGCCTCCACGAAGACCTGGATCAAATCGATTAAAGCAAGCGGGGATTCAGTGGAAGTAGAGATGAGAATGAAAGAAAGCGTAGCATAGGTGCGATATGTTATTTGAGTTGGGGCATCGGAATGGCCCAACGTTGGGTTCGTATCCGCGCCTTGTGAAAGCAGTGGCGGGAGAGGCAGGAAATTACAAGCCGAAGGCGGTCGCTGGGAAACAAGGCTATAGATCTGCGCTATTAAGCGCTGCTGTGTTTGTGTATCCTGTCAAGCAGCAGATGTTAGAAACGCCGGTGCACAACCTTCATGGGGCCAGGTGCTCCCTTTACCAGCTGGGTATAGAATTTAGTGAGGCGCGGCTGCCCGCTATTGTTAAAAACGAGAACTGCATTTATCATGTTTGCAGCTGGAACGGACTGGTAGCTGGATCCAAATCCTGCACGTTTCCTTGGTGACTGTGGTGCAGGCCAGCAGGATATTTGGCCCTGATAACCGGCGTTGATGTTGCACGTGACGGGGCAGAGGCGATCTGGCCAAGACCAGCCGTAGATAAGCTTATCAGCATACAGCTTGTTTGACATGTTTGCATTCCAATGACGGAGATTGGCTTTTTGCTGAAGTGCACGTCGGGCTAAATCGAATACCAGCTTCACCCATTTAGAACACACCATCCTTCGTTGACCTTTTCAGGTTTCTATCCTCATATATTCTTCGATGGGATCTCCCATTTTTCGTCGTTACCTCAATCGTCATTTCATCCGCACGTTGAAACGAAGCTATTCAACCGCAGCACATCCCGATAACATCCCAACACCTGGAGGACTCCCACCTTTAATCCGGGGAACTCAAGATGCGCCATCCAGCGGCGCTCTTACAAACAAACCATCCCTAGAAGACTACTGTTTCTACCGCGACACTCTGCCTCCCAAACCTTCCCAGCTTGAATACGCAGATCATTTCTTCGCCGCATCGAAGCACTCCCCCGTTTATCTCTGGGGAAGCAGTCTATTCCGAACCATTCCCGTCTCCTCTATTCCCGAAATCGCATTTATTGGCCGGTCTAATGTTGGCAAAAGTTCAATCATAAATGGCCTTGTTGGTGAAGATATCTGCGCCTCGTCGAGTAAGCCCGGCCGGACGAAATTGATGGCGTCTATCGGTGTCGGTGGCACAAAAGGAGGCGGATCAAAGATAGCGCTTGTGGATACTCCGGGATATGGAAAGGGGAGTCATACCGAATGGGGGCAAGAGATTCAAAAATATCTGGAGAAGAGAAAGCAGTAAGTTGAAAATCCTAATAATGTTAAAACCATTACTTATATTTTTTCTCATTTCTTAGACTTCGACGTATCTTCCTTCTCATCGACGCAGGGGTCGGGCTGAAAACCCGTGATCACCAAGTGCTGAATTTCCTCCGTCGTTTTGCAATCCCTTACCAACTAGTTCTTACAAAACTCGATCACGCTCTCTCCTTCAACGGCCATAAAAATAAAACCAAACCGAATGACTCTCGCTCAGATCTCATTCGGTTTTCTCAAACCGTTCAAGATATCCTCTCATCCGCCCAACCTGTTAACCCAATTTTAGACGGTCCGGGGCCGTTGAATGACGTGATCGCATGCAGCGTGCAAATGCAAAGTAAGAAACAAAAGAAATCAGTAGCAGGTCTTAGATCTCTTCGGTGGGCGATTCTTCTTGCAACCGGATTCGATCAAATCCCTAAGGGGTTCAAATTTAAGAGATAATTGTTCTGTTTTGCTTGCACGTTGTGATAGCAAATGGCTGGAGATTTGCATATACTTACATACCTACACAAAGTATTCTGTGCATATACATAGACTCAATGTTTTGGCGTTACACAGGACATGGGAATATACAAGGTCTAAAATATAGCGGACATAGCGAATACAGAGATATATATTAACTGCATACTTTCTATTGTTACAGGTCGGACGAATATATTATAGGTGCCACAGCGATGCGCTGTTGTTGCTTGATGGGCCAGTGCTGTAGACTGGTTACCTCCAGCTGCGCCCCGACATTTTCGCTTTAGAGCTCTACAAATTTGGACAATAGCCGAATAGCAAGGCTATAGACATCCTACTCTCTTTGTCGCTCGCATCCTATCTGATCCTATGTATCAACGCAGGCATGTTCTACGAAATCAGTACCACATATTGACACTTCCAGGCTAATGCTTTCTGTAATCCCCAGTGTTGTTACACTTATTTACCTTAAAATATAAGTGAGACTGGCTTCTGCAAGTTTGAGTTGGCGAATCAGTAGCATATCGCCCTGGTGGAGAAGTGGTCTTACGCTTTTCAGGAGGAGCTTACTATTATTGATATCTTACCCGAACTGCTGCACTAGATTGAGAGCGTGGTGTGACTCAGGAAATCACCTAGTTAAGCCTTTGATTTGGCCAGAGAAGTCCCTCTATGTCATATATTTGCTTCTGTAAGCAAAGAGGCCTTCGCCCGAAAGTGTTGCTACTATTCAATGACATCGACAAACTTCGTAAACCCTTATTAACACCAAGCAAGATAGGCGACCGAATGTTGGTGTTTAAAAAGAGACAAAAAAGAAGTGCATGTCATAGTTTGATTTTATCGACAATAAAAATGCAAGGGTACTCCATATACCAACGCCTTGACATTCCCAGGCCGTTAGACTCCAGACAGTTAATGAAATGCAAACAGTCGAGTGTACATGGGGAAAAATGCTGCATCACGAAGAATTTTGAGGCCGCCGGTTGTCAGAAATGAAAAGTCGTTGTCCATAATTCATGAAAAATTCCTGTGGCACAGCCTATTGATATTCGAATCCATCAAATCATTAGCGCCTCTTTAACACCTTTCTCCAGAACAGAGCGCAATGACCAAAAAGGTACGTAAGCCGAACAAATGAGTATGTATGCCGTCTAGTGCGTGAATGGCTGGCGTTGAAAATACACATTATGGCTCTGTTCCTCCCACGGAAACAAAGTAGGACAAGGGTATCATAAAATATCTGAAAAGTTGCGCCGTTCATCCATAGTTTGCTGAGACGGCGGTGATATCGAAGTCAGATCTCCGGTTTGGATAATATGAGTCGATGTTGTACGTTCATTCATCTGAACCATCTCTATCACCAGTTCCTTCATTCTCTTCTTGTACTTCTCCACCATATCTGTCCACCACAATTCTCCGACCCAAACGATCAATGGGAACTCGATCTCGAGATGCGCCAAAATCAAGCATCTAATTACAAATATTGATTAATATCGGCTTTGACAAAAGGTTATCAAGTGGCAGCTTACCTCAATGTATGTGAGGCCATCCCTCTGAACAGCGGCAACACATCTTCTATCGTTGAAGCGGACTTGCCACATCCCACTAAGGTCACTGAGCAAATCCTTTAAGCACTCTCCTGTCTTAATATCCCACATTTTCAATGTACGATCGGAGCCGGATATAATCTTCTGGTCATCATGTTCAAAACAGGTAATCGCACCGGTATGTGCCGTTAGTGTGCTTTTACATTGTCCCGTTTCTGGGTCCCAGATTCTAAGCGTCGAATCAGCAGCAGCTGATACGAGCTTATCCGCCCGGAGATCGAGAAGACCCACGAGTAATGAATGTCCTTCGAGGTTATATAGAAGCGTACCGGTCTCGAGTGACCAGATTTTGACCGAATGATCCATTGAACCACTGATACAGCGATTCCTCTTATGATCCAGAACGACACTGTAAACTTTAAGAGTGTGTCCCTCCAATCGATGAACGGCTTCGCCGGTAGATATCTTCCACACTCTTACGGTGCAATCATAACTGCCGCTGACAAGTGTATCACCGTGCGCTGCTATTGCCCGGACGGAATGAGTATGACCGTTCAATGCCCGAATAAAGTACGGACAAGAGGAGTCATCTGGTCCTGCCTGAAAGTATTTCGGATCTCCTGGCTGTGGAAGCCTCCAAACACGCAAGCTAGAATCTCGCGACCCGGTAATGATCAGGGGCTCTTTTGGCATCATTTCCGGACTCCCGTCAGATCTTCGACCAATTTGAGATGGTAACAATATTTGCAAGCATCGGACTGTTGAAGTATGCCCATGGAAAGTCTGGGTGCACTCTGCCTTTTCAATATCCCAAACTCGCACTGACCTGTCGGTAGAACCCGAAACGAGAGTGTTACCATGATATTCTAGAGCCCAAACCCCGCCCTCATGTCCTTCAAGAGTCGCCCTAAGGGCACCAGTTTTGGTGTCATACACATGAATGTTGGTGTCATCGCTACCCGTGAGGATTTTATCAGTATCAAACTGGAGACAAGTGACAACGTGGCGATCATGCGCCTGGAAGGCGAGATGCTGCGGCTTAGCGTTTGGATCCATCCATCTCTTGCGTATCAGATGATGGCGCTGATAAAGTGATTTGTAAAGGTGTAAACTTTGGAGGGATGGTAAACCAACGTTAGGATAGGGAACAGCTAAGGCCGCTGCACTCGCTGCCGCGTATGGGACTTCAGCCACCTTCGAATCATGTAACCAGTCGGAAATTCCGGGCGACCTGGACGTATTATCTTTCGGCGACTGCTTCTTCACTTGCCTTCGAGAAGGCGAGCTTGACTCAGCCTTTCTTTTTGGTCGTCGAGGACATGCCAATGACGAGGAGTCTTTCAGTTGGAGGATGGACTCAGGCGAGTCGGCCGACTGTTCACTAGTGGGCCTTGAAAGCAAGCGTAGATCCCTCTCGTAATCGTCGGCGTACTGCCACCCCCAGCCTTCTTCAATAGCCCTTTGAAGCTCTCCTTCAGGAAGCGTGAACCCAGCAGCGTCGAAATGAGCTTTCCAAGTCTTTTCATCGGAATTTATGATATGCCTCCATTTTTTGGAGACTTGGGATGCCCTACACATGGACACTACGTCCAAGAATTTAACAATGTTGAGACTGAGCTCCAGAGGCAGCAGCGCCAAGAAATCGCATTTCAGGGCCGGGTTGACAACGTCAGCAACGAGCTGGAGTGTTGGCTTCGGACACCTCCTTAGCAACTGATACAGGAAATAAGATTTGAGTTCATCCGGTATGGAGTCGAAGTAGCCCAGCACAACAGGCATGTCCATAAGCGACATCGAAGGTGATGTCTGGTCCGTATCGGCTTTTCCAACAGCATTTTTGGGGCCGGCGCGGCGATTACCAGCTAAATTCGACTCTTTTGGGAACTGATCAGCGACTGAATCTGTATCCGTGGCTGGATCTTCGGCTGAGTCAAATGATGTTTCTTGCTGAAGAGAATTCATCGCAGTCACAGGAGATAGCCTTGGGCTCGGTAGAGGGATATTTTCACCTCTGCTCTGATCTGTGGCCAGCAGCCTAGACACCAGAGGGCGCAGGCGACGACCCTGTGTAGGAGGATTATCTGCTTCTGACGATATCGAAGACCCGAAAGACTCGGAAGGAAACTCGGAGGGCTTCTCCACCAACGGCGACGCTTCGCCATCATCCACACTCCGCCGGCGGCTTTCTCCGGCTGCAGGTGGATTCTCATTCTGGTGCTTAACGGGCGGTCTCGGCTGGGATGTTCTTTCTGGATTGTATATCTCGCTGTCAAGCGCGAAACTGGCACTTTCTGTTTCCGGCGTGGCCAGCCCGACTTCAGTCACGTGACAGGGATCCTGGGCAGAGCTGAGATGTCTTCGTCGCGGGTGTCGACAGATCAAGGAATCGGAGACAAGAGGTCGCGAAGGGCTTGGGTTCGATGCTTGCGACGATCCGGCAAATGGCACGGGGGAGACAGCCCGTTTTGTATTCCTGAATGGCCGATGCCGTGAACCCAAAATCCGACCGCGACTTGAAGAGATAGGTGCCGAGGGATTAGTCGTAGCGGTGGCTGATCTGGTGTTACCGGCTGATGTCTTCAATTCTTCTTGTCCCTGCTGTTGCTTCAAAATCGGGTTAGCATGGGCTCTCGGCTCATATAATTCGAACATATCCCAAAATGTGAGGCATGCCTACCTCGGCTAAGGCACCAGGTGCATCGTCAGGCTCATGGAGGACAATTGATTTCCCGTTGAGATTAAACCTGATATCCCTCAGCGACTCAGGAGTCGGTGCTGCAGCAAGAGGGTATTGTTTTGGGTCAAGGCTCTGGAGAACGCGCGGTGGGTGCATGATCAAAGGGGGAAATTTGGTCATGGTCGTAGTGGTTGTTGTGACAATCGTGGTCTGTGTCGTGGGAGCAAAGGAGAACTGGCCGATAGTAGGTTTAGGACGCGAATCGTCTTCGGATATCTCATTGCAATCGTTGCGCTCGTAACGGGATGAACAGCTCTGATATTCAGACAACTCCGGCGTTTTTAGGGAACGGTGAGACGCGTCACTCGGGGTCATCTTGGACTCGGGCGCTCCTGTTCTCAAGAACGTGGCGATGCAGTCCGGGAATTCCCAGGCCTTGCCTGCACTAAAGTCCTTTGTGGGTTGGGGCTGATCGATAGGAGGTTGATGACAGAGTTTTAAGGCAGATAAGGTCTAAGGGAAATTTCCACCGAGATTTCCCAGCACATCGGATCTCGAACCGTTACGGATCGAGAGAGAGACACGGAGGGAAAGCGAGAGGATTCAGCAAGCTGGGGTAACTAAACGAAGGCTGAAGAAGAGAGGCGAGGCAACGATTGCTGATGTCCACCAGACGGAGTTTCAACTCTCCAAATTTGCCAGCATCATAGGGCTCATAGCAATACACGAAGAAGCAAGTGAAAAGGTGCTGTGAGGTGAGAGAGTTGAGGGTTGAGGGCCCTGGGGGATTCAGCGGGGACGAGTGCCAGAGGTGGATCGAGAGGAGCGGCGGAAGCGAGCAAGGCTATCGGGGAGAGGGCGTAAATTACAAGCATTGTTGCAGACTCATACAACAGCTGAAAGGTCTTATTACGCCATTTTTGAGGGCGTGCACACCTAAGCAATCACGTGTAGTACCTGCAATTACAGACACGGGCGACAATATGTACATATGTGAATGCTACAGGGGCCCGTCGCGGACTTCCACCCATGCAAGTTGAGACGGAGACTCCCCACGCTGCCATCACTACATGTGTCTCTGCTTGGAACACTTCACACACATATACTGTCTGTACCAGAAGACCAAAGAGTTTATCTCACTTTCCTCCCCAGTACTGAGAGGAGTGCTCCATTTTTCAAAACTTTCTCGAGCCTATATCCTAACTTTCATGCCGCTGTCATCTACAGGTTTCCCAAGATTGTTCTCCTGGATGAGACACTTTGACCATCAAAAAGACATTGCAGGATGAGACAAGAAGCTTCTGATGATGGCTTGCGTACTTTGTATTGTTGCATTTTCTCACTGGGCTACGAAACCAGAAAGTTCCATGAGCATGCATTTCTGTTGGCCAGGATTCTTGATGCCAGGAGTGCGACTGTGTGCACGAGGAAACCTCTGACCTTCTTCTCCACCCAAAAGCAAAGCATGATGTGCAGGCATCAAAAGTGGGATGAAGGGTAAAAATATAGAATAAAAGGACAGAAAGAGCTTGTTTTCAGATTCAATACTAGAAACCAAGCAGGAAAACCAGCGATCGCTGGAGAAAAAGTACTTCCTTTGCATATAAACACAAGATTGCCTTGGAATTTGGTTCAAGCAGGCAGTATATCACTACATGCAGCCTTGGATTGCACTGTATGTCAAGCTCTGTGTATGTGTTTGCTACTTAGCTTTGCCCTACCAGGGGAGTGAAATGCTGGCCTCTCTTGGTTCTTTTTATCTTCTGTTAAGGCAGACGACACCTTGAATTCAATACTGGTTACGCACTGTGACAACTGTACTGTCGTCTCAACCTGTACTCACATGACACAACACACTATTGTTCTCTAGAGTATGCTGGTGAACTTATCAGCTTAGGACACGGCTTCAGGCTTCTACAGTCGCGTCCATCACCATGGCTCGAAACATCCAGCCTGGCTCGAAAATGAAGGCTGCTGGTGGTACATGGATGGCCACGTGTGAAGCCAGGATGATGGCTCCAATATCTGTTCATAAGCAGAAACAGGAGCAGATGAAGATTGAGCAGACTACCCACGTCCCTCAGAAAGTTGAAATGAAGCAAGAGGTAGCAATTCGACAAAAGCAGAGCCAAGAATTGGTTCAGATCCTACTCAATGCATCTGTCAGCTCAAGTCTCCCTTGTTGTTTACCCCACTGTCTTTATGGTCAGTTAACACTAATGATGTGGCAGATTGGGTCTCTCTTCTATCTCAGGTGTGATTGGCCTCTTATTCTCGCATTCTCGCAGATCTTCTACTGATCTTTATAGGGGCTTCCTTCCGTTGACTTGCTTCGATACGCGTTATCTTGATGCAAAGTCAGAAACAAGCATTTCTTACGAGGATTTTACTAGGTCGGATTCAAAGCCTGCAGCACCTAGAAAGAGCCAGCCCTTGAGAATCTTGTTGAGAAACCGTAATTCTACTGCTGATGCTATCTTAAATCTCCTGGTGAGCCAACAGTTAGGGTTCTCCGAAAGCGGCAGCTAATGACTGCAGGAATATGGAGTCTTCGATGCCCTAGGTAAACGCGTTTTAGAAGCCGTCCAGCTTACCATAAGCCGTGACAGGAACACACCTCTGCAAGTGCTCGAAAGTTATACGTTTACATTTGCCTATAAGGTCGACGGGAAACACAAGGTTGCCAACCTAGCAAGTGTGTCGCTCGACAACGGCAAATGCACTATGGAAGTGGGGACTCTCCGGTCTGCAAAGGTGGGACTAGAGATGATCATCCGCCGTTTAATCACGCTCAGTACCATCCTTCCGAACCTACCTTGTACGGACTCCAAAAAAAGCGTTATCCGCTTTTGTCTTCCGCTGACAAACGATACAGCAAAGCGGTTTCTTCATGTCCACCTATTCTATACCGAGGATTGCCCCCTTGAATATGAGCCACCAGGGTTCAAGAACTCGGCACTCGAGGATATTCGCTTTCCGCGAATTGAAAATTGGACGAAGCAGACACAATCATGCGGAATGATGGATGGCCCTTATCACAGGTGAGACGAGAACATGTCTACGCTTTCTGCGGAGCTAACAGAGATTTAGGGTTGGCTTAAAGGTCACCTCCCTTCGGTGGTCTGGCACTGGCGATGACCAGATCCCAGAAGATCTTAAGTATTCCGATGATGTCTCCCGGGAAATCGATGTCGGCATTGACCATAAGGCCAAAGGGCATTCACGGCTGGGGGATGGTGGGTGTTTCCCAATTAGTCCTACTTCCTATCGTTTCCGGTGTTGCTCTTTATACCTAACACATGAACTGTCCAGAAGCTCCATATGAATCAACTCAAGCCCGCGAAGATGAGGCGGGTCGGAAGATTCTCCAGAAAATGGTAGGCATGGGAGGATTTCCAAAGGGGCGTTTTACGAGCAACACATCCTAACTGAGCACTTGTTCTAGCTAGAGCCATCAAGTATCGATACCACCATGGCGCCTACCCAGCAACTCATTGACTCGACCGCGAAGAACGATGCTACTGCAGCAAAACCGCAGCTTTCTCAGGCGAAAGTTGACGAAATAGAGAAGAGGAGAAGCCAACCACAGCTAGCACATCCAATGCACGCTAGGTCAACCGGGAGTAACTCTGACGCCGGAGCAGTTTCTTGTCAATGTGGTTGGAACCAGGAAGAAGGTGCTATGGTTAGTCCCATCCTTTCACTACAGAATTCCTTTCGTTTTTGTCTGACATTTGCACCTTCAGATATATTGCCGTTTCTGTGACACCAAGCAGCATCTTTCATGCTACGGGTTCCATAGTATCCAGGATCCAAAGCTCCCCAATACACATGCATGCTACAAATGCCTGTTAGGAGACGCTGAAGGTAAAATTCTACAGGAGATGAATACCTTGGTGCTCTTGCGACGAGCCTTAAACATTATTATTGAAGAGGGCTATCCAAGGGGCACCAAAGCTTTTGCGGAAAAACTACGTAAGTACAATTATGCACTATGAATTCCTTGCATACTAATCGACCTAAAGACTGCAACGGCCAGGCAATCCTTCAAATTACTGGAATGCTGAAGAAGAAAGGTTTCTTAAAAGCTACACCCGGGTCTAAGTCAAAAGGATTTTCTGAGAAAGGCTTACCCAGTTTTGTGATCCCTGAATCCAAAGGAATCCGTGAAAGGATTGACCAGGAAATTCTCAGCCCCTTTGCGAACATATCTCACCATGTAAGTCTCCGGACACACTGGCTAGATCGACAATATTGACCCAACCTCCCCCAGTATGATATCCCTCGGTGCTTACAGCAGCGAGCTACATCAGAGACTTGCCCACATTTGGCGGATGGCATGGAGGATCATCCAGTATTCGGAACTTACCTTGCGAGGAGCCGCCGTCGCCTCTGGCCGCTGGATGACAATCTCTACCGGGAAAGTCAAGGATTAGCTTCAGCTGCATCGTCAGCATCACCCATGTCACCTGAATCGACCGCACCGACCGCATCATCCGACAATCTCGAACTTCAAGAACCAGGCCCCGGGGGACGAGCGACCCGGGAACCTCAGATCCGAGGAAGAAAACGCAAGCTCAGTAATGCTACGCAGCCAATTGACATTGGGGATCCGGATTATGATGACTTTATGGACGAGTCCAGTGGCTGAGCATAATCCTCCGAATAAAGACCCTTGTTTACTTGAGTGCATACGGGAAATTCTTTAGGAACCAAGCTGTCTCTGCTTTTCGATCTTTCTTCACTTGTTATTCCTGAGAAACGGAACCATGTAAAATGGGGGGGTAAAACAAAACAAAAACAATGTTAATGGTGCGCTCGTTTATCCTTGAGACTTAAAATATCAGAAGAGGACTCAATTAAGTTTGACCCATGCTATTAAATAATTGAATGGCTGCTATGGAGGTCTCCGTAAATATTCCAGAGTTAAAGAGGCAGACAACCCGTGCTTACGCATACCGATAGCCTTTCTTTGAAGTCCTACCGTGCCCAGCTCTAGCGGTTTTTATGATTTTTGAGCGAGAGGGGGTATCTTTTGGACACGCATGGTCTTGTGCTTATTTGCCCGAACAGCAGCGCCTAAATATAGCTCCTATTCGTCGAGAGCTACTCCGTACATATGGAGTCTGGGTGCTGTGCAAAGTGTACCTGGAGTTCAGCTACAACAGGATAAAGTTAAGGTTCCCCAAGAAACATGTGCGTGCGACCCATCCCCGGCCCGGGCAAAAGTGATACATATTGATCAATGCTTTGATAGCGGGCGATATGTACTTTGTATGGTGTAATAACCAGTGGAACCTATTATGTCCGTGCGAGGATGAAGATTCTAGGATGTGGTCACCAGATAAGCCATCCATGCATGCGAGTTGGGAGTGGGTGATGCAGTGACAGCGGTGCCACTGTACATGCATAACTTACTTAACAACCAGTTATCATGCCTCCAGCCAGCACCACAGGTGATTGGTAAGCCAAATCATACATGCTCTCAGCATTATGACTCCTGCATTCTTTGCATTGTTTTGGATGGATTCATCATTCGGCAAGGTGTCCAAGCCATTGCCCATGTGCAGGATCTTGATTGGCGGCCTGTGATCTTAACAATAACTTCCATGACGTTCGCTGACCCTGATTGTTGGCAACCAAACCCAACTGGGAAGACTTGCCATCAAAAACCTGACATCCTGTGCTCCCCTCTGATGCCGCAGCCTACTTTGTTGAACAACTAAATTAACAAAAACTCTTTGGTCACCTATAAACTCAAGGCTATGTGCATTTAGCCGGGTGGTCAATTTTATCTGCTCGGTAAAAAGGATGAACTCTCCTTGGCTACCCGGTCAACTTACCGCTTTAATCGCCTTCAAAAGATGCTTATTCCGGCAGAGTTATGGGCTTTCATGGATGTGTGCCAATCACGGACTAGTGGCACGTGTTTGCGGGATTCGGGAAGGCAATCGCCTTATTGAGGACAAGCATCATGCAAAATTTCCGTGCCGTGGCAGCAAAGCGAGCCTGCAAATAATGTGACTCGCTGGATCCCCGTTTTTGATTGAAGGTGGCGTTTTCCCTGCCCGAATCCGTGTTCAAATTTGTTTCGCATGACCACTTGTCATCCGATCCGATATCGAAGATACTATGCGGTGCTGCCAGGTGCCTCCCCGGCCTCACTTACCGTGCTTTTGGGCATAATGTTTTGGGGGGCACTATCGATGGAAGGGATACACAGTGCTTCCTGTGAAGCTTGCAGATCAGTGTTTATGTTCCTGATCTGGGCCCATCCGCTGGGAGCATTCCAGGTTTCCAGGTTGTCTGAGTCGTCAGATCTCTGGCCAGCATGCTCCGTATTGAGTCTTGCTCCGCGATTCGTCCGAAAAAGAAAATATTGAGACCTACTACTACTCCTATGAAATTCCCGCAAGTCATGCTTCCTTGCCGGCCTCCCAGTCCTATGGACGCTCACGCCCCAAATACCACACATGCAGTAGTGAATTATATAAATGACGATTTGCCCGCCAAACATGTGCTTTGCTCAGTCCGTAGCACCTAGAGCACTCTCCAGACTTCGAACCTGAAGACAGCCGTCTACTATGCAGCTAGCGGTATATTTTCTCGCGGCCGCAGCTGCCATTGGCTCTTCTACGTTTGCTTTTCCCTGGTTTAGAGACCCATGTGCGGCTGGCTTTGCAAGTTTACCGCATGGAAACAGACAAAACAGAAAGGAAGATGCGAGCCCGGAAATCTGCCAGTATGATAAAGAAGACAACACCAAGGCGCCTTTGAAAAATATTTTTAGCGCGTTGGACGGCAGTGAGATCGCAGCAGTAACGAGTTTCCTTCACAAGCAGAGGGAACTCAACCTGACCGCTGCAGTAAAGGCAACAAGGTGCGTGGTCCTTTCCCCTGGGACATGGCGCCGTGCTAACACAGCGGGCGCAGTTGGGACAATACTATTGACCTTGTTGAACTCTTGCAGCCAAACAAGTCGGACGCTTTGCCCTACTTGAATGGCGATGGCCCAGCTCCAGATCGGTACGCTCGGGTGGGAATCCAGTTCAAAGCTACGGAGGAACCATACATCCAGGACTACATGGTCGGACCTCTCCCGGTCTCACATCGAACAAAGGTGCAGCCACTGAATTATCTATACAACAAAGGGGTTGGTAAGCAGCGCATATATCACGCTGATATAAATGAGGAAGTCGCGTTTTATGCGAAGATTGGCGCCAGCGTTGCGGATATCACACTCGATCTCTGGAATGGCGTAAGTATATTGGCGTAATCGATGTGAAAACAGATATACTAAAATCTGAACCCAGACATTTATGGGCTTGCCGAATGACACTGTGTTCGTCAAAGGATTCGAACCACTCCAGATTGGTAACCAATCTGTTATCACTTGGCTTCAGTTCTGGAGTTACCCAATTGGCACCATTGATGACCGTGCTTCAGTGCTCCCCCTGGGCCTACATACAAAGATAAACATAGCTGGAAGAGACCCGTCCAAATGGTCAGTCCTTGGATGGTATTATAATGGTAATTTCTATAAAACCACTGAGGCATTTCGTAAGGCCTATTTCAGCCCCGGATTTCAGAAGCGGGGTGCAAACGTTGATGGTCTTTGGGCTCAGTTGATGAGAGATGGGAAACCGCGACCCCGGGATACGCTGGTTGCTCCCGTACAAGTCCAGCCCCAAGGAAGACGTTTTGGTGTTGACGTGAAGGAGAAGTATATTGAATGGAGTAATGCGCTCCCCGTCACATCACCTCCGTCATATTTGGAGTACTGACGATTTGCATAGTGGGATTTTCGTTGTATATCGGATTTACTAGAGATACCGGGATAAGGCTTTTCGACGTTAGATATAATGGCGAGCGGATTGTTTACGAGCTTGGATTGGAAGAGGCACTTTCACATTATGCTTCGGATGAACCTATGCAATCAGGCGTCGCTTTTCTTGATTCGTTGGAAGGATTTGGTCGGGTTTCGTATGAGCTTGTCCAAGGTTACGACTGTCCATCCGATGCCACATTTTTGAACACCTCGTACTTCACGAACGAAGAGACACGCACCCATGCAAACAGTATTTGTTTGTTCGAGATGGATTCGGGCCACCCACTCCAGCGTTACGCGTCTTCAAACACTGTCAGTGTCACTAAAAGTTTGGTTTTCACTATCCGAAGCATCAGCGCGGTTGGGAATTATGACTTCATATTTGACTATGAATTTTTCCTTGATGGCTCGATACATGTTACTGCCCGGCTTTCAGGATACATACAGGCTTCTTACTGGGCACATAGCGGCGACTATGGCTTCAGAATCCGGGACAATCTTTCCGGCTCCATGCATGACCATGTGATCAGCTATAAACTGGATATGGATGTTAATGGTACTGCCAATAGCTTGCTGAAGACAACCGTTGTCCCAACGAGGGAGAGGTAAGCTTTTTATCAGAGGCGCTTCGAAGGACAAAGTGACTAACAATATCCTAAGGTACCCTTGGTCTGATGGCGAACTAGTAAATACAATGAAGTTAGAAAAGACTTTCATCGATAATGAGAGACTCTCGAAGCTCAACTGGGCACCAAATTCGGCAACGACTTATACAGTCATCAACAAGGATGCTAAAAATATATATGGAGAATACAGAGGCTATCGCGTTTCTCCCGGTAAGTTTTGCGGGTGTGGATAACCGTTTTTATGGAGTGATTTGGCACTGACGCTTGCAAAACCAATACAGTTACGAGCAGCACGACCTATCTGACAGTGCAAAACTCGGAGAGCTTGAAGAGGAGTGGTGGTTGGGCAACTCACAACCTTTATGCCTTGAAACGAAAGGATACGGAGCCCCATAGCACATCTTCATATAACAATCTTGATGTTGGAGATCCGGTTATCGACTTCAATAAATTTTTTGACGGAGAGTCGTTAGACCAGGAAGATTTGGTCCTGTATGGCTAGGCCCCTTGAAAGGCATAACTTGGAGATCCTGAGCTGATACTTTCTCATTGACAGATATTTCAACCTGGGGATGCATCACATCCCAGATACAGGTGACCTGCCGAACACGGTGACAACGGCAAGTGCGCCATCATCTTGAATGGAATGCATGTACTAATATTTTTCGTCGCTCTTAGACTGCTGTTTCGTCAATGGGCATCATTCCGCAAAACTTTCACCTAGAGAACCCGTCTCGAGCGACTCGCCAACAAATCCGTTTGACCTTTGAGGAGGGCAAAGCATCGCAGGCTGAGATATTTGGAAGTAGCCATGCCACGTGTACTTTTGACATGGTGAGTTCTTCTCGGGTTCATTTTTCCTCCCGTTTTTCATCCTCCACTTGTGGCCTTCTTTGTCGTCGAAATTGATCTTTGTTTGCGGCTTGCTAACCATGTGGTGTAGAAAAATGTGAAGCCTAACCTAGCGGGCTACAAGGGTGACATTGTGGTCCCGAAGTTCCCATTTCTGTCGACCAACATGTCTTTCGCACCAACGCGACCTGGTTCGCAAACGCGACCTGGTTCGTAAGATGTAGGTGGCAGCTATGTAAGTGTACATAATTTCCGATTTTCAGGGAAGTGTACTCCGTAACGCGTCTGCATATGCAGCAATTATTATCTGAATAATGTACGGAGTACTATGGGATAAAGTTAACATGCTTTCACTACTCTGATATCCGGATTCTGCCGCTGCGATGTCTCCGATAGCTACTCAATGAAACCTTTGTTTTGGAGCTGTCCTCCTCCATCTGTGTATGCTTTTTGAATGAAACATAGTGTTGTAATTCACTGACAATGTTGAGCATGCAGATGCGGCGGTTTTGATGCCTCGCCTTCGATGCTTTGGGTGAAGCAAAGAAGTCAAAAGTGGAGCAAAACCTCCGAATCAATGAATTGAAATCGCAGAAACTCACCGCCAGTTTACGGAGTATATACGGAGTACTTGCAGCTAATTGACGAGGCGACAAGGATTCGTCCATCTGCACCCGGACGCAGATCCGGCGGTGAAGCCGTTCGAAGTTCAAAAGGTGAGAGTCGAAAATAAAACAGCTCCGTTTCAGAAATGCTGTGTGACAGCACGAGGAGAGCAAAGCACAGACACCTTTTTTTTTAAAAATAAAATAAAATAAAATAAAATAAAAAAAAAAGAAAAAATATCCCGCCCAACTTTGGGTCGGAAGGAGATTTTTGGGATGCCCAACACCATTTGGCTGTGGAGCCTTCCGATCGTTTCCTGAGATTTGCGCTATTTCGACGATCAAGTCTGGCCTTGAAAATCTTTCTGGGGATGCGCCAGACAAACATTGAGACCAAGTTGAGGACAATCATCTCTTCATCAACAGGGAGGAAGCTGCGTGAATAGCGGAATCCCAGGAGCTTCCGATGTTATCGGGGACGGGGAATTCGCGCATGAGAGTAGCAAGCAAGATCCATACATATGAACGATTGGAAGGACCCGGGGTTCGCCGGGGAAGCTATCGTTAAGCCCTCGAGGAGCCCAAGCAATTTGAAATTCTCGCTGGTGTTAGTGTTGAAGATCGTGAGATAATCTGCGGAGAAAAATGGTGATTGAGGGATTGCGCGCGTCATCATTAAATAATATTCTGCAAATAATGGTCTAATTTACCTGCATGGAAGAGGGCTTCGTATCGGCTTATTTCGAATCGTAATATCCTCATGAACAGTGACGTGAAACAGTCGGCCGTGCTATTTGCCGGGTTGCTGGGCGGTATTAACCATGGGAATCAATGCAGATTGAGTTCAGTACCCCTTATTCCCAGCTTGAATTGCTCTTTTCCTTGTGGCCGGAGTCTGCGAAGCCAAGTCTGTCTGAGGCGGAGAACCTTAGCTTCTGCACAGCCTTTCAACGACATCATTGGTTCTCCGTTCCTAGTGGGATCCAGCTGTGGTGATCGGCTGGGCTGATCCTGGTCGGGCCTGACCAACCTTAGAGGATGATAATGCACACCCCTTCTCACGATCGGGGGGTGGGAGTCCATGCTTGCTTGCTTGCCCCCCGGCACGAACGTTGGGGCGCGTATCGTCATAAATAATGAGCCTTTTTTGAAGGTGAAGACACATGGTATGCCAATCTTAACGCTGGAGAAATATGATTACGGCCCGCAAGGTGGTTGAATGAATGCGCTAAAGAAATGCATCGATCGCGGCTAACAAACCTTCTTTTGGGATGATTTCTTCCCGAATTTTGCTCGCTCGTCGTGCATGTCACATACCCCTTTTCCTTTCCTCTCGACCTGTTCAAAAAGGGTGATTTTGCCGGTTTGGCGTACTCCGTACGTGCCCTTATCATTGAAACGCGCCTCGCTGCCCCGCGGCAATCGAACTGTGCTCGAGCCGAACCCACCTGCATATCCGGTACGAAGCATCACAACAACTCACGGCTCAGAACGCCGCTCGGTTTCAGCGGTAACTGGAGCCACGAGGGGGGCCGCGTGGTTGGAGCTGCATAGGGAGTGGAAGCCGATCTTTTTGGGTTTCCCACGCGGCTTCATTCGTTCCCTGGGCCGTTGTCCAAAGCCTTTCTCTCCCTTGCATAACACCGTTGTTTCCAACTGGCGGGAGAAATTGCTCTGTGCTACGGACTACTCCGTCAGGAGTCCTCGTTTCCACGAATTGAGACCGCAGTCTCGGAGGTAATCTTTAATGTTCTAGATGTTGATCGGCACCACACGCCCCGGATGCCTACTGCTGCCCTATTCTCGAAAAAGTATGCGAAGTACCGTTTTGATTGATGAAAGATGCCTACCATGTTGCCCATCCCAGAGCGAGTTTCGAGCATCTCAGCTTCCTCCGGCGAATTAAGCAGTCATCTGAGTAGACGGAATACATCGTCCAGAGTAAACTTGCTTTCCGAGACGCCCAATCACGACTCTCAATTGCGGAGTGAAACGTTTCTGGCGAGGATTAACAAAAGGAATCCACAAGAGTCACATTTACCTCAACCTGAAGAAGGAGAATATTATCGAGACGGAAATGGTGATGGAATAAATGCTGCAGACTCAATAAAAGGAGGATATCTGACGGAGCGTGAACTGAGCCAACGGGCGTCATCTCCCCTGCTGGGTCAGACATACAAGCGCAACCATCATGCGGGATTATCTTCCTTTCATGCAATCCCCAAACCTCTGCGCCCATCCGAGTCATCCTCGACGCTTCGGTCCATCTATGACCACCCCAGCTCACTGCCGTCGTACAAAACTTCAGCGAGTTCCCATAGCGATGTGAGTCTTAGGAATAATTTCCAGACTTTTACGCAACCAGCCCCTGATATGATGACGGGTCATGACATAAATGCTGGCCAAAAAGAGCGTCGAAAATCGTTAAAGGCCAAACGTCGACCACCCATGATCGATCTATCGAAACTATTCCCTAGGCCACGGGATACCGCCGTGTCGCTTCTTTCCCCCCACCGGTTGACGACTTCACCCTCTCCTGTCTCTCTCCATTCCGATGCGTCTGCTACTAAGCCCTCAAAGATCAATCGAATTTACAACGGCAATAAACTTACCAAAAGACCAAGGGCGAGAGACGCCGCAGAAATGCGCCTGAGGCTGCGGAAAGAAAAATTACAACGTGAAGAACAGGAACACGAACAGGATCAGGGATACTATGGCGAAAGACAACGATTGTACCAAGACCAGCGGCGGGAATTCCAACCCGAGATAACGCTTGGTCCCACATTGTCTCAGCGGCGGAAATACGATGGCTGGCGGGATCCCACTAAATATCGACATCGAACGGGCCCGGACTGGTTTGACGGTCCAGAGGGGCAAGTAAGCGATGATGATGAGGATTCTGTTATTGGAGAGCAAGAAGCGCAGAACACGGTGCCTGCCATGTTGGCTGCTCTCCAGGAAGTCAGTCGTCCTAGACATAGCAGTTTCAGCTCTGGTGGTCCATCTCTGTACAGATCCAACCTATCCAGAAGTTCAAGCCAAATTATGCCGGCCTCTTCAAATAGCTCGACTATTAAACGAGCGCCAAGTTCTCAGGATCTGAGCTCAGGGCACGTCTACCATCCAACTCCGATGCTCGACGGAAATCCGACGGGATCGCAGCCTGGTCGCAACGCTATTCCTGCCAATCGTGGGCCCACAAAGTCGCAGAATGGTGGTGCGGTCATGAGAAGACCAAGCAAGCTATCTTTAAACTCTAAAAACCTCAATGAGTCTAGTATGCTCTGTCTTTCATCGTCCGAAGATGACGAGGACGAGGACGATCGTGAAGATGCCACCTCAAGTTACGTCAATCGAACTGTGCTACGGGACAGCATTGCCACTCTTGATGAAGGTGCTGAAATCTGTACTGCGCAAGCTATCGAAACTCGAAGCCATTTCTCTATTAAGAGAGTACCAACAGGTCATTCTGTTAGAACACGAACGACCCGATCCACGGCTCCGACTAGCCAAAATAATTCCGCTGCCTCCAGCGTCATATCATCGAATCGGAGTCGGAGTGGCTCAGTAAGCTGGTCCAGCCAAATCCCAAGTATTTCGGAGCCAGCAACTTCGCCGTCGTTGCATCCATCCACAGCACAGAGTCTGGACTCTCGCCGTCCTGGTTCGAAATCTCAATCAAATAAACAGAACGCACCCCCAAGCAATCGGAGGAGTCGGTTTATGGCTGTTACTCGACAGGAAGAATATCTACTTGAGCTTATCCGGCGAAACAAAGGTAGTATTCCAACCAATCTCTTCACGGAAGCGGAGTTGAGCGGCCCTGAGCCAGAGGGAAAGGTTCACCATGCACATCGGCCGACTTCTGCATACAACTCCGACGTCTCTTTTTTGAAACTCAGCCCAGGGATTCCACCTCGTGGAAAGCCACGATTCCATGCCGATACGAGCACGCTCTCAGATGGAGGCTCGCTGGCGGTGTCTGATCCTGGTGATGCGCTAACGGAGCACTCCGGAGCCTCCCCTCGAACCAGCCTAGTCCATTCCGATACATTTTCCTCCCCGTCTACCGGGTTAGGGTCACCCCTTACGCCAACTTTGCCCACTATTCAACGCCTCCCGTCACGTAAATCTCATCGCTCACAATTTCCGACAGCAATCCAGGAGGAACGACGCCATTCTAGGACCCGTACGGATAGCAGCAGCGCCATAGTGTTTGACGGTGATGAGAACGGCGGGAACGATACAGAACAAAGTGTAGATCTACCTATCTGGGCCCTTGGCTGGAGTAACAATGAGCCTTCTAATGTCGCAGTGGTCCACTGATTCCATTTGTGGTCCACTGATTCCATTTGTCGTCGATAGGGATGGTATTTGCTGGCAATGCGTCCCTACTTCCGCCACACATTGCCCTTCGTTGAATTATAACATTACGACTTTCCATTCTCCTATTAAATAGCTACATACATATTCATTACTCCATTTCTGAATTCGAGAACAGCTTATAGCTATCCCCTTAGCATAACTTAATGGTTATTGTTCGCAATTTTTCCCTCTGCCCAGATCAAATGACTTGTGAATAGTTTAGTTAAAATTCCTTGCATGTTTCGATTTGGGATTTTTTCTCCTTTTTTTGAACCCATGATACTTGGACATTATGTTGGAAGTGTTTCAGCATTGTTTACTAGGATTTGCATGAATAGCATAGACTGTACTCTGTAAGAGCGATTGTTTCTACAGAGTAGATTGAATCATCATCACATTGTGATTTTGACGGGAGTGTGAGATCCCTCAGCCAACAACCCCTGAAGGGGAATGTCTCCCCCGATTGTGATCGAGCGAGCCACAGGTCCAACATTCCTCCGTATCCCGGGACTGCAGGGAACATTCGCCGATCACCCAGAACTAGTAAAGCTGCCTGACAAACAAGCATTTTTCACAGGCCAAGCAAGGGGCTGGGAAGCTCGTGAATGCTGTCAAATTGCTTGATGACCTATTCATAGCACTTAGCTTGAAGAGGTTAAAGCTCAGAACTCTCTTGGGCCCAGCGAAAAAGAAAATATCCTCCCAGCTGAACCAACACAGGAGCAAAGAAGAGATTTTTTTTTTTTGTTATTGAAATCGTGTGACATTTTTAGGATTTCTTGTTTTTGTCTTGCTTTTTTGATCGTTTTGTGTTTCTTCAGCTTTCCTGCCTTTGCCTTGTGTCCTTGTTTCTGAATTTTGAGGTTCATTTCTCCCAACAAGGGGATTCGTCAAGCCCCGATTTTGCGGGGGCCTGAGGACTATTGGTGTCTGGTACGGAGTACAACTGCTGTACAACAACCTTAAATGAAGCACAGCTGATGGAAGCACCTGTAGGGCCTATATTTTGGGTCATCATCAGATATCACGCACACCAGGGAAATATCAGTTTGTAGTAGGAGAGTGGGGGGGTTGTGTGCCTGAGCCCATCGTGAGCTTGTTCACCATGGGCAGGGATGTACAGAAGCAGTCTTCGTGGATGGGGGTACGGGGAAGATATGTCTTTCTGGTTCTGGTATGAGAAAGCTGCCTCGCTCCCAGTGGTTGATGAATTTGCTAATTAAGCTTGAAATGCTTTGCAGTTGACGATTCAATGTTCTTCTTCGATTTTGGTAAGAGAAACCTTTCATATCCTATTTACGATGGTATCACGACTGCAGCGCCCAATGGCTTTGCAAAGCACGGGTATCGAAAAGGATGTGAACATTGCTGACATGGAAAATTGGGAATGAACTAGTTGCTTCATTATTCTAGAGTTATGCCCGTTGTGGGCGACCAGAGATATATTACTTCTACCGCGGTTTTCCTGAACGAGGTTATCAAGCTCGCGATATGTCTGACGATCGCTCTATACGAAGTATCTAAATCCGCTCCTCCTTCTATGCCTGCGACCTCCTTGTTCGGATCGTTGGCTGCCGCAATCTTTACCGGTGACAGTTGGAAGCTTGCTGTTCCCGCGGCGCTCTACACGATCTCGAATTCCTTGCAGTACATCGCTTTGTCGAACGTGGAGGCCGTGCAGTTTCAGGTTACATACCAGCTCAAGCTCATTGCCACCGCTGTATTCGGGGCGATGGTCATGCGAAAGTCTCTGCCGTATGCGAAGTGGATGATATTGTTGCTTCTGGTTGCGGGCGTCGCGTTGGTACAGATCCCTCCGGTAGACCCGCATGAACTCGATCGTCGGACACATGTATACCTTCCCAGACGGCTCTCGGATTTGCAGCAATTTGGAGTCGCTGCAGGCCCGGTCTTGCGAAAGCGATCTGCTACCTATGAAGGTATCCAGGACGATATGATTCAAGGACATCCGGTGTTTAATGCTAGGACGGGTCTCCTCACGACCCTGGGTGCATGCTTTGCTTCCGGGCTCGCAGGGCTATCCTTTGAGAAGGTCCTGAGGGATAGCACTCAGTCTACTTCCGTTTGGATTCGAAACGTACAGTTAGCCATATATTCGATTTTCCCGGCTTTGTTTATTGGCGTTATATTTCTTGACGGTGAACGAGTTGCTAAGCGAGGATTTTTCCACGGATATAACTGGACTGTATGGAGCGTCATCGCTGGTCAAGCGGTTGGTGGTATTGCGGCCTCATTCTGCATCAGCTATTCCGAATTGGGTTTGCTGCAAGCCGCCAGTGCAATGAGCATTGTTCTTAGCTCGCTGGCGAGCCCCTTTTTCTTCGACATTCAAGTTTCTGCCTACGTAAGTTCCATGGTTCTCTTCTATTGAAATTTACGCCCGATCTTATACTTCGCTGCAGTTCATTCTTGGGACATTGATTGTTCTAGTCGCATGTTTCGTTTACATACCCAGTCCGCTCAATGCCAAATCGGATCTACGCCCGCGTCTTCCTCCGATCCGAATTGAAAAGGCGAAATCATCCCCTGACACCGATGGGTCGGGACAGGAGCTGGCTGTTCCGCCAAACGACTTTTCTATCAAATTGCCGACCACACCCCTGATTTCAGAGGCGTCGGCTCTTACTACTTCACGTCCTGGTTCACCTTCTCCTGCGAGGCACCATGCTAGAGCCCATTCTTCTCGTGGTTATTTCGGAAGACAGCACCATGAAAACTAATCTTTCGAGGGATGTCGCTGGCTAGAGATCAGATAACAACATCATGCGCTCATGCCACATGCACCTGTGTTTGAAGAACAAACTGCAGCACAACTAATTGACTGGACAGATTATTTTTTATTCCAGTGGGACAGGAAGCGGGAGTCTTGGTTTCCGCGATGAATTCTCCTGCGATCTTCTGACGAATATAAAAAAAGTGTACAATTTTTATGACAGACGCGGGGATTTCTTTTCCCTTTTCTTCCTCCCTTTTTCTATCTTTATTTTCTGCATCAAACTCTCGGGGACCATCGGTTTGGATCCTTGTTTTATTTTCTTTTTATTGTCTTAAGAGGTTCTTTCGGGACATTTATGTAGGAAGATGGTTGGTGGTCTTTCGAAACCGGTATTTAAACGCAGAATTGATTTCCATGAGCAGGTAAAATTGCTTTCCGATTTATCTAATATCAGACGAAGAATATTACTCTTGTTGCAGTTCGTCATGTGTTTTTATCTTTTTCTTTATTCCTCTTTTCATTCGCTACTTTTGGCCGAAAAGGGGGGAGTTGCCTGATCGGGAATGCTAGCTGCCCGATATCACGTGTGGGCGGGTTTTTTTACGCCGTCCTCGACAACGTTTCCCGTCTCCTGCGGAATAGACGACGCCCTTCCAACAGAACAGGCCCCGGAATCTCTTCATCCTCGCCCTGGTGGGGTACTCTGCTGAAAAGGGTGCTACTACAACGTTGTAGCTCTGCTACGCGATTGTGGTGCAATCTCCGGGATACCGAAGCCGTGAACCGGCTCTACCTTCAGGGATAGCCCGTAAACTCGCTGAGGTCGTCATGGATGACGGGGCTGGCAAGAATGCGCGACAACTTCTCAACACCTTCAGGTATCCTTCCGCCAACCGGTCTAAAATATCCTATGGTAGCCAGACAAGATTCAGTTCACAAATGATGCCATCTTCTCGGCCGTCATGGCCGTCGCGGATGGAAGGGCTGGTCGACTCCGACCGTGGCGTGGCTCAATTGCCATCGGAGCACAATGATCTACCCCTTGACGCTTTTGGTAGGTTATGCAGTTAAGAGGTTCATCTGTTTATGGCTAATCGAGCTTGAAAAGACCGGGAATTGCTTGCCGAATTAGAACATGAGCAACAGATACCTCCTCACACTGGGAAGCAAGTGTGTACCCTTGGAGCGCGGGCTTATACACCGGGGCCGAAGCCTTCTAAACTCTTTTGCAATTGTAAGAATTCCGTTTGCCGGTAGACCCCATTTAATGCTATTCACTAATTATTACATCATGTAGCAGCCAAAACTCCTAGTGGTCCATCTCGCGCAATAGCTTCTAGCCCTCCGGAGTTGGAGCCTCTTGACAGCCCTCTCAAAAGCGTTCACGGTGGGAATAGACCAGCGTCCATTGCTCGAGCTAACCATCAGGAGAATATTCGCTTTCATTGGCCATTGCCCATGACACTCTCCTCTCCCCGTACTCCATGTCCCTCTGGCACCGTGGCTCCCAACAACGAGCCTTGTGAGATACAGCTGAAGCATGCACCGCCAATTATACAAGGAATTCAACTAGTACCTACCCACGAGTTACCTGACCGGCTCCGGTCCATTTTTCCATTTTCTGTTTTCAACGCTATCCAGTCCAAGTGTTTCCGCCCGATTTATCTCAAAGACGACAATTTCGCCATTTCGGCGCCTACCGGAAGCGGAAAGACTGTGGTTATGGAACTGGCAATTTGCAGACTCATATCGAAGATTAAGGATAATAGGTTTAAGGTAGTGTATCAAGCACCTACCAAATCTCTCTGCTCTGAGCGATTTCGTGACTGGTGTGCGAAATTTGCCGCTTTTGATCTCCAATGCGCTGAGCTCACAGGAGATACGGAGCAGTCTCAGCTCCGAAACGTTCAAAATGCGAGTATCATTATCACCACCCCAGAAAAGTGGGACAGTATGACGAGAAAATGGAAGGACCATATGCGGTTAATGCAACTCATCAAGTTATTTCTGATCGACGAGGTTCACATACTAAAGGAGACTCGTGGCGCGACTTTGGAAGTCGTAGTATCGAGAATGAAATCAGCGAACTCGAGTGTTAGATTTATCGCTTTGAGTGCTACAGTGCCTAACTCCGAGGATATTGCAACATGGCTAGGGAGAGATCCTACTAATCAACATTTACCGGCTCACCACGAACGATTTGGGGAGGAGTTTCGTCCTGTCAAGCTCCAGAAGTTCGTTTACGGATATCAGTCTAATGGGAACGATTTTGTGTTTGAAAAAGTCTGTGATTCAAAGTAAGTCATTCAATCAAGAGTATTCCAAGAAAATATTATAGTTTTCTAGATTTACTTTAAAACAAGCCTGAACGAGGTGACTAGATGCTGATCCTTCGTAGGCTTCCTGAAGTTATCTCGAAACACTCACGAAGAAAACCTATAATGATTTTCTGTTGTACTCGTCATTCTGCGATTTCAACCTCAAAGAATTTGGCAAAATTGTGGACGGCGACAAATGCTCCTGGTCGCCTGTGGAATAGCCCAAAGAAGCCAATTATAGTCCAGAATCAAGACTTGAAAGGTAAATTAGCTCTTGTAGCATCATATAAGCGGTTTGTTAACGAGGTCAATAGCAACTGTCTCAACAGGGGTGGCCTTTCACCATGCTGGTTTAGATACCAGTGACAGACACGCTGTCGAAATGGCATATCTCCAGGGGCATATAAGTGTAATTTGTTGCACTTCTACCCTAGCTGTTGGAATTAATCTTCCTTGTCATTTAGTGATTATAAAAAACACTGTTTCATGGCAGGACCATCATCGCAGAGAATATACAGATCTAGAGACGATGCAAATGCTCGGTCGAGCAGGGCGCCCTCAATTTGATAATAGCGCCACCGCTGTGATCTTGACCAAAAAGGAGAGGGTAGACCATTATCAGAAACTGGTGACAGGATCGGAACCGTTAGAAAGTTGCCTACATTTCAATTTGATAGACCATTTGAACGCCGAAGTTGGCCTGGGCACCGTGACAGATATCGAATCCGCCACTATGTGGCTCGCCGGAACTTTCTTTTTCACTCGCCTGCAAAAGAATCCAACATACTATAATTTGAAAGAAGGATGCGATAGGGCAGACGAAGAGGAGATGATGAGACAAATATGCGAAAAGGACATCAAGCTTCTGCAAGAATGCTCGCTCATCACGGAACGAGTTCCATTGAAATCTACCGAGTTCGGCGATGTGATGGCTCGTTATTATGTAAAATTTGAGACGATGAAAGCCTTTATAGCGCTACCGCCAAAAGCTAAGATGTCAGAGATTGTAAGTGGTCCATATAAAATGAGCGTTCCGGACTGACACGTAGTAGCTATCTGCCATCGCCCAAGCAGATGAATTTCGGGAAATCAGGCTCAAAGCCGGCGAAAGGTCCTTATACAAAGAAATAAACAAGTCCGATGGGATAAAATTCCCAATAAAGGTCGATATCGGACTCACCTCTCAGAAAATTTCCCTGCTTATACAGTCAGAACTGGGTAGTGTTGAGGTTCCAGCCGCGGAGCAGTACCAGAAACATCGATTCACGTTTCAACAAGACAAGAGCCTGGTATTTGCCCATGTTAATCGGCTGATTAGATGCATTATTGATTGTCAGATATCCCGTGGAGATTCGATAAGCGCCAGGCACGCTCTTGAGCTTGGTCGAAGCCTTGGAGCAAGGGTTTGGGATACTTCACCGCTGCAGATGAAACAGATAGATCAAATTGGTGTTGCTGCTGTGAGGAGACTCGCATTAGCCGGCATTAATAGCATAGAGGCTTTGGAGGCCGCTGACGCCCATCGAATTGATGCCATCCTAAGTAAGAACCCTCCATTTGGTATGAAGCTTCTAGGGCGGCTCGAAGTTTTCCCTAAGCCTAGGGTCTCTCTAAAGATGATTGGAAAGGTAAGAGCCAGCAATAGGTCTTGACGGCTTGCGCATATTTGCTAAAATTTTCACTGTAGGAAACAAACCCCGGAAAATGGCCTATAGTCACATTCAAGGCAGATATCGGTTTTATAAATGAGAGAATTCCAAGCTCATTTAACAAGAAGCCAGTTTATGTCTGTTTCCTAGCGGAGACATCTGACGGTAGAATCATCGATTTTCGGCGGATAAGGTATGAGAAATATCAACGTTATCCGATTTTCAGGAACTGACCAAGTGTAGCGCCAGCAGGCTACACAGCGGTCAAGATATTATGCTGAAGGCGGAGCTCACTCATTCATACCAGCACATCACATGCTATGTAATGTGCGATGAGATAGGTAAGCGTATAGAACTTATGGCCAATGTACTGCTTGTTCTAACTCTGGCTGGGCAGCTGGGACGTTGCGGCAGGCAGAATTAAAGCCAAATTTCCCAGAATCTTACTTTTCAGGAGCCAAAGTTTCACGCGCCGTTACTACTCATTGGCCTGAAAAAAGTGTGGCCCGAAGTCCCATTGGAAACGCCACACTCACCGGCAAACGTCCCGATGAGTTCTCTAATGATGGTCTCGATGATAACGACTTAATTGCTGCCGGTAAGCCCGTTGAAGAAATCCATTCATGTTTTAGAATTCTTATTGGCGAACAGTGGACAGCTTGAATGTACGGAATAAGGACGTATGGGCCAAGCAGTCGAATGATTCTACGAACGTTTTGAAGAATTTGAGCCAGCTAAATGCTCAAGACAAATCCGAGGCTCCTATTCAGCTTAGTAACGGAAAATGGGCCTGTAGCCACCGGTGTAAAGACAAGACTGCGTATAAAATTTCTTTTGATATACTTATGAAATAAAAACTGATAGTTATACAGATGTAAACATTTGTGTTGTCGAGAAGGCATCGATCGGCCGCCAAAGATTTCCCAGAAGCCTGGAGGCGAAGAACCGATAGGAAGCGTCGAAAAGGCCCATGGAGAGCCTGCGAATATCCAGGTATCATCAAGCTCGAATTTTAGTCAGATATCCGTACCAAATAACAACAGATATAATCACAGTGATACTGATGTGATTGACCTTACGGGCCCGAGTAACGTCGTGAAGTCCGCGCTGCGATATAAATACGTGAAGAAGAGGAATGAAAAGGAATTCGACTTTCAGAAGCCGTCTATAGCAGTAGAACAGCATGCATCCAAGTCAAATACGGTCAAAGCGGATAATGTAAAGAATCTTAGTGGCACCTCCTTTCTCGGTTCCGGTTGGGAGAATGGGTTAAACGGTGATGCTGACAGCTCTAGCGACTTTGGAAGCGTTGACATAGACGACCTGTTCCCTCTTTACAATGAGGTCAATTCTGAACAGAATACAGATGACCCCAAGTCCACCGTATGTCGCAGTCCGGTAAACAATTTCGACTATGACGATTACTTCGACGTAGATGTTGACAATACTTTTGAAGCACATCAATCACCTGAAAATGAGGTTACAGAATATGACCAATATATCTTGTCTCCAGACAAGCCTATCCCGGAGGTCTTTAGTGCAGTTGAAGAAAGCCCTGCAAACTCAATATTTTTAAAATTCGAAAGCACGGTCTCACAACAAGCTTCACCTTTGAAATCCACTCTGAATCCAACTATCTTTTCTCCTACTGGCGTTGACTCCCTGCTCAACCCGAGCGTCAGTAGTGATTCTCTGTTTTTCCATACTCCTAGCCGCTCCGGGACAAAAAGGAGCCGTGACGATGGAGATAAAGGAGAGCACGAGCTTATAGAATCCGATTCGAAGCGAGTACGGGTGGACGCAAGCGGCAATTCAAACACGGGCGAAGCTCTCGATGGATGGGAAGAGGTTGATTTAGAGTTGCTTGAAGAATTCAAGGATATTGTGGATTTCGTTTGATTTGAAATTGCCATGTCTCCCGTTTACCTTTGCCCAAGTCCGGAAACATTGCTATGATTGCAGAATAAGATGTGTATCTATGGGATTCAACAGATGCAAGGAGAGATATGAACTTAAATATAAAATGCATTAGCTCTACTTTACATCAACAAGCAACGCCCCCTTCCAGCGGAATATAATCAAAACTGGCAATTTCCCCTTAACATCATTTGACTTGGAGAGATCTGCTGCAAACACAGCGTAAAGGGGTGGAAGACAGAACAATCATGAGCACGTGAGTACTCACGCTAAATTGCCCGGCAACAAAGACAGAAAATGTGTAGTTAAATGTTCAGTTATATACAACATACAACACACAAGAGTTGCACCGCAACTAAGTGAGTCTCCCTGCTTTTCTGTCTCAGTAATCAGCGTCACGAACAGGCAGGTATTCCAGAACTCCATTCCGGAAAAAGAAAAAATATCTTTCTGTTATCCAGTCAAACCTATATGTGTCAGCACCTGGGCAGACATTGAAAGCTTGAGGCTTTATCGCATTTAATCAGACTCAATATTTGGGAATCGTCTCACTGTGGGTGACTGATGGGATCCTGGACTAATTGAACATATCAAGGACAAGCTGCACCATCAAAAAGTACATCTCATGTTAGTGATACTTTTCTTTAATCAGCTTCTATAATGCTGCCCTGCGCAAACTAGAGTTGGATCTTTTCAAATGCGCACTTTAGAAAACGAATGCTGATACTTCTAGATTCAAGCCATCAACATTGAGAAAATCCAAATTCAAAATGGTTAGGCTGAGCTATGCAGGAGTAAGTGGCCAGAATAGACAAGGGATATTTGTTGCTCAAGACATCCCTAACATATTTTGCACATAGCGCAAGGTTCAGGGGCTGAAATTGGGCCAGGCCGTTGCAAGAGATTTGGTGAGTTCTCTTTAAAGTACGTAGAATGGGTTCCAAGCAGTAGTTAATTTATCGATAGAGAAAGCGAATCCCGCCGGGCAGTGGTGCCCGGGCTGCAGCAAGGGATCCTACCATCGAATTGGACCTAACCGGAAAACTTCTGACCGACGACGGTCTTAAAGAAATCATTGACGCTCTTGTTAGCTGCATTAAGTTCCAGGATGAGAACTATCCAAATGGGGTTATTAAGCTAACAGAACTATCCCTTAAGGGGAATGCTCTCACAACGACAGCCATTGCAAGATTGGCTAAAGTTGTGGAACTAAGCAAGTCCAGTTTGGTGAAGCTCGATATCTCTGATAATGGAATTAGCATTATCAGCAAGACACAAAGAAGCAACTGGCGGATTTTTTTGAAATCGTTCGAGGAATGCTACATGCTAAAGAGCATCGATTTCAGCGGAAACAAATTGGGCAGCGCGGGTTTTGATGGTATATCCGAGGTCTTCCTCAAAAGCGAACTGTATTTCATTGTGCCGAGTCCAGCTAGAATCCCTGATGAGAATGGGAAGTTGCACAGCGTCGGGGATAAGTTGAAGTCGATATCATTGAATACGAACGGGAACGATACTCTGCGCTTGCCAGCAGCAGGCGAAGCAAACTGTCGACGTGGAGGTATGTCGCATTATATTCGGACTATGTCTTTGAAGACCCGCTAACCTCCGGAGTAAAAGCCGCGGAACCAAAGAATGACGAATTATACGCAAGTACGAGAGGCCTTCGATCGGTGCCATATTTGAACTTCGCGGGGTCTGGAAATACCACTGCATGTGCTTTTCACCTGTGGGGAATGTCTATGGTTCATCTTGGACCTGAAGAGCTGCTTGAGTTTTTGCCGACAGGCAGATCCATGGTACCCCCGGGGGCTGTCCAACATGGTAGTGGTATAGTGTACGTGCCGAATGAATTTGGGCCACTCGGGCGCAGCTTACTAGCCACGGGAGAGCAATTTGTTCGAGAACTCTCTAGAGTGGATGACGATATTGATTCTATGACCCTTGGAGAAGACTTGGATAGAGACGAGGTCGTCAAGGCTCGGCACACCTGCAAAAGAACTCAAGAGGAAATGGAACGTATCAAATATCGGGCAATTCTCGATGTCCTCACAACGGAGGGCGTACAAAGTGTGGAGCTGTGGAATGTTGCGTTCAAAACGATGATCGTTGCTCGGGCTCTCCTTCTAGACGACGGAGATAAACAGGGGTTGACCAAGGAAAGTAATGTAACGGACAAGATGGATAAACCGGGCCATAACGATGACTCCCGTGGCAGTCCCGAACAAGCTCTAGGCCGTTGTTACCCTCAATCAAACTCACCATGGACCGACTTTGCACAGGAATTTCCTTCCCTGCCTACATCCCCCCGGAAACGAAACGATGGGCCGGTCAAGAATGGGATAACGTCCCAGTCAACTTCCAAAAAAGATAACCGCGGATTCAAGGCGGGATCGGGACATTTGAGGTCGCGAGCCTGCCCTTGTGCGGAGATGTTGGAAATGTCGCCACAAGCCATTTCGAGACCGGCACCTGGAGCAGTATTTAAGCAGGTCGGTCGTTTCGGATTGCCAATGCGTCTATGGACAAGAATAATCGTGGAGGCAATGGACGAAAATGAAGTCTTAAACCCCCAGCAACAAATGCGCATCATTAGGTACGCGTGTGATTGGAATTCGGTCACACAAGAGCTTAAGATCAAGGGAGGAACGGAGGCCGAGCAAATCCGAAAGATCCTTAACTCGATGGATTGTCTTAGTTATTCGAAATTTGATTAAATCCTGGAAAAATAAAATGATATTAAAGGGCGCTGCTTATGAGTTCTTAAGGGTGTAAGTAGTTTAGCACAAGGCTTGAGCTTTAAACACAGACAGAAAATGTAAGAGCTCTTAGGGTGCTCTATGACGCTGACAGCATACTCTTGCGCCACTCTGACTGACGGTGTCGCATTTTGCTTTGTGCCTTGTTCCGTGCCTTGAGGACTCCCAAGCAGGTTTGCTCTCCAGCTGGGCTGAAGTTGAGTTTTCCGCTTTTGGAATCTCTGATTACCACGTGACTATATTCTTATCTGATCATCTTATCTTATCTCAATCTGCCGCCGCAGGCCGCCGCCGCGCCGTCCACGAACGATGCCTTTTACTGACGACTTTACACATTCTGCTGCGTTGCGCCTCCGTGATATTTTCAGCATGTTTAAAAATAGAAGTGAGGACCCTGGAAAAACCGTACCACGACGGTTGGCGCTGCATGAGGATAACGCCTCCCCTTCGACATTCAACGATGGGCTCCCTCTGCCAAAACTGTTCGTCTTCGACCTCGACTATACATTATGGCCATTCTGGGTTGATACGCATGTCACTCCTCCAGTGAAGGCACGAGACAACAACTCGCGCTGTGTAGACAGGTAATTCTCTCCTCAACACTTCGGGTCGAGCTAACATTTTTTGTGTCACAGATGGGGTGAATCTTTTGCTTTTTATCCGGCGGTTTCAGGGATTATTCACTCTCTACGATCCCGTTCCATACCCATCGGAGTGGCCTCCCGAACGCATGCCCCCGACCTGGCCCGTGACATGCTCAAAGCTCTCCATATCATCCCATCGTTCTCCGACAACCCTGCGACTGTCAACACTCGCTCCATCCGCGCTCTGGATTATTTTGACTTCCTTCAGATTTTTCCAGGCTCAAAAACTCAACACTTCACGCGGATTCAGCAGGCTAGTGGGTTGAAATATGAAGATATGCTTTTTTTCGATGATGAGGCCCGGAACAGCAATGTTCAAACAGAATTGGGTGTGACGTTTTGTTTGGTTAGAGATGGCATGACCAAAGAGGAAGTTGATAGAGGTGTCTGGGAATGGAGACGAAGAGCTGGTATAACTCCCGGAAACCAGACAGATGGCATGCAGCCGCAGAATTAGACTGAGATTGCGATTTCGGCTTCCTTTTCACCCTTAAAATGAGGGATGGATTGGAGTATGTTCTTAGATAATGACAGGATACCCCACGATAGATGAATTTTATTCGCATTTGTATGGCTTCAGAGGATGCATCACCAGTATTCGGCATCAAGTCTACATTTGATACCGAATGGCTTGAATTTAACTATGGAGTCCGGAGTGACAACGTGTCTCGTCGCTGGTACCCTGAAAGCAAACACTGCAAAACCACGCCGCCAATCTAGTTAATTATTTAGCTCCCCTGTTCAATCAAGTTTGAGGGCCGAACCTTAATAGTCTCGAGCTTGATGCATATCATTATTCAGGGTAGCGTCAAACTTTGAGTTGCGAATTACATCGAACTGATCGAGATCATGTCCGCCAGCCAAAGGCCGCCTCTGCGTCCCTCTTCCACGTCTGCTGCGAGAACGGGGACGTCAGCAACGTCGTCGATCCCCAGGCCTCCGCTGTCTGTTCACCCAAATGCTACGATCTCAGAAACGGTTTACTTTCAAGGCAAACACCCGATTAGTATTGGTGCCGGAACTGTTATCCATCCCCGAGCAAGGCTGCTGTCTTTTGAGGGTCCAATAAGTGTTGGAGAGGGGTGCATAATTGGCGAGAAATCAGTCGTTGGGAATCCTCAAGCTCCCCAATTTGCATCGGAACACAGTTCAGGGTCTGCCACATCTCCAACACCAGCAGTTACAATTATCGAGAACTCGGTTCTTATAGCACCTCTCTCTACCGTGTCTTCAGGTTCACATATACACTCCGCTGCCACGATTGACGCGTCTGCTTTTCTGGGAAGGCATGTGCGAATTGGGAGACACGCAAAGGTGTGCTCGCTTTGCCAGATACCGGATAATGGGGTTGTAGAAGACTGGATTGTAGCTTGGGGAGGAGGAGCAGGAGGGATGGGGTTACAAAGGCGCAAAAGAGCGAATGGAAGAGGGAATGAGAACAATACGCCAGGCTTAAACGGTCGATCTGTCGAAACTGCAAGGCTGGTTGTACTGAGCAAAGAGAGGGAGACTCTGTCCAAACTAATTGGAGTTGGAGCCGCTGCTGCATCAAGGAGAAGATGAAGCGTTGAATCGCATCTGGTGATGCGCATCCCGCGCTCGTTGGAACTACGCAATGCGCTCTCGTTTAATGATACCCTAGACCAAGCTTTTTAGCACGTTATAATATCCTACCCAGCAATCCAAACCAACGCTGGTCTCGTGCTATTCGTCGCTATGTTATCTTATGTGGCATCTTTTAATTCAGAAAGGATGGCGTCGGCCTCGAGCTAGAGTCGGTTCAACGCCTCGAGGGACCAACGAAAATGTCAATGGTGAAACCCACATGAGGCACTTAGATGCTATCCCCTCTTTAGTAGTGAGTTCTCGTACGTAGAACATAGCCAGAGAATTTTTAGTTCTCGTGGTTGGCTTAAGTTCTACTTGAGATATCGCTCCCATCGTTGGTGAAAAGACAGTGCTTGGAGTCCGTTGTGCATTGAAGAAGCCTTTAGTCTGTTATACCAAATGCCAGAACGGAAGTCAAGACGCTAATTACTTTCATATTTGCCAAAATTATATGTTCCTTCTGCTATCTCCCTTATGTCAGAAATGACATACACCTATTCAACAAGACCGACTCATATACAACGCAATCTCGCCTTTAGATGACGTACCCTCGTACAATGTCAAGTCAAGCCCACAGAACCTAAACCCCATCTTCCGGTATGCCTCTATCGCGGGAGCGTTGAGATTCGACACTTCCAACCAGGCATGTTTTGCACCATGGATTTCCCGACCCCACGTTAAAGCCATATCCATCAACTTCTTCCCCACTCCCATTCGGCGATACTCTGGCACCACGGTGATATTCATGATGACCAATCGACTATTCCACGATCGATATAGCACGTCAATGGCGCCACAGATCTGACCGTCATCCGCGGTGGCCACGATAGCATGTGATTTGGATGGGTCTGATTCCGTAGTCCGACGGGAGCCATAGTTGCTCTCACTATCGCTATCACTATCTGGGTAGTGTTTATTGATCAGAGTTTCAGTTGTTTGACGGCGAATGTTGAACCCAAGCCCTTCGGCGGCCAATCCAACCTCGTAGATCTCCGTGATCGTAAATGGGTCGTCTAGGGAATCAATAGCGTCTCTTTCCTCGGCTTTCATTTCACGGTAGCTCACGATAGGACCGGTAGGTTCGATAGGATTTTCAGATGCCGCCATTGCAATGACAGATATCTGCAATAGACGTATGTTCTTGTTGGAATCACAGTAAGACCTTGGTTACCCGCAAATGGCAATATCGTACTTTTCTCCCGTTATAATTCATCTAATCCAGCCGGGTCACCATATATAACTGACGAAGTGACAAGGATTGTGAACGTGTCTTTAACGGCTTTCTGATGAGGCCTGGAGAGTTTATGCTACCTATGCCACGACTTGGAATTGCAAATGCGATTGTGGCGACTGGTAGGTTGAAAATCCTATGGAGATGTGCTCGTATGATAAGAGTTAAGTCGATGGAGGAGAGGTGCTTTGGCCAAACTTTGCAGGGGCACGATAAAAGTCACCAAAATAAAGACATCACCCAGTTTATCCGGAATCAAGCAAAAATATGAACACGCATTCAATAGGTGCGTAGGTAGTTTAAGGGAAAAGGGCTAATACTTTTGTATTGCCTTAAACCAGCAGAGCCAGCAAACATCCAGATTCCATTATAACAGCTCCCAAGATAGTAGCTCACAAAATGCTGAAAGAAAAAAGAAAAAAAAGGTTCTCGGACCAAGTCCAATTCTGAAATAGCAATGGCTCCCACCAATAAAATAAACGTCAAAAGAAAAGCTTGCTTGCTCTCTTTGTATACAAAGGAAGAACGGAAAACCGCAGGCAAGGAATAATTATGCAATGTCTGACTTCACAAAACTCGAAGATTGGTTACAAAGAACAATGATTTTATTGTCCAGCACCCCCGCCTCGCATTCTCTTTCCAGCGTTTGCGTCAGCATCGCCTCCATCGTCTCTAGCGCGTTTCCCGTGTGGTATAAACTGCCGGGCTTGGGCATTGAGTCCACCTCTTCCACCGCGAGGACTAGCTTGTCCTGCACCTTGGGGGAGGTTGCCAGTCTGAATGTGTTGAGCACCACCACGACCTTGGCCACCACCCCTCATTCCTCTGCCACGACTAATGGCAGAACCACGGCCCGCGTGCTGCTGCTGAAATTGCTGGCCCTGCATTTGCTGATCAGAAACAAATTGACCATGTTGTGGGCCACCCTGCATTCCCCGACCACGGCCTCCCCTAGCAACGGGAAGGCCGGACTGCAAAGCACGAAGCACACCAGCGCCAGCGACAGCTTGAGCGGCCTGAGGAGGGCGATTAGGTAGTCCAGTAGCCTGCTGGGTCGGTGCCTGGTCAGCAGTAGCAGCTGTTGCTGCTGGTTGTGGTTGTTGCAGCAGCTGCTGTTCAGGTTGGTGCGTTGTCGATTCAGCTGCAGATGGTGGATGCTCTGCAGGCTGTTGCGGAGTTGGCATCAGTGTCTGAGTAGGTGTCACTTTCTGCTGGGAAGGGGTTGCGGGGGCTGTTGGGGCGGGGGATTGAGCTGGAGCCGAAGCTTGGGGAGCAGGAGATGCCGGTGGTAGCGGCTTTGGTGCTGCTTGTTGTGCAACGACAGGCTTGGCTGCTTTAGCAATTTCCCACACTTCGGCTACAGGACGTTGAGGAGTGTCTGAGGCGGCCTTTTGCACGACCTCGATTTTGGCTTGAGCATTTCTAGCCCGTCCCTCAGTCATGCTGACCTTAGCCAGCAGTCTCTTCTCCGCCAGCTCAACGGCGGAGCTGATTTTCTGGTCCCGCTCCTTCAGAATATTCTCTTTCTCCTCGTTGAACTTCTTTTCCAGTTCCTTCATTGCCTCCATGTCCCGCTGAGCTTGTCCTTCCTTGTTGCCCATCGCTTCTTTCTCTTTGTTGATTGCGTTTCGAATATTGTTTTTGATAATATTCCGGATAGTCTCATTCTTAGCAACTAGTTCACGAGCTGCTGCGTCAGACAGCACTGGAATCCCCTCAGCCTTTGAAGCTAGCTCTTGTTGATGGGCTGCTTTCAAAGCTTCTACTTCTTTTTGTGAAGATGCTCTATGTTCGGCCAACTTGCTCTGCAAAATTTCTTTCATCCTATCCACCCGCTCTTTAACCTTCTGATCTATCTCCGCTTCTTTCGCAGCCAAGGCGGCTTCCAATTGTCTGACCCTTTCTTCCAGTTCCTTGATTTTCTCCTCACTAGCATTAACGTCACCAGAGTTGGCCGCTTCTGGAGAAGAAGCATTCGGCGGTTGTGACTCTATAGTATCTTGGGTCACAGGTGCAGCGGCAACAGTTTCTGGAGGCCTGGATTTCATCAAATTTAGTTCCTCTCGAGCCCGGTCTAGCTCCTGGTTGATTTGCTCTTTCTCTTGGATAACACTGTTGAGTTCAAGCTGTTTAGCATTGATGCGGCCCGTGAGTTCCTTCGACCTAGCCTTGAATTGTTCCGTTAATCTAGTACGCAGCTCTTGGGTGCGATCCTCTGCCTGCTTCAGTTGTTCGGGGAAGGTCGATGCCTGTGCTTCTAGAGTCTCCCGAGCTGACACGGCCTCGTCCCGTTCTTTCTTGAGAGTCTCCAGCTTTTCTTTCATTGCCTCCAGCTCTGCAGGGTCAACACGGTCATATTTCTGGAGGATATTTTGTGTCCGTTGTTGCCAACGGTCCCGGTCACTTTGCAGAAGCTTCATCTCACCATCTTTAGTCTCCAGATTGTCTTCCAGTTCACGGATGCGGGTCTGAAGCGGTTCGATTTGTTGTTGGAGTTCATCAGTAAGTTTGGCTTTTTCGTCTACGGATGCCTCCAACTGCTTGACCTGGTTTCGGAGGGTAACACTGCTTTCCCGGAATAGATTGAGCTCATTGAGCGTCTCCATTAACTTGTTGTGACTAAGGGCATGTTGTTCACTCTCTGCTTCGGCACGACGTTGCTGTTCAAGCTTAAGGCGTGTATCCTCAAGTTGTGTCTGAGTGTAGTCAAGTTGTTGGCGTAGTCGTTTGCTTTCCTGGGTTGAAAGATGATATTGGACATCAACGATCTCCTTCTCCCGCCGTAAGAATTTAATGACTTCTTGAAGGCCTTCTAGATCCGATCCAGATGCTGTTTCAGTTTCACCGTCCTCAGGAATGCCCGCACGATCACGCTGAAGCGAGGAGATCTGCTTCGTGATATTCTCCAATTGACCATGGAGTATCGTGTTTTGGCTAAGAACTTCTTCACGGCGTCGGCTGAGTTCCTCAATTTCCTTTTCATATCTGCCTTTCATCTCATTCCAATTCTCCTCTTCGCGCGTCAAATTGCTTTTCGCTGATTCTGCCTGCGTCTTTAGATCTACAACCTCAAGTTTCAACTGGTTTGCTTCGGCTCTAACTGTCTGGAGATGTTTTGCAGCCTCTGCATGTTTTACCAGCTCATTTTCATAGTTCTGTTGAGCGTTTTGCGCTATTTCTGCTTGCGCTTTCAGGTCTTGTTGATGGAATTGAGCAGCCGCTTCGTACCGTTCCTGTTGCTCCTTGAGTCTTGTAATTTCGGCATCCATAGTTGACTTTTGGTCATCAAGACGCCGCTGGTATTGTGCTTCTTGATCGCGGAGTTTTGAAAGTTCTCCATTACTGGCAGCAAGTTCAGTAGAGAGATCTTCAACTCGTTTCTCCAGCTCTGAAATTGTCGAATTCTTTTCTTCAAGATGTCGATCAGTATCTTCGCGATATTGTTCATTTGTGTCGTTAAGAGCTTGAAGTCTCTCTTCTGTTGCTTGGCTAATAGCTTTATAATCCTCCGCTTGCTCCTGAGCATGTGTCAACTCACTTCGTGCCAACTCGAGGTCGCGTTTAAGCTCCGAGACCTCGACAGCCAATTCTTGTTCCCTACTCAATCCTGTTCCCTCACCCGCTTCAAGTGCCTCTTCGGCGGCAGTCGTGGAAGCTGGGGCAGCCGAAGGCTTACGTTGAAGGACCACCAAACGTTCTTCTGCACTCTTAAGTTCAACGGAGAGTTCGTCGACTCGAGATTGTAAATGATCCTTGCTCGTCTTTGTAGCGACAAGTTCCTCACGGATGGATCCGAGACTTGTGACCAAATCCTCAATTCGTTTCTGGGTCTGTTCCTGATCAAACTCTCTCCGAAGAGCTAGTTTCTTCGCATCCTCTGTCTCGTCGCTCAGTTTTCGCTTTGTTGACTGTAACTCGGACTCCAGCGACTCTATGGTCGATTGAAGGCGGCGACGGGTTTCGGATTCTGTGTGTTCGCGTTCGTTGAGCATGGACTGTAGGTTGGCATTTAAGGTGTCTAGGCGGCTACGTTCGTTTCTGAGAGACTCATTATCCTCCACAAGTCGTTTTTCAATACTCTTCCAAAGCTCCTTTTCAGCTTTAAGATTCGCCGTCTCTCTTCGAAGACTGTCCACAAGGCCTCTGGCTTCGACAAGATCCTCCGCCACCTGCTGGGTGCGCAGATCCTGCTTATTTGCATTCTCCATGAGAATTGAGTGTCGCTTTTGAAGCTCGATGTTCTCGTTTTTCAACATATTAAAATTGGATTGAAGAAGCTCAGCCCGTTGAATAGACGTTGTAAGCTGGCTATTCGAACGGCTAATTTCGCTCTGTAATTCACCGTTCTTCCTCGTCAAATCATTGACTTGTTGTTTTAAGGAGGAATGATCGGTAGCAGTTTCTTGACGGAAAGAATCAAAATGAGCTTGCAGCTTTCGAAGAAGTTCGGCATAATCGGGACCTTCACTTGGCTGAGCTGGAGCACTATCAAGGGAGGGTGGAACCGCACCCAATGGTAGGGATTGAGAGAAGGGAGAAGTTGTCTCGCCGGTCTCCCGCCGCCGCAAAAGCATGCTCCGGAAGGTATCTCGCTCCTTGATGTAACTCTTGGTCTGGGCAACAAGACTCGCCATCTCATCTCGGTAGGTTTGAACTCGAGAGCGCAGTTCTTTAAGCTCATCCTGATCTTTCTGGTAAGACAAATCCCTCTTACGAGCTTCCTCGCCCTCCAGCTTGTCACCAAGTTCTCGCAACATTCTCCGAAGTGTCACGTTTTGGGTTTGAAGTTCATTCAAGTTTTTGAATGTCGTCATGTGGCGGGTAATGAAACGACCGGTGTTATTCATATTATCGGCGGTCTCGTCTATTCCTTCGCTGGCTATCTTCTCCAGCTCGTCTCGATTATAGTCCTTCTCTCCAGAGCCGAGAAGGTGAACCTCCATGACCAGGACTTTCACTTGCGCGCTTAAGTCACGGAGCTGCTGGCGTAAGATGTTTCCTTCACGCTCTAGTCCCTCCACGTGGCCTTGCCATTTCCGTGCTTCTCTGGTAGCTTCTTCCCTTTCCTTGCTAGCGGCATCCAAAAGGCCGGACATTTCAATCACAGAAGCTTCAAGGCGAGAATGGTCCGCACGAAGTTCATCTATTTCTGGCTTGCTCGATTCCAAATCTTGAACCATTTCGTCCATCGCGGTCTTAAGTTCCTGATTATTTTTCTGTTCAGCCGCGAGAAGTGTTCGCATTTTATCGTACTCAGTGTACATTTGAGTAAGTGTAAGACCACCCTTAGTGCGTGCTGACCTTGGTGAAAATGAGCCGACTGGAGTGCTGGGACGAAGAGGAGTGCTAATACCACCATTGAGACCACGCATCGGGGTTGATGGTTGATTCCTGCCCGAAGCCACTTCCGATTCAAGTTGCTTCACCGCTAACTCTAATTCTGCAACACGACGTTCGGCCGCTTCCTTGTCGGAATGTTCAGTCTCAATTTCTGCACGCAGGCGCGACAACTCCTGCGCAGCATCATCTTTGGCTTTTTCAAGGGCGAGCTGGCACTCTTGTACACGCTTTTTTGCAGTTTCAGCGGCATTTTGCTGCAGCTGTGCAAGTCGCCCAGCACTATCAAGCTCGATTCGGAAGGATTCAGTTTGTTTAATCGCCTCTTCTTTTAGGTATTGAACGGATGTAAGGGACTCCTCGTATTTCTGTTCAACTTCATCAAGGCGTTGCTTGAGAGATGTCTCATTTCTCCGCAAAGTATCAATATTGGAGTTGGCCTCCTCGTTTTGGCGCTGCAATTCTGAGATGCGCGCGGCCTTCTCCTTTCTGAATTTAAGGTATTCTGCGGATTTGGTTTGAAGCTCATTCTCAAACCATTCATTGTTCTTCTTCAACAGATCTAGTTCTTGTTGTAAGCTTTGCTCACGGAATCGCGTACTGGCAGAAGCTGAATTAGCTGCCTGAAGTTTCTGTTCAAGATCGGCGACTTCTCGCCTCAGCGTAACTGTTTTCCGATGTTGTGCGGAAAGTTCTTCGGCAAGCTTATCATACGCTGCGGACTTGGATTCTAAGAGACCTAGGGTGTCTCTATTGGATGCTTCGAGAGATGCGATTCGTGTTTTGAGGGAGTTGGACTCGGCTTCATTGTTAGATGCGGAGGACTTGAGGGCCTCGAGCTTTGATTCAAGCTCGGAACGCACATTTTCTGTTTCGCCAGTCAGAATCTGTAGTTTTACGCTCGTTGCGACAGTAAACTCTTGCCTGTTTCTTGTAGTTTATTTCGAAGACTTAAGATTTCTGCATGCCCTTTCTCCACAGAGGATTTAAGCACTTTAACTTTGGCTTCATTTCCACGCACGGTGTTTTCAAGTTCAACCTCTAGCCGTAACTTATCAGATTTAAGCTCTTCGGTTTCTCGAGCTTTTGCTGCGACACCTTTGAGCAGCTGCCCAACAAGGTCAACAGTCGGGTTTTCAGTGAGCGTTGTGAGGATGGCTTGCGGAATCGAATAGTGGGAGGAAAGAAACGGGATATCGACAGCAGCCGTAGCCATGGCTGCGATCGCGGCGACGTCTAACAGGACGAGTGATGGAAGATGTATCGATACGCGGGTTTGACCATCTCAGGTGCTGGCTCCAAATGTAGCCGCCGAAAAGCTACAATGTCGGAATTTGGTTAATAACGAGCGATAAGCACAACCTTCGAGCTTCTCATGACAACTAATGGGCCAGAAGAGTATATAAATTTGAAAAACCGATCGAGCCGCCCCTGGTCAAGGACAGTACTCCAGCAGAGAACAGAGTCTCGTTGGATCGCAGAGCTCACCAGAGAGTTCGCCCAGCTCCTTGGAGAAACCGCACTAGCCGCTTATGTCCTAGTTTCATTCAAATCACGTGATAGATTGCCCGACCTGCGATGCCGCATCACCACGCCGGAGCTTGCCTTTACATCACTATTCCATCATTCAAGTTGACAAGTTTGGATCAGTTGCCCAGGTCGTTCTGGTCAGTTTTGGAATTAGGCCATGAGGGGTGCAGGGGCCCCCTAGGATTCCCTCGACGAGCTGTCGCGTCGTCGACCAAAGCCGAACATTCGAAACCGAAGCCAATCGCCACCATGTCTTATTTTCAGAACCAGATTAGTTCCTTCAGCAACAGCGTCATTTCTGCAGCTAGTCGGCTCCCGCAAGACCGGCGCGCACCTGGTAATGCCAGCACTGTGACAGCCTCTGCGGCTCAAGCTTCGTCTTCGACCAACGCAGCCCCGGCTACGACAAATGGCAAACGGCAAGATGCGGATATCGTCTACTCGCAACCCGCTAACACGGGAACGGGGAAGGACATCATGACACAAGTGGTGTTCGCCATCGAGCATATGAAAAGCAAAGATGTTCCCCTGACTTTCTCCGACATCCAATCGTACCTGTCTTTACATCGCCAGGGTCATGATCAGGCTTATATCCATGCCTTACGAAGGATTTTGCAGTCGCATGACAAGGTCGATTATGACCCACAGGGTTCCAAGGGCGAGGGAACCTTCCGCTTTCGACCTCCTCATAACATCCGGTCCGCGGACCAACTCCTTCAGAAACTCCAGTCACAACCTACCGCTCAGGGGATGAGTGTGCGAGAGCTTCGAGAAGGTTGGCCGAATATCGTCGAAACGATAAACAAGCTGGAAAAGGAAGGCAAGCTCCTGGTGACGAGGAACAAGAAAGATGACCATCCAAGGATGGTGTGGGCCAATGATCCGACCCTGATTCATCAGTTCGACTCTGAATTTCGGCAGATCTGGGAGAAGGTTAAGATTCCAGATCAGCAGACTGTTGCAGAAGAGCTTGAAAAGGCTGGCATTACGCCTACCAGCAAGCACAAGCCTGTGAAGCAACGGCCGAAGATCGAGCAGAAAAAGGTTAAGAAGCCGCGAAGAAGTGGCAAGACCACCAACACCCATATGGCTGGAATTCTGCGAGACTATTCGCATCTAAAAAGATGACACGAGATCATCGTGCCAATGGATTGGCTTATTATCTTGGTGCGAGATGTAAGATTTGACGGAGGTGCCTTTAGCTAGGTATCCTCGAAGTTTTGCGTGGACCGGAGTGTATGGACTTACGGTTGGATTCCGCTATATCATTTCTTAAATTATACTTCCGGGCAAGACGTATCGGGCTATATGTCACACCGCTGACAGCGAATTGGGGATTGCTTGCTTGAAGGCATCTGGCAACATAGAATGCATTGAGAGTACTCCGCATATTCCAATTGATTTCTCTATTTATTGAATTACACTGGTATTTACATTGCTGTTCTGAAACATGCTCCAAACCAGGACATCCAAAACCTATCACACAGTCCCCAGTAACTCGAGAAACGGCTTCACAAGGATATTTGCGTTTTTCTCCCGAAAGTCCTGTAAAGACAATGCCAATTCATTTCAATGCTTCCCGTTGAGTGTAGGAAGCGATCCTTCCGTCCTCTCCAAATAGTCCACTAAATCCTCAATCGTGCAAACTTTCAGCCCCCATCTCTTCCCAAATCTCAGACACCCATCTCTTCTCATCATCGAACAATCCGTCCTCTCTGCAACATTGGGAGCAATCTCGTCACCATCTTCCACAAGCTCACAGATCACGCCCACCTCTCGTTTTCCAGCCAATCTGCAGAAATCTATCGTCGCTTCAGTGTGGCCATTACGTTCACGAACACCACCGGGTCGAGCGCGGAGCGGAAGAATATGTCCTGGCCGCCGGAAATCGGTGGGTTTGACGTCTGGGGAGGCAAGGTTACGGCAGGTCAGAGAGCGATCACGGGCAGATATCCCAGTCGAAACGGAGGGGTCGTTTGAGTCGATTGAGATTGTGTATGCGGTCCGGTTAGGGTCTGTGTTGTCCGTCACCATTTGCGGAAGATCGAGAGAAGCAGCAAGCTCGGGGAGAATTGGGGCGCAGATATAACCGCTGCATAATCAGACCGAAAGCGTTAGAACCAAAGGGAAACCCGGAAGTAGATTTCTGTTTTGAGAGAAAATGATACCTTGTGTAGCGGATCATGAACGCCATTTTTGCGGGTGTGACCGCATCGGCGGCGATGATCAAGTCCCCTTCATTCTCCCGGTTCTGAGAATCCAACACAACGATGAATTCTCCATTTCCTATTCATACCCCGGGAACGACATGTTAGCGCGCTCGGCTAATGGATGAGGTCGCGGGCTCCGGAAAAGCCAGCAATGAAACGAAGCATGCCAAGCAGATATGGTTGTCACACGAGAACTTACTGAATGCTTCTATAGTCTCTTCAATTGTATTGAACTTCAGACCTTCGTCTGTTATTGCGGACGGCATTGTGTAAAGCGGGAGGAGAATTGTCAGAGGGATTGCGAAGCGGTCAATAGGCGGAGGCGGGGTGGGATCAGATGCGAACGCCGAACGGGTCGCAGAACGGTCACGACTCGGATAAGCAAGCAATAAGGCAAAATATATACAATAATCTACGAAGGGTATCCAAAGAAGCAAAGAAAGAGAGGTTCTGTTCACATACAGGTATATCCGTGGTAAGATTTTGTCTTGGATGACTGGTTCTTGTCAACCCCGGGGAGGAAACTTTGACCTCGGAGTGGCGGGACGCCCCAAGGCGAGCGGAAGCCGGGAACACATGCGGATGTGATTTTTCAGTCACACACGCACACCCCCGGGCAGATTAAGCTCCGGAAAATATATGGAGAGATGCATGGATGCAAGATCCATGCTAGCTTATCGGCATCATGAGCATTGCTTTATTGGGAGACTTCCCCTTCGTGGAGTACCTGAAAAATATGGATCATGTCAAAAAGTCTGCTTCCCGAACTCGGTGTTCTTGTAAACAGGCGTCCGATGTCGTGTGAATTTAAACATTATCTAAATATCTGAATCGCGTACGGTACATCACATAAAATCCATGCAAGGAGCATTTAAGACTCAGTTAAAAATGAAGAGCGCTCTCAGAGCATTGAGCACCCGAGGCGTAGCTCTGTTTTCAAGGGACATTATACATTAAACTATTCGCTCACTGGAGTCCCCCAGGGGAGCGACAGGCCACAAAATTGGGCTGAAAGGAACACTTGCGCGGTAGGGAAGCACTCAATCCTTCAGATAATCGAATCATCCTACCTAACATACGGTTTCCGCTATCGGATAGTCGATGGCATCTCGGCCACTAGCCGATTGAGATCATGCGCCTGAGAGCGCATTGACCGCTCGAGAGTTTCCATGTATTCTCTTTCCATCCTTTCTGTATCAAGGTTTTCCGGACCCCGACGGTCGTTGTCCTCCTTAGGGCAGGAGGTCGGATGCGGATAAAACCCAAGACTAGCAACTCGGCTTCCCGTCCAAACAAGTATCTCATCTTCTGTGAGATCACCACCGGTTGATAGTAACTGGCGAATGAAATCACTGCGTCCGCGCTCGCCTATAAGAACACGGAGAACTGGTGGAATTGTCTCTGGAATTATGTCACCCGAGTCATCCAGATCCCTTCGCCCTACACCTTCCCTACCACCGCGGGATTGAGGGTCGTGGTTGATGTTCCATACTCTTATCGGAGTCTTACCATCTCGTTCAACCCAACGAACATTCCCATTTGCATCAGAATAGACGAGTTTTGCGCCATGGGTTGCAACTGACAATACTTTCGAAGCCGAGGTTGATTGGCGGTTCTGATACACCGTAGATTTATCAATAGTAGTTGGTTCTGCATCCCAAAAGCTGGACGCGGAAGACTCATTCGAGAATCCGTACATTTCGAGGGAGCCCTTTCCATTATACTCACCACAGGCGACCAATCCGCGATGATTTTGCCAAGCGCGACCGAGACCGAGATGAAAAACCTCTGGAACAGTTGTCAAGGCGCTCAACCGTGCTCCGGAATAGATTGTATCCTGGAGAGTTGAAAAGAATCTCCGGTCATACTGGAGGATGCTAGGGAACCGGCCAGCTACAAAGATTGTATTGATATCCGGCAGGGGAGGATGAAGGACCGAAAGAGCCATTGGTTTTGGCAAAGAGGCAGAGCCGCTGTTGCGTGGCGGGAGAGGGCACAAGAGCTTCACGTCGAGAGCAGCAAGCTCAGCTGTGAGGCATTGAACAGTCGTAGTATGGTCAAGAGCACCGGGTTTGGCCGGGCACCTGGGGTCGTATATATAGAGATCCTTGGTCGTAGCGACCGTAATTGGAGCATCGTAATCAACCTGCCGCTGTGAAAGAGAGGAGACGCATTGTGGGTAGTTGTGTTGTGACACGACTTGTAGAGCTGCAAGGTCTACTTCACTTACACAGTTTCCAACTGCGATATACACCCTAGAACGGGGCGAGTCAACGTTCACGCAATTCCCACCCACCAAGGATTCGTTGACATGCTTTCTCGCCGAGGTTCCAGTTCGCCCCGAATGGTCATGAAATAGGATGCCGCGCTTGCTTGTGTTAACGACCTGGCCCCAGGAAGCAGTCGGCTCGCCAGGTTTTTGTTGGCTGATATCCCAAACGCAAACTGAGCCGTTGTCTAGCGGAGCTACCACTCTCCTCGACTCAGCATAAGCGGAGCGCTTCAGCAACCCCATGCCCTTGATCTCGCGGTTGCAAACACCGTGAAGTGCCTTTGATTTTGGCTGTTGTAGCCATCGAATCGAAATCGGTGCATTTCGCGTCGTGTACTCAGAATACCAGTCGATGCCCTCCTTCCCATATATCGGGTCGTGCGAGTGTGTGGACGGAGCTGCACGTGTCGCATGATGATCAAGCCTATTAAAACAGCGGAAAGCATAAGGATCGTCTCAGATCTGAAAGTAGAAAGGCCCGTACCCATTAACCTGCGCCCTGTGGGCATTGTACATAGAAGGGTTGGCATCGCGCCAAGCAGACTCATACAAAAGGGACCGCCACAGTAGATCGTCCCGGCCGAAAGTGAGAAAGGCCTTTGAGACGAGCTGTAAGTTGAGGAGATCCTCGGGCGCAAGGTCTACCAGAATTTATCAGCTTGATGTTTTAACCAGTGGAGGATTGCCATACAGCTGGTGATATTTAAAATCAATTCGGCCGGTAGCTTGTCCATGATTGCCAGCACGGTAGCCGGATCCTGTCACTGGTTAGCTTGTGCGTTGCGGACTTGCGGCTCGTTTCGTGGCTCAGCAGGGAGATAAGCCGAATTTAGCTAAAACGGCCCGCCAGGGTCAAGCCGCCTGTGGCGTCACTAGCTACATTAAGTTGCATCACTTCAATGACGCACCGCTAATCCATAAGCAGTTAAAGTCCATCAGCTTTTTTGGCTGCAAACGCTGCAAACCTTCCCCTTTGCAAACATTCACCGGTCGTAATATAACCGGGCTGGTTGGGGAGTACGGGGTACCGAATTATATTGCTACCAATTCTTTTTGTCGAAGTTGCCTATATGAAAGTGGCTGCCAGTGAACACTTTTCCTTCCCTCTGAGCAATTTCCATAGATATCTCCGACTATAACCAGCCGACACCCAACAAGATGTTTGCAACCCTTGGATTTCATCCGGCAATACCATTTGGCGCATGCAGGGTTGAATTTTCCCATAAGGACATCCAGTTTTATGGAACTGCTACGTACAAGGGTTAGGATCGAAGCTCTTCTATCTCTGAAATAGTTGGATCTAAAATAGAACCCGACTTCGTCCTGTTTTGCCCTTCACCCAAGTTGCGGGCACCCAGATCTGGTGCCCAAAACGTAGCCTTTTCAGCGCCATCCAGGCTTGCCTGTGCTTTACGAGAATACGAAGTCGAATGCCTAATCAGGATGTGAACTTTAATCGCGAGGACATATCACGTATATATGGACTCTGTACGGCGTACTCCGTACTCTTCGAAGTATACAGACGGAGTACCCCACGCAGGATCATATTATAAACCTATCAAACCGGCACGTACTGACTACGTTCAGCTATAAAATCTATCATCCCCTCTCGGATTTCGCCTATTTGAACCTCTACATGCAAACAGCTTGTTTGATCCTTACTTACTTGATCCCCTATATCTTTTCATCGACCATCGCTCCGCGCCACAGTCAATTCAAACCATATCTCCAACACGCGACTGGCAACAATGGCTTACTACAGCTATTTACACTTGAAGAAGCCAAATACCGACCCAAGGAGTTATAACCTATATTGTGGTCCCTACCAATAGAAATGCCGCCGATACGCACTTTAGCATTTTGGAGAAGAACAGGACGCTAAATACAGGCCAGAGGGTTCTGACCGTCAAGGAAATAATAAGAGAATTGTCAGAAATATAAATATATCATTGTGATGAGCTTGTGCTTGGTTACTGGCTGAACCACGGCGTCTTAGGGTATTCTCCGTAAGGCAAATTTCCGCTGCTGCGAGACCTGTATGGCAAACTCAAAATTTACAGGATGAAATAAATCAGTGGAGGAATCAATGTGGAAATACATGGAGGTTGCTCCCGCAGCAGATAAATATTGATTGTGATGATGACTACTTCTCGAGGTACAGCTTCCTCGTGCGGCGACACGGCTTTCGAACCAGTACTGGTCCTATGACGGACGCCTCATAGCTCTCCGAACACATACGATTCCAGTATCTCATCCTTGTCCTTACCAAGTTCTGATCTCAAATTCCCGATAATCACCCGACATAAAACCAGAATCCAATATATCGATATAGACACTCGGCGGTCGCTAGCCGTTATCGATGGCGTTCTTGTTGTGACTCTTGGGAAAACGAAACTGGTTCCGTTCCTTGACTTCCTCCAACAATTTTCCATCATATACAGCGAATCTTCGGATTCATGCAATCCGTATGTCTACTTCAGGATCGCTTGGTCATCGGAGTCGGGAACCAATAACGATGGGTTCAAACTTTGTAAAGGTACTTCTAGAGAGAATTGGGCAATTTAAGTGACGATGAGTATCATTAGATGGCTCCCGAGCCCTTCTCTGATGAGATTCCACAGCTCGGCTTATTACCCTACTTTACCGGTTGTGCTTCATCGAAATCGAGTTTGAGGTTTTGTCAGTGAAGCGTTGACTTTCAACATGGCGTTTCGTAACGACTCTAGAATTCATCAAAAGGGAGGAAAGGCATGGCTGATACGTATTTCCACTTACCATATTTTATTACCATGAACTTATAGAATACAGACGAGATTTAGCGCAATTTAGCAGGGTATATTCAATTGTCAGGTCTCAAAACTGCATCTTTACATAGCACTGTAATCTTCTTAAAGAACCGTCTCCATTCAAGAGGATCACCTTTAACTTTGACAAATTCGACCTCTGCAATTCCTTCCGCAATGACCTCAACAATGATATTTCCACTTATGGGGCATTTCCTATCGTCATTCGTGCGAATGCGGATAACGACAGAGGTTTCGGATGATTTAGGCGAGGCTGGGACATGGATCAGCTGAAGAGCTTCGCACACGCGAGGTACGAGAAGGCTGAGAGGCCAGTTCGAGAAGAATCTTGTAAGACCCGAACAGGGAATGATGTCTTGGAATTTTCCGGCATTTTGGGTCCGACTAAGTGGCACCGACGGCGTCGCAGAAAACTGTGACATGGATGGTTCGTCCATGAGGCGATCCGCCAACATACCATTGTCTGCAGGGTTTCGCAGTGTTTTGGGCTGCGAAGCGGATTGGAAGCTCGTAGTTAAGCGTGGCGGGCCATCCCAGTCAATTAGCATGTCGTCCGTTAAGGGTTCAGGTTGGGTAGAAGAAAATCTTGGCTTTATGCTATCGTGTGGCTGGTCATCGAGCATCACGTCTGGACTGCTGGAAGGTGTGTTCTGACAGAAAGAGAGAGGGTCTTGGTTAAAGTCTATGTGCAATGACTCGAACATTGTCGTGGCCATATTGACCGGATTAATGAGTCTGCCGTCAGAAGAAAGATACTTGTTCTGTTTCGTAAACCATGGATGGCGGCGTACGTCCTGCATGGAGAATCTTTTGGATGAATCAATCTTCATCATGCCACGAAGCAGTGACAGTACGGCAACTGGCAGACGCTGCCAGAGCTCATCCTCCGGTTTTGCATTTGCCTTGACATATTCACAATATTCATAACTTTCGTCCGTGGGACTGTCCCAAGGAGTGTTTCCAACCAACAAAACGAAGAGCACAACTCCGCAAGACCAGATGTCCGCCAAGTCCGCCCTGTACCCTCCTCCTCTTGATTGCCCGCGATTACTGCATTGAATCACCTCCGGAGCGATATACGGAGGGCTTCCACAGAGTGTAGTACTCATTTTCATTTTGCCATTGTATTCGAAGAGCGTCGCCAGCCCAAAATCGGCAATTTTTAAATTTCCATCAGAAGACAATAAAATATTCTCGGGCTTGATGTCCCGATGTCCTACCCCTTTGGAGTGCATAAATCCAACGGCATTGATGAGCTGTGCGAAGTATACATGAGCAATGTCTTCCCCCACCCCCTCATCAGCCTCAATTTTGTCAAATAGATCACCGCCCTCTGCCAGTTCCATCGCTATCCATCGCCACGTTTCATTTTCGTCCGTGTTATAGAATGCAATGATGTTATTATGCAGTCCCACGTGTTTGTGGAGAGCCACCTCCATTTGAAGTTGTTTTGAGGTAATGCGCCCATGACGAGCAGCATAATCCTTGTGGATGAACTTGACAGCAAAGAGGGGGGTATCGTTCTGAAGGGGACATGCCTTTTTGATACTGGGAGCGATGTGATCAGTCAATATCTCGGCAGAACGCGGGAGTAAAAGCCATCGGGGGAGGGGGTTACCAGGCGTAAGCACCTTGCCCGATCGTCTTTGAGACAATGCGAAAGGGCAGGTCCTCCGGAAGCGGGGCCAGCTGGGAGTGTTTCATCAGGGGCAATTTGGTGCCGGCTTTGAAGGGTACGTTTAGATGCAGCGTGCCAGTTCACCACGACCCTCGCTTCGAAGGCAGGCGGCGTTTTGATCGTGAGGGGTAACGAGGGAGTCAATTGAGGGCATGTGAATCCATGCGCTCCAGAAATTGCAAATCAGACCTTCTTGGAAATGTTGGGCCTGACATGTCGGTCAGACTGAACGTTGAGCACGACGCGTGCGTTTCATCTTGGTCGTGATCGTATCCCCTTGACTGGCTGGGAGCGTTGCCTTGGGATCCCGCGCTCGGGCTTATCGATAACTAACGAGTGGGCCTCGCCGGATCACGCTAGCGGGTGCCAGCTGGTTGCCAGGTAAACAAACATCCCGGGATTCTCTTTTCTGTCCTGTCCCTTGTGCTCCAGGATCGTATCTCCTGCTCTCTGGCGGTCGAGCTTTTGAGTTAAATTTAAAGTGCCTTCTTTCTGCTCTTCAACCCCTTTAGGCTCGTACGAAGCAAGGAAACTATCCCCTCAAGGTGCAACTCAATTCTCCAAAAACAAGCAGCGCCGTTTGAAGGTCGCGTACGGAAGACCCCAAACCCCATCGTTGGCTCTCATACAGTTTGGAGAGCTTATTGTTTGGGATTAAGATGGATTATTCTCTCGAGGATTCTCAGAATGCGGCTCCGGATGCCCCTTCGGTGCAAGAAACTTCGAAGCTGAATCCTGCGGCCGTCAAGGCCGAAGCCCAAACCGTCACAAAAAGGTAAGTTTCCAGCCGTATTTCCCTTTCTTTAGGGAATACGTTCTTCGCATGGTTACTGACACAGTCTACCTCTATCAGACTGCAAAGCGAGCTTATGCAGCTTATGACGTCCCCTTCGCCAGGAATCTCGGCTTTCCCCGATGCAGACGGAAACTTGCTTTCTTGGACGGCTACCATCAACGGTCCAGAGGATACCCCATATGAGAATCTGGTCTTCAAGCTCTCCTTTGGCTTCCCAACAAACTATCCCTATGCGCCTCCGACCGTCTTATTCAAAACCCCTATATACCATCCAAACGTCGACTTCTCTGGCCGTATTTGCCTTGATATTCTCAAGGAAAAGTGGAGTGCCGTGTATAACGTACAGAGTGTTCTGCTAAGTCTCCAAAGCCTGCTGGGTGAACCTAATAAGTAAGTGTGGTGTCTCTATCGATCCGAACTGTCTAGATGCATTCGCGGCTGACACTATTCGCTTGGATACAGTGCGAGCCCGCTGAATGGTCAGGCTGCCGAGTTGTGGGATACGAATCCAGATGAGTTTAAGAAGCATGTACTCGCTCGACATCGCGATATTGAGGACATTGAATAGTTCCAATAAAGACGACGATCATATGATGATATGTGCATAGGGCAGGGCTTTAAATTTTCTTTTGGCGTTTTTCGAGTGCTTCCAAGCGGCCTGGCGAGAGGCCTTCGGGGTTGTCCAAGGTCCTCAATCAGCCCTATGACGGAGTTTGCCTGGCATGTCGGACTTTGGCTTCTCTTTTATTGGATTCGAATTTTGCATAAGGCTTGGTTATAGCTTTGAATATCCATTTTTGGTGGCTTGATGTTCTTTTGCGTTTCCTTCCAAACCTACCACATGACGGCTGCACATTCCTTACTTGATAGCACAACGTATTAGCTTGGATCATGGAAGACAGGAGTCAGAAGCCTTTTTTTCGTTAGTCTCTCAAACACGAAGCAAATGTGATAAGTATTACTTTGGAGACTTATCCGATGCTTAATGCTATTCTGCTCTACGAAGAAACTAAGGGGGATATTCCATGAATTTCAGAGTGGGTTGGTATCGTGTGAGGGATGCTCTGTTCCTTAAACAGATGGTGAATTTTGCCTTGCATTCCTTCAAATACATGCGTAAGTTCAACCCGACAACGTCCCTGCTGTTGTACATATAACCGTGATATGCACAATAATTCAGGCTGATATTGCATAGTGCTCCTTGTGGCATGACTGATTGGCGCGGGTTAGAAGTGGGCCCCTTTTTGTCTGCTCGACTTCACGCCAAGCTTCCCTATGAGTCAGAGCATTTGAGGACATGATTTATGGAGGAGTTGAACTGCTATTGTTAATGAAATGTCTTTTGAGATCCAGTCGTCGTCATGTTACTTGAGCGGATTGAACTTTAACTGGGTTGAATTTTGATTTATATTTCCTCTTGTGACGCTGGTTGACTGCATATCCGCGAATTTCCGTTCCGGTTGCAAGATCCAGTGCCCCATGCCAACATCGAGGTCGCTGGCTACTGGTGCTTGATGATGAATTCTGTCCCGGAAACTCCCCTCGACATAGGTAAATGGGAGGTTATCGCCTCTAAAACAAACTCACATCGGGTGAACCAGACGCTCAACGTTGCTTCGCTCAGTAATCTACCATGAGAACACGGCTAAGAATCGGTGCACTTTGGAAATGGGCCAAGCGACTGCATTTATATATCTTGCTTCGCAAGGAATATCAACGCATGGGGCGCGAAGACTATTTTTGAAGAGGATTTGCTGCTACACTGACATGAAACATTGAAAAGCAAATCAACGCTTGAGCCAGGTCCTGCATTCCGATATGCATTGTTGGTTATCTCTCGTCAGTGACGAGTAATCCTGCGATGCTTGCACTGCTCAAAGTGCTCAGCGCCCCCGTTATCAGGGCACTCACGGCGACCCGCGTCACATCAGCCGTCCGATCAGGAGCCAGCTGAGATAAGACGCCAACCTGGTTCCCTAGAGAACCGATGTTCGCAAAACCGCAGAGTGCATAAGTGGCAATAAGGCGGGAACGGGGCGAAAGCGTCGCATATTCCGCCTGGGTTTGGAGAGCACGGTACGCCACAAACTCATTCTGGCTCCCATGTCAGTGAAAAAAAGAAGACTACGGGTTTCAGGACCTTACTGCAATGAGCTTTAACCCAATTAGACGAGCTACTTTCAGGATATCGCCATTGCGTGGGACACCGAGTAGAAAAGCGACCGGGTAGCATAAGTATCCGACAATGAGTTCGATGGTGAGCGGCGGATCATTGATGTTAAGGTAACGGCCCCACCAAGTCAATAACCCATTGGCGAGTCCAATAAGGGAGATGATGCATAGCAATGTGGCAGTGATCATAGCTGCAATCTTTAACCCTAACCAGGCCCCCGCGGCAAACGCATGTAGTGCATTTACCGGTTTGTTGCCCTCGTCTTCCGGTATTGTGACGCGGCCTGCCGTCAATGTTTCTTCCTTCTCAGGGTACCTCATTTTTGATACTGCGAGTGACGCAGGTATGCTCATAACACAAGATGAAATCAGCGCCTGGGGATTCACACCGAGGGCCACGTATGCGACAAACACGCTTCCAGCGATCGTTGCAAACCCAGAACACATCACCTGATGGATTTCAGCCATAGTGAGATAATTGATAAATGGCCGAATCAACATGACCGATTCGCCTTGGCCAATGAATGGTGACGCAGCTGCAACAACAGCTTCCGCGCCCGACACCCGCATGGACCAGAAGAAGAAAACGGCGAATTTTCCAATGAACCACTGGATGAAGTTGATGTAATACAAAAGTTGGACTAGAGATACGAAGAAAATGATCGCCGGCACCACGGTAATGAGAAACCAGGGAAGTTTGAGAACCTCTCCGCTGGTCACGAATTCGGTTCCTTTTCCAGCGAAGGCAAGAAGGTCAGTGGCACGCATGGCGATGAAGTTGAATATATCGTACCCAACTCTGGTGCGCAGAACGAATAATGCCATAATGAATTGGACTAGCATGCCGACAATGACGGTCCTCCATACTATTCTCTTGCGGTCTTTGGACGTTATCCACAGACCCCCCAATAACACGGCCAACCCGACTAAGCTAACTGCACGGTTTTCGCGGGTATTGTCAGCTGCTTCTGGCGAGGCAAACGCGCCTATGAGGATGACCGCAACGACCAATGCCGCGCCGGCCAAAGTCTGATATTTTTCTGGAATCATCGGAACGAAACGGCGGGCGGTATTTCTCCATATCCAATGCATCGACCTGGTAATTATGGATATCGGGACATAGAAAAACAAAATGCGCATAGTAATGCAAAGGTAAACGAGGAATGGGACTACCCAACCCAGGTCTTTTCGGCGGAGAATAAGCCCGGCGATCCACCAGCTGAGATACTTCTAAGTTAGTTTCGTTTTCTTTTTTTTTTTTTTTTTCTTTAATCCAACAATACCTAGGAACGTATCGCCAATTTCAGGAGTCGAAGGGAAACAGTCCATTCTCCTGAGATAACATCCCATGAAGTCTAATGTGCTAATTCCCCACCACCAAGCTAGACAGTGGACTTACCCAGTGAACAAGAGCCAAATGATGAAATATTTCCCAGTACGGATATATCTTTGATATCGGCGACACCATGTTTTGAATTTTCCTCCCTCCGCCGGGCCACCCGTATGGCTCTCTTCGAATTTTTGATCACTTGATCCAGTGCCATATTCCAATTGCTTGGAATATATTTCCTTTTCTATTCCAGGCGGCCTTTGATTCGCGTACTGATGCTGATGAGCAGCAGGGTCCGGTGTAGGCGCTGATACTGCTTCTTCGCTCTTCCACCGCTGATTAACTGAAAAGGTTTTGGAATTTTCCATTGTGGTGCAACTGTGTTGAATGTAGTTTGCACCTGGGAAATTTGTTGAATATCCGAGAGGTTGAAAGCTTGGCTCGGGCCAGCTAGCTCGGTTCGCACGAGAATGTCAGGCACTTAGAAACTGCGAAACAAGTGGAATAAATAAGTGTTTGCTAGCTGCGGGTGGCTGAACCCCTCATACGTTGTTATGCAACACCGGGATCCAAGGCCAAACTAACGGGAGGATCTGGAGAAAAAAGCTTTTTCCCAAGAATTGCTCAAGCATGAAATATGGTCAAAGGTATTTCGTACCTATCGGGCGCCAGGCGATGCCCGACGGATGCCGGCCTTGGAACCAGATTACACAGTACAGAGGACCAGCTCGCAAACGCAAAAGCCGCCCTTGTGCAAGGAGCCAATCGCATTTTAAATACGGTCGAAGGGGCTACAAAGCCGCAGGACAGTTGTTCTCATGAGAATTCCTCGGGTCCAAATTTTCTGTGACAGGTGTCTGACTGAGGGTCTCCCGTGATTGGGATGATCCCTCGTTTTATTGCCACCTGCGAGCTCAGGTCAATATCGATGATATTTCCCGCTCCTATCCCTGACAATGGGACCATGCTGAAGTTAGTGCAGTCGATATCGAAACGAAGTACTTAGAGATCCGTCTTCGTGGAAATGAGGCGATCGCCACGTTGCACAGAAAACTTGATGGCTGGTATATGTATGTTCGCATGTATGTACGAAGTTCCGAGTACTCTATACGGAGTACATACAAATGATTTTATGGGGTACGAGATCTGATTCTATGCCTTGGATGCCATGCGTAAAGCGGAAACGCACGTAGGCGATGACATTTGTGTCGATCCTTAAAAGTATGCAGCGAATCGCAGCAAGTTCTACGCTTCCACGGGTAATGTTACATCTCAGGGTTCACTCCCCCAGAGCTGGGTACCATGAAGGTTCAAGAGACGACAGGCCATCGGTATTAAAATTATTGCGACGGTAAATTGACATGTGGAATTTCCTTTTTCCTTCCTTTTTTCTTTTTCTTTTTTCCACCTCTTCAAAACTTTTATCTTCCTGATGATCCAGGTGGTCCGGCGTCCATATTCATGGGGTCGCTGAATTTCTGCGAAATTTAAAGTGCCGGTTAAGGCATATTATTGGAGCGCCCTATTGCCTTCGATGCCCACAATGAATATTTTTACCAGCTTATTTACACATATCTTAAGTGCCTCCAGCGCCTTGAGGATGGTCAGCAACATTGCATACCCGATGTTGGAGTGTTCCGGGCGAAGGGATCCCGTCGCTCGGGAGAACTGATATTCTTGACTCTTGAACTGGCAGTACAAATTATAGAATATATTTGGACTTAAAGACTTGCTCTTCTCTTGAACTGTGATACATTTGGTGTTTTGCATGATCTCCATGGTAGGTTGGTATACTCCGTACAAGAGAGGCTATCAACAGGAAGGTTTGCACCAAAAGGCTTGTCATCATGACAATAATAGCAGTTAACTGCCCAAACCATGGAGCTACAAGAGCATACTATGTAACTCCAGATTCATACACCATTGAGCATGTGAGAGCGGGATGTTTCATCTTGACATATGTCACCTTGACTCTGTATTTTCGAATGTGCTCCTTGATGACGGTGGGATTATCGTAAAAATTTAAAAATAGACCTTCTCTAAGTTCCCCGTTACTTCGTATGGAGTAGTCCTGCTGGGCATAAATCATGCATATTATTTTATTACCGCCTGAAATCAAGATGCACGCCGTCAAAGATGGGCGTTTTTAGCCCGCTGGCCGGCATTCGAGAGCGGCAGACTCACGTGAGACCCTGGGGAGTCCCCGCCTGACTCGGCTCTGGGGAAGAGTTTATCGATATCGGCAATGCCTATGGATAGACATCCGACCCCGCGCTGTTCTCCAACCGTCAGGGGGCCGCCCCAGACAAAAGACGTCTAAATCGACACCCCACACTACGACCTTTGGGGGTAAGATGGGTCAATGGCTGGGAGAGGCCAAGCGTTAAGCTCCAAACAAAATGCCTGAAGCTCTTTCACTGGCCAGTCAGCAGCAGCTAGTTCGTTGGGGAACCCTTGACCACTTCGTCCCCCAAGGATGGCTATTTAACGACGCAAGAGGTTCTCCGCTGCTCCGCTGCTCCGTACATGATCCTTGCTCAGCTCCGATTCCAACGACGCAGTCATAAGTAGGTCAAGCTGAACGAAGGCAGGAGCTCCTACAGTCCCCCTGTTGATCGAGCTGGACGAAGAACCATGGCGCGAATCCCCGAAGAAATGCCCCATTTCCCGGAGCACTTCAATTTCGCCGTTGACGTTGTTGACAAATGGGCCGCAGAAACCCCTTCACCGCAGGCGCTGCTCTGGGTTGATCAAAACGGTCGGAATCCCCTGTCTCTCGATTATGCCTATTTCTCGAAACGCTCCCACCGTGCCGCTGGGCTTCTCGCGCGTCTTGGTGTTAAAAAAGGGGATAGAGTGATCATTATCCTTCCACGCGTGCCAGCTTGGTAAGCACTATCCGGTCACCGAATCCACAATAGTAAGAGGCCTCAGCGGGAAAACATTTCCTTTGATTTGGGGTGTTTCTGAGTTTCTGCGAAGCTGATGGATGTTAACGAATTGCTCCAGGTGGGAGGTTGCTACTGCAGTAATACGTCTCGGTGGTGTTGTCTGCCCATGCACAACTTTGGCAGTCGCCCATGATATCGAATACCGAGCCCAGGCATCAGGAGCCACGGTCTTCGTTGGCGACAGCGTGAGCTTAGAGAAATTTAATTCAGTGCGCAAAAATTGCCCAAACGTCCGACTTGCCCTGCAAGCTGCTGGGGCTCCCCTCAAAGATACCCTGCAATATTCATCTGAATTGGACAAATTCCCGGAGGAATTCCTATTCCGTGGCGATGGCCGCAAGACTAAATGGTCGGACCCATCAATGATCTATTTTACCTCAGGAACAACGGGAATGCCAAAGATGGTGCTTCACAACCAAGTCTCATATCCTTTAGGTGAGCAGCGGGTATGCACGTGTGGTATCTAGCTCGGTGACTAACATTACGTGACCAAAAGCCCATGTGTTGACCGGACGTCTATGGCTGGATTTGGAGCCCGGGAAGCTTTATTGGAATTTGTCAGAGCAGGGTAAGTATCAACTGTTGTAAACTTGCTTTTATTTCGACATGTTTGATGCTCCGATGCTAACATAGGGTTGCGTTACATGCAGGCTGGGCGAAAGCAGCTTGGGCCTGGTTTGGTGCCTGGAATTGCGGAGCGGCCCTCTTTGTTCAAGAGACTGTCGGCCCATTCAGCGCAGAACAAACATTAGACAATCTCCATAACTATCCTATCACCACCCTATGTGCTCCCCCAACCGCGTATCGCCAATTTGTGCTACCTTCACGACAGGAATACTTCCGCAGAAATCCACCCATGAGGCTTGAGCATTGCGTCGGTGCGGGTGAGCCGCTCAACGACCAAGTCATTCGGACTTGGAAAGAAATGTGTGGGCTCGAAATTCGAGATGGATATGGACAAACAGAGACGACGCTAGTTTGCGGCAATATTAAAGGCAACAAGGTTAAATTTGGCTCAATGGGCAAACCTCTACCCGGCGTCCCATTAACGGTTATCACCCCAGAGGGCGAAGAATCGCCTGCTGACGAGGAAGGTGAAATTGCTATCGCCACTACGACTCCAGAAGGATTTCAGACCGTCAATATCTTTTCAGGCTACTTGAAACCTGACGGCACTGTTTTGCGACCTACCCGCCAAGGAAAGGGTCGATCATGGTATTTAACTGGTGATAGAGCGTACAGAGATGACGAGGGGTATCTCTGGTTTGTCGGTCGTTCTGACGACGTTATAAACTCCTCAGGCTACAGAATTGGTTAGTGAACACCCTCCCCCATTACCCCACGTCTTCAAGCGCGAAATTTCTCGCGGGTTTATGGCATGCTAAACTCAGGTCACAACAGGCCCCTTCGAAGTTGAGTCAGTACTCAAGAAACACCCGGCCGTAGTGGAATCTGCTGTCGTAGCTTCGCCAGACGCTGCCCGCGTTGAAGTTGTGAAAGCTTTCATCGTCTTACAAGATGAATACAAATCTCGTGATCCCGCTGCTCTTATTGCCGAATTACAAGACTTCTGCAAGGCAGAGACCGCTCCATACAAGTATCCCCGGCGTATCCAGTTCGTGGAACCGGGATTCTTGCCCAAGACAATAAGCGGGAAGATCAAACGGGCTGAACTAAGGGCTTTGGAAAAGAAGATAGTTGAGAGAGCCCAAGGTGCAAAGATATAACATAGTAACGTTTATCATGGGAGACGCAAATAGCGTTTACTTCCATGTGTTCCTTACGTACCCATTTCCCTTTCGGTAGATTATTAGCTACAGAGCAAATGTACCTTAGACAAAATCAATCTGGATTTAGACTATAATTTGACCTGTGTATGACGAGCTTATCATTTACAGTTTGTTTTTATTCCATGGTTCTTCAGGTAGTCGGGCTCATGGCGTCATACGAGATCAGCGGTGCTGTTGGTTACCTGGACGGTACATGTTTAAATATACTTTTAGTACTTATACCATATGTTTAAGAATTGACCAGAACACCCTTTGCTGTAGCTCATGAACGAGGCGAAATACGTCGTCTGTAAAGAAGGCCTGCTTGGGTTTGGGAATGGTGAGAGTTTGCCTTCTTGCAGGACGGATGAGGGAGGGGTTATATTCAGACAAGGAATATCTAACCGACTAAGTAACTACCTTCGCTAAGCCCAATGGGGTTCAAATATCATAGGTGGAATTCCACTATTTGTCCTTTAACTTAACATGCATACGTAGTCATCCTGCAAACGACAGGATACTTGAACAAAGAGTTAGATACTCATGGCGTCGCAAGCCCAGAGCTGGGCGTCTAATGACTGGGAAGCCGAAGAGGGCATTCCCCGCTTCGAAGACCCGTTCATTCAAAAGTACCTGCAAGGTAGAGAGGCCTTGATCGAGGAAGAGAAGAAAAAAAGACACGGTATGGTTCTATTACTCGCTGTGTTGAACGTATAATGCTGAAATGGCGTCTTGCAGATGTCCACTTCCGAAATGCCTTGTCACCAGTGGTGAGGGAGGCTTGTCGAATTGTCGAATATATCCGTGCCAAAGAGCTGAGAGATGTGTGGACAAAGGATGTTCAAAGCGAACTAGGTGATGAGATTCTCTACCCTGGGATGATGTTTCGGCTGGCGAGGGATAGGATGGAGAAGACTGACCTTTGGAAAATTATGGCGAAAATGCCAAAGGGTAAGTGCTGGTTACCCTTTTGTGCCACTTGCAGTGATTTAACAGGTGTCTAGGAGCATTATTACATGGTCATATAGAGGCAATGATTGATCTAGACATCCTGCTTCACCAGGTTCTCTCGTTACCTGGAATGTATATGGCATCTTCCGCACCCTTGGATTCAGAAAACAATCTTGAGATCACGCCGTTACACTTTAAATACTCTTCAACGGTGCTATCGTCACATGGATCTCCTACGCTCTGGGAAAGGGAATACCATCCTTTAACATTCCTGCCCGTGCAAGAGGTTGCTGACGCGTTTCCGGGCCAAGGGATAGCGGGTTTTCGAGAATGGCTCAAAAGTCGATGTACCATTGGGCACGAGGCTTCATTGAATCATCACCACGGCATAGACGCGATCTGGGAGATTTTCGGCAGAACCTTTCAAGTGGTAGACTCGATTTTATATTACGAGCCCATATTTCGTGCCTGTCTTAGGCACATGCTGGCCGAACTTCATCAGGATGGGATACGATATGTTGAGTTCCGTCTGGCGTTCGACTTTGAATACCGTAGGGATCAGAGTAATACTGTTGAAGAAGACTATATTGGATTTTTCGAAGCATTTGACGATGAGATCAAGAAATTCAAGACATCCGATGCCGGTAAAGGGTTTTATGGGGCTAGGATGATCTGGACCACCATGCGAAGGTATTCGAATCGAGATATCGTGGAAAGCATGAAGCAGTGCATTTTGACAAAGGAAGAATTCCCTGACCTTATTGCTGGATTCGACCTGGTTGGCCGAGAAGACGACGGAAGGCCTCTGGTGGACTTACTACCGGTTTTGTTTTGGTTCAAAAAACAATGCGCTCTGGAGAACATGGAAATCCCGTTTCTTTTTCACGCTGGGGAATGTTTGGGGGATGGAAATGAAACAGACCGGAACCTTTATGATGCTATTTTATTGGGCAGCCGGAGGATCGGCCATGGCTTTTCTCTTTTTAAGCACCCGCTTTTGATTGAATTGGTGAAAGACAAGAGGATCCTTATCGAGTGCTGTCCTATTTCAAACGAGATTTTGCGGTTAACCAGTTCGATAATGGCGCATCCTCTTCCGGCCCTGCTAGCCCGAGGAGTACCCGTTGCACTGTGTAATGACGACCCGACCTTGATGGGCTATGGTAAGAACGGTCTCACCCATGATTTTTGCCAAGTCCTTTACGGCCTCGAGAACACGGGGCTTTCTGGGGTAGCAACTATGGCAGAGAATTCCATTCGATGGAGTTGTTTCGAAGACCAGAGTCAGACGGAATGGCTTCGGGATATCAAGGAGGGTATCACAGGGCATGGGCTCAAGGCTGTGCGTTTGAAGGATTGGAATGTGGAGTTCGAGAGCTTTTGTCAATGGGTTGTAGTGGAGTTTGGGCCAGAAGTCCCTGATGTAGATGAAGCATGAGAAACCCGATCTTTAGACACAGATTAACTTGATGCGCCTTGATGCCGTTTGGAATGGCGTTAGAATGTCACCGATGGTGGCAGGGCCTAGATGGTTTGCTGCTGGTGTCAAAAGGAACAAACTTTGGAGAAAAAGGGCGGATTCGGCCCAGGTGTCCGACCCAGATGATGACATCTTTGTGCGAATGCATTTCCATCCCATCTGAGTTCAGGCATCAGCCGCGACAATCGACAGAAGACAGCTTAAATCTCAGTATTAATGACCGACATCATGGTTGAGATTTGCCATCCTGCACCTCAAGTCGTCCCCGCAGTCTGGCTTCTGGTTTGGCAAACTGACTTCATCCCGTGACTGCGCTGAGCTTAAGTGGTGCGGTTTGAACCCGGGCAGGGCCAGTGACATATTTCCTCCGCAAATCATGCATCAACAACAGAGCAGAGCCCACCAGAGAGAGGCCTAACCCAAGTTTTCATTCATGGCCTCTCTGTTTATCCCCAGATGCTTTGTGTTTTAGAACCACATTCTATTGGTAGATTACTCTGCTGAAAAGATCGCACCTCCGGCACGCGGCTCTGCTTGCAGTTCACGCCACTTGCATTGTCGACTGTCGTGATTACTAGCTCTCCATCAACAAACATTTTGCTTCTTGTTTACTGCAAAACAAGCATTCCTCGTTCATCAAGTGACAGACACTATGGCCTGATGACACGAAAACATTTCAATGACAGCCGTTGAATAACTGTAGCCCTCGAGGCTCAGAGAACTCTATCCTTCAAATATGCCGTTTTCCCTTCCCTCGTTCGCCCAGAAGCTAGTGTTGAGGTATGCTCTGTCGCGGCTAGGGCTGGTGGATACAGATACCTTGGATCTGGCGACCTTGGGCATTACATGGGGCCAAAGGAGCACTTTTGAGCTTCGAAATGTCGGTTTAAAGCTAGAGGTACGGAGCACAGGCGTTTGGCCGACCTGCACTTTTTCTATCCTCCCTCAATCATCAGCCCCTGGATGCTAATGTTTGATGAACTTATAGAAGCTCTCCGCGCATTTACCGCCGTACTGCACCTTGACAAAAGGAAGTGTGTCTCTCCTTCGTGTTACCGTCCCGGCAAATCTCCACAATAGCTCAATCATCGTAGAGGTCGACGGCGTAGACGCTCGTGTGAGACTGCTCCCTGATAAACCTGAACAAAATGCCCCTCCGACAAGGTCCAAAGGGACTGCTGAAGACGAAGGCCAGGATGGCCACAGCGTATTGCCATCCACCGCGGACCTTGCACAATCCTTTTTAGAATCAGAGCCAAAAGAGGAGACGGAAGAGCTACAAGCTGCGATATTGTCGCAGTCACAATATCCTGAACATTTAGACACGCAGAGCGACGATGGAGAAGAAGATCTTGGTTTATATGACGGGTTATCGCTCCCTGCCTTCATCGCTGGATTCTTGAAGGGTGTGATCGATCGACTGCAGCTCAATATTGCCAATGTGTCGTTACGAGTTGATACAGAGGTGCAGCGTGATGGGGTTCTCAAGGATGAAACGCAGGACCCGATTTCGGGACTGTTCACTATCCAAGAGATTGCTATTGATAGTACTGCAACATCGGCATCACAGGACTCAAGGCTTAAAGTTGGAAAACGCATGATGTCTCTATCAGGGATCCATGCTATGATAATGTCGGATGCAGAAGTATTCTCAAATTATTCTCGCTTTAATGCCCCTGATATGCCATCCACAGTCCATTCTAAATCTACCCATACGCCTTTGCGACCTCGATCTCCCCAGCCTTCTTCTTCAGGCTCCGATTCTTGTGGCGATATGTCCCGTTCAACGATTCTCGACCCATCATCTATGTATGGGTCACGGCTCACCGTTGATTCCCATGGAGATGAGAGCCGACATCTTGAATCTTCTGTTTACTCAACCACGGGGAGATTCTCTGATGCTGACTCTGATGACGAGAAAGATCTTGAATTTTACTCCCAGGCCGCCACGGGGATGTTAGACAGTCACTATGACGAGCGTTTGTTAGACAATCCAGCGTATTTAGACGAAGCTCTCAAGTCCCAATTCGACGACCACCTTGAAGACTCAACGATATTTCCAAAGGACTGTCCAAGTACCCCTGTCAGAGATCAAACCCCTCGTCCGCACGTTTCCAAGTCTCCTAGCTCATCCCCAGAACATTATATGTACCACTCTGTTCATGAAAGCAATTTTCCCGTTGGCGGAGGGATACGAGAAAACGAACCTGATTCTGCGACCAGTGCGCGTGGCAAAAACCCGGACTGTCAAACCGAACAAGAGTCGCCCAGTACCTCTAAGATATGCCCTGCAGTGTCCCAACCCGAAGATTTATCTGCATCGAGAATATTCACTCATGAAGAGGCGCAGAGTATGTATATGAGTGCCATGAGCCAGTCATCTACAACAAGCTTTGATCCCGATATGCCTGGGGCGTGGGGTTCTTCTAAACGGATAGATACTTCAGACCCTGATCAGAAGGAACAGCCATTGAGTGGCGACACTGATACAGAAGCCAAAGGAGCTTCACATGATTTCGATACTTCCCAGAATTCTCCCGAAGCTCAGACTAGTGAAGATGATGAAAGAGAGAGCGTCCATAATTCACCACAATATATTTCCGGTGTTGTTAAGGAGATACTTGCTATCGATAGGATAATCATCTGGTTACCCTCTGTAGTTAGTCAGGACAGCGAGGAAATCCCGAAGACCGACATCGATAGTAAGCCCGTCGACCCCATGGTGGAGTCGACTATTACTTTAGCGGATTCTGTCACGCCTGACCTATTGGCAAACACCAGGTCACGACTTGCCCAGAGTGCTTTCAGGAGAGGCTCCGTTAGTTCAATTGTCTCCTCGCGGCACCTACCCATATCCCGTACAAAGCCCACGACTCAAAAACACGAGGACTTTGATGGTCTGAGTGATCCCCAAACTACGCGTGCGATGGAGATAGATATTATTTCGTTAACTGCCAAACTTGATATAGCTTCCGGGTGGCTCCTGGTTAAAATAGGCCAAAGGATCACCGATGTGTCTACTTCGACGAGCAAGCAGACCAAGATTTCAGAGGCAGCAAGCGAAGAATCATCGCCTTCATTTTTCCGGCTGAATTTGACATCCTGTTCACTCAAATTCCTGGAGCGTGTGCCTGCTCAGCCATATCCTTTATCCTCAGCGCCATCGTTATCTCAGTTACAAAGCGGAATCCCCATCGAGGAAACCATTTTGCACCTGACCTTATCAGGAACCCGCATTGATTTTGCAGCCGTTGGAAACACCACGAAACTACGACTCGATGTAATGAAATTTGTTCTTGGACATATGTCACATGACATCATTTCTTTCGATGAAAGCTTGAGAATGCGTGAATCCACGCGAGATGTTACGTCTCCTGGACAAAAAGATATCTCATTGCGGGTGATCAAATCTTCTGAATCGACCACTGTTAATTTAACCACTCTCCCAATCTGCTTGTCGCTGGACCTCCAAGAACTCGACGAGACACTGGGTTGGTTTGGAGGTCTAAGCACCGTCCTTGAATTAGGAAGCTCTATTGCATCCGCGTCCACAATTAAAGGGGAGCAACCTTGCTCACCTCCCCGACCCCGCCGGGGTGTACACTTTGCGGATCCGGTGCCTCCTTCGAGCCGGTCGACAACGAATCACGCCGCGCTAAAAGCAAACTGCAGGATAGGTGGCATTGTGCTACGAGTCATCGGGGAACACTGCACAGTTCAGCTTGGGACCACTGCAGCGAAGCTGGTGAGCCGATTTGAGGGAGTCGCTCTCCAGATAGATAAAGCTAGTGTTGGTGGGCCTCATCTGCGCAAAGAACCGTCCCCTTCCCCTCCTTCCTTGGACTTTGAAAATATACGATTTGAGTACCTATATGGGCCAAAGGAAGTTGATTTAGACCGGTTACTAGGGCTCCTAACGCCCTCCAAGGACAAATTCGATGAAGATGACGATATTATGCTTGATACACTCTTTAGGCAGCGTAGACAGGGTGCTGTCCTTCGCTTGACTGTCGGTCATGCGGATTTTGCCGTCCCTAACCCGACGGCCTTGCAACCCTTGTCCCATCTCGGCGAAGAGCTGGCCAAGCTTGCCACCGTTGCGAAGTATCTGCCCCAAGATGATAGACCTGGAATTCTTATCTTGGCTCTTGTTCGAGAATTTGAAGGCCGGGTCCATGTTAATAATGAGGCTGGAGACATAACTATTATTTCCCATAATCTTGAGGCGGGATATGTAACTTTCCCATCCCTCCTTGCCACCCGAATTTCAACGGTCACCGTTGTTCGCAATGGCAGCGAGGAGTTGGTAGCAGAGGTCATACCCGAGGACACGGAAGAAGCACGAACTCATGATCCTCTACCAATGATAATGGCCCGGTTTATTGCTGATGAAATGGAACCAACTGTCAAAATCAAGCTATATAATGTGAGAGTGGAATATACGGTTCCATCCATTACCGCGTTCCTTGGTCTGAATAATCAGATGGCCGCCGAGGACGTCGCTGCCGATATGGCTCAATCGGTCCTAAATTTGGCTGACCTCAAGACTCATCACAAACCTGGGGCAGATCTCTCGGAACGGGGCTCAATTGGCTCCGGACACGACAGATCAGCCATGCTTCCAAGGTTATCTGTGGGCATGAAGGATTGCGGTATTGGCCTCAATCCTCGCAAATCACCAGCTAAGGCTCTTGTAATTTTCACTCGCGCAAGTTTCAGCGGTGCTCTCCATGAAACTAAACCCTCTGAAGCCTTGCTCGATATTCGCAAAGCGTCTGTTATGATTATTGATAATGTTGAGAATCTCGGGTCAGCAGAAAACTATCGCCACAGGAAGTCTAGCGGGGCTCGAAGCGGCCAAATTCAGCATCTGCAGAGTATTGGGTTTGTTCCCGTCTGTGACATATCGTCAGCATCCGTTGCACTCAAGGTAATGCAGCTGGATGTGGAAGGGGAAA